ATCGATTATTTCTTTTTCTCCTGTCTTTGAGCTTTTCTTGGTTGACCTGCACTGTAATATGTGGACATAGCAAGAGGAAGACGGTTCGTAAATTGATTGATTGCAAACTTCATTCATCCCTTTCTCCATCGCACTTCTCCGACATATGATCTATTCACATTACATTCTGGTAGTACGCCTTACCAGACTGAGTCCAACTTTGTTCAACTCGCTTTTCTTTGCGTCAAACATCTATTTCCGTTGCCTCCTAATTGAAAAGAAAAGAACGTCAAGAAGCTTACTCTGTTTTGTCAGAAACTGACGTAGGATCAATCTGTAAAGCAACTCAATGGCAAGGAGTCAAAAAATTTAGTGCAAATCAGTGCCGGAAAGGTCTCGAGGTGGGATTCGCGCGCACTTGCTGTTGATTTTTTATTGACTCTGTTTTTTCAACAACAGCCAACTCATAAATTTTGCACAGGTGTTTCTGTACAACGATGCAAAAATTAGTAATAGCTTATCTCATGCTATGCTAACAACACCCTCTCTCGTGGAACGCTCCTTTCTCTTTTCTATCCCTTCCCTCATGTTCTTGATTCTACTCAGAGACTCAGAGATTTCACTGCAAAGAAACTGATTAACACTTTTCTGTACATTAACTTCCTTGTGCAATTTACTAAAATTTCTACGTTCTGTGCTCTATGCACTGAACCAGTGGTGAAGTGTAACAAAACAGCACGCAAGATTTTCCCAGAGAAGAGAGGGGAACGGTTCTACAGCAATTTGTTACGGTGTGATTTGGCTTACAAATATTTTATTCTTATACCACATTACAATGTATAGGGGTTCTGTGCCATGAATAAGCTATAGGGTGTAGCAACGAAAGTGGGAGGAGGAGGGTAGAAAGTAGGTGCATAGAAGTTGATGTTTTGTCATTGTGAAGGGTCTCTTTTTTTTTGGGCTATAGGGTCAGCAAGTCGTATTCACCGGATTTAAGCATCTTTCTTGCCTTGTGGCATGCGTTGTGCTTTCTCCCAACGTATTTTGTTCCTTCCCTCTGAGCGTGTTATAGTATGGTCTGTGTTTCATCACATACTAGTGAGACGTATACCACGTTGCTTGAGTAACGTATTTTTTACGTCCTCCTTTTACTAGAGTCGCAAAGAAGGAAAAAATGGTACTGTTTCAATTCATTCAATTGGTGAAGCCGATAGAAAGTAAAACTGTAACTCTCTCATGGTACCGTTGTTGTCTGTTAACTTCTCATAAAAAATCTAGTATCACTGACTATTGTCTGATGGGCTCTTAAAATTTAGCCACATGCCAATTTGTCCCAATATTGTAATTCTGTGTATGGAAGCATCTTTTCTTTTCAGTAAAGATGTTGGTTTTGGTCATTTACTAAGGCTTATTGGAAAGATCAATACGTAACTTACGTCCTTTTTTTTGATTTCGGGAATTTGCACAATAGATTTCTTGCGTCAATAGAGAAATCTGAAAGATATTCTGGAATCAATTTTCATTTCAGTATCGTCTCTCCTAGAATATTAAGCGAGTGATACTTAAAACTATAACACAGTATTTCATTCACTATCGATTGTGTTGCGATTTTCTTATTTAAAACGTTTGCTTAACTATTGTGTTTGTTCTCCAATCGCCATTAAAAGTAAGACAAGTATTTTTTTGACTATCACTTTCTTTTCTTTTTGTTACTCCAATTGCTCTTCCATCTCTTCTAAGTTCTTTTAGTTGGATTTTTTAATTTCAGATGGCCAAGTCAAGTCAAAGAGATTGTTGAAAGTTCGATAACTGGTTTTGCAAATGGAAAGGTCGTTTCTACAGAGAAAGTCTGATAACAACAAGATTGATTTCATATTCAGTGTAATTGAGCAAATATCAATCAGGTGTAGAGGACCCTATTTCGCTACATCACAAACGGTGCGCATACTACTACCCGCATCTGACAAATCCAACTCCTCTACTTGTTTTCTTTGAATTTTATCTCTTATTTTGTTTTTTAGTCGCTACGTGAAGGACAAAAAACCCTAATACTGTTAGTGACTTGCGAAGGACCCTTTGCAGAACTCGTGCAGAAAAACGTTGCTGTCCTTGCTCTTATTCTTAGTTCGTTTCGTTCGCAGTTTCTTACCTGGGAGTGTGATTTTCATAGCTACGAGCCATTTACTACGGGTATTTCCACTCTTCGTAAGTATTCCTTTAGGCTACTATCTCCGTGGCAGTGGGAGGGGCTGCCTGCATTGCTGGAAGGATTGTCAGGATTGGCATTTTTTTTTCAAAAAATCCTTCTTTTCTTCTCTTACGATTTTTCTGGGTACTTCCTTCAATTATTTCTGCGTCTCTATCTGAGTAGTGGGAGTGAGCTTCGAAAACAACACAACAATCTGAGATTCACAATCTCGAAACTATAAGGCAAAACAGCAGCGGAACTAAGATGAAACAGAGGTATCCCGTGGATTTTGCATATATTCCTTCTGGTGGCTGCACTGTTTTGAGAGAGAGAACAGAGCAGCTGTGATGCATTTAATATCCCCTTACGATTTTCGAAGAAGGAAGGGGATAAGCTGAAAAATTTATTCTGGAAGCCAATTTCACTTTCAATTAGGGAATTGAAGAAGTAGGCAGATACTGAGAATTTGTCCTTGTGGAGAGTATCATATTCCTCGGATATGAAGATTGGAGGTCTAGAACAACACCTTCGTAACTGTCCGAAGTTAATTGTATGTACTCTCGACCTTTTAGTGCCCTTCCAGCATACTTCACTTACCCAAAGTAAAAATCCAACCATTTTCTCGTACTGCAATTTATTCATCTACATCGTATTAGTCTGTTGGAGTTTATCTATTCCAACAATCTGGATTTCCAACAGGAGCATGGAAAACAAAATGTCCTTATTATTTGGGATTCAATTTTTGTTATACTCTATTTCTATCATGTACGTCGTCTGGGTATGACACTGCCCCCCCCCCCCCCCCAATACACTAGAGAAAACAGAAAATCATGTGGGAAAGAGAATTGAAAGTTGTTCCATTTGATGTTCTTTTTTTTTTGACTTCCGCTGCTTATGAAGCAGTTTACATGTCTATAGAAATTGCGTTACCTATGTGATAGTAATGACTTATGCTGCTTTTCTTACTCAGATAATTTACTTTCTCCTTTCCCATCACTTCCCCTCCTTCCGTTTCTTCCCCGTTGTTTGTACGCCGTCTTGTTCTTCCTCGATGAAAGATTACTTAACAGAATTTCAAATAGAATTCAAGGACCCTTTTTAGGTGAACTTTCTTTTTGAGAGTCAAGACGGGCATAAACCCACAACAAAAAAAATTGCGTAAAATATCACCAGATAATTTAGAATTATAGTATCTTCGCTTCGTTAGTACAGGGGTTTTATCATGATATTGATTTTCCTTCAGAAACCAAAAGACTTGCATCATCAATCATAAACTCATACATGATGCTTCGAAATTGTACCATGATCCTTTTCACGTCGTACTTTTATTAGCATTATATGCTACTAGATAGTCAATGTCTAGTTTCATCATGTCCAAAGGATCATTGAAATTCTTCAATAGCTCCTCCTCTCAGTTTTTCGTTTTTTGATTTTTCATCATTCTCGTTTTTATTTAAAGAACAAAGGTTGTTCCTTTTGGATATCTTTCCTCAAACCAATATAGTTTTCGTGCTCCTCTTATCGCATTCCAAGCCTTTCCTTCGTTTTTGGGACTTTTGCTAATTATAATTAACAAAAAAGGTCAAAACAAACAATTTAGATTAGAGAACATAAGAAAAACCTCAACTGAAAGAGTTCTAGGTAGGAAATCAAAAGAAGCATTAAAAATATAAATTAATTTTCCATTTCGATTAGCTAATTACTGGACATATTTTTATTTGTTCAATATAGTACAAGCATTTTTCATTTCCCCTGAATCTAAAAATATACTACCTTTCTACCTGCTATCATTTTTTTTTAATTACTTTCTGATCGTGTTACATTTTGGTATTGGAAACACCTATAAAATACAACAACATTTTTCTGTTCTGTTCAAGATTGTGAATTTGCCCGACTTTATATTTTAAGTTCTTCAGGACAGACTAAGAAAGAATTCAAATTTAAACACACATCCATACTATATCCTTTAAGCGGACTCAACTTAAAGAGTATCTACTGCAAAGTCGTTTTACATTAGAGAACTTATTTGTTTCTATTTGTAAAAGGCTATCAAATACAACAACTGCAAAAAAAAAATAAAATTGGAATTTCACTTCTCGTTTGTGTTTCCCATATTTCAAGTTTTAAGCATTCCCTACCGCGCATAATTCGCCAGGTCCCGCACTTGACGTCAAAATATAAGGTAAGCATATCTTTATCGCTCATTAATAATAGTGCAGTCATTATTATTATAAACTGAAATTCTTCTTTCCATTGAATTAACTTCATCGTAACTGAGATATTATTTTCAATTCAGTTATAGGAAAGATCAATTTCTTTTACAAATTCAAAGTTAGATAATACTCTTTCATGTTAATTGTTCGCATTGAATTTCTTCAAAATAATTCGGTATTTTTAATTTGATATTAACAATTAAGATACACTTAAGCTGTTGAAACTAACATAAAGATTTTCGTGATTCGTTGTTAGATTCACCATAATTCATTGAATACACTTGTTGCAAGTCTGAAATTTTGAGAAATAAATTGTTACAATAACGTAACGCAATCTTTTAGTTCGTATTTCTCATTCTTTTAACTTTTATTTTCGTTCTTCCTATTTTCAATTTCCTTTCGTTGCGCCTAAAACAATCAGTTCTGATAACTTAGTGCCTATTTTCTTTTATTTTCAAATTTTTTCTTTAGTATTATTTGCTTTAACCAACTTAGAAGCAAAACCTGACTATTTTTTTCCAATTTCTGATTAATCTCTTTTTTATTACTATTATTTCTCTTAATTTATCAGTTCAAAATCCAAAAAAAAAAAAAACACAATAATAAATTCAGCGACTATTATGGAGGGAATTAGATTAACGTCATACCAACCTGATAACAATTCCCAATTACAGCACAATTCTGGGCCACAAATAAGAATGCAGCAGATGCCAAACACCAACCAACTTCTGGGAAGACCAGAATATGAGTCTGTTAGGGTAGCTAATAACTACAATGAAAATGTTTCATTTGGCCAAATGGGTAGATCAGGTGCTCCTGATAACTACAGCCAACCTGGACTAATTCCAGCTGGTAATAATCGTTGGCTACCTTCTGTTAATGTAGCACCGCTGCCTGCACAGGCAATGTACATGCCAGGACAAGTACCACGCTACTCCGATCCTTTTGGACCTACCTACTTTCCTTACATGTATGGACACGACAAGTGGCCGTACAGGGTTGAAAGCGCATTCACTTCTGCATTACGCCTGATTATCAAAAACGGTACATCAAAAATCAAAATCAAAAATAAGAATTATGGACGTAACGAATTGATATCCATTTACATTAAATATCATACAGGTGAAACTCGTACTAAGAAGCAAATTTCTTCCCATATTCAAGTTTGGAAAAAGTCCATTTTGAACAAACTTTCTACTAACGTGAGATTAACTCCATTGGATAAAGAGATACTGGAATTGATTGAAAGAGGCCCTAATCAAACTGAAGACGCATTACGTCTGTTTTACAGTGTTTTCGAAAAAATTATCGAAGCTTGCCCAAAGGAAGATATTGAGGAGAACCCTAATGTGCTTTCAACTAGCAATGTGGTTAAGAAGGACCAGTATTACCAATCAGAAGACAGAAATGTGTCTTCTGGGCAGGAAATCAATAGTCCTCAAAGGTCTGTCAATAACTCCAATAGCTGTACACCACCTAAATCAAACTTGGATATCAAAAATATGGCCAACTCTGAGCCAATGAGTGCCTTAAGCAAGAACAGAACACGTAGTCCTTATGCTCATAGCTCTGAATACAGTGGAAATGATGTGGGTATAGAAGGTGATTCTAAAGTTGCCAGTATTTCTTATGTAAGCCCTGGCTACATGAAAGCAGTACAAGATAATAGCGCTTGGTCAAGTAACAATACCATTAGTCCACCTGGAACTACATCTAATTCAGTTTTTTCTTCTACACCAACTGATAGTACTACTTCTGTGTCAATTAATAACAGAGTTGCTGCACATACTCAAAAAGTTGAACGGGATTTTATTGATGCGTATGACAATCACTTGCCAAGCTCAAGAGATTTGAGAAAGGGTGCAGAGCCTTTCATTGCTGCTCTTCGTGATGATTTAGGTAGAGGTGCTGTTTACACGACTTATGCTGACAATAGCATGATTCAACAAGCACCTGCATATACCGTCATCTCACCACAAATTGGTTATCAACAGCAAACAAATGTTGCTGTTAGTCAGCCATTTGACCATCAACCGGATTACAATCGATCAAACACTTTGCCAGCTTATAAGGGTGTTCCTTATGATAACCTTTCTCAGCGTGTTGTATCAACTTCATATCCACCTGTGTCTAATCAATACCCTCAAACAAGTGCATATGCTACAGCTACCCAGCAACAACCTCAACAAATAGGCCAGCATGCTAATCTGACCCAGGGCCAATTTTACTCTGCACCTTTGCAATATACAGAAAGGAAGATTCAGCCAAACAATGGGTTTGGTATGAATAATACAACAGAAAACAGACAGTTAAATCCTTACGGAGCAGGATATAACGGTGCATCTTACCCTATTAATTCCTTGAAGCAAGAAGATGTACCGGCAAATAGATTGTCAATTTCACATCAGGGTTCATACCCTACTTCAAGTTTAAATGCTGTTCTAAACAAAAACAATTCAGGTAACTGAGTTTGCAGTTATGTTTACAAACAATAGCATATACTGTATGATTCTAGTCGTCCATATTGTTTTACTGGTTTGTGATTCTCTACAAAATGAGGTAGTACATCTGGTTTAACAAAATTAAGATGTAACCAGTTTTTACTAATTGAAGTAAGGAGGGGGACTCACATTTTAGCATTTATGCAAATTGTCAAAATGCTACTTGCATTGAGACTCCAATTAACGAGTAATATTTTATTCTCCTAGTTTTTTTTTTTTTTTTCAAAAATGCCATTACGAATCTTTTTGGTATCCATTTTTATTAATTTTCAGTTCCTGTAGAACCTGTTTTTTTATTTATTTTAAAAACTTTTTTCTCAAAAATGGTCTAGTTGTAAATGTTTGCGACAGCCATATACTATTGTACTTTATATATATAATTTTCAAATCATAAGCTTACTATTCAAATACTCAAATACTCTACCCTCTAACATTCAGTCACTCAACCATTCAAAACTTCCCCAATGATGGAATATAGGTAAATAATAACTGCTATTATTGCCTACTTGAGGTTCCTTTAGCATGTTTCTACTAGAATATGACTAAAAAATATAGATTTATTGATAGCGTTGGTTTTATATATAGTTAAGGTTTTACACGTATAGAACAAAGTAATTAAGAAAAAAATAAGAAGGCGGAATATGTAGATATGCATTATTTCTCGAGAACGAGTAGTAGAATGGAACAACATAGTTTTGTTTCGGTAACATTGTATGTACTTTTCTTTTGCGTGTATGAATTTGCCCAGACCTGGTGCAAGCCCATGGAAAATGATGTGATTCAAGAATAGTGAATTTAGCCATGACAAGTATAAAAACAACAAAAGATTTCAGCAATATTTAAATATCAAGATATAAGCAGGGCTAACGTACACTCGAGATTACTATATAACAGGAAGTCCTATGGTCTATTTAGTGAGCTTTGAACATAATTTTGGTGCGTTTATGTGCTCAATGAATCATTAAGAACTAAGCATCAAATATACAATAAGAACTTTGAGCGTATAGATATGTTGATATCATTTGAGGTAAACAATCAAAAGTCTAGTTGTTTGAGTAGTCTATAGATGTAACGATTCCCAAACATATCATCAAAACGGCAGATTCTCCTGTGTTAAAGTGCGCTTCTCCTGAGATTTATTTTTTTATTTTTCCTGAGAAATGTCGGGTGACTAACAGCCGACCGCGAGTGAAAAGCGATACTGGTCTATTGCAATAATGAATAAGATAATACATTTGACACAAGACATTATTTATGTTCTAACCTAAGAAACTGAGTTATATTCGTTAAGCATATAGGATATTTGGTGCAGTTTTTTATCATAGTGCCCTATTATCTAAAGCTTTTGCATAAGATCATAAAGCGTGTGGGTCGTTATTGTGGGTGTGGGTAATCAAAATTTACCGTAAACCTAACTTGTACTTTATTTGAGGATATTAACTTTCTGATAACAAAAGAAGCGAGTATAAGGTATGGAGCACTCTACTTTTGTAGTAAACGGGGAATGGATTTATTGCTCAGATGGAGAAAGTAAAGAAGATATAGGATATAAGAACGACAACCGAATCAAGGTTTGTGAAAAAAAAAGGAAAGCATACAGACATGCTTTATTTCCGCCTATTATAGCTGACCAGTTTAGGGAAGGTTCGGATATTTTCATTCCTTGGCTCCATGATAGCATAGCAGAGACGGGGTTAGATCTCTTTGGCATAGGTAACAATGACAATGAAATTACCTAAATTTCCTTATAAACGGATGAGAGACATACATATAGGTATGATATTCCGATAGTTTTGGAGGCTACCAGAACCTTCTTGGCCTTGGAATGTTATTCGCTATTCATTATTAGTGGTATTATGGTTTACCCCAGAAAGGATTTATCACGTGCTTTGTTCGTAACGTATTATACTCTGGGGGAAAAAATTTCAGCGATGAGCATCACTTCTGGCAAATTTGCAGTGTGGGACTAAGCTCAGATACCGCAGAGATTGTTATGTGATTGTAACTAGAGTTTTGAAGATTTCTCATGATAGCAGTATATCTCCATCAAGTTGAAGTTCACCTTCTGAATAGGAATCTATATTAGAGGTAAGAACAAGCAAAATAAAATACATATATCATGGCAAAATCACTAAGAGCTAGTAGTCATTTGAATGCTAAATCTGTTAAGAGGCAAGCAGTATTCCAGAAGATAGTTGATGCCAGGGAAAGTCGTATAGCAGAAAAGCTTAAGAATGAACTAATACAGCAAAAGTTGAAGGAACTAAGAGAAAAGGAAGGTGAAGATGCCATCATTGATGAAGACGCCATCATCGCTGAGATTGAAAACAAGCCCAAGAAGGATGCTGCTGAAAAGGTTAGTACCTCAGGCTGGAGAGATGCCAGACACCACCTTTACAAGAAGGCTAAGAAAATCAAGAAGTCAAAGAAGAAGGGCTCATTTACCAGATTCTGAATGGTGATCCAATTCTGGCGACTATTGTGTTTCTACTGAACCAATAAATTAGATAGTTTTGAGTTAATTAAACCGGGATAGCTCTACCAAATTATATTATGCGTTGATAATAGTGGGTGATCGCTCTTATATTTGGTCACTGAGCGCATTATTATGATAATTCTTTTGTACATTATTTATATATTGCAGTTATAAAGCATTATAATTTTAAATCTTCACTGCCATTACAATTACTGAAAAATGTTTTGTATCAAGAAAGCCGGATTTTATTATTAAACAGTATTGAAGTTGAGATGATATTAATTCCTCGAACTGCTTAGGCATTTATATTTTCAACAGTACCGGTAGCAATTTCAAATCATAGCGCTGGAAAGTAAGAATACAGTGATTATATTTATATTTAATACAAAATGAATTATGTGCTAACTTTTATGTATTTCAATACCAGATGAAATAATAATATTTAATATTGAGTCATTAAATGTGTAATGGTAATATTTTGCCTGAAAATATATGCAGTTAGCTTTAAAAATAGAAAAGTTACATTTCTATTACAGATGCGTTGATGATAATCAATCCTTGATTTTGAAGGCAGCAAGAAGAGCTTGATATATTAGATGCTAGATGGATCATTGTTCTTCATCACTACCTGTGTTAACAGTATAGTAGTCGTTTCATATGGTTGTTTTTCCCTTGGTCTTTGCTCGTCTTTCCCTTCTTAACCGACTTTGCATCATTGAGTAAGTCGCCCTCCTGATTATCGTTTCAAGAATGTTTTTATCATATTCAGGATATTTCACTCTGACGATATCATGTAACTGCTCAATGAGCTGTTTCCTAGTTTCTTTGTCGGTATCTCTTATCCATGTCTTGTAACCTAATGGATAGTGTAGCTCGTTTTGAAAAATGGATAATATATACTTTTCTCTTTCCAGCGCTTCTTGAGGTGAACTTAGATTTAGCTTTTTGGCCAAACCAACTGCTGAAAGTCTAGCATCACTGCATTTCTTTGGTTTTCCTTGGTCGGAGCTGGAGCTATCAGAAAAGTCTACTACTGAATCTCTTTTAACAGGCTTTCTTCTTTCATGCCTCTGTTCAGGAGATTCTTGAAGATTTTCCAATAAGATACTAGTAGTATTCATTGGACTATCATTCCTCAAGAAATCCAAGTTTGAAGTAGGTATAGTGTTGTTGAATTTAGCATTGTTAAGCAATGAGCTAAATGAAGAGCTATCTGCTGTGACGTCTTCAAATATATCTGTATCATTCAATAGAATGTTTTCGGTGGATTGAACGAACCCTTGCGCGTCGTCCAGCGGCGGCGTTATAGGAGTGTTCAATCTAAATATACCTTCTCCGTGAAGTTTTAAGTCATTCTTCAAAAAATTGTTGAGGAACTCAGTAGAAGTCAATGTAGCACAATTTATCGTCTCTGTGTTGCTTGTGATTTCATTGATTTCATTTTGGATAACCCCAGAACCGTTTAACAGCTCGTCGCTCCAGTTAAAATTGAAAAGATTACTCTTCGCCAACGGGGTCAATGGGCTATCGTTTCCGGACAACGATTCTGGTGATATGTCCTGTACTTTAGTCGATCCGGAGCTGTTTGTCGTTGACCTATTTAGCATATTCTTTGATATGCTGTTGTCATTGTTGTTGAAGGATGAGATGTCTGCCATAGCACTTCCGAATTTCAAATTTAAGTCACGTGCTTGAAACTCGTCCAGTACAGACTCGATGTTCTTTGCATTTTCCTGGTTGCTGAAAAAAGGGACAGCTAGCAGATCATTTGAATCAGCCGATGGTGCAGAGAAAGTAATAGAGACATCGTTATCTTGGCCAGATGTCACGTCTAGGTTAATGTCAAAAGAATATAAATCAGAAGTGAACATGGTGGATGGGAAATAAAAATTTACTGTGAAGTCTTGTCTTGTCTTGCGAAATCTTCCTATTGTTCTTGTATATAAGGCTATTATCGCTCTGCGTCTCAATGAATATAAAAGTATTCTCTGTGTTTTTTTTGTCACTGTTTCAATTAAGTAAAAAATTTATAATTAATCCTTAGGATGCAAGCAAATGTATTTGTTTTAATAATATTGCACTTGCTTTTTCTCTCAATTATCCGTCTTGTATAAAAATCTATTCTGTCTAACTTATTTATGTTACATATCACTAAGTTCTTTAAAAAAAAGAATATAGACGCCCGATTGGAAGCGTCAAAGAGAGACATTGCTATCATGACTATATATATTACTAATTTAAAAGATTCAATTTTTTTTTTTTATTCTCTCTGTCTTTGGTTTTAAAGTCAAATGAATTAAAATTGTTATTATGTTCAAAAGAATTGCTAGTTTTTCTTTCACTTTTCATCATAGTTTTTCTTCTCTTTTTGGGCTTTCGGTCAAAGCATATAGAGAAACGGCTGCACAAAGAGAGTCCCGCTAGAAGACTACTTTCCTTCTAAGATTTCTTTTAATGTTCAATCTTCGATCGGTTCTAGGCTCTCGTGTCCGTCTCACTTTGTGTGGGTCTCTTGTTTCGCTTGTTTCGCTTGTTTCGCCTGTCTCGCTTGTTCTCTCTCTTTATTCTCAGTGGAACCCAAATGCTACTGTGGAAAGATTCTAATCAACTATCTTCCTACTGCTCCAAGAGACTAGAGAGGCATGAAGAGAACTCCAAGATGTGCTTGTACGTGCAATTGTTAAAACCAGTTCTGAACAACTTGATCAATAGATTTTCTACTGCAGTGTATCTTAGCTGTTCTGGCTTCTCTCTCTCTCTCTTTCTCTTTCTCTCTGTGTGTGTGTGTGTGTGTGTGTGTGTGTTAGTGTCGCTCGCAATATCTCTCTCTGTTTAGTATCTAATCTCTAGTTTTTGGGAAGTCTAATGCACAGCTACCTGTCCTTCTGTGAGAGATAACATAGATTTATCCGAAGCAAGGTTTAAAAACCAGAAAAAAAGAAAAGAAATTAGTGTTGTAACAGTCTTCTAATCTTTTTAGCGGGTCAAAACAGAGGACTAGTTCCTTTCCCATTATCTATCGAGCCCCAAGGTAATTGTGTAGCACGAGAACAAATCACAATTGCATTTATTATCTCTCTGTGTTTGTGGGCACTGACTTTTGATGGGTTCTTGCACAGAGACCTGTGTGGGAAATCACTTCTACAATCTTCCCTGCTTGGTGTTCCAGGAATCTTTCCCTGCATTAGCAATCAAAAAAAGAGGGAAAACAAATATGTGCGTGTGCTGCAGTTTCTGTGGTTCGGAAAAATTATATTTTTATAGTTGTTCCCCCTCCCTTCCTCTAATGCTCCAGCTGCGTCTGTGGCAAAAAAAAGTTGCTAATACAATCTTCCTTAGTCGCACTGACTAAAAATCGTAGATTACAAATTTCCACAGAACGAGTGAAGGCTGCTATCACTTAACTGCATATCAGTCCTCGTCCCTTTATTCCAATGATTCCCTGAGATGTGAGAGAAGGACGAAGAGATTGGGAAAAAGAAAAAAAAAGGAAAGATAAAATAAAATAAAATAAAATACAAAATACAAGAAAGAGAGGGAAGTTTTGTTATCTACTGTACGACAGTTTCTTAGTTGGATTCCACTCTCCCTTAAAATATCTTTCTGCAATTGGCATCGTTTCAAGTTACAGATTTTCCTTATTCAATTTCCGTGGGAATATATCAACTGCAGAACTATTAAAGTCAATAAAAGAAAAGAAGATTAGAACGGAAAAACTCAAAATACAGATGAAAAGAAACAGAAAACTTGCTCTGGGGTGCACTACTGTCTGTGCAGAGCAAGGTAATGTTGGGAGAAAGGAGAGGGAAAAATTGAGAAATAAAAAAAAATAAAGGGCATGTGTATGAATGATCACGGACTACAGAAGCTGCTGCAGGGGGTCAATTATTTTATCAAATAGCTAGCTAAGAATATTGCGTAGAGGTCGGATAATTATATAAGCTGACAGCGACTGTTTTGTTTGTTTGTTTTGTTTTGATTCTGTTATTTCCGCTACGATCTTTAGTGAGGACGACTAAAAGAAAGAGCCAAAGGCTACACAGCCTGACTTCCCCTCTCTTTTCCCACTCTGCTGGTGTGTGTGTAAATTGTGCGTAGCAGGACTCCAAAAAAAAATATGTGAAAGACAATGTGAAATACATAATTGGAAAAGAAAAAGAAAAGGGGGGTGGAGTTGAGTTTTGATGTGTTCGTCAATTGAGTTACATGTCCGCACTACTGAAAAGTGACAGAAAATTGAATTGCAGTGTTGGAGTTTCAAGAAGCGTTTTGTGTCTCTTTATTACAGAAGTACGTGTGCTTGAAAGAAAAACTCCACGAAGAAAAGTTCGTACTACGAGCTGGAGACTAGTTTTTATTCATCGTTTTGAATATTCCACCACTAAGTTGGGGGGGGAAGGCGGGAGGAAAGAGAAGGCATAGTGACAAACTTCGTTCAGCGTTTCTTTTGAAAAAGTTACTGAGCTACTTATTGCTAATGCTTCGGACGGGTTCAAATTATCTCCATCGTCAAGTGCATTTATTTCGGGGTACCGGAAGAGAGTTGGAGCTACTAACGCTCAACCAGATTCTTTTTTCGTAACACTGAGTAATTCATATGAAACATATGGTAAATGGTATATCTTAGTCGACTTTACTATTAATGTTTCTTTCCTTTTTTGAAATTCAACTAGCAAGACCTATGACCACACCAGCGTCAAGCTGAAAACTACTGTAAAGAGAAAAAAGGAAAGACTAGCGTAGGAGTAGAACCAATCGTAAAAATAGCTATGACCCGCAAATTTCCTAATCTAGTAATACTGGGAGGTTATACTACTTTCCCGCGGTGTGGATTGACCATACCTGAGTCCTTTCCTGCTCCATTGTGTTTTTTCTGTCTGGATATTTACTGCACACACATCACTAGCCTGTGCCAAAGTAAATAAAAAAACAGTACACCACGTTATAAAGAAAAGATGAATACCACTTCACTACTTGCAATTGTGTGAGATCTCTTGCCATAAATTATTTCAACAAACTCGTTTTAAACTGGGTCATGGAGAAGCCCGTACTGTCCATTTGACGTGCCACAGAAGACACAGTACAAATGCTTAATGTTGAAACTCGCTTCTGTATGCCATATATGGTAAGAGCAGACCAGTCATACACTTCTACGTGGAAAAAACAAAACTTGCTCTCTGCTCACACTGTCATAGGCAAGAGAAAAAAGAAGAATGCTGGTCCATGGTGTTAGCCGTACTACACATTCACTATTGTACATATAACTGTCTCCAACTCAGATACTGTAAGAGGGGAGGCAGTTATAAAAAATTTAGCCTCTTTTCTTCTTTTTTCCTAAAAGAGAATCAGGTGAAGTTGATAAATAAATTGAGGGACCCCCCCCCCCCATGATTAAGGGACCACAGAATAGCTTGTATTTCAATTGTGACACTACTGGTCGAGATGATAAATTTCAGAGGAAGGTAAGCACAAGCACATTTTTCGGGATTAGTCCCTGAATCTCTTTGAGTCTCTCAATTTTCGGTCTCTATTACCATTATTTACGACGTGAAAAATAGTACTACTGGTGTTTCTGTTTTAAAGAGTTCCCTTTTTCTTTGATTACCATCTACGATTTTCGGTGGTTCCCTAAATTTGTAATGGAAAGGACCCTGACTGGTCAAGTTCCACTGAAGATGCGAGCAAAACAGAAATGGTCACTTTCACAGTATAACGTTAGCATGTATGGTGGCAGCTGCATGGGAGATCTTGGGAGGACCCGGTCCACGGAAAAATATTCAAAACAAGACCCCTGTGCTTTACTAGCATCCGCCAACATCTTTGGAACTCTCGCTAAGGTCACTGATATACCGCAGACCGTAAGAATTAAGGGGCATTCTTTTCTTGCTAGTGGTATTGGTATTGATACTAGTACTGGAGCTAATATTGGTTAGTGTATAGGGTGCAAATGCAAGAGAAGTTGGTGTTAACTGCTTCTGTGAAGGGCCGGAAAAACTCACTCTCCTATTATTCCACATTCATTGGGATACGTGATATAACCATCGAAAAGATCGAAAAGATCGAAAAGATCGAAGAGAGAAGACCTGGAAAAGCATTATTGGCTCAAAACTAGTTACTTAATTAGGAATATTAACAAGGTTAGTTTTCCATTCGAACTGTTAATCCCTCTAAAGTTAGTGGCTTTTACCCCCGCTATTTCTTGAAATGAAACTTTTTGGGCGATCATTTCCAAGAGTGCAATTGTCTGAATCACACATGCGATCTTTTCTTATTGTCGAATTTGGTTTTGTATGTTAACCTCTTTTTTGTTCAACGAGATTTACATTTGTGTCTGTACTCAACTCAACGATTGATATGCGATTTCCGTGCCCGGCCCACACTTTGCTGGCGATCACGCTTTGAAAGTCTAATTTGTATTGATGTTGATATGTATTTTTACTTGATGTAGAAAAGCAGGGCGTCTATAGTAGTTTCAGTGGTATTTTCAGTTTCTATTGGCCCCCCTTTTTTTTTTACTTGAATGATTGGGTAAGTACCATACCTTTCTCATTTTTCTTTTTGGATACAACTAAATTCTTCTTTGACATGTTCTTGTCAAGACTTAGAATGGCGTCAACATCTACAGGAACAGGCAAAAAAAAAGGAATGTAGAGCTTGCGATTAGGTAAGATATTTGTAAAAAAAACCAAAAATGAAAGCCCTTTTGCTAATTTTGCTAAGCAAGGCTCAAAGAATAGCCAATAGATTTGTAATTGTTGCAAGGTCAGTTATAGGTACCTCCTTGCAAAATCGACTCCTAATTGTGTAAGTATAGTGCCTCAATGCTGGAACAAACACGGGGTATATAAAATGTACATATCAAAATCGTAGACGGTCGGTTGCTTTTTTACAGGACTAGCTTCGAGATGCACTAGCATTGAATCTAATGGGCGATGGGCGATGGGCTATGGGCGATAGGTGATATACTTTCAAAAATGGGAGTGGGATTGTGATCACTCCATACACACTGGTGATCATATGATTAAATGGCTACGTGTCACCATAAATTTTCCCCTGCTGGATGAGATGGCCTTAGGAGAGTCATTCTGTAGGAAATGGCTGAGTACTTTCATCGTAAGGGGAGTCTCGGGGTGGAGAAAAATTGAAAAAATTCCGATGTTCAAAGGGTTTACCATATAATTGCAGGTAAGGATAGTTTGTTCATATGCATATAAGCCTTGTTCCTCCAAAAATTTATGTAATTTTTGTAAATCTGCGAGGGAAGAGAATAGTCTAGTATACCACAACCACAATACTTATTTATATAAGAAAGGTATTCTAGTACTTGGCCAATATTCCGGCATTTGACGACAGCATATTTTTTTTTGTACATACACCTCCCCACTCCCCCCCCTCCGACTAGCATCTAGCTAAGCTACTTTTTAATTTTGACGAATTCTAATACTTTGCTAAGAAAGCAATTTTTACGATACTGATTCTAAGGACATGTTTCTATTCATTCCATTAGTATGTGGCCTAAACAGCTGGGACAAGCCATACACAAAGGTTCAGACGGCTCCGCTATACTGTCCACACTGTCACAACTACAGTGTGCAGCCTGTTAAGCGTCGTCAATTCTTCAGTGTGTGGTTCATCCCCTTGGTACCGCTCCATGTTGGCAAGCAGCTCCATTGCAACATTTGTAACTGGAGACAGGACTTCCATTCGAAAGAACAACTAGAGAAGGTTATAGCTGAGCAAGGCAATATAAAAGCGTAGTGGAAAGAGATATATAGTAAAAATATAATGCAATATATATTGTGTAATGCTTTAAAAAAAAATGATTGAAAATCACTGTATTGCTCAAGAAGATAAAGACATGAACCCACTGCAATCATAGAAGAGTGTGATACCTACCGTTAGAACAACCAAAACGTTAAAAAACCAATTTTCTGAACTTTTTAAATTCCAGAACAGAACACATACAAGTGCACTCACAACGATAAGAATTATAGGTCACAACCATATCACACTTCACGTACCGTAATTCACTACCGAGAAATCGGATACATGCGAAGAATAGACGCCAATCGCTGTAGGATAATAAGTAATAGCATATCCCAACACGCGGCAATGTTTTACACAGCCTGGCTATAGCGGACTGCTAAACCGATAAACCTCCTTGAACCACCCGTCATCTCCTTTTTCCAAGAGCAAGTCTAACCAGATCCAAAAAGTAAATACTCGACGCTCATTGGCCAACTTTCCGATTCCCGAGAAATCCCGAAAGAAACCCCCAGTCCCGTAAAGCATCCACACACAACAACCCGCACAGATGAAGAGAAGAGAGCTAGCCCTCCCTTCTCAGCTCGTTATTCCGATCCTTCGCATCTTTCCCACAATTTCCACTTGAAATGCGGGGGGGGAGACCAGGAAGGGGGGGTTGGATGGCCATTAGAGGTAACGAGCACAGACCACAGACCACAGCGCACAGAACAGCCCTTTTTGATAAATTCGTCAAAGAGACGAATGAGAAGGCTCGAAATGGTTGGACAGATAGGTAAGGAGTATCGCACAGAAGATAGCGGAGAAAACGGTCCTCGCGAATGAAATAGCTGGCAAAATCAAGTGGGAACCCCCCCAGTGGGAACCCCCCAGTGGGAAACTCGTGAAAGCTTGTGCAAAACTTGTGAAAACTTGTGGAAAACTGAAAAAAAAAACTCAAATTTTTTCTTTGCTCGATCAGTGGAAACCTATAAATACCCTTAAGTCAGTTCTAAATCCGAAAATCCAAGAAAAAAAAACTTCCCTTGCGAGCGTTAAGTCTTAAATAATAGGGCTAAGCTAATTATTACTTCTCTCTCTCTTTAAAGGACAAAACAAACCAGAAAAGACAACACTTTGTCAAGGACTTCTTTTCGAACTTACTTCAAAGAAAAGAAAATAAAAATACTAATATAATATTCCTACACATACATATAACAGAATGTCTGAAACTAAGAAGCCTCAATCCAACTTCGCCATCGATTTCTTGATGGGTGGTGTTTCCGCTGCCGTTGCTAAGACAGCTGCTTCTCCTATCGAGAGAGTCAAGTTGTTGATCCAAAACCAAGATGAAATGATCAAGCAAGGTTCTCTAGACCACCGTTACAAGGGTATTGTCGACTGTTTCCAAAGAACTGCCAGACAAGAAGGTATCATCTCTTTCTGGAGAGGTAACACCGCTAACGTTATCCGTTACTTCCCAACCCAAGCTTTGAACTTCGCCTTCAAGGATCAAATCAAGGCCATGTTCGGTTTCAAGAAGGAAGAAGGTTACGCCAAGTGGTTCGCTGGTAACTTGGCCTCCGGTGGTATTGCTGGTGGTTTGTCCCTAATGTTCGTCTACTCCTTGGATTACGCCAGAACCAGATTGGCTGCCGATGCCAAGTCCTCTAAGAAGGGTGGTGAAAGACAATTCAACGGTTTGGTCGATGTCTACAAGAAGACTATCGCTTCTGATGGTGTCGCCGGTTTGTACAGAGGTTTCTTGCCATCCGTCATCGGTATCGTTGTCTACAGAGGTTTGTACTTCGGTCTATACGACTCCTGTAAGCCATTGCTATTGACTGGTTCTCTAGAAGGTTCTTTCATCGCCTCTTTCTTGTTGGGTTGGGTTGTTACCACTGGTGCTTCCACCGCTTCTTACCCATTGGATACCGTTAGAAGAAGAATGATGATGACCTCCGGTCAAGCCGTTAAGTACAAGGGTGCCATGGACTGTCTACAAAAGATTGTTGCTGCCGAAGGTGTCTCCTCCTTGTTCAAGGGTTGTGGTGCTAACATCTTGAGAGGTGTCGCCGGTGCCGGTGTCATCTCCTTGTATGACCAATTGCAAATGATCCTATTCGGTAAGAAGTTCAAATAATCTTACTAACCTAGCGTCTACCAATAATCAATAAAATTCAACAGCATCCAGGAAAACAACAACAACTAGACAGTTTATGGTCATCTTTAAATTGATGCACCGCAAATGTGTGCTGTTGCTTTTTCTCGTTAATTTTATTCTGATTTTTTTTTCTACTCCAAACGATTTTTTTTAATTATACTTTTGATTTCATATTCCAGAGATTTTTCTTAACAACCAACATCAATTCCCGGAATTGGATCGGGTTTAACTAATAATAGCAACTTACACCTAACTGTTTTATTCATGTGAATATCTCATTTCTTTTCATTTTAATTGTGCTTGCAGTTAATATCATTAATATGCAACCACTGAGACTCAAGGAATTTTTACTCACATAAAACTTCTTAACCATAGGTTACTATTAGGAGCTAATTAAACCGATAAACAAATATTAGTGTTGTTTTTATTCTGAGGACCGGCCCTTAACTTAATGTCATTGAGCGTGCTCCTTGTATTCAAGACACTACTATCCGTTTTTTCATGGGCTTAGTTAGTTTCTTCCGTACATATTTAACCAGAACGTCTGCAAATATATATCACAATTCAGCTTGTACATTCGTTGTTTTGTTCTTATTCATATGTCCTTTTGATATCTAGTTGTATTATTTGAATTTATATTAAAATGATGAATATACGATGTAAAAAATGAGGCAAGTATACACTTTGCATCAATGCTTGCTTGGGAACGTCCTATGTTTATCACCAACTACACTAGAGAGCCCTGTTATGGTTCTGCTCTTTGGTAACTGCTTCCGGTTCTGTTGGTCAAATGCCATCGAGTTGGATCGTGACATAGTAGTCTGCTTATATAACCTCTCGAATACATTACTAGAGCTGTCCGAAATCGATCTCTGCTCGGGTATCTTCGGCGGGGCAGGCGATTTCCTAGGTAATTGGATTGAAATAGATCTTTTTGTGTAGTCCTGCCGTACTGCCTCTTTAACAGCAGGGATTGCTCTGGATGTTGGCGGCAGCAAGTTCCCATAGGTTCGTCTACTGGATTCAACTTTATGAGATGTATCCTTGGCTCGGTTCATGGAATTGAAAGTAGGTCGAAGAAAATTAGGCGTCTTTAATGGAGCAAGCTCAGTTTTCTGCTCAACATTGCTTGCATTTGTAGTGCGCTTCTCAGGCGAACCACCGCTGGAAGACAGATTCGATGACGATCTTAACTTGAGTCTTCTTATCTTTTTGGTAATTTCATTGACCTCTGGAACACGCTTGATCGGGCTGTACTTATATTTCTTCTTGTGCAATGGATCGTTATGTATCGTAAAATCTGGGTCTTTATCTGTTAGGTTCTCAAAATTTAAGTTGTGCACTTTGTTGAATACAAGATTATGTGCTGTGGGAGTAGATTCTGCCGGTCTTTCCTCCTCATTATCAGTATCCTCATGTTTCCTTAGTAGCGGGTTGGTTTCGGATGCTCTCTGGTTTAGTTCATCCAGTATTGAATTACCTAGTCTCTTTGAGATGCCCAACTGTTCGATGATCTCGTTTGAATCATTCTCATTCATGGCACAATGGCTTCTCTTTTGTCAAAGGGGTCCAAGATTTGTCAATGGCTTGACAGTAATGTATTCAAGGATTAGACACAGTGAAATCTGGTTTATATCAATATCTTGCTATTAATTGCATTGTATATATGTAGATATGTAGGGCTCAGTATTACTTTTTCAAAAAATTTCCTTTGATCTGGATCAAATAGCAATAATGATCGGTTCATTAAAAAAAAGATAGTCATCTTGTTGAATATCATGGAACAACACTAATTGAGTGAGATTGGCAATTTATATCAACATTAAATTTGTTTGGACTATAGATATCCCTTATACTATTGAAGAATGGAATGTTTGATCTTTAATTTATGTGAGTGATTTAATAAAATTAGCCTCTTAGTTCAGGTTGCAAACCCAGAGGGCTACCACATCAGTGGATACATGCACAGTTATGATTTTCTTTTTATATGTATATTTACAAAAGTATCTTGACTTTTTTTGGCCTATACCAAAGGCTCAATTGATCATTGGGATTTGTGTAGAGATTAAATTTAGTTTCCAATATTTTATAAACTATTTATTAAAGATACACAATGTAGGTAGAGCCTTCAAATGAATGATCTGCCAGGGATGACATAATATATATAGATGTAGAAAAGATGTGTGTTGTGGAGTAAAGTAAAGTGAGAATAATGCTACAACAAAACAGGCGAGAAATAAAAGCAAAGAAGCAGGACTATACCTCAAGCAGATTCGTTGTTCTCAGACAAGTTTCTCAACCTTTCCTTACGTCTTTCGATTTCGGTTGCCAAGTTTCTTTGCAGCATAGATTCAGCCAAGTTTACAGATCTAGACGAAGAGCCGATAATGGTGAATTTTCTTAATCTACCGTCGTCTTCTTCCATATCGTTTTCATCTTCGTGTTCGTTATCAAGATCGTTTGGTCTTGATTCCATTAGGATCTTGGTCTTTGTAAACTTTCTCAAGTTAGCCAATCTGTTACCTTTCTTACCGGCCAAAGCACCAACATAGGATTCTGGGATCATCACTGTGGCTGTGTATTCCTGAGAGTTAGCAGAGTTTCCTACGCTACCGTTGTTGCTGCTGCTGTTAGTGTTATTTCTTTGCAAGTGAGGGTAGTATTTTCTCTCGAATCTTTTCCTTCCTGTGGATTCACCGTTGTTATTTTCAGCTCTAGCTTTTTCCTCTTCTTCTTCTTCTTTGGCAATGATCTCGCAGATATCTAGTAGCACTTGCTTAATGGCGGAAGGCACACCTTGGATCTCCAGCATTCTCTCTGTGCTGTCAGGCAAGAAGGCACGGGACGCGACCAGCTTGACACCGTGCTTCTCTATCAATGATTTGATCTGGTTACCACCTTTACCTATGATGGAGGACAACTGGGAGTTGAACACGAGCAGTCTCAAGTAGCCTATATTCTGCAATTGCTCGTGCAGGGCCTCCTCAGATGCCTCTGGGTCGGTAGCTTTCAAGTCGTCCAAGGTTGGCACAGGCAACAGGTGGTTCAAAAAGTAGAAATGGTGGTTGTCTGTCTCTTCCTCGTTCTCGCTGGGCTTGTTCAGCAATGTAACGACATCGCCTAGCGCGCTGCACACGTCCTCGACCTCGCCGGAGCAAGTCAGGACACGGTCAGAGCAGCCAGGCACTTTCTCGCTGATGCCGATCTTGACGTTGTTGTTGTTATCACGCACAGACTGGATGGAGTTACCTTGGGTGCCGATAACTTTGGCGGCCTCTTTCAAAGACAGCAGAATTCTGTGGCTCACGGGCATTGTGTTATGGTCTTGAGTTGTTTTTCTTCTTGTTATTAATTGCTTATTATGAAATTCTATTTGCAATTGATATTTATGTATTGTTTATTTCTCTTAACTTGCAGTATTTTATATTTTTTTTCATTCAAGTTTTTTTCCCGAGTTGTGGGAAGTCCCAGAAGGGGCGAAGGGTGGTGGTAGTGTAGGATCTGCTTGCTTCAAGGATACGCATATAAATATTTGTGGTTGTATTTACTAATAAAAATATAGATATACTACATATCAGTATATCTATACATATATGCAATGGTCCCATCACAGGGACACACCTCTTCTAGTAGTTGCCTAGTGCCACTATATAGCTCAATCTTGGTTGTATACACAGTACCGTAATACGTAAATGTAACACGTGTATTTACGTCTCTAGCTATACGTACAGTGATACACACCACATGATCTCCACGTCAAACATTACCTGTATAACTCACTCTATACGAACCATTACACAATTCCATCCTGGACGTATCCAGCGACAGGAGGAAGACCGGGAGCGATGGGAGCGAGACGGGAGCGAGACGGTGGAATTTGATAGTGTTTTTCGGCACCACACAGAGAGATACAGAGACACACAGAGAGATACAGGCAGGCAGGGAGAGGGAGTGACACCCCTTTTAATTTTCGGGCTCGGGATGTCCTCTTCGGATTGGTGAGAGCCATGTCATTCCTTAGAAAGGGGTGTAGTGGTGTAGTGGTGGGTGTTGGCTGGGGGGGGGTGTGGAGAGAGATTGCCGTGGGGCGGGATATACTTAGTAATCCGTTATGTAAATCTGAACCCACAAGGGAAGAAGTGCTAGTATAAATAGTAAACAGCATTCTTTTAACCGTAGTTCTTACTTTACCAAACCAAATACATAAGAACCAAATTAAAAACACAAAAAACCAAGTTCAAATTCAAATTCAAATTCAATACAACAAATGTCCCTTCCAGTTGTGCAGTGCATTGCCAGAGCTAGAATTCCTACCACGCATGGTCCAGATATCTTTCTGCACTTGTACACCAATGACCGCGACAACAAGGAGCATCTTGCCATAGTGTTCGGGGAGGATATACGGTCGCGCACTTTGTTTCGCCAGTACCCTGGCGAAACGCAGCAGGACCGTATGGTGCGCGGTGCCTATGTCGGGAAGCTATACCCGGGGAGAACTGTCGCTGATGTCGACGAGAGGCTTGGGTTCAGGCTGGAGTTTGATGCCGAGGGCAACCTGCTGACCAACAGCGCCACCACCTGGAGCGAGGAGAACGACACGCTGGTGCGTATACACTCAGAGTGCTACACCGGTGAGACTGCGTGGTCCGCCCGTTGCGATTGCGGTGAGCAGTTCGACAGAGCAGGGAAGCTGATCTCCCTGGATGAGGAGCCAGAGACACACATCAAAGGTGGCTGCGGACACGGTGTGATAGTGTACCTGAGACAAGAGGGCCGTGGTATCGGCCTGAGCGAGAAGCTGAAGGCTTACAACTTGCAGGACTTGGGCGCAGACACCGTGCAGGCTAACCTGATGCTGAAACACCCAGCAGATGCGCGCGACTTCGGTATCGGAAGAGCCATCCTGATAGACCTGGGCATCAAGAACGTCAGATTGCTGACCAACAACCCAGACAAAATACAGCAGGTCTCTTACAAGGACCAACTAAGGTGCGTCGAAAGAGTACCCATGATCCCGATCCACTGGACCGACGAAAGTAAAGGTATCGACTCAAAGGAAATCGAAGGATACCTAAGGACTAAGATAGAGAGAATGGGCCACCTGCTACAGAAACCTCTAAACTTGCACACCCCTCAAGAGCAAGAAACAATATGATACAGTAAAGATCTTTACACAGAATAGACAATTTCCAGCATAACTGTTCTTTCGCTAATAAGAGAAGAACGAAGCCATTTTCTTTTTATTTCCTTCTTTTCGTTTTGTATTTATCACACACTTATTCATTCCCTTTTATAAACATATATATATGTTATAATGTAAATTTAACGACGTTTCCCCCCATTAGCTTTCCTTTTTTTAGACTAATATTGTTTGCTTTTACTGTTTATACTATTGTGAATTTTGTCATGCCTTTAAGGCTGATCATTCCGCTTTCTTTTGTTGTGTTTTTGTGCAAACGCGATGAGCTTTCCTACTAAAGAAAATGAAAATAGTAAAGTTACTACTGACTAACACTCGAATCACAGTTGTAGACTTCACGTTGGATAGGAAGACTCAGTGATTACTCTGATATATAACCTGAAGGACAGGTATTACACAGTCCAGTACCATTATCATCCGTTATAGTACTCAATTTATCTGTGTTAGAGTCCAAATTTGAGAGTTGTTGGTGTTTACTACTTCAAAATAGTATTTTGCAAGACCCAAATGCCCCTCAATACTGGCATAAATGCTGATGAATTGCCTACCTTGTTTGCAAAATATAATGAGTTAAGTACAGAAGATAAATTAGAGCTCTTGACAAGTTTCAAAGGTCATGTCAAGAAAGAGCTCGTGGATGCTAGTGCGATTGAATTATACTTTCGGGTATTGTTGGACACAGATACAGAGATACCAGAGTCTGATGCTGTAGATGAGAATTCAAGCAAGCTGTCACAATTGAAGCACTCTTCACTCTGCTACCTGATCAAGCGTGTGACTATGCAGGCGCCATCCATATTTCACGATTCAAATATGGTCAATCGCATAATACTTTACTTACTATTGCATGCACCTAGTGATACAGCACCACAATCATTAGAGAGAAAGAAATTCTGGGTTCCGTCTATAAAAGCTATAGAATCCGTTTACCAAATATCATCAAGCCAAGTTATCAAATGTTTATCTGGTGCACTAGAAGAAATACCGTCAGATGGTTCTATAAGTAATGAGAAAAAGTGGCAAAATTATCGGAATATCGTCTCAGCCACAATTGAAATTACAAAAGATAGCGGAAGTAGTGCATTAAAGGATTTCCTTCCTGTGATTGCAAGAACTCTTCATCAAGATGATGCAAACGAATCATTGAGCAAGGAAATCCAAATAACCACAGAATTAGTAGCTGATCTATGGATTACTGAAGTGAAGAAGCCGTCTATACCCATACAAACCGTTGATTTCAAAGACTTCAGAGTACGACAGTACTTTCAGACGCTTATAGATAAAAAAAAAAGTGATGCCAACACACCAGACTCGATTAAAAGCCTAGACTCTAAAGATACATCATTCAATGCAATATTTGATGTGGAATCAGAATTATCAGCCCTTATAAATGAATCGATACCCCCAAACTTCAATGATAGTTATGCCAATGCAAATAGAGCTCATAGCTCAGTCATAATATATGAAACTCAGTCTCATTTCCGTGCTGATTTTGAAAAACTGCTAATACCATTTAGAGACTCAAAAGAAACTGAACAGAATTGGAAATCAAGACAAACAAATGTATATCAGTTTAGAGCTTTAATTGCTGCGAACAATAATGAAGAATCTATATTAAAAAGGGATCCCGACGGCGTAATTGAGACTTTAAAAGATATTCAATTTATAGAAATGATATCTAAGGCGGTCCACTCTCTAAGGACTACATTATCTTTTGCAAGCTGTTTACTGCTAAGAGATGTTTTGAATGCATTTAGCTCTTCGCTTTCAAATTATATGATCGAATCCATATTTAATGTGTTCAAAACTCTACTTTCATCAACAAAGAAGATATCATCACAAATTGCATTTCATTGTATTGTGATATTACTTTCGAATCTAACTTCATTTAATAACAAGCAGTTCCAGAACAGCTTTGTGTTGATTAATAGCAAACACATTTTTTCAAGGCAATCATCGTGCCTATTTCTTAGAGTTTTTATTATTAAATTTGCTAATGATAGTAAATTTGATTCCAATACTGTTTATATAGAGGAGTGGTTGAAAAAGGGACTAACTGATCCACAAACATCTGTGCGTGAGACTATGAGATTGACATTTTGGTATTATTATAAATGCTATGAGAAATCAGCCAAGAGAGTGATGAGTAATGGTATTACCCCTCAGCTTAAAAAGGCCATTGAGTTGGCAATTCCGCCACATTTAAATGTTAACTATCATCAACATACCTCATTGTCAAGTTCATCCTCGACAAATTCATCCAGAAGATCAAGCCTGGTCGGTCAGAGACGTTTTCCTAGTTATGCTCAGCCGACACAATCCTCTACACATTTGCGCAATCAAAGCACATCAACAGCTTCAAATATGAGATCGGCTAGTGCAATTAGTACGCGTGATAGTGTGTTGAACAAGAACTCGGTATCTGGTTATCAAAATACAACAAATATAAGAAAAATTAGTACTCCTCTGCCAACATCTAATGCAAAATTTGTTGCAGATTCCTCCACACATACTATTAATTTAGACGGATCTTTCAGTCAGAAAGTACATAACGGTATTGATATTGATTTAAGTGAGGAAATTCGGTCCTTAGAATCGCATACAAATAAAAAAAAGCATATGGGAAACGCATTGCAGGATCATGATAACAATCAGAAATCAGCACATGATTGTGATGGTTCCAGTACAGATAATCAGATTCTTTTGAGATTGCGTAGATTGGCAGATAAGTACAACAATAATTCAAATCTAACTGCAGAGGAGATGAATAGCTTTTTAATTGAGTTTTTAGAGTATGCTTCAAAAAATAGTCCAAAATCTGATGCTATAGACAAATTTATTAAGCCATTGAGAGGAATTATGATTGCACTCCCGAGCCAAACTAAAAAGTTGATGAGATCTGATTGGTTTATGAGAAATTTTAAACTGACATATTTAATTGAATTGTGTGCAATTAATGAAACGAGTATCAGTAGTTTGATGGAAGCGAAGAGTGATATATTATCGTTACTAAAGTGTTGTACCGAAATACTAAATAACCTGGAAATTTCGAATGCTGATGAGGGAAAGAATGATGAAAATTCAATTGGTGGTTTAACTACGCTATCCTTATACTATCTGAAATTCAGAAGAATATTTTACAACTACTGTTTTTCAGTGGTCAAAGAGATCATTGCAGGGAAGAAACTGCAAATTGGATCATCCACACCTATTATTCAGAACTTAATTGAAGTGTTCTGTAAGATAAACGGAAAAGATTATGATTCTAGTCTTTATTATGACGTCTTATATTCGATTTACAAATTTGACCGCGGTATTTTTATTGCGCATCTGAAAGAAATGCCATTGTTCCCTACTGTTTTCAAAGTATGTAATGAGTTGAAGGAAAGACACAGCGACTTTGTATTTAATGAGATACTGGAGGAAGCAGAGTCACAAGTAAATGGTATTACGAAGGAAATATCTGTTGGAGCTCAGTCAAATAAGGAAGATGAATATAAGCAATATATGGAAATGACAATGGTGAATCCATTTGCAAAGAAACAAGATGAAAGAATCCCAAGTACCGGTAGTGTTGTTCACAATCCAGATATGGTTACAGCATTTGGTGATAATTCTACAGTGGAGAATTCTAATGATAAGAAAAGACCGTATTCTGATGATACAGAAAATATTTCACTAGGTAATGATACAATGAGATTGACTGAGATGACTAAGATTGTATTTCCTTCTCTTCAAGCTACAAAAAAAATGAAAACTCCCAGTTCTGAGGAGAAGATTAATAAGAGCATAGAAATTTCTGATCTCTTTCAAGATAAAGAGGCCACTGAGAAACCAGAGAAACTACTGTCGGATAATGCTAATTCATCAATTGCTTCCAATAATACTATAGCAACTGTAAATGATAGTCCTTCTGTTGAGGTTAAAGTAGAAGAGTTGAAAAAAAGTCCGACAAATACTATAAATATAAACTATGAGAAGGATGGTGATTCTCGTGATATTCCCATTGTTTCGCTGGGAAGTGAATCGTTGAACAGCCAGTTGACCGAGATTAAGGATGATCTTACTGATAGTGTAAGTGAAATCGACTTGAAACCTGATATGCTACAAATGTCGGTAACATGTAGTCCAGCGATACTGTTAGAGTATTATGCTTTATTATTTAAGTCGGAAGGGGCAGGTAAGGACTGTGATGCGGATCTGTCCAGGTTGAAGAAATCGTTACAACGTATTAAGACTAAGGGCTTCACTATCAAACATATCGACCAGATTATTAAACCACTCCTTTTTTTGGAAAGTAATGAGCCTTTGAAAGTGTGGTTAGAGGACGGTGGAGGTTATCAGGACTTGTTAGATTTGGTTGCAATGATCCTACAATCACTGGGTGAGTCAGATCAATTGCCTTTGAAACTGATAGGAAAGTCAATGGCTCTTTTATTTTCACTAATAGCCTTCATACCACTTTTGAAAGACAGTGCATCATTAAGATCGATGTCTCTACAGACTATTTGGGAAAATATTGTTACAATAGTTGGAAATTTAAACGTTCAAGAATCAGAAATATATGGCTACTTTGCGGAAGTAAGAAATCAATTGGTGAAGCAGGGCTTCTTTGATAGTAAATCCATCACCCGCATGCTCAACATATTGATGGTGGAGATTGATGATGAAAAGGTCACAAAGAAGATATTTTTGATAGAAACTATGAAAGAGATCATCAGATCCAAACCACCGTGGACCGATAAGACTTACAGACTAATGGAAATTGTTCAAACGTTGGCTTACTTAATTGAAAGCAAGACAAGTACAGTCCGTAAAGCTTGTTTCGAGTGCCTGATCCTTATTTTTCAATTGTCAAATGGCAAGTCTAAATCTTTCAAGCAGGAGGTGGTTGAGTTGTTCCAATGCATACCAGATAATGTAAATAAGTTGATTGAGCATTACTGCAGTTTCATCTGATCACTCATCACTTCCCACATCCTGACACGAAACGCGTCAACTAAATTTTTTTCTGATTTTCCACATGGAGCTGCCCAGACATCGAAAATAAGAACGCATAAGGCGATGAGCTAGCAATAATTTACTTAACTTGCATGTCATTTATACCATTGTAGTTGCCAATTATATAGTCTGAAATTGATTTTTATCTGTATTTTGGTTAATAAGCATCAAGAACTTGCAGATTTTTAGCAGTAATAGAGAAACAAGCCTGAATTAATAGCATAAAACACTCCCAGAGATGACTGTGGATGGTGAGCTAATTACACAATTTGGTCCAGAAGCTAGAGAAGCCTCTATAGCTTCAATATTGGAGAGTTTAATGAAATTACATTCGCTGGATGTAGAAGAATTATACATTAGATGGGAACAATTTTCATACCAACGTCATGAAAAGCAAACTGATCTTAACCTGAAGAATTTGGATTCATTCAAAGAATTTTTACAGCAGCAAATAGAAAAGAAAGCATTACAAGTTTCATCTGCTAGTAGAAAAACTGGACCAATGAAAAAAAACAAAGTAGTTAGAGGGTCGACCAATAATTCGGCATTTGGCTTTAGTATTCCAAATACTCCCACTATAAAGAAAAGAAAACTACAAGTAAGCTCAAGTACTAAGAAGGAGAATGGTCACGAGAACAGCTTGCATTTCTCTGAAGGTACTTCCGTCGAAAGAACACAACAACTGGGGTCTTCTCCACTTCTAAATTCTGATGCAAATAGAGATGTGGGGGTCAGTACACCTATTAAGTTGAGAGAGTCTGGTAAAATCTTAGACTCGCTGAACCCTGAAAATATTGAAATTGCTGGGGGTATTGACCCCAATGTTGAAACAGCAACAAAAGTTTCTATTGCACCTTACTTTGATGCCAAAAAATATAAATTCAGGACAATGAGACAAAAAATACAGGATGCTGCCGATGTGTTGGATGAGCAAATTGAAGCATTTCATGAATTGATCAAGGGTCATTATAAGCTAAGTACAACAGACTTTGCTGATCCAACTGTACAGTCGCAATCTGAAATCTATGCAATTGGTAGAGTTGTTCCAGATTCCGCGCTATCTGAAGGTTTCCCGAATATAGATGCAATTGCTCTAGAAACATCAAGAAATCAAGGTATTGGTAGAAGAATACGGCTTGACCTCGAACATGTATCAGAAACCTCACTATTTTTAGGCCAAATTGTTGCTATTAAGGGTAAAAATGCAACTGGTGAATATTTCAAGGTAGAGGAAGTTTTATCTCTCCCTTATCCTGATTCCCCTGTCTCTACTGCAAATGAGATTCAGGAAGTACAACTGTCCATGGATAATGCGCCCATGAAAGCTGTTATTACGGCGGGTCCTTACACAGCTGATGACAAATGGGATTTTTCGATACTATCAGATTTTGTTGATCGAATCAATAGCGATATTAAACCACACACCATAGTAATGTTTGGCCCATTTTTGGATATTACTCAATCATGTATCAAGGAGGCAAATATTCCTCAATTTCCAAATATGAAAACTCAGCCAAAGACTCTAGATGAAGTCTTCTATAAAGTTGTTGTACCAATACTGAAAAGAATTGATTCAAATATTCAGGTTGTCCTTTTACCATCAACTAGGGATGTGTTGTCCCGGCACGCCGCCTATCCTCAAGATTCATTTGACAGAAAAATGCTCCAGTTACCTAGAAATTTTAAGTGCTTTCCAAATCCTTCGACCTTTCAACTTAATGAAGTCTTTGTTGGTTGCTCAAATGTAGATATATATAAGGATATGAAGGAGATAACTAAGGGTGGTTCTACCTCGATGAGAAATAGATTTGATAGAGTTTCAGAGCATGTGCTACAGCAACGTCGTTATTATCCAGTTTTCCCTGGTGGTCTAAAGAAATCACTGAAATTCAAAGATAAAACAGGTAAAAACATATACGAGCATATTTCTGGTGCCGATTTAGATGTGCCATATTTACCGCTGACAGAATTTGTGGGAGGTTTTGCCCCTGATATCATTGTGATACCTAGTGAATTGCAGCATTTTGCCAGGGTTGTCAGAAATGTCGTTTTCATAAATCCAGGTAGATTTGTTCTTGCTAAGGGTGTAAATGGAACCTTTGTTCAGTTAACAGTAAATTGTCCAGATATAGAATCTGGTGACTTGACCAGAATTGAAGATGATGAACCGACTTTCTTGCATAATGTCTGGAAACGCTCCAGGGTAGATATTCTAACCAGCTGAGTGTTCGATTATAGTAATTCTGTATTTTTAAATAACTAAGTTTATGCTCATAGTTTAAATTTACATAACTGTCTATATGAAGTTTTTGATGCATTGTTTGCACGGTTAACATATATACAATCCTATCCTGATTTTATATGTTATAATTTCTTCTTCAATTTATGTAGTAGGCCTTTCTTCTTCTTGTGTGAACTGTTACTTGTTGAACTTTGACGGTTTACACCGGCACGGTCAGAGCTGTAGGCTTCTGACATATTGGAAGAAGTCATACTATTTTGTCCTGAGTTAGATATGCGTGAATCAGGTCTTGAATACCTCCTTGAAGCTGGAGTTATTGGCTTAGCTGCGGGTTGATAGTCCCTGCCAAATTGTTGTGTTGCCGCAGGAGGTTGCAGAGATCTATGTGAACTAATATGACGGATACCATTGGCATTCAGAGATGTCTTGGCTTGTCTCTCGGTTTCATCGTTATTAGCGTGTACTGGAACATTGTACAGTGCAGTAGAGGCTGCTGCTGCTGCTAGGGGCACATCAGAATGCAAGTTGCCGGAGATGTTCGATGATTTCACCATTGTAGGGTCAATATTTTCCTTTTGTGGCATGGTGGAGTTTGAGCTTTCAGATTGCTTAACTTTCTCGTTGATAGACATACTGTTTTTGTCATGGGCAATACCATTTGCAGGGGTCATGTTGCTCGTTTTATTTGTGTTGCTTGGTGTTTTGTTAGTTCTGGAATCATAATTTTTCGATGTTGGAATTGTATCTGGTAATGTTGCACCTGCAACACTATCATCATCTATTGCGGGAACATTTGTAGATGTTGAGCCACTAAAAGTTGCTGGTGATTCATTATCTCTCTTCATTGTAGATTGTTTTGAGGGAGTTGGTATTGAGTTCAAGGTGGTGTCTTTTATTTCATCAGTAACGCCCGGTGACACTGATTTGTCTTTTGCGTCGGAATTCTTGCTTTGGAATACATCAGTGACATTTGGGACGGGTAGTGATTCATTTGGTTCAGGTGTGACATCGGCCATAGCTTTGAAAGTTTTTGTTTGTTCAATAACTTCAGATAAGTCGATACTTCCTTTATGCATGGTCTTTACCTCTCTAGGACTTTTTGCAGGAGGAACAAATCCTCTAAAATGGGGTGCTTCAGTCGATTGCAAGAAAGACGAGATAAAAATGTATCCTACAATGGATACATGCTCAATAAAAATCGAGAACAACAGCAAAGATGTCCATGAAAAAGAAAATGGCGAACTTGCATACCATAAATCACGTTTCTCTAGTACAGTTTCTTTACCAACACCGGGGATATTGCAATTTATGTACATGTAAGTTATGGTTGGACCTACTATCACACTCAACCATGTGATGATTTCTAATAGCACATTCCAAGAATCAGTCGATAGCTCTTTTTCTGCATCTTCTTCTTCTTCCAAATATTCACTTAAGATTGGCAGGTATTTTGGTTTACATTTTTTCAGAGCCCTCCACATATCAGCTTTGTAAGTTAGCACATTAAAAAACACAGAAAGCGAAGGTGCCAATGGCCACAGGACAGAAAACATGGCAACAAAACCAAACTGAATAATAACTTTCCTATAATTTTCATCCACGTCGAATTCACCCCATGGGCCAGTACTGTAAGATCCCACCTTTTTCCATCTTTTCAATTCAGCTGGATACTCTTCTCTTACTATATCAATATTGGCAATAGAAGATCTCTTTTCATTCTTTTCGGCGACTTTTGATTGCACAATTGGCATAACCTTACCAATAATTGTTGGTACAATGTTGTCTAGAGCGAAGGCAACAATTTGGTTTGTCACCATAAAGTAAAATATTTGGTTTTTGTACCTAGTGGTGTTAATCTTGAAGTCATCATTTCTAGTTTGTAAATGGTGACTGTTAGCCCATGACACAACGCTGGTCTTGATAGTAGAGTTGAACTTGTAACCGAAAGGTAGATATAAGAATAAAGTAATTAACAAAGGTGTGTAATTCACGAAGAACAATAGTACAAAATTTTTTTCCATTTTGGATCTCTTTGGGTTAGGACCATTTTCCCATGCAATGAATCTCTCGACGAAGAACTTGTTGTATAGCATATTTATGATGTTTGTTAGTACAGCAAGTAGAACGGTTGGAATCAACGAAGTCACTGAAGCCAATGGACCAGCATATAACTGAGTGAAGAAGATTTCAATTGCAAAGCAGGTCAATTGGCAGGTAATTAATGTTAATGCAAAGACTACAGCAATTGGGGCAAAGGCTATCTTCTTTAGGAGTAAGTTCGATGGGGTCTCAAAGTTTGTACTTTGTTTTGAGAATAAAGTGCTAAAGGTCTGAGATTTGATGAATATCTTGTTATAGTAAGGTTTCTTTTTAAAGATCCAAAAAGCACTAAAAGTGATGGACCAGATGAGCAAGGCACCAGAGTAGTATGGGTTAAATTCCCATGGATTGTTACCGCTAGTGTAGCGAACGAAGAGTCCAAAGAAAGCCATTGGTAGCAGCCATTTAATATAATGTCTAAAAAATGAAAAGTACAGCGCCTGTTCAGCATCTCCTGTTAGATTGAACAGTTCAATTAAGTCTGCATCCATAGGTAGTGAAAGGTATTGGCCTTTCACGTTTTTCTTGTATAGGGTATCAACTCTCTTGGTTGTTTCGTTGTCATAGATCGGGAAGATATTGATAATAGAAGGTATAGTAGCTTTCAAATTGTGGAAGCAGCTGTGTATATCCTCGTATCTGGTAGGATCAATCCTGGTGAACGCAAATAAAGAGGTCTTATCGCTGCCGGGTCTAGTGACAACAGGCATGCCTTTCAAGTTCAGTTCGCTAACCAATTGCGTGACATTTTGTTCGGTATTTTGAAACACTATTACACAGTTGGGATCCAACTGCTCTAATGATTCAACCATTATTGACTAAAAATAAAGCTGTCTTTTGAAAAATTTCAGGGGGGGGCAGGCAGTCTTCTCAATATAACTTAATCAAGTTGGAAAGCTCTGATTTATTATAGGTAAGGAACCAATAAGTTTTCTTAAGTATAGTATTAATATATTAAAATATGTTTTCGAATAATCCTCTCACCCAATCGCTATCGATGAAAGCCTGGCGGGTATTCCAAAGTTAATGAATTGAAAAAGGATTAAAAGAAATTTGAAAAACTTGCTATCCGTGATTCTATCTGTCGTCAACAACACCGCAGATACTTTTAAAATCAAAGGAAAGCTAACCAATTGTTGCAAGTACTGTGTCCTTTGGCCAAGACTGTGTTACAGAAGACCCCCCCATTGTTAAGAGCTAACTTATTAGCTTCCCTATTTATAATAATTTTTCAGCGAGAAAACGTTTGGGCCCTTTGTTTTGCCAAACTTTCATCCCACTTCACTGTCAGAGTGGAAGTTACTATGGCGTGAAATGTGATATAAAACAAACCAGTAATAAGCCAAGTCACTAAGCATCTCTTTGAGCAATTACTATAAATCACAAGAGTGGTTTCTTGGTGGCCTACTATTGCGGTTGATGGATCCTGTTAGCTGTATGGCATTATGAGAGGAGTTGCCATGTAGGTTTGATCACTATGTGCAGTATATAGATCGTATAGCTTGTTAGAGTTATGTGGGCAGAGTCACTGCTAACGTTTTATCCTTTCGCAGGTTAAGCAAGCTCAATTGGTAATTGAATCACTGACACATTCCAGGGCTGCTTTTTAGGTTTGCATGGCTACTGCTACAGGAAAGTTTAAAATGCGTTGTGATATCCCATATATTGGCTGATTTCTTACTCCGTTTGCTTTGAGATGTCCCTAAGGCGAGCTCTCTATACAGTTATGTCCGGTGTTGCTAAGCGTGAAGTTGCGTATGACAGTGTTAGACAGAAACAACTGGTGTCTCAATTTCTAGAAGTTGAGAACCGAGTTCAAAGTGAAGTAAATGGGTCTAAGTCTGTGTTGCTTCTGGCTGTCTCCAAATTGAAACCCGCCAGTGATGTTCAGATATTGTATGATCACGGTGTCAGGGATTTCGGTGAAAACTATGTCCAAGAGCTGATTGAGAAGGCTGAACTATTGCCCACTGATATCAGGTGGCATTTTATCGGTGGGTTACAGACCAATAAATGTAAGGACTTAGCTAAGGTACCCAACCTGTTCTCTGTTGAAACAGTGGATTCATTGAAGAAGGCAAAAAAGTTGAACGAGGCTAGAGGTAAATACCAGCCAGATGCCAATGCAATTTCCTGTAACATTCAAATCAACACATCACAAGAGGATCAGAAATCAGGTTTGGTCGATGAGGATGAGGTATATGAGATTGTCAAGTTCTTCCTGTCAGAAGATGCCAAGTTTGTTAAACTGAATGGTTTAATGACCATTGGTTCTTGGGAAGTATCGCATGAGGAAGGAGAAGAAAATAAGGATTTCAGTAAGCTAGTTGAATGGAAATCTAAGATCGATTCCAAGTTTGGTACCGATTTGAAATTATCTATGGGTATGAGTGCTGATTTCAAACAAGCTATTAGGCAAGGAACTTCTGAAGTAAGAATTGGAACAGATATATTTGGCACCAGGCCTCCAAAAAATGAGGCAAGAATATTGTAAGTTAGCCAATTACCTAAATAACAACTGCATGCCACAAAAATATATAAAAATTAATGCATAAAACAATATATAATATTAAATGTTTGTAAAGTTGGTATATTATGGTTCTACCAAATTTTACAGGGATTTTATCTTTACCCCAAGCCAGTTAAAGTTACAGTGCCTTTAGATTATGCAAAAGCGGCAAGTTTTATGCAAGAAGCAATATTTGTAGCTAACCCGGAGCCTATGGTAGCCCTGCACGTTAGAGTGAAATATTCCTCATCTTCACAACTTACTCTTATTAAGCAACCGTAGTTTCCATCAGTTTTTGTATGGATTATGCCAGCAAAGAATAGAGAGTTGGGAAGGTTGGACTGTTCAACAATGTCAAAACCCATTCTTTTTAATATAAGAGATACTTGTAGAATACTTTCCTCTTGACTATGTGAGATATTTTTGATTGACTTCAACCTCAGTTTGGTTATGATGCATTCACCCTCTGTGCCCAAAGCATCGCCGAGAGCTTTCCATCTTGAGAAGAATTGGGCTAGAGTTAATTGTTGTTTTGGTGCTTCTGTTGTTCTCAGAGTCGAGTTCAAACCAACTCCTAGTTTCAGGTTGATAGTGTTTGTACTAGCACCACATTTAAAAAATATCGAAATGATCGGACTGTATTCAGCATTGAATTGTCTTCTTATTATTATATCCAAGGTTTGTTCAGTCCTTCTTCTAGGAGCGATGTCCAAAGCAGATAATAAAGAAATTTCCTGAACAACATATTCAGGATTACTATCTGTACGGAAAGGTATTATGTTTGTAGAAAAATTGGTCATATCCCATTCCGATTCGTTGATAAACGTCAGCGATATTTTTTGTTGATAAGGTTCTTCTGGTGATGGGTAGTCAAGTCTGTATAAAATTTTAAGCAATGATGAAGAAAATAGAATTCCTCTTTTAAAGGAAAGCATTCTCGAAAATCCATCTCTCCAACTTGCTGCTAAAATTTGCGAGTTATACAATTCTTCTTGTGTGACCATATTTTTACCATTTTCAGTGACTGAAGTATCAGTTGAAGTTGGTTGTGTAAATGGGTTAGATGAATCTTTAGAAGATGGATTTGATGTTAAGGCTTCTATTGTTAAGTCATTATCAGACGTTTGCAGTAAGCCCAGCCTCTTTAAAAGAGGGTTAGTTGACGAATTAAATGGTGGGATTGGATGAAATAGAATATTAATTAAGTTGGGGTTATTCTCCATTCTTGCTATTCTTAGAATGTTTAAATATTCGTATGATCTACTTTGCAATTCAATGTCTAAAGAACTGAGCTCCATTTGATAAATTTTGACAGCCCCAGTGTATATTGAGTCAGAACACCTGTATAATTTCATTACAGTAGTTAAAATCATTGCTTTTGTGAAATTTGTTACAGTAAAGTATTTGGTAGTGAAAATGTTAAACAGGTCAGCAACTGAGATTAAATCAGTTATTTGATCGATAAACTCGCCAAATAGAAAAGCCCCTGTTTTAATGAGTGGTTCTGACGTTTGTGAGTTTTTGAAGTAATATAGCAGCTGCTCGCATGCAGTTCTTTGAAGAGCAGGGTTGTTGACTACAATTTGACAAAGTCTTTGCCATATTTCATCGTCGTTGATTGATGTTAGAGAGGTGAAGGAAAGCAATTTCAGAGAAACTGTAACAAACCAGTTTGAGTCAGTTGCATATTTTTCACTCAAAACAGCTATTTTAACCGCAATGTCAGATTTTAGGTTGGGATCGGCCAATTGTTTTGACGAGGTTATATATTGTAGTAGATCATCCACTGTTTTCTTTACATTGGATGAATCAGTGAAAATGTACAGTAAGTCGGCCAGCTTTCTGATAATTGAAGCATCTCTTTCATCGTAAAGAAGCTGGGAGATCATATCTAAGTTTTGTAACCTAACAGCATTCATAGCTGATGTTCCCAGCACGGAACATAGTTTAATTAAAGAGTCTAAGGCAAGATACCTTATGTTTATTTGACTAGATGAAAGCAGTTTGCATAATGCAGTTACGGAATCGGTAATTGCGTCATCAGATGGATCAAGCTTGGGAGCAAAATTAATCAACGAGAACAAGATGGTATTTTGAACAATTCTTTCCATTGGATCACTAAATGAACGTTCACCCAGCTGAATTGCTTGTGAAATACATGTCCTCAAGGTGTTTAATATTTCTTTGTTCATTGTGCTTGTATGTAGTAGATGATCATTCTGAGCAGATGACTTTTCATTCGAAGATATTATTAACATGTTTAGTAACGAAACCGTTTTAGTTATTATCCATGGATTTGGCATATTAGCGAATCTGAAATCTAACTGTGGATTGTCAATATTTGAGGAGCTTTCATTCATTAGACAGCTATACAATGTCTGTGTTAATTGAGGTACCAGTCTAGTACATGCAGCGGGATCGACGTGTACCGCAATGTATTCTATCAGTGGAAGTGAAGCCAAAGTCAATCTGTAATTGTCCCTATTATCCAAAAGACTTAATATTCTCTGGATCCATATTTGTTTTCTTTGTGGCTCATTGGTTAAAATAGCATTGTTTTTCTTCAGTAATGTAAGAAATGCTAGTGATGATTTCTTCTTCAGGTTCATTGATGATGTTGGCGATCTCAAAATTTGAAATACTTCTGCTACAATATCTTCATCGTTTGATAATGTTTTGGATAAAGAGCCGACTATACCAACACAATTTAAGGCCAAAGACACAAAGTTCTCGTCATTACTTCTAAGATCAAGAAGTATCTGATATTGTAATGCGTCGTTAATCTTGTCCATAACAGTTTTATGCTCATACAGAAGCTCAATTGTCATATATGCAATAAATTTCTCAGAATAAACAGAAGACTGTATTAACTCCATAGTTTGATCCAGTCCAAAAATAATATCATTTAATTTCGATGTGTTTGACGTTATGTATATATAAGCCAATTTCGCGATGTACTTCTTTCTTTGATAGCCACCTTGTTTATCTTGTCCCTTAGACTGTTTCTGATGTTGGGTATCGAAGTTCTGTTTTATTTTTGTAATCTCTGACTGTATTCTCCTCTCCTGATCTTGCAGATGAGGTGCCGACCGAAGGTCGGCAATAAACAATTGCAGTCCCTTTATGGAGCTACTACCATTGTTAGATGTACCAACAAATGTCTTCTTCCTATCCATGGCTTATCTTTGACAATGAAATGCAAAGCCCTTATGGATGTAGGTCTCTTGATTTTTGGGCCCGGCTAATATTATTGTTGATCTTTTTATCTACTTAGTACTCAGAGGGAAGAGATCAATATTCAGAAATATCTAGTATATTCCATCAGTTGTATGAAAAAGATCACGGCAATGAAGTAAGAGTGTCAACTACCTATCTAGACCCCCAAAATACTTTCACGTAAACTTTGCCCTTTTTTCGTTGTTATTTGATCCGAAAGTTATCCAAATTTCATTATTTTTTCGATTTCTAGCTAAAGTCGTGCCTCAGTCGGAGATATGAGCTTCAATTAGAAAATGATTAAATGATTAGAAGTATGAAATATAAGTCATTGTGAGCAATAAAAAAGATAGTACTTTTAGTATACACATGTAGTTATTTACTATTTGGCCTTTTTCTGGATAAAAAGATTTATTCCTCTTCCATAGTTTATATACATGATATTTTAAGATTCTGTTCGTTGGAATAGTTATATGAAGAATATTGGTATTTGTCCATTCTGTGGTGTGCTGAAAATAATTAACATTATAATTTTCTTCTTAGCGTCCTCTGTACAATTTATACTCTGGTTCTTGAGATTTCAAGACATTCAGATACTTCTTTGTAGGTTTTTGTTCCTGTTCTTTGAAATGATCCACTTTTGGATCATGTTCGGGGTTCTTAAAGCTATGTAGGCCCACTCTAGTCAAAGATTTCCTAGAGACAAACTCATAGACACCCGGTAGCTTAGTACCTGCCTTTCTAAACGCCTCTCTGGCAACCCTTTCATGTAAATTGTCGCCAGCCATTTCAAACAGGATCTTGCCAGTAGGGACACGTACCATCCAGTGGTCAAAAGCACCTTTACCTTTACCCATTCTAGTCTCGTTACCTTTAATACACACGGCAATGTTGGTACACAGCCTTCTCCACAGCTGACCATTGTTCAAGGGTCTCACGTACCGCATAATCGCATTGTCGGCCTCCTTCAACTGCTCCGCGGTGAGTCGCACACCCTCGCTTTTCAAACGTATACCATATTGTCCAAACTGCAGAGTAGACCCTTTCACAGATCCACCTGTACGCACTGGAACCCGCCCTTTCTGCTTCTTCTGTTGCTCTTTGTACCGAGGCGCATACTCATGCGAATAACGCACACCAAACCGCAAGGGCATAAACCGAGACACAGTTCTCAACATCGCACTTGTTAGTTCCTATTCGTCCCCGTTTTAAGCTTGCATATAGACACCAGCAGACCACTAAACCTCTTACAACCTCATATATGCTAATCTTCAAATCCAACTGCGTCTGAATTGAGAGAAAGGATTGAAAGTGCATTTTCTACGTTCACCATCGTGATTTCTACGTTCCGGCTGATGTTCCTGGAAAATTTTGCCAAAAAAAAAAATTCGAAGCTCATCGCGTTGGCAATCATAGCGATGGGCATCGCATATTAGTGCATAAATGAATGTGTCAGGTATAAGTTTCGCAGGGTCGATCAGGTCTTGGAAGGTATATCAAAGCAACAAGACAGTGAAAACAAGATGAAGTACGTTGTTGTATCTGGTGGTGTTATCTCCGGTATTGGTAAAGGTGTTTTGGCATCTTCTACAGGTATGCTTTTGAAGACTTTGGGTTTGAAAGTTACCTCTATCAAGATTGATCCATACATGAACATCGATGCTGGTACCATGTCTCCATTGGAGCACGGTGAATGTTTTGTTCTTAACGATGGTGGTGAAACTGATCTGGATCTGGGTAACTACGAGCGTTACTTGAACGTTACTTTGACCAAGGACCACAACATCACCACTGGTAAGATTTACTCCCATGTTATTGCCAAAGAGCGTAAGGGTGACTATTTGGGTAAGACTGTCCAGATTGTGCCACACTTGACCAACGCTATTCAAGAGTGGATCGAGCGTGTCTCCAGAATTCCAGTTGACAACACCGGTATGGAACCAGATGTCTGTATTATCGAACTTGGTGGTACCGTTGGTGACATTGAGAGTGCTCCTTTTGTTGAAGCCTTGAGACAATTCCAATTCAGAGTCGGTAAGGAAAATTTTGCATTGATCCATGTCTCATTGGTTCCAGTTATCCACGGTGAGCAAAAGACTAAGCCAACCCAGGCTGCTATCAAGGACTTGAGATCTCTTGGTTTAGTCCCAGATATGATTGCTTGTAGATGTTCTGAAACTTTGGAGAAAGGTGTAATTGAAAAGATTGCCATGTTCTGTCATGTTGGTGCGGATCAAGTTGTTAATGTCCATGATGTCAACTCCACATACCACGTTCCTCTACTACTGTTGGAGCAAAAGATGATCAACTACCTACATCAAAGACTACAGTTACAAGAAATTACTCTAAGTTCTGAGGATATTCAAAGAGGTGAAAACTTGTTGAGTAAATGGAAATCAATGACCGGTAACTTTGACAGCTCCATGGAAACTGTCAAGATTGCTCTAGTTGGTAAATACACCAACTTGAAGGACTCATATCTGTCTGTTATTAAGGCTCTAGAGCATTCTTCAATGAAATGTCGCCGTAAGTTGGAAATCATGTGGGTCGAAGCCACTGATCTAGAACCTGAAACACAAGACACTGAAAAGGCCAAATTCCATGAAGCATGGAACAAAGTCAGCACAGCTGATGGTATATTAGTCCCTGGTGGTTTTGGTTCCAGAGGTACTGAAGGTATGATGCTAGCATCAAGATGGGCTCGTGAAAACCATATCCCATTCTTAGGTGTCTGTTTAGGTCTTCAAATTGCCACTATAGAGTTCGCTAGAAACGTTTTGGGAGTCAAGGAAGGTAATTCTGCTGAATTTTTCCCTGAATTGGATGAAAGCAACCAAGTTGTTGTCTTTATGCCTGAAATAGACAAGGAAACTATGGGTGGTTCCATGAGATTGGGTTTGAGACCTACATATTTCCAACAAGGCACTGAATGGTGTGCTATTAAGAAACTATACGGTAGCGCTGAATCCGTTGAAGAGAGACATCGTCATCGTTACGAAATCAACCCTAACTTCATTGAACGTTTGGAAGAGCATGGTTTGATGTTTGTCGGTAGAGATGAAACTAACAAGCGTTGTGAAATTTTCGAAATGAAGGATCACCCATTCTTTGTTGCTACCCAATACCATCCTGAATACACTTCCAAGGTCTTGGATCCTTCAAAGCCTTTCTTGGGTCTTGTTGCTGCATCTTCCGGTATCTTAGATGATGTTATTGCTGGAAAATATGAATTCAATGGTGATGGTAAGTCTGATTTCTAAATAATACTAGATGAAGCAGTCTTTTAGTATAAAAATTTTCAATCTCGATGGTATTGCATTTCCCATTTCTGCAAGATAACTATTTGACAGTCACAATAAGGAAAAGCTCGCAATGAAAGGATAGACTCAACTGTACATTATTATATTCCCTCATATTAAGGATGAGACAATGAAACTAAGTTGCAAAATACATACTCTTAGGTTAAAAGCATCTCATATTTCTTATATACTACATACTCAGATTTAATAATAGCCCGAGACCGAATCTTTGCGCATTGGTCGACATCTCAGGGCTAGGCATTTGCGCACACTTTATAAATTCAAAAACATATGAATTTCATGATTAAATTGATTCAAGCATTATGTTATAGATATAAAAGCTATTTTAATTGATTGAATATATTATTGTGACTATGAATATTTATAAATTTTTTTATTTGTGTCGTATATATGTCGTGCATATCGGCGACCCAGGGGGCATAGATGTAAAACAGTATGTAATGAACAAAACATTAAAAATAAACAAAAATACCAGAAGTGTTGTCAGAGTATGTATTATAGATAACAGATCAATGTGGGTTCTTCTTCTTTTCATCCAGATCATTATCTAATGTTGGCCCGGGAAGAAACATAAGATAAACAGTACTTGTGAATATCATACCTGTGAATAACCACATCAATATGGATTCTGGTTTACGTACTACTTTCTGGAAAAAATCTATCACTGGGTTATTCTGAAAAAACCCCATAACTGTTTATAACTGGCAGTAATATATATCAATAATGACTTAGCATTGCTATTTTATTGTCGCAATGGAATATACTCTTATATTCAGAAATACATATCCTTTTGATAAATTTAAAGGGAGTTTTATGATTGAATAAAATGTGTAAGATGACAAATATGTAAGATATGACAAAGTTCTATAAAATACTTAATCGTTGCATTTTTCCTTGTATAATTGACATCAGAATAACTGTAGAAGAGATTTTAATTGAAGTTTGAAGACATATGAACCTTGGTAAGGCAACATCAGCACATTCGTCACATTCAAAAATTGGAGCAGATGATGACCCGAAGATCTTCTTACGGGCAGGTTATCTTGACCTTTGTTAATAACTCAGGAATGAAACATACTAGTAGAGAGATTTATCTAATGTGCTGTGCAGAAGAAATCAAGAGTTAATGTTGCATCGGATATCAAAAATACAATACCACTATATACTTTGAATATAGATATATATGACTTCATAACAATGAACGACATAACAGTGAACACATGACGAGAGAAAACAAGAGAAATCAGGTTCTATTCTTCGATGAACAAAATTTGAAGAAATTTAAAGTCAAAGTGGAACAATGATTTGCAAATGGTATAAGAAGAAGCAGGTGTCAATTGAGTCTGAAGTAGCTAATCCTGGTTATAAAAGTGCACCATTTAAAAGAAAAGCATTTCTACTGTTGCCTTTATTGAGGGAAGCCGCAGAAAGATAACAATATTAGAGTTTCAGAATTGGTATTAAATCGGAAAATAAGGTAAATTGATTAAAAATGAATATCTTCAGGTTGTTAGCAGATTTAACACACATTGCTAGTATACTTATCTTGATTCAAACTATCAAGAAGACTAGCTCCATTAGTGGTATTTCCATAAAGACACAAGTTCTGTATGCTTTGGTGTTTGTATGCAGATACTTAGACCTGCTCACTTTCCATTATAAATCATTCTATTTGACAGTAATGAAGATTTTTTTCATTACTTCATCGGTATACACTGTTTATCTACTGTCTACATTCAAACAAAAAAACCCAATAGCATACCAGGAGATGATAATGGCAGATGCATTCAAGGTACAATATTTGCTGGCTCCTTGCTTGGTTTTGGCCTTTGTATTCAATCATGGATTTGACTTTTTGTCCTTGAACAAAAGCTTCTCTATGTGGCTAGAAAGTGTCTCCATTATGCCACAATTATTCATGCTTTCTAAGAGCGGAAAAGCAACAGCACTAACGACTCATTACATTTTTGCTTTGGGTCTTTATAGAGCTTTGTATATTCCAAACTGGATTTGGAGATATTTCTATGAGGATAGGTTTGATAAATTGGCCTTTGTCACCGGCTTTGTTCAAACGTTAGTCTATTCGGATTTCTTCTACATTTATTACAAGAAAATTGTCAAGGGTCTTGGCTTCAGATTACCAAAATAAACTGATATGTTTTGGCTTGCAATCTCCAAATTTACGTCCAGAACGTTCTTGTAATTACATTAGAAAAATATAGACCTTAAAAATCTGTGTATTTTATAAAGGATTGGATAACAAACGCTTAATAAGATGTTAAATGCGCGCATGACTTAAATGTTATTGCAAATTTATAATACATTTATGGTACACATTTTCTCAAAACAGTCAAAATCATTATAGTATATTATTGAGGATTTCAAGAGTTTATATATCATATAATAATTATAATCATTCAATCTCTCTTTAGCTCGAAAAATTCTGTCCTCACACCTTCCTTAGTGACAATTAAGATCTCTAATCCGTCACCAACGTGTATATGTCTCTCTGTAGCTGATGTGAAAGCATCCCTAACCAATTTGATAACTTCTTCTAGACTCAAGTACTTTAACTCCCTCTTTACTTTACCATCTGTACCAGGCACATATTGGTTCTTGAAGTTGACCTGATTATCAAGGAATGGCATGATCAATGATGCAGCTGCACCACCAGCTCTACATTGCTCTCTTTCATAGGATCCAACTGGGTCGAAAGAGTACACAGCACCTTTACCTTCATCATCTAGACCTGCTATAATAGTATGCACATAATAAGGGAAGAATCTTTTACCGTACAGAAGATGTTGAATATTTCTGGCTGCAGAACTTATAGAAAGTTTCTTGTCATTGTGGTCAAAATGATACCATTTAATACTGTTTTTAAATCTCTTAACCAGCGCTTCACCATCCGCAGCAAATCCATTCGCTGACATGATTATATTGTCACCACAGTCAAACACCTTGGGCTCATAACGAGAATTGATAGAGTAATCAGTAGTGTGTCTCGTGTCTCCCGCCAGAACAGCAAAATCTTCTCCAGCTATACCTAGAATTGTACCACCATTGTCGGAATATGGATTAAATCTGTGTTCAATTGGTACATTGCTAGTATCCGTTGAGTACTCTGATGACACTGTAGTTGCCATTCTTAATTGTGTATATATGTTTCTTTGTATTGATCTGATAGACCTCTAGATTTTATGCAATTGGGCCCCCAATTCACGCACGTATCTGAATGTTAATTATTGAAGGATTGTTATATAGGGTATTGCTTCTTTGCCACTGTGTATCTTTCTTTGGAAGGGAGAGTTCCTCAGCGTTGGAAAAAAAATTGGGAATCTACTCGTATATAATATACAAAAGTCACATGACAAGATTTCCATTACTATAATATCAAAAGTACTTAATGGTGTGAGGAATATGTTGAAAGGTAAGGTGTGTTAAACAATAGAACACTTTCAGATCAATTTTTGGTTTTAAAATTAATGAAGATATTGATATTTCTTTCTGTCGTTTGTCGTTCATATTTTGTGCAGATTATTATTGCAACACTGAACATTTTGGGCGCGGATAATTATACTCAATGGAGATTCCCGAGGTTAATTAGCATTCCAATTGTGAGAATGACTTAGAGTCATATTCAAGGTCGTATATCCTAAAGGGAAGATTAGACTCTTGTGCTATGTTATCAAGAATTAAGATACTGAAGCTCTATTATTTTCTTATCTTTCAAAATGAAGTCCAGGAAAAGAGGATATACATTCAGAATGCACGTTCGGACACCTGCGGATCTACAAAATGAGACTAACTGATATAATCATTATTCTAGCACTGGGTGTACATCACAGACGGCATATAGTGATCGGGAGAACCCTATCGCGTGGTTACTCCTTTTCGCTAGTGATATATCCGACGGGGCGTTTCCTTCACAACTAATGGTTTTTTATTTGGTGTCGATACAGATTCTTTGGTGTATGTAAAATGTCATAGGGACATTTTGCACATTTCAGCCCAAGTTGATGACAAATCTGAAGAAAAGCATTTACGCCGTGGAAATAATTTTTCTTTCACCTTTTGTACAAGGAACTGGAATTGTAACCAAAAAAAACCAGCTATAATATCGGAAAAGCAGTGCTATCCCGTTTTGCTTTTCTACCTCTATCTGATAGTAGCACTCTTTACAATACGTAATCTAAGGAAACCTATTTATGTAACAGATCATGATGACCACAAATAACGTAGAAGAAGGCTTTCTGACAGTCTTGTCGCGTAATCCACCTCACCATGAACTCTTCACTCACACAACTTGAACGCTCAGCTCTATAAAGCATATACTGAAAGATCACTTAGGCTAGTCCTTCCGGAAGATATTGTGCAGTGCCGGTGGTATCCGAACGCAAAATATACGGAAGGGCTGTTAAACTTAGAGTTCTGGTGTTTCTTTTATATTTTTACTGCGCTAGTACTAGCTGTTCTGTGCGTTTGTTTGCTTTCAAAGTACTGCCTTTTGGTTTTTGCTTCTTAGCCATATTTGAGATTATGAACCAAAGACAAACTCAAGTGCGGGGGGAGGCCCTGTACCTTGTCTACGCTGGCCTATTGCCAATTGTAATTTAGCTGTCAATGTCGCGTGGCACAATTCAGCATATCTTTATCTCACATCTTTGAAAAGAAAAGCGAGTGGAAGTAAGATCTTCTACTGGCGATTCTGCAGGTGTTGCAGTACTTTCGGAAGAATAACTCCCATTATAACTACTATACCAAGACTATTCTCTACGGTGGTTTATGTACCCCTCACTTACCATTCTGGAAAAAAAAGTAAAAAATCCTTTCTCTTTCTCCATGAAGTCAAAATTGCTTTTTTGTTTTATTGTTCCGAACCCAAGCATTTCGCTCAGATTTCTCCCATAAACTCCCGAACAAGGAACCCTTCAAGGGGGAGTTTAGGAGCACTTTTCCGAAAGTGCAAAAAATCAGTGAAAGTGCAGTAGAAAGTGTCTTGTTTTCTTGCGTAGTAGTAATGAGTAAGGAATGCAATTGGTACGACAGTTTGTTCATCAATGGATAAGTGCCACTGAGAAACTTACGCACACCCCTCGTTTCCATATAAATTTATGTGTCAGATCTTCAGTTAACAAACTTTCTTTCTTTTTTTTCTCATTCTCTCTTATAATGCTTCTCTCTACTCAAAAAGCGGCAGGCTTCTTTCTAAGTAGCAAGAATATGTAATGGGATGTGTTTTCTTTCTTTTTGTATTTGCTCTCTACGGTTATAATTACATATGAGCTCTACAGCCCTAGCTTCCAGTACCCCCGTCGCCCAATTCTCTATTGCACAAAGGCGATCGGAGCGTGAATATAGCAAGCAAGCAAGTTGAAAACTAGGGACAAATGTGAAATTTTTCATTGCCCAGGATTCTCTTGTTTCTTTTGCGATGTGATGGCCCTAAACTACCCATTGTCGCGGTGATAACATGCAACAGATTTGTTGGCACCTTTTAGAAAGAATAGCTATTTGTCCTGATAAGAAAAGGTTATTTGTCTCCATTATGTAGCTTATGAATAGCATTACTGGATATTTGTCCTTGGAAAAACTTTTATTGAAAACTTTTCTCCAACGGAGGAATGGTATTGATCAGAAATCCTATCTTGTATATTTCTTTTACTATATAATACATTACATTTTGCTCCCATGGTCTTTGAATTTATTTCTGTTTCCAATATCCTATCTTCAATTCTTACTATTCTCTTGTATATAGCCTTAACTAGACTGTAACCAAAAAACCAACTAGTCCTCGGAATAAATAATAATACTTGAAAAGAAAAAAAATCTAACCACTGCAAGCTTTTTTTTTTTAGAGTATTAATACTTTTATTCCAAGAATTCATATTTTGACAAATAACATTATAGAAACCAAAACATGCGTGACGTTTCTACTTCCGAGGAGAATCAATACAGCACTCTCACTAGCGATGAGATCCTAAAGCATAGAAGCGATGCGGACACATCCGGTGAAGACGAAAAATATTACAAAGAGGAGACAGTCAACATCATTGACACCAATGATGTCGAACCTTCTAGTGACGAGGAAGACCATGATGACAAACATGAGAAGTTTAAGAGAAAGGGTACTTTCGCTTATCTTTGGTACAGAATTGTTGACTTCCTTGAAGTTAAGCAAATCGATGACGACGGTAAAGTCACTGAAAGCCAATCTGTCTTACAGACTTTCCTTTACAACGACGATCTAAAGCCTGTGGATAAAGCCCGTAGAGTATGGACATGGAAGGAGTATATTTTTTTCTGGATCTCTGGTGCTTTCAATGTTAACACATGGCAAATCTCAGCTACTGGTTTACAACTGGGCTTGAACTGGTGGCAGACTTGGATCTGTATCTGGGTTGGTTACTCTTTTGTCGCCGTATTCCTGGTTGCAGGTTCTCGTATTGGTAACATCTACCACATCTCCTTCCCAATCGCTTCCCGTGTTGCTTTCGGTACATATTTCTCTATTTGGATTGTGCTGAACAGAGTTGTGATGGCCTGTGTCTGGTTCTCTACTCTTGCTTACTTAGGTGGTGACTGTGTTCAACTAATGCTGATGTCTATCTTTGGCAACAACTTGAACAAAAAAATGGGTGACACAATCCCAAACCCAAACCTAACAAACTTCCAATTCATGTGTTTTATGCTTTTCTGGGCTGTTTCATTACCATTTCTATGGTTCCCACCACATAAACTACGTTTCATTTTTGCAATCAAATCTGCCATCACTCCTTTTGCTGCATTTGGTTTCTTAATTTGGACCTTGAAGAAGGCCCATGGTCATTTGGCTCTAGGTTCCTTGAATGGAGGTGAAAAGATTAGTCAAAGTGTCCTAGCTTGGTCCGTCGTGAGATCTATCATCAGTGCTCTAGATAACTTTTCTACTCTGATTTTGAATGCACCAGATTTTTCCAGATTTGCCAAGACTCCAAAATCTTCCATTTACTCACAATTATTCATTCTACCAATCTGTTATGCAGTTATCTCTCTTATTGGTATTCTATCAGCTTCCGCAGCTTACAAACTTTACGGGGTTAACTACTGGAACCCATTGGATATCCTAAACAGATACTTAGAACATTACACAAGCGGTAACCGTGCTGGTGTCTTCCTAATTTCTTTTGCCTTTGCATTCGATCAATTAGGTGCTAACTTGTCCGGTAATGCCATCCCAGCAGGTACTGATATGACAGCTTTGCTACCCAAATTCATCAATATTAGAAGAGGTTCATACCTATGTGCTTGTATTGCTTTGGTCATCTGTCCTTGGAATTTGATGGCCTCATCATCTAAGTTCACTACTGCCTTAGGTGCATACGCAGTCTTCTTGTCTGCCATTGCTGGTGTTATCTCCGCTGACTATTTTGTTGTAAGAAAGGGTTATGTCAATGTCTTCCACTGTTACACAAACAAACTAGACTCATACTATATGTACAACAGATATGGTACAAACTGGAGAGCAGTTTGCGGTTACATTGTTGGTATTGCTCCAAATTTCGCGGGTTTCTTAGGTTCTATCGATGTCCATGTTCCTATTGGAGCAATGAAAGTTTACTACCTAAACTACTTTATCGGATACCTAGTTGCTGGTTTGGTATATTTGGTTTTGGTTTATTACTTCCCCGTCAAAGGTGTTCCTCATAATGCCAAATTAACTGACAGAGTTTGGTATGAAGAGTGGATTGAAGTTGAAGACTTCCGTAACCAAAGAGAAGCATTTGAAAAGTATGGAGATGCTTCAATGTCAGAATCTAAATTATCTGCATGATGTTTCCTCTTTAATGAATTTGCATTTTCTCAATAACACTTTAATGACTTTTCCCTGTACTTTTTCACACTACTGCATTTTTTCCCCATAACATTTTACATTCTTTCAAATTAATACATCACTAAATTTAATGTTAATGTTTATTATTTATATACCTTTTCTTACCTATAGCATTTAATAATTATTATTTTCCCAATACATTTTGCATTTTATTTGTTTTCATTCATTAATGTTTCTATCTTTTTTATTGATATTTGGTCTTCCATAATACTACAGCTCTCGAACATCATAGGACATGAAAAGCAAGTTATCAGTTGTGAGACTAAGCATAATGCTAAATGTCTGTGAACTTTTCTTGTTTGCGCATTATCAACAGGAAGCAACTACAAATAAAGTTAACGATCGAGTCTCACCACTATCATATTAGGTTCGTGTCTAATATAAAGATCTGCTAGACGCTTCACTCTTATGCAAGCTTTTCATACATTGATTTTTATTCAAATCGTTCATTCTTTTTGAAAGAGAAGTTGTGTATGGTATCTCTGACGATGTGATGACCATAAGTGAAATTACGAGACTAAACAACATTCAAAGAATGCTTTAAGTCTCGCCCGATTTTTTATAAAAGCCTCAAGATGAGTCGATAATTTTTTTAGAATATACACGTCATCAATTTTATTTTATAAGTGTATTCCACAGCGAAAGGGTAAGAAGGTTTCCCGATATACTTCAAATTTGGGTCTTATGAACAATAACAACCATTGACCGTTAATTATGTACACCTTATTGAGAATCTCCGTGCATCCTCAAAAACTGATGCTTCTTAAAGTGTTGAGATAAATTACATACCAAAGCTCTAATAGGAAAGTACAATTCCGGACTGTCTTTTTATTTTTTTTTACTTAAAATGTCTAAATGGTTGAAGTTGTATCCACTCTAACTTCAGAACGAGAGGCTTGTTGCACATCTTGCACAAGGACACTAATAAAACTTTATATTTACCTGCTCGCTTGCTTGACCGGAGGTCGAGAATTTTAAACCACAGATAGCAAGAAATGTCAATCCTCTTTATCTAGCTCTTGATTTGATAAATTCCGATTAAAGTAAAATTAAAAGTATAATTAATAAAATGCTAATTACATTTATTAAGTACTAATGCATAAAAACTATTAAAAAAACACTAAACAACTGAAAAAATGACAAATTTGAATTATGGTAGTCAAATATTAAAATTGAATTAAAATTAAAAACCCAGTGACATATTCTGTCATACTAGTGTCTTATGTTGTGGAATATTAAAATAATTATCATGGTTTTTATGATAATGTACACCATAGTCGTTACTAGATTTACAAATATCATCGTAAGATTCGAAAGCATCGTTATCGTCGAGAGGACTATTTAAAGAGTGCTCATCAGAGTCACTACCTGAGCATACATCTGTGGTTTCTTTATAATCCTTTGCCTTTTCATCACAATCGTTTCCAGTACTAGTTATACTGCTGCTAAGGCAAATTTCTGTCTTCTCTTCGGTTGTGTTATCACCTTCGCTTGGTTCTTCCCAAATAGTAGTAAAATGCTTGTTTGATGAGTCATTATGACCAGCATAATGAGCGCCAGCACCAACAACGTAGTTACATTCTTCAGCGACAGAAACTTCAGAGTCGACCACTTCTGTGTTTTCTTTGCAATCTATGCTCTCGTCAACTTTGAAAGTGAAGTCACCTTGTGCCTCTGTTTCGCTTTCGTAGTCAGACTCAGACTCAGAGTCAGACTCGGACTCAGACTCGGATTCAGAACTGTAATAGTAGTAATCACTGGTCGATGTCTTATTCTGAGCGGAGACCTCTCCAGCATGAGTGTAACCCTCAACGACATTGGAGTTTTGCTTTGAGAGTTGCAAGTCATCGGCTACATTTTGTTGCTGACGCTTTATAAGATTCATGCGTTCGACATTTTCTGTTATTCTGTCCAGCAGGTTAGCGTGGCCGACTAGCACACGCAGGTTGTACTCTTTGTTAGCCTTTTGAGCGTCCTTGGCACATCTCATTAGCTTCGTTCTTGCCTTTGAGGCTAGAGAGTATTGGTCTTGTAGCGACAAACTGTTGTTAAAATGAATAGCCAACATTATTATTGTAGTGTGTGTATGTTATTTGTTTTGTTTTGTTGAAGTAGATATTATGGTGTTTATTAGTGAATAAACTTGTAAATGTTTATTACTTTGATCCGGTGTAGCAGTTGATAAAAAATAATTATTATTTGTGTGGTTTTCGATTTTGGTGTCTTTAACACAATCAGGTTAAGATATATGTGGTTTAAATACTATGTTGTATTTTTGAGGGGGAGGGAAGGTAGTTTACTATATTGAAGGAAAGACATCTTCCAACCTCAAGAATTTATTCTATCCTGATTAATTACAATCATATTTATATTAAAAAAATTATTCATTGCTAATAGGGAAAATGATCTTCTTGTTTTGGGAAAGGGATTAGTCAAGTGAAGAAAAAATAACTCGGTCGGAACCACCTAACAAGTTATTGAGTATTAGTAATAAGGATCGACCTTCGGTAATATCGAGAAACAAGAAAAAACTGAGTAGAAAGAACGGAAATGGATTATGTGTACAATTTTGAGTGTGATGAAGTGTTCAGAGAGGGAGAATCCTAATTAAGAAGAAGCGAAGAGATCGGTTTTTTTTTTGTCAAACAAATTTGTTTTTTTTGGATTGCGAATCTTCGATTTTTTCTTCTTCTAACCAAATGTGTACAGAGTATTCTGTGAAAATGTAGGACGAGAAAGTCGATTATTCCATGTTTATCTAATATCGGGATAATGAACAATATATCCTTTCTCGCTTTTTTTGACCTGAGGTAAAGACGATTCCTCTACACATCTATCTGAGGATCATCAGGAAGGGAAAATCTTCTAGAAGAAGAAAAATTGCATTTTTTTTTTGTTGTAATGTGTAATTTTGTGTGTGATTCTTACCAAATTAGGTTTTTTGGGATACAGTGGCAGAAAAAATCCCTCGCCCAACGGGTTTTCTTCGGCATTTCCGTAAGGTATTGCATATATCCGAAAAAAGATAAAGGATGTGACAGACAAATACCAGTAGGAGTGGTATTCTTTTTTAACGGCTTCACACCATGCATCGGGGGTAGGGAAAGGGGAGGAGGGGGGGGGGTGGGGAGGCAAAGAAACACACTTACCAACAGCTGAGTGGAAGGGTCTGAGACTTTAGGACACACAACTTGTTTCCGATAGAGAGAGGGAGCAACGCAGAGGGATCTAAAAAGAAGTAACTACGAATCCTGTGATGCCTTCTGCTTCGGTATTTCTTTGGACAGATCCTTCTGTAAGGAATCCCAAAGGGGTGCATAGAAACCGAAGATGTGCGACAATCCCATTTGTTGGATTCACAGAAAGCAATGTAGAGGCCAACTGATTTTCGACGTTTGGTATGTACTTTTTTTTGCTGTGTGAAAGTGGACAAACATCCCCTCCTTCCTACAAGTCTTCTACCGAGCGAACAAGAGCAAATATAGGGATGGAATAAAATATTACTGATCCAGAGACAGGTGCGTACAGTACTCAAATCAGATAGGACGGTACACACAGAAGATGGGAGGGTTGGTGAGGAGAGAAGACTGTAACATTTTAGTAATCCTTGAAATGATTTTCAAATAGAGTAAAGTCACAGAAAGGAAGGCACAAAGAATTTGGAATGTACAGACTAGGCCGTGGAAAGAACAGCTACATGTTTGGAGCAAAAGAAGAACACTACACTACAAACGGAAACGATGGTATGCAATAATCCATGACAAATCGATGAGGAGTTCAGAAAGGATCGCAGTACATCGGCGATGTAATGGATGAAAGAGCATGTGAAAAGCCGAAAAGTTGGTTCTGGCCCACATTTCTTCTTCCAAATGAGGAAGAGTGTACCCAACTCTCCAGTACGCGATTCTAATGCTCATTAAGGAAAAGTCTTGATCCAAAGGACATCTGCTTATGTTCTTATGATCTCTTGAAGACTATATGCCTGTTTCAAGATACGTGTGTACTAAAGTTGATTCTAAAAACCGATACCCAGTGGAGTATTTCTATTCTATTTTTGGGCTGGAATCATTTAATTGAGATTTCTACTCTACAGAGATGGAAACGTCGCATGATACATGTGATACATGAGGCCTAGCTGTATCAAATACGTACAATATTGCGAGAGTAGTATGACTATGTTTCCTACACTACCATTCAATATCGTAGTAGTCAACAGAGCATTTATTTCGAGATAACAAGACTTGTTCAAAACAAATGAAAATCGTGATAGGATTTCGACCATCATACAAAGCACTAATGCCGATAGAAGAAAAGAGAGCCGAATAACAAAGATTTTAAGTAATTTTTGTCATAAGATAAGTAATAAGAAAAAAAAAATGCCTTTCAAGTAGATAGCATAATAGAAGGGCATTTACAAAAAAAAAAAAGATACTTACTAATTGTATAGCGTAACACTCTGGCAAAACGTCTAGTGTTATATCGTATGGCTTATGGGGGCAACAGTTCTTGAATCAGAATCAGAATCAGAATCAGAATCAGATGTCAATGCATAATTAGAGGCGATTTCTTTTCTTGTTGCCCTATAGTACCTATAAGATGTTCTGACAACGAGTTAAAATATATGAGGGCTGCGAGGTTTTACTGACGGACCGTCTTTGCATCCGTAGCTATGTTTCAGTACAATACCCAAGATATACCCATCATTTACCAAAAAAATGCACAGAATCCTATGCAGGGGGGGTATCCAATTCCCACCAACAATTATTACGATCTCCGAAAAGGGAAATTTTATTTCTAACGTTGCGAGAAGCTATATATCGATGAAGGCAATTTTCTCGGGCATGCTTCCGTGCAGAAACTCCCTTACCTTTTTCTTTACAGACTTCCTAGATGGATATAACGAACTAAGGAATGTTTGTAACGAGAAACCCCAGTACAGACTCAAAAATTTTCAAGATCCCTATCCTATCCAGCAGGTAGCCCAAACGTAAAGAGAAACGATGCACAAAGAAAAATAGAAAAAAAGGGGATAAGTATTTAGTTGCATCACTTTTTCTTTTCCTCCGATGTACCTTCCCTTCGGCATTGCTCTCTCAAGCTTGACCTAACTATCCTAGTGATGCCCAGTGACGTAACAACTTTGGAACACTTTTCTTTATTTTTAGTAGCAATCAGATAGAGAAGGAGAGGCAAATACGGAAAGAAGATGAGAAAAGCAGCAGTAGATCAGATCGGTCTCTTACTGGATAAAGACTATTTTGCAGTGAGTAGAAAGTTTCCCAGAGTAAAACCCCAGAGAACGACAGTAGATCCCGGATAAAGAGGGCAGTAAATGTTCCAATCCCGGTACAAGCTTTCTGTTAGGGCATTTTTTCAATAGTCCTGAGTTTCTGCGAAGAGATTTCAGAAACCGTTACAGCTTTTCTTTCCGAAGTGTCGGGTTTTTCATACTCTATATTCCACTGCTAAGTAACAAAAATAAAACACCGTCTCTAAGAAATGCAGAATCAAGGGTTTCCTGATATTACGATGACTATATCTAATTGGATGAATGGCCACTGGTAATGGGTTTTCTAGTTATTTGTGGGATAACACTACTGAATGAGTATTTTTCGAGAGTCATTAACACCTTACAAGAGAATCCCGCGAATTGGATTGGAATAAAATGTTCGGGAATTCTAACTTACACATCATTCACTCTATCTTACATTATCATTTAGCGATTTACTTCAATAGGTAATTCACACAACCAGTTTGTAATACAATACTGCTTTTAGAACCCGATAATTTACAATCGAGAGACCTTGTGATATTGAACAAGTCACAAACTTTCAACTTAACTTTACTATAAGCCCGATGGGCATTACCTAGCATAATTCTTATTTCGCCAACGGCGAATCGAGTTTTGTCAAGAAGAAGGAAATAATTGCCTCATAATAACTCTTTGTGTTTCGCATGGTCTCATTGACCAACAATTCTCGGGATTCTTATCTTACTTGGTACATCTGGGGTAATCGTAGTGAAATAGCCCATGTCTAGATGTAGAGAAAGCCAACACTATTAATAAATATGACAGTTGTCTTGATGGTTGTGATGTATGTATATTTAAAAATAGATTTTGGATGAATCTATTGTTACTATGGAGTAATAGCAATGCCGATAATTAGGCATACCATTCCAAACACATAATGTCTCTTGTAAAGCCACTGTTAGTGAAGTATGTTCTGGTCTACATCATGTATGCTTTACCTATGAAATTTTTACCATAAGACGAAAAAAAAACAACAACGCTTAATAGATAATGTATTCTTAAAAATCTACTTCTAATGAGATAGAAATCATATGAATGAGCTCTCTGTAAGCTGAATAACAATCTATAGGTTTTTGTATAAAGACCATCGATGCATCAAGATTATTTAACGACGAGACGTAGATAGAGTATAGATGACTATCATCACATCCGCTCACGATCGCACACTATAATAATTATCAAATTTCGATTAGATTTGAAAACTATTGTAAGGATTACACGGCATAAATATTTACAACACATTTGATATACGTTTATCCGTATATGCAGGATTTAAAAAAGATCATATGACTGTCAACCGTACAAAACATCATTGGGAATTCACTCCTTACTATCCTTCCCATCTGGCCAATCACAGCAGAGAACAAGTTTTACCCTTGGATGTGTTGGGACTGGTCGAGAAGGGCACCCCTCGTATCGCTAACTTATTAGCCGGGTAAGTTGACTATAACTAACTCCTCACCACCCAATACATAGACTCTTTCTATTGTCGATCAAGAAGCATAAGTAGTCTGTAAAAATAGCAGCTACTTGTTGCTACTAGACCAGCATTGGGTTGATGTTAACAAACTCTATACTACTTATTTCTCTTTAACTTATGGTGCAATTGAGCACTCACTACATAAAGTATTGTGGTAGCAAATATGGTCACCTTGTACTACCTTTGCTATCAACCCTCCTTAGTGTTTCCCACATAATGTCGTCCTTCCTATCTTTGCTTGAACTCGAGACAGAAAGTATAGAGAGAGCTCTCTCGTCCTACCAAATCCAATCGTCAATGATAACTTCTCCTAGATGGTGATATCGGATTGGATTGGTCTTTTAGTTTAGTGAGAATCTTCCCTTGTTAATGAATCAACCACCAACATCCTGTAAGAATTGAATATTCTTGAAAGACAGAGGAAGTAAAAAAAAAAATAACAATAGTATATATCAAAAACTGTTTCAAAGTTTGTGTATTGAATTTGTTATTTCAATCATATTTTGTTTGAAAGACATCTGATAAGACTAATATTACACTCAAAGGAATCTATTTCTGAACAGTTTTTGAAATTTTGTATCAACAAAAAGATTACTGTGTCTGTAAAGCAAATCGAAAGGTTATACTTAACATACTGGCATCTATCATAGCTAAAATATTCGACATTTCTGTTATTGAAGAATAAATCAAAAAAAGAGCACTAGTTGTTAACAAAGATTTTACTCATAATCCATAAACACAAATTTAGGATTATCTGTGCAGAAATATCAAAACCATAATAATATAATTACAAGAAAATGCTTAGAGCTGTCGCATCTAAACAATTGAGAAGGGGACTAGCCACTCAAGTTAGTGGCTCTCTAGCTCCAGAAATTAGTCAACTATCCAATGGTGTTGTCGTTGCAACCGAACCAAACACCTCCTCTTCTACAGCATCTGTTGGTGTTGTCTTTGGTTCAGGTTCATCTAGCGAAAACCCTTACAACAATGGTATCTCCAATCTTCTATCAAAGACTTACAAGAGTACCGAAAACCGTGCTAATGCTGCAACCAAAGGTGTAGAAGTTGTCTCTAAGGTCGGTAGGGAATACCAATCCTACTTGGTTAACTCTCTGCCAGGTCAACTATCTAAATCCTTTGATATTCTAAATTCGACTGTTCTAGGTAACCCAACTGGGTCTGACAAGGTATTTGAGCAAACTAAGAGCAACGTCTTGAAACAAATTGAACATTTCGAAGAAACCAACCACAAGGGAAGAGTCCTAGAGCACTTGCATGCTACAGCTTTCCAAAACACTCCTTTATCCTTACCAATCAGAGGTACTACTGAATCAGTTGATGGCTTGTTGAGGGGTGATTTGGAAGAGTTTGTTAACCAACACTTCATCTCATCCAACGCTGTCATCGTTGGTACTGGTAACATCTCCCACCAAGAACTATGTGAACTAGTTGAGAAGAGCTCTTTGAAGTTCAACTCAACTACCAAGGCCAAGCCAGAAGCTAACAAAAAGTCTACCTTCTTGGGTTCTGAAATCAGATTAAGAGACGACACCCTTCCAAAGGCTTGGATTTCCATTGCTGCCGAAGGTGAAGCATTGACCTCTCCAGATTATTTAGTATCCCAAGTTGCTGCCCAAGTATTTGGTTCTTACAACGCTGCTGAACCAAACTCTAGATTGCAAGGTATTAAGCTCTTGGATGATATTCAGGAATACCAACTATGTGATGACTTTGACCATTTCTCTTTGTCTTACAGAGATTCCGGTCTATGGGGTTTCGTAACCACAACACAAAATGTTGGTTCAATCGATGACTTGATGCACTTTGTTCTAAAACAATGGAATAGGTTAACTATTTCAGTCACCGAGACAGAAGTCGCCCGTGGTAAGGCTATGTTAAAATTAAAGCTTGCTAATGAAGCATGTAAGAAGAACTGTCACATTGCATCTGATTTGGGTAATTTGGTACTAAATCAAGGTGTCAAGTTCAACCAAGATGAAATCTTCAGAAAGATCGATGCAATCACTGTTAAGGATGTCAAGGCTTGGGCTGGTAAGAAACTATGGGACCAAGACATTGCCATTGCCGGTACTGGACAAATCGAAGGTCTATTTGACTACATGAGACTAAGAAACGATATGTCTATGATGAGATGGTAGATAACTCCTAATTTTTACATATAAGAACCAGATTCTCCATTTGTCATCTAGTCAGATTATCATGTCGTTTCGTAAAGTAGTTTGCTGATGTCTTAAAATGTTCCAGCCCATATATCAGTACAAAGTTATGTGTGCCATCATTCTTTATTCTTGGGTGCTACTTTATTGAATACGGCTACTGATCTTGTTTTCCCTAATACGTTTTTTATTATTCATTGACTATTTTTATTCTTGTACATCTGTCAATAAGTCACATTATCCCTGTGTCAATATTCAAATATCTGGGAGATATTTATATATATAAATAACTATTTATTCTTTTCAAAAAAATTCTGTAAACATTCATTTAAATGTTGTCCATATTTTCTGGATGTAAACTACCAAATTGCAGTTTTTTTGCAAGACACTACTTGCCAATTTACCTTTATAGTACAATTCCTTCGATTGAGAATTCTGAAACAAAAGCAGAAACACCTATGAAGGATAGGTTATATATATTTACCAATTACATATATGTTTAACAGCCATAGCATGTTAAAGTGTAGAGCATTGTTCTCGTAGCTACCTCGTTTTGTCGTCAAAAGAAAAGTAGCGTGATAATTTGACAGAATGGCGGCGAATCGAATTAAATCGTCACGACTCGCTTGCTTTATTTCTCTTTGAAAAGCTTGCTGGATTTGCATAGTTACCATCATTCTCATCACTCAAAGGTAGTCTCCTCTTGCTAAGGTCTCTGGTATCATTTTGTGAGGAGATTGCTATACCAGTGTCATTTTGTAAAGAGCTATCATCACTATTATTGGAAACATTCATTAATTCGTTTCTAGTGGTATTTGCATCCTCCTTTACTGCCTCTTCTTCTACTTTGATATCAAAATGCTTATCCTCATCTTCATCCTCATCTCCATCCTCCTCCTCCTCCTCCTCCTCATCATCATCATCATCTTCATCTTCATCTCCCTCATCTTCCTCTATATAATCACTATCTTCGTCGTCGTCTTCTTGGCTATCATTATTATCATTTATAACTTGATTACTGAAACCAGTGTTTTCGTCATCTTGATCCTCATTTTCATAATACTCTTCGACTATTATATTGTCATCTTGGTGAGTAATGATTCTATCATTGTTTTGATTTTTCAAATTATCATCGTCGTCATCATCCATCTCATCATCTTCGAAGCTCAAATTCACACTCATAATTGTGTCAATTTCCTTTATAAAAGGTGTTAATTCAGAGACCATCTTTTCATCCAACCACGGTATTTTAGATAATGCCACATCATTTTGATCACAGTCAATATGTTCCTTATCCGATTGTGAATTTGAAAGTTCTCGAACATCTTTCAGTTCATAACGTCGCCAAGCGCCTCTGACTAAGCAGCATTTCTGCAAGGCATTAACAAACTTATCGAGTTCGTATGTCTTGAAGTAATGAAAAGGATCGAAACAAAGTTCACAAATTCTCACTATTGTAAATGGTAATTGGCTTTTGTCTTTGAAATTAGTGGTTAAATGTGTTGATATGCGCTTGAGATCATCCAATTGCCTAGTATGTACATCGTTGGCATCGTCTATGTCTGTGCCATATACAGCTTCCTCATTTTCCTCACTATCTTCCTTACGCCCTACAGTATGTCTTCCATTATTAACTTTTGTCTGGAACAATTCGTTCGGTATAGTGTTGACCATATGATCCAGCAACTCGGCTAGAAATTCGGAGACATTTATAGTTTCTAGAACATCATAATTCTTTTCTCGTACTATGCCTTTCAGTATATCATATAGGTACTTCGATTTGATGCCATTCATGTGAATAGCATCGATGGATGCACTATCCATTGTACACACTTGATTCCGTTGCAATCCGATAGTATCTGAGTTGTAGATATCTCAGATGATTGTTATTCTTGTAAGACTAAACTTGCTGTCTCTCTGAAGTAACAGAAAATGTAACCGTTTCTTGATGTTCAACTAGTTGAACTCTCGAAGTAGAACTCTTGACAGCAATCACCCCAAGGCTATGTATTTATTATTTTTCACTTGGCGATGCTTGAAATGCGTACAAGTTTTTCACTGTGGATTTCAAAAAATTTGTCAAATTACATCAACAAGACAATGGGTAAACTGGCTACATATTGAAAGGCGGAACAGAAAAGCTATAATTCAAAGTTTCGTTGACACATTTGATAGTAAATTATGAAGTGTTAAGTAGGTCCTCTTCTGTAAATTCGATCCAGCTCTCAGAGGTAGCTGTTTGTATAATATATGATTTAGCCTTACCAAGTGCCAATATATTTCTTGCACAGTCAAGAAAGAGGTCGACGTTTTAGATATCGAAGGGACAAATCTGGTGAAATTTCGCAATGCTAATATTTGGTCAGCACATGTAGGACCTGTACGCTATCCACTGATGCTACCTTCATAACTGAGTGCTTTATTATTTGTAGCCCACATGACGGCACTACTAACGGAGCTTTGCGTATTCGGTCAAGGGAAGGGGATCAAAGAAAGGAATCTTCGGAAGGAATTGCGGGAAAAAAGGAGATTAGTATTGGATAATAGTCATTTGCATTTGATTTCACTCCATATGGAACCAAATCATAACTCAGGATAAGTTCAGACAGAGTATTGAGCCTAAACAAGTCTAGTTCTAGCATTCTTCGTTTTTTTTGCTAGTTTTAACAGAGTCAATTCGTCCTTGTTGTTCTATAACAGAAAAACGCTTCAGGAATAGTTTTGATATTGAGCATATAAAGAGACTATTACAAAGTAGACCCTGTTTGGACTTTGAAAGGAAAATAAATATATATCTAATTGAGTGACTTCTTTAACTGAGCTTTTGATATTACTTGTTTTATTTTTTTGAACAGAAAATGGCGGCAATAGTATTTCAAACGCCGCTGACACATGAGGAATCTGATTTCTACAGCCAGAAGTTCCGTCAGTTGGACTCTGAAGAACTAGGTGTTGTCACTGGTGAGGCTGTGAAGCCACTGTTTGCAGCTTCCGGTCTGTCGTCTCAGATACTATCACAAATTTGGGCTTTGGTTGATATTGACAACAAGGGATTCTTGAATCAAAATGAATTCAATGCTGCCATGAGACTGATTGCGCAAATGCAACAATTCCCAGGACAATCAGTTACCACAACTCTTTACGATCATCCTCCTAGTAGATTGCCAATTTTGAGTGATCCTAACACCGTGCAAAGCACAGGTAACTCAAGAATGGGATCCACATCAAATGCCTCAATTCCTCATATCTCTGCCAATGATATATCAAAATACTCTCAACTATTTGACAGATCAGCTGGGGCAAGCCCAACTATCCCAGGTGATAAGGCTAAGGATATCTTCCTTAAGGCTAGATTACCTAACCAAACCCTGGGCGAAATTTGGGCACTATGTGATAGGGACGCATCAGGGACATTGACTAAACAAGAGTTTATTATGGCTATGTATCTGATTCAATTGGTGATGAGTAATCACCCATCAACACAACCCTTGCCAGACCACATATCAAATGAAATATGGGACTCCTTGAATCAATTACCAGCAACTTCTCTACCAATGGAGCAACCTCTGAGTGCTAGCTCCACAGGCCTTTCATCAAACCCACCTCTGGTGAGACAAAACACTTTATCAAGAGTATCATCAGGTGCATTCACCAACGCCGCTAATAATTGGTTCCTAACTCCCGAAAAGAAAGCTCAATTTGACGCTATTTTTGATGCATTGGATAAAAATCACGCAGGTGCCCTGGGATCTCAAATACTTGTTCCTTTTTTCTTATCTTCTAAACTAAGCCAAGAAACTTTAGCTAGTGTGTGGGATCTGGCTGATATTCATAATAATGCTGAATTTACTAAACTTGAGTTTGCAATTGCCATGTTCTTGATCCAGAAGAAGAACTCTGGTATTGACCTTCCAGATGTTATTCCTAATGAATTGCTACATTCACCTTCCTTAGGTTTGTATCCATCTCAAGCTCCTCAGACACAAGCAAATGCCCAACCACCACTTCCACCATCTAGAAACACGAAACCTCAAATGAATCTACCAGTGCAACCTCAACACTCTAACAATGGTTCTTTGAATGATTTAATGGCCTTGAATGGTTCATTTTCTCCGCAACCAACAACAGCAAAGCCATTAAATCACACTGATTCCGGGAATAGCTTTGAAAACTCCTCTGTAGCAAATACTATGACTGCAAAGAAATTCAATCCTTCATCAACGTTTGGTCAAAGCATAATTAAGGAGGAAGATGAGAGGAATGTTGCACTTGCTTCAAATACTGCTACCATGGGTACTACTACTCCTGCCACAACTGCGTCAAATCTACCGGCAGTACCAACAATGTCGAATGTTCCTGGTACAAATAACACTCAAGCACCACCAGCTACCCAAACGCAACATATGAACAAAGCAACTTCGCCAGTTCAAAGACAGAGCACGTTACCAAAAGTTCCAAACTTTGGAGGTTTCACTAATGCAGCCGGTAGTGGGATAAATGCAATTACCGGTGCTACAGGTGCTGTTCTTGGTGGGGCTATTGGTGCCGTTGCTGGTGCCGCTACTGGTACTGTTAGTGGTGCCATTTCTGGAGCTAACAGAGATATTTTTGCAGATGGTGAATCCTCTCGTCAATTGTCTACTGCCACTACAGATTTGGCTAATTTATCAAATCAAGCTAACTCCCTTTCTAACCAAGCTGGTATTGCAAGCGAAAAGAAATCTAAGGTATCTCAGGAATTGCAAAGGGTTAATGAAATGAAAGCAAACATTGAAAGTAAGTTGGCTACTTTGAGGGCTAAGTATGACCAAGATGTTAAAGCGACTGAAGAAATGGAAACACAGTTGACACAAACTAACAGAGAAGTCGAAACTTTGAACCAGCAACTAGGAGTGGTGGAAGCTAATTACCATGCGACTGAGTCTAAGTTAAATGAGTTGAAGACTCAATATGAAGAGGCTCAGCAGAAGAACTCAAAACTGAAAGAAGACATTGCAAATTTCAATACAATGATTGCAAGCATGGAAGCACAACTTAACGAAAAGAAGCAGGTTGCTAAACAAGAATTATCTGTTGTGGATGTGAACATGAAGCAATTAGAATTGAATCAAATCACCGTTGCTGGTATCGAAAAGGAGATTTCAGGTCTGGATGAACAAGTTAATGTATATGTCAACAAGCGGAAAGAGCTTGACGAATATAAAAAGACAATCGAAGATCAGCATGCCCAATTGCAAGCCAAATATCAAGAAATCAGTGATAAGAATAATGAACTGACTGAACGTCAAAATGAGTTAGATGAACGTAACCAACAAATAGAAGAACAGGAAAAGCTATATCATGAACATGTTGCCAAATTACAAAGCCTCTTTGATGATTTAACTAATAGGCAGCAACAGTTTGAGAAAGCTGAACAAGAACTTAAGAATAGACATGTTGAATACGCTCAAAAAGTCCAAGACTTAACTGAAAGACAAATGAACTTGGCGATGGGTGAAATTCCATCTGATGCAAAGGAAATTGTAGAGAAACACAAGCAAAGCTCTGGTATGGGTGCTGGCGCTGCAATGGGAATAGCCGGTGCTGCTGGTGCTGCTGTTGCGACTGCTGGTGCTGCAATTGCCCATGCAATGACGTCAAATAAGGATGATGATGAAAAAACTGAGAGTGATGTGTTTGACAGAGATGTACCAACTGTTGGTTCTCAAAGTGAACCGGATGAAAATGCGGAAACTACGAACCACAGATCTGAAGCTGAGGCTGTAAACATGGCCGATCGTTTTGAGGGTGATTTGAATGAGTATGGGATCCCAAGAACCCAGTCACTAACGTCCTCCGTTGCTAATAACGCTCCACAGTCAGTTAGAGACGATGTCGAACTTCCTGAAACATTGGAGGAAAAGGAAATGTCAAAACCTTCTACTGCTGGTAACACTATAACTCCTAACGCCCATATGCCTGGAGAATGGGATAATACTGGGGCAAATACTATGACAAATACACAAGAAGATAGTGGTCAGATGAACGACTCTCCTGCTGATCAGTCTCAGGAGCATAGTGAGTCAGATACCTCAATTCAAAAATCTCTGGATCAAGAGGTACCAAAGAAGAAAATGACTATTGATGAAGAGTTCCCTCCCATCCAAGAACTGAACATCGATGAAAGCGACTCTTCTTCAGATGGTGAGTTTGAAGACACACGCGAACTACCAACTCAAGTTAGCAAGAACGTTGATGACCAATCGATGGCAATGACAGCACCACCAAATGGAGTAACACCATCGGTTCCACAGATGGAAAATACTCCTAAGGATGATTTTGATGATGCATTTAATGAACTGGAGAAAGCAACCGAAGAAGATGGTAACACATCAGACTTTGAGAATCTAGCTAACCAAGGATCCTTTGAAGGCTTTGAACATATTGATCGGAATGAAGTTGCTGCAAGTATGCAACAAGGTAATGTGGTAGGTGCGCCTACACAACAGGGTCAACCAATGGCACCTCAAGGTCACCACAACCATGGAAATGATGAATGGGACGAAATATTTGCTGGCTTCGGAAATGGGGTGAAAGAGCCTAATGCTTCTCAGCAAATGCAGCAACCTATTCCAGCATCAACTTCAGCTACTGCACAAGCGCCAATCAATAGAGGTATTGCTACCACACCCAAATCCCTAGCTGTAGAAGAATTGATGGGGATGGGTTTCAAGGAAGATGAAGCGGTTAAGGCTCTTGAAAAATCAAATTGGGATCTGGAAACTGCAACTAATCTTTTATTAGACGCTGCCTGAATGAACTGTCTTAAAATGTTATTGTTTTTTTACTGAATATTAGTCTCTAGAATGTTTTGATTAACTTACTTGCACTGACATCAATTAGCTGAATTTGTTAGAGATTATTTGTAATATATTTAAATTTCTGTATTTTGTTCATTATAATCACTGTTTGTATTAACGAGTATGGCTGAGGTCACAAGAAATGGTGTATCAGTATTATTTTTATCAGTCATAAGAGCTGAATCTTAGGTAAAAAGTTAACCAATTATACTATATAAAATTATATAAGATGGGGATATATCAAGAATTAAAAAAAACAAAAAAACAATGACCTATTGATAAAGAGAATTAAGCCATTGGGTATATCAAAATGAAATAGTTGCAGCTAGCTGATAGCAAAAAATAAAACCGAATTAGAAATAGATCTGAAGTGTACAATCGAAGCAGATCATGAAAATCAAAGAAGAAAAGAAAATATGACCAGAAACTAGAAATACTGAGGATCAATATTAATAGGGAGAAAATAAATAAATAAAATCGCATAAGATCGTCAACATGAATTTTTCGTTACACTTCTTCTAAGGTGAGTTGACAATCATAGACATTAAAATTGAGTAATCTTGATCTCTATTGAAGAAGCGAGGCTTGATATTATACTTAATCGCATTTGCAAATAGTTTTAACCTCAAGGATGAACTTCCCTTCCTTGTAGCGTTGATCCTTCCTTTCGCTCTGCAAGTACTTCCAACCAACTACATTTTTACACCAGTGACAAAGTATGTCACAGACCACATAATCACCTGTTAGCATTGGCCTTGTCTCGACATTACCTTCTAAAACATTTAAAACTTCATCCATTAAGTACGCTGTTCCAGTTTTCCCTCTATAATCCTTGGAGATGACATGAGAGGAAGAAGACAGATGAGTTCTGCACCGGCGGCATCCATACGTAACAAATATCTTTTCTTGTGAAGAAGAAGAAGAGTCTGATGACCCCGAAAGCGTCCTCCTACGCTGTCTGAGCAATATGGGACCGGAGTATAGGCTATTGCCTATTGTTCCGTATTCATTGTATTGGTATAGATCGGTTTGACTGTTTCGAGAACCCTTAAAGGACTTATTCAAATCGCTGGCCAATGGAGACTCAATATAAGAAGTGTACCTTAATCCCATTTCTTAGTTGGATAGATCAGATATTGTATTATTGTAGTATATGATTTAGTTTTTGTCTTTGGTAATGAAACCTTCCTTCAGCGCTACAAAAGCACCCTAATTTATAGTTCGGATAGCTTTGAACAATAAAAAGTATCAGTGAGCCAGCTCTTGATTTTGATATTGTAGCATCCAAACGTCCAGGTAGTAGTTAATTTGCAACTTCGGTTCTACGCTCTGGCGTTTGGCTATTTATGAATATTGGGATATAAATTGCACTAAACTAGTTGGTTTGATTTTATCTAATAGAAACAGGTTTGGTTATCTGGGTATTATAGGCATAGAACCTCTCTAAGTGAAGAACAACTATTTACTTGGCATATATATATATAAGGGAAAGGAAAGTGAGTGTGTGATATCAATTCCTGTCGTCATAACCCTTGTGTGGCCTAGAATGGCCTAATAAGATTCCTTCTTATAAAGGGCCATGCTTGAGCATTTTGGACACCCATATGGATAATTACGGAATTATAAAATCCATTATTACTACAAGAGGGGAGTTTGTTAGTGGAAGTTATGGGTTTTAAAGCTGCACTATGTCATTGACCTGAATTCTAGTTTAAGTATGAAAAGCTGTGGAGTTGATTCCAAAATAAGAAACAAGTGCTGTGAACCCAAGAGGCCACTATTCATGGACCACTATGGGTAAGTATCTGTGAACTCAGGTTTCGTTGAGGGAAGAATACTCATGAGAAGAGTGACCCACTTCTCCGGCAACAGTCTAGTGATTATATAGAGAAAGAGAACGTTATTATCGTTCCTTAAAAAAAAGGAATCAAAATGATATGGGAGAGAGGACAAGGTGTCGGTTGGACAATTCTTGATAACCAGTTTTGGTAATCCTTTGATGTCCAAGAGCTCTTCAGCACTAAACCCTTCCTACTCTTGAGAAAGTGCGTTTCTTTTTCAGAGAACCATGATTATAATAAGAGATGTGTGTGGCTCCCATGATCTAAAGTTCGTAGATGAACTAATTATATGATTGAACATTTTAGATGATGTGGGTAGGGCAGTACAGATAAGATGCAGCCTCCCGTTTTAGAGGGATTTTTTTATACCTGTGATATACAGGTAGTAGATTCTACCAGTAGTAATTGCTGTTCCACAGTTGGGGGTAATAGGAAGTTTAAGGGTTAAACAGCTCAAGGACGATCATAAATCCCAAAGTCGTCTTATAGAACTCAAAATTCGTCATTGTTTCATCTAGCTATCAATGGCGTACACTATTATCAACTAAGATACGACAAGGACAAGACATACTCCAATTTATTGTGTAGACATGAAGTCTTTACAAACTGAGAATTCTTTTGGAGTGAGTCCATCACCAACATTTCCATAAATATTTTGCAATATATTGATATCTGTGTTCAGAATATGGCCTTTTACCGATCATAAATATTTTCATTGTTGAAGTCATTAGGAAATACGTTGTACAGTTAGTTCTAAGCAACGATGACTTTACCTATATCATCTTTGATTTCTCCATTGTTCTTATAAGATACGGATCACATGGTAGGGATGGGGAATTACCTCATTTGGAATAGTGAGTGCTTTATATTTATAATTGTTGGCTCATATTGTACTGTTTTATTGTGTACTATATGAATATCGCTTGAATATTTTTATATTTTGATTTAAGCATATTATTGTGTCAAACTAATATTACGTGTTTCTATATAGAACTACAATAAGTCATCTTCAGCCTCCGTGATTGTTTCTTTTATCTTCAGCATGATGGTGGTCTTCCACTTGTCTAGTTTTGAGAACTTGTCAAACTCAAACACCAATTGTGACAATTTTTCACTATCTCCTTCACTGACACTTTCGATTAAGCCCTGTAATAAATTGCACTCGCGAGAATCATGGAAATTTGGATCGTCCTTCATACCTTCTTGTACAGTTCTTGATGCTGCTACTGTGTCGTTAGCTGCTAATTGTGTTAGGCCTTTCTTCAGGAAATACTCTTTCAAGGACCACTGGCTCAATCTGTTACCAAGACTATTCTTGATTAACTTAGTATATAAGTCGCTGGCTTCAATATACTGTCCGTCAAGTGCTTTCAGATCAGCACATCTGACATAACATTTGTTCGCAAGAGCCATAGATTGGTCTTGTTCGTACCATTCACCAGCAGTCTCAAAGGACTCAATCGCATTCTTGTAATCCGTGAGATCGTTCTCTTGAATCTCACCAAGATCAAACTTGAAATTAGCTGCTCTCCTAAACTGGCCTTTCTTAGTGAATAGATTTACTGCGCTTTCTAACGAGCTTACTGCATCTGTAAAGGAGCCACTGCTCTTAAAGCATTTAAACGCTTCAATGAATGTATTGGCTGCTTCATCATCGTTACCAGCCTTCAATTGATAATCCGCAGCTTTCAGGAAACTCTCACCAGCAGCACTCAATTCCTTGCGCAACCTATAAATGTTTGCAGCCTGTACACATAACTCAGCGGCCTCCTCAAACTTGTAGGAGTCACTGCCATTAAAGAATTTCATAAAGCCAGAACTTGGCACACCTTTCTTCTCAGCCCTCTTCAATAACTCTTGTGGATCAGACATGATAAATTAGATTCCTCAATAATTTCCCCTTACGCAACTGCTTTTGAATAGTTCAAATTATAGAATGACTTGCCTGTACAACTGACTACTCTTATTGTGTTTACAGTCGATACCTATTTCCAGTAGTTATTTATAGGTCAGATTTCTTGTTTCAAGGTTTATGTGAAGCTAGAGACTTTTGGTGTGAGCGTGGTTTAGTGTAAAGGCTAAGTGACGATGGAGGAAAAAAATATGTAAAGGCCGACAAAAAATAAATGGACGAGTTGGGAATCGAACCCAAGACCTCTCCCATGCTAAGGGAGCGCGCTACCAACTACGCCACACGCCCATGTTGTAATCGATAGTAGTTTTAAACGATTATTTGACTATCTTGTCCAATTATACAGGTCCCCTAATACGAAATGGTGGTCTAACTCTTAACGTTTTGGTTCTGACCTGGATGGTAATGCTATATTTTGATATACATCCATAGGTGTAGTATATAGATTGGTAGCAGTAGCTCTGACAAACAACAATAGGTAAACTTCAAATATAGATAATATTTTGCTGGTACTTCCAGGTTACAAGCTGAGTTCACATGCTCAAAAAAATCTTTTTAATTGGGTACCTTTACCTCTTGTATCTCTCATATCCTTATCAGTTCACTATCTCTAATGTTTATTTACTTGTCGGTGATGATCTTGCGATCGTTGCAAAAAGTTAAGCAAAGTTTTAGGTGATGTACTAGGCTTAGACTGCAACCTTAGGAAAGCATCCCTAAGTTATATGTCCCTATGTCTCCTGCCATTGTTCCTCGTCTAATCATATATAGTGTTGCTGCACAGCTGGCCAACTTTTGATTTGATGATCTTACATACTGCTACGGCCTTGTTAATGGAGGGGGGAGGGTTTTTTTCCCCATGCAATGAAATAAATATCTCTTCTCTTCTCGATGCTATCTCAGTGCTTACATTGATTGTATCGTGAATCTTATGTTCACTCCGTGATTCTAATATACATGCTGAAACTGCTCACTGCGAGAACTGGGAAAAGAGACTGCATTAACATCCCCCCCCCTTAGTAAAGGGATATCTTCGTCAATTCAACTTTTTGGAGTTTCTTGTCGATCGATGAGTGATAAAATTATTGGCACATCAAGGACCCTGTCGTTATGCATATATATTTAACTACTAGTGTATAAATTTTGAACACATTGTTTGAACTCTATCAAACAAGCACTTCGTCGCAATTTCTTATGTTTGGAATAATCTGAACAAATTGAAGAAACTGTTCTATTTGAGATAAATTGTTTACGATACAGAAGTTTCTCCAACCATAGTGGATTGGACTTAGAAGAAGAATAAGTACACTGATCAAGAATAATAATGAGTGCCGAGCGTTATCCCAGTGTACCAAGTTTAGTTGGTGATTCTGTGAGAAGTATCAAAGGTACTGGTACAGAACCAGTGGCGCGGTCTGATCCTCGCAACGACGTTAAGATCTTGAACAAGTTGCATGACACTGTTGCGAACCACAACCAATCTCAGCAACTTAGCGGCTCCTCATATACATCGGTAGAGGACTTGAACAAAGAAGGTGCATTATTGACTGACGAAGTTGACCTTGAGCTAAGCCATGTTGATGGTAAAGTGCAAAGAAAGGATGGTGAAGTGGATTTCAACATTGCTGATAGAAAGCTTGGTGAATCTGAGTTAGAGAAGCAAAGGAAACGTAAATTAATGCTCTTGAAGCAGAAACAGAAAAACCGCGAACTCTCTTCTACTTCTTTGTCGCGTATGGATATCCAAAGCTCGTCATCACAAACCTCGCTAACACATCTCGACGACGAAACCAAAGAGGAGCTAGATAGAGTGAGCAGATCCCAAGAGAGAGAGAGACAAAGAGGCTCGCAAATGGTTTCGCCCACTCGTGGTAGTGATGGTCTTGTGAGAAACTCTTATGGGGAATATATCAAGAGTACTTGTAACAGACCACATTTGGCTCGTGGAGACTCCTACCAATCGTCTAGCAACGAAAGTGAGAACAATCTGATTGATTCGGCTGCCACTCCATCGGAGAGATCTGGTAGAACATCATTCAGAAGAAGGCTATCTACGGAGTACCTAAGGTCATTGTCTAGATCGTTGAGTCGTGATCCTAGCAAGAGCACAACAAGAACAAATGCTATAACGCCTTCTCACAGCAACAACGCTGGCAATTATACTACCAGTGCGCCACCTTCGCACCATGTGGTAGCCATACCAGGTGGTGATTTCATTGATAACGAAAAGACCAGGACTGTCGACCAGTCCTTAGAAGATGAACTCTATAGCACCAACAATTACTCTATCTCGCAAGTGGAGCTTGCTCAAGCTGCCAACAAAACTTTGTTGAACGAAGCCTTTGACGAAGAAGAGGAAGAAGGTGCATTGCTTGATGATCAAGGAAACGAAGAGCACGATCGAGAACTGGAACGTGCAGCTATAAAAGTAGAAGAAAGCTGAGGCGAAAAGAAACGGTGGTAGAACCCACTTGTCAATATCACTTCCAGCGTACTCAATCTATTTATTGAAATAAATCAACTTAGACTACTATTTATTGATTAACACTCACGTATTTAATTGACTAAAACCCACTTATTTATTTGTCAAACTTGAGCTTTCATGAAGAAACACAATCATTATTGTATTAACCTATATTCCATGTCCATGTATATATATACACAGTACAAATACTAGATCACTCAATACTAGAACACATGACGTGAAATGAAATTGAAGATATGCGGATAGATGTGGGGGTGGGGGGGGAATGACAAGAATTGGACAGTATGACTCTACTGGCAATTAAACACTCAGAAAACATCGCAGATAAGTGATGAAAAAAAAAGAGGGGTAAGAACGAAGGAAGCGAAATGTTGATTCGCCAGGCAGAAAACCCCGCACAACCGTATCTATCGCCCCCCCCCCTTCTATTTTACGGGTCCTCCGTGTATTGTGTATCCAACCACCCCCCCCTTCTTTCCCCCATCCCTTTCACAATCAACTTAGAAAATAATGCAGGACTACAAAGTGGTAGATCCTAAACTAATATCAGGGGGGGTTCACCTCATCCTCTGCTGCTGTTTATCTGTTCGCTTCTTGACTTTGCAATCACCGCAACCGCGCAGCATCCTAAAGAAAGGAACATCCTCGAGAAGTAAAATCAGCAGGCAGGGGAAGGGGGGGGGGTCAAACAAACACAGAAAGCACGGGAGAACACCTTAGTCTTCCCAGTCTTTACAAGATTATCGAATCACACACAAACTGTGAAACTTGGAAAAGAATGAAGTTTGAAGGTTTCAAAGTCCTTTTAGACCATTCTAGTGCCCCTCCCTTTTGGGAATTGGTTTAGCAGATAACCCATCCCTTGCCAGCTCTTTTCACGCAATCCACAGGCTGTGTTTCTAACCTGCCAAAGGATAGTCGAACCAGTATGAGCAGATTGTTGTACTACCAGCCAATGACAATAGCAATTGCAGGTAGCAATTGCAGGTAGCAATGCAGACAGACAGGTGTAGGAAGACTCAACTCGACAATTTGTCAATTGGTCCAATTGATATACATAAAGCCCCTTGACTCTGATTTGAAAAGTAAATAAAATACTAAACCAGGAACAATTGTCCCCCCCCTCCTCTCTTGTCAAGCCCAAGGATCCATAAAAAAAAAAACATATATAACTAGAACTATTCAGTTTCCTGACTAGAGTATATAGTACACAAGCCATCAAGAAGTTGGAAAGAGAAAAAAATTCATCAGGACTTAACATGTCTAGGGATTTGAAAAACAATTTGTTGTTTGAAGTGGCCACTGAGGTGGCTAACAGGGTTGGTGGTATTTACTCTGTGCTGAAGTCAAAGGCACCTGTCACAGTGGCCCAATACAAGGACAATTACCATCTAATAGGTCCTTTAAACAGAGCTACTTACCAGAGCGAAGTTGATTTGTTGGATTGGAACGATCCTAGTATCTTTTCCGATGAATTGAAACCTATCCAGCAGACTTTGCAATCCATGGCAAGTCGTGGTGTCAGGTTCGAATACGGTAGATGGCTGATTGAAGGTGCCCCTAGAGTTATTCTTTTTGAGCTAGACTCAGTACGAGGCTATCTAAATGAATGGAAGGGAGACTTATGGTCCTTAGTTGGTATCCCATCTCCTGAAAACGATTGGGAAACCAATGACTCCATCTTGCTAGGTTACACCGTGGCTTGGTTCCTAGGAGAGTTGGCCCACCTAGACTCCAAACATGCAATCATTGCCCATTTCCACGAATGGTTGGCCGGTGTTGCCCTACCTCTATGTAGAAAGAGAAGAATTGACGTGGTAACAATCTTCACCACCCACGCAACTTTGCTGGGAAGATACCTATGTGCGTCTGGTGATTTCGATTTCTACAACGGTATTGAACATGTTGACGTCGACCACGAGGCTGGCAAATACAACATTTATCACAGATATTGTATTGAAAGAGCCGCTTGCCATTCTGCTGATGTCTTCACAACAGTGTCCCAAATTACCGCTTTCGAAGCCGAGCATCTGCTAAAGAGAAAGCCAGATGGTATTTTGCCAAATGGTTTGAATGTTGTCAAGTTCCAGGCTTTCCATGAATTCCAAAACTTGCATGCTTTGAAGAAGGAGAAGATTAACGAATTTGTCAGAGGCCATTTCCATGGTAGTTACGATTTTGATCTGGACAACACTGTCTATTTCTTCATTGCCGGTAGATACGAATACAAAAATAAGGGTGCTGATATGTTCATAGAGGCTCTGGCCAGATTGAACTACAGATTAAAAGTTTCAGGATCAAAGAAAACCGTTGTGGCTTTCATTATCATGCCTGCAAAGAACAACTCATTCACTGTAGAAGCTCTAAGAAGTCAAGCTGTAGTGAAATCTTTGGAAAACACCGTTGATGAAGTCACCAGATCAATCGGTAAGAGAATATTTGATCATGCAATGAAGTTTCCTCACAATGGTATCACGAATGAACTTCCAACCAATTTGGACGAATTACTAAAGCCTTCCGACAAGGTGCTATTGAAGAAGCGTGTTCTTGCTCTTAGAAGGCCTTGGGGTGAACTACCTCCAATTGTCACTCATAACATGGTTGATGAAGGCCAAGATTTGATCTTGAACAAGATTAGAGAAGTTCAGTTATTCAACAATGCAAGTGATAGAGTTAAAATGATTTTCCATCCAGAATTCCTGAATGCCAACAACCCAATTCTAGGTTTGGATTATGATGAATTTGTACGTGGCTGTCACTTAGGTGTCTTCCCATCATATTATGAACCATGGGGTTACACTCCAGCTGAATGTACAGTCATGGGTGTTCCTTCCATAACTACCAACCTTTCCGGTTTTGGTGCCTATATGGAAGACCTTATTGAAACAAATCAAGCTAAGGATTATGGTATTTACATTGTAGACCGTCGTTTCAAGGCCCCAGACGAGTCAGTTGAACAACTAGTGGACTACATGGAAGAGTTTGTCAAGAAGACCAGAAGACAGAGAATTAACCAAAGAAACAGAACCGAAAGACTATCTGACCTATTGGATTGGAAGCGTATGGGTCTTGAATATGTTAAGGCCAGACAATTAGCATTGCGTAGGGCTTATCCTGAACAATTCAAACAATTAGTAGGTGAGGAATTAAGTGACTTGAACATGGAGAGTTTGACTGGTGGTAAGAAGTTCAAAATCAGTAGACCACTAAGTGTACCGGGTTCTCCAAAAGATGCTAGATCTAACAGTGCGGTATACATGACCCCAGGTGACCTGGGAACCTTACAAGAAGCTAACAATGTGGATGACTATTTCAATCTGAGCGTTAGCGGAGATGGTGACGACGATGACGAAAACTATGCCGAACATAATTGAGAAATATAAGGGAGTAAGACATTAGTTTATTTTAATATCCCTTCTCATAAAGTTTCCAAATCTAATTGATAATGAATAGAATAAGGATTTATTTTCGATTTAAATCTGCCGAAAACTTCAAAAAGCCATTATTCTAACATTTAAATTGTGGAAGTCCAAGTTATGCAATATGTGATTCTTTTCATTCTAATTTTCTTTATTTCAAAACATAATATTCGATAATAAAATACATATAAACTCTATATATTTGTTAAAATGCTCTTTATCAGTTTAATAATTTGTGACTACAGTCTACTTGTAATTAATAACTTAACGAATTTCCACACTATTACGTTAAAAAAACATCTGATTAACGAAATTCTATTGTGCAGGGCAGCACATGCATTAGGTGAGTAGATACATAATTTGAAATACTCAATTCAATTGGGTAACCATACGAATATCGTAACACAAAATATATTGAAAACTTGATAGTCACTTGTCATCACTTATCAAAGTAAATCATTTCCATCTTACATCCGGGAAACATTCCTTAGTTCAGAATCACCTGCATCAATCCTCTCAATCGTTAGAAGAGTTGGCTGAAGCAAAGGGGGGGGGGGGGGTTGACCCAAGTTTTCTTTTAATCCTTGTTTTGGCTAGGAAGGGTTGGTACTAGTAATATTAGCCTTTTCTGATCTTCTACTAACAACTTACAGTTCGGGTTACTAAAGGATTCTCATCAGTTTGTTCGTTATATAGTTAATTTTGTTATTTTTTTGCAAAACTGGGCTTTGAATATTCTATACCAAACATGTGTTGTGAACGATATCTATCCTATTTATGTTATCCATTTCTTGTCTTGATATATATATTACTGTATAGTGTGTTATAACTTTTTCCATTGGCGAGGATCGTCTTTTATATTTGGAATTCAAAGATTAGTAGCCCCAGTTCATTTCGAACAATAGATATTAGCAATATGGTGGATAACAAGGACGAGAATAAGGACAAGCCTGCAGTTCGCAAACCAGAGCAAGTTGAGGGACATACTGTTACTAAGTTTTTTAATAAGCTGAATGGACAGCCTGAATCCTATGTGAGCAAGTCTAACTACGTTTTTGGTAAGACTCTTGGTGCTGGTACCTTTGGTGTTGTGAGACAAGCTCGGTACAGTCCCACCAACGAGGATGTTGCGGTTAAGATTTTATTGAAGAAGGCTCTTAAAGGTAATGATGTTCAGTTACAGATGCTTTACGATGAATTGTCCATTCTCCAGATGTTGAAACATCCAAACATCGTCGAGTTTAAGGACTGGTTTGAATCTAAGGATAAATTTTATATTGTCACACAGCTAGCTGTTGGTGGTGAATTGTTTGATCGTATCCTAGCAAAAGGCAAATTCACTGAACGTGATGCAGTGTCTATTACAATGCAAATTCTAAGTGCTGTCGATTATATGCATTCTAAGAACGTGGTACATAGAGATTTGAAGCCTGAAAATGTTTTATACATTGACAAGAGCGATGACTCTCAGTTAGTCATAGCGGATTTCGGTATTGCTAAGCAATTGCAAGATAATGATGATTTGATCTTTAAGGCCGCTGGCTCCCTAGGTTATGTTGCTCCTGAGGTATTGACTAACAATGGTCATGGTAAGCCTTGTGATATCTGGTCTATCGGTGTGATTGTATACACATTGCTGTGTGGTTATTCTGCTTTTGTAGCTGAGACTGTAGATGGTTTCCTAGAAGAATGTACACAGAACAAATATCCTGTTACATTTCACAAGCCTTACTGGGATAATATATCTGATGAAGCCAAGAACTTTATCTTGAGAGCACTAACATTGGATCCAGCTGAAAGACCAACAGCTGCAGAATTAATGAAAGACCCATGGATTACCAACACTAGGCCCGAGACCGCTAACATTTACCCAGAGATTAGAAAGGGCTTCGATTTACGTAAGAAGTTGCGTGATGCTATTGAGATAGTTAAATTGAATAACAGAATTAAGAAGTTGAGAAGCCTATACATGGTTGAGACTGATACTGATATCGAGGAGAATGTGGCTTCTGTTGCATTTAATACATTGGCAAGCTCATTAAATGATCTCAGACTTCATTCACAAAAAAGAGTGGGTCAACTAACGGCAGAACAAAGAAGATTAAAATCTGCACTTACTCAAGATACTTTTGCGCAGATTGTGAGGGCTGCAACAAAAAATAAAGAAAGAATCTGGGGTGAAAAGACGGCGTCCCCTACGCCTAGTCAATCATCTACCTCATCTACTTCTACTAACAAGAAATAATAAATGCTAGTCTATTATTTTTGTCTAAGATTCGATACTTAACTTTTTATTTAGTACATAACATTTGCTTTTATTCCTTTCTATCTTAAATGGCATATCGATTTTTTTAGTATCTCCTCAATTTCCTTCTTTGTAGCCTTTCTGCTCTTGTCAAAGAATGATCTTCTACTACACTCGTATCAGCCTCACTAAATTCATCAACTGAATCGATCACATCGTCATCGTAATCGCTGGTGTTGTCTAGATCTTCGTTGTCTGATTCTGTATAGTCAAAGGCTTCGTGCAAAGCTTTCCGAGACCTGAGATTTCTTAAACGTTCACCGCTAGTGCTTTCTTCAGCAGATGTTGTTTGAAGATTGCTTCTACTAATAGCTGTTCCTATGTCTTGCCATTCTTTAACGTTTTGCAAAAGAAACTTCATTTTATCGTCTGATTTTTCGAAGGATAATTTTTCAAGATCTTTCAAATTGGAGATTAATTGCTCGAATTCATTATCGTTTCTCGCCAAAGCATACCAATAACTATCTCCCTTTTTATCTGTGCCTTGGGTGATATCCCTTGCAAGCTTGACTTTGTCAAAAAATAACAATGTGAATTCTGATATACAGCCGCTTTGTTTGGTAACAATACTATGATCTTTACAAAAACCTTTGTATTTGTACGAATCCATTCTACGCTTGATAGTCATCCCATTTTTAGTGTTTATCTTGTTAGAATCCTTATAGGACGATAGGCTGGGTACATAAAACTCTCCAATGTCTTTTAGAGCCATGACCAAAGACTCTAACTTTCTCAATTTATACACCTCATTTGTATAAGGATCATTCAAGGGATTATCCAATCCTTCGAGCTCAAAAAGTTTACTCCATAAGTCATACAATCGAATATCAATATTATCACGTTCGGTATATGATGCAGCGTAATATTTCTCCCTTATCTTCTTATATATTTCAAATTTCTTGTCGAAATTGGCAGATTTATAACTATGCCTTCTCTTCCAGCGTAGTTCGTATCTTTCTCTTTCTGATTTGCAAAGAGCCAAATAATCATCCCTGATTTCATCATAAGTCTTTGCAGTATAGTTTGGCATCATATATGTTGCTATCCCAATAGATGGTTCTTCCTTTAAGTGAGATAGCCTAAATATCTCGGCATTTATATGAGGTGCATAAGATAAGCACCAATCGGAAAGGCATTCAAGTAAAAGTATGCGATCGTTAGGCTCCAATACTTTGAGACCAGCTCTAGATAGTGTCAACGTGTTAATTGGATTCTCTTCATCTGCCAGTTGTCTCCATTCTCTGGGATATCCCCAGTCCGATGTTGAAGATATGGTTCGCACTTTGGAAAACATCTTAGAATATGGCTTATTCCCATTTTTCAACTGGTGTAATGTTGGAGGGTTAAAATTTGATTTCACCGATTGCACGTTCAGTAGTTTCAAAAATGTGAATAGCAACAGATCCATCTTGTCCTCTGCATCTGTGTCGGTATTTCCGCCCACATCGACCAGGCTAAGGCCTACCTCGAAGTCCCTAAACGTTAAGCTGTGTAGATGGGGGTCGAAACACGCGTCAAATTTATCAATCATGGCCATGATCTTTACAATTCGGCCAGCATAAGCGACAGGGTTCAGTTTCAAAAGTTTCATCAGATCGGCATTGCCATATTCACCATAGGTTCCAGTATCTATTGACACATGGGATGACTTAATTGTATCCTCCTTAGAGAACTGCTTCAGTCTGAGCGTGTGCTCGATCTCGGTTTCTTCACTCAACACTTCAATGGCTTCAGGGTCGGCTTTATCATCTCCATCTGCTGTACTTGGCGCGGGAATAACTTTTGCGAGTTTCTCAGGTCTGCTCACAACTTTAACAGTTGTAAAATCATCAAATGTGAATTGTCTCTTCCTCTTAAGTGCTCCGTCCATTATTTATCCCTTGTACTTTCCTATTCGACAACCAGTGCTATGGGAGAGGGGCGGTTCAAAAGACTTTAAGTCGTTAACATAGGCTATGGGGGTAGTTATAAATACATATGCATAAGCAATATATCTGTAAATACACTACACTTTTGTAAATATCAGAGAGTCCATTAACATGTGATGTCTGGGTGCAACGCCAAATAAATTAAGATTGACATTTTTTGGCGTTTGCACCCAGACACCAAGACATGTATCATCCTGTACCACCTTAAAACCACATGACTAACCGTTTAGTAATATCCCGGAGTATTCCATAGTTCTTCGTGAAATAGAAAAAAACTAAAAATAAAATTAAAAAGAGACAAAGAGGAAAAAAACAATTATACCAGTAACAAGGCGCAGGACTGACCAGACTGCCCCTCCCCCACTTTTCTTCCCAATAGAACTAACCGTACACAAGGGAGCGAAGTGCTAAGAGGGAAGCCACTGAGTTATTCCGAGGGAGGGTTTTTCCGAGGAAATAAGACTGTTAAAAAGAAATTAAATTATATGAAAGAAGGGAAAAAAACGGTTGGGCAGTGAAACCGCAGTGGGGCAGAGAAGTATAGAATGATATTGTTGCTTAGATAAACAAGGAAAAAGGGCCATTGTTCTTACAAACTGATTTTTTCTAAACAGTGTTGCGGGAATTTAGTAGCTTCATTATCGGTAGGGTGTAAGCAGCGGTGGTACAAGATAATGTACACACATGTTCAAAAAGATAACGCAAATTGCTATGACATACTAGCAATACAAAAACACTAGTTGCAAAAACACTACATGCTACTACAAATATATCTTTCCCACACAAGTATGTATTTGAGTGCACAAATTTAAGGGTCCTTGGTGTCACCGTTAACGTAGTTGATTTCTACACCGAAAGGAAGAAAAAAAAAAAAGAGGCAGCCCACTACTCTCTATTGGAGCTCATTAGTGCATAACACAAGTGCCAAAAAGGACTCAAAACGAATATAATAGATAAAAGTAAAAATAAAAAATTTCTAGTCTTATAGCTTTAATACAAAACCAGAGACTCAAGGACGTATGAGTGCTAATAATATTGTGGGACCTGCTAGCAGGAAGAGCAGTATGATTGCTGATCTGAGCCGGACGGCGACGAATAACGAGCAGGAGGAGAGTCCCATGATCTTCGAGAGAGATGTGGAGGATCCATGCATGATGAACTCCACCTCTACAATCTCGAGACAGACTTCTAACACCAGCTTGTTGCATACTACTTCGAACCAGCGGAAGTACTCCACTAACAGTAACACTGGATTAAACTTATACTACACCCATACTGTATCCTCCTCCCCACAAGTGCCTAACAGCAGCAGCAACAGCAATAATAATAACCAAATTAGCAATGCATCCGAATACCAGAATAACTTCCCCAATATATCAAAGTCCTCTACCAATGTCTCTATGGACAACTGTGTAGAACAGGAGGTGATCTATCAGAATCCCATGAACCATAGGAGAACTTTGGAAAATTTTGTCCCACCAGCACTGGACGAAGGTTGTTCTATTGTGACAGATGATGCCACAGACTTGGAAGATGTTGATATGGTATTTGTGCAATCCAGAAAGCCTTCGACTCTGGGCTTAGATATGGCTCTTGGAAGGACTAGGAGCATGTCGACATTGAAACCATTGAGTAACGGCGATGAACTATCTAATGTGCCATCAAACAGCTCAGAACAATCCACTAGCCCTAGATTATTCAGATTCTATTCTTACGCTGACATGTTGTCTGAGGATAACTACTTGCATAATAAGCATACAACAAAGAGGCCATCTTTTACCCACCATTCTCTGAGCTCCAATGTCCTTCAGAAATCAAAAACCGCAGGACAACCTACAAACCATTCAGCTTCTAATTTGATCGGTACTTCTCCGCCAAAGACACAGAGCTTCGTCAACCCCTTTATCATATCAAGAAGATATTCAAGCAACGCAGGCCCTATACAGACAGCCACTGTACCTATCCCTACAGCACCAGGTGCAGTTGGGAGCAGATCGCAATCAAACTTGTTAAGGCAAGGCTCATACAATACCCTTTCCCCAAACATGACGCCAATGTCAAACAATAGTACCCCAAGTGCAGGCAACATCGGGAACAACAATAATAACTTCAATAATAAACCAGCAGATAGGTTCATGAGAACTAGTCAAAGACCTGCCATTTTTAAGAACTACAGTGCTAGTGGTCTTAGCGAAGTTGGCTCACCAACGAGTCCAACATTAAGCCTCAGCACCAGCCCTAGAATTGGCCCTAACTCGAGATCATTAACTACATCTCCACCTTCAGTAACATCGCCAATGATGATTAAGAGCGGTAGGTCAAATTCTGCTAATATAATGGGGACGTCCTCTAGGTCTCCTAGGTCAACAACTGGTGACAAGTACAAAATAAGCACAGTTTCTGCCAGACGAAAAACTGATCAGCTAAAGAAAAATCTTACGAAATTCCATATCGAATCCAGTGGCAGTGAGGGTTACTCAACTGATGAAGAATACGATGGCGAAACTAGTTGCACAAGTGGTAAGGATGCCAAGAAAAAGAGTATAGATAGCAATGTTTTTGACGATGATGATAATGATAGTGACAACGAACAATCGAGTGGTCATAAATCAGCAGATAATGAGGTGGATCCTCTAAGTGAGGATTTAAATGGAAACGGACATACATTTTTTCCATCAAACATCAAGATTAACAAAGAAAAACTACAAAAGAATTTAATGTCATCCTTTGAGAAGTTCCAAAGCTCAAAAATTTGGAGAAATTCTATTGGTGGAACGAACTCACCCAAACAAAATTCAAATTCCTCACATAATACAAATGAAACTCCAACCAATTCTCATCCAAATTCCTTCTTAAGACAATCTAATAACTCCAACTCATGTTCTACAATTACGGCAGTAATCAATGAAGCTAACTCAGGGACTACCTCAATCCCGAAGGCAACAAAATCTGTCTCATCGACACTGGAAGAATAGAAGTGTGTACCCCTCAGGCTGAACAGGTACCATGTATTTAGTTACCTGTTTCCGAGAATTGGACTACTCCAGAATAAGACACAGGAGGTCTTTTAAACTCACAATTTTTGAAATCATAGGATTTTAGTTTTATTTCAGTTTTATTTTACTGTGCTAACCCAACAATTTTTTAGATTTGGAGACTTTTACTACTCCCGTTATATTTCTTTTTTTGCCCCAGGGTTATCTTTGCTTTGCAGTTTCAAGGTAGTACGAGCTGGGGCCTTTTATAGATATAGATTCTTATTAGATTTTTACTACTACAACTATACAAATATATAAAAACGTTATTTCTTTTAAATTCCTTTTAGTTAATTAACGATATTTTCATCAACATTGTGAAAAAACATAGTAAGATTAATTTAGTCAGCGTTTTTGGTCCAAAATAATAAATTCTTTTATTATTATCTAAATTTAGAATATTATTAGAATGTATAGTTATATAGTAGTATCTCTGTTGAATCAATAGTAGATAGACATTTCAATTCTTTCTCCTACATGATAATGAATGACAATTTGCCTTTTAATTTCTTAAAACTTTAACACAGTAATAACAATTTGATTTCAAGAGAAATCTTTATACTTGGTAAGCATAGTAACTGCTAGAAAAGTGTTAGTGCACCTATGACTGAATATAAAAAAAAAAATTATGACTCCTGTAATAAAGATGCTCTAAAGTAACGAAAACATTAGAACAGGAATATCGAGAGATTTTAGTTTTTCTTCTCCTTTGTGTAACTCTTGGCATCGTCTAACTTATCTGTGACAACTTCATGTGCCTTATCAACTTGACCTTGAATTGAGCTGACAGAGTCGTTAGCCATGTCCCAGAAATTTCCTCTCTGTTTGTCGGTCCACTTCTGCAAAGCCTTCTTAGAGTTCTCGTAATCTCTCTTGGCAGCCTCATAGTTGGCTAAACTTTTTTCATGTACTTCATCCTTCTTTTCCTTTCCAAACTGCCACCATTTAGAAGCAGTTTTGTCAACATCACTTTTGGCTTCTGCCAACTTTTGACTAGCATCGTCGACTAGAGCTGCTGCTTCTTCCTTGGTCTTAGCGGCTTGCCATTTCAAATCTTCGTACTCTTCTCTAGCCAATTGGGCTGCAGTTTCACCCCAACCCTCAAGACCTTTGATAACACGCTTAGCCATTTCTTCCTCAGTTTCGTCACCCTTTCTGTAAGTGAACCAACCGTTTTCCTTGTACTTCTTCAACTCGTCCAGACGCCTTTGTGCCTCACTTGGACCAATTTGCATGCTTCTTCTACGCTCTTCTAATTCCTCTTCAGCAAATTCCTGGGCACGTTCACCCCAACCGACAACGCTTGCTGCGGCAAGTTTATCAACATCAGGCTTTCCGTCCTTGGAAGTGTCATCCTTCAACCAGGACCACAAGTCCTGTTTCTTGTTCTGGATTCCGTTCAATACATCTTGCTTATCGATGTTATTGGAGATCTCATTGAAACTCTGCTTTGTATATTGGTTGAAATCCTCAGAGGCCTTTTTCAAAGCCTGGCGTTTCTCTTCCAGCATCTTCTTGCAGTTTTCAACTTGTTCTTTCAAAGCGGCATCACCTGCACTGAAGAAACTCGTCTTGGAGTGCTTCCATTTGTCCAAAATATCGTTGTACTTCTTGTTGGCAGCGTCAAATTCACCAATGGCCACGGCCTTGGCCTTCTCGATGTCGTTATAGCCCCAATTGAAGATGGACTTGTTGTCCTGGGAGTCATCGCGCTCGTTACGGCGGTCCTCGTCCATGGAGGAGAACACATTGCGGCCCTTAACTGATCTTTGCAGCTGGGGTGGTGGAGAGCTCTTCACAGAGTCGGAAATCTGTTGTGCTAAGTCGTCACGGCCACGCTCGATGTACTTGGCGGTGTTGTCGTTGTATATACCTCTTAGCAACAACGCATCCTTGAAGGAGACGGCATCGTCCCAAAGACCTTCCTTGATCCTGGTCCAGGAACAAGCCTGATGGTCTCTAGTGATGGACAACGCAGTCTGTTTGCGCTTACCTTGCTCGTTCACGGCTTGGTTGAAAGTAATAGCTGCGACAGCAGCTGTAGCAGCAGCGGCACCAGTAATAACAGCCTTAGACATTCTGTAAAAATTTCTATTACGTTGGTGGTAGACTTTTTTTTGTTAGCCAAGAAAGGGTGTAAGGATCGATTATATTGTAGGTTATATATGTTTTTTTCAAAAGAAGGGGGGGGGATTGTATAGTATCCTTTATTTCGTTGTTTATTATGGTTACAAGTGACGTCCTGTTGAGGTTTTGTAACTCCGATTTGTCTTATGTCTTTTGCTCTACTCAAAACTTCAACATGTAGAACATACAAGCTAAACTTCAAAGTTCTCTTTTAACCATGGGATAGCTCATCGCACAGTAAGATATCCAATCAAGTTGAAGGGAAAAAGGGTAACACTAACCGGGGAGAGAACACGCTGCACAGAATGCATCCCCACATAATATCAAATCCCTTTTGAAGTGTGAGAAGAGGAAGTTTGGACTAGGACAGCATGCAGTAGCAACTGCACAACAACTGCACTAAGCAGAGGAAAACAGTTAAACCACTAGAGTGCTAGCAACTTTCCCCCCCACAAGAAGGGAAGGCCTCCCCTAAAAATATAATGTTAATATGTACGGAATTACCATGTGATGTATTATTACATACGTAGATACACACCTACGGTACGTCATATGATATGTTAGTATATACGTATATTGCGTTTGCACTCGGAGGCAGAAATTCTAAAGGTGAACGACGGAGGGGGGTGGAGCCAGTTTCAACTTTGTATTGTACCAACACCTATGAACGTTGATATAAGCCACTTCCTTTTGATCAAAGTCGTGTGGAAGTAGATGTTTTGGGATATTAGGACGAGATGATACTTGCGCTTCTTCAAGAATCCCCTCGTAACTTGGTTCTATACTTTATACAGCAGCTTGTGCCTTGTACCTGATCGAAGATAACTACTGACGGTTTTTACCCTATTCCTTTAGCTCATCGATTTATAAGAGCAATACTTTCAAGACTATTTTGAAACTTGTTAGTGCTGCAATAACTACATAAAAAAACAACAACAACCAATAAACTATGTCGCAATCAGCTATCAACCGTTCTTTGAACAATATTAGAAATGAACTCGACTTTCTAAGAGAGTCTAATGTTATCTCCGAGGGCTGTTTCAAAGAGATTATGATGAAACTGCCTTCTAATGGTGCTAGCCCAGTACCTCCACCAATGTCCCTGGAATACGTCGAAGCTCTGTACGATTTCCAGCCCCAACAAGACGGTGACCTGGCCATCAGAGCAGGTGACAAGATCCAAGTCCTGGAAAAGCCTTCCGCTGAATGGTACCGTGGTACAGTTAACGGCCGTGAAGGTATGTTCCCATCTAACTACGTGAGACCAGCCGCTGCACCATCAGCTAACTTGGCTCCTCCAGCTTACGACAACCCCAAACTATCCCCACAACCAACAGTACAATCTTTCCAGCCACCTGCACAACCGATCGTTGCTCAACCTTCACCACAACCTGCTTACTATCAAGCACCTCCACAACAAGTGGTAGTGGAACAACAGCCTGTGCAACAGAGCAGCGCACATAACGGTCTCAAGAGTTTTGGAAGTAAACTAGGTAACGCCGCCATCTTCGGTGCTGGTGCCACCTTAGGTTCTGATCTGGTGAACAGCATTTTCTGATCTTCAACATCACTTGTTCAAAACAGAACATTTATCATTTATCTCTTTTATTTCTTTATCTGAGTGGATACTCAGAACAACTCTCGTGTTGCTTTGAAAGCCCTTTTTATTGTTCTTCTACAACGGTGGAAAGAAGGTTAACAAAAGTGAACTATGATTTACGCAAGTACTTATATTACCTGACCTATACGATTTGTCTTTTTCTTTCATTTGATCAACTACTGGTGGGATTTTTCTAATATTTTTCTCTTTCAACATCGAACATGCCTGCACAGCGCTCCTTATTGTCATATCTATAGAACATACAATAAGCTCGTTGGTGCCGTGCAATTCTTTTATATATACTTTCATACTTTATACCTTTTTTAACGTTTTTTTACTGTAAATCATATAACAATCAGTCCAAGCCTTTTTCTTATTGTCTTTGTCTACAAATAGTATTATATCATGAACACCATGAATTTATGTAATTTTGAATATTAGCCATATTTTCTTTTAACTAATGAATATATTATAAATATCTCCCATACACATGATATATACGGTTAACGACATTGAGATGGGTCTGCCTGGAAGACTTTGAATGTGTCATTAGTTCCTGTACGTCTCTACACCACTCAGAGATTCTTTTCTTAGGGACAATTTTTTTCCCTAACTCATGCAATGTAGATATTTCAATTAACAACAGCCCTTCCTTTAAGTACTCGTCCTTGCCTTTACTAATTGCGCCAGTTTCAGTATCCTTGAAATCATTGATGATACGCTCTATGTTGTTTAAACTCACACTGATCCTGTACTTATACTTTTGTATATTGGACCACACGGAGCCAAGCTTGACGAAACGTTTCAAAGCCACAAATGATGTGTAGATGATCGCCAACGCAGGTGACATAGCCAGAATTCCAAATACCAACTGCTGCGATTTTAGCATCTTGTCAATACCATTCAATGCTAATGAGCCATCAACTTTCGTCTTCTGCACTTGGATCAGTAGTGAACGAACCAATGAACCAGTAACTATGTTCTTAATAGGGTGGGAAAGCTGAGTCTCGTAAATTTTCAAGAACTGCGTCAAATCTCCATGCTCAACCTGAGAAATTAGTTGATTTTCGTTAATCAACTCTCTGTGGTCACTGTTCTCCACAACAAAGCTAACAATCATTCTGCTCAAGGAACTCATTTCCGAGTCCAAAGTGCTTTGCGATGTCACTGAGATAGCACTGCCTTCATCATGTCTCACTGTTGCCCAGACCTGTTTCAATGGGGTGTATACCCAATTGTACATAAGCCCTGTCACGAAATCTACAACATTATGTTGGAGAAACTCCAAGATCTTGTATCTCGATTGCCACACTGCGATGATTGATGATGGTCCATACAATAGCCCCACAAGTAAAACAGGCCAGTTCCTGGAGATAAAATTGGGCTTCTTTACCAGAGTATTGGGTTTCTGTTCCTGCAGTTCCTTAATATTCAAAACTATTAGTTTCAATCTTGTTAACGAATCAACGGGCTGGCCTTCGACGTTAAGGTGCGAAGATAAACGGGAGATATGATTGTCCATGTCTTCATTTGTGTCGATAGAGCTATTGAAATCGTCTAATAGTTCGCCCAGTTTAATGGTGTGTTCGTTGACCAGCTCGGTCTCTACGGCCAGCTTTTTTGACAAGTCATCTCTGATGACAGACAATGGCAAATGCACCAACACGTTTAGGTATCTCCAAGGCTTTGTGAGCAGCTCATTCCTGTGCTTAGCGATCCCGACAAACTGGAAGTTTCTCAGCATTATCAAGTCCATTCTGGGTCTGAGCAGCTCAGTCTTGTTCTCGTAGCTATGTTTTATGAACCTAGGCACCATGCACTGCAACCCGTAGTACCAGGACTTCGCTCTGGAGGCCGATATGCTGTTATAGTAGTCCAGAGCGTCGTACGCCTGTGGCAGAGAGACGAGCGAGTCCGACAGCAGGTCATAGTAGGCGATCACTATAGTGTACTGCACGAGTGCGTTCTTGAACAAGTCGAGCACTTTAGAATCCCCCAGAGTGTCAATACAGGCATTTTCAAGGGTATCGAGTACTTTTTGTAAGTCGATGTAAACTTTTGTGCTGTTCTGTCTCGAGAGTCTATTTACCAGATCATCCACGATCTTCTTTATTGAGTACAAGGACCGTTGCAAGGATTGCAACTGCTGTGAGTCCTCGATGCCTTGCACCAGCAGCACTTGCAAAGCCTGTGACAATTGCTTGTCTATTGCGTCGAGCTTCAACACCACTTGGCTATCGATAATCATTGTTGAAGTGCTTGTACCAGGCACAAATATTAAATACTATTAATTAATTAAGAACATCATTATATTTAAACTTAAACTTTAATACTTCTGCTTTTTTAAGGGTAGTGATGAGATGAGATGCCATCCCTCCCCCAAGACTGCCAGTGAACTGAAAAATGTGAAACACGCAGAACCTCCATGTGATTTCTGATATCACATGGATACACAGGATATCACATGACATTTCGTTGGAATACACAAACCCAAAAAGGCCAAGAGTAGCACATGACTTATATGCACGTACCGCAGGACAGACGCGAAAAATGTAGAAAAAAACTGGTGAAAAAGTTCAGTGCAAAACACCACTGATGCAGTTGAAGGATGGGATTAGAGAAAAAGGAAAGAGAAAGAACTGCCACGTTTTCTCTCAGAAGAAAAGGCGTGGGAGTGGAGTGGAAAGACAAAATAAAAACGACGCGAACGCGTAATGTAAATTACACAGAAAACACGCAGAGAAAGAGAGAGAGAGAAGAGAAACAGAAAACTAGGCTTATGCCAGACCCAAGCAATATTAATTTGCTCAGAGAAGTGTGTGGAAGAGAAGAAATTACATTAGCAGTGCAAAATGCACCTAAGAAAACTAAGGAGAGCCATAACTGGCTTTCAGCAAAAGGCAAAAGAAAGAACAGCACACACACAGATACAGACACACACAGACACACAGACAGTAAGAAGGAAAGGGAATCACTGTGTAAGATCCTTTTGCCCAGGGCAAACCCAGCACAAATATATTTCTTGTGTGTCCCCAAATGGGCATCACATTTTAGACTTACAAAGTAGAAGAAAAAAAAAAAATCAGAAAACTTCCAATCTGATTCCAGCCTATCTTGAATTTTTTTTTTTCATGAAATCAAATATAACTTGCTGAAGAATAAAATAACAAGTCTCGACAGTATCAGTGATACTAAATAGCAAAACTAAAACTTTGTTGAAGGAATAATATAACAAGAGGGTGTAAAAAAAAATTAAGTACTGAGAAAGAGATAGTGATATAAGAACAATAGACAACAAAGAAAGAAACAGAGTTCAAATTGATTATACGCGTTGGGAGCAAAGGAAACTAAAAAACCTATTAGATTTATAGAAAACTAGGATACAAAAAGTACTCAAATGACTGTTAGAAATTTGACAGGACGTGATTACCGTTCCTCCAGGTCTTCTTCATTTGATAACAACACGGGCAATCCGTTTCTGGCGAGTGAAGAAGAGAACGATGACGATAGAAGTTCTTCCTCTTTCATCCATTACGACAGGGATGCGTCTCGACAAGCGGCGCTAGAGGGCCTTGACGGTCAGCGCCATGTGTCCGATTACAAAGGTTACTACTCTAAGAATAACACTGCTCAAAACTTGAATACGGGCAATGGCAACACTCCCAACCTGGACAACAGCAAGAGATACTTTTCACAGACGTCTCTGAACACTGGTCTTACAAGAAATGACATCTTGTCCCCTCCTGAATTTGATAGATATCCATTGGTTGGTTCGAGAGTTGCCTCCTCTACCCAGTTACACCAGCAGGCATACTCATCTTCTCCGGTGCCTCGCATGGCTTCATCGCCTGATAACTCTGGATCCTCTTTTTCCTCTACTAACAATAATACTTTCTTAGGTGAACAGGATTTCTCTCCCTTTGGTGGCTATCCTGCTTCATCTTTCCCACTACTGATGGAAGAAAAAGAAGATGACGATTACTTACATAACCCAGACCCTGAAGAGGAGGCTAGACTGGACAGAAAGAGATTTTCCAACGACTTCAAGTACATGGATAAGAGATCCGCCGGTGGTCTTGCGGGTGTTCTTTTCCTATTCATCGGGCTGGGATGTTTGTTCATCCTACTGCCAGCATTAACCTACACAGGTGTCACTGAACACGCTAAGCCAGTGGTACAAGAAATCTTGTCCGCTTACCAGTATCCACAATTGTCAGCAATAAGAACTAAGCTGGTGGACCCAGACACACCTCAATCAGCTCTGTCAAGACAGGCAAGAGATGGTTCATACTGGAAGCTGGTATTCTCAGATGAATTTAATGCAGAGGGAAGAACATTTTATGACGGTGAAGACCAATTCTGGACCGCTCCTGATATCCACTACGATGCCACTAAGGATTTGGAATGGTATTCCCCTGATGCATCAACTACACGCAACGGTACTCTACAACTAAGAATGGATGCTTTCAAAAACCACAACTTATACTACAGATCTGGTATGTTACAAAGTTGGAACAAACTATGTTTTACACAAGGTGCCATCGAAGTCTCAGCTAATTTGCCTAACTACGGTCGTGTATCTGGTCTATGGCCTGGTCTATGGACTATGGGTAACCTGGGTAGACCTGGTTACTTAGGTTCTACTGATGGTGTTTGGCCATATTCGTATTCTTCTTGTGATGCAGGTATCACACCAAACCAAAGTTCGCCGGATGGTATCTCGTACTTACCGGGCCAAAGATTAAGTGTCTGTACTTGTGATGGTGAGGAACATCCAAACCAAGGTACCGGTAGAGGTGCTCCTGAAATCGATATTCTTGAAGGTGCTACCGATACAGTCTTAGGTGTAGGTACAGCATCCCAATCCTACCAAGTTGCACCATTTGATATCTGGTATATTCCAGACTATGACTTCATTGAGATTCACAATTTCACTACAACCACTATGAATACTTATTGTGGTGGTCCATTCCAACAGGCTATTTCTGCTGTGACCACTTTAAACACTTCATGGTATCAGTATGGTGAAGGATCTGGATATTACCAGAAATTTGCAATTGAATTCTTGAACGACGATGAGGATGGATATATCCAATGGTATGTCGGTGACAAGGCCACTTGGACTTTAATGAACACAGCTTTACACGCCAATGGTAACATTGATAATAGACACGTCAGTAAAGAGCCTATGTCCATCATTTTGAACTTAGGTATCTCCAATAACTGGGCTTACATTGATTGGCAAATGATCTACTTCCCGGTAACCATGTCTATTGACTATGTCAGAATATATCAACCAAACAACAGTGTTAGTGTTACCTGTGATCCTCCTGATTATCCAACATACGATTACATCAAGGATCACCCAATTGTCTACAACGACGCTAATGTTACCAAGTGGAATCTGGCTGGCTACTCCACACCAAAGAATATATTGACTGGTAACTGTAAGAGCTCAAAGTTCAAGCTGTCCTCTTAGAAAGTAGCACTGCTTTGATAAACCTACAATTGTTAACAATATATCTTTAATTTCAATTTCAATTCCAATTTCAACTTCAATTTCTTTTTCATAGCTTCAATTCATTTAACTATAGGGAATCTAGTACTATCATGTCTACATTTTTTCATATATATTTATCTCATGCATTTATCTTTAAGTAATATGGAATACATTTTTTTTCTCTCTACATATAACGTTTGATAGACTATTCTGTCCAGTGTGTGTTTCCCAGAGTTCAGGAAATACCTCAAACGATAACAATAATACAGCCCGATAGCATTGATGCGAGATCTGTGTTATAAGATCCATTTATGTTTCGAAGGGCAGATCTGTTCCATGAAAAGAACCATCTTATCAGAAATACGACTCATTAAAAGGAATGTTTCTGCACCACTCGACAAATATTGTAAACAGATCGCCCGAGCTGCCCCACCTCCTTTGGCTCAAAAAAAAGTGTGAAAACAAACCCCCACCCCATTACGACTGCAATCTTCCCGTCCAAAACTGCAATAAAAATACCGCACCACCAACCAAAATTTAATCAGCATAATGCGGGGCAGACAAACCAACGCACGGGATCTCCATTAAAAGAGGGAAAAAGAGATAAACCACGGCCCTGCGAACTTTGTGTGTAGAATCACTGTCTACAGGGAAGGGATGGAAGGGGGGTGGGAAGAACCACTGCTTACAGGCATTTTAGTAGTCTTCTATGGCTTTTCTACCAAAAGTGATACTCCCAGCGCGGAAGGAAGGGGGGGGGGGAGGCAGTTAGGATGGACGGTTTCAAGAGATGAATCCTCACATCCCTACGTAACTTTCTTCAACGGAACATAGCTTCTATTCTTCTATTCTTCCATTTTGTCGCTGCGAGTATTGAAACCAAAAATGAAGGAGGTGCTGCGCGACTTTTGTCCTCTATCTGGAAAGATGGCAGCCACATTGGCTAAACCCATTTGAATGAAGAAGGATATTCTAACCAATTGCCAATATATGGACTTGATTAGGAGATAATCAGCATTAGTTTGGGAAAGAGAAACTACCAATCAAGTTACTCTCTCTCTCAATTGAGTACACATTCTTTGTCTTACTATTGCCCCCTTGCAAGGGAAATCATCTGCACATAGACTGTTACTGTCTTCGAATGGAACTTAGAAGGGGGATGGTACGGGGAAGACAATGTTGAAAAAAGCCGGTCCAGATAAGAGAGGTTGGTGAGTGTGCAGTTTCATTTTAATCCTCGAGGAATCCAGCTCTAAACTAAAAGGGGGGGGGGGGGGGTGGAGGAAGTTGAATTGTTGGGATGCAGTATTGTATGTATTTGTATTTGTATTTGCATTTGTATGTCTATGATTTCTACTTGTAGTACGAGGGAAAAAAAAGGACCCGTTCCTTTCAGAATCTTGTCAAAAGCTCTGTATAATGACTATCTCACACTGTGTTAAAGGATTTCCCCCTTCAACCACAGGGGCAGGGAGATGGAAAAGGGAGTTGATTGAAGGGGTTATTTTTTTGTAGTTCCAAATTTAAGAGTATAAAAAGGATGGTGGTTTTCTTTTGAACCTGTAAGACACCATTGTGTTAATCTTTGTAAATGGCAGAAAGATCCAATCTCTTTTTCTTTAGCAGTTGTACATACTAATATCATATATCCCTATCAATTGACTAAAAGGACGATTATACAATTGGTGTGAGAATACGTTGTTAAAAGAAGTTGAGAAAGATTGAAAATTATTGAGAAATAATTTACACTTAACAATTACAATGTCGCCAACTTCCTCCAGTACTACTAATGACATGATCACTGAAGAACCTAGCAACCATCGTCAAGTACCTCGTCTAACGAGGAGATTGACAGGTTTCTTGCCTCAGGAGATCAAGTCTATCGATGCAACTATTCCATTGAAGTCTCGTGCTTTGTGGAACAAGCATCAAGTTAAGAAGTTTGAGAAACCAGATGACTTCCAGGATAGATTCATTGACCATGTTGAAACTACATTGGGTCGTTCTCTGTATAACTGTGATGAATTGGCTGCTTACGAAGCCACTTCGATGAGTATCAGGGACAACATGATTATTGACTGGAACAAGACTCAACAAAAATTAACCACCAGAGATCCAAAGAGAGTTTACTATCTGTCCTTGGAATTTTTGATGGGTAGAGCTTTGGATAATGCTTTGATTAATATGGATAACGGTGAAGACAAAGCCAACGAACAACCAAGAAAGGTAATCAAAGGTGCTTTGGATGAGCTTGGATTCAAGCTAGAAGACGTTCTTGATCAAGAACCTGATGCCGGTTTAGGTAATGGTGGTCTTGGTCGTCTTGCTGCCTGTTTTGTTGACTCTATGGCCACCGAAAACATTCCAGCTTGGGGTTACGGTCTGCGTTATCAATATGGTATCTTTGCTCAAAAGATTATAAATGGTTACCAAGTTGAAACACCAGACTATTGGCTAAACTTCGGTAACGCCTGGGAAATTGAACGTAATGAAGTTCAAATACCAGTCACGTTCTACGGTTATGTTGATAGAGATGGCAAAGACACTACTACGCTATCGCCATCCCAATGGATTGGTGGTGAAAGAGTTCTTGCGGTCGCCTATGACTTCCCAGTTCCGGGCTTTAAGACCTCTACCGTCAACAACTTGAGACTATGGCAGGCTAGACCAACCACTGAATTTGATTTCGCCAAATTCAACAACGGTGACTATAAAAACTCTGTCGGTGAGCAGCAACGTGCTGAATCTATCACAGCCGTTCTATATCCAAACGATAACTTTGCCCAAGGTAAGGAATTGAGATTGAAGCAGCAATATTTCTGGTGTGCCGCCTCTCTACATGATATCCTGAGAAGATTCAAGAAATCTAAAAGACCATGGAGTGAATTCCCTGACCAAGTCGCTATTCAACTAAATGACACTCACCCAACCTTAGCTGTTGTTGAGTTACAAAGAGTCTTGGTTGATTTGGAAAAGCTCGACTGGCACGAAGCCTGGGATATTGTTACTAAGACTTTCTCCTACACCAACCACACTGTTATGCAAGAAGCTTTGGAAAAGTGGCCAGTCGGCTTATTCGGTCACCTGTTGCCTAGACATCTTGAAATCATTTATGACATTAACTGGTTCTTCTTGCAAGACGTGGCTAAGAAGTTCCCTAAAGATGTTGATCTATTGTCTAGAATCTCCATCATTGAAGAGAGCAGCAATGAAAGACACATCAGAATGGCATACTTGGCTATTGTCGGTTCTCACAAGGTCAACGGTGTTGCTGAGTTGCACTCCGAATTGATTAAAACTACCATTTTCAAGGACTTCGTCAAATTCTTTGGCCCATCTAAGTTCACTAATGTTACCAATGGTATCACACCAAGAAGATGGTTGAAGCAAGCCAATCCAAAACTTGCCGAATTAATTAGCGAGATTTTGAAGGACCCAAGTGAAGACTACTTGCTTGACATGGCTAAACTAACAGAGCTTAATAAGTATGCCGAAGACCCAGAATTCCAACAAAAATGGAATGAAATTAAGCAATACAACAAATTGAGATTGGCTGATTTAATTAAGAGAGAGAATGACGGTGTTGATTTGATTGACAGAGCCCATATTTCTGATACTTTGTTTGACATTCAAGTCAAGCGTATTCACGAATATAAGCGTCAACAATTGAACGTATTTGGTGTTGTTCACCGTTATTTAGCCATTAAAGAAATGCTAAGGAATGGCGCTTCCTTGGCTGAAGTTGAAAAGAGATATCCACGTAAGGTCTCCATTTTTGGTGGTAAGAGTGCTCCAGGCTATTACATGGCTAAATTAATCATTAAATTGATCAACTCTGTTGGTGACGTGATCAACAATGATAAAGAGATTGGTGATTTGCTAAAGATCATTTTCATTGCTGAATACAATGTCTCGAAGGCCGAAATCATCATTCCTGCTAGTGATTTGAGTGAACACATTTCTACTGCTGGTACTGAAGCTTCTGGTACCTCAAATATGAAGTTTGTAATGAACGGTGGTTTGATCATTGGTACTGTTGACGGTGCTAATGTTGAAATCACTAGAGAAATTGGCGAAGATAACATTTTCTTGTTCGGTAACCTAGCAGAAAATGTTGAAGATTTGAGATACAACCACCAATACAATGGCCATGAGATTCCTGAATCTCTATCAAAGGTTCTTGAATATATCGAAAGTGGCGAACTAACCCCAGAAAATCCAAATGAATTTAAACCATTGGTTGACAGCATTAAGCAACATGGCGATTACTACTTGGTCAGTGATGATTTCGAATCTTACCTAACTACTCAAGATCTTGTTGACGAAGTTTTCCACTCCCAAAAGAAGGAATGGATCAAGAAGAGTATTTTAAGTGTAGCCAACTGTGGTTTCTTCTCCAGTGACCGTTGTATTGAAGAGTATGCTGACACGATTTGGAATGCCGAACCAGTCAAGCCATAATCTCAACTGCTTTCTATATGTGATAATATTATTGTGATAAATCGATTTTTTTAACTTTCTATTTCCACTAAAAACTCGGACTCATTGGGGCGATAAGGTCTATTTCAACTTGTAATGTTGTTTATAAACAGACATTTCTCCTAGCCGTCACTTTACAGTGTCTCAATACAGTTTAAATAATAAAAAAGTATTATGTTTTACAGACCATATTAATTTTTATGTATAATTTTTGAACGTAAGCTATAACGTCTACGTCATAATTCCAATATAATTAAAATTATAATCTTCATTAGCGTTTTCGAAATACAAACAAAGTCTACCCAAGTCCTTCTTCATTTATAGGAGGTAATTAAATTCATAGATTTCATAAATGATACCATACCAACATACACTATGACCTTTACACAACAATGTATAACTAGGCATTTACAAAAATCTCTTTATCAAAATTGCTGGCATATCAAAACTATCAACTGAGAATCGTCCCTGAAACAAAAATAAAGGAACAAAAACAAATAGAATAAGGCATAAAATTAATGACAATACCCTCGCAGTTACTATAAATATAAAAAAGAAATGAAAGGAATGTACTAGATCATTACATTGTATAATTAAGTTAACTAAAGAAATGTGACTGCGACTAAAAAGTGAAATAAAAGATCAAATAAAGTACAGTTAACCAAAGTCAATAGGATACTTTGGTCAAAAAAAAAAAATTAAAATAAAAAGAAAAAAAAACTAATGCAATAAAGTTGTGTTGTGCGGCATTGATGTTCATTCCAGTACAATAACCACAAGTTATGATTCTTTTGAGGTGAATGTATCAATAATGTCGTTCATTCATTACCATTATTATAATCGTCGTCACCATCATAACAAGTGCTATTATAAGACTCTCGTCTAGGTTCGTAAAAACAATATGAATTCAAAATAGACTGATAATCCAATGGATTTTTATGCAATGTATTCATGTTATCTGTGTAGCCAAGTTTACCCATCGTATTTTGAAAACCTTTAGCCTCCAAGTATTCACTTCCTGCAAGTTCTGCGTCATCACTAACGCTGCTTATGTCCAATGAGTTACCAGAGTTCAGAATTGAAGCAACCTCGCTACTTGGGGTATCCGAAGGTGATGTATTGTTGCTTGTACAGTTGACATCATCATCCGCATTTTCAGCACTGTAATAGCTTTGGTTGCTGCTTTCATCGCTAGTAGCAAAATTGTGAATAACTAAGGTTTCTGAAGAATTATTTGGATTTAGTGTAAAATTTCTCACCTTGCTTAAATCTACAACCGGATGTACATCTGATTCGACATCTTCAAAGTTATTATTATTTTTCAGAATCGATATTGGAGTTTTTGGTCGGGTATTTCTTTGGAGGTTAAAGTTCCCTAAATCAGAAGCATTTAACGGGTTATGAGATTCTTCTTCATCAGAATTTAGAAATTGGAAGTTTAGATTGTTTTTATAAACTTTCTTTAAATCAACCCCTGTACCTGTTTTTGATTCTTCAACCATAGAGTCATGAAAGTGCATGTCGCCAAGGGTGTTTTGAATATATGCAGCGGTAGAGTTATAGTTAGTTGTGATAGGCTTGTTGGTATAATTGTAGGAATGTGTTTCTAAAAAACCAGCGTCGTAGTTCGGATCCTGTGGGCTTTCCAATTCATTGGCATTGAGGACTTCATTAATACGGGTTGGCTTAATTAAAGTTGTGTCGTTATGATATAAATGCTTTAGTGGGGATGTATTGTAATAGTCAGTGTCATCACTGAACCTTCTAGAATATGAATTATTGTGAAAGAATAAATTGTGTGAAAGTGTTGTGGTTGTTAAAAAATCTGTTTGGAAACTATGTTGTTGTGAATGATGTTTGGAAGAGTTATGTCTTTTCTGATTAGAGTTTGACATTGTGCTCATAATTGGCTCCGAAGTGGTCTTCCGCAGTTCCTGAATCCCGACAGAATTTGGTGCTGTTACAACAACCATTGAAATATGATAATTTTTGTAATTGTTGTTGTCATAATAGGTTTCGTTATTAACATCATAGCGGCAACACAAATCCATCGACAAATCACAATATGTGCAGTCTTCATTTGAATACGAGTCACAATATATCAATCCCTTCGATTTCAATATGTACTTGAAAGTCATGACATCTATTGTGAATCTAAACTCATCGATATGATCTGTGATGGACTTGTTATATGTAGCGGTAGCGTAATGAATATCTTTCCAGTTATTGAAAGAGAACTTAACTTCAATGAACTTCTCAAAATTCAAGTTATTGACATATATTAACCCTTTGAGCTTGTTAGTCTTTTTCTGTAAATTATGAAGCTTGATATTAGAGCCGTTCAAATAGTTGAATATCATGGTCTCAATCTTAGATATATCCTTGACATCGTCATACCTATAGTGGTTCAGGTTATACTTTTGCGAGAAAGGTACCAGGTTCGTGTCCAGGATGTTGCAATCAACAATATCAAAGCTGTCTACATCCAGGCCATCTAGATTACCCAAGTCAGTTTCGCTATCAGTGCTGGTGTAGTCACCGAAGCTATCAGCGTCGTTGTCATCGATATCCTCATCCTCGTCATCAACACCTAACCGGAACAATTTTTGTGACCTGCCCAGCGGGGTGTCATTCCCAAGAGAATAGTTCGTTACTGGGTTGAACAAGATAGGTGGAAGGTTATATTCTGGGATGTTCAGAGTATTGCTTTGTGTGTTTGAGAACGATAACTCAGGCGAGCTCTGGTTACTAGACGAAATGGAGATAGGTTCGGAGTCAGAGTCGAACTTCCTCACTGTTGTGAGTTCCGGAGCAAAGCGAACATTTTTCAGCGATTCCGACTTGCGTTTATACATGATAGAACCCATAATAAAAAATCGGCTAATTTATTTCCTTTAATCAAATTATTAACCCCCGTATAGCACCTCCCGGAGTAGGTTCAAAAGATAATAATGTGAAAAAAAATAAATATTATGTGTACCTTTTTTTGTTATTTTTTGTTGTGAGTATAGCTTTCCTTTCAGTAAAGATTTACTCTTATATAGATTTTTTTTTTTAGAGTTCTTGTTTGTGGAAGAATTTATCAATGTGTACCTGAAAGGAAAAACATTTAATGTTATATAGAATGGCAAATTTGGTTTTCCATTTCACTTAAAAACTCTTCCGCAAACGAATCTTATGTCATATTAATTGAAGTATATGCTAATAATCCTTATGATTGATGAGCAAGTTTTGCAAGAAAAAATTTTAATTTCACTTTTCTACCGTCTCTATGCTTGTGTGAGGGGAGTAGTAGTAGAAAGTCCTTCCCTCAACAGCTTCTCGAGAAGATAGATTAGATGTCTTGGAAATGGAATATGACAATCACAGTTGCGCCAGACAAGCCAGTAGTCCTCGGTGTACATTTGGAATAGATAGGGAAAGTGATTAACGGAATTTCAATAAAGGATGAGGGAAGGGGGCAGAGGGGAGTGGCAGGGAACACATAAACATATGAAGAGATGATTTGTAACGTTTTCTCTGCAGTGAGAAGCTGGTGCAGAGAACATTCTGGTGCGTCTTTATTTACTGTGTTACGCAGACTTCTGGGGGGGGGAGGCTAAATATCATTATCTAACTATTTCATAACAAAGGGGTCCATCGCATCTATTCCCCGTTAAATTAAGGAAATAGGAATATGCAGTGTAACAGTCGTACCAATCATACTCAGATGATCTATTGTACTTGACTTTCACTGGTAGACCTGTGAAAATAATAGGGGGCATATGGGAGAGAGACGGAATAGAATCACGAAGGGATGACTAAGAAAAGAACGGGGAAGGAGTTTTAATCTATTACTGAAGTCGGAAATTTTTGATTCTGGAATAAGAGTTGTTGAGAGTTGTGCGGGATTTTATCAGTTTTTGAGAAGATATGCTCATCTGTAAGGCAAAAAAAAAGACGGAAGCTAATAAAAGGAACAGACGGTACGGGTTTTCCTCATAGAATGATCGGATGTGCAAATGGATGGGGATGGCAAGTTGCAGAGAGTACGGATGTTTGTTACTAGGGTAGTAAATCGAAAAGGACGAATTCCGATTTTAACATCCCCATTGAAAAACGCTCTCAAACATCCGCACCCCCTTTATTAAAATAAATTTCACTTCTCTTTCGGGATTTTCAACGGGATGTACCAAACCACCACGGTTCTGAAAACCACGAAAGCTGTGCTTTTCCGTATGAGGAAAAAAAACACAGAAACGGAACTGACAATGAGAAGCACGTACTACTTATTTGGGAAAAACTTTGCCTGCGCTGGCACTTCATGCCCTATTAGTGAAACATCTTACGTGGGGGAGGGGCACTGTAAAGACAGACGTGTTAGCGTGTGAACAGAATGAAGACTTTTTCATGTATGGTCTTTCCGCGGATGGGAAAGGTCTCACTGTTCTTTACTCCCCCCAAACCCAGCATACCACCCACACTGCAGGGTAGACACTGTGCAACACTTCATCCTCAACACCCCCACATTATTTTTTATTACCATTTACTGTGCACAACACTCAATCTGAGTCATGAAATCCGGGGCTTGCATATGTGACTGAGAAGAAGCCGCACAAGCACGAGGGATAAAGTGAATGTTGCTCGGAATCGAATGAAACAGGATTATTGGCGATTGTAAGTAGTCTCTATTGGAAAGCAACACGAATGCAAGAGACTTTCTTGGGTGTGTGTGTGTGGGGGGGGGGAGTTTAGGTTCGTTGGGCTTTATTTCACTATGACAATCAGGGATACACGGCCGGTAACAGAACGTTTAAAGCAGCCAAGATGGTCAGTGGGATGGTTTATAGTAATTCAAAAGTGAAAAAGCAGGTACTAGTCGCAATAACAAGCTCGCTATCTGATTCCATCTAAAGAACTTGCCCTCCATTTAGTTCGATCTTTGAAATATACCTCAAACCTAGAAAAGACTATAGCTATAGCTGTACCAATAACCAACCAAGATAATGGAATGGTCAAAACTGCTCAAAAAAACAGAACCAAATCCTGGCATTAGACAAGTCAGAGACCTCAAAACAAAAATTGTGACTTTTGTGAATTGAAGTTTAACTCAGCCTTCATTGAGCTCTCTAGTGCTTAATGCAATCCCGCGAAAGATGAGACCACCCCATACTCCATGAACTAAAACTAGTCAAACCTTGATGCCAATGGCAACTCGATATCACGTTCAAGATATTGTTATACCGTGTTGCCATTTCACTTTCCCAACAGACGTAACTATTTCTAAAGAATTCGTACAACAATATGTAAATTTGGTGTAATCACATGATCATTATCAGTGCCATATTTTTTTTGAAAAGACGAATACAATATTCGACATGGTCTTTAATTACATTTCCCAAAAGGGTAAAATCGTTAATTTCGCCATTTTTTTTTTTCACTTCGAGTTGGCATTGTAACAATTATACTTAGCTATTATTTGATTACCACTGTATTATAATTGAACTTAACGCCTATTCTTATATAAAAAAATTCATTTTCATAAATAACTGAACAGACATCAGAAATAACAGATTGTGTATTAATTTTTTATTTCAATGTCCTTTGATAGACCCGAGATATACAGTGCACCTGTGCTGCAAGGTGAATCTGCCAATGATGACGATAACACTGAGATTATTAAAGCGTTCAAGAGGTTCATACTTGAGTTTAGATTAGATTCGCAATTCTTGTACAGAGACCAATTGAGAAACTCGCTTTTGGTTAAAAACTACTCTTTATCAGTGGACTTGGAACATTTGATTGGTTATAATGAGGATCTATACAAGAGACTATCCGATGAGCCATCTGATGTGATACCATTATTTGAGACAGCCATAACGCAGGTGGCCAAGAGAATCATGATTCTTAATAAATCTTCCAATACTAATGATGGCTTGGATGACATCGACGAAAATAGTAATGATTTGGCTGACGACGAGGATGGAATTACTGACATTCCGGTGTTTCAGTTGATCCTGTCCTCAAGAGCTAACCAAGTATCTTTGAGACAACTAAACTCTGAACATGTGTCAAACATTGTTAGATTATCAGGTATTATTGTCAGTGCCTCCGTACTTTCTCAAAGAGCAACACACTTGTCTTTGATGTGCAGAAACTGTAGGCATACCATGTCTCTTAATATCAATAATTTTAATTCAATCACTGGTAACTCTGTCACTCTACCACACTCATGCCAATCGACTAATAATAACAGTACCGCAGCATATATTCATGACACAGGCGATGATCCAACTGGAAGTGGAGCAGCAAGCAAAAATTGTGGCCCTGACCCTTACATCATTATCCATGAATCTTCAAAGTTCATTGACCAACAGTTTTTGAAACTACAGGAGGTACCAGAGTTGGTCCCAGTCAGTGAAATGCCAAGAAACATCACAATGACATGTGATCGATACTTGACTAACCGAGTGAACCCCGGTACAAGAGTCACAATAGAAGGTATTTATTCTATTTATAATTCGAAAAAGAGGTCTGGTGCCGCTGGACAGTCTGGATCTGGTGTTGCCATCAGAACACCATACATCAAAGTTCTAGGTATTCAAACTGATGTCGAAGCTTCTTCAATATGGAACTCTATGACGATGTTCTCAGAAGAAGAAGAAGAAGAATTTTTACAACTGAGCAGAAGACCAGATATTTATGAACTGCTGGCTAATTCTATTGCTCCATCTATTTTTGGTAACCAGGATATCAAGAAAGCTATTGTATGTCTACTAATGGGCGGCTCTAAAAAATTACTTCCTGACGGTATGAGGCTAAGAGGTGATATTAATGTGCTATTGCTAGGTGATCCCGGTACAGCAAAATCTCAATTACTAAAATTCGTTGAGAAGGTATCTCCTATTGCAGTCTATACATCTGGTAAAGGTTCTTCTGCCGCTGGTCTGACAGCAAGTGTTCAAAGGGATCCAATAACAAAAGAATTTTTCTTAGAAGGTGGTGCTATGGTTCTTGCAGATGGTGGTGTAGTGTGTATTGACGAATTTGACAAGATGAGAGATGAAGATAGAGTAGCAATTCATGAAGCTATGGAACAACAAACCATCTCTATCGCCAAAGCTGGTATAACTACAGTTCTGAACTCCAGGACTAGTGTACTTGCAGCCGCTAACCCAATTTATGGTAGATACGATGAATTAAAATCTCCTGGTGAGAACATCGATTTCCAAACAACAATTCTGTCCCGTTTTGATATGATTTTCATTGTTAAAGATGAGCACAATGAGGAACGTGATATATCTATCGCCAACCATGTCATGAATATCCACACTGGCCATACTGATGCCCAGCTTGAGGCTAATGGCTCGGAACTAAGTATAGAGAAAATGAAGAGATATATCACTTATTGTAAATCGCGCTGTGCCCCACGACTAACACCAGAAGCGGCAGAAAAATTATCTTCACAATTTGTTACCATTAGAAAGCAGCTTTTGATTAACGAATTGGAATCCACAGAAAGATCATCAATTCCTATAACAATCCGTCAGCTGGAAGCTATCATCAGAATTACTGAATCTTTAGCCAAGTTAGAGCTCAGTCCTATTGCTGAAGAAAGACATGTTGATGAGGCTATTAGACTTTTCCAAGCTTCTACTATGGATGCTGCTGCACAAGACCCTATTGGTGGTATGAACCAAACTAACTCCTTATCTGATATTAGAAGAGTCGAACAAGAATTGAAAAGAAGACTTCCAATTGGTTGGTCTACATCATATCAAACCTTGAAAAGAGAATTTGTTGATACGAATAAAGTCTCTCAAAGTTCTTTGGATAGAGCTCTGTACGCTTTGGAAAAACATGAAACCATTCAATTAAGGTATCAAGGGCAAAATATTTACAGAAGCGGCATATGATTACAGTTCGATGAAATCTTAACCTATTAGTGTCAAATCTCATCATGTAAACTTTCGAGAATCTTAAATATAAATCATTATCTGATCAATTAGAGTTGTATTATTACATAAAAATGTTTTTCAAATTTCTTCATTATATATTTAATTTTAGGAAATATGAATACTAAAATATTGCTATTAGTCTTCTATGATACTGCGATGAGGTACCTATCTACGAATTAACAAATTTAGTGAAGAGCCAAAATATAAAGTTCCTTCCTAATAATGTAGCAGTAAATATCAATAAAACTACCATATCAAAAAAAAGCATCTACCAAATACCAATTAACACGACCAGCTGTATTTATACATCAGATTATGTCGTATGTTTTTCTTTAAAACCAAGAAGGTTCAAGTTATTTTGATGTTATACCTATGAATGATTTTACTAACAATAATAACATATGTGAAAACTAGCTACCATATACTAGTCTTATGTCGAATAGAAGTAGAGAAGCCATAATATCACGTCCAAAGTCAGAACTTTCGAAGGAGGAGTTAGAACAACTGGAAGAGTTTGAGTTTAAACATGGGCCTATGTCACTCATAAATGATGCAATGATCACAAGAAACCCAGTAATTATATCTCTCCGAAACAATCATAAACTAATAGCAAGGGTAAAAGCTTTTGACAGACATTGCAATTTGGTGCTGGAGAATGTTAAAGAATTATGGACTGAAAAGAAGAACAAACAAACTATAAATAGAGAGCGCTTCATCAGTAAACTGTTTTTAAGAGGGGACTCCGTGATCGTTATCCTAAAAGCTCCTCTCCAGTAACTTAGTGTTAGCTAAATTGCAAGATATCAGCTGTAGTTTGGCAACTATATAGAACCTGTGTACTATAATTCGCATTTTGAAAATCATCTTAAAATATCAATTATGTAAGTATATACATACATATATGCACAATATCTTGATCCATACATTTTGCAAAAACAAACAACAATACACATGCATTATCAGTCATTAAAACTTCTTCAAGGCATCGGTTTTCCCACCTTTACGCTTTTTGTTCTTGCTGTTCTTGGATTTTTTACCAACCTTATTAGGTTTGTGAAATGGAATAAATGAAATTTTCTTTTTGTCTGTTCTAGCATTTTCGGGTAACAAGTATTCTGGAATACGCTTTAAGTGGTTCTGAACTCTTGCAGGGTGTAATTCTTTATCATGCCTTAAGGATTTAAGTTCAATTGGATTTTCTTCAAAATGTCTTTTTAATTTTTCACTTGCAAGCAACTCTTCCTTTAATTCTTTTATTCTTGCCTCTCTAACCGCCACCTGTGTAACGGCACGGAAACCATCTTCCATTCTATATCTGAACCCTTCAACTTGTTTCAAATCAAAAGAATATGGCTGGATTTCTAAACCAAGTTTACTCTGTTGCTTTATTATCCTTGACAATATTTTTTCGTCTTTCTTAGCGCTTGGAAGCATGGAGGGTTTATGCTTACCAAACTCCTTTAGAGGTACGACAAACGAGATCGCAGTACCAGATTTGCCGGCACGAGCAGTTCTACCCACTCTATGAACGTATGCCTTAGCAGTGGTAGGTAGATCAAAGTTTACAACACACGCAACATTCTTGAAGTCTACACCACGTGAAACACCGTATTCCTTATCCTGTTTGTAATTGTTCTTAGTCTTCGATTTAATACCTGTAGTAGAATTAGTACTTTCTTCAGCAACAACTGTGTTGGTTTCGTCATTCTTTTCTTCAACCTGAATGTCATCTTTTTGTTCATCATCAAATTCCTTAATGTTGTCAGCATCATCAGTAGCAATCAACAAATGATACACATTTTTGTTAAATTGATCAACAATATGTTGTCTAGAATTTGCAGGAAGTTCATTGTTTAAAATGCATGATTTAATACCGAATTGCTCCAGAACTAATTTCAACCTATAACCTCTATCAATATTATTCACAAACACTAGTGTCTTACCTTTAATCAGTCCTAGTTTGAAAATAACGTAACAGAAAAGAAACTTGTCGAATTCGCCGACACGAACGTAATATTGGACTAGTTTAGTCTTATCCTTATTTATCTCATCATCATTAAATTTAATGATTGCTGGAGATCGACAGTATTTTTGTTTCAATGATTGTATATCATCACTTAATGTCGCACTCATTAAAAATGTTTGCAAATTCTTCTTTAAGGGCAGGTACTCAGCAATTTTGTCAAGATCATCTTGGTAGCCAAATGTTAGTACCAAATCGACTTCATCGATTACCAAAAATTTTAAATCATCAATACCAACTGTGTCTGTATTCCTTTCCAAAATATTTAAAATTTTACTTGGTGTACCAACAATTATCTCTGGATTCTCTGAAAGCAACGTATTCAACACTGATGTTGATAAATCTGCTGCAAGGTTCAAAACCTTTATGTCCTTGGAACAATAATGGATTAACTTTTCTAACACAGCAGTAACTTGCTGAGTTAACTCCCTGGTTGGAACCATGATTATTCCTAAGGTGCCTGGCTCATCTCCATTAGTTCTAGACTTTTTGTAATCGAGAATCGTTTGTATAACTGGAATCAGATATGCCAAAGTCTTACCAGAACCTGTGGCAGCCTTAGCAATTATATCTCTTTTCTCCTCAAGAGCTAATGGAATTGCATGTGATTGGATTAATGTTGGGTGTGTGAAACCAGAGCCCTTAATTGCTTGCAATAACCTTGCATCTAGTTTAAATGATTCAAAATTTACGGAATCATCAATATATGCTTCAGACGCTATTGTTGTCATTTTGAATTGTCTGTGCTATTAATAATTATACAATTAATAACAATAAGAGCTTCTATTTTAATCAACTATGCCAATATTCAGCGATTACAAAATTATCATTTCTTTTGTATCTTACCTATGCTTATGTGGATGAAAATTTGCGATGAGCTATCATTTTGCGATGAGGTGGGAATTGGAAAAAAAGTGAAAAAATAAAAATTTCAGTAAAGAGAGAAATTATATATGATAATTTCGTAGTGTGCTATCTTGTATGGATCACAAATGATACTAACAAAATAAAGGTCAAAGTTGAATATTTAAATCTGTATTCCCATTATGGAGAATCTCTATAATTGAATTCTTATAAATAGATTTTTAAAAAAGTCATGATTGATAGTGCAAGATTAATCTAGCATAAAGAAGAGACCATGTCGATTCCTATTTTCAAAAGGCTTTCAACTCTACCTTTTAGTGGATTGGAGTTACATTCCACAACACACATATCAGTGAAATTTATTGAAGCTGTATTCTTTCCAATAGTAATTAGCCCTTTCACAAATTCATCATCTTCTTTCTCTTCAGCAGTATCATTATCATCATCTTTGTTTAAAATGAGAGTAAATGAATCCCCAAATTGTGTCTTAAATAATTCTGCTACCTGCTTTATCTTATCAGTTTCTGAAGGTTGAGAAAGTATGGGTGTAGCATGCTCATGGCCATGAGAGCATGAATTACTACTTTTTTTAACACTCACTGGTGCAGAATCGACGCTCATTAGGATTGCTATAATAGAGTCAGCAATTGTATCACTGATTAATCCTTGTGTCCATTCTAGAATTGCTTTGTTATGCTGTACAGTCAATCTAATAGCTCCCATAATCTGCAAAACAAGCATACCCCTGCTGGTTTCTAATTTCGTTTCTTTAGTATTCGTAACATTATCATCATCAATTAGAACTGAAACATCTCCAAACATCTGACATATGTGCCAATATATAAGCTCTTTCTTACAATCAACTTGAATTGTTTGACGTTCTCGAATAACTGTTGTCGATAATTCTGGGTGATGTTCCCTCAAATCTGACAATGAAACAAGATTCAGATCAAAGTTTTTTTCGTCGGAAACTAAAATACTTGATATAATGGCACCTTCACCTTCTGCATCCTTTCGCACATCCTGTGTTTTCCCTGTGAACTCTTCTATACCTTCTTTAGATTGTCCAGCATCGTTTTCTGGCTTTACTACTTCTTCTTCTGTCCTTTTGATTTCGTCTACGATATTTCCCACAGCTTTTGCTACTTTAACACCCTTACATTCAATATCAAGTTCATAGCAATTTCTTGGATTGTGAACATGTACTTCATCTTCTGTTCCTTTAAATGAAGCATAGTTTGATAATAGCGCAGACTTTAAACGACCCATTGGATTCGGTTCACCGTGAACTAAAATGATATTTGACGCATTAATCTGTTCAATAAATTCCAGATTTTCTTGAAAGTCAACATGTGCAGCAAATGAGAGTTCTTCAACTCTACACCTCCTAGGTATTGTTACTTCTGGATTGGATACTGAAGGGATAGTATCAGGTTCTAAAAGAAGATACTTAGCCATTGTACCTTCGACAGAATAACCAGTAATAAGTACAAGGTTTTTTTCATCAGGACACCACCTTTCTAATAAGTCTCTAGAGAGACCGTTTTGTAACATACCCGGGGAGGCAAGCATTACGCTTGGTCCGAAATCCTGAAATTCATCCAAGTTCTTAATATATGCAATATTCTTGAAAATAAAGGGATTGGTTTGGGAGTCTCTAAATTTCTTCCTAATATTATCATTCATCATATTAACATATGTCTGAAAAACACTCAGACACTTACGAGCCAAATTTGAGGCATAGAAAATGGGTATCTGATTTGATCCTAGCTCTTCTTTATGTTGCGACCAATATTCGTCTAATATCAGCATTAGTTCTTGTGCTCTACCAAGAGCAAAGACAGGCATAAGCACACGACCTCCTTTGTTCACAGTTGAGTGTATTAACTGGGTTAATTTTTTCTCTCTATGCAGTCTTGGTTCATGTGTAGCTGTCCCAAAGGTTGATTCTACAATAAGAATATCAGATGGTAAAGGCGGCACTTCGGCGGAGTTTAAATGTCTGTCAATCTCTCTTGAATAATCACCTGTAAATAATACTCGAAGACCGGCTATTTCTATTTGAAACATTGCCGCACCGAGCACATGACCCGCATGAAAGGCAGTAAATTTTATACCATTCACATCGATCATTGAGTGATAATCAATGGTCTCTATTTTATCGAATGATTCAATCAAGTCCTCATTGGAATATAAATTATCATCCTCTGCATTGCTACTCTGACTACCGATACTTGTAACTCTAACAAAATCTCTGAGCAACCACCTGTATATTGCTTTTGTTGGATGTGTCATAAAAACTCTTCCTTTGAAATTAGTTTTCTGCATAACATATGGCAAAGAGGCTGCATGATCTAAATGGAAATGCGATATGAGTAAAACGTCAACTATTGATAAATCAAAGTCATCATAAAACGGCAAAGACGCCATTCCTTGATAAGCGGGATGGATACCGGCATCTAGCATGATTGTCTTACCTTTGAATTGAATTATATGGCATGATCTTCCAACTTCATTTCCACCACCCAAAGAGAAAAATCTAAACTGATTGCTTCTTTCCTTAACATCCATTGTGACTGTAAAATGCGTTTCAGAAAAGAAAATAGGATAAGCAACTAAATATTAACACTTCTTTCCTTTATGCCTATGTTTACTTCCCGCAATACTTGATTCCAGTTCAAACTATTCCAATTGTTGTCAATATATGGTTTGCTGATTACTCTTTTCCCTGTCTTCTTTAAATTGTGCCCTATTTCGATTAGTAAACAAATAAATAACTTGGTCTAAACTAGGCTCTTGCTTTGATTTTGTTAATCTTAAGGGTACACTATGTTAAGCCAGATGGCTTCAGTATTTATTCTGTACACAACTGTAATTCACTATTATTTCAAAGCTCATCGTCTGGTTGAAAATATGGACCTTTGACATTTCTAATTATGACGTTAAATGTGACTTGTATAATGATAAGAATATGTATGATTCTAAATTATTTACATTTTGTCAACCCATACTTAAATATCCAATTAGATTTTTTATTGATGACATAATATTTAAGATTTCATATCTTTAAAAAATAGCGCCCATCTTATTAATTAGAGTGAACTTGGGATTGATCTTAAAACTGGTATTTTTACCATTAATGATATGACCATAATTTACTAATGGATTTAAATGTTTGTTCTAAGAGCCTATAACTGCCCTAAAAGATTTCAGTTGTCACAAAACTGTTCTAATTTCTATCTGATGTGCTTGAATTTCCTATTCGATCTCCAAAAACTTCCATTAGTTCATCTAGTTCTTTCTTTTTTTCTTCTTCTCTTTTTTGTTTTGCTAATTCATGCTTTAGTCTACTTTTCTTACCTTTACTTCTTTTTTGTTGCCTTTTCCACTCCAGGAGAGCTTGCTCCCTTTCGGTCATTACTTGGACACCGCTGTTACCATCCTTTTCTTGACCCAATTGCCATCTTTCTAACTCTAAAGCTAACTTTTCCCTAGCTATCTTTCTATTCTGGTCCCTAGATCGCGTAGCTTGACAGGTTACTACAATATTACTTGGTACATGCTTTATTTGTACTTTAGAATTGCACTTATTGATTTTCTGTCCACCAGGACCAGTGCCTCCATGAAGGAACTTTTCTTCAATATCAGCCTCCATACTAGCGTCAAACTTTGGCCTAGGAGGTAATTTATTCTTCTTTATCAATTGTGTACTGCATGTAAATATAGAATGTGTGTTGCTCTGCCGTAGAATTTTGTCAGCGAGTTTACGTCCATATATTAGGGAGAACAACATTAGCAATAACGACTAAAATAAAACAACAAAGGACCTTACTAAAATGTGTAGTAACTTTGCCAATTAACCAGGTCTTACAGAATATACAATACCTTTTAGTGCTTTTTATACTGACCATGACTCGCGCCCCCAGGTCTTTTAGCAGTATTTTCACAAGTTGGCTAGCTCATCGCGAAGAGTCCCCGGAATTTGAGCAAAATTCCCCGAACTGAGCTAAAAGTTACATCGAAGTGCATTAATGCTTGGAAAGATAGATATGATATGTTTATATGGTACAAAGTTGAACAACATATGAATAAACATTATTAACCAATTGTATTGTATTTATGGAGCTTTGATACATTTTTTGATAGTAATATGAGATCGGCATTAAGAGAATCGACAAAACACATTCGCACTTGGCGATACACACCAAGGCCAAAGGTGATCAGAGCATATCATAGCACGCCGCTTTTACAAATAAACTCTACTCAATACTTGAAAGAAAAGGTTTCGAACAAATTAACTAATGATGAGACACCTCTAGATTTCATAAACAAACTTCCCGAGCAACTAATCTCACAAGGTAACGGATTGTCTCCGACTGATGCTGCACATCAGGTAAATACATTGGAATATTACAAAAGATTAAAATATGAAGGTGGCTTTAACTCTGAACAATCGAATGCTATCATTGCTCTATTATTAGAGATAATAGATGATGAATTTTATAAGACTTACAACACTAAGTTTTTGAGGGACATGGAACTGAATAAGCAATCTCATTTATTTAACTCAGCAGAGACAGAACTGAAATACGCCATACAGAACTCTAGAGATACTCAACTAAATTCACAGCATTTGCAGATGATGATATTGCAAAGGGACTTAGCCATATTACATGACGAAATAAATGAACTAATTATCAACCTGTTGAATAAAGATTCTAAAATGGATTTTAATAATCAGAAACTGGAAAATACACTGCTGTTAAAGGAAGTTAATCTACATTTAAGCGGTTCGACAAATAAAATCATTACAAAACTGATGGGCGAAGTAAAGTCTGATATTGAAAACTTGAGATGGCAAACAACACGAAGTGGCTTGGTCGCAATCTTGCTGCTTGTTCTAATGGTAATGGGTGCTGTTAGTCTGACAAAAAATAAAGCTTCAGAAGAAAAGAAAGAAGCTCCTACAAGAACAGTTTATGACCAAAGCTTATCTGTAGCGTCTGAAGAACCTCCACAGGCAGCAACTTAATAACGAGGAACATTATATAAAGACACTATAGGTGGAAAACTAGTAAATAGATATTGATGAAGTTATATTATTTTTTGAAATGATTGAATATATAAGATAGTACTGTTATATTTACTCATCAAATAGCTATGTAAGATATTTGTCTCACGATGTACAAAAAATTCTGCTGATTGCAGAAGATAGTATAATTTCTAAAGCTTATGCTTCCGCTGTTTAGATCCAACCTGTCTGAACCTCTTCTGAGGTTCACCTTTCACCCAATATTTCACACCATCATTAACCTCAAGTGAATTGATTCTTTCAATGCGATCCTCCCATTCCAACTTCATGAGTTTCTTTATGCCCAGACAACTTGGTAAATGCAGGCCATCGATCTTTTCTTTAAGTTCTGCTAACACTTGGTCATTGAACTTGTCTGTGTCGTTTAGTGAGTAGTTCTTATTAACCAACCCTGCCCTTGACATTTCAGGGAATGTGACAGGTTTTGCAAACAATAGCGATTCAAAACTACTCCGAGAGCCAACTAATCGAGGTAAGGTACTTGCCACGGCACCTTCAGTAACAAGACCAAGGTTAGCAAAAGGGAAAAGCATGTACACTTTCTCATTCATTACATACACCAAATCACACAAACAACATATCGCCGCTGAGAACCCAATCACGGGTCCATTCAAACAGCATACAAGAACTTTACTATGCTGGTTGAATGCATTCGTAACATTAACATTTCTTGATGAGAAATACGCTAGCCATTTCTGTAATTCATCATGATGCCTGGCAACTTCATTTGGAGTAGTGGTTGGCTTCTTAGATGCAGCTTCATGTTGCTCAGCGATCGCAATACTCTTAAAATCCGCACCACTTGAAAAGAATCTGCCCGTACTTTGTAGCACAGTGAAGTAAATATCCTTGTCCTCATCTGCCAACCCTAACAATTCAGCAATATAAATGTAATCATCACCAGTTAATGAATTGAGTGTTGATGGAGAATTGAATTTAATAATGAAAAATGGACCGTCTTTGACATAAGTTATCTTTTCATCGTATTTCATCTTGCAAATAACTGTAACTAAGATTTAACAATTGATTCAGGGGATCATTTGACCTGAGCAGCTATCCTTCAGGTTTGCACAAAGCTTCAAACATGCACAATATATATAGATAAATATTAATATCTTCAGAATTGATGCTGTTACAATATAAGAATGTATTGGAGTGAAGACATAAATATGTAACAAAAACCCCAATAAATCATCTGAAGAAACAGACCAACTGAATCATCTACGGTATTACAAAACTAAAAACACTCCGCATCTCAAATGATATTTACTAGTCATCCGTGACATTCACTTGAGTGATATACTCCAAGTCAAGATGGCATTTACCCGAAAGGATTCAGATTTGATCCAGTATAACTTTTGAGTTAACTAAATTAATATGGATTGCGTTAAGTCTATCTCATATATCCGGATTTCATTCGTAATAGTATAACAACGAACAATGTATTCTGTTCAATCTTACTGTATCGTTATGGCTACACCTTTATAATTGATAGTCATCGAGATCACATGACTTATTCCTAAAAATTGCACCGTACCATTGTACATCTTTCTTCGGTTATAAGTTTCTTCGGCCACTAGAAAATTATCACCGACTGCTTTTACTATGAAGTTTACTGCTGTTCCTGATCGCAACTGCAATTCCTTGCACAGAGGGCATTGCAGGGGACATCAAAGGGTAGGCAAGTTTATTAAGCCGGGTAAAGCTCTTCCTCTACTTGATGAAAAAAAAAGCTGATGTGTCGGGACTAAGAAAATAAACAGCGACTAAGAACTACCCAGAGGAATGAGATGGAAAAACTTGAAGACTACGAGATGAAGGCCGCAAAGGGAAGATTCAGATTACAATGAATCGAGCAAAGAATGGATTTTGTGCGATGAGGTAGCCTTTAATGATAGAATTGACCAGCGTAAATTGTGTGTAATAATTGTCAGAACGAACTGGATCTTGCTTTGTGTTCTGAGATTCTGAGTATTTTATGCATAAGGCGTATAAGTTTCTTTTCCAATTGGATTATCTAAACTTCTCGCGACCCTTTATGGACTTAATTAGCTCTTCCGGAACACCATTGTTTAAGTTTAGATTAGTGTAAGAGTTCTCAAATAGATTAACGAGTATTCTATCAAGCAAAAAAATTTTCTTTCCTTACATATAATATATAAGGAAAAAGGCTAAACTCCAACAATATAAGGATTAACAATTTTTTGACGTGTGTGCATTTTTGAATTAGTAGTGGGAGATTGAAAAAAATATGGCAAGAGGTATCGATGAATTAAACTCGGTTATTGATTCATATCGTGAAGTGATAAGGAAATCAGATCTATTTGGTAAGACCATCCAGTGCTTGCAGAGCTACAACATCAGCAAGATACGATGCCTGGCACTTGGTTCATTTGCAGAAGAATTTCCTGCCAAGTACCAATTGGCTTTACTGCTAGAATTACTAGATAATATCAACACCATTAAAGAAGTGTCATTGTATGACCCCGTTTTCAATGAGGTGGACAAGTTATTTATTAAAGAACAGTCGAATTGGCATATTGTGGAACAAGAACATTATAAAGATACTGGAAACTGCGGAGAGACTTTATTTTACATGCCACACGCACCTTTAGATCTTACCGAGGAAGTCATCAAAAGGGAAAAGCCCAAATTAATTTTAGGAAACGAAATGTCACAACATACAGACCGCTATACGGAAAAGCAGTTGTATGACAAATATCCGCTGCTGAGCAAACTGGTATACGGCTCAAAGAACTATTCTAAAGTATCAAATCCTAAAATAAATGTCAGTGCTGAAGGGGATGGTTTTGTGAGACAGGAATCGAAGAAGTCCCGTAGACGTAAAAATAAGTGGCACATTGAACCAACTGTAATAGATTACTCTTCAGTTCCATCTTACTTCGCTGATGGATTAATAATGATAACCAACTACAAATCGTCATCTACATCTGAAGACGGTGAAAATACCACAGTTGATCTAATAAAGAAAGGTCAAGAGCAATGGAATCATTCTTTTTCTGATCTGTCACTTTTTGAAATAGCCTAAACCCTTTTGCATAGACAGAATGAACACGCAAAAATTTTTGTATGATTATATTACAATACGAATGAAATGTGTTGTACCTTATTATTGAGAGTCACTTTTAGTTCCAATTGCGGCAATATTTGAGATTATGTGTACATGAAGTAAGATTTTAAATCACAATGGACAGAGGCGATTTTAATTGGCTGCCAATTGATATTTTTAGAAATTTATGTGCTTATTAGACTCCCGTAAAGATATGGCAATCGTTTAGGCATGTTAAGTGAGACTACTTGTTGTGTATGAACTGTAAATCGATGACCATTCCGCCAAACTCAACAAAGAAGGGAATGCAGTTCAAAATATATGGTAAAGAAAAGTAATCCGTGGAATCCCTTAAACTATTTTGTAACCAAGATCCAATGGTACCCTACAGCTATCTGTGATATTTGGACAACTAACCCATATCAGAAAACATTCATAATAACTTCTATGATCTTGATCATTTTGATTTTCCATAGACAGTTATTTTTACTCATCGCAGAACGGGTTCTTACTTTTTTGCTTAGAAGACCTACTAAACCGATCTACAGTTTTGGTAGCTAAGCTATAAATTTTCAGTGGGAAATTGTCTCAAAAATTTGTCTATTTTGGTGTAGTTTCTCGAGCAATGGCACAGCTTCGTGTTAAACTGTGGACCAAAGAAATACAAGCGCATGAGAGCAACGGGTTAACGTGCTTTTCGCATAGAGTTTATAGCACTAAAACCAAGTTACTCCGACGAAAACAGTAACGGAGCGACCCTTAGTTGTGGGCAGTAAACCGTTCCTTCTACATTGAGTAAGTGAAGCTCTAATTCTTTTTTTTTGTTAAATTTTTTTGTTGAGTTTTTCATCCAAAGCTAGTTCTACTATTCCGCGGACCCTAGAGCTAGTGCCTGACCTTCTTCTACAGCATGATCTCTCGGGAAGGGTTTAGATACTGGATTTTACTGCTTGAATTTAAACGACAGATGGTTTTCTAAGCAATACAGGCAGGAAGTACACGTAAACTCACAGAATCTGCTTTCCTACTGACTCTCCTTGCTCTCTCTATTGCAGTTTCCTCTGTATTCCCGATCAAAAATAAGAAATACCAAGAAAATACAGTAGAAAGAATTTCATAGACCATAGATGACAAAAAAAGGATGCCTACGTACCTTTTTAGGGCAGTAGGAGTTTGATGTGTACCGATAGTCCTTCCAGTGCTATTGGTAATAGAGATCCCTGACAAAAGAAAATGGATCCGCTAAGTGGGTTTCCTCTCTTATAGATCCTCCCGTACAGCCGCTAGTCTTGTCGAGGAAAGCTCCTTTCCGTTCAGATAGTCCCCTATGCTGGTTTTGCTGTCATTGCCACCCTTTCTGTGGGAATTGATAATTTTTTCTCCTTTTGGTATACGGAAAGATAAAAAAAAGAAACAAAAAAAAAACTGTATCTCACTGCTTACGCAAAATTGCAGCGAGAAAAAGCACCGTAGAAACATCTTTAAAATGCGGTCGATTCAGATGTTTGTACTCGATAGCTCTCCACTTCATATCTGTTCTGCGTATTTTGAAAGGTACGGGACTTTCTCAAAGATCTCTTTCGGGATGTGATTTTCGTAAAGATTCCAAGAAGAAAAAAAGTAAAAAAAGAACCGAAAAAAAAAAAATTGATCCGAGCAAGTGAACCTGCTTAGTACCTGGTACGGCCCAATCGTAGGTAGTTCATCACTAATGATCAGATCTGGAATTCTTTTTACGTTTTTCTTTGTTGAGTTTTTTCATCGAAGCTATCTCCCCCCTCCCCCACTTCAATCTCCGTGACATTCATATCCTAGCAGGAATCAAACGACACTTCCTTGTTATCTTAGAAAAGCTAAACCAAGATGTGTATTCCCATTCACTAGTTTCTCAGCGGTGGCTGCCATAAATTCACACTGCTTTGTATTCCAAGTTTGTTATTTGCCATCGACTAAGACAAAACTGCATAATCATGGACCCTTTCCCTTCGCTACCTGAGAAAAGTCTCTGATGGATTCAGACCGACCCTTCAGCTGTTTCTGAGATTTAGACTAATAGATCAATAAGCAAAAATACTTTTTGACAATTGTTGAATTATTGTGAAAGAAAGAAACAACAATGCTATGATAGTTAGAAGATGGAAAAAAAAAAACTTCACTGTTCGAAGACTAATATTTGCAATTTGAATATATATAATGTGGCTCTAATGATTGAAAAAAAAAACAATCTTATCTGTGTTTTGAAAGATTGTAAAAATTTTTTTATCGTTAGCTTTTATGGTGAGACTTGTGAATTGTGTAGCCATCCAGCTTTCCAAAACAACAAATCAATCATAATATAGAATGAAGTTCGATAAATTGTTGTTTACGGTAACGACAGTATTTGCCTTCACTACATTTATACTGATCATTATTGCCACAGCTGGTTCTTCATCCAACTATAAGCCAATCACTAACATAAAGATTGGTGAAGCTGATATCTCCCACATTAATGTCACAAAAGTCGTTCCTCAAGTTGGTCCTATCTTGACCATCCTGGGTTCCGCTTTGACCGCTAATGCATCTTTGGATCAAATCTTCGATGCTTTGAAGCAAGTCGCTGACACTCCAGCATTGGTCCCATTGTTGAACTTGATGTCAAACAGTAAATCTAATGTTACAGGTACCATCGGTGCTCTGACTAACTTGGCCCCATTGGCTCTGCAGAAAAGTGACAACACCACCGATGCAGCTCTGAATAGTATCAACATGGTTATTGGTGATGCCACTAACGTGGACTTATTGTTAGACGGTATGAAAGAGGTTGTTAACTCTGCCATGGAATCCCTAACATCTCCAAACTTCAAGAACTTGACCATCATGGAAAATGAAGTGTTTAACCTATTATTGGATTCCGAAAATGTCACAGCAACTACTGAGGCATTAATCGACATGAACCAAATCCCAGACGCAGACAAACAAAAGTTGATCCCAGCCTTCACTCTATTCAAGGACTCTTCAAACCTAAATGCTACCATTGACTCTATGGCTAGTTTGATGAATTACTCGTCAGCCCTTTCTTCTATCCCAACTGCTGAACTCTCGACCTTATTTTCAACTGTTTCTTCTCTAGCAAGTTCCAAGTCTAGTTTGATATCAACAATTACTGCATTGAGCAGCAAACTACCAAGCAACCTGGCCCCAGCTGTTTCTTCCTTGACCACACTTTTGAACTCTACTAATGAAGATTCTCTAAACTCGACATTGAATGCTCTACAAACTTTGATTTTGAAGAACAATATCACTGCCTCTGTTGACTCAGCAAAGACATCTATCAACTCTATCAAGATCATGAATGAATACGCGCAAAACAAGACTTTGTTACTGGACAGTGTGGAAGATCTTGCTACTCAAACTAGCGTCCCAAGCAACACTACCACAGCTCAACTGAAAGCTCTAGATGACATTTTCCAAGGTTCCGGTAATGCATCAGCTACTTTGAGGACATTGATGGGTCTAGAACAAGGCCTAACTGCCAACCCATCCTTGATCAAATACGTCCCATATATCTTTGAACTATTGGATGATTCCAACAATGCAACCCTTTCTTTCACATCTTTGCTAAACTTAACATCTTTTGCTAAGAGTAATCCTACTACCTTCGTACCAATTATGTCCATTTTGGGTAAAGCTAACTCCATCACTCCTGTCACTCAAGATCAACTGAGAGAATTGACTCCTGCTATTCTGGAATACTTGCATATTCCAATTAAGTTCCACCTGTCTATCTTTACCTTATGTAAGGCTGACATTAACGATAAAATCATCAGTTGTTCAAAGTCTCATGCTGTTCAAAACTTGGACTTCAGAAGTATCATTTACGACAGTATTGCCGAGTCTGACTTCAAGCCTTATCTAGAGGCCCTAAAAATTGGTAAGCAAGACTTGCATTTGGATGGTAAGATGCAAAACAGACAGCACGAATATGTACCAGCAATTAGAGCAAGTTTGTCCATGAACTTATTGGCTATCATTGTCTCCTTCTTCCTAATGTGCTACGCTATTTTCTTATTAGTTTCTAAGAATGCTATGACTCACATGAAATGGTGTATTCTATTCTTCTTGACCATGAACAGTGCCTTGTTCTCTGGTTTGGGTGGTACTATTATCAGTGCTATGATTAACATCATTAAGTCCGGTACCCATGACGACAAGTACGGTGTTGTTTTCGATGACAACTCATCTATCCTAGGTCTTCTATGGTGTGCCTTTACTGTTGCCTTCCTATCTTACGTTGCAGCAACTTTGTCATGGTTCCAATTCTGGAGAGAAAACAAGAACAAACCAGTTACATATCTTTCTTCTGGAACTTCTTCAGAAAATGAAAGTGTCACCTCCAGAGTCACTGAACATGCTAACAACAAGGCTGACGAAAAGGAATCAGTTTGATTTATTTTTGTCCATTACACTATAAAACGTTCATTCAATATATTTGCTAAGTTTCTAAGGCAAACCCCAATTTCAGTTCTCCAACTAAACAAGTACCGCATTCAATGTCAACTAATTGGTAGTAGCAAGAGCATTAATATCACCAGAATGGTGTACTATATGCTTTCATTTCTTCACAAAAACTTTGATTTATTTCATGCATTAGTTTGCGGTCTTACAGCGCATTAATTCATTTTTTTAATATTTTCTAGGCCTGTATTTAATACCTACGACATAATTAATATAATTATCTGCATCATTGTTTATTTTTTATCAATTTATGACTCTCACAGCTAACACCTAACACTAGTGCAGAATTATAGTATTTTCTCTACTGTGTTAATTTCCTGCAGGAAGTTTTATATGTATTACGTGCAGGAAATCTAGTTTAAATCAGATTCCAGGCCTCATCATTACCCCTCCGCCGGTTGGATATTTCTAAATTACGTGTGAATCATCCGTCTACAAATAATTACGTGTAATCAGGTTTGAGGATTTATAGCATATGGGCTCGGTAGCACAAAACTCATAAAAACAAAGAACTTTGCTTTTTACTGATGTGTATAATCTTATAGTAGTTTAAACGGGGTAGTAGCTATTCCCCTACTTTTCTTTATCATCACGTAGAGCACCTTATCTGGTTTAGTTGCGTTACAAGCAAGTAAACATTACGTATTAGAAGTGGCATACGACTTCCACGGAATGATTTTAGTGACATCATAGATAAAGCTTAACAGTTAACTAATTCACATATTATCTCCATCATGGTTAATGAGAATGAACTGTAATTAAGCCGTCAGGACTCAATTTAAACCGAACTTGAAGATGCTAGGCACTCCTTCTCGGACTTTTTAATTTCCCTTAATTTTAGAGACTGTAATTCCCGATACGGCAGTAATTAACAAAATAAAGGGTGAAGTGAAATTTCTGCAACAAAATACAGTAGTCAAAACCAATAACGGTAACGTTTTATTTGGCGTTGTTATGGTGATAAGACTGTTTGCTCGTAAATTGCACCGTTGATGTTAGAATACTTAGTACTTAATATTAAATTCCTGGTTTCCTGCATTAGTGTTTGTGGCCGTCTACATCCGCAGATAGATCACGCATGCATCAAATTTAATTCCTATATCGTCATTGTGCAACGTACCAATTTTTGAAGCTACATCAATCTTACGTTTGTTTATGTATTCCTGACTTCTTTATCATGCACCGAAATTGTAATAATTTTACACAAAAGTATAGTAGACCTATGCAGGTATCTGAAATATACTTGATACTGACCGAATAAGGGAATTTGATTATTAGTAACGGCACATGCGGAACTACTCTGACTACATATTAACATACAAGCATCTGAACCTTCTAGATGATTCTCAGTGACGTTTTGTTTACAATCTAGTCACTTATACTAGCATGTTCCGGTTACCTGGCACAGCTTTTGTTACTTCGTTAGCATAAGGTTCCTTTTCTTCTCTATTTGGGTGTGTACAAACATTAAGCCTCTTTCCTAACCCCTCCATTCATAGGTTAGAATGTTTTCCTGACGGCTCATACGCCTGATAACTATGTAAGACAAGAAGCAGAGGTCTTATGTAAATCTATATAATGTAATTATCGGCCCTTACTAGGGAAATTTTATTGTTGCAGATAATGATTTCTTGTCGAATTGCTATTATTCAAGAATTACTAAGGAAATACGGTTGTTGATGCTGTAAAGTACTTAGTAAAACTTAATAAATGACTAAATACGCAAGAAATAATTTACCAGTGCATAGAATATGCATATGCAGTGCAGTGCAACGCCGATATTAGGAACCTAATGTGTATTGAAAGGCAATGATTTTAGCCGAGGATTAATTACGTATAAAAAATATTGGGGTAGGGTACGTTGTTGAGTTACCCAGGCTCATATAGTTTATCGTATTTCTTTTTGTTTGGGATTTTATGTTGTATACTTTAACATGATTAATAGTAATGTTAGGCGGTCAGAAAACATATAAATAGAGAGGTATGTTTCCAGATATCGAATAATTTAAATCTTTCAAGTTTATAATATTTTTTATTATTGAATTTTTTTTATATATGTATCAACAAACCATCAACAGCATTGACATATACAAGTCACTACATCAAAGCAGCATATACATTTAAAAAACAGGCATTACTATTTTAATATGAAGGTTTCTACTATTTTCTCAGTTTCTTTGATTGCAGGAGCACTTGCTGCACCAGCAGTGGTTACCGTCACTAAAGAAGCACCACCAGCACGGGTTACTGTTCAAGCAGTTGTCAATGTTGAGGATGGGGGAAGACAATCATCCTTATCAACACTGGAGAAGAAGACTAAAACCAAATCCCAGAAGAAGACCAAGCCAACACCATCTACTGATCTAGATAAAAGGGCACAAAAGAAAAGATCCAACTTATCGGAATGGCAACAAAAGATGTTGGATCAACACAATAAGAAGAGAGAATTGCACAAAGACACTGACAGTTTGGTTTGGAATGACAACCTGGCAATTCTGGCCCAATCATATGCAGACAGATATGATTGTTCAGGTAATTTAGCTCACAATCCAGAGTTCATCGAAGCCATCGGCGAAAACTTGGCAGTAGGGTACGACGATATCGATGCCATTGATGCTTGGTATGACGAAATCCAACATTATGACTACAGTAACCCAGTTCACCAAGGAAGAACCGCTCACTTTACTCAATTGGTCTGGAAGGATACTAAGAACGTAGGCTGCGCTTACAAAACATGTGGTGGAGATTTGTACAATTACATCGTTTGTGAATACGACCCAGCCGGTAATTGGGCTGGAGAATTCGCCGACAATGTTAAACCATTGAAGTAAAAAAATTTGCAATATAAAAGTTCCACATAATGGACTTCATTCCAGTTATGTTATGGTTTTTACCAAATTTCGTCTACTTTGCAATTAACGGAATGATTCATTTCATAAACCATTAATTCGAAAGTATTGATCACTAATTAGTTCGTCGCAGTAAATTTCATGTTCTTAATCATTTGGCCACTAAAAAAAAAATAATATACAGTGTAAAAACTGAAAAAATAAAAAAAAAAAAAATAACCAAGCAATAGTTAAATTCACAATTCCACTCAGTGATGAACATAAGTAAATGTTATCAAGACATTAAATAACTTTATAATTTAATAATACATTTCCACATAAAGATTTAATTTGATCACTCTGTCTCATTGCAGACGTACTTATGAACCTAGAAAAATAGATCTCGAAATTCTAGTTTTTAATTAACTGTAATCAACTAGAGTTTTAACTTTCTGGTACATCACAAACGAATTGCATGGCTTGGAAGATATGAACCTATAACCAATAGTTCAGATTATTTTTGTAGTTAAGGAAAGAGAAGTCGGTGAGTGAACTGGAGTCGCTAATTCTCAATTTAGAGCATAAAGTGCTGAAGATATTAATCCGCGATGAGTGAGTCCGAACAAAGCAGCGATGAACAAGAACTACTAATCAACACTAGACAACGTAGATCAAATGCTGGTAATAGGCTACAGAAACTTCTCGAGCAAGAGATAGAAGAATTACAGACGAGGACTCAGGCACTAGATGAAGATGAAATAGACTTATTATTCAAAGAAGATGAAGAGGATGCAGATTTTGAAATGGTCGATGACGAAGACAATGAATCACATAATGAAGAAGAAAATGAAATAGATAATGCAGATGGTAAAGAAGAATCAGAAGTACCGACGGAAAGCAAAGATAGTGAGTTGCAAGATGAAGATGTTATGTTAAGTGATTCTTCGTCAGAAGATGAGCCGGATAATCAAGATGATGAATCTGGTGAGAAAGAGTTAATACGGCAAGAGAGATTAAAGAAGAAAAAACTCCAGAAGTTGAGAAAAAAACCGCTCGTCATCAAGCGAACTGCACCGATCATTGACTCTGAAAATAAAACTAAGAAACGAAAGGTTAGTTCTGACGTAATAAATGCAGAAGATTTGCTTTCAAATAATAGAAGAACTTCGTCAAGATCATCGGTTATTCAAAATAAATTACAAGTGTATGAAAAACTATCACAAGCAGAAAAAAGAAGACAGATAATAAGGGAGCGTATGCAGAAATCGAGAGATAAGGAGCAAATTAAGGTCCTCACACAGGAAGACCGTATGCGAATTGCTTTGGAAACAGAACAGGCAAACTTACTGAGCTTGAATAAATACAAGGAACAAGAAGTTTCGAAAAAACAGCACAGATTAGCGATGCAGCAACGACAAAAAATGAAATTCAAACCAGGAGAAATGATAATCACAGAGTTATCAACAACGTGGGAGGTAACTCCAGTAATGGAAATAGAAGATTATGAGTATTGGAAAGAGCAAATTGAAAAGCGTAATAAAAAAAAGAAAAAATATCCAAGAAAGCCGCGAAAAAAAAATAATGAAGGCGCAGAGTCACACAGAAATGGAGGTGATGTATGCCAAAAAGAAGTTTCTGATACTCATATTGAGATATCAAGGCCAATTATTTATGATAACGGTAACATATATTTAAACCAATCATATTTTAACAACAAATGCAATTATCAAAAAGACAATGCTACAGATTTGGATGGAAATAAGCATATGTGCATTCCATTAGAGAATAATTCTGAACCTCGATCGATATTGCCCGATGATTTAGAACAGAATAGGCAAAAGGCTGACTATATCAGTATTTTGGATTCTGAAACAAATAATCTATCATCAGGCATCATTCCACAAGCTTCTTTTATCGAAGTAAATAATCAGGATTTGAGTGAGAATTCCGATATATTTACAGGCACGTCTATAAAAATGGATGTTGATTCACTGAAAGTTGAGGGAAAAAATGGTTTAAATATCTCAGAGGAAAATTCCTCTGTTGACGTCCCTGCCAAAATGGGAGAACGTTGGATTAAAAATGGAATTACTGTTCCCTCTGATGGAGTTAATAGTAGTGTAGACCTTAACATTTCTAAATTCGTGGCTGGTCCAACGATCGATGAAGAGATTAATAAAGTCACTACAGTGGCAAATGATGATAACAAGGCTTCAACTCATCAACGCAATATTAAGATTGAAGAGTGTGGTGAAGATATGAGTTTAAAGCATGCACAAAATGAGGATTTAGATGTGACAGCTAGTATCAAGAACAGTTCGGATGCTAAAACTGAGAGAGGTGAATTGATTGATCAGAGTTTGAATAATGATGTACCGAATGAAAATATTGCTGATACTATGGACAGTGAAGAACAAAAAAGAATTTACGAGGGTCCGAATCAAATGGTATCAAAGAACTTTGTTGTGGCATATACTGTGGTTCATGATACTCTGTCTAAACCAACTCATGACTTGCTGTTTGGCTCAGGCTGGAAGGGACCTCCAAATAAAAGCTACGACACGGAAACCTTATTTGTCTCAAAAAATAATAATGGGGCTGTTGATGATATAACATCAGAGATAAAGCCAGATTTAACATTTCTTGAAAAATACCCAGCGTTTGGAGAATTCGAGAGAAAAGTTGTCCAAGAAGTCAGTGAGAATACTGCCAAAGATCTGGAGATTAATATAAAAACAGCACCTCCTACTGGTATATTTTTGCCAAGTGGTATGAGAAAGAAGTGTTTAATCAACAACAAAGATTGTCATTATTTTGATCCTAAGAACGGTGTGCCTTATTCTGATGTAGAAGCGTACAAAATTATTCAAGAGCTCCAGTCATTCGATGTGAATCCTGAGACTAATCATTTTTTCAAATGGCAAGGTTTCGCTAATGGTGGTATTTTCCTTGATGTGAATGAGAAACCAGCAGAAGGTGTCCCAGACAATTTTTAAATCAACAAAATTAAACTACGTTAGATCATCAATGGACGGGTATTTTATATAAAATGCATAGAATTCTATAGATACAATTTACTCCTTGTTGAATGCTTCAACTAATGATTTAAAATGATCCTCTGTTTCTTTGATCAATAAAGGTACGGCGTTGTTGCTTTGCTGTTCACCAATTTGTTGATCAAATGTACCTTGCTGTACAACAGGTGACAACATGCTCTCTTCTGTCAAGTGTGTCAACTTCTGTTGCTGCATCAAATTGTACAAATACAAGTAATTTACTGCTAAAAACTTTTCTGGAGACTTCGTGGTTTTACTAATTTTTGTCATTACAGTCTCAAATTCATTCCTCAACCTAGGTATGGATTGGTATAAAGGTTCTGAACGTTCATCCACATTCTCCTTATGATTGACTGATAATGTCAAAAGGCTGAAAATCATTTTACCAAACTGTACTGTTAATTCATGTGGTGACGATAAAATATCAGCTACTCCAGTATTTTTTCCTGGTCTTACAGTTATATTTAGTTTTCTAATATTTTGGCATTGTATATCTATCAGTTGCTGGAATTTCGGCCACAAGGTAATTAATTGAACACTGAAAAAATCGTCAATTGCAGATGGTAAAGATTTCTGTATAATTGAATACTGCAGTAAATTTGTTATTCTGATTGAAATTAAGATGCCGAATATATCAAATGTGTTCTGTATTAGTTGTTTTGTATATTCAATTGCTTGGTTAAAAGTTGGTTGGAATATCTGTTCAAGAACACCATTCAATTCACCTTCTGAATTGTGGTTCGTTTTAAAAAATGTGGATAAAAATTTAAACTCGGCTGCACAGTTATCTAAGATGGCCAAGTTTAAGTTTTTGAAACCAATTTCTAAATAGTTTTCTCTTTGATTATGTTCCGCAATTTGGGAGACCATCACAGTATTATCCTCCTTGGTAAGTAAGTCAAGTCTTCGCTCCACTTGAAAGTATTGATTTATTGAATCATCGCTCACCGTTGCAGTTGATAAGGAAGTTGGCATCAAATAACTCGAGAAGGAATATCCACTATTGTTGGTATTAGCATAGCCTGGTGGTGAAATAGATAATCCGTTACCTAGAACATAATGGTTGTCAATGTTTTTAAATGACAAAATTGTTAGTGATCTTATGTATCTGCCAAAATATGCTGAATAATACCACTTCATGGTGTATGCGTAGGCTTGACGGAGTTCGAGTGCCATAGATAAATTATTTTCTACCATAAACTGGAAAATCTTATTTACATTCATCAATTCGTATTGTAGCTTTTGTGATGGAACTGGAGTATTACTTCTTAATGATTTAATTTTAAAGACTATGTACTTCTTTGATCTTTCCAGAATTACCAATTTAAGAACGTCTAGAATATCACATAGATCATTAAAATCTTTTGGTTTTAAACCATCAAAACCTTGATCCTTATATTTCTTATAGATCTCCTGCTTATCCATTATAAAGTCGATGTTTTCTTGCCACGATTGATCGATCTTACCATGTAATATATCTTGTATTACTTCAGGAGGTATAATTAGATCATTCACCAATGGGCTTATATTCTTTAATTTATCTGAATTGTATTCTAAGAGTGTTTTCAAATATGTCGATTTTTCTCGGATATTATCAAGGTCTCTAGTATGTTCATTTAGCGTATTCTTAAATTCGTTCAAATATTCTTTTAATGGTGGGATTATATTATCTATAGTGTTATGTAACACTTCTCTTCTATGTTCTAGTTTATTTCGGTCGTCAGAAAGTTTTTGATTTGCTGTTGTGCCAATCTGATTATGTTCTTTGCAGAAAATACTGTAAGGATCATCTTGATCAATTATCGCTTTTGCCTGAAAATCAGCACTAATGCCCAACGTTTCCCTTAGCACATCCATTATTATTGCTATAAGTTTATTTAAGCCTCTATAGTGATTTGCACTATTAATCACTTCACAATCTATTCTAAGGAAAAGAATCAAATAATCGACCTTTAAATAAATGGGCTGTCAGTACAGAACGAATTGACTTATGCTTGGCAATAAAAGGGCCAGACAGTATCGATGTTCAAATGAAAATTAATTATAATGAATGTCTAATATGTTAGTGCCATCGATAAATTAAAACTAAACCTCAGAAAGGGCAACACACTTATGTTGCTATTCACCATAATTATGGCCCTTTAACTTGATGAAATTTGAATTTTTGTTTGTTTCCATTAATTTGAAGACGTTAGTCAGGGTAAACGAAATTCACTAGTTTTGCAACCTTGAGCACATTACTACATCAGAAGTTCCTTTCCACCAAGAGATATCCTTCAATTTGACCTCATCTGGTGGTGACACTGTGACCCCCTCGGATCCAAGGTATATCGAGCCAATTGTTACAATCAAACTATCTATCAAATCTGAACACATAAGCAATTGGTTAATCACGTGACTTCCGCCTTCAATCATAACAGATTTCATATCATAGTTTCTCCTCAATGTGTCTAGTATACTTTTCCATGAAATCCTGTCATTAGCATCAGGTTCCATAATCATATACTCTACATTAGCTTCTTTGACTTTTGGTGTCTTGGTTGTAATGACTATAGGTGGCTTGCCCATTCCTTGATTGCATAGCTCTTCCATTTTTGAACCTGAATACTTCCACTTCAGTTTAGGATCCAGAATTATCGGTCTTGGCGATTTTTCTTCCATTGATTCATCAGGATCATTATTGGGTCCGATCCATTTGCAATTCAACCCTGGATCATCTGCTAGGACAGTTCCAGAACCAATTAAAATGCCATCGTGAAAGTACCTCAAATAATGGGTCATTTCTTTCGTCTCGATGTGTGATATGGTAGTTCTCACACCTCTTTGTTTAGCTATCTTTGCATCAATAGATTGTGCATATGTCAGTGTGACAAACGGTCTGCCATTCCGATGACCATCCGGAAGATAGTTTTTAAGAAATGGTGGTAAATCGTCCCTAACTCTCAGCATAATTGAATTTGTAGTTGTCTTATCTTTCTGTTCTTTACTGAACAACACTCAAAAAAGACACATTGACAAATAGTAAGACACATCGTTATTTGTTCAAATCTTATGAACTTTTTAAATCAAACTAGTTAAACTTTTTCTTGAAATTAAGCAATTAAGATAGATATCTTGCAAATTTATTTATGTAAATAAATAATCAGGTAAAGGGTCAAGATACTACAAAAATTACAAATATATGTTACATACAAACCAATCATGTTTTATGACAGCGTACAGAATTAGTTCACTATGTCATCGCGGTTGTTTATCCTATTTATTTCATCTTGTTCAAGAGACAGTTGTTTCCGAACTAATATAGCTCTCTGGCGTTCTTTTCTGTTCTGTTGTCGCTGAGACCATAGGTCTAGTTCTTTTGCTGGATCAATAGAATCGTCATCATCAATCTCTAAAGTCTTTCGTATTAATTCTTTATCTGATGCAGAATAACTTAACTCTGTTTGCCTTCGCAGCTCATCTCTCTCATAGGCAATTTGATTAGCCTGATCAATTGACCGTTTTAATTTATCTTGTGCTTTCTGTTCATTATTATCGATAGTATCGGGATTGGGTATAATAGTTGACTTTTTTAGTAGGACAGGTTTATGAAAGACTGGTTCTTCGTCACTACTCGACGTTTCGGTGCTGTAGTCTTCACTGCTGTCAGACATTTGATTTATTAATTATAATCGATAATATGACCGAACTTCAAATCAAAATGTAAATATATGAGTTATAAGTAGTGATAATTAGCGGCAAATTAAGCAATATATGCATTCCATAGATGCGATGCTCTTCAATATGACTACTATGACTTCGTCCAAAAATATAAACAATGGCAATAACAAAATAGTGGCTTCTTAAGTTTTGCTTTCTATAAATTATAACTTAACAGTACCTAAAACGTAATCATTAATATTAAATTATGTAGTGGTGATATTTGAGCGGTTTAGCTTCCTATACAATTATTGTAAATTGTGATCGAATATGTATAATACAAGTCTATTAGTGTTGGAGGTGTTATATATTATTACCAAGAATCATACTTCTTAACACATCTTATCTTCTCAGGGAATGGTAACTTACCATGATCTGGTACAATCAGATGGTTGACTATGTGAGGAATATCCTTTGGAGTTATTCTACCAAACCATACTAGTGTATGTTGATCTTTTAGATATATCTGCACATTTGCAGCAAATTTATGTCCACCAACATGATTTATATAGGAGACATTGACACCATCGCCTCTCAGGTCAGAATTATCTCTAAACAGTCCATGATTCTGAAGCTCCCTGTCAAAGATCTTTTTCAATATAGGTGCAGTAATTCCACATCTTTTATCTCTTGTTTTATGAGAACAAATAAAGATGAACGCTTTTTTATGTGACTCGTAAAGGTATTCCTTACTTGCTATTAGTTGTTTAATGTCAGTCTTTGGATCCAAAATTGCCGGTACAAGTTCGTCCAATATTGCTTCTACATTGTCACTTCTTAAATCCTGTATCCAAATACCAAATGGTAATACTAAGACGTTATTCTTGGTGCCTCTCATGGCTTCAATATCCAAGATATTAAGTGGCATAGATGTCACGTTACAATTCATCGAGACACCACCACAGCCAGTAATGGCCGATAGTCTTTCAGTATTCTCAGAGCACCAGGTACTTATTTTATATTGTACAGAGTTAGGTTTCTCCATACACGCATCAAATTGCCAATCCATCTGTGAGGTCGGCACAATGAAATGAACTTTAGGGATCTTAGAGGAATTAAAGAGCTCCGTCTCATGATCAATGACAAGCTTGTCAAACACTTTCTCACCGGATTGTATCTCATCTAAACCTTCTTCATTTTGGCAATCGCAATTCAAACAAGAATCATCGATCAATTCGATGTTCTTTGCAATCTCCTGTTTTGCGTTATCGGATAGTAAAGTCATCGCGTTCAATACCTATAGAATTCCCTTAAAATTAATAATGAAAAGTAAACAGGAGCAGTACACTGAACCAAGATCTAAATTGGGGGGCCTTTCGAGCTAATATAAAACAGTCGACTGTTATTACCTTGTATTTATATTAATAATCTTTGATTTCTCGATGAGATGAACACTTAAGGTTGTTAACTCCGACGGCCCACTAATTTTTTTGTCACAATTATCTGGGGGAGTGGGAATTTTGGCACGATTTATCTCCGTGTAGTGATAAAGAAGCACCTAAATTTAAAAAATGAAGAAAATAACTATCAAATTTTGAAATTGCACCACGTAATTTCGTAATTGTTACTTAATTGACGTTTTCTCGAGAAACTAGATGCAAGATCTCCCAGATCTTGTCCATGTTAACCTTTTATTTTGTAATTATCTGGTTTTATAAAATATAGTATTGAATGGAGACTAATTAATAATAAAAAATTTTTGAAAACATAATAAAATTACATATATGGGAAGTCACAGTCATATGTTCAGTGTTGTGTGTCGGTTTTCTTATAGTGAGAGGTTCAACTAGATCGTAATCCCATCTAGTTTTGTAAAGAGGCTTTTTATGGATATTGTAGATTATGAAGGAGCTTCCTTTGTTACCACGTTGTGTTGATATTATCTATTCAATGGCATATTCAGATAGACTTTCGAAAAATAATGACTTTAGAGAAACTCAATACTCTTGCATATTTGCATTCCACCAAAAGAATAACTATATTTTGACATCTTATGAATGATAATAAGCCTTGTCTCGATAGCATATCTTGTTAAGTAATGATGAAAAATGATGGGCCAGCGTTTTAATTTACGTGCTCTTTAAGATCGAGAGCTAGATAAAATTCACCGCGGCAAAAGAATCCAGAGAAACTATGTGGTTTTCCATAGTGGTTAATGAGTTTTTCTGATATATTGACAAGTGTATTTGGAAATGTAATAAAGATCTTCATGAATATAAGATATAATACGACAATGGCAACAAAAAAAAGCAAAAAGAAAACATAATACCTTATAACAATACCTGATGTTGTCTCTACTAATAGAATAAAAAGTGAAATAAAGAGTTTTTTGTATTGATGATAAAAGGAGGTTGTACCCAGTATATTCGTTGCTTCTCCTTTCTACAAAATTGTACATTTCTTACTTTTCTTGATAACTGGTGGTTCCAATGCAGCAACGATGGCTTCATCGAAAACGTTCTTTAGACCACGTTGAGTTAGAGCCGAACACTCAACGTACTTCACAGCTCTCAACTCTCTTGCCAGTCTTTCACCTTGTTCTGCTGTGATAGGACGCAGTCTTTGTCTTCGCAACTTCTCGATAATGACTTTATCATCTCTAAGATCGACCTGGGTACCAACCACTAGACATGGTACACCTGGACAATGGTGATGCACTTCAGGGAACCATTTTTCCTTTACATTCTCAAAGGATGGTGGAGATATGACACTGAAACAAACTAGGAAAACATCAGTGGATGGGTACGACAGAGGTCTTAATCTATCATAATCTTCTTGCCCTGCGGTATCGAATAGACCTAATGTGTATGGTTCATCACCAATCATAACAGTGACTGCATAGTTGTCGAAAACTGTTGGGACATAATCCGCTGGAAATTGGTTTGTAGTATAAGAGATCAGAAGACACGTTTTACCGACGGCACCATCACCTACAACAACACATTTTAGAGTCTGCATATTTTCTGTTTTGTTTCTCTGTTATTTATCTCTTTTTTTTTATATTAACTACCACTTCGAGACCACTTCTTTGCAATTTACCAGCTTTATGCTTGTAAAATTATCTTTATAATAAATTCAAAAGACCAAGTATTAAGGTAGGCGGCGAAACAGCTGATTTAAGGAGACGTTTGAAAACCTTGAAACCAAATAATATAACTATGATTTGGAAAACCTGGAATGAATTGCTATATTTCCCACTTTTGAAGTACTAAAAGAAATGACACGTCCCTAGTTGGTATTCAGAGTATGGAAAATGCTAATATCTATTAGTGAAGCTAACTTATCCTTCCCAATTTAGAAATAACTTGCAACTAAAAGAATTCTAAACTTGTTATTAACTGCAATACCCAGGGCGCAAGGTGGCTACTACTAATTACCGTGTGCGTTCGATGGATTTGTGTGCGTTTTGGAATCGTGTTGCGCTTTGCTCCTCTTTGGTCGACCAGAAAGAAATTTCGTTTCGTCTGGGGTCAGGGTGATGTCTGTTTATTATTGCGTGTGAAGGTATAATTAACGTGACTTATACTCTACCTTTCCAAGCTTTGTGTACACCCTGTGTAACTTACCAATATAGTGGTGTCTTATATAATATGGATTTGTTTGTTATCTTGAGCGGGTTACACTTAGGTAGTAGTATATAATTGGATTGGAGGGCTTTTATGCTGTTGTAGTTGTATTACTTGCTGTTTACTGTACTAGTATATATAATAGCAAGAGAATACCAAAGGGATTAGCAAGAGTAGACAAGAAAGGTCCCTTCGCATATCTTCAATTAGTAGGCACATCAGCATTGTGCGCACAGGATAAGGACAGATCTTATGTTTTCCCCTTCAAGGGAAGCACAGAATTCTTTTGAAAAGTTATCTGAGTTTGCCACGTCCAACTAACAGAAAGATATATATATAAAGTGCATATTCATCGATGCTTCAAACATAGTTAAATAGACCTATGTAGACTACAATCTCACCACTTCTAAAGCACATATTCATGGTAACACGTCAACTTGAAGCGATGATCGTGTGGGTTAATGACCCAATCTGATGAATAACAGATGATTCACTGAGAACGATGAAAAGACACAAAACAAAGTTTCTCTACAAGCTGTCTCCGGGTAATTTTATTGCATGAGGGCCAAGAAAAAAAAGAGAGAAAGTGCTCGAGGTGGGGTTTGAACCCACGACGGTCGCGTGTCTTGTGACCTGAGCCAGATTTAAGACCCAGAAACAGTAGTACAGTTAGCTCCCCAAAGGGGGATGCCACTATAAGCACGAAGCTCTAACCACTGAGCTACACGAGCATTTTCATACACCTGAGACCTCCAAAGGTGGTTTTATACCCCTGTAATCATAGTTTACGTCAAGGACATCAACTAAATTCTAGGTAATATTGCTGTTCTAAAGTGCAATGCTCTTTGCATATTTTACTTATATTTGATAATAAACATGTATAAATCCGAGATAAGTGGATACAATATCGATCCGACGTAGTGACTATTTTTCAGTAATTCACAAAACTCAAATAAATAAACTTGAAAAGTAAATGGATATTAGTATTTATGATTATTAGAGGTAATTATACAATTTTATATGTTATCTCTCTTATCAATGCATAAAGGTTAGATCAGATTAAGAGAAATTTATATATGTTCATTGTTTATTGGTAATTGGGAAGGATATAGGGCAAAGGGGTTGTGCTTCTGGCGGGGGTATTATATTGTAGAATGATGACTTAATTTTCTTTCATGATGTGTTTAGCTTATTGAAAAGTGTAAAACAATATAGTAGAAAAATATGTTTAGTCACCACAGACCAATTCCAATAGGAAACAACAACATAGCAACTTCAAACATTGGTCCATACAACTGCTCTCTTTTTGAGGTGGTGCTTGTTGAACGTACACAGGCTGTTGCTGGTAGTAACCTTGTTGAGGTGGTGGACCCTGTTGGTAGTAACCTTGTTGTGGAGGTGGAGGACCTTGTTGGTAGTATTGTTGACTCATTGTCTTCCCTTTCTTCGTGTGTATGTCTGATCTGACTAGTATTAAATAAGTAAACAGATATACTCAGATCAATTTACAATAGCCTCAGTTCAGAATATTGCATTTACTTTAAATACTATTTAAAAATTGTCAAAACAAAAAAAGAAGAAATTTAAAAAAAAAAATGAAAAAGGAAAACAAAACAATTAGAAGGATCTTCACTTCTCGTAGCCATCCAGCCCTTCATCCTTCACGCACTTTGTTGTCCCTTCGCAGTCTACAGAGTGCCCAGTTCACCCATTTTCTCTCTTCAATCAGCGAAGAGAAGAGCAACAAAGAAAACTAGATAAGAGTGTTACTGTAAGAGGGTGAGGAACAGAGAAAGCAGATAATTTGTAGTGCAGGCAAACAATCCGATTCAGATCCAACGAAACAAAGGATTGCAAATTCGCAGAGAATGGCCTGTTGAAGTTTGTACTTTAAATTTTAATCTTGTGTGTGCAATTTTTGCCATTAATAGCAACCCCCCCATTATAAGCCATTACGATCTTCCCTTCTACAGCTTCTCAGTAGCATAAGCCTGGTCTTGGGACGAACCTGCTTTAATAGTACTTTGCATCGGTGCTTGGAAAATAGTGTCACCAGTGGAGGTTTATCCCAGGATTACCAGTAAGGAAGGGCCTCTCGATGGCTTTTTCTTAGCAAGCCCTCCCACTAAGGTGAAAGGGAGGGAGGGGAGTAGAGAAGAAAAGGCTACAAGTGCCCTTCACAAAAGGCAGACAACGCCACTGTAGAACCAGAATGGAAGAAGTGGGCTTCTCTAAATCACTACCTACTCGAAGAAGAAACCCGAAAGGGAACCGAGACTAGCAAAGCCTACATTTTTCAGAGCAGGGTAAAGACATGTGACTGGTGATCTCTATGTAGCAAAGTGCTTAAATAAATGGCAAATATTGATGAAGTTCATGATAGTAATATTAAACGCCAGGTCTATGCATGATGATCCGGCTCTCTGATCATAATTGTAAATCACGGTTGAGACAATTATTGACTTGTTTTTATCAGTTAAGTGTAATTTTCTCTTTATATGAAAAACTGGATATGGGTGTATTATTGTATATAATGTGTAATCTCACAATGTCTATGTCCAAAACATTAAACTCTGAATGGAAAAAAAATATGTTTCATCAGTTGTAATTTTCATGATCATATGGGAAACTTTATAACAAGAATATTTATTTTATTAATTAAATTGAGTCACACTATATAATTAATTACTAATCTCTGTATCTAGTTTGATTAGGATTATCCGTATACCTGGTGGAAGGAGTAGGTTCAATAGATTCTTCTATGAACTCATAAAACCTGTGTGCATAGTCTCGTGGAGGAATGGCACTCACCACACTAAGGTCATGGCTGAGTCCCCTCCAGAATGTTTCTAGCTTCTTAATTAATGAGTAGTTCGTTAAACAATCAATGATACCAACGAAATAGATAATTTTTAGGTCGTTGTTAAATTGATCTGATGCTCTGATACCTCCGTCATTTTGCTTGAAAAAATGTGGCACCAAAGTGTTTTGCTTGTATCCCAACTTGTCCAATATAGCAGCAGAAGTCACTAATTGTTCTTCTGGATCTGCAACACCTGCCTCTATACTTGCACGTTCCATATCATGAATACCCAACAACAATGAGTAATCCATAGTATTTAATTTGGCCAGTAGCTCAACATCTTTCTTTAGTTGAACCAGAAACTTCTTGCTTTTTAATGGACCAAACATAATTTTTTGATTGGCCTCTAACCAATTCAGGTCCTTTAACACAGGGCGATACATGGGATCTTCCTCCATCCGTTTCTCGTCAACATTTGTCCTACGACCCCAGGTCGAACCCTTTAAATCAAAAGTCACATGCATATCTAAATGAGGTGGTAACAAGTTATTCATAACTAGGAAATATATTCTCCTATGCTTAATCTTATTTTGAAATGAAATTGGCATTTTTACTCTGTGAAGACCATAAAACTGACAAATCAACGTATCTGGATTAGTTTTGACATGGTTGTAGTATTCTTGTATGTGCTTTCTCAAGTGTATATGCTCTGAGTGGTGTATGGTTTTAATAATATATTTATAATCTCTTGAGAAATAGAAAAATGACCCACTTTTCCCGGGCGAGTTTAGTTCACTCAAAATATATTTGGAAGTCAACGAAACTAAATAGTCTGCTGAATCTAATCCAAATAGAGCCCTTAACTCTCTAAATACTTCGGGACAATAATCTTTGAATTTGAAAGCATACTGTGATGATGGGGTTAGTTCGTTGCCATGATAATCAAACGCGAGTTTCTTCTTAAATTTAAAGTCCTTTGGTGTTAAAGGCTTCATTATACCAGAACATCTAGAGACAGCCACACGTATACCAGTCAACATATTATATGCGATTATGAAATTAACGTGCCCTTCACTGACTTTATTACCAATCAGGACTCTATCGTCATCAACAATAACCGAACGCCTCTTCCTTTTCATTTCACGTTTCTGTAATAAGAGTTCCCTCATTTTCTGAATTTCTACTGTTGCTGATTGTGACCTTTTCAACATACCCCCATCATTCGAGCTATTTCTAGCATCATTGTTCTCATAATTTCTTGTAGTATTGACAGCAGGCAATGGGGGGAGTGAAGTTGTTGATACTGATGTTAATGTATTACTTTGAATTGGTGAATGATTAGCACCAGTTTTTGCAGCAGGACTATTCTGTTGCACATGCTTGTGTAAATGAGTTGGCAAAGAGATAATTGAATGATTGGTATACTTATGCACATCATTAAGGGTCAATGAGTGGCTTGCCTTGGAATTTCTATGAGAGCTTGTACTTGTTACAATTGGGTGTATTTGGGAATGATTAGATGATTGAATTTTTAGGTTGGGAATATGAATTGAATCTAATGTACTTCTTCTTGATGATGATCTTCTTGAAGTTGAAGTATTTAGTAGAATGCTACTTCGCCTTGTCGGTACCTCGTGTTGCTTGCTTCCTGATGAGGTTACTCTATTAGTTATCTTTCCAGTTTTGCTATGGCGTTCATCATTTACGTTTGGAGATCCCATGCTATGATTAGTTTCTGGTAGGTCGGTTACATGGTCTTGATCCAAGGTGTCATTATTTTGATTAATTTTGAATTCATCGTCATCTTCATGAATACTTTGAATATACGAATCTGTGTGTACCAATTTGGTATTTTCGTCGGCAATAAGGTCTAGTAACTCTTCTTGCTCTTGATCATGATATTGTTTTTCGATTTCAATGCTCTTTCTTTTTATAGCTTTCAGATCATTTATCATCTGCTGGTTTAATATGACTTGTTTTTTATCGGACTCCGAGGTGCCTTCTTTGTCTTTGCTGTTTACTGACCGTTGCTCTTTTATCAATGGTCTGTCATCTATTTTCTTGGCTCTTGCATTCATTTCATTTATTTTTTGACTCGAGTCGCCATTTCTAGGTATCAGTAAGCCCGTATTCTTGTTTGCAGCTTCCGATTGTCCAGTAGTCTCTGCAGGTCGGCTTGGGTCCACTTTAATAGCGTCGCGGTCTTTGTTCAGATCACGCGGCTTCCCCATATCTTCGATAGATGTAGGCGTAGATGATTCATGCACGCGATCGTACAGATCTTCGTCTTCTTCCTCGCCGTCTTCTTTCTCGCTCTTTCGCCTCCAGCCTATGTTTTTGTGATCTCCGTCTCTGTTCGGTATAGCTTGATTCTGGTGTGCCACATTCTGCGAATTGCTTCCTTTATCCAACACAAGCATCGAGAGAGTGTATCAGTGCGCGAATATACGAACCAGGGAAGAGTGTAGAAAGGTGGAATATTCTATGCTCAATTAACAAAAAGACAGAAGTAGAATTTTCGTATGCTCCAAGTTTCGATTCTCTTGTATTCTCACTCACAAATAAATAATTAGGGAAGATATTAGGTAGCAATTGCCCACAGCTTTGCTCTTTTTGTTTGTAAGGATGTCTTACTGGAGACCAAGGAATTATTATTCTATTTTCTATTTATATGCCAAATCCCAAATCCCAAATCCAAAGAGATCAAGAAAAAAGAAAAACCTTCCCAACGTTAAATACCCTATCTGGAGTAGTGTAGTCCTATACCACAAAGCGACAAACGTATCTAAATGAATACTGAGTCTCAGGCTATTTATGATTCCCAGTAAGGCGATGAATGCTATTATTATTATTTTCTTCTTGTTGTTTGTGTTATTTATTGATATAATACTGTACGATTAATCAAAATATATAACTGGGATCCAATTGATTAGCACACACACAAGGCCAAAGAATAGAGGTATGCACAGATACAATACTTTACAAGTACTATATAACCACCCAGGAACAATCAAACGCACTAGTTAATGTTATATATCCAAACAAAAAGAAGTATGGCATTTAGAGCTGGGAGTGGCAGTGTACTATAACTATCAATACCAGGACAATGGGGGGGTTTGAGAGATGGACGTCTGCCACGACAACAGCCCTCGGCACCGTAGAAGTAGGAAGCCAAAAAAATCCTTTCTGAAATAGAAAAGGAAGAAACCGGAAACAATCGGCAATCGGAAATGCCAATGGGTAAGACGGAAACAATCGGCCGCGAGTACCGTTCGACGCACAAAAACACGAGAACACCGCCAGCATACACAAATTTTCAAAGAGAGTTAACAACAAACAAAATCCGGGTAAAGTGCTTCTCCAAACTCTTTTTCGCTCTGGGTAAATGGGAGTCACCAGACACGTTGAAGAAAACGCGAACTTTTTTTTGCCTGCACTTTGTTCTGTTGCCCAGTAGCCCAGTAGCCCAGTAGCCCAGTAGCCCAGTAGCCCAGTAGTCCAGGTGCTCCGCTGGTCTCTTTGTCTTTCTGTGCATGTCTGTGTGTGCTACAACTCACAGGGAGGTAACCTTTTGGTTTGGCAGGATCCAGAGAAAGAGACGGACAAAATGTCCCCTGTCTAGCAACTGCTTTGCACTGCTCCTTGTGTGTACGCTTACCAGGTCCTCTTGGCACTCCTGTTGTACGCCTGTCCTGCAACTGTTCACTTGGTAGTGCAGTACGGGAAAAGGGCTATGGAGGGGAATTGAGCAAAAAAAAAAAAGTTGGACCCAGGCGTTGGGCGGCGTGCCTCGGTAGCACATAGTGGGGAGAGGGAGAGGGGTGGAGAACTGTAGTTATAAATTGCATTAGTAGCAAAACAGCAGATCCTGGGATTATATCAGCTCTTGCCAGCGAGAAGTTTTCACGAGAGCTGCTTTACGATAGGAGGTGCAAGAAACGTTAAGCAAACGGGTGCCGCTCAAAGATATACTGTACTGGAGAAAGGAAAAAAAAATATTAAGCTACACTTCTTGTAAGGCACGAGGCTAGGACACTTTTGAACAGGGCCAACGTTGTATAGAACACGAGCATTTGAGGATTAAATGGACACGCAAGGAGATTTGGTTCCCACAAAATGCACGTCGGCGCCTAATAACACGCCTGTTGACTCTTACACGACGTCTCCACAGCCGGAGATGAAGAGCAGCAGCGTTATTGACATTGCGATGGAGGATGACGACGAGGATGACGACGAGGACGAAGAGGAGGAAGAAGCGAACGAGGAAGAGGACGCACAGAGCAACGATACTACACCTGTAGAGAGCAGGGATCAAGATAGCACGGCGGCTAACAGTGATTCTGCGGCTAGCCCATCGGATACAGCTGATCCCGCACCTGTACATTCAGCTGACCATGAAGGTGTCTCCAGTGTTTCCCACACTGAAGAGGAACAAATCGGCGCAGAAAATGCCGTAGCTGATCCCGCCGACGGAACACTTCCAAACGCGGAAGGTGTTCAAGTACCTTCTAACGAAATACCGCCCACTGGAAAAGCAGCCGATGACGTACCACTTTCTAATCACGTGGAGGAGGACAAATCGGATGGTAATGGAAATGAAGCGAAAGAGAACGTCGATACGCCGCAGGTCAATGGAGGCGAGGCCACAGAGGCTCCTGTGAATACCGAAGATGCAAGCACCACTGACACTGCAAATACTGACGGAATGAAAGAAACTAATGGCGGTGTTGCGGGTGATGCAAACTCCAATACAGTTAAACTTGAAGTTGGTGATGAGGGCTACGTACCTCCACCGCCACCTAAATATATCAACTCTAAATTGGACGGGCTGAGATCAAGGCTCCTGCTTGACCCTAAGGAGAACAAACAGACTCCTAGACACGATGAGGATGTAGCTCAGGTGCTCTCCAACATGAGATCATCTCCTTTCAGCCCTTCTTCCAACAGACTGACGCCTACGTCTGCGTCTTCGTCTTCGTCAAGTGACAAACATCATTACCACTTCACAAGTACATTAAGCAGCAGTAGCATTCTAGGGAGACCTTTGCTGTTCAGAAGCGAGAACTCCAGTCCAGATTTCGGAAGTCCAATTGGAACAGAAAACCATATTGATACAAGTGATGAAAAGAGCCCCAACATGATCTCTGAAACTAAATCAGAAATTAGCCAAAATGAAACGTCTTCTTTAGATGATGGCGAATCTTCGAAAGAAGCAGAGACAACAGTTAGCAAACCATCTACTGATAATATTACCACCGCAGAAAGCGCGAGTGAAACGAGCACAGGAAACACTGTTGCTGAGAATGGAAAGGATGAAGTAGTGAAATCTGAGACGGATGAAATCGAAGACAAAGAGAAAGCTGAAAAATTAACTAGATTTAGATCTAAAATAAAGGAAGCTGAACGAATACTAAGGGAACAGAAAACAAGAAATATAACATGGATCAAAAGTGGCAAGAGAATAAATCGGGAATCAAGCACTCATGACAGTTCCAACTCTTCTATACCAAAAAGACTAAAAACCGAACCTTCGACAACAATAGACAAACAAAGAAAAATCAAACTGAATAAAGCACCTGGAGCTGATAACAAGCCTCCAATATCCGCTGCCAGCAAGGTAAAGAAAGAGGGTGAAAGAAAAAGAAAACCTGCAACGAGATCACGTACCGGCTGTTGGATTTGTAGATTAAGAAAGAAGAAGTGTTCTGAAGAAAAACCCGCCTGCTTCAACTGTCAAAGATTAAATCTAGATTGTTACTATGATGCCTTCAAACCTGACTTTGTTGCTGATCCTGTTGTGAGAAAACAAAAGATGGATGAAATTAGGATGAAAACCAAAGAGGCCAAACGACAAGCAATGAAAAAGAAAAACGCAAGACCTGCACCTTGAAAGAAAACGGTGATTATTACAATTTTATATGTCGGACATTTTACTTGAGCAAATATTTTTTTGTTTTGAATAATCAACTATGGTCTTTATAACCTCATATAAATAACATACAGTACACTTTAGTAACTTTTTAAAATTGTATTTAGGGAAATAAACATAAATGTATTATATTATCATAAAGCAAAGAATTTTAGGTTAAATACTTTATCCTAATATGCATTGGGTAATAATTATTTTGCAGTTGCACCAAGGGCAGCTAAACATTAACAACAGCACCTGTAAATACAAATTTTGGTATAAGACAGGTTTGTAAATATTTTCAATATACACAGAAACCCAAACACAAAATAAAAAATCAATTCCGATATTGATATGATTTTATGCGGGAATGGGGAATTAGAGGCAGATGTACCAATTCATTGATTAAACTGTTTTTGTTACAAACTTATCATTGTCTAATGAGACGGACCATATACGTTGCTAAACCCGGTGTTTATGAACGCATTATCCATTGGTTGTTGTCCGTTTCTTATTGAATATGGATACTGTGCTTGGAAGGAACTGGCACTGGCTTGTGGATCTTTCCGGTTTTGATCTGGCCAATATCCCTGAGAGCCCTCATGTAAAGAAGACATAGAATCAGGACCGATTGATGTCATATAGTTTTGATTAATGTTTGTGCTTGAGTTAACATATGGGGAATTTGTACTATTTTGATAACCATATTCTTGCGCTAGATTTGGTGATTGATTTAGCTGATGTGAATTACTGACATTTAGCTGTTGAGCTGATGTCGGGAAGTTTCTGGCATTTATTTTATTAGATGACTGCTTTTGAAACACACTAGAATTTAGAAGCTGTTCTGCATAGCCTGACCCCCTACTATCAGCAAAACTTGTTCTATTACGGTCTGCAAAAGGTGAAGGGGCATCTGGAACAATCGTTGTTTCAGAGTTCATCGACATCATACGAGAGTGATAGCTCGGATATATATGACGTCCATCATAGTATAAAGAATTTCCAGTCATTATTCCATTTCCCGAATTTAACTCATTTACTTCAGATCCCTTAGTATGGGAAGAGCCTGACCAGCTAGGTAGACCATAAGATGACCTATGGCTATCCATTATAGAAGTTGGCGTAGTAATTGATTGATCCACTGAGCTTAGCATGTTAGCAGATAAATTGGGTGACAAATATCCTTTCAAGGACGAATTTCGTCTACTGGATTCCACAGATGACATTGACATATTTGGTCTGAATATTTCATTTAGATATTTTCTGTGTTCATCTTCTGCATTTAAGGCTGACCTATCATTTATGTGTCCCGTACTCATTTCTGATCCACTATTTTGAATAGCAGACCCAGTGACAGTATTCGCATAATAAGATGGACCAACAGAATTCACCATTGGGGAGTTTAAATTTAAATTTCCAAGATCTTGAGCTAACGTATCACCAGGTTGCTTCATTTGGAAACTTGGCTTAATGTCAAAGGTACTAGGCGCCTTAACCGATATGCCACTGTAAACAACAGAAGAATTCTGCTCGGTTGGAATTATACCCTTAGCGTTGGAAAAGTTTGACGAACTTTGCTGGTAGTTCTTAGTGAGTGTCTTTTCTTTCAAAGTATCTTTCACCTCTTGTTGATAGTGCCTTACAGCACCAGTTTGCTTTCCAGATTTATTTCTACCATTCTTCTGCACATTATTTTTGAACTTCATATCCGGAATTCCAGAATCTGGTATTTTATATTGCGTTTTTTCGGTATCGAAATGGATATCACACTGGTTGTATGATAATATTTGTTTACCTGTGACAATTATGGCAGAGAGTCGTGCAAGTTTTTCTTCCTTAGGTGACAACTTATCTTCCATGTGAGGTTTACCAACTAATCTCGTCATACAATCTTCTGATGTGTGAATCTTTGTATCATTAAAGTCGTCCAGTTCATCACCAATAAATCCCAATTCTCTGAGTTGTATATCCTCTTCAAATAGATAGGACCTTTTAGGCTTTACACTATTATCTGGACCATAACTTACCAAACCACTAGCCAAAAAATCATTCAATAAATCTGCATATGCTTGACAAAATGCAACATTCGATTTAGCAAATTCCAGAACAGACTCATTTGCAAATATCCAACATCCAATGATTCTTAACATTGCCAAGTATAGGTAGACCTCATGATTTCCATTCCAGGCTTCCTTTATCACATCTGTAATAATTCTAGTGATATATGTAAAAACGAAACTCAGGTAAGACAATTGATTTCTTGTCAAAGTGTTTGATTTTAATATCTTTACTCTAGAGTCTGGACCCATATTACCGAAAAGCTGCAACAAGTTAAAGCCACCTATACCTATTATGAGATCGTTGTAAATTGTCTCGATATTTTTAATGTATCTAGAAGCAATTTTCTCATATAAAGTAAGTTCAAGCGTTTTAACAGCTAACCCATTCCGTAAAAAACCTGGCTTCTTCGGATTAGTCCAGACATCTGGTGCAAAGTACGACCCAAATATAGCTAAGAAATAAAGTTCAATTATTTCTCTATTGACGATTTTGGTGCCCTTTAAATCCTGGGAATGTACATCCAATATCAGTTTATCCAATCTAAGGTGGAGAGTACTATCATTTTCTAATATAATAGTCTTAAAATTAGACAACGCAGCCGGACATGGCGATTTAGCCAGAGAGCCTTTGATAAACTCTTGTACAGCAGTTCCCAAATTATCTGTTTGAATATAAACCATACCTCTCTGTAGATACGTTTCACCCGAGGAGGGAAGCAATAAAGAAGCAAGATCAAAATATTCTTTGGACTTTACAAAGTCTTCAACCGAGTGTCTATTAGAAATTTTTTCATACATGATCTTGTACCGTTGAGCTGAACCCAAGTATAATATGCACCGATGTAGAACCAATCTAACAATATTTGCTAGTGGATCATTGTACTTGAGTGACAGTCTCAGCTTTTTAGGTAGTGCCTTAGCTGCTTTTTTTTTCAAATTGAAGAACACGAAAACTTGAGGAGGAACACCATCAGTAGCTTCAATTTCGGGATCCATTAGGATAAGACTAATGATCGAATTCAAGAAAGCTTGAACTTCTTTATAGAATTTTGAAATTTTGCTGCTCATTTTTCTAAATTCAAAATACTTTGGCTGTTCACCAGCTTTACGAGGTACAATAAAATTTCTCAAAGTTTGAAACCATTTGAAAATAGGATAGTATATCTTACCCCATAACGCGTCAAGAATCAACACTGTAGTATGATTGTCAAATATTTCTGTCATCTCACTCGGGTATTCCTTGTATTGCCTGTACAGTTGCTTTTGCTTATTAAGGTTGTTCTCTGTCATTTTTAATAATTTGGAATGCACAAATGTGAGAAACCCGCTGAGAAGTGCATAATCATGCGTGATTTGATTTGTTCTTAATATTTCATTCAACCGTTCATGAAAGTCATTGATAGTATTCCAGACCAATGCTTCCGATTCACTCATTGTGCCTGCGTTCATTCTTAAACCGAAAAAGAAAAGAGATGCCTAATTCTAATCCTTTATCAACTATATACAAACAAGGACAGTTATTACAATAAATTTGTATTTCCAACAAATATTACTATAACAAAGCCTATCAGTCTTTTTTGTATTCCCAAATACTCCTCTGATCCGATTTCAGCCAAATTGGGTATCCTACAGCTTGGTCCTTGTTACTTTGAGGTTGACAGGTAACAATTATTTCGAAAAACTTGCCTACTAATCCACAAACTTCATTCAATCTCAGTATGAGTTGAATATGCCAATAGAGATTAACCTGCTTCCTTGATATATATCAATTATTTTATCCGTCCCAAAATTGAGGGAATTAAGTCCTTTTTTTTCACTTTTCCTAGGAATTACCTAATATTCCTCTGACGATAAAACAGAACAAAGAGGAACAAAAGCTAACTAGTCTAGCACCGGAACGATATTAAACCAAGTATTAAGCGCGTAAGTTTACTCTATTTCTGTGTCGGACTATGCCACATTAAACCTCACTACTATCACATATGATTGTTTTTCTATTTTTTTTTTTTTCAATCTACAGATTGTTTGTGCGATTTTTTTTTTTCGTTTCTCATATGTCATTTCTAATACATCGTGCACCGTAATAATGGCTACATGGCTACATATACTGCTGTCATATTGATAAGGTACTCAAAGCTATGTAATGTATTTACATGCAATCTCATTTTGACATGGGCAAAGGCTGCTGAACTTGTGCTGATCTACACCAGCACTCTGAGCTTTGTGGTTCGACTTGAATCCATGCGCGTATGGCATTATTCTCGAATATCTTTTCAACACGTTTTTTGATAATTGTCGAATTCTCTCCATCAATATACTGCACATGTATGTACCCAGTAAGCTTTTCATTGCTAGTGTCAGACGTTTCGTCATGCTCCTTGTGTACTTCATGAACGTGCTTATCTTCATGTTGATGCTCATGCTCATGCTCATCTTTGTGCTCATGCTCATGGGTGTGATCTGAAGAATGACTGTGGGAGTGACCATGAGAGTGGCCATGCATCGATACAGAGGAGCTCTGGCTGGGCCAGAATCTTGGTGTTGTATACCCTGTTATACCCGGTGTCATTGAAATCTGGTTTAGTGCATTTTTCACAACGTTATGGTTCCTATCATCCAGTTTAAACAATATTCCGTTCATTGACGATTTAAGTAAGGGTATTGAACTGACAAGGATCAGTGATGCTATAAACATCGATGCCAGCGGATCAAAAACCGTCCAGCCTGTTAACTTAATCAATATTGTAGAAACTATAACACCTGCGGAACCCAACGTATCTGCTAATATGTGAAGGAAAATACCTTTCATGTTCTCCTCATGTCCCGCACCTTCTGCATGGCCATGGCCTGCATGGTCAAAGGCAAACAACCCAACTAGATTTACTAACAAACCTAAAATTGCAACAACAAGAAGCTCACTGGTACCATGTAAATGTACAGGATTGAAAAATCTCCCCAATGCCTCAATGAAGATACCACATACGATTCCGAGTAATAGTATACCGTTGGTAAAACCAGCTAAGGTGCCCAATGATTTTAAAGCAAAAGGAAACTTGTCACTTGGTGGATTTTTAGATAGCGCACCTGCAATCAAACCCAACAACAATGATGTACAATCCAAGGCCATATGGAGAGAATCTGACAATAAACCAAGAGACTTGGATCTAAAGGAGTATAGCAATTGAACAAACATAAATGTTGTATTCAATAGTAGGAAGGAGAAAATGGACCTCGTGTCCTCATTTAAAGCAATTTGTTTCAAAAGACTCACATTTGACTTTTCACTAACTGTTACTCTACTGTGACTATGGTTATGTACAATCTCTTGTTCTTTCTCCGACAATAAACTGTTACAACATTCAGCTGCCAAGACAAATACCAATGTGAAAATGTCACCTCTTATATTTGAAACAATTTTATTAAAGGAAAGATACTGCAATAAAATTGCCATGAACCCACACGCGGAAAGTGTGTATTCTAAGGATATGTTAGCTAAATAAAAATCGGATGGACAATTTGATTCACCATTAGTTCCTAGTTCAGTTGTTTTAATATCAGCCACGGTCAAAAAGAAAATTGATAGACACCCAACATAGACTAGCAACATGAGTAACTGTACTTGATACATCCCATAAATATGAGATGACATTAAGAGGGCACCTAAACTTAACAACGGCAAAAAAAACAACTGATATTTGTAATCTGTTGTTAATTTTAGTTCCTGAGACTTTTCTTTATTTATAGCTGTGCTCTTGGTATAAGGTACAAGCACCAAAACAATGAAAACCACTATGCTATAAGATAGTAAGTTGGAGAATAAGTAGTAGTAACTTTCTGGGTCATAGGCAATAATTAGACTAATAAAAAATAGAGGTATAAATATCTTGACAGATCCTATCGCACAGGAGAAATTTAGTTTTTTATTAGATATATTCATTTTACCATATTCTCGGATGACCAATAATGATAGAATTGTAGATTGGATGGAACCCTGTATAAAATTTAGTTGGGATAACATAAATAATATGAGAAATATGGGCCCATATGATTTTATAATATCGGTCCATTTTAGTGAGTGATTAGGATTCAACCTTCCTAAGGGACTTTCAATAACGTGAAACAATGATCCAAGGCATATAAAGGTCGATGCTGTAAATATTGGCAGCAAAACCAACCTAATAAAATGGTCTGTATTGAAAAATGTATGCTCATAGTCGACAATACCCACGGATCCCCGTTGCAAAACTTCGCGATGTGATGGTATTATAAGATTGCTTGAAAGAATTATTGTAGGGTAAGATATGAGAAGTGGTATGCGATCAAGTAAGCCTTGTACACTCATTATTTGCATAAAACAAAACAAAATTTGTATTATATGGCTCCTATTCTTCACCAAATCAAGCACTTTCTTTATGCTGTTACCTTTGCCAATCAGTGATGCCCACTTGTTTAAAATATCGTAGTTAGATTCTTTATTGAAGCAAAACCAGGATTTCAAAATGCAGTTAATTTTAAATGTATGACAGTAGTCCTCTGATACTTTAGAATTGATGGAGATACTGCAGATAAAATACAGAATGACTAGATCTTTTGAATCATAACTTATCAAATTGTATACTGTAGAGTTTATGGGTTTATAAATTTGTATACAGAATGATGACCGTGTGTTGGTACGTAGCAAAGTATCATTCATAATACAAGTTTCAATTGGGCACATCCTGAACTGTTAGAGCAATATATAATGAGTATGTTAGCATGAGCTGTATTTACATCAATCTAACTCCATAATAGATAATATTTATCATAGGTCTATATTTTAATTCCCAGATTTTATGCGGGGAGGCCAATTGTAATCGACTATCAGTACGTTCATTAGAAACAAAGGAAAAGATCAAATAGAATATGTCATAAACATCTTTAAGCATAGGCTATAGCAGTATCTCTAGTTTTTTTGATATTTCTCATTGAGACGCTTTATCATTGCTTTACGCTTAGCTCTCATAGCTCTTAGATCAGGTGGCATCTTGATACCAAGTTCTTGTCTCAATTCTTCCACATCCTTTTCAAGAAGCTCTTCCCAATAGACATTAATAAGTGGCTTGCAAGTCAAACCTGTTTTGATCGCCCAAGGTAAATAAGTTCCATATAATCTGTCTCTTTGTGCTTTTTTCAATCTTAGTGGAGCCAACATCCAACCTAAAGTAGCCATTGGGATACCCATGTTTGCAGATTCTAATGCCTTTACAATAATTTCCCCCTCAATGATAATTGGCAAATCATTCAAGGCATGGTAAAAATCGTGACATTGCCTATATCTCTTGAACACAAAAGCATGGATTGGGTCGTCAATATATGTGACTGGTGCTCTAGTATCAGGCGAGACCTTTTCCTTCTCTAGCCATTTATAAAAAGTGTAACCAAAAGTGTTCTTTGGTAACTTTGATAGCTTATCCATATCTAAAATATCAGTTCGGACGTTTGGCTGATCCCTAAGGATGCGCCTTCCAGTTTCATCGGCAAGCATCGTTTGCTTTAGATTTTCCAAGAATATTGGGAATGCAGTTGCCTCACCTAACTGGACAATGTTAATACCGTTCTCTGGGTGGAAAAAGGCCCTAATACCAGAAATAGCAAAAAGTAGCATCTTTTCATGAAGGTACAGAGGCACATGCCCTTCATATCGTGGCTCCATAGGTCTGTTGTTGCTCAAGGCCTTAATACGTTGCTCAGTACGCTCTGCCCTTAATTTCGCATAATCTTCGTTCTTGTTATGCAACTCACCACGATCCATAGCATCAGCTAGCTTAGCATCTCTTCCAAAGATGTATGTGCTACCCAGAGCTACAGCAGCACCACTTAATAAAAATCCACGTCTTTGCTCCACTCTTAACACATTTGTCAGCACCGACTTCGTAACCTTAGTTGATTGTAACATCGAGAGTCAGGCAGATAGTATTTCCAATTGACCACTGATATGGGTTTATTTAGTACCAGTAAGGAATATTTATACATATAGTTACTCTTCATAATTGTATGCGTCTCATTAACTTGTTCCTTGTTCGAACCAGTCAGCTCCTGACTAAAAACGAATTTTTGGATTACAATGCGATGAGCTCGTAAAAATGAGGGATTGATAGATAATGCTGCAAAAAAAGCATGCCTGTAGTAATATGCTAAAATTCGATTGTGGGAATGGTTATGTTAGTGGGGTCATAAACTTCTCAAATACATTAGATTAACTCGGTATCAGCTCATCAAGTATGACCACTGAGGTATATGCATATGACTACTTTGGAAATAAGGAGCAATGTGGGGCGGAAAATGACTGGGAAGTTGAAGTTGAGTGGTTAATCAAAGAGATAATCAAACCAGATCTTCCAAATATAATTGATAACTTCAGTATGTGTCTGGAGATGCTCCAAAGCGAGCAGGAATTTGTGATGCCGTTGAGTAATGGTAAAGAAGAGAGCAAGAATAGTGGATCTCCCATTGTAAAAGGTATAATGGTTAGGCAAGGTGAATTTATAATAGACTTTCAAGTAATGATGTCTTTTGGACAGTTTAAAAAAGGGAAACAGATAGTTGCTAAGATGAAACCGTCTCAGAAATACTTACTTGTTCAATTTAGCACCACAATCATGAAATTGAAGGATATATTAATAAAATTACAAAATCTACAAATGATTGAAGATATAGAGGAGTTTTACAATGTTCTAGAGAGCGCTTTAGAAGAATTGAATGATTGCATTGATACATTACAAAATCCACCTCATGGGCTTACATTCCCTGGAAATAATAATGGCCCAATCAAACAAATGTTTGATGACTATGACAATTTATTTGAGTCAACACATCATCAAATCGCACTCGACATAACGATATTCAGGAATGAATTGTGCGTAGAATTCAAAAACCTCACGAAAGTGACTAGACCACCTTGGGATCAAGTCGATTTGCGAACTGGAAAGTGTTTTGCAGAGAAAATAAAAGAGGAACTCAAAGAGAAAAGGAATATGAATTTGGAACAAGTTCTTCAAAGCCACGGTTTACAAATTAACCAGCCCTCTTTATTAGGCAATATAGTTTCTCGTTTGAGTTCGGAAAGCGTTACATTACCAGAGGCTCAAGATTATCTGCGAAGGAGCGTTAGCTTTGATAAACGTGTTGTTATGGAGATAGAGAAAGCAAGCCTTACAACAAGTGATCCATCCCTAATAAGCATCAGCTCGAAATTACAAGGATTGAAAACCTGCATAAATAATCATCTTTCAAACCTTTCAGCACATAAATAAACAGCTTTTATAGTCTCTACTCATGTACTAACAACATACCCAATAAGGTAAACATCTTTAGAGAATTAAAATTCACCTACCGTCCAATAATTCTTGCAACTCTGCTCTTCGCGCCTTTAATGCTCGTAGCTCGTCTAGTTCTGCATCTGTGGCGGATGCAATTGCAATCGCATCCGTACTTACATCCATATCCTGATTATCAATACCAGTTTCGCTGAAATACAGATCACCACTCAATCTCAATGAATTCAGCTCAGAGGTTTGTCTCAAATTCTCTAGTTCCCTACGCTTCCGTATCAATGCCTTTTCTATTTTGTCTCCGAGCGTTTTCACCATTGGGTCCACCTCTTCAAAGAGCGCTAACCGCGCACTCTCTACATCATACTCAGGTACCAGCTCAAACACTCTTTTGATTTTAAGTATCCCTTCACACAACTCATTGCTCGCCTCTCCATTTCTAGCCAACCGACTTACGCTGCCATCTAATTGATGCACAATCGCTTCTAGGGAATTTACACATTGCTCTAAACTTTGCATATTTCAACTAGCTACTGAGTCTCAGATTTGAAATGTCCTGTAATAGTATATACATTTACATTACACATACATTCCTCCCTCACAAGTTATTGCAAAGCTATTATTCTTTCAATTGTTTTCTATTTGTTTTTGTTTCGGCGAGATCATCTTTTAAAAAATAACTGTTTATCTGAGTAGCAGACACATTCCAGTAACAAAAGCTAAATATTAAACAATTTTGTCCCCATTAAAACCATACAATCGAGCAGAAGTAATAATAACTCGGACGTTCAATACAGTTGCGAATTAGGAACAACCGCTATTGGAGTACTTGGATTGGTTCAAGAAGACTAAGGGGGGTTATAGTAGCGACAGAAGGAATGACAACCGATGCACGCAATGGAGGTAAAAGACCAATGGGTAGGAACAGATCTAACTCGCGAAGCAGTGGATCTCGATCTGTAATGGATATTGATGAACTGTCAGTACCGACCTTCATTCCAAGTGGGAACCGTAAGGCACAAACAGCAATCAATCACCATGAGCTACATGAAACAGTAACACCTGAGACTTTGGTTAAATCTCCGGGCAAGACTCACATTCTAGTACTAAAGTCTCTAAATGAAACTTTTGAGACCAAATTCCTGGTTATTCCTTATCAACCAGATGGTTTAAAACTGGGCAGACCTGTGGCATCGGGCGGTGGGAAACTAAGTAGCGCTGTAACACAGATTCGTTCTGACAACGGTAATTTCGATTCGAGGGTTCTTTCAAGAAATCACGCTTTATTGAGTTGTGATGCAGAGACTGGCAAGATATATATACGTGACCTAAAGTCAAGCAACGGCACTTTTGTTAATGGGAATAGAATTGATCAAACGAATGTGGAACTACATGTTGGAGATACAATCGATTTAGGTACAGATATCGATACCAAGATGGAACATAGGAAAATAAGTGCAATTGTTGAGGATATTTCAATAATACCTTTAGTAAATGGCTATAAGGATACCAATACTACCAACGTAGAGACCAAAACCGTCGCAACAAACCTACCTAAAACTATAGATCACACAATCCATAATCAACAACAGCCAACATTATCAAACAAAAGTATCGGTGATAATAATTTTAACTTACCACCCGAGTCGGCTGTTTCTACTGTCACAGCCCAAAGAGCTGCTTTCGAAGCAGCTATGTTCGGTAATGTTCTTCATAGTGACTTAGATGATAACATTCTTGGTGTTCAAACTGAAATTTTGAGTGGAATTTTTGTAAATAACTCTGCCGGTACAAGCCCCAACCTATTAAATACTATAAAAACGCTTTCAACTGAGCTAGCGTTGGAGAAACAAGAAACACAAAAGCTAACTGCTATGCAGAACTTCCTAGTGAACTACACTTCCAAATTAGATGAAATAAAGAAAGTAATGGACCAGAATAATGTGAAATATTTGGCAAAACTTCAAGAATCCCTAAGACAAAGTTTGTCTGAAACGCACAATAGAGTTATAAATGAACGTTTAGATCGCAGGAAAAAATTGGAGGAAGGAAATGAATCGTTTAAGCAAGAAAGGGATAAAGAGATTAAAGAGAAGCAGGAATTATTGAATAAGTTGAAGGATGAATTAAGTGCTGCTCAATTAAATTTAGAACAAGAAAAAAAACGAACCAAGGTACTCATGGAGAAGAAATCTGCTTTAACATCTAAAAAGGATTTGCTAAACGGTAAAACGAGATCTCCAAGCTCAATCAAGAGCAACGATCTATCATCAAATAAAGTCTTGATTACTGCTGCAATTACAGTAGTAGTCATTGCTGCTGTTGCAAAATGGAAAAGCTAAGAAGACCTGCTATTCACCCACCAACGAATACATTTCAAATACATGTCTCATCAATGAGAAGTATCGTTGTACGGTTATTTACTGGGACAAGCTATTTCAATTTTTAGCATTTCATGAGTTGAAAAAGAATGAGCAATTGAAATCATGCGATGAGGTGGATCACAATAATCTCTCGAAAATTGATATATGTTCTTTTAATTGTGTTTTTTTAATCCAACAAACATAAGGTCAATCATTCACTATCGTTAAAATAAAGCTAGCTGACAATTTATTTGCCCAAATGGATGACAAAATTTCATCACTGTTGGAGTGGCTACGTCAGGATGATGAATTCTATCTAAACGAATGTGTTGAAATCAAAGACACTGTTCAATCTGGTAGGGGTGTTTATTTAGATTGTGGAGAATTAAAACTGAATACGCCAATTGTGTCAATTCCCGGTGACTACCAATTAAATAAAGTGTCTGTTTTAAGCCACATATCACATTTCAACAATGCGATCCAAGGTAGTATCGGCAACACACCTATAAAGGATGCATCTGACTATTATAACCAAACTAATGATGATGATCCAAGATATAAGGCTTACAAGCTTTTGACCACTAGCTTTCTTGAGAAACTGAGCTCATTTCAATTGCTTTCAATGTATATCCTAGCAGAATGGTTCCTTCTTCCCCATTGGTCTAATGGCAAAATTACCTCGTTCTGGAAACCTTTTTTTGAATGCTGGCCTACAAATGAGGAACTCTCAACAATACCAACAATTTGGGCATTGTCAGATAACCCGTTAACTAAGGAACTGTTAAATCATCTTCCAGAAACATCCAAAACCCACGTAAATAGAATCAGCACATTAGTTTCCAAGGATTGGGAAGTGCTTCAAAACATCTTTGAGGTGTGGAGCACATTACATGCGTGTCCTACAAATGACAATATGTATGGGATGGACGAAATATTTAATTTCTTTCTGAGAATATATTTCACAATTAACTCTAGATGCTTATACGCTGAAATTCCTGGAAATGGAGACGATACAGCAAGTAATTTTACACTTGTTCCTTATGTTGATTTTTTCAACCACACTGTTGACCCTGATGTTCATTGTTACCCAAGAGTAAAGTATATGAAAAAAGGTAAATGTGGTATTGGAAAATTTGAGATATATTGTGGTCGATATTCTTACAAAGATCTCGATGAACAGCTTTATTTGAACTATGGCGCACATTCGAATGATTTTCTGCTAAACGAATACGGGTTTCTGATATCAAATAATCATTGGAACAATCTTGATATATCAAAAGAACTGAAATGTATTTTAGCAAAAAGTCCGGAAACCGTTGCATTTTTGAAAGAATGGGATTACTGGGACGATTACACCATTTCTGTTGAGGATATCAGTTATAGAATTATCATAGCACTTAGCCACTTAACCACAAGAGATAACAGAAAAGTGACCAACTTAATAAACGGGTATATGTCTGAAGACTATTTCAGAAAGGAGAATTATAGAATATTAAAAAATTTACTCGAACAACTTAAGTTAAATTCAATTAGTAAAATAACCCAATTGAATAAGCTGACCCCGTATGATGACTTGACTACGCTATATGTTTGGAATATAGCTAATCTTTATGAGGATGAGATCGAGATAATAAATACAATTATCACATCAATAAGTCCTGGTTATTAAATTTTCTATAACTATGATATCGATAATGTTAATAATTAATTAAGGATAATAAGTAATGAAGTTTTCACTAAATGCATTTAAATTTATATTCTATATTGGTGATTATTATATACAAGAATGGAAATCCCAATATTGTCTTCTGAGCCAGTCGTCTATGATCTGAGTTTTGTTGATAGGTGCCTATTCTTGTGTGCCAAAACCTTTCCCTTTATTAGTCTACTTATTAAATCAACATGACTAAATTTTAATTCCAGTTTATGACTCAAATAGCTCATGTATATTACATTTTCCAAAATGTCTTTATTTGCAAACCTTTGATAATTTTCATAAAACTCACTGGGTTCATGTGATTTATTAATCTTGTCTTTTATTAGGCCTAGTATACGTTGATCATCGAATATAATAGTTGAATTTTCAAACGCCTCAATGAAGCCAAATTGAGACTTAAGAATTTTCAGCTTTTCCCAAACTAGTAGGTTTGTCAGATGAATAGCCTCCTTAATATCTTTCAACTCTTTTATAAAAGAACAATCAAACAGCAAACAAAGTGCTTCTATTGTATTATCTACGAGCTCGCGCTCGCAATAATTAGTAAACATTTCCTGAAAAGAAACCTGCTCGGTTTGGATACCTACTGTTGCAGTTGGATAATGCAGATTAATCTGATTCATCAGTGAGTTAATTGAATTTTGACTATTCTCAATCGAATCATTCTCATTGGCCCATAGTGTTTCTGGAAGATGTGAATATTTTATCTTAATATCATTATTATTTACTCTTACATCGAATTCTTCATTTCCAATTTCAACACCAGCTTTGTTTGCAACTCCAATAGTAACCTTCGGTCTCTCTCTCCAAATCTTGAATTCTTTATTGCGTTTCTTCTCCAATACTAAACCAAGGGTAAATAACGAGGGATTCAGTAGCAACAATTCAGTAGACGGTACTATAGCACTTTCATATTTTCTCATAATGGAGTTGGTATACCTCCAATCCCCACCACCTATCACTAAATTCTCGAAAGGTGCTATATCTCCATTAGCGTATCGTGGCACTGAATAGCCCGCCATCAGTTGCAATCTATCAAGCATTAAACTTGAACGATATAAAGATATCTGAGACTCATGATTCATGAACCGTTTCAACTTTAATTGATCAACCATCAACATCACAACATTTGGTATTTTACCTTGCCCCGGTAATCTCGCAATCCCATACCCAACGAGTGTGGCCAACGGTGACCCTGCAAAGTACACTCTCGGCACACTACTCATTAAACAGAAGCCTATTGTTGTTATAACGAATCTTTTGACTTTATAGTGCTGTTTATAATAATAGTTCTTTTTTTATTGATTTTAGACATTTGAGTCTTCTGTAACTCGGTCAAGTCAAGTCGATAAAACACTGAAAAAGAGCGATGAGCTACAAGAGCTACAACTCTCAAAAACTGTAACAACGCAATTACATAGGTAGGAATAAATACTTTTTTGATATAGGTATCAACCACCAGTAAGATAAACTTGGAATAACAAACATTACACAAATGCTGATTTTGGGCTTAACAGGTGGTATAGCTTGCGGTAAGAGTACTGTATCTAGGAGACTCAAAGAGCACTACAAGTATCCGATAATCGATGCTGATCAGATAGCCAGAGATGTTGTAGAACCAGGTCAAAGTGCATACAATGAAATTATTCAATATTTCAATGATAAGATCACTGGGTTGACTGATGAAGATGGTAAACTTAATCGAGCAGCACTCGGGAAATGGGTGTTTGCGCATAAGGATGACCTACAAGTTCTCAATAATATAACACATCCTGCAATCAGAAAACGTATATTTAAAGACATACTATACTACTACGTTATGGGATATAAAGTTTGTGTGCTTGATGTTCCGCTATTATTTGAATCCCACATGGATAACATATGCGGAGTAAGTGTTGCAGTGACCAGTACAATGGCCCATCAATTAGAAAGGCTAATGGTGAGAAATCCTGAACTTACCAATGAAGATGCTCAAAATAGGATCAAATCGCAAATGTCAATGGCAGAACGAGTTAAAAGGGCTGATTATGTGATCGAAAATGATGGTACATTGAGCGATCTTTATGGTCAGTTGGACAATTTAATATTGAGAATCGAGCCAACTACAATACGTACATTGATAGAATATTTCCCACCTTTAGGAGCAGTTAGCGCAACAGCTGTTTATCTAACTAAGAGATGGCGTGCAAAGAATCAAGTAAAATCAGATGTATAAATTTTGAGAATAATCATTAACGCCAACAAATCTAAAGAAGTTGAAACAGAAACAACAAACATACACTTTTGGAAAGTACCGACAGCATTGAACTGTAAGGCTTGAAGGGCTATAGCTACCAATCCCAAACATACTCGAATAATTTTACAAAATAATACCTCTTTGCTATACATATAATATATCACGACAATGTAAAAACTTCTCTTCAGAATTCTCGAGAGGGCGGATCGCAAGATGACTTCTGGCACACAACAGTAATAGTTGCAGAATCGGTAGTAGTATATAGGTCTTCGAAAATATTTCAACAGGTTACATCCTCACTTGATCTTATACTTGAAGAGTTTACAGTAATCACACTAAGACTAGAATTAAAAAAAAACAGTGCTATGTTGAGACACTGTTCTTTGGGACTAGTTACCACACAAATATCGGCTATTGCGCCGTTACGATTAGTGGGATCGCCTCTATTTTGTAGGTCATATCAGGATTTTGCTGGTAGAGATAGAAGATCTTCACGTTCCAGGGAGGATAAGCCATATAATTCCCGTACTCGTCGGTTTGATGACGAAGGCTCTTCCAATTATTCCAGCTCGAGAGATGATTATCGAGGTCAGAACACCTATGGTTTCAGAGGAAAAGCTCCCAGAAAGAATTTTAGTTCGAGAGACAACTATAGCTCCAGAGACAACTTTAGATCAAGCAATGGATTTCAAGAAAGAGGTTACAAGAATAAGTTTTCAAAGAACACCAAGAGCTATAGTAAAGGCGGTAACACATCTGGATCATTTATCCCAGAGGGTAAAATGGCCAAAATGACACACATCGGAAAGAGTGACAGTGATATTGTGGTAACCTTGGAATCTCTACTTGAAAAGAATGTTATTTCTAGAGATCTTTATGACAGTATTTCCAGAATGGGTTTTGAACAACTTACACCAGTTCAACAAAAGACTATTGAACCGATCATTACTAATAGTGATAGTGACATCATTGCTCGAGCCAAGACTGGTACTGGTAAGACATTTGCGTTCTTACTACCAATCTTTCAACATTTACTTAATACCAAGATCGACTCCCAAAATAAGGTAAAATCTGTAATTGTTGCTCCAACAAGGGATTTGGCATTGCAAATTGAAGATGAAGTTAGGAAAATTCATTCAAAGAATAGGAAATTAAAAGCTTTCGAATGTGTATCTTTGGTTGGTGGTACTAACTTTGACAGATCAATCAGATACATTGAAAAAGTTAGTCCAAGCATTGTTATTGGTACACCAGGTAGATTAATCGATGTGATGGAGAAATTTGGTAATAAGTTCTTCAAAGATGTCGATTTCAAAGTATTAGACGAGGCTGATAGACTGCTTGAAATAGGTTTTAAAGAGGACTTGTCATACATAAATAAGATGCTAAACACACTCAATACCAACTCAACAGAACATATCAGAACTCTCTTATTTTCGGCTACTCTGGATCATAAAGTTCAAAGTCTTTCTAATGACATTATGAACAAAGAGGAGTGCCTATATATTGATACTATAGATGAAAATGAACCTCAAGCTCATGAAAAGATTGACCAAACCCTGGTTGTTGGTGAGACTTTTGCCGACAATTTATACGCTGCTATCGAACATATCAGGGAATTTGGAACTAAAACTCCTAATTACAAAAGTATCCTTTTCCTTCCAACAGTTAAATTTACCAAATTTATGGCTACTATTCTGAAGAGACAGGTAAAACTACCAATTTATGAATTCCACGGACAGATTGATCAGAAGAAACGTACTAGAATTGTCAATGAGTTCAAGACCATGAAAAAGGGATTACTTGTTTGTACTGATGTTGGGGCTCGTGGTATGGATTTCCCAAATATTACTGAAGTTCTACAAATTGGTTTACCTTCGGAGATTCCAAATTATATTCACAGAATTGGTAGAACAGCCCGTAGTGGAAAAGAGGGTTCTTCAGTAACGTTTATCTCTAAAGAAGAGCTTCCATTTTTTGAAATTCTAGAAGACAAACATAACGTGACCATCAAGAACATTAGAAAATTCGAGGCTCAACCACATGTGATGGCAGACTTATCATTGAGATTGCATGTCAGTGAGGATGAATTGCAAGAAATTATATTGAGTGTTATATCATTCTACCGTGCTTGCCTAAAAGACTATGGTATCAATTACAAGAACATGCTTCCTCAAATTGCTCACACCTATGGTACACTACTACAAAATGAAGACAAAAGAATACCGCTTGCCGGCAACCATATCTTAAATAGATTGGGAATGGATAGAGATCCAATTGCCACAAAAATGTTTCAAATAGATGAAATGCCAAATCAATATAACAGAAGAGGCCCAAGATCTAATTACAACAGAAGAAGATTCTAAACGAGTTATGTTGTAGCTATAAATTCAAGCTTTGCCAATGCCAAAGAACCCAGTTAAATTATCCTGTAAATCATTTGCATGTTACGACTTAAATTAATGATAGAATTTTTTACAAATTGCCCATATAAAAAAGAATAATGACATTCTGCTTATTCTTGATCTTGTAAATAGGGCATCTACCATATAAAAAGTGGTATTTTTTCTTTGCATCTTATAGTTTAATTATTTTGTTTTTAAAATTATTTATTAGTTTCAAGTACACACACATTTCTTAGAATAATACTAATTCTCTTTTCTACTGGCCTTGTACTTCTTAGTTGAAGTGACTTACATCACCTTTTTTACAGTTATTGTTGTACATACATATCCCATCTTCCATCTTTTTTACGTTCGGTAGTTTCTTGATTTTCCTGCTGGAGAAAAAGTCACTTAGAGACACTTTTTGAAAGTCATCTCACTGTTTTAACTTATAATATATGTATAAAAACTTTCAGAGTTCTTACAGCTTGAGAATACAATTGAATAACGAAAGTACTACTAAACTGAAAGAGATATAATGTCATATACGTCTAGAACACCGTGTAAATTCTTCCAGCAAGGGAATTGTAGGAGAGGTAACTCATGCAAGTTCGGCCATTTTCTAGCGAATGACAACAATAGAACTACCAGTAATGATGATCCATATAAATCATTCATCAGTCCAACCTCTATAGATAAACACAAGAAACAGATATTAGACGATATGGCTGACGCTGCCAGCTATGCACTTACACCGTTGACATCAGCCTACAGTCTTGCTGATCCATGCGCTGTCAACCTTATACAGGCAAGAGATATTTCCCTCGAAGAACTGAGATTCAAGTACCTACAAGCACAAAAAGCAGGTCAATTAGACCAATATACCGCAGAGGTCCAAGCTAGGAACTCTGATATACAGGTTTGTATGCAAGAGGTCAAGTCGCATCCTGATATCGCTGTACGGTTTCTTCAGAAATGTACTCAGGATATAAAAGAGCTTGGGCATCGCACAATACAACAGGACTTTATTAAATTCCCAGTTGGATCACAAAACCAGGCTTCTAGCTTGAATAAAACTGGTAATTTTAACAACACTACAACTGGAATGTTTGGCGTATCGGGGTTTTCTGGTACTGGTCCAGCAGCTGGTGCTGGCACTTCTTCAGGTCTGGGTAATGGCCTCAATATGACCAGCAGTGCTTTTGGCAAACCTGCATTTGGAAATACTGCTACAAGTAGTGGTGGAGGATTTGGTTCGTCGTCATTTGGTTCATCAGCTTTTGGTGCACCTGCATTTGGATCAGGCTCTACAGGATCAGGGTTTGGATCATTGACCGCAGGAAATCAAAGCAACGGGGCATCCGGAGCCTCGGGTACTGCATTTGGTAAGCCTGCATTTGGTAGTGTGGGACAAGCAGCATTTGGTCAAACAGTTCAGGCCAATACCAACCAATCACCTTTTGGAAGTATTTCCAATACTTCTGGGAATAGTATACCGAACTCATCACCATTCGGTGCTCTAGGTGCTGGAACAAATAATGTGAGTAATCCGTTTAGTGGAAAGCAGAGCACAGCATTCGGCTCACCAGCATTTGGATCAACTCAAAATAACGCAAGCAATACACAGAATACAGCAACAGGCTCAATGTTTGGTGCACCAGCATTTGGAAGCTCTCCATTTGCTTCATCACAAAATAACGGCCAAACTACATCCCCATTTGGCTCTTTGAAGAATCAGAGCTCTAATAATAATAATAACTCATTTGGAAGCCAGCCCAATCAAAACTCTATCGCCGGAACTTCAACAACTACATTCGGTTCATCCCCAAATAATATATCCAATCCATTTAGCAGTAATAATAATAAAAGTACTGCTTTTGGAAATATCGGAACTGGTACAAATACAGCAAATAATGCTTTTGGAACAGCTACCCCTGGTAATAATGTTTCCACAAATCAACAGACTCCTTTTGGAAGTTCTGCATTTAACAACGCTAACACAAACACTAATAAACCGGCCTTTGGGTCTAGTGGTTCGAATGCTCAATCATCACCGTTTGGTACAACAAATTCAATACAATCTAATAATTCCAGCGGGCCATTTGGAAATCCTTCAGCTGTCCAAGGTAATTCGTTTGATTCACCATTTGCAAATTCAGCTACTGCCAATCAGAGTATAGCTTCAAGTTCTCAATTTTCTCAAAACTCAAATCAAAACTCTGGTAATTTCTTTCAAGGCTCTGTGGAGAAAGAGGATCAACCTCCTGATATTTCTGAATTAGCGAAGGGAACTGTGGATACATTTAAGGCTGCCCAGTTTGTGTTGGGACAGGTACCGGACATACCTCCTCCTATGACATTAATAAATTAACTTTGTCTATTGTTAGCATTAACCTCTTTATATTACATTAATTCATTAATTGAGTGCATTTCTATGTTTATGTTATTTTGTAATGATACAGAGTAGGATACATAATACTACAGCGATAGTAAATCTGATATATTCTGGCAGTCTCCTAATACAATAAGATCAATATGGCCTAAAGATTTAAGGAGAGATTGGGTTGGCATTTCCTTATTGAAATAAATAACAATTCCTTTGTTTTTTACCACTTTTTCAATAAATTTCTTACACATTTGTAATACTCCTGGTATCTTTAAACTAGTACCAGCAATGAGTAGAAAATCAATTTTTTGTTTTAGATCTTTATTGCTAACTTGACCAATAAGATCGCCTTCCGGGTGAACTTCATTATACAACACAACCCTTGGTCTTAATTTACCAAGGCCTTTGGATCGGATTCCAGCAACTTTCCGTACTTCGTCGAATTCTTTGCATTGAGGGCATAACGGTATTATTTCTCCTTCATTTTCAAATGCCTCAGGGTTAAAACAATCTATTTTGGCGCAGAGATTACATTCCATATAATCAACACTACCATGTAATTGGATGGTAGTCGGTATTGGTTTATCTAGAGGTACTGTAGTCTTCAAATTTTCAAGCCTTGTATCGAGGCCATCTATATTCTGTGTGTAAAGTCTTACAAGTCGTTGTTGTGACGCTAAGTGATCCAATAGGAGATGGAATTTTGTTGGCTCCGATTTTTGCGATAAAGAATGCAAATCAACTATCATCGAATGAAATTTTTTGCTCATTTCATCTGATGAATAAACTCTATTGAAGTCAAAAAGCTCCTTACCTGATGCTACAGAATCACCTTTCAAAGTTTCAAACAAACCCTCACTAGACCTGAAGTCAGGTATACCTGCAGCTACTGAAATACCCGCCCCAACAACAGCCACTATCTTCTTCGAGTATTGAAATGCGTAACGTAGAAACTCAGCAGCACCATCACTGCTATGCTTCTCGGATGTTATACCACTCAGGTAATCATCTATAGAAAATATTGTAAATGGAGCCGGCCTCGATTTAAGCCTAGGCTTCCTACCACTCTTACCCCTCGCAAACAGCCTTCTAGGAGTAACCTTACCGACATTTGATTCAACCACTGGCTTCTTTGTCGACGACGGAGGAGTCAGAAGCATTTTGGTATCCTTTGAAATGGCTACCATTATGAAATAAGTAAGCCCAGTAACGTCCTTCAAAATAGGTGGCTCCAGTGTTGACAGTCCAGGCCAACCAAATAATACTTAGACGAATGAGACTCAAATACACTAAAATCCTCCAAATTTAACTAAGCTCATCGCAATCTGTCGTACATGAGAATTAAAGATTTTTCCATTTTAGGAAATCAAAACACCTTTACCTATACAGGATGGCTTATATATTCCAAAAAGTATATGAAACAAGAAGTAGTTTCACAGTAGCATTTTTTTCTTAAAGAATGTACCATATACAACATTTGTGAATTATACGTATTAGTTAAAGTTTAGTAACTAGCGTGCTAACAGGCTCTTTGGATTATATATATGAGGTGTAGCTTCATATCCGTCTAATACGACTGACTGGTATTCCTGGTTTTGAAAAAAAAATTTCACTGTGAGGATCAGAAGGATATAGTAGTTATAAAGGCACAAGGCTAAGCATCGCACTAATTGACTGTTCAATTTAGTACATATACAACCAGGAGTAAATAAAAATGGTTCAAATTACTGAAGTTAATGAGTCCAAGGCGGGCACTGCCAACAGAACTGCTGCCCACACACATATCAAGGGTTTAGGTCTTGATGATACTGGTGCTGCACGTCAGGTTGAAGGTGGCTTTGTTGGTCAAGTTGAAGCCAGAGAAGCTTGCGGTGTGATAGTTGATCTTATCAAGGCGAAGAAGATGTCAGGGAGAGCTATTTTACTGGCCGGTGGGCCATCTACAGGTAAGACTGCTTTGGCCTTGGCCATTTCGCAAGAACTAGGCCCAAAGGTTCCTTTCTGTCCTTTGGTAGGTAGTGAACTATACTCTGTTGAAGTTAAGAAGACTGAAACATTGATGGAGAATTTTAGAAGAGCCATCGGCCTGAGAATAAAGGAAACCAAGGAAGTATACGAGGGTGAAGTTACTGAATTGACTCCAGAAGATGCAGAAAATCCATTAGGGGGATACGGAAAGACGATTTCCCACGTTATTGTTGGTTTGAAATCTGCGAAAGGTACAAAAACTCTGAGACTAGACCCAACCATTTATGACAGCATTCAAAAGGAAAAGGTAAGCATTGGTGATGTGATTTACATTGAAGCCAACACAGGAGCAGTAAAGCGTGTTGGTAGATCAGACGCTTACGCAACGGAATTTGATCTAGAAGCTGAAGAATACGTTCCATTACCAAAAGGTGAAGTTCATAAGAAGAAGGAAATTGTCCAAGATGTTACATTACATGATTTAGATATTGCTAATGCCAGACCTCAAGGTGGGCAAGATGTGATATCGATGATGGGACAACTCATGAAACCAAAAAAAACAGAAATTACAGAAAAACTGAGATTCGAAGTGAATAAAGTTGTTGCTAAATATGTAGACCAAGGTGTTGCTGAACTAATACCAGGTGTTCTATTTATCGATGAAGCAAACATGCTTGATATTGAGATATTTACTTACTTAAACAAAGCTTTGGAGTCTGACATAGCTCCAATTGTGGTTTTAGCCTCTAACAGGGGTATGACAACAGTACGCGGTACAGAAGATGTAATTTCACCACATGGTATTCCTGCTGATCTAATCGATAGATTGTTGATAGTTCGTACTTTGCCTTACAATAAAGATGAAATTAGACTAATTATTGAGAGAAGATCTGCTGTAGAAAACCTGGCGCTTGAGGATGGCGCTTTGGACATTTTAGCTGACATGGCCACTCATACTTCTCTTCGTTATGCATTGCAATTACTATCCCCAGCTGGTATTTTAAGTTCAACTGCAGGGCGCCAAAAGATCACGATTGATGACATAAATGAGGCAAAGATGTTATTTATAGATGCTAAGAGATCCACTAAAATCTTGGAAAATTCTGATAGATATATGTAAAAATGTGGAGCTTTTCTCTGATATAAGTCTATAGGTAAACATAGAACCTCCATAATACTTGTACTAACTGCACTAAAATTGTAATAATTCAAAGAAACAAAATTTAAAAAAAGAATGATCCAAAATTATAATTCATATTTAATTACTAAACAATTTAATTGGTTATGTACTTAATGATGCCACCTGTTCCAAAAATTGATGTGGTGATAATATATCTGTGCTACCATACATGACTTTCTTTGGATTATGTATCTGGGAATGAGCCCATTCTTGCAAATTTTGATATTCTAAATAGTTACCACCCCCAACAATAAATACAACTGATTTGTTATACGTTTGCCTTTTTGGTTTTCTAGTGTGTGAACCTCTCGTAATTTTAGGATCCAAGTAAAGATAGGTATCAGTAGCTTCAAGATTCTTCTGAGAACTATTCAATGGATCCATAATAGCATCAACAATATTAGTTACAGGTATAGTCTTCTTTTCTGGTAGCAATTTCTTGAAACCAGAGATCAAAGTTCCAACACCACCTTGAAGTGTACCTTCTGTCAAGCCATACAAGCCGGATAACGTGCTTGTGGTCATTTTGTTAGAATCTTGCTTACCATCATCAAGGCTTTTTGTTTGCAAAGACATTGAAGATGACATTTTCATCATCTCCCTTAACTTATACACATACTTTAGTGGAGTAATATCGTATTCTTGACCTTTAAAATAGTTTTCCACCTGCTTGACAAAATCTTGAGGCGGAGTATTTTTAGCACTTAGATATAGCACAATGAAGGATCTTAGTTTATCTTCTAAATTATCAGTTTTACCATCCTTTTCTAATAGTTCAATAAATTTAGTGCGTGTTTTAACATTGTCTGGATCTTGTTGTTCAATTTCAAAAAAGGTATCCAAGTTTTTGGCTTCCAGTTCTTTCAACAAAGATGCAAAAATATTCATGTGCATATCTATAATACCTTTTTTGGCAGTTAGCTCTGGTAATTTTTTGACAGCTTGTTGAATTTGCAAAGTACCAAGATCATCTTCATTCTCGTTTTGATCAAATTGCTTGATGTTTAAATCGTTCAGACTAGTCACACCAGTTTTCTTAACTATTTCGTTTGCTTCATTTTTGTATTCATTTAAAGCCGATTCCACATTTTCTGCCGCCTCAGGGAATGGAAGGTGAGCATTTTGTAGCCAAAAGAAATCGTGAGGCTCTATATCGTATTGTTTCTCAGGAGAGGTTTCATTTTCACCAGGAATTGTGATAGTGTTTCTACGCAATTTGAATATATCAAAAACCATGCATTGATAAATCCATGAATGAGAAAACATACAACTGTAGTCAATGTTTCTGTCTAGAATAATCAACACAAATCTATCGAGGGAGTCATTCAGAATGGAGTTTGAGTTTTCTGATGAGTTAGATTTCAAGTTTATCACGTAGTCTCTTAGTTTACTACTCAACTTCTCAGCTACTATCTCTGCTGGACCGTTTTTTTGAGCTCTAATAATTGGAATGGAGTTTAAGGTTATTATGGTGTTAAACAGACCGTCAGCTATGGTAGAACACAATGAAGTGATGGTCTCTTCGTCAGATTGCGGGTTATTTAGGATAGAATATGCTGTAGGCAATTCTAAGGAGAAAAGTTCAGGCTCAGTTACAACAAAGTCTAAGTACTGATCGTAAACCTGTTTCACTTTGTCCTGTTTACCCAATTGGACAACTTCCTGCGCTAGATGTTCTAGCAAATCTCTGCTTAAAGAGTCAACAAAATTGATATAGAATTCGCTATATTTATCGTGTTTCAAGTCATCCACTATCAGATCAATGTTGGTCTTGGTAGGCTCAATGAAGTATACCACGGGTACATCAGGTAACGAGCTTCTCTTGGAAGAGTCGATCAATGCATGCACTGTGACACCAGTTTTCAGAAGATCATTGACTCTAAGAACACTAGAAACGATTGCCGTGGTCCTCTTATCCAGAACAAGAACTTTCCAAATAATATCCTGGATCGCGTCATCGTTCGCAATCGCAGCCGTTGTAGCATTGGGATCCTCTGTGACAGAATTGGCCTTTGGATAGTGCTCCTCATTCAAATAGAGCATCTTCAGCAGTGAATCCACCTGCATGTCACGTAAACTATCCATCTCCGACGCCATTGTGTATGGATTGTTTCAGGATACTGACAGCCTTACCTTACCCAACCCACAACTTCCAACGCCAGTGTCTTTTATTAGCTATTCCCCCAGCTTAAACTTGCAACTTTCGTTGGCAGGACAGGTATATACAGTGACGTTAAATGTGATATGAATGAACTTCGATATAATAGAGATAGTGGCCAGCACAGAAGGTCTGTTCTTGTTTCATACAAAAAGTGAGGTATCGATCTTAACCACTGGTTGAAATTCAGGTCTACCAACTAAATACACTTTAACACTCATAAAATTGTATGCACTAACTTATATTTGTTATTATTCTTGAACCTTACAGACCAATTGACGATGTACGTGTATGTGGGATTGCAAACCATAACAGGCATGCTACAAAACCATCTACTATTAAGAGACAAGCAGTACTTTGGTTTGTGAATTGAAAAGTAGTCGACTATGACTAGGGCTTCTGTATGACAAACAAGAGCATAGTCAGATAACACTCAACATGTATAGAGTAGGAATCTTATCTGAAAGAACAATGGGAGGGAGGTGTAAATGTAGGTTAGGAAGGAGAAGGGGGGGGAGAAACGGGGTGCCTATGTCAACGTGTATATAGTTTGATTTGGACAATGAAAACTGTTGAAAGTCGTTTGGATATTGTCTCGGAGCTGATGATACAATATCCATTTTCTGATGACCCATTGTCTAAATGAAATCCGTTGAGTAAGACCGTTAAGTGGATCATCGAACAGCAGAAAATTTGATTGTCGATGAGCGATTTCAGCTAAACGAAAGGAATAAGTTTTAGTCTCGAGGACGGGTGGGGATAGACGGCCACACATTTTTGGATAAAAGTCTTTGGTATATATTAGACAGGTAAGATAGACTTTACAAAGTCAGTTAGGAAGTCAGGATAGCGAAGCTACTGACGATGAATAGGAATAAACGGGTGAATGTGAAGCCCTTGAGCTCACTGTTTCTGATCTCGTATTCAGATGTGCGATGCGATGTCGAGCATCTTCAGAAGTATAAGATCCACCTTTACATTGATATACCCACAATAGATTACTACACAGATGAGTTAACTGAGACCAAGCTCTCTAAACTAAATAAGAAGCTAAAGTTGAGTAAACTTAAGCATGATATATGGAGGGCTTTCTATAATGGCGATGAACAGTTTTGGGATAGACTCAAAGAGAGTAATCATCAAGTTAAGGTCACAGTGGATATATCATCATCGGGATCGCTGCGGTACGTGCAAACTATCAAGTTTCTGTTAGAAACTATATATAACTCGCTCCGAGAATTAGAATATGTGCAGTTACAGTTTCATTTAGACTCGACACTGACCTCGTTGAAATGGTTCAAGACGTTCTTGGATCCTGAATTAATGAATGCAGGTATAATCAAGTTTAACACAATCAAACACACACCACAGCAATCGGACAACACTAAGACCCCTTTCAAAGAATATTACATGAGACTAAATAATAAATTCATGGATAGCGAGAGGTATTTTGATAAGAAAGTAATGGAAACTATCGTTATTGTAACAAATCAGACTGGTGTTAAGGCGTTGTTGACTCTTCTATCGGACAGACCACTAAACTCCTATATATCGGAGGAATCGATGAAGGCACTGCAACACATGAGTGCGTCAGCGACAAGAAATAGATCATATTCAGCAACAGTTCCTAATCATTCATATGAAACCGATTTTATCTCCCATACACCTTTAAAAAGAGTCTCTTCTTCTATATTAAATTTCCAAAACGAATCATTGCCATTGAGTCATGAAAAGGAAGCTCGGGTCAAATCACCGATAAGCTTTGCAACATCACCAACTCTTACAAATTCAAGATCATTTACACCTATAGATTTTCCAGGAGCTGAATCTTATAACAGCAGGGCAATGTCACCAGATGATCTAGCAATGGCGGACGCTTTGAGCGATGAATTTGATGAAGATGAGGATAATTATGATGATGAAGAGTTCGAAGAAGATGATGATAATGACGATGATGATAATGATCCAGATGAAGGCTTAAGTTTCTTTGCTCCAAATATACTATCACGTTCAGGGTCTGGATTTAATCTTTCATCGAGGGCTCAGAACAATATTAACAACAAATTGAAATTGCCCGGGACAAGCAAAGGTCGGTTTAGATCTTTGAGTTTAATGGATCCAGCCTTAAATAGACCATTTATGCAGAAAGGTCTACAAATGACTCCAGCTAATACAGGTCTAACTGTAAAAGATAATAGAAATGAACTAAGATGTGCTTCACCACTAGCTTCTACAGTGACAAAGTTTGAAACAAATTCGAATAATAATAACGAGGATACACACGATGATGATAATAACGATTTGCATACAAAATTTACTAATATATATATTCATGATGGCGATTTTGATGAAGTAGTTCTAGATGATTCTACTCAACAAAGGATTTTACACAATAAGAAGAAACTAATGGAAATACATGGCGAGGATACAGGAACAAGAATATCAAATACCCCAAATAGTTTAATACCTCCTGAATTTTATTCCAGACTGTCTTCTCCTTCTACAAGTGCAAGTAGTTCCAATACTTCACTGACGCAGCTAAATACATTAGTTACACCACAATTTACAAAATGGTTGAATAATGCTAATTTATTACATAGTCAAGGAAATGACAAACAGTCCCAAATAAAAGGAGGAGCAAACTTATTTGAGCAGAAGCTGGTTAAGAAATCAATGGAAGATCTCAGGAATGAACCAGCGAAGAATTTCATTAATGGTTTGATAAATGGAGATATTGATTCGACAGAAAAAAATGCATATGCATTAAATTTCCGCAATACTGCTAACTATTCTCAACATCATTATGAAGCTCTGGACGACGAGGATCGAATGATGTCGGGTGTCACAGAAGACCATGATAACACAAGACAAAGTTCAGACCTAACTTTTGAGTCATCAACTACATCAGAATCAGAAGATGAAACAGCAACAACGGCGTCTGTCGCAACAATCAAGCCAGAAATGCCATCAGCACAATTATTCGGACTTTCAAATAGTCATAATTCTAGACTATCACAAACATCGAAGACAAGCTTGGATCAAATAAGACCTAGTTTTAGTTTTCAACTTTATGATGATCTAGAAAATATTGACAATCAAGTCAACGAACAAATACAACAAAACCCAGATAGCGAGCCTCCAAAAGCATACAAAAAAGCTGTATCCATCGATCTTTATGGCGATGAAGACCCAGACAATAACGATACATGGTTATTAGGATGGAACAATAAATGATATTTTGTAATCAAAACTGAGAGACGAACTTACTAGGCTGTTTAACAATACTAATATTTTTATAGTATATCTTCAATTCTATATATTTCTAATGATTCTAAAATAAATTCCAACTAGTTCAAATTAGCGGCGGATTTCATTATGGATGATATCTTCGTTTAAATAAAATCCTAAGGCTTGTTCAATTATAATATACACAGTAAAATATAGCCCCATACAGCCGTTCATTTTTTTTTTGTATATTTGCATCTGAAAAAATTCGGGATGGCCATTTTGGAAAAAAAAATTTGCAAAAAATTTGCGATGAGCTAGCTCATCGCTTCATAGTAAAGTTGTCTATATAACAGATATTGGAGTACTTTAGAAATATAAACTACTAAAGTTAATAGCTTGATTCCTTTCGAATTGTCAATAGTTTCTCAAGCCATTGGTACTCTTATATACAAGGGGAAATTTTTTTACATATAGTCGGCCATCAATGAAGGCGCAATCATCTCAAGAACAAGAAGATGGATTGACTATGCTTCATAGAATTCTTAAGGATGACAATGTTGATATGGATAGTGCGCTATCCGATATGGAAGGTCCCTCAGTTAATCAAAATTTGGACAAACTCGAGATTGATTACCGGAATCAGTTTGAAATAGCTTACAGAGAAAATAGCTTTGAAAATTTAGAAGAACTCTCTGATGAGACTATTGGTAAACATGTTACATTAGATACCCTACTGAAAATGGATAATGACGTTATATTCAAAGATGAAAATATTTTTGATGATGAAGATCGTTCCAGCAGAAAACGTCAAAGGGATAGTGTCTCTGATACTGACACTTTGTTTAATGAACAGACTGATTCTAAGAAAAGGAAAGACTCCGATATGGATAGTTGTAAGAATGCTATAGATAGTATAATGACGGAGCAAATTTTATCTCCCATATCTTTATCTCCTACTCCTTCATCTGATGGAAGTATCCAAAATGATAAGACTGAGTCACTTGAAATAGCTAAAGACTTACCAAAGGAACCTCGAAAACCAGTTGATAAACCAGCAAGAGCTAAGCTCAAAAACAAATATGAAATGTCTAATATTATTATCCATAAGGAAGATATACCAGCAGCTAATTTGAGAAATAGAAGGAGTATGGTAGATAATAATGTTATAAAAAAAATTTCTCCTCATTCCTCTGCAGATCATAATAAGACAGTGAAAAAAGAACCTGTTGTTATCACTAATGAGTACACAGTCTCACAAGTTGCGCAAATGAAGAGAAGGATTATAGACTCTCATAAGCTACTTTTGAATTTTAATGTCATTAAGGATAATTATGCTAGGGCATGTGTTCAATTGAAAAGATCTGTTACTGCATTGAAGGATAGTGAAATTCACAGGGCTCATTTAATTCTCGAAAATGAAGAATTAAAAAAACAGCTGCAAGCATTGCAACAGCATTCAACTGGAAAGGAAGAAGCCAACAGTACAAATATTCCAAAACAAAACATATTAAAAAATGAAGCAGACTCTTAAAAGGTCAATAAAATCTTCAAATCAGCATTTCATTAACAATGTACATACATTACTTGCATTTGCATAAAAACTTTCTCTATAGAAAGTTTTATACACAACATACATAACTTCATAAGCAAAAAGTCATTAATATATTACAAAGATATAAAGCCATTATCTGAAGATTTTAGGATGGGAAAATAATATGCAATAGATATTCATGCAAACAAGACTGTAGATAAATACTGGCTCTTTTTGGGTCAGATATCCAAGTCAGAGGTATCAGAATCGTTCTTTTCTCTCAATTTTGATACAAGATCGGTATTCTTGTTGGCTATTCTTAGGTTACTTATTCTATCGGCATCTTGAGGCCGCCTTTCGAGAATACCTGCTCTCATCAAAACACCTTCCAATTTAGATGTTCTGAAACCATTTGGATCATTACCCATTTTATTAAACCCAATAATTCTCTCACATTCATTACCGTTCAAGTAGCAGATCACAAATGGTAATACTTTGATTCCTAACTTTTCCACTAAAAAGGGAGCATTTTCAACACTGATACTGATAAACTTAGTACTTAAATAATTCCTTGCTATCTCTTCCAGTTTCTCGTCCATATATTGGCATTTTTTGAATGTCTCAAGTTCGAAGTGTATTACCACTCTGGCGGTGCTAGTTGTAATTTTCATTACCTGTGATTCATTATCCATGTAGTTAACCTTTCCAAATCCTTCCTCCTTCTTCCGCTGAATTGAGCCAAAGTAATCATGCATCTCCTGCATTCGCTGAGCTCTATACCTATCTATGAAATCGTCATTCCTTTCATCCTCTTGTTCTAATTCTTCAAGCAATTCATTTATGCTTTCATCACTCGTTGACATTTATGGATTCAATTGTTTTTGCCTACTGTGATACTATATCTATAGGTATGTAATACTAATATGTTACCTCAATTATGCAATTAGGATTTGCGATGATGCCTGTTTTCATAGTCCGCTAGGTTAACGCGCGTCCTATTTAAACGAAAATACAAGGTAATATTTGAAGTATTTGACTGTTTTTGAAAACAATATATAATCAATCCAATTGATGAAAGTAATAATGTACACAAATTCAATAAAAAAGTTTTACAGGTGTATCATGCAAGGTGAACTTCTTTGCAATAAACTCAGAAATTGTTATTTTGTTGTTGATATGACGAGAAGATAAAAAGAATGCAGTAAAAGAAAGGCTAAACTTGGTGTGCGGATACAGTTGTGTAATGGTTCGATGGACCTATCCATACTGTTCCCAATTCATTTAGTTATTCCTAAAGAATATCTTATTGTTGATATTTTTATGACTATATCACACAATAGTAGTAGAAAAATGTTGCAAGAACCAGAGCGGCCAAAGAGCCCACTTTCTGGAAAAATACTGCAAACTTTGACTGTTCTTCGCTGCTCTGTAGTGAGGCTTTCAATTTTTTATCCTCTAACTGCGCATCACTGATACTTACAGGCATTGGTAATGTTTCATCTACCTTCTTTATTTTTCCTGCGAAGTTTTGATACTTGGATCTAATGTAACGTTTGGGAAAGAAGCTAGTCTTAATTAGAATTATCAGACAAAAAATCGCTGCGATTATGTACATGGTTAATGGTTTATAAGGGTCAGGCATATAGCACATCTCTGTTGAGTATGTTTGGCCTGTAAGTCCTATCCCCATCTCGCTTTGTGGATTGTATAGCGATAATAGCTGAATGGCAGGCTTACTAATGCCCATATTCATAGCACACGACTTAACTGTGTATTCATTAGCAAGTTTAGTGCCTGATCCATCTTTGGGGGTATATTCGTGCTTAATATGGCAATAATCATGGTCATCACCAGAGAAGAGCAAAATTGGTTTTATGGTGTCAAGCACATCATTTGAGATTTCCTCGGTTATCACAGTCTGATATTGGTCGCCTTTCATAACTGGGAATAAATTTGAAGATTCTCTGCGACTTCCACAGGTTTGTTTAGTAACGTCTCTCCATAAAGGAACATGAGACAGCATGATGCGTGGGTATGATGGATCAACTTCTCCAAATTTCTCAAGAAAGTCTCTTGGTTTTTCAGATATATGTGGATCTGCAGAGTCAGACAAAGATATGGTATCTAACACCACAAAAGTGTGGTTACCAATGTGAAAGTAATCGGATGTCTCTCCAAAAAACGCTGAAAATCTAAGTAAACTATTTTTTACCACTGTATCGCCAAATCCAATATCGTGATTACCAGCAACATTGGTTATCGTTGTGGTACCAGGTTTTCTTGGAAAAATACGGTTAAATCTCTGGTATTCGTTAAACCAGTACTTATCATCCCAATATCTTCCACCGTCGAATAGATCACCCAAGAACACTGATGTTTGTGGTTCCAGGTATCCTTGCACATATTTCCAATTTCTGGCCAAATAGTGGTCTAGGATGACTCTTGTAAAATAATTGACTATTGCGGGCCTTCCAGGGTATGAGTGATTATCCATGATCTGTGGGTCAGCAAATAGAGCAACATGGTGTGCTCCCACAGGATTCTCCCATTGCTCCCATTTGTTCCATTGGCATTTCTTCATCGCCCGCACAACAACCGTATGCTCATAGTAATGTATAAGTGCCACCCACGCAACCCATAGTCCAAGCACCAGTCTCCATGATCTAACACTTTTCCATTGTCGGCACTGCGGTTTCAGCATCCTGCTCGCATTCCCTGTTGTGACAGAGCCCAGCTCTACTTCGTCGTCACTTCTATCCATCATAGTGTCAGCTTTCTTCCGTTTAAACATCCTACACTATTTTGTGAAACCTGTGTTTATAAGGTAAGCTGCAATGTGACCTGTCCAACAGCAGGATTAATATATGCCTTTAAAAACTGTTGTTATTATCACATCTACGATCAACATTTCGCTGATTTTGTTTTTTAGCGAAGCATCGCGATCGGCATTCTACTATTGATATTAGTGCCTCCAAGATAGTACCACTCATGGGGAACGCTATGCATACGTGGAGGAAGCTACATATACATAATTCGATTATCATGGATGTGGTACACTAAACCTAGCTACAGTTCAACACGAATGAGGCTATGCGTATAACTCACATGCAACAGCGCAAGCGCAAGTACGTCTGAGCGTATTTGGAAAACCAACCAGAATCAAGTTATATATATGTAGAAAGATATACCAAATCAGTTTTATTGTGATGGCAGTGTACTATGCTTACAGCTCTATGGTTATAGCGGTAGTTTAACTGAAGTAATTATTATACATATACTATGCATAATAGGTATTGCACCCAGACACCACACGTAATACCTACTCCGAGAAATGCCATTTAGTCGTATTTTATGATTCCGTCATGTGATATCTTAAATCTGTTTGTAAAGTAACTCGCTATGTACGGTTATTATAAGTCACTGTCACATGATTTTTCAATCTCTTGGGTGGGAGAAGGAAAGGACACCAAAAGAAGTTCGAAAACTTCTCTGGGGTCCCCCATCTCATCGCATCAGGCACAGTGAAAGTGTAATAAGCGGATAGTGGTTGCTACGGGCGTTGTAGTTGTATGGCGATTTATTTATAATGGGTTTCTCATGCGATGGTGTAGGAGATTGTAGACGTTACTTTGCTTCTGCATTTGTTTGCCAAGCAATCAAGCATTCGTACCATAAAAGGAAAATTAAAATTGGCAATCATCATAGGGATAGCAATAGGCGATGAAGATAAAGGCAGAGGCTGGATCACAGGATTCAGTGCGATTGAAACGACAGAGCTCCGACGCAGGTGTTGAAAGGTTTGACTTTGATGCCGAAGAGTACGAGATAGATCCCCGGAAGAAACTCAAACTGGTAACTAGGGGTGTATCGAGTGGTAATTCCGATGCCGTTGGTACTCAGTCTCCTGATGGTATTAATGCGTTTGAGAAAAGGGCTACTATCTCCAAGATGATACTGGATATAAAACGTAATGATATATTTGGCACCGCTCCTATATTGAACGCAGAGTCCGCACTGGACGATCGCAAATACATAAATTACCATAGGAGGATGCTTCGGCAGGAATCACGTATGATTCAATTGGATATAACACATGGGGAGAACGAAGCAGACAGATTGCTTGGTGTTTACGATAAACTGAACATGTTCAATTGGCAGCCGACGTTGCTAAAAGTGACAAAGATAAATGACCCCAATGATGAGGAAGAAATGTTGGCCAAGAGAGAAAAGACTAAAGAATATATACAAACGCTGCTGAATAATTTTGACAACATGAAAAAGAGGACGTTATCCCTTAATAAAAAGAATGCTAAGTACGTGAAGAAAATTGGGAGTGAGAAAACAATGCTTCCAAACTCTATATCGAGATCAGATTCCTCGGTGTTCCATGGTCCGGACAGAACCAAAATTTACAATTATGTGGATAGGAAATATTACTCAGGCTATGTTAGCTCGTCTGATGAAGAAGAAGAATGTATGACAGTTGAAGATATCAAAGCTCATCGGAAGGCTTCACGTGAAAGACAATGTGGAAGTGCGTTAACGGTTTGTTTGAGTAATAATTTCAATGCTGGTTATGCAATAGTTGCAGAACCGTTAAAGAAGCCATATATTATTAAGTGTACCACACAGGAAAGAAAACATTGGAAAAACATTAGAGGTGATGGCGACATCAAAAAATTCAAAGTTTATCATCCTCCTACTACATTAGTTGCAAATCTGACGCAAAGAATCAGTTGTGAAAACACACTGAAACCGAAATCGGTGAACGAACTACGAAACCCAAACGAAGATAATGAAGTTATTGATAATGATCAAAAACAATATAAGAATGCCGATATTTTGTTGCCTAGTGAGGATTCAGTACTTTCTGACGTACCCTCTTCATTACCGCGTAGTCCTTCAATAGCTCCCATCAACCTACTACCAGTGAAAAAGCTACTAAAATCTACTGTGGAGGAAACATCAACTTTACCTAACTATGACGGTAATTATGGTGAATTGATTTTGAATAGTCAATATCAATCCAATGATGTACCACATATGGGATATTCCTCAGAAGGAGCGGGCACAACAACAAATTATCTGGATCGTACAATAATTCAAAATACTGGAAACGTAGAAGCCATGCCCAACACTAGACAATTGCCACCACTAGGAAACTTCCACTTAGAGAATAATATGAACGCAACCGAAAAAAACAGTGTTGTTCTTTTGTCTCAAGCTGATAAATACTATCCATCTCTATAATTAGGGATGAATGTGATCCTGATTGTGGTCATTACAATAAATACCAGCGAAAACTTGCATGTATCAGTTGAAAGCCAATGAAAGAATTTTATGAACAATGTTTGTTTGTTTTTAATGGACTAAATAGAGATCTTTTTTGATCATATCTTATAGTTAATAATATAAGGTTAACCGGAATCTTTTTTAGGTAGGGCATGAACAATGGTAAGCTCAATTTCCCAAAGTTACCACACACTACAAAATTGATTAAAATATCAATAGCATTCATTATTAGGCAGTGTCTGTTGAACATCTATCATTGATTTCATGAACTGAACAGCTAGGAAGCATTCTTCGCGGGTTAGGACAGCTGCCAATGTATGTGGTAATTAGTGGATCTATGTAAATGATAGCATCAAGAACTAAAAGCAAGTTTTCATATGTACATTTTAAGATCAGTTTGCAAAATTAAGACATGCCACTTCTATGTTAATATTTAGCAAATTATGTATTATTTTTTACCAAATCAAAGGAAGTTATGACATATGATAAATCCTCTTCAATTCAGTCATCTCTATTATCCAATGAATATAAATATCTGAAAATCGGCTTTCCTTCCCAAAATCTCTTAGTTTCTTCGAATTTCTCTAAAAAGCTAGTATTAGGCTTCTTTAAAAATGGTAATGCCTTACTTTTGAGTTCCTGCTCAAAATTACCATCATAATATAGTATATCTGATTTTATTCCGTACTTGTTTAGAATATGCGATACTAATTCTTGTATAAGAGTTTGAATTATTATCAGATTGGTTATGTGACTTTCTTTGAACTTAGGTGATTGTTTGTATTGTATTTGGTTTAGAATAAAATCTTTCAAATTTTCGCTTATAGCATCTAGCTCCCGCATGAGAATGTAAAGTTCATAATGGTTTTGAAAATTAATTTGTGCCATGTTAATGCAAAAAAATCCTATTTGGTTAAGTTCCTTGATAGTGCAACCTTTAGTGGTTACGATTCTAGTGTAATTGGTTAAAATTTTGGCCATATGTTGAAGAAATTTAATATTAGATTTTTTTCCAGGTATAAAATTCTGTTGCAGATCATACAGAAATAGATACTGTTCAACAAAATTCTCTGAATAAGTCCTTTCGGCATACATCATTGCAGCCTCAATTCCTTTTGTTAAACTTGGGTATATCAAGCTTTCATGGTTCTCAGTGACTATATCCAAAGTCTTTTTAGACAAGGTTTTTATTTTTTCGTTATCTGCAAGTAGTAACCCAATAACTACAGGAAGACAAGAAGTGGGATTAACAAATCCATACTTGATAATTATATTAACCAATCTGGTGCAACTTAAAGCTAATTTATAGTTTGATGATAGGCAGTCATTCAATATGTATGCCAAGAACTTTGAAACAAGTGAAAAGCAAAGGCCATCAGCAGCAGATCTTTTCTTCTTAGTTGTATCCTTATTTATTGACTTGACAGTTTCAATCTTTTTTGAACTTGTGTTTAGTAAGTGTTCTTGAAGGGATATCTTCTCATTATCCAAGAAAAACTCGTGCAGGCCTTGGTAAATAACTAATTTTATTTCCTCTCTATTTTCACGTAATTCATAGTCAAATATTTTTATAACAAGCGGTGAGTTAAATAGCTGGATATGCTTTCCACTTATCCCAATTAAGTTTCTAATTGCAATACGTCGAATAATGGGGTTAATTTCTATTTTGGAAAAAACAAGAAGACACTTGGCGACAAACTCAAAAATCTTTTCATCTTGATAACGGAACATGGTGGCATTCTGGTCATTATTGTGGTTTGCCAGTTTTGCAAAGCTTGAAGAAATATAAATTAATCGTTGTACTTTACCATCAGGTCGCAGTTCTTCAGGGTTCGAGTTGGCAATTACGACATATTGTCTGATTTGTGTCAAGCACGAATAACACATTTTTTGTAGCTTACTGTAATCTTTTGTTTGATTACCTACTTCCCAAAGAATTTGAATACTGGTTTCAAGCTCCTGGCTACCAATCTTAGAGATATTTTCGATTATCGAAAATTCTAAATCTCTCAGGAAGCTTGATTTGAAATTTGTTAATCTACCAATAGAGTTCCTGAAGATGAATAGTAGAAATAGTTGCAATTCATTTGATTGTTCACTGAATAAGTATGGGAACAAGGTCAACAAATGCTCTTTTCTAACTGTAATAACGTCAAATTCAGAAAATTCTACTAAAAGGTTCAAATAATTTTGAAGAGCTTTGGCTTCGTGGTCAGAAGATTTTCCAATCAAAAGAACAACCTCGTTAATTAAAGTATCAATAATATGAGTAATTGAGTTAATGATGCGGGCATTTTCAGCACTATTATGAATTGTTTTATTCAATAGGTATGACTTGAAGAATTTGCTGATTAGCTCATTTAGTTTTTCTTCAGATGAAAAAATTGTGGATATGATTTCCAGGTTTTGTTTCCTGACTATCATTACATTATCTTGATCTTGAATCATTTCCTCCTCTAAATTGATCCATTTCTGGAATAAGATATCTGTAGCCTTGTCAACTATACTTTCTTCTTCATCTTCTAGCTTAAAAACGATTCTTGAGGCTACATAGACCTTTAGGTTTATATCATTTGTACTATTGTAGATTTTTTCGTTCAAGTTTAGTACGTGCTTTCTTATGGTTGGGCTGTCATCATTGAAGTTTGCATTGATTTCTTCATAATAGTTAATATACGATGAACCAACACTAACCAATTCTAATATCGCATCCTTGACTGAAGTAGAAGAGTCACTCAATCTACGTTGAATGGTTTGTTTTACAAGGACATTAGTAAGTATAGATTGGTCTTTCAATGCCAGCATTGACAGGTTTTTGATAGATGTCGAGCGTAGTTTGATTTTCTCACTAGATATTAAATTGAGTAAGATTCTGAGATATGAATCATAGAGTCTATATAAGCCGCCTATGCTCAATATACTGTTGTAAGTATTTTTCTCAGGTACAGCTGCTTTAAGTCTCCAATCAGACGAGTTCCTTGTTTGCAAAAATAATTCTGTAATTTTTTCATATATCAATTTTTTGATATCATTTGACTTTATATCAGATGTGTAGCATGAGTGGAGAAAATCGATATTAAGTGACCAATAGCGTATGCTCTCTTCATTCGATGAACTGCTTCTTAGTAACTGGTCAAAGAAATTAAAGTACTTAATGAGATCCGACTTGTTCTCTATTAATTTAAGCACACTATTTTCATTTTCATTGCTCTTATCAAGTTCTATCTTAATCTCAAATACTTTACCAAAAATAATACCTAAGTTTTGAAGTGCAGTCGTTTCTAGATTAATATTTGTAGACTTATTACTTCTAAAAACCATAAGAAGTCTTTTGGTTATTGATTGCAGTAAGAATTCAGTAACTGGCCAAGTTGGATGTGCGTACATTTTTGAGAGATCTGAAACATAAATCTCCAGTAAATGTTTATTTTGAGGATTACTATCTTTGCATTTATCGAATAGGGTATTAGCGATCATGTCACAGTATCTCATTATGCTGTTGGAAGATTCCTGATGCATACGAATGGCGGTATCTGTCTTTTCAGGAGTCCAAGTATCAATGGTTTTACAGTGGTCAAAGATATTAATGCTCGAAAGGAATTGAACTAATGTCATTGTAAAGTCAGATATAGAGTCATCATTAGAGTTACTTGATGATTTTTTTGTTGTGCGTTTATTTGGAAGTTCTTCTATCTTTGCCAATACTTCTCCTATAATAAAATCTCGTTGAGCAGGGAATGTGATAAACATATTTTGTAAAGATGATCTGCCAATTATTTTTATTTCATTTAATAGTTTTACTTTCTTGAGGTCCGAGTGAACATTTTCAAATGGTAAAAATATTATATCAACAAAAACATAAACAAATTTTGTAATAATCTCTTCATCTATAAATGACTTCAGAGAAAGGAAATCAGGTAACGGTGAAATTGCTTCATAAAGCATGGACAATAAAGTCAAAGGTATATCGTCGTCAACAGATTTTAGATCTAATACTAGCTCGTTTATAAAGTTGATTGGCGATAGAACATGTCTATCAATTAACAAATCTTTGCTATCTGAGTTCATAATGTAAACCAAAAAGATAACTTTTGTAGAAATTAATCCAATGTCAAGGATATTGTCATATTCTTGATTTCGTATCGAAACATTTTTCATTGCAATAATATTATTAGATGTGATATCGAGTAATTGCTCTAAACTATCAGCAGGAATATTTGGCCAACAATTGGGTAACTCTATTATATTTTGTAAGCATCTATGAATTTTTTGTATCAAGTTTATTGTCGTTACAGCGTCGCCAGAAGGAAGTAGCTTCCAAACTTCTGAGTTGAGATTTTTCTTCTCATTTTGGATATCATTCTCAAAAGCAGTAGCGTTAACAAGCTTATTAAATTCGTTCACATAATCATCGCCTATATTGGTTAAGTTTTGACTCACACTAGTACTAATTCTAGCCCTTTTGATATCAGAACTATATGATAAATCCAACTCCGACGGATCGTTAAATGATTCCTCAAATGAATGTTTGCGACTATTTTTAAACGGTCCTTCTACTTGTTTGGCAATGGGTGGGGTGCCAGTTTGCTCCAAAAATACCTTTGCTTTATCACTTAGTGTACTTAGCAAGTTAAACTTGTTTTCTTCGTTCGCGAAAAACAATGACTCATTAACTGGTTCTTTGATCCTAATCTGTTTATCCGGTTTATCTGATATAGCTTCTCCTAGTTCACATTTGTGCAGATTGTCTAACTGAGGTCGCTCAGCAACATAGTTAAGTTCCAAAGAATCAGTTACCAACTCAGATAGTCCATCCTTAGGTATGAGGAAGGTGAGCGGCTGAATACGAAGTGCCTCTAGTAATCGCTTCGGTATGTTCGAGTTCTCGCCAGGATAATTTTCAACAGATCCCATTAGCCGCCGAGCAGTAATTCTCTGTTACACAGTACACTTCCTATCGCTTGGTCTCCTGTAATAATCCAAAGAGAAGTATGCCCAAGCCTAACTGTGTTTACAACCTTGATCAAGTCTAACTAGCCAGTATACCTGAACTGCTTCTTCCAAATAAAAGCTAACTTGGTATAAACGTTGGTCCTCTTATGCGATGAGCTTGAGCAGTTTCTCGCGTTCCTGCCACCTTTGACGCACCATGTGCGGAATCGGACTCCGGGTGGCACCAGACGAGTATTCGGTGAAAAAAAAACTAAAAACTTTGATTTGATCACGTGTCTATGATGCACCTTATAAGTGTTTAAACGTAACACGTGAGAAGTGTATGGCATTAGTGAAGTGTATATATATCTATAAATGAGCAGAATATAGGTATCGTTTGGGTTACTCTGTGAGTGTGGGTCTTAGTCTCATAATATTAAAAGAGCAACAGTCTTTGCAAACTTTCACCTTTCTTTTTATGTCTTAATGGCCTGTAGAGATAAGGGTAGCAACTATTGGTTCCAACAACAGAAGCAAGAACAGTTTATTGCAGCTGCTATCTTGGCTTATTAAATCTATGAAGCTGCCTACATCCTTTTCGGATAGCATAAGAACAGTTGTGAGATGGTGTTGTGAGAGGAAATTGTATGCCAATTTTGTAAGATTGGTTTTGTATTTATCGAGCTCTTCGCCTTGTGGGATTACTCTTCTTTGTCCCATCAAGTTGTCGTTAGGAAATAACGTATTTCTAGTTTTCATTAGTAAGTAAGATGTACTCAAGGGTCCTTGTCGTAGCATCGCTAAATTCCTCAGTGCAATGGTAGATATAAGGTCTCGGAAAAATAATGTTGTCATCGAAACGCTAATGATTATATTTACAACGGCGAACCATACGGGTGACTTCAGATGGAGTTCGCAGATATCTAATATGATCAGATTCAAAATCTGAGTGTAATCGATTTCAATTAAACTGTTTCTTTTGTGATGATAGAAGCATGAAGTAATGGCTTGTAGAAATTTGCGAAATTTTAATGATATATTCTCTTTATTTTGTCTTGGTCGATTCACCTTGAACAGTATGTTGTTCAGTAGCTCAAGGATATAAAATGGATTGGAGATAGAGTCTAGTACAGAGCCAAAGATAATATTCCTTAAGATTGATTCCAGAAAGACTAGTTGCAGTTTAGAGTCGTTTGGGATAAATGATTCCAAAATAATCCGTTTGTATTGGTCGATCAAGTAATTTTCGCTGGGTAGCATACTCAGTTGACTATATAACTCTGATTTCTGCCCCTTTATTTTCAATCTCAATTGTCTCAGAATATTTATATGTTTTGATATGACGTAGGGTAAATCATTGAGAAGCAATGAGTTCACATCCATCAATTGGCATTTACGTCGCAGTCCGGTGTAAGTAGTATCTATAGCTTCAAATATCGCAGCTAAGAACTCGTCATGTTTGGGGTCCAGCTTCATAACTTTCACACCATACCAGCTCGACACGAAATTCTTCACCAACAGCGCCGCTAACGCATGGAACTGAATTGCGTCCAGTTCCTCTGTAGCGTCAATCTGCGCCCATACAGTTTCGGGATACACTGATTTACATAGTGATTTCAAGTACGCTGGCGAATCCTTGTCGTGTGGGCATCTGAACGGTTTGTCTACTTGGTCATTTGGCGATTGTTTACCTTGCTTTCTTGCATCGTTAACTTTGGCACTGTAGAACTGCTGTTGTTGTTGTAACTTCGAGACTAGGCTAGAGTTTGTGTTGTATGCGATTTCTGACATCTATGTATGTCGTCTATCTACGCGGTTCAATTGCTGCATCCCAACGGCATGTCTAATACTCTCAGCTTTTTATTTGGCATACGTGTGTCTGTGTGTGGGGGGGAGGTCCGGGGCATCGCTAAATTCTGATGAGTAGGAAAAAAAAGCGGCTTTGAAGAACAATGGCAACTAGTCATATGGGCCTTGAATAATCAGAGTACAGGGTGCTAGAATAGTATGGGCAAAAAAGCTTAGGGGGGGGGTAAATATAAATGGATAGTTACAAAACACAATGGTTGACGAGTGAGGGTGATGAGCGGGTACGATGCGAATTACTTGCGTTTGGCACTGTAGAGGACCTCGAGAGGGGCACCCTTAATGCGCAGGATAGAAATGTGTTAGTGAAGCTGAGTATACTAAACTACGTCTATGGTAAACAGGTAGTTACCTTTGATGCATTACTAAAAAACTATGCACAGGCAGGTATTGAATTAACAGACAACGACATCGAGATGATACTGTTAGAGTTATGTAATCACGGTATCATGGATGTATCAATAGACTCTGTTGCTCGTGAGGTGAAAGTTTTGCAACTGTCTCGGTACAGAGATGTGTACTGTGGTGAAAGAGAATTATTGGTCGTTAATCCGACCAAAGTCATTACAAACATCGAAATAATAGATACATTACAAGCGTATTCAGACAAGTTGTAAATACTAGGACCAGCGACTTCCAGATAACTCTTGAGTACTAAACCAATTTTTTTTATTATATAGACGTATTGGGATGGGATAGAAAGATAAATAAATAAATAAATAGGGAAGAGTATATTCCTCTAAGGAATACAGATATTTTCAAGGTTAATTGTTGTATTTTGTGGAAGGTGAAAAAAGGGCATGCAGTAAAGTAAAAGAGTTATTAATTCATCAATGGGGTCAGAAATTCCAGTCTGAGAGTTTTCAATTTTGTGTTAAAGGTTGTTGGTATTATTTTTTATCTTCAACTAGTTTGATATTATTATTTTCTTCAATTTCTTTTAAGGTTTACTTCTTCTCTTCTTCTTCGCCGTACCATAGAGATTTCACTAGACCCTTGAAACCGCCCTTTTGGGTTTCCAAGTTGTAGATACCTAGCAAAGAAGCCAGGGTACCGGCACCTAGTAAGTACAAGGCGTAGTTGTGGTACTTACCGTACTGTCTAGTTTGCACGTAATCGGTAATACAGGAGTGGAATTCCATGTAGGAGTAACCTAGGGCCGACAGGCACAATGCTGTGTCGGTAACGGTGGATAGAGTGCCTGTGGTCAAAAATGCAACTGTGGTCAATGGTAAGATGGAGTATGAGAAGGATTTCTCTAGCCACCAGTGGTAAGAACCTTCCATCTTGTGTGGTTTTGGTGGTATGAAAGCATCGTTTGGAGTACCTTGAACACCACCTGGCTTCTGTGGAAGCAAAGGCAGGAATGGAATCACAAATTGTCTGGCAGACGAGGTCTGGAAACTTCTCTTGGCAACAACTCTAGCGTATGGCAACATCTCTTGTAATATCCTGTTTTTAATTTCCTATTGTAAAATATTCTCCCTCGTAGTCCCTCTTTTCTGCTATTTTAGCCTTACAGTGATAAACTCAAATCATAAGAGAGTTATAGGTTTGGATTCGATTATTATATATATAGTCAAGTCTCACCAATAGAGCCCAGTATCCAAGAGATGGCTCCCTTGTGTGTGTGTGTGTGTACCCACTAAGTTAAGGCTAGCTATTTGCCCGAAGACTACCAAGAGCCAATCAAATTGGAAGGAACAAAAACTTGCTCTGCCCGCTGCTCCTCTGCCTCTTCTGCCTCCTCTGCCTCTTATGTCACTCACACGGACTTCTCCGACCCGGAACAACCCAACCCCAGCGAGCATTATGGGGGGTTGGCCGTACTGCAATCCCGAAATCAGTGCTTGCTTCTCCCCCCACACGGGTCTGTAATTGCTCTTTTCTCTGCGGGATCATCACTGGCACGTACTGTCAGAACTAGTGGGCTATCCAAAAGGGTACCGTCTCTACTTTAAAACAAAAACCACCTCCATTCATCCGAATTCCCCCCCCCAAACAATAGCGCATCACAATCACTACTCCTTCTCTTCTACAGGGCATTCTCCGTGGTTCTTCTCTTCTTTCCCCTCTCTCCCTCCCCTTACTGTGTGTAGCTCTTTCACCTGCAAAAAATAAAACAGAAATTACCAAACACTTATATTGTGCTGTACGAGTTGGAGGTCACATTGATACCTTTTATACTATCGTACGTAATCTGTATCTTGATGAACGTATATCATATGCTATACGTAGACTGTTATGTGCAACTGGGATTATAGAAGGGGAGTTTCTTCTTATTGGAATTGTTTACCATTTTCCTAAAGTAGTTAAATCTTTAATTTTTTCTTTGGGAACTTACACATTGCACCATATGGTAAATACTCATTGTGTAGGGAGATGCTATGAAATACAGATGGGAGGGTTCTTGTACTATTTTATATAATTTGATGAAAAGCTTAGCGACTCATACAAAAGAGAGAGACAGAGTTGTTATTTTGTGGTATTGAAGGTTGTATTTCTTGCTGATAAATTTAAAAAACCCTTTTCGCCAAAAGAGTTTAGAGTGAACAACAAAAATATGAGTTATAGCTATGACACATGTTTCTGGGACCCCAACGACAATGGGGTCAATGTGTTGCTGGAGCATGTGGGTAACGGGATCAAGTCCATGGACGGGCTGACTACTTTCTTCAAGCTGCGCGCTGAGCTGGAGAAGGACTACGCTAGGAGGCTAGGTGCCGCCATAGACCTGTACGACAAATCTTACTGCGAGGAGTACGGTGCGCTGTTCAAAACTATCCAGTCTTTCTTCCCGTTGGAGAGATCAAGGGCCCTAGCGCACTCGAAGCTCAGTGAGTTGGTCTACAGACAAGTGTACTCCGAGCTGAAGTCACTACAGAGCGAGCTGAGTGCACGGCTGACAACTCTGAGCGGGCGTATCGAGAAACTGAGGTTCGACAAGTACGACAAGAAAAAAGGGTGTGAATCTCTATCGGTGAAACTGAGAGACGCAGAGGTCAGACTAAGCGAATTGAATCTGAACAAAAATAACATAATAGGAAACAGAAGAAAAATTGAGTCTCTAGAGAAAGAACAGAAAAAATGGGAGTCCAATGTGCACGAATTTCAAATACAGCTAAATGTGTTGAAGCAAGAATATAAAGCATCTCAGAAGTTCTGGATTAACGAATGGCATAGTCTATCACATGACTTACAACACTTGGAAATTAAAAGGATCTCCACAATCCAAGTGTTATTGCAATCTTTCGCTCAAACAGCAATTGACACAAGCATAATTGAACAGACAAAGATGGAAACACTGATCAATGAGTTGGCAACATTCACACCCATGGATGACATAAGTAAATTCTCAAGTGAATTTGGTACCGGAAGACTAAAGGAAAAGAGACAAAGATCGAGCAGATTAGTGAATGGCAACACCTCAACAGCTTCAAAACCATCAATGGAAATTTTATCCTCCAGTCATATGAGTAGAGGTCCAGATCCTTATGTGGAAAACATTCGTAAATTATCATCACAACTGCAGAAGACTACCGTGACACCTAGAGTGTTGAAAGTATCCAGAACAGAGGGAACAGATAATGGAAAAAGTTACAGAGCGGAATCAAATGATTATCAAATGCTGAACTCAAGTGCCAGCATTGAGCACAGACCTTCGAGTTTTATTCCTTCTTCTTCCGAGCCTTATAGTAACTCAAACGGTCGTAATACAAACGAGACTCTACGCAGGCGTGTTCATGAGGACAAGGAAGATAGAAGGGTATCGGATCATTTACGTGTAGGATGTCAGCCTAAATCCATAGAAAGGGAGCCTTCTTTTGTAAAAAATATTGAAAAATCCGCATCCGAATCTGGTTCATATTCTAGTGGTAGACACTCGTTCTCACCCTCATCTTCTTCAGGAACATCATCTAACCCTACCGATTTTAGTCACAAAATCAAAAGTCACCGCAGTATGGATTCGCTAGCTACATCGGTTAGTTCCATGGCCAGCAGCATAGACGATTCGCAAAGGTTTGCTAAATCGTGGAACTCTGCTAATAGAAAGAGAAAATCGATGAGTCACTTACAGTCCCCAGAAATAAACATTAGCACAATTGATGATCAGTTGGAAAATAGCAAAAATACGACTGCCCAAAGAACAACTCATCCAAGCCAATCCACAAATACATTCAACAGAGATGTAAGTAGTAACACCATATTGGTCGACCCCAGATATCAATCTTCTAAGAACAGTATGGATATGTCTCGCGTTAGATCTTCACGGTCTATAGATAGCAGTAGAAGGAAGTCAATGGTACTTGATTCCTCTGTGAACCCAATCAGTGATGCCTTGAATGAAATGGAAAGAATAAAAAGTGGTGGATCCTCAACAGCATATAGTGATGAGGCCAGGCGGAAAGATTTGCCTTCAGGCTATGGTAGAGTTGATGATAATGGTATGCCCGTAACATTGCCTACCATAACGAAAGAAGGGGAAGAAGTGATTAAATTTGCGAAAGCCCTTTACCCATTAATCAACAGCGAAGCCCAGGAGCTTGCAAACTTCGAAAAAGGAGACTACTTATTATTAACTGAGGTGGTAAATGAAGATTGGTACCGTGGTGAAGTTTACGGGAACTCAAACACAACAACAACACATGGTAATGGCTTAATACCATCTAATTTCATTCAAATTCTGCATAATCAATTATAAATCTGAGGGGTAAATCATTTCAGCCTAGCATCAATTTAAGTGCTATGGTTTAGTAATAGAATTGGACCACCAGTTTATTTGTAATATTACTTACTATTCAATATATTGTTTGTTATAATTTTTAATGTACGTTATTATATTGCAATATTTCATCATATATTCATAACTTGATACGGTAGAGCATTTCAAGAAAGCGAGTTCACCACCAAAGTTTGGTTCACGAATTTTGCAAAAATCAAATAAATAGTAACAGCACTATAGTCGTGATTGCAACTATTCATCAAATTAGTATAAAGAATACCGCGGATTGGTTAAGGAAAATAGAGGTCTTTTTATAAGATTAATTATCGCTCCTTTGTCTAGATTGTTTTTTCAAGACTTAGCTCTTTAGGAAAATTGCCAGAATTGTGAGGTATTCAAGTATATCAACAAGTTTTCATTAAGATGGCGCCATTTAAACAAGATAGCATTCTGATGATCTATCCTAGATCAGGTAGTACACTAGTGCAGTTTGGGTTGAATGACGAGACATTCATGCCACCAACTTTTGAGATTCCCACAGTAATATATAGGAAAAAAGACAATGCCGGAAATTTCAATTACGGGCCCAAAGAGCAATTTGGGGATCTAGAAACTGTTGAAGAAGTCAGGCCAATACAGAAAGGTGCAATTGTTGACCTTGAAGCATTCTTGCACTTTTTGAAACTGTTTTATGCCTCGATCCTGGCTGATAAATATAGTTCAAATACCTCAGCCTTTGATGATGATCTTGCAAATATACCAGTTCTTCTAGTGACACACCATACTTGGTCACAATTGCAATTGGAGATGATTACCAAGTTTGTTTTTGAGAACTTAGAAATTAATAATCTGCTCCTTCTTCCACTATCTCTGGCGTCAACATTTGCCATGGTATCGCTACAGAACAGTCTTGTGATTGATATCGGCACTACACACACAGATATTATACCAGTTGTCGACTACACACCTATGGAACATCTTACATCGACGATCAACTTGGGTGGGGATTCCATAAACACAGAGCTGGCTAAGAAGCTCCCACAACTTACAGAAACCCAGATAGAAACTTTGAAGAGATCTACTATATTTGAAGTATTGAGCGCAGATGCAAGAGAAATCTTGGATACAAACGACGGTGAAGAGATGGATGAAGGAGCCTTGGATGTTGCCGCTATCGTTACAAGTGGGCGTGACACAAGGGAAGTACTTGAAGAAAGAGAACGTAAGAAGAAGCAGAGAAATGTTAAGAATGCTGAATTGGATACCAATAGCTTTTATGATGATGATGGGCAAGAAATAACCGTAGGTAAGCAAAGATTTGAAGGTACAGAGAAATTGATTGAAAGTATATCTCATAGAGTTGGTAACGTACTTGCGCATATTCATGACAAAGCCAAAGCTAGACATATATGGGAAAATATTATTGTTGTTGGAGGAACATCATCTATAGTAGGTTTCCGTGAAGCTCTAATTGCTCAGCTTTACAAGGATCACATCATTATGGAGCCTGAGGAAGAAAGGCAAGATAGAGAAGACGCCGCAAAAGCTTCTTTATCAAGCAAGAAAAAGAACAAATTTTTAGATAATACATTACCCACAACCGAATACATACAGGTTCCAACATCTATTAAGTTTGCTAAATATCCAGATTACTTCCCTGAATGGAAGAAGCATGGTTACTCAGAAATCCCATTTCTTGGTGCTCAAATAGTATGCAAACAAGTGTTTACACATCCTAAGGACACATTTTATATTACACGTGAAAGGTATGATGAAAAAGGGCCAGCAGCAATTTGGGATATTGTTTTTTAGTTTTATCTATGTTATGTTTCTCTGATAACTAAACGGTTGTCACTGAGGAAGGAATTTTTTATAAAATTCAAAAGTTGTACTAATAGCGTAATTGATTTCAAGTGTCTAATCTATTGACTGCCAATTTCTTATTAAGGTACTATACCTGTGCTTCGCAGCACAGAAATACATAGAAGTCTTTTGGTACATTAATATGAACACTATATCCGACTCAAAAAGGAGAAACAAAGATTAGTGTAGTATTAGTTATTATTTTATATTAACGTGAATTATATAGGTAATATTACAGGCAAATGCGTTATAATACATATTGTGACTCGGCATGAGCTATAGTTGAGTGTATAATTAAGCTGCATTTTCATCAATGCAATCGTTTTTTTCAATATCAGAGCTTCCTCTAGATGAAGAGAGCATATACTGTTCTATAGCTTTCTTATCAGTTGATTCAATAGGTGTTATATCCGGTTGTTCGTCAGCACACCACTTTCTAAGTGGTAAAACTAATAGGCTCGCAGTAAGGACTTGAATACTTTGATAAAGCACCAATGGTAATAGCAGTTTACCTAGATGGCTTTTGTTATCACCGTACTGGGAAGTAATTAGTGACACACCTAATGCAGCAGTTTTGGCGGGCCCACAAAATAATATGCAAACTGTGTCTCGTTTATTATAGTAAAAGGGTCTGAAAATTTTGTACATCGTTGTATAAAATTTGGATGAGGATTCATCAGGAACTTCATTGAACAATATGGGAATAAAAAATGGTCTAGCCATGGCATATGATATAAGCGTGAAAAACAGATAAATACCCAGATTGAAAAAACATACAAATATTATAGTGGCATGAGGAACGCTTGTGAAGGACCTTTGGTAAAATGCTGTAGAAAACGAGCTGAACATAATAAGTAAAAGCATATATGATCCGATTTTGAGTTTGTATTTCTTTAGGAAATCAAGATAGATCTTGGTTGGTTTAGGTAGCATATTCTGTGCTATTTGTCCCACTGTCAGTGGAACAAAAACGGAAAGTCCTACTTGCTTCATCACTCTCCCATACAAGGACCCAATACTATTACCATTAGCAGGATTACCATATTCAAATGGTGCTCTGTCGGTATACAACTGAGATAATGCAGGGGTTATGAAAGCACCTAGTAAATTACCAATAAATACCTCACAAACACATAATAAATCGTTGCCTCCAGCTTCTGTGGTCATTAAAACATTTGAGGCAACAGTTGTAGGGCATGCGGCAGTCATCAAAAGCCCGATAAGAACCCAGTCATCGATGTTTTTGTCATTTGCCGCTTTTATTCCACAACAAATACCATAAACAATTGAAGATGTTACTAAAAAGCTAAGAACAAGGATGGTGAGGTGTGCGCGCCAATTAGTCATGTTTGCCATTAACCGGCTTGTTTTCATGCTCAATCCACTTTGTAAAAAGATCCACGCAACAGCACCGTAACCAATACTGTACTCGCCCTTTATAAGGCCACCATCTCTAGCAAAATTAGGAGCAAACCTTGCGATGACAATGAATATTGCTAGCACATAGAAAAACCATTGCGATTTTAGAAACTCCGTGATTGGGTGATTCCACACTCTTAATATGGCCGGATGTTCATCTAGAAATCTGTTCCATCGAGCACAGTTGAGCATCGAAAAAAGGTACAACGTAGGACAACTTTTATTTCTTATTTGTAGTAAGTCAATGTTTTGCCTTACAGAATGACTATAGGCCTAAATAATACTGTACCTGGCTGCAGAGCGCTCTATCAAATAAATTCGCCCGTGATTTAATATACCCAGCTCTATCAGCATAAAAAGTTTGGTCAGAAATTAATTTATTTCAAACAGACAAGCAAAAGAGTCTTTTAGGATTAATGTGTGCTCTTGATATAAGTTAAGAGAATCGTATTATATATGAAATAATGTCTCAAAGCTTGATTATTAGCAGCTTTACCTATATTTTTTCAATGATTCGATGAGGTCCCCGGTTTTCTAGCTTTTCTTGAAATTTTGACGTAATTTGTCAAAGCGATGACTAGCAGCTGGGGAATCCCATCTGCAACTGTGTAAGAACTGTTGCGTCATCCAAGTACTCTGTGGTGGATCGTACCATCAGAGATGCCACAGCGCTATGGGATTTAATAATGAATCACATAGCGTTTTTATTAATTCCATTCTATGGATGTGGCCATGTCACTGTACAGTAAATATTGCGAGAATGTCATATGGTCGAACTATACTGCGGACTGCCGTTGTTGTTGGGGCTTGGCTCCCAGTCTATATAACGGTCACTGATAGCGTGGTGCATGTTGCTCGGGTTGACGGTGCTTCTATGCAACCGGCTTTGAATCCCGGTTTGCAAAGCGATTGGGTTTTGCTGTGGAAATGGGGGGTACGCGGCAGTATGCCTCCTCGACGTAACGATGTGATCCTGTTTCGATCGCCAATGGATACCAGCAAAGTCTATTGCAAACGAGTGAAGGGTATCCAGTATGATACTATATCTACTAGATCTCCTTATCCCAAGGACACAGTTCATGTGCCTAGAAACCACTTGTGGGTTGAAGGCGATAACATAACTAGGTCCATTGATAGTAACAAGTTTGGTCCTATATCTTCTGGATTGGTTGTTGGAAAGGCAATTTGTGTGATATGGCCACCGTCTAGATGGAATGCAGACTTGAATATCACTACTGGTAGGGAATGTATCCTACGAGCACCTATGGAAGATTGATGGAAGATTATTGCTAACATTTAAATGAAATTGACGTATCATTTTCTAATCACTCTAAAATTATCTTCCTAAAGATGAGGATGTTGCAGCCAAACTGTAAATATATAGACTTGTATTATAAATTCGCATTCATTGTATGATATTATGACTCTTTACTAATTATCATTAGGTAATTATTTAATATGGTACCTTTACTTTCAGAAAGACTATTCTAACATCCATGGAGTTGTGCCAGCACTGTCTATACTCTGATTGCACGTTTTACCACTTTGTACACTACCAGAGAATGAATTATTCCGACTCATTCGAGATGAATAACTTTCAGCATCACTGGATCCGACACTATTGAAGGAGTTAACATCCATATACTTAGCGAGGCCCAATTTAGGTGGGGCTTCTAGGCCCAAGGATGACATAGATGAAGCACTAGACCTTGAGACTAATGGTCCGTGATTTTTTACTGAAGGAGGTCTCGGCAATCCTTCAAACATTAGCTTACCGTGAGATTTCGTTGGAGCATGCTCTTTGTTCGGAATATTATCCTCGTCGACTAGGCTGTGGTAGGATGAAATGGATGCCAATTTCATTAATGAATTATTTCTAGTCGTAACACGTCTTTTGTCCTTTCTGAATTTATCTAATTCTTTTTCATAATGGTGGAGATTTTCCACAGAATCCATCTTCGTATATGCCCTTGGGAAGCACAACTGAGGGAACTTACTGTAAAACTTCTCATAACCACCATCCAAAATAACTATATCTGGAAAACACAGATCTGGGTAGTTTTCATAATTCAAAATTCGATCACAGTTCCTCAAGTGGGAAGCCAAATTAGGACCCCTTTGGTTGCTGAATTCACAGTGAAATATAAGTAACGCCGGCATTTCAATATATTTCTGTAAAAATTGTTTCTCGATGTCGTCTTTGGAGTTAATGTTAATGGCATTTTTTATATGGCCACCTTGATACTCATACTCAAAACGGCAATCAATTATATGGTATGATTTATAGTGTGGTTGATGAGTATTATTCAATATTATTTGAGATAATGACTCAGCAGAAATACGAGGAAATAGAGGATTTGAACATTCCTCTTTTTGGAAAATATTTATCTGACTCTCAGTTAATTTACTTTGATAAAAGTTGTTAGAGAGGGTCACTACCTTTTCAGATATATCCAGATTTTTGTTTTGATCTAGTTCATACAGAGTCTTGATTCTTCTGCCGCTTTCGCTCCTATTTCTGCGTTCTTCTCTGATTGTTTGAGATCTGGAAACTCGGCCAGAGAAAGAGGAATTACTGGTAGAGCTGTTCCGTCTTTGTGAGCAGTCCATCTTTAGAAAACGTGTGTCCGAATCAATGGAACTTTTGCTGTCATATCGAGAACTTCTGAAGTTAGATTCTGAGACATGGTTATCTAGATCAGGTACTTTTAATGCTAGATCAAAGTCATCATGGGATTGTACAAATCGGGGTCCATTAACAGATTTTGATAAATTATTTTCCATAGGAAATACACTAAAACGATCATCTGTAGGTTCGTTTGTATTTTGAATATTTAAATAAAGCTCTGGTGTATCATTTGTGAATTGAAATGGTGAAGAGGCAGGTTCTAGTTGAGGTTGATCATAAATATCGCTTTGGGCTTTCTTGTGTGTAGACTCATATTTCGAATGATTTATTTTTGATTTTAAACTAAAAAGACTTTGAACATTCTTAAAGATGTTCTTCTTGGCTTCTGTATGATTTGTCTTTCCATTCTCAGTGTTTGAGCTATTACAGTCATTCGGACGGAACACATTGACCATTTTATGCTTTAATTGTCACTAGTTTGCTTTAAGATTATTTCGAATATGAATCCAGGGTAAAACTTGGTACAGATGTTTAATTAGCTGCAGCAACTTAACCTATTCTAAACACTCCAATTTAAAAGTGATCCAGTAAGTTGATGTAAACTGATGGAGGAACAATAGAAAATGAATTGCTGTTGCAAGTAGGACTAATCAGTAGTATTTTTCACAAAATCCTCTAAATTTGTTTTGAGAGCAATATTAAGGGTATGAGTTATTGTCTTTTGAGCTTCTGATATTGATACTTCCGGGATGTCACTTCTGATCCTAAAACTTGATCATTCAAATATGATCCTTGATTGTAAAGTAACAAAATCCGAACGACTCTGTAGTTTATGTTTGATAGTCAATGACTAATTCACTGTATGCAGTATCTGATATTTACACTTATAATTTGTTAGAACAACTCTCCATTTAGATACTATCCAGAGCATTATTATCCCTACAGCAAGACCATATAATATTAACGTGCATGATCTGCGCGTATCGAACGATTTCCTAATCAGGGCATAGATTAATCGTTATAGCAACTATACAACGCGTTGTTGGTTGACAAAATTAGTTGCAAAAAATTGAGTGGAAGTAAATATCAAAATAATAATCTCCGGATTATTTTTTGTCTCAATAAGTTCATTGGTCTCTCGGTCTATAATGTTTGTGATATTATTTTTGATATGAAGACATGTTAGTTAAATCAATTAGCCTTTTTATAAATGTATATAAAGCTTTTGTCTGCAACAAAATTATACAAGAAAAAATCAAATTATTCTTTTTCAATAAGTAAAATGGAAAAGTAATAAATCTATAATTTCTATCATGGAAGTAGTGAAATACAGTCGTTGTATTTATAATTTTTGAAAGGTACTCTCTTTTTAGCAATGAAAAGACAAATTCTCGTTACCGCGGATCTGTTACCAGGTTAGCCTTGTGATGCATTAACAGCACTTGAATTAATGGCACTTCACATGAAATAGCATACATTTCATATGAAATTACTGTCAGTAGAACCAAAAAAAAAAAAAAAGAGCAAATGTACCTGTGTTAAAATTGAAGAAAAAAAGAGTATAATTTGAAATAATAGTTAGTTCTGAAGTAGTAATTATTCCAGGTCATAAAAGTAATTTGTAATTAATAAAATTTTTGTAGTATAGATAGAAAAGGTCAATAAAATCAATAATAAAGGGGGAAATGGAAAACATAAAAGACTTCAAAAAGATGATATTTTCATTTCTTGAATGAATTTTTGGATCATATGGTGGAAAGTTTTATCAAATGTTTATCCTAAAAGCAGTTCGTAATCAAAGAATGTAAGGTCATAAGCAATAAACCTTGGCCATCATCTTGTTCGTTATAGAAGCACTGATGATAGGTCAAGAAATCGTAAAAAAGCAACGCCAACTAGATAAAATAAGGAACACTGTCATTATTCTTTAGTTGTGGAAGTACTTCCCGACTTTTTATGTGTTTTAATGTGTTGTGAAAGGTTATCACTTCTACTAAATTTCTTCTCACATAGATGACAACTGAATGGACGGTCAGTAGAATGAACGGACCGAACGTGTCTTTTCAAGTGTTCACTTCTCTTGAAAGCCTTTGAGCAAAGGTGACATCCAAATGGTTTATCGATATCATTGTTTCTGTCGATATTGCTTGATAGTAATGACGAGTTAGGGCTTATACTTGGCTTGCTTTTTCTTCTTGGATTGGATTTGGAAGCATTGATATTGAAATGTAAGTTATTGTTAAAATTGGACATCGATAGTGCCGCAGAAGATCTACGTCTGCCTGAGCTTCCACTAATACTTTTTCTTGATTGGCTATTTTGCCAGGATTCCTTCAGGTCCTTGTTAAGTACATCAGGAGGAATCGATATATCCAGGCTAGTATTTAAACTCTTTATGCTGTTATTCATCATTTCAACTTCAGCTAGACTTGCATCTGATAATATCATGGTAGGTTTGATGAACTTATCGTTTGGTGACTTGGGGCTTGAGATTATTTCAGGGTTGTAGAAGTTTTGGTTTGCTACAGACAAATCGTTCTCATCAGCACCTTCCGCATTGAATGATTCCCACGGAATATCTTTAAATATTGATACATCAGGTTGTTTTTTCTTAATGTCTAAATCATATTCTGGTGGAGTAGCCTCTGACAGAATCGGTAGGGATGCTCTGTGTGGATTTTTCATGAAAGGTCTGTGGCTTTGGCCAGCACTTGAGTGCGACACATCTTCTGAGTTTCCATCAAAATTGTAGTAGTCTGCTGTGTTGTATTTCAGTGGAGACTCCTCTGTCCCTGGCTTGAAGTTCATATTGTAGTCGCTTAAGATCTGTGACAGTTCGTTGTCTATTTTGTGAGAAGAGATGTCACTGTCAAGAAGTAAGCTATCGTCAGTCAAATGTTTTTCGGTCCCGCCTGTGGCTCTTCTGGTAATACTTTTATTTACATGACCATCCCGATGTAAGCCATTATTGGAACCTCTTTTCCTATGGGAGTCGACGTTCCAGAAGTCGACACCGTGTGAAATAGAATTTCTAGCAGAGGCCAAGTTAATGGTATTCCCGGTAACTACTTCACTGTGTCTTCTCTCATTGGCAACAGTTTCGTCGTCATCGTTGTTGTTATTGCTACCGTTAGGTTTTTCATTTAGTAACAGCTCTGTGGATAAGTAGTCATCCAGCATGGTGTCCAAGTGCATGGACTCGAAGAAGCCGTTGTATATAGTTGCCCTTCTGCCCTTTTGGTCGCTGAAAGGCAACGCACCATTAGAAGAGCTATCGACAAAATTCATCTGTAGGTGAGTGCCCAACGGTTTATCCGACACCAGCGGGTTCTTGTCCTTGCCAGTCGCTGTGGTCGCACCAGAGTCAAAGTTCATCAAGAAGTCGTCCAGCGTCGCAGGTGTCGTCGTCATGTTGGTCTCAACCGTACTCGAGTTGGTCGTGGTCGTGGTGTTTGTGTTAATCCCATTGTCTGTGTCTCTGCCATTGCTTTCCCCACGCGCAGAAGCAATCTCGTTGTCATCGCCGTTGTCATTGTTGGCATCACCACGATTGCTCGCAATGTCCGCCTTATGGCCCTGGTATATATCCAGAGACATGTAGTTCGGTGTCAATGGCGACTGATACTTCACGTCGGCATTCTGGTCCTGTATATTGAGCGAGAACATGTTTTCCATCTGTGTCGACCACGAGCTAGGCTCCTGTTCCACACTCATCTGTTCTTGTTGATCTGTGTTTGGTATGGCCTTTGTTTTATCTTAGCCTGGAATTCTTTTATAAGAAGCTTATTGAGTTATGTTATATACTCTTAAAAGTGTTTATCAGTTAATCCGATTGTTTGTACGTTCTTGAGAGACGGTTCCTTCTTTGCAATACCGTTGTTGTGTTGTTTTTTTTAGTAATTGCTGTGCAAGTAATGATTTCCTCTTTAGAGGAATTTTCCAAGAAGCCAGAATGGGTGGGGGCCACCACTTCGCTGCTTCAATACCCACCCTAAGAGCATTTTGAGACTCTGTGAGACTCTGTGAGACTCTGTGATACACTCTGATACACTCTGATACACTCTGATACACACTGCGAGCTTCCCACAAGGCTGACTACGCAACAGGCTGCGAACTTCAAGGCGTGGGGGGTGTAGCTGTTGTACGGGAGACACTCTGTGTTGTGGGAAGGGCACTTTGCTGGTGGGCTGACAACTCTCAACGCACATAGTGAAGACTCCCCCCATCGCTACCCACGTATTTGCGGTTGAGTGCTGTAGAGAATTCTGCGTAGAAAGGAACAATGGGACTTGCGTCTCATTGTTGAGTAAACGGGATTCTGTGCACCACATTCTGTGCAACTTCGATGCTCCGTATTCAGTGCAGTTCAGTGCAACTCAGTGCAAATTCAGTGCAAATGCCATGCCGTTGTGTGTGATAAGCATACAAGTACAAAAAACTCTTTATAGTCAGTATTAATTCAACACTGAAGAGACTACAGGAATATTACTGAGTTTGTCTATGTTTAATTATCGTTACTGTTCTATAAAATACTATTTGATGTTGTTCTTCAAAGCGTCTTTTCTCTCTTCCCAGACGGTCTTGCCTGTGCAGGCGCACACCTGCTTGTCGTTCTCCCACACGCCTGCGCTTCTGGCAATTACACCGGCGATGTCGTATGCGGGCTCGCCCTCTCTGAAAATGACAAAGCTGCGGCCGATCAGGTCCCAGATCGGTAGCGGTGCGCTGACGAAGTTCTGGCCACTGTACAGACTCTTGTCGAGGTCGCTGGCGTCGCTGCACTCGATCGGTTCCTCGAACTTGTAGTAGACATCCCCGGTGCTCTTGACACCTTCAGATATGTTACCATTGGAGTGAATCTTCGCTTGGTACTTGCCGGAGAAAGGTACTCCATTCACAGTAACGTCGAATAGCGTCTTCTGATCGCTAACTTGCACAATTCTAGCTAGCCCACGTACAGCTGTGTCCTTCTTCAAGTCAACGTCTTCAAACGTCTCCAGGATCGCCACCGCAGAGCTGTTAGGCTTACCCGCGCCTCTGATAATAGCATCACGGCCACAGTCACGCAACGCATTGATGATAACACTGGGCGCAACACAACTGTTCACACTCATCATTTGCTGGCTGATGTCAAACTGCAAGTCCTTGATGCCGGTTATGCCATTCAGACACTTCTTGATATCGTCAGTGCAGTCCGTGCAGTGCATTGGCACTGCATAAGTGGCTTCATAAAAATCTGCGTTAGCGGTCATATTGTATAACTAGCACTATAACGCAACGAATAATAACTTGATGGATCCCTATTTGCACAAGAACATGAGTGTGAATTTAAGCTTAATAGCCCCACGTCTCATTTACCTTTCTTTTATAGTACAAGTGTCAAGCCCATTGTCGATTCCTCTCGCATCTGAATGAAAAGGTTACACTGTCACCACCCCTAACACCTTCCTTGTATTACAAATCATTACCAAAAAAGCATATATCGTACTGAGATATATAGATATGGTAGCAGTGTTAGATGAGCTAACATAGAATAAAATAGCCATGTTCAGTCCGCGGTCATGAAATGCCAGTCATTCTAAACATCCACAGTCTTATCTTGGCTTGTATTAGAGCATTAGAATGTTTTTTTTCTGTCATTGACTATTGTTTCTGTCTTAACTTTTTAGGACTATATGTAGGGGAAAAACTATAAAATATTACCTCTGATGGATATAAAAAATGAAATGAAAACCGAGTAGTAACGTACTATAAAGTTGAAAGGCTTTTTTCTTCCTTTGATCACATTTACTCCTCTTCACTTTCATCATCGTCAGCTCTATTCATCTCAGCTTCCAGAGTCTTGGCAAATTCTTCATCGGTTGAATTGTCGTGATGGTCAACAAGATTGGCAATATCTGCTTTGCCTGTCGTCGATTCTGTATGTGCTGGAGCATCGCTGACTGTTGCCAGTGGTGGCAGTTGAGGCTGAGACTGTGCATCGCTGGTTGGTGGAGGTGTTACTTTACCTTTGCTAGGAACGATGATAGTAGCATTGGCCTCTAATTCCAAATTCCGTATCTTCTCCTCGTGAGGTAGCAATGTAGGTGGTGCTGGTTTCTTTTGTTTCTTTTTAGGCTCTTCGACTTCTTCTCCTTCTTTCTTGTGCTTCTTGCTGTTGGTACTAGCAGAGTTTTTGTTGGAATCTTTGTCCTTGTTTTCCCTGATAGCTTCCTGTTTCTCCGAAGAAGAGGAAATAGGTTTTTCATCTGCCTCTTCATCCTCGTCATCCGACAATAGACGTACAGTTTTGGTACGTGGTCTCTTTGAGCCCAGTCTTCTTAGAGCATCATCTATGTTTAATCTATGTCTTAAAAACTCATCATAAAGATCTTCCGTTAGAGATATACCTTTCTTACCGGGCCTCATTTCGCCAGTAGCATTGTCCATATAATATTCTCTGATATCAATCAAATTGATGTTCCTGAATTGCCTAACTGTAACTCTCTTATTCTTCCCAAGATCAAAGATAGCATCAGGTTGCCCTAATCCTGCAGCAAGATTTAAGTTCCCACCATTGTTTCCTGGACTTGCACCACCATTGTTATTGTTCTTCTTTCTATACCTGCTGTAGTATGACATTTTCTATTTTTATGCAATATTGTGTACTATAGAATTTAGCCAATGACTATATGAAACTCACCGGTACTATTCTCACAAAAAGTGTTAAATTAATCTTTTGATATAGGACAGAAGAATCTATTAAAAGTAGTAAAATATAATTGAAAGATGAAATTTACTATAAGAAAGCTTTCCCAAACAGTTATGAACTACTAAGATCAGAAATCAGTTTATGCTGGCTTGCAAACTTTGCAGGGTTGATCTTTTTATATAATCCCTGTCCTGAAGCAGCTTTGAAAAATTTGGCAAATGTTCGGCTTTTCCTGCCAATTTCCTGATTTCAGCAGGGCGATGAGCTCGACCAAGTAACCTGAAAAAACGTGGTTTCTAAATGGAATAACGCAAAAAAAATTTGGGATTTACATATTAAAGTACATATGAATATTTATTGTTTAGCCTGATTTTAGTTAATCCTCTATAACAAGCTTCAAAGTGGACCATTTTTTTTCCAGGTTCGGTATTTTATCCCCAAGTAATTTCTAATAAGGTGCTGCCATACTCAGATCAAGGCAATTCTGGATGTGGAATACCTGAATCCCAGGTTTCGTTGTAATGTTCTGTGCCAAGAATTTCCTCTTGGATATGCTTAACTAATTTGATATCATTCTCAGGCAGTTTGTCCTTTTCGGTGATCTGATAGTCAATAATTGCATCCTGAAGCTCAGCAACGTTACTCACACCGATAACTGTTGGGCCATATTTATGCCAATTAAACATGGCATATCTATTGGCTAGGTCCTGGATTTCAACCCCATGTTTATGAGTGTATTCTGCAGCTTGTCTACACTTTGCCTTTAGTTCATCCGAAGCTGGGTGGAACGAATGTATACCTTGTGATCTTAGCAATGACATCCCAAGAATAGAAGCATTAGAAAGCAATTTGACTTTTGCGTCCTTTCTTATAGAATTGATGTATTTTTCAAGTGTAGTGTTCTGGATATTATAATTACAGTATGATAGAACAGCATCAAGTGGCCCTATTTCTGGGTGTTTTGCGCATTCGTTGCACAAAAATGCTAGATACTTGACAGGATATCCAGATAGCCCAAAATGTCTGATAACACCTTCCTCTTTCAACTTTCTCAACTCTTTCAAAGCTTCCATGCTTTTGGTAAATTCTACAAATTCAACATCATGTAGATAGACAAGATCTAAGTAGTCTGTATCTAGTCGTTCACATGATCTCAAAACGGATGCTCTCACAGCTTTAGGTGAGTAATCAAATTCCTCGAGCTTTATCCGACCAACTTTAGTGCAAATGTAATATTGATCTCTTGTAAAGGATAGGCCATCTTCATCTGGAGATTTCAACTTGTGGAGAGCCTGACCAAAAATTATTTCACTTGGCCCATAATAAGGTGAAGTGTCAATTGCATTAATACCATTGGTAAATGCATGTTTCAGCATGTCAACAATTGGAACTTCTTCAGGGTTATCATTGTATTGGGTGTTTAAAGTTGCCCCACCCAGAATGATTTTAGAGACTTTAGTTATATCGTTGTGGTCTACTGTCATAGTTTGAATGCTAATTATATTCTAAAGTTTGAACAATTCTCTGTATTTTATGATCCTATAGTTGTCTAATAACACTGAATGTACGCCATTGAATATACGTCTAATTTATATATGTGTGTGGCATCCCTTGTAATTAGAATTCTTTCAATTAATCAATACGGAGCTGGGCATTTTCCACCAGGGATATTGAACTCCAGCACAAGTATTTGTGATGGGGTCAAAAGATACTAATTACAACCAAAATATAAAATGAAATGCATCATATACCGAAATGGTATAAAAAAATGGAAATTAAAAAGTCTATCAATTTCTATGCTAACCGAATATATATAATACTTGTAAATGCTAAAATTAAAAATCCGAATATTGGGAATTTAATGTACAAATTTTGAACTGAAACTTGTAGTTAGGATGAGATAATAGCCATTGATTACACGATATTTTCATAACCGTTAAACAATGGATTACTCATACAAACAATCTTCTAAGATTTTGAAAGGCAAAACAATTGACTACCAGTGTATACTGCAGAATCAACTTTCAATTAGACAACTGGACACACCTATTTTCGGATGGAGATAAAAGAAATTGTTTCGAGTTTGCTTGGTATCGACACTTGGACTGTGTTCTTCATTCCATCGTGACTGTTACTTGATGGGGGTAGAAGACTGTGACAGCAGACAATATCATCTTCAGAAGATAACTGCACAAAAATAACCAACCATTGAGGGCAAATGCCAAGCCTGATAATTACTATAGGTGACTGTCTTCCTGTATCAATTTGGACCACCTTTGACTAGATACTAGAAGGCAGTACCTAAAAATCAAGGCTTTAATCAATGTGACGAACTATGCGAAGGAAATTCTTGTACAAAAATGGACAATGATGATATCAGGTTACACATACCCAATTTGTGAAGATTCTAGTAGTAAGGATAGCAACTCTAGTAGATTTCTTAAACTCCAACCTCTAAAAAACGAGTATACCAATGGTCTCTTAAAAGAGTCAAAGAGTGCTTGTAATGGTTTACAAATGCTTTGCCTAATCCAAAAACAAATGCCAAAATAATTTGAGTAAAAAGTTTCCAACTCATCTTTTGAAGCTTTTATAGGCTCTTGAAAAGAATGCCAACCAAGGATTCACAATAATCCGAAGCAATTTGTTAAAAATGTTAGAGAAGAATAACTAATTCTTCTGCATCTTAAATAAAAAAACGAATTAATTGTGTGACAGAATCTTTACCAATCACAATAACCACCTAATGATTGGAAAAAGGATCAATGGCTAAACATTTTTTCAAGCGCCATACAGTTGCAGTAAAAGAGGATCAGAAACTAGTAATGAAATACCACCAAATGATAATAATTCAAAAATTTTATTAAAATGGAAAGAACCTATGGTTGGAAATAAAAAGATATAGAAATATCATTCAACATTTTTCCCTCAAGTGAAGGACTAATTCACTAACACAACATCTAAGAAATAGAATCCCAGTATTGTTGTAGCAGGTTAACAGTGACGAACAGTTGAACCTACGGTTGGCTCTGACTCTAAGAGAGAAACAACATTGGATTGCATTTCCCTATCTTTCTATATCCCCATTAGTAAATTTCCATTTTACTAAATTTTAAAGAAAATTATTCGTTGGCAAAATTATCTTATACTCAAATTATTCAGAACATAAGAAAAGATTTATTGGGGGAAATGATGATCAAAACATTTGTATAAGTTATAATAACTCATACAAATTTCTTGAATCACCATATTTAACATCTTTTCCCCACTTGTATAAGGCCAAGAAAGAAAGAACAGTAATTATGAAGAAGAAAGCGTTAACATCGTATCCATAAATTTGGGTAACAAAGATGATTTTTGTTCAGTTTATATACATTTCCCAAATATAGACAAATTCAAATAATAGAGTTCACATTCAAAATAATATTTTATTTAGAAGAAATTATTACTATAATGTCAATTACTATTACAGAACCAAAAATAACAGGCAAAAAAGAAAAGAATTATTGTAAATATATTTGTAAATGTGTATACTTCGTTGCATTACGAATTAAGAATCCGTGCAAAGAAAAGGAGAGGGCTTCTACGGAGGCTCATCGCCAAACAAAAAATAAAGACCATTATCGTTTTGCAGAAAGAGCTATAATACGCATTGAATTACCAATTGATGTGGCACAATAGAAAAGAGGGTATAATCCACAAGGAAAATGCAAACAGATTCCAATATTTGGAATTGAGGATATTATAGTCCTATTTGCGGTTGTGCACAAAAATCTGAGAACAAACGATATGGATCCATTATGTGAAGTCTAAGAAAGAAATGGGCCCATTGAAGAAATACTTGGACAAGGTGTTGTCAAATTAGCTAAACCAGAAATAGCTACGGAGCCAATTGCTAGATCATCTCGTTTCACTACAATGTGATCATGCCACTTAGAATTTACAAAATGTGGTAAACGTTCCGAATGTTTTTCTCTTGGCTACCGTTTCTTTCTTTTTTGGGTTTTTTCCCTAAAAAGTCTTAATTTTAGTTTCGTACTTCTCAAGGTTAACTTCTTGAAAAGGTGTAGCGGAGAGTTGCGATGAGATAGGCACACAGAACAACTGAAGGAAAAAAAAATAGAAAGACCATAACAAAGCCGAGGATGGTTATTGTAGCACTCAGAACCCGCACGGACAACACCTTTCCCTTACTCCATTGATGCCTTTCTTTTAGTAGTAACTCTCAGAGATGTAATATGAACAATCATGACAGACCCGAGGCGCACGTTAGTGGGAGGATTTTATTTCAAAAGTCTTCCTTTTCATTTGAGAGTAGTAGTATTTTCGCCTAAGGATTTCGTATACTTCAAAATATTGCGACCCTCAAGGAACTGCTGCTATTATGTGGGGTGTTAATACAATATTTTGTTGTTTTGTGTGGGCAAACTAAAAATATGGATAACTACCATACGACAGTTTGTGGGGGGAGAGGGTAGAGAGGTGGGAGAAGCCGGATATCACGATAAAATTTAGTACTACAGTTGGTTGAAGTCAAATTATAGGAAAGTATCTGTCATTCACTAAGTCGGGACCATCTCATAAAAAAATTCTTCTCAGCTATGCGTCTAGCAAGCTGCTTTTGGGCATTTTTTGGCTCTCTAATTCGTCAGACCATAGTGCACAGCCATGTTCGTTGGATATCGAGCTAATTTACGCAGATATCTCTGGGAGAGGAGCTAGATTTTCGTTAAGAAATATGTAAGAATAGAAGTCCAGGAATACTATTATCGTACAGCCCCCAATAAGAACGTACTTTCTGTGACAAGAAGGGTTACCGCGGTGTGTGTTTGTGGCGGGTTATGGTTGATAGTCTTGCTCCTCAAGATGGCAAGCTCCGCTGTTTAACTCCCTTAATTTTATATGTTTACTATCTTACGATTTTGTTGTCTCTAAACTAAATATATTTGCCTCAAATGATGTAGTTAAATTTCCTTCTGCTCTTCATAATCGTTACGCCCCAAGGAATATTTTTTGTACCATTTCAAGTGCTCTTGACAATGCGAGACAAGGAATTAGGGACACAATGGACTTTTTTTCATGGCCCAAATTCTTTTTATTTTGAGGACCCATTGTCACATCAAAAGACCTCAAAAAAGATGTGATAATACAAACAAAAGAAAGAGCTTATCTTACTTCCGTATTTCGATATTTAAACTTAAACAAGGACATGGAGATGGTATCTATATTCTACGAAAGGGGGATTGGAACTTTGCAGTTTCTTTCGGAGCAATTGAGAGAGTTTTTGTCTGATGCTGATGCATGCAACGTGAAGGGACAAAAAGATGGCTACTAGAATACTTGAGGTAATATAGTGGTCAAATTTTCTTGGTTATGCTGGCCCAGGTAATTGATTTTTGAGAGATATTTTGATAAATTTTCGGGTATTGCATCCGATGGTCCGAAAAGCGCTTGTTTGTTTACAGATTCTACAGTGGGAAATGGAATATATACGAAACCGTAATTACTACTCACAGAAGGTTGTAGTGTCCCAATGTTATACATTATATAAGTTAAGTAGTGGCATTTCTTTTTTTTTACTCGAGGCAGAATGTTTTTTAGGTCTTGTGTAAAGGTGACAAGAATACAGCATTCTACACTTCTATCTCAAGTTCGAGTATACCGGCAAAATTTTAGAATAAACGGAAACTGAAGATATTGATAGGTTGTGAAAAAGAACGGAAGGCTTGGCTTTGCATAGTTTCTGTCCTTAACCTCTACCCCATTATAATGCTTAAATGCTGTCAAGGCTACCTTTGATTACATATCGAATTGCTACAATTTCTTTTTTTTTTCATTTCTTTCCTTTGATTATGCATCTTTCTTTGCATATATCTACAAGGAATTGCTTTTCCTATTTATGTTCTCGATATTTGTAATAAAATTCCTTTTCTTTTTGCTATTCCTATTTTGGAACATTGTACTTCCAGGGGAACAAATGAGATGGGAAATTGTGCCAAAGAACAGTTAAAAACTAAAAAAAATATGTGCCTAAAGGAGGGTTCCTATTAGCGAGCAATATCATCAAATGACGGCATACACTCCCAGTTTACAATACAAGTAATGACAGGCCCCACTATTTCACATCTTAAACTGCTAAAAAAATGCGTGTAATTTTAGATTTTGGTGTCAAAAAAAAAAAAAGAAATTCCTTCTGGAGTATAAAATAGGCAAGTCGCTACTTGTTCATCCGCGGCCCGAAACAAACGTAGTATATGTTGTCATTACGTTGTTTTCTGATAGATCTCATCTCATCGGATTTTGACTTCCTCGCTTAATCCCCACAAGCCTTTCTCAAATGCCTTCAGAACAGTCCGTATAATATGAAAATGACAGTATTACTAAGGGAAAAAAAAGAAATAATTGCAGGAAAGAGGCACTAATCTTGCATTTTTGCACACAAATTTCGTAGCAAAAACCGAAAATCAACTTTTTCCCTAAGAAGCAACTGTAGTATCTACTAAAAAAGCTGTAGTTGAATTAGCATTGAAAATATTCTACTTTCTTTTTTTTAGTTATTTCTTCGATGAAGGTTTTAATGAATGCGGAACCTAATGACGCATAACTTACAGTTCAATTGGTAATATCAATCGCTTATGGATATTATGACAACCAAGTTCAAGAACCATCACAAGTGAGCTATGTATAACCCCTATTTCGATGGGGGGGAGAAAGATTCTGTGGTACTAATTAGACAGTTCACGGCATACTTTATAGAAATACATTATTTTAGGACGCTGCTTCACAATTAGGCCATCAACTAATGTACAAGTATGACAGAACCCATTTTGGTTATTCTTTCCAATAGTCTTTTTTCCTAAAACAATAATGTAGTATTTGGATGCAGCTGTTAAACAAAAATGTCAATCAAAATAGATGAAGCGGTGGCTCAATGGTAGAGCTTTCGACTCCAGTTAAACTCTGGGACTTCCTCGGAATTCATGATTGCAATCGAAGGGTTGCAGGTTCAATTCCTGTCCGTTTCATTTATATTTTTTTAGTAATTCAACTAGTATTCGTATAAAGGTAGACACAGTAATAACTGTGTGATTGATGTTGAAGAGACCTGAATGTTCATTATTAACTCGATGAGATAAATGTATGCTTCCTGTACGCTTTGTACTGTAAAACTCAACCTCTCATTATATTTTTATTCCGAAAAGTGCCAGTGAGAAGTACACTTCCATTCTGTTTTTGATATAGTACAATTGGTCAAAGCCGCGGATAAAGTCAATAGAGACTGCCTATAAGATATGAGCGAAAAACACCACGCAGACTACACCAACTTTAATGCCACTGACAGATCCGAGGCTCTTCAGCTTCTGATTGATTCATATGAAGCCCTAGCTATGGACCAAAGGAATTGGGTTTGTAACTTGGCTAATGCTGCTTCATTGCTTTGGCATGCATACAAATCCTTAAACGTCAACGTAAATTGGACGGGGTTTTATATAAGAAATGGTGAAAAAGAGCAACTATTACTGGGACCATTTCAAGGAAAAGTCGCTTGTCAGACAATAGATTTTGGCAGAGGTGTTTGTGGTATTGCTGCAAGTTCACAAGAAACACAGTTAGTACCAGATGTAGACAAATTTCCAGGACACATTGCATGCGATGGTGAGACTAAGAGTGAGATTGTTGTTCCAATTGTGTCTCAGAGCGGTAAAACTCTAGGTGTTATTGATTTAGATTGTCTTGATTTTGAAGGGTTCACTGATGTCGATAAAGAATATCTTGAAAAGCTGGCATTGGCAATTACCAAGAGTTGTGACTTCTAAAGTTCTGACTACATGTACTTGATGTATTATATCATCACAAAACTCAACTATTATATAGCTAATTCCAATAAAAATCTCTGTTATTATTCAAACTTAAAAACTTTGGTTAAATATTTGTACAAGTAAATTTCTAAAATCCTAGTTCCTTCATTGCATCAAGGGCATCCTCATCTTCTTCTTCGCCTGGGTCAATCCCAGTATCCTTATCGTCACCTAGCTCTTCAATCTTTTGTGTTGCATAATTATTGAGTTCTTCTTCCATAGCAAGCAATTCGTCTTCTTCTGAAATGCCAATAACAGTACCATCACTATTGGTAACCCCCTTAGGATTATTATCAGAGATAGGTAGGGTCGTGTCTGATGTTGGAACAGCATGTGTGTTTGAAGTAGCACTTTCGTGAGCTATTGAAGAAGGAGGAGGAACACTTCTATATAAATCACTGTCATCATCATCTTCTTCATCTCTAGCAAATAAGTGCCTTGTTGTTTCTTGGCCACCCGTTATCAGTTGATTGGTGTCGTTCTCTACATTATTATTCTCATCATTACTATTCGCATCATTATTTGGTAGTTGTGTGCTAGTTACTGGTTGACTGTTATTAGCGGGATTCTGTTTGTCACTTCTATATCCATCACCAAACTGATTTTCCATATCAGCGCGAAAAAGTTCCGTTCTATAGTTCCTTAAATCTGCATCTGTCTTTCCCAGACTGTTGCAAAGCCTTACAAAATCTTTAAATTTAGCCTTAGGGAATAATTCGTGAGCCCACAGCTGATAGAACTGAATAATATGTTCCAGATTTTTATAAGTGGACCTTGACTTTGAGATACGTACGCGTTTGGGCGCATGTTTCATAACATACGGGAGGCCATTGGGACTCAGAAGTCTTTCTGCTGTTAACTTCACCTGCGGCCGCCTGACTTTTGCATTTACTGCTGTAGGATCATCATTAATCATGGTTGGATCGCTCGCTACTCCGCCGGTCAGCGGGTCTTCTATTTCAGCATGTTGTGTTGGCTCAGCACCAACACCTAGCATTAGCATATCATCTTCATCCATATTTTTTTAGTATGGCTATATCTACTAAAATTTTCTGGTTAATGACTATACCATGGTAATTTATTTCAATGACACTTGCAGTTATATTGATGAAGTATTGACGACTTCTCCAAGCTCATCGCATTTCGTTTGCTGGTGACAAAACGCGTTACATAGTTACAGTCAAGTGATCTCCCCTTGTGTAATGATATTAGTATGGATCACATCAGCTCTGATACCTCTATATTTCAGGAGATGGACATTTGGAATATTTATATGAGAATAAAATACATTGAAATGCGATGTCGTAGATGTCTAATTAACATTTCCAATTCTTAGACTTTATACAAAAATAAGATGCTACAGATTATACCGATTATACAGAACACAAAAGCGAGATTGGTAAATATATTGAGACCCCTGGATATTATATTATATATCTCTTACTTGTTCTACAGCAGCAAAGCTTTTATAGAAAGAATTGCATGAGAGAGGTAACAAGAATACTTGTATAAGTCGGTTCATAAAATCGTGTGATACGGGGTGCTGTGATGTAGACAATTTAACTAAGATCTCAGGTCAAGCGAATACTGGAAGGGCAATTCCATTGTGGTTAAGAAGGAAATATCGAGTGTAGAACTTGAAGTCAGAATTGATTCGTAACTATTTCAAGCATACATACCATTCGAATATTGGTACTGAACCAATTGTTTGAACAATTAGCAGTTTGATTAGGCTTAGCTATGTTTGGTCAGCCTAGGTTGTTTGGTGCGAACTCGCAGCCGTTTGGATCTACTAATAATACTGGATCAACAGGCGCATTTGGAAATGTACAAAACAACAATGTTCAATCTGGTTTTAGTGGTTTTGGTAGCAACAACAACGCAAGCAATGCACCACAAAGCGGTGCTTTTGGAGCAAATACCAGTAGTTTGAACTCTCCTTTTGGATCAAACAACAATGCCATGGGAACTCCATCCAATTCCACAACAAGTGGAGGTGGTCTTTTCGGTATGCAGAACCCTAATACATCTGGAATGGCTGGTGGCAACTCTTTATTTGGTATGAACAATAATGGGAATACAGGAACTACAATGATGGGTGGCTTGCCCGTCGGTGGTATGAATGCTGGTGCTGGTACTGGTACTGCAATTAAACCATTTCAGGTTGTGGAAGAGAAGGACATGACAACCAATGCTATTAATATGTATCAAAGTATCACCTTTATGAATGAGTACCGCAACTATTCTTTTGAAGAATTGAGAATGCAAGATTATAAAGCTGGTAGAAAATTTGCTAACAGTTCCGCTACTTCAACTGGTTTTGGCACGGGCCAAAATCAGCAGTTTGGTGCATTTGGTAATACTAATTCAGCACAGCCTGGTGCACAATCTAGTCCATTCGGCCAAAAGCCAGCATCCGGAGGTTTATTTGGAGGTAATGGTGTGGGATCCACCTCAACAGGTCTTTTTGGATCCAATCAGACCTCTACAAATACTTTTGGTGCTAACAACGGAAGCACATTTGGAAACAATGCTGCAAGTAGTGGCGGTCTTTTCGGTAGCACAAATAATACCAATACCAACACTGGGATGTTTGGTTCAGCATCTAATGCAAATTCGGGAGGTTTATTCAACCAACAGAATCAAACACAACAACAACAATCATCTCCCTTCGGGGCTTCCAGTGGTTTTGGTAAACCTCCTGCATCTTCTGGAGGGCTGTTCGGGCAAACTGGCGCTAACCCATTTAGTAGCAATAATGCTAATACTGCTTTTGGACAAACTGCGCAACAACAAACGCCAAATCAGGGAGGTCTTTTTGGTCAAAGCAATCAATCACAAGGCACCGGGCTTTTTGGTCAGTCAGGGCAACAACAACCTCAGGGCGGTCTTTTTGGTCAAGCTGCTAATGGTAATTCCTTATTTGGTAGTAAACCTCAACCATCGACTGGTTTTGGGCAACAGACAACTAGTGCCGGCGGATTCGGGTCTTCGGGAGGTTTATTTGGAGGGCAAAATACACAACAACAAGGCGGATTATTTAACCAAACTTCTCAAACCCAAACTGGTGGTCTTTTTGGACAAAATCAGCCACCAAATCAAGCGGGTGGGTTATTCTCACAAACTCAAAATACAAATGCTAATTCACCCTTTGGAATGAAATCAGCTACTCCTGCTGGAGGGCTATTTGGAAATAACCAAGGCCAACAAGGAGGTGGTATTTTCAATCAGAATCAAAATCAACAACAAGGAAACACTACAGGCTTGTTTGGTGGTGGCCAAAGTCAGCAAACTCAATCTAATACGGCGGGCAGCTTATTCGGCCAAAAACCCACTGGTTTTGGTTCTACTGCACAACCCAATACCTCTTCGTTTGGTAATACTCAGTCTTCTGGAGGTCTATTCGGTAACAAAAGTACTGGAGGTGGACTTTTTGGATCGACTAATACTCAAAATACTACCCCTAGCTTTGGATCTGGTGGAACTCAGTCTTTGTTGGGTGCAAAGCCTGCTGGTGGTTTGGGTGGTTTGGGTGCACAGCAACCTGCAGCAACTCAAACATCTGGTTTGTTCAACAAACCCGCTACCTCAACATCATTTGGTGGAACATCAAGTCTGTTTGGTAATAAAGCAGGACCTCAACAGGGTAGCACAGGTGGGTTGTTTGGTAGTAACTCAACCTCAAACATTGGTGCGGGTTTGGCTACTAGTCAACAGTTTTCAAATAATAGCGCTAATCAGCAAATAGGAAACCCCAGCCAAAATAACGATCAAGAAAAGTTACAACAACAGCAATTACTGGTCACTAATCCTTATGGAACGAATGAACTGTTTAGCAAGGTTCAACAAGCAGCACCGGGCTCAATGCAGGTTAGTGTGCAGATTCAGGTTAGTGCAACTAAGATTGATGCAGATAATAAAAAGAAAAGTGATTTAATTAGTGCCTATAAGCATACACCAAAACCTTTATTTGCAGCAGCTTTGTCTGGAAAAGGCCTCGTAGCTGAGAAAACTAATGAAATAAAAAATGATCTAGATAAAGAAACCTCAACAAGAATAATGAATAACGAGATTGACGCTAATTTCCAACAAATTGGTTCAAAACTTTTCGAACCTGACTCTCTTATGTTCAAGCAGTTGTTAAAATCGAAAGGTAATCACAGGAATAAAGATTTGAAGAGCAAGGAGAAGCTTTTTATCGCAAATGTTGCTGATAGTAATTTGAACGAAGCCGATAAAGACAAGGCCAAAAATGAAATAGCTAAACTTAACGCTTCTCAGGTCGTTGCCACAACCTTGGCTTCTTCTGTGAGGGAGACTGAGAAACAGGAAAAAATTGAAACTGATATATGTAACGAGAATGCAATTTCTGAATCTAAGCTTGATGGCATTGATGATCTAGAATTTGTTGATGAAAATTATTATATTTCTCCTTCTCTTGATACATTAGCTACACTATCCAAATATGAAATTCAGAAGGTTGAGAATTTGGTTGTTGGCAATAAACAATATGGTAAGATTGAGTTCTTAGATCCTGTTGATCTGTCGGATATTCCTTTGGGTTCGATATGTGACGATCTAGTAGTTTTTCAGCCGATGTCCGTCTTGTTATACAATAATAGCACCAACGTTCCTGAAAAGGGTAAAGGTCTAAATGTAAGGGCACGTATAAGTTGTTACAATTGTTATCCTTTAGACAAATCTACCAGAAAGCCAATCAAGGATCCTAACCATAGAATTATGGAAAGGTACTCAGAGAAGCTGAAGAAAATTCCTCATACTCATTTTGAATCATATGATCCGGCTTCTGGAACATACTGCTTCACTGTTGATCATGCATTAATATAGTATTGTTCAGATAATTAGATATATCTTACTTTACATATAAAAATTATTCTGTATTTCTTTAGGAGGTATATTCATGTAGATTTTGAGTAACTATGATCTTATATCTGGTTCACTAAGAAGCCCCATTCTCGGGCTGTAAAAAATAACTGCCATCTCCTAGAATCGAACCAGGGTTTCATCGGCCACAACGATGTGTACTAACCACTATACTAAGATGGCGCTAAACTCTGGGATGTTGGTGTTAAAATAACCTCAATTTGCTGAATCCTATAGGCATTCCAATATGTAAGAAACAAGGTACCAATAAAATGAAATCCATGGATGCTATTAGCCTGGATGATAGTACGCAATAGTTCTTTATACTCATGGTTATATGGACACTTACTGATGAAAATGACGGAAATTAGTCGAAAGAACACTCTATGCCAATTTTTTATTTAGAAGTAATTAGATAACTTTCATTATATTTTAAAGTCAACTTATGTGTACTAGATTGATTGCGATTACCAGAGAAAATTGTAAGTAACTTTATCTATTTACTAATAACAAAGTTTATGTTAGTAGGTATTGAATGTTGAAATGCGTTACATTTTTACATCTTCGATCTTATTTTACGTTAATAAGAATACTGTAATTAACTCAGATTTATTTGAAGATCTGAAAAGCTAAATAAGTAAATTATTCCGCAAGAATTTCCTCCTGAATGGATTCCTTTACTTCATTAGGTGGTTGTACTTCATTGTTAGTATCTTCTTCAAGAGGTACTTCCCACTGATGGCTATCTGGTATGAAGGCACAATCATAAATAGTTTGAAAAAATGACTGAAAATCATCCCAGAGATTCCATTTCTCTAAATCTTTTTTTCCTAGATTCATTAATAATCTGTAATTCATTATTAATTGATTGTTAGAGTTAAAAACGGTTAAAAATTCGGTCATGCTTCCCTTTATATTTAAGGCCACAGCAATTTCATCGGCTATAAGCTCTAGGTCATTTTTTAGAGAATCATCTTGATTTTGGTCGTTTTTTATCATTTTGTAGAGAGAAACTTCCAATAATTTATTTATACTCAATATCTTATCCTCTAAATCAAGTTTCATTTCGGAGTGTCTATCACCACTTTTCTTGGAAATGCTTTTTTTAACAACAGCGCTTAGACACTTCCCTATTTCAGTCTCTTGAGGTCCCAGACCAACTATTGACCAGTCGTCATCATCTTCATATTTGTAATATTCTTTTTCAGGAATTTTAGGTTTTATGGCCTTTGTCTTTTTAGTTTGTACTTTTTTAGAAATTTGTTCTTTCCTTGTTCTTTTGTTCGGTGTTTCAATTATGTCTTCTAAGGCATGAAGTTGATCTCTTTTACTATTTGTTTGTTTGGCTCTGGTCCTAGTCCTTCTACCAGCCTCACCAATATCATCTTCGTCTACACTTGACTCTAATTTTTTCCTTTGCCTGCTTGAAGATCTCATTGGCTTGATTTTGGCATTTTTACTTCGACTTCTTCTAGTAGTTGCAGGTTCTTCAAAATCATCTTCAATATATTCATCTTCATCTGGTTTACCCATTGATCCATATTCAACAAATTCCCACACATCAATGCCTGAAGAGCCTTTCATTGCCATTTCATAAGCCGGAATAAGTTTCTTATTTTTCTTCGTTTTGCTTGCGAGCCATTCCTGGCATTCCTCTACTGACAAAGGTTGCATATCTGATTGTTTCACCCATATATACGAATCGTCACACATGAATTTTACGCAGTACAGCGATGGTTGTTCCTTGTTCTTTTTGAATTTCAAAACCTTAGAATATATTATATAGTCGTTTGGATCATAATCACTGCCAAACTCTTCATCTGGAGTACTATCTTGATCTTCTTTAGTTTCTGCCTTGTCAACTGAAATACGTGATCTGATCTTCCATACATTTTCAGGTATGAGCTCTTTTGGAATAACCATTGCAGGCCATGCTGGGAAGCCCTTAACTTTGGCCAGTACCACATCTGTAGGCTGGTATATGTTTGGCATAATGCTCAATTAAAAAGACTGATCCTATAGTTTGGTGGTTAATTGAAATACAAAAGCCTTCAGCAACTTCTTTGTCTTTGCGTTCTTAGTTACCAGAGCAAGTCTTCACAGAATATGTTGATGTAGATTTTGTTCACAATCTGTGTTTATCAACTGCCTAGCTTCCAAATAAAATGGTAAAGGTTTTCCTATGAAGGATGTTTTGGATGTAGTTACTACTATGGACTCGGGTTATGATCCATTTGCTAGGCAATTTAATATACAGTTAATCGCTATTACTGAACATTTGACATTTCGTGATGGTGGAAACAAAGTAAGTCGTCGAATATGATTTTATTGGAACAAAGTATAAGATCAAGGCCAACCAGCAATAAGTATTTATATCCCTAAATGGTCAAGACTATAAGGTATTGTACTTTCTCATTATTTTTATACAAAATAGCACATATTAATAATATTTTCAGTGAAGATAAAAATAAGAGGAGTTGATATGATTCATGTGTATGTGTTTGTGATAAAAAAATAATTAGTATGTACTCTATTTGTAAGATTGTGCTATATAAGAAAGACGTTATCTTTCTGAGGGTTATATTTTAAGTGAAATGTTTGTACTTTGTGAGTTGATCCAACATATAACCAGTAGAGTCCTCTTCACCCATAATGAGCCTGTTGATCTTGGAAGTATTGTTGATAGACAGAATTCTGTTCTTCGTTCAAGTAATGGTTGTACTGGTTTGGACCCTTGCCCTGTTGTTGTAAGTGCATGTCTTGTCCATTAGCAAATCCTGGTGCACCACCTTGGCCATTCATTTCCGGTACATGACCTTTATCGTCATGAGAGTATGCTACTTGTTCTTGATGTACCTGCATGTGTTGTTGATCCATAGGAGCGTTATTTTTTTGAGTATGAGGTTGTTTGTTCTGCTCTGCAATTTGTTCTTGGTGTTGGTTTTGAGGTTGCTGGCCCTGTTGCATCGATGTGTCGAATTCCTCTTCTTCTTCTTCCTCATCGTCATCGGGAGCATTCAAACACGCTTGAATCAAGTTTCTACCTTCCTGTTGTGTGACAATGGGTTCGAATTTTGGAGTACTGAAGGTGTAAACGAGACCAGTCTCAGATACAACTAGCAACAGTACTTGTGTCCCTGTAAGCACAGAAAGCTCAAAGGCTTTCTTCATGATACCATGCTTTCTCTTTGAGAAAGTGACATGTCTTCTAGTCTTGTTCTCTATAAACTTGATCTCAATCTTTCTTCTTTCTCTTTGTCCTCCAGTTGGAGTAGAAGTATCTTCATCTATATCTGACATGCTGAGTTTTTTTTAGGTTTGATGATTATATGTACCCCTCGTCTTATAGTCTTCTTTGTTAGCGTACAGAGTGTATAGTCTTCCAGATCAAATATTTCTAACGGTACCAAGACAGTTTTCGGAAAGAAGGAAAATAAGAAATTTAAATAGCCCTGCTATAAATTTTATCCTCAACACGTATCAGCTGCCCAAAGTCTATCGTATACCAATGTGTATACGCGTTCTTCACACCACTATCTTGAGTCCTCCTCGTGATATAGTCCGGAAAGAGATATTTATCTACTTCCAGTTTTGCTTGGTTGATAGTTCAAAAACAAAATAATGACTTTCCCTTGCAATAGTGTAAAAAGAGTAGTATTAATGTATCCGAACAGAACATGCAATCAGGCCCACAAAAGATAGAAAGACTGAATGAAAACTTTTTGCAGAAATTGCTTATAATGGTTGAACGAATCGATTCGAGCAGATCATCGCGATTTTCGTCTTTTTTCCTCTTTGAAATCACCGGATTTCCTCTCAGCACGCAGTAGCTGTGGACTAGTCAGTCACATGATACACTATTTTATATGGGTATTCTCACAGTTGCTTGTTAAGCTGTATTAAATGTGCTATATCTATTGTTAGTGATACGTTTATTAATGTATAGTGTATTATTTAATGCTTTTTTTTATTTGAACTGCAGATGCTGTTTCTCTATTAGTAGCCCCGAGGGTCAGGAGTGTTTAATGTTACAACTACGAAAACACCAGTGTTCTATCGTTTATTCTATGCTAGGGTTGAAATGGGGAACAAAATGGTCTAAGTGCTATTATCCTGGTTTAAGCACCTTCGTATGAGCTCCTTGCCAGGGTCATCCCTGATCAGAGGCTGTAAGCTGGGTGTAGCGAACGTGTATACTAGACCCTTGGGGGACAATATCAGCAGAAGAACGTTCGCGCCCGTCATTACCGCTAGCTCATAGGCCTTCTTCATAATCCCGTGTCGCCTCTTTGCGAACGTCACATGCCGCCTAGTTGTGTTCTCTATATATTTTAACGGAGCTTTGCGTCGTTTCCCGACGGCAGAAGATGGCGTGCTCACCTCTTCGTCTTCGTCATCATTCTCGTTCTCATTCTCATTCTCTTGCTCATTCTCAATCTCATGCTCGTTCCCGTTCCCATTACCTTTATCGCTATAGTCCCGCGTGCCTCTCACCTCATCTCCTCCGCCCACCGTAGGTCTCTGCCCTGGCATATGCGCTGGCATTTGCACCTGCCGCTGTGGCCGCTGATCCTGCCTCTGACCCTGTATCCCAGGCATCCCAGGCATCCCAGGCATCTTCCCAAGGTCAGGGTCGAGGTTAATGTGGTCGCTCGACGATATAGGGCTAATCCCAAATAAAGACTGTGAGTTCATCTCTAGCAGTAGGATCTCGATGGCCAAAATACAGAAACCAATAAAAACTTAGTAACAGCCTTAAAGTACTTGCAAATAAAACCTTGTCTACTCGGTGATACGAACGCCCAAACGAGTATCAAAAGTAGCAAAGAATGCATATGAGCATCGATCCTGCTACTGTTCTTATATTATGCCACAACAGAGCTTCACCTATAAATGATAATGTCAGTATTATACGTTTATACGTAGTGTAATGGGCATCAGGAGCAAAAAAAAAAAAATTGCGATTTCTGTGGATCGAACACAGGACCTCCAGATAACTTGTTGACCGAAGTTTTCGAATCTTCAGTCTGGCGCTCTCCCAACTGAGCTAAAACCGCTTAGTAAATTTGTTGAAGGGTTGATAAATTCTAGGCTCCCCATGCTTACGTTTCTCTTGGTCATGTGATGTCGTTTATTTTGTCTTTTGTGTTTTTAACGTTTGGGTGTTGGAGCGTCAATGCTTCTAGTCATGATTGACCAGATTTTAATCTTTAAATTCTTTTAATGTTCATTATGTAGTTTCAAAATATCAACTATTAATGCACAAGATATTCATTACTAAGTGGGGTAGTTATTAGAGAAATCACGATTTTTTGTAATATGCAATACTGGTTTGTGATATGCTGCGGTACAAGAATATATATCATTATAAAAAAATGTCTTAAATACTGTGCAGAATAAATTTATTTGTCCTTCTGGAACATGCCGTCGAATAACCAGGATACCCATCCCGATATATCATTCTTTAAGTTGTTATAGAAATCTTTGCTGATAACTTTCAGACAGTAAGATTGGTAACAGGGGTGTGCTTTATTATACCTGTCAATGATGTACTGGTCAAACTCTTCCTTTGTGCCGACATCAGCAGTGTCTATGTGTATGGTGCTGTGCCCAATGTTCATAGTGTTTCTGACGGTGTCAAGTTTCCTTTGAAATTGCTGAATGGCCTCTTCCACATCTCTAACACGCAGATCTAAGATTCTAACATCGTATTTTAGTTTTGAGCACAAGGAGTTTAATTCACGCATATCGTTCAGCAGAAAATTCTGCTTGATTTCAATGCCATCGTACTTATTCTGAAACGCTCTGGCAGCATGGACATACTTGTAAAACAGATCCCCTGACACTTTCAAAAGATCTTGCATTCTCTTTTCTTCCATGTAACATGTTTTCTTTGTCATAATAGAGTAGTATCCATGCTGCATGTCTTCTATTTGAGCTTCTGCCTTCGTTTCCCTCTGTATCTTCTTCAAATCCCTTGCCAGTCTGACAACAGAGGGGTCGAATGGTAATGTCCACCTTTCTATCTGCTGTTGGATATCACTACATGAGATGGATCTATACAAAACTTCCGTACACTCTAAAACTCCAGTTTCTGATTCCTCCCTGAGAGTTTGTAGATTGGATGACGAACCTCTTCTGTAAAACTCAGAATGGTAAAGTTGATTCGTATTCAGGCCTGACTCATAATGATGCTTGTCATAATTACAATACATAGACGACAAACTAACCGCCGAAGGCCCCTTACTCATAACATCATCCTCCTTTTCCGAACTACCCGCATCACTAGTTCTCCATGGCTTAGATGATACTGGATCACCCATATGCAAATCGTTTCCTATAATAGGAATATCTATCATATAATTTCCAAACATCTCACTAGTTTTCTTTTTATTTTCCTCCTCATGAGCAAGCCGTAACTTCTCATTCAAATTGTTACATCTTTCCGTTTCCTCGTCAAGTTGCTTTTCCGGGTCCCCATTCTTATAAGAGTACCCACAGAATTCTTTCTTGCAGATACGTCTTACGTCTTTTCTACGTGGCCTACCTTTGTTCTTCCACAATAAACCCAATGACCCGCATTGGATATGTTTGACAAAATTATCCATATCAGTAGATAGTACATTGTTTGCTAGCTGCACAACGTTACCTTTACCCCCGATGTCTTGAAACTTACACTTAACAGTCTTAGTTAATTTCTTAAATTCGTTTTTGGTCAATCTCGCTTCTTCTTGAAACAGTTTTTCTACTGTGGGCGGATCAAGAAACCCTTCATTTTCCTTCGTAGTTGTGCTATACTTCTTTTGAAAGTTGGAAACTCCTTGCCTAAAATCCTGCTCATCAAAGGGGTCCTTAGCAGGCATACAGTCGACCAGGATCAATTTGTAGAAACAGCTAAGAACAAGACTTAACATACTTGCAACAGTAGTTGGACCCAATGTGCCTTCATTTCTTGGTTTCTCAACCCCGAAATAGATTCTCCCGAAGACCAACCACCATTGTTCGATGGCAGATTTTGTTCCCTCACTCAGCAAACCGTCCACAATATTCTTGTCCTTCCCTTTGAACAGGTTGAAGTAAGATAGGGATATCTGTATCAGTGTCACCATTTCCACAACTGGAGAGTAAAAGCCCGGCAAATCGTGGCCTTTCTTAGTTTTCCATAAAGATGCTGCAGGTGGTGTCCTCTCTTGCATTGTTCTCTTTGAGAATGTTAGAGGGTGGTGCTCCTCGTCGCCTCTTCCGCTGAAGGGGTCTTCGAGGCTTCTCTTATGAGAAAGTAGATGCGCCTCTGTGGTTGGATCCTGGTACTGTTGTGAGCCTACCTGATCAGTGGTGACGACGTCCTTTATGGGGATCTTGAACAGCTGTGAGAATTTGTTCATAGCGGAGCTAGCGGGTGCACTCAGCAGCAGGGCTGATCTGCCAGTGCAATGCAGTTTCTTCAAGTCGAAGTTCGTCTTGAAGTCGTGCCACACACTTCTCAAGTCACCGCACTCTACATGCAGCAAGGACAGTTTCGAGGACATCGCCGACAAGTTAGTGACGAATATGCAACCTTTCGAGATGAACTTCGGCTGCGTGAACGGCAGAAGCTCCTCGTAGTATCTCTTGAATCTGTGTGGCCAGAAGTGAGGGTCTCGGTTCAACACCACCCGCACCGCAGATATCACGTCCTGGGTGTTCCCCGTGTACGAGCTGATCACCGCGCTCAGCTTCCTCTCCGCTATCCACTGCTCCACTATGTATATCTCAAACCCTTGCACTGTGATCTCATCGTAGTACACATCCTTGTAGGACTCTATCCCGATGTTGTACAGCGCCCGCATATCCGGGAAGATGAAACTAGTCAGCTGCGGCTCAATCTGCGGCATCACCAGCGCACCTTCCGCCCGCTCAGCACTCTTTCCATCGCTCAAATTTGTTGTGTTGTAAGCTGTGTTGTAAGCTGTGTTGTATGTTGTGTTGTATGTAGTGTTACTTTTTGTAGTCTTGGTACTCGTTGTCCGCACATGCACATTGTGCACATCGTGCACATCGTTCCCGACCCGCAGTATGTGCTCCCCACTCCAGTCAGAGTCTTTCATATGTATTTTGGGTATATGCGGTAGTAGGTGTAGATGATTATATTCTGGTACCCGCGGTATTTATACTTCCCTAGCAAGGCCCCCCCCGATCCACCGATCCACCGGCCCCCCCGCACTAGCCCTGGCCGGAGCTGTACTTCCCCCCACCCACACACACACATACACACGCACTGGGGGAAAGCCGGGGGTGAATCAGAGTATTGGTCAGGAGAAAAAGGCGGTGGGGGGGGAGTTGGATGACAGATTTGGGAGTGCAGAGACAACGACGTGTGGAGAGACAACAGCTTTGGGAAGAAGTCAATACCTCTATTACCCGGACTTACCTCTTTTAGGGACGTGCAAACGTATATTGAAGACATCACGTTACCTATATTAGTGTACGAGACCATGTGATACCCACCGTCACATATGAGGCATATTACTAGATACGGTACATCACATGGATATACGTAAACAGTAACAACAAGTAACAATTCAATACGGAGAAAACACATGACACCAATTGTATACAGTGATACACTCAGTCTCATTGCTTTTTAAGCCCCCCCGCGCGAGAGACACACAGAGCGAGACGCACACAGCGAGACGCACACAGCGAGACAAGTTACTCGTCCAATGCTATCACCACCCATACAGATTCTGGCAATTTGCTTCTTTATGGGCTATCATCATATATAACTGCACTTCATTGAAGTTTTGCAATTGGGTTTGGCAAGACAGGAAGGTACCATCTGTATACAAGCAAAGCAGGACTAAGAAAAGAAATGGCGAAACACGAGGCTATCTACAGGTCGGCGGATATGACCTATATCCAGCTGTACATACCGCAGGAGATTGTGCGCGAAGTGGTGTGTCTGCTCGGTAAGCTCGGCAACGTCATGTTCCGGGACTTGAACAGTGACCTGTCGGCGTTCCAGAGAGGGTACGTCGCGCGTCTGCGGAGGCTGGAGGACGTGGGCAGGTCCGTGGACTACATGAAGCGTGTCAGCGAGAAACATAGGGAGGCCACGGCGCGCTACATGCCCCAGCTGTTCGAGGACGAGGAATTGGACGACCTCGAGTTTAACGCCACCAACGACAACCCGGGCTCGAACACCGGTGACGATAACGAGAGCCTGCTGTCGCAGCAGAACTTGGACAACTTGGTAAGACCTTCCAGAAGAGTCAACCCGCACGCTTTGTTCCCCCAATTGCTTAGAAGCCTCGAAGTGCACTCCATGGATACCATCAACGACATCATCCATGAGATCACAGAGTTTGAGTCCCGCGTAAAACAACTGGACGACTCGTTGGAGTCCCTGCGCGATAAGCTCAACGTGCTAATAGAGAAAAGACACATCGTCTTCGAGTGCTCGAGGTACATAAAATTCAACCCGGGGATTCTCGGACGCATCTCCAACAGTAACGACGCAAACGTCTCCGGCTCACAATTGGACGTAACAGATTTCACCGCGCTACCAGAAGAAGCTAACGATAACCTAAGTGATTTCTCCTTTGATATCGATGAAGACACCGCCGAAGACAACCAAAACAATAACAATGACGACGACATTCTAATGCTCGAACAAGGGTTCCACAACAAATTCATGATCGCAGGTGCCATCAGAAGAGATAAGGTGATGATATTGAACAGGATACTATGGCGTCTCCTTCGCGGTAACTTATTTTTCCAGAACTTCCCAGTGGAAAAACCAATGATGGAAAATGGCGAGTTGGTAGAGAAGGATTGTTTCCTTATTTTCACACATGGTGATACTCTTTCAGCAAAGATCAAACGTGTAGTAGACTCATTAGGAGGAAGTATGATCTCATTGGACCAAATATCACAACAAACCATTCAAGAGTTAAATGACAGGATCAGTGACTTAGAACAAGTTTTGGAGAGCACAGAACGTACGCTACACACAGAACTACTACTCATCAATGATCAACTCTCTGTATGGCATGCGGTGTTTAGAAGAGAAACTTACATATATGCAACACTTAATCTTTTTAGACAAGAGACCCAGGGTTTAGTTGCAGAGGGCTGGATACCTTATGAAGAACTACAAACTCTAAAAAACACATTGAAGGACTATAGCGAATCAATTGGCTCTGAATATACAACTGTTATCAGTGTCATCATCACGAACAGATCCCCACCCACATATCATCGTGTAAATAAATTTACTCAGGCGTTCCAATCTATTGTGGATGCTTATGGTATTGCCACATACAAAGAAATCAATCCTGGTTTGGCTACGGTAGTCACTTTCCCTTTTATGTTTGCAATCATGTTTGGTGATGCAGGTCATGGTTTCATTGTCTTACTAATTGCCTTATATTTAGTAATGAATGAAAGAAAATTCGATAACATGAAAAGGGAAGAGATGTTTGATATGGCCTATACCGGAAGATATGTTCTACTTTTAATGGGTGCCTTCTCAATATACACAGGACTGATGTATAATGATATTTTTTCCAGATCTATGACCTTATTTTCTTCAGGCTGGGAATGGCCAACAACTTTTAAAAAAGGTGAAACATTGGAAGCCAAACAAGTTGGAACATATGCTTTCGGTTTGGACTGGGCCTGGCATGGTACTGAGAACAACTTAATTTTTACTAACTCCTACAAAATGAAACTCTCAATTCTGATGGGTTTTATCCACATGTCATATTCTTATATGTTTTCCTACATCAACTACAGACACAGAAAGTCTAGGGTAGATATCATCGGTAATTTCATACCAGGCTTGATTTTTATGCAGTCTATATTTGGTTATCTATCTTGGGCAATTGTTTTCAAGTGGTCAAAGGATTGGATCAAGGATGGAAAGCCTGCACCAGGCTTACTGAACATGCTAATTAACATGTTTTTAGCACCAGGCACTATCGACGAGCAACTCTACAGCGGCCAAGCTGTTTTACAAACCATCCTTCTATTGGCTGCCCTAGTTTGTGTACCATGGCTTCTGTTATACAAGCCATTGATGCTGAGAAAACAACATGCAAATGGTGAAACAAATTACAGTAGCTTACAACATCCAACAGCGGATGACACTATGACATCTGAGTCAATAATAGATAATGAAGTGGTGATAACTGATTTTGATACCGACGAAAGCGAATCACATGGATTTAATTTTGGAGATGTTATGATTCATCAGGTGATTCATACTATTGAATTTTGCCTGAACTGTATCTCACATACTGCTTCATACTTACGTTTGTGGGCCCTTTCCTTAGCACATGCACAGTTATCAACTGTTCTTTGGAATATGACAATTGCCAACTCATTCTCTTCGAAAGATCCAGGCAGCCCACTAGCTGTATTTATGGTAGTATTTTTATTCGCGTTTTGGTTTATACTAACTGTAGCTGTTCTGGTTCTGATGGAAGGAACATCTGCAATGTTACACGCTCTGCGTTTACATTGGGTCGAAGCCATGTCCAAGTTCTTTGAGGGTAATGGTTATGCATACGAGCCATTCTCATTTGATCTTCTGACCGAATGATATTATACGATTACTTTATATCAACACTGCATGGATACACATCAATTTAATTAGATTAATACATAATAATTAAAATGCGTGATTTACCGATTACGATCAGTTTATTTAAATACGTTATATGTAAAGTCTATAATACACTATAATTCATCATCGAATACATTACCAGCACTGCTGTCATCTTCCTCTTCCTCCTCATCTTCCTCATCGCCCTTGTTTCCTGCTTCATTAGAGCCAGTAGAATCTTCTTCCTTTATAGTAGACGAATCACCAGATGAAGTTGCCTCCTTTAGGTATTTTTTAGTCTTGGTTTCATCTTCATCATCTCCTTCATCATCTCCATTCTCTTCGTTTTCATTCTGCTTCTCTTGCTTCTTTATCGCCTTCATTTTCTTGTTATACATTTTCTTTAATTCTTTCATTACTAATTGGTGTTGGTAGGTCCATTGTCTATTTTCTAGATCAAGAGTATTAATAAGTTCTTCAAATGCTAGCTTAGTTTTGATCAAGTTTTCTAATGATTCATCATCAATTGCCTTGGACTTAATCGATTCATTGACTTCATCAATCAACCCAGCCAGTGTTTTTATGTTCTCTTCACTAGACCTTCTGATTGAGGAAAATGACATCTTACTTAATATGCTGTTGTACTTTTCAGTGACATTCAATCCAATTACATTGAATTTTTCAGCTTTGTTTTCCAAATCAGCCAGGTTCTTACTTTCAATTTCCTTGTATTTCTTGATAGACTTTGATGCTGTATCAACGAGCTTTTGGAAATCCTTACTACCCAATGCGGCATCCAAAGAATTATAGAATCTAGACAGAGTATCACGCTGGCTTCTAGTCTCACGGACAAGTTTTTCAATATCCTTCTTGGACATATCTGCAGAGTTATCTTCTAGATATTCGAGTTTTTCTTTGACAAATGCTGTGAATGATTTTAGAGTTTCGAACTCTTCCTCACCCAGTTTTTCTTCAAATTCTTCAATAAATGATCTACAGTCATACAACTCAGCTTCTAGAACATTTAAGGATTCCTGAACTCTCTTTCTTTCCCTATCCTTTCTATTCCAAGAAGTGATTGCGTTAGACAATTGCCTTATCTCTGCATTGCTTAAAGGCATTACGTCAGTTGCTTTGGTGACATCATTGATTACATCAATAAACTCGAATTCCTCTTCTTTCGCATTACCGTCACTATCACATAGTACAGTAATGTCCTTGATTTTGAAAACTCTATTACTGTCTAAGTCAAAAGTCACATTCAAGTATAGTTGGCCCTTCTTACAGGCAGAAGTCCAATTTTTCGATGACACTGTGGTATCAACAATATTTGACAAAATACGGGTATCACTTTCAAACAAGTCAAACTTTAGTTCCTTACCGAATTTCTTTGGAGCTTTATACAATATTGATGATTCGTTTGGAAATTTTGTACCCTTTTCGAAAACAGTTTTAGATGAAGATTCACCTGACATTTCAACAGAGTAGTCAAATAAGGAACGTTCAGTTATGTCAAGAGGCTTAGTTTTAAAGCTTCCAAAATACTTAAGGCCCTTTAGAGTTGCACCATTTATAACTGTTTCGTCGGCGTTAACGTTCTTTAAAATTTTTTCTTCACCAACCAACTTGGCAATTTCTTCTTGAACCATTGGCACTCTGGAAGAACCACCGGACAAAATTACACCTGATATGTCTTCTAAACTAATATTGTCATCCCAAAGTTGGTTTCCGATTGCCCCTTTAATAGCTTTAACAACTGTATGCTTGTTGTCCTCAAAAATATCTTGAAACTCAGATCTTGCGATTGTTGTTCTGAAATCAATATCGTCAACTAGAGATTCGATAGAAATAATTGCTTCATTGTTTGCACTCAGGACCAGTTTAGCCTTTTCTGCAGCTTGAATGATTTTAGCACGGGCTCTTGGATTTTCAACTAGGGACTTTCTGGTGATCTTTGTATTCTTTTCCAAAAATTTATCTTCAACAATATCTGCAATGGCTGCAATGAATTTAGAACCACCAACAGTAGCCTCCGAGTCAAAAGCACCAATTTCAATTTTAATTGGTGAAGATAAGTCCTCTGGCTGAGTAAGAGAGAACAATGTGGCTTTTGCTGCAGAAGTGCCTACATCAAAAACGATGTAATACTGTGGAACATTAATCTCCAAATCAGGCCTCTTTAGTGCGTAATCAATAGCTACAGAAAGACCGTCACTTACTAGAACAGCTTCATCTTTCACAGAAGTTAAAGCCAAAGCATCTAATAATGCTTGTCTTTGAGCTTGGTTAAATTGTTCAGGGATAGCTATACCTACCTGTTCGACAAAATCAATTCCGGTAGTGTCCGTTTCTTTTATGTGCTGGTTGGCTCTGTCAATGATTTCTTGCAAATTCATCGCCACCAATTGCTCAACTGGGTACTCAACCCCATCGATAGTGATAGCAATTGTATTTCTAGTTGTAGAGGTCAAATTTGCACCCGGGTTCTCCCTCAAGTAACTCTCGATTGTATCTTTGTCATTCATGCTTTTGCCAAGTAAAGATCTCAAATGCATAGCAGTGTTTTGTGGAAATCTAGTCACTAAGGAGCCAATACTATTACCATAATGCCTTTCTAGAACACCATTGACATTCCTAATACATATACCACTGGTGTCCTTTCTTTTAGCTTCTGGGGTTAAGACAATCTCCATCATTGCCTTTGGTGACACCACCATAGCCTTAATGGATTGTTGACCATAGTCAATCCCGAGGAATGCTGCCTGCACTGCAATTGCAAATAAAAACAGTATAGACAACTTCATGGCCAAATTGCAGTTAAAAAAATAATGTATACTGTTCCTGCTTTATCAATTGATGTTTCTTAGATTAGCAATATAAATGCAAATGCGGTTCTGAAATCTATAATAGCTCAGTTAAATAAGTTTTTAAAACGAACACGAATCTAATCTCCCTTTGAATGCAATCTCAAAAACTTTCACGTAAGGCGATCAAGCTTCAAAACGTTTGAAGATCTGCGATCGGAGAGGCTCAGAAAAAGCACTAGAACATTCCACAGAATTTCCACGTACTAAGGTATATATGGACCTTTGTAGCTCTAAATTACCATTCAGAGAGTAGCATTGTGAGCATTAAACAGATGGATTAGCTATCGCAGAGACAAAGGACGCTGAGCAAAGCTTACACACCGAACCATATCCTTTCTCAAGGCTGAGCAAATCAATGTCATGAAAAAAGCCCACTTTGAGAAGTAGATTTTTAATATATACGATTGCGCCGCCGCTATTAGGCATATATATATATACCACCAGTTTTTATCCCAATTAAACTGTAGAGGAAATGAAAAACTCGATCATTAGTAGGCTTTTATTCAATGATTGGCATGAAAATTTCTTCTCTATAAAACAAAATTATTAAAAAGAACATTGCAAATGGTAATGACATCGAATACAGTTTACCTGACATACTCACTCTGCTATCACGATATCAGGATCTGTCAGATGTCTTATCAGGAGATCGTATAGATCTGGAGGTATCTTGGCAACAAATCCAACACCCAGCCTAATGATCTCATCCGCGTCAAATTCAGGTAGTTGTCGTAGCATATTCATTGGTGATTCTGACTCGAATATTTTGCTACGGATGGACACCAATTGAGCGACCACGAATAAAACATTCATGTGGAAACCGTATGCAAACATAAAATCCCACAGACGACACACCTGGTCGAGGGGCTTGTTACAACTTGAGAGCGTAAGGATCGAGGGCATACCGTAGATTTCTGCCGGCAGAAGGTTGTCACCCAGGTACTTACTTAGCTTTGGGTCGACGATCCGAAGACAGGCATCCAATAATCTAGCACCGTTCTGTGCGCCTGCGAGACTTCTGGTCAAGTAGGCCGGGATGATCCTCTTACACATCGTAGAGAACAACTGGTAAGCCATGGCTTCACTTGGACAAGAGTACAACAATGGCGCGAGAAGCACGTTCATACCTTGCACATAGGCACTAACATCCACAGTGTCTCCTTCGCCGGCTTGTCTTTTCTTGCGTTCTATTTCCCATGCAAAGCAACTTAGACATCGCAGTAGTGCATCTTCAGACACCTGTGCCCTAAATTTGGGGTCTGTCTGTAATGTTCTTGAGGTATCGTTCTTGATCTTCTGTAGTATATGAGTTTCAGGCGGGCCCAACTGCAGCAATGCCAGATACTTCTGCGAACACCGTTCCATTGACGTACGAGACAGGATAGACCACACGTAGCATCTCAACCGCTTTATCGACTGCTGGGAGTGAGTGTCCGCCTCGCTACCTCCAGAATCTACTTCATCGCCACCCGATAAGTTCCCTCGCTTGCTCCGCTTACGCTTATCGTTCCCTGCCACAGGTATACCTTCACTCAGTATCAAGTACCGCAGCTGAGACAGAGATGTGTGTACCAACAACGGTGGATGCGATATGAACTTCTCCATATTTTTTTGTATCTCCGTTCTACCTCTTTTTAGTTTTGGCACCTTTTGGTTGGTACCCCAGACCTAAATATCCAAGATTCAAGATTAGCCGCCGATTTTTTTGCATGCTAGAGCTTGAAAGTCTAGCGGCACGAGCGGAACCTTGAAATTGGTAAACAACGTTAAAAACTTACCCGGCTACACTAAACTTACCCGGAATTTCAAGTCTCTGAACGTGGGGATGCCCCTCAAAGGGCATGGGGGGAAGAGACTGCATATGCACACAGCACTCGTACCAAAGCATGGTGGTCGAGTACGGGAGGTTGCGCATTCGGGAAGTTTTCATGGGGAATGTGGGTGTGTTTTGCAACCATGCCAGAGGCCTGTTCTATCTTCTAGGTGCATTCCATTGTGTTTTTCAGTTGTGTTGCTAGTAAGGGAACTCAAAGCGGGAAGGTAATTCTAGGGGACAAGGGAAGGGAAACCGGGGTGCAATTCTTATATTTCCTTCCGGCAAATATAATGATTTATCTCGTTGCATTTTTTCTGTGAATCACCCGTAGTGGAAATGAATAGACTATTTGACTAGTGTATGGGATGAGGTGGGGTGGGTGAAAGAATCTGGATGCGTATTAGCGCTAATGTATGATTGGGTTGTGATAGTAGAAAGAGAAAAGGATCCAATAAGAATCTAATTACGTTACGTTCTTGCATCTCAACAGCCACCTATCTAATACCGCGCATGTACTCAATTGACATATCAAATTGAACAAAAATATAAGGCACGCCGTTAATCAAGCTCTACGCTGGGATATGAATGCTTAGACAAGCCGTGCAGGCGATCACTTGTCCTCACAGTAAAAAACCATTCAAAACCGAAAAAAATTAGAAGCAGGTTTCGGAGTAGAAAGAGAAAAAGAGAAAAGAAAAAGAAAGCACTGTGCTGCTTTTTCTAAGAGTTAAATTTACATCCCGTCTCAAGGGAAAGCCGACAAAGAACTACTGACTCTGTACCTTATCCGTTAGTACCCTCGAGTTGATTTGATTAATCATCCCTCTCCTACTAGTATCCCGCACAGCTACACTACACTACACTACAAGACAAAGACAAAGATTACGTATGCCCGTTTGCACCCATTCGCAACGCTTTGCAAGCTTTGCAATCGCTTATCGAAAATGCACCCAGGTGCCAAACCCATAACACGCAATAAGATGAGTTCAGGCATCGATAAGGGCGTTGTAGCGTTGCAGCCATCGTTGTTGTAACTTTGACTGGCATTGGGATAAGCACTACTTCTATATCCGAACCTTGTCCTGACCCCCTCCCGATAGGAAAAGACTAAGAGAACAAGCCTGACAGCGAGAATAATGGTGCTATGCAAAAAAAGAAAGGGAAGTGGGAAAAGCCAATTGGATTTTAGCTTGGTGTGTAAAAAAAAGTTGAATGTGAAAGTTAATAGGTCTTTTTACTATCTTTGGGAATCAAAAACACATAACATGACAGATTTAGTCAGGAAATGACGGATGGATACGATAAAAAAAATAACTTGGACAGCACAGTGTAACCCATGAGAAAGAAGAGCTTATAATTTCGAATTATTGCTGTCAAAAGGCAATACGATTAACATTTAGAATGTAGGTTTACAAGTAAGAAAGAAAAAAAAAAAAACTTTTTTAGAGAGTTTCTTATCCTATATATATTAGCTCTATTTGCTCTTTACTTCTCAATTGAGCAAATATCTTTTCCTTATGAGCACAAATCCTGATCCACAAGTACACACTATCAAAAGGAAAACTTCTTTTCTGTACCTAAATCCACTTCAACTAGACCAAAGTAGATAACAGAAAAAAAAAAAAGGCCTTAAAACTTTTGAAGTTTGAGATAGGATAGACGAAGAAAAAATAAATAGAGATGATGGTACCTTTGCTGCTATCGACGTACTTCATCACTGCTGTGTATGGTGCTACGCACACTTTCCACTGGACTACGGGTTGGGGCAACCGTAATGTTGACGGTATCAAAGAGAGACCTGTGATCACGTGTAATGGAGAGTACCCATGGCCTGATGTCCGTGTTGCCAAAGGTGACAGAATCGAGGTCTACTTGACCAACGGCTTCAACAACACCAACACATCCTTGCATTTCCACGGTATGTTCCAACGTGGTACCAACCAGATGGACGGTGTTCCTTACTTGACACAATGTCCAATTGGCCCAGGTGACACTATGCTTTACAACTTTACCGTCGATGAGAATGTCGGTACTTACTGGTACCACTCCCACACTGACGGTCAGTACGAAGATGGTATGCGTGGTCTGTTTGTTATCGAGGATGGTGAAAACAATAAGAACTTCCCTTACGAATATGATGAGGATGTAATGTTGTCCATCGGTGAATGGTATGATACCACTGTGGACGTCCTAACCAGGAAATTCTTGAACTTAAATAACCCAACTGGTGCTGAACCAATCCCACAGAATTTGATCTTGAACAACACCATGAATTTGACTTGGGAAGTCCAACCTGACACCACCTACTTGCTAAGAATCGTCAATGTCGGTGGGTTTGTGTCCCAATACTTCTGGATCGAAGATCATGAAATGGAAGTCGTTGAAGTCGACGGTGTCTACGTTGAGAAGAACACTACCAACATGCTGTACATTACCGTGGCTCAACGTTATGCCGTGTTGGTCCACACCAAGAATGATACTTCCAAGAACTTTGCCATCATGCAAAAATTCGATGACACCATGTTAGATGTTATACCAAAGGACCTGCAGCTGAACGCTACTTCCTACTTAGTCTATGACAAATCCAAGCCAATGCCTGAACAAAATTATGTGGACAGTATCGATGACTATCTCGACGATTTCTACTTGGTACCAATGGACAAAGAAGAACTATACCCCGAAGCTGATCATGTCATCACCATCGATGTCATCATGGACAACTTAATCAATGGTGTCAACTACGCATTCTTCAACAACATTACTTACACTACTCCAAAAGTGCCAACTTTGCTTACTGTATTGTCTGCCGGTCAGGACGCCCTAAATCCATTTATCTACGGTACGAATACCAACACATTCGTCTTGAAGAAAGGTGAGGTCGTTGATTTGATTGTTAACAACCAAGATACAGGTAAGCATCCTTTCCACTTGCACGGCCACGTTTTCCAGACCATCTTGAGAGACAGGGAGTTTGATGATGCTAAGGGTGAGAAACCCCACAGTTTCAACGACTCGGACCACGCTGCTTACCCAAGTATCCCAATGAAGAGAGATACTGTCTACTTGAACCCACAATCTAATATGGTTTTGAGATTCAAAGCGGACAACCCTGGTGTTTGGTTCTTCCACTGTCACATCGAATGGCACTTGTTACAAGGTTTAGCTGTTGTTATGGTTGAAGACCCAATCTCGATCCAAAATACCGCTTCTCAACACCTAACGGCAAATGGTTTGCAGGTGTGTGGTAATGTAAAGGTCCCAACTCAAGGTAACGCTGCTGCTAACGATAGTGATTTCTTCAACTTAGAAGGCCAAAATGTCCAACACAAATCTATCCCAACAGGTTTCACAAAGAAGGGTATCATTGCTATGACATTCTCATGTTTGGCTGGTGTGTTGGGTATCACTATGATCGCAATTTATGGTTTCTCTGAAATCCCAGAACCAGAGATCAAGGTCATGAGAAATCTACATCTAAACCCAGAAGATGTTTTAGAGAAGACCAGCTCTTCGTCAGTCATATCTGCCTCCAACAGCAGTTCACTCGAGGACTCAAGAAATCAGAAAAAGAAATTCATCTTTTTCTGAGATTCTTTTCATTTATTATCTCCCATTAACAACTCAACTCAAACCCCAAAAAGACCTCTGATCCTGTATAAAGAATTTATTGTGCTTTTTTTATTTTATATTTGCGACTGTTACGCTTGTTAGAGGATAGCCTCTTTTTATTTTTTTAACCACAATTTGGCTAATTTATTTTGATAAACTGGAGGTTTAATGGTTCTAGAGTATTTTTTTCCCTCTTACTACCTGGTGAGATATGCAGTTGTCACATGAACTCTTATTTCTACCATTTTGTGTTTTTCCCCCTATCAGTCAACTATTTGTATTTTTGTTTTATTAATTGTTCTTTTGCGAAGCTCTTATTACCGGAAGCAAAAGCTCTTTCATTAATTCTCTGTGAAGTCGTGCCGCTTTCAGGTTTAATTGTTTTCAACCTAACCTAATTTTATATCCACAGAATTGACACAATTCAAATAATAAACCTTTTATTTTAATATTAATTTTACTTTCTATTCTGTTTATTTTATTTTACCATGTTATCGTGTGTATCCGTGCAAGTGCTCTCACTTAGGATAATTATTTATATACTTATACATATATAAGACTCAAATTCATATGGACTGCGAAAAGTTATTTTCCAATAATTTGGCTGATCAGTCTTGAAAACGGATTCTCTGACCAGCGAAAATTGAAATTTTTGTACAATATAAGCGATGAGATGACGTAATAAGTTCAACCAAAACTGCACATTGATATTAGCCAACTCTTGGAATAATACAATACCAGGTTGATAAAACTCATCTAGAAGTGAAGAATTTACAACAATATCAATAATGAGCAATTTGACAGAACGAGTTAGGGATAATCTATTGCATTTCCATTTGTGGACAGAAGTAGAAGAAGTACCGAAACAGTTGAACTGGAAGGATGATAGAATAATAAATATTTTAGTCGGGAGACCTCCTCATAAGCTCAGTAACGATGATGATGAAGAACAAGAAGGTGATTGTAAACGTGCCAAGAAAGAGTATATACTGCCTGTTGAGATGTCGATGTACAAAGAGGGCTACCTAACTTTAGAATTGCTCGATAAGATATTCGATGATCTGTGTGCTGCATCCACACAGAGACTTTTGCTTGGGATAGTTAATGATGATGGTACTGTGTTGTATTATTTTGCCCACAAGGGTATATACAAGCCAAAGAAAAACTGACGAAACCGAAATATAGCTACAGGACCTACACAACAAATCCGTTATCATAACACTTCTTTACGATTATGTTCCAATTGCACGAACTAATATTGTAAATATATACTACTGTTCCATTCATACAGAAATTTTATTTAGTAATGTACTTATCAAGTCACCACGTTCCCTGAATACTGGCTCTCTAACATTCAAATTAAAATCAAGTGCATTATACTTGGTGAATGTTTCCTTGAGTGTATCAACATAACCATTGCTTTTCATTTCCTTCAGATACTTACAGATTTCATTATTGTTCGGAAGAATAACCAATTGGATATACATGTAGGAATAAAATAGTATTGGTACTGGCGAAGTCTTCGGAAGATCATCAGTAATAGAATCCCATTGATCGAGAAACTCAAGAAGCTTATGCATATAATTTCTGTTCAACCGTACACTTTTCAATTCCTCTGCTCTCTGCCTCTTTCGTAGACCTCTTAATGCAAAAGTCTTTGATTGTGCAAGCTCATAATCTGCTGGACCATCATCTTCATCTTCATCTTCCTTTTCCTCGACTGGTAAGTACTCTAAATCAACACATTGTTCTTTAGCCCTGTTGCGGTACTCGTACGCTGCATTGAAATTAAATGGGAAGTACAGTAATTGTGACAACTCCTTTCTAGTAAACGTAATGTAATTATTCTTATCTAAGTAAAGCTGATATTCATTCAAAGTCTTTAAATTACTGTCTAACATACTCATAGCTGATAATTCCATCAATTTTTCCATATCGGTGAATTCGTCTTTTCTCTTTGGCTCAAGGTAATCCACTATATTTAAAAACCCATGAATGTAATCCCCATTGCTACACACTTTCAAAACAGGTAGCCGACCCAATGGCGATATATCGGTATTGTTTGCAAACACAATTTCTACCTCCCGTAACGCTTTACTCTTCAAATACCATTCAAGTGCAATACTCTCACCAGATATCCCACTAGCTCTATCTTTTCCCCATAAATATAGTACTGAACCTGTCATTTTTGAATATTGAGCTCCTGATCGCAGTAAATTTTACCTATGAGTAGAAAAACCACAGATATAAGTCTGCTCTTGCCTCTCGAAATATCAGACACTATTATTATCTTTATTATCATGCACCTTTATTGTCATCACATTTCTGGAAATTCAAGAAATTTGAAAAATTTCATACAAATTCAAACTTCAAGATTGAAAAATCCTTTATTGTTGGAACGATAACCAGCGCTCAGAACCTTAAAGTAACTGTAAACTACTTTCTGATCTACTCAATTGCTTTTGGAGCTGTTCTGATTAGCAATTGTAAATATAGTTATAATCGTGCTAACTTGAACTTCTTTGTACGTAAACTAGAGGGTTTACCAAGTACTGCATAGTGTATCCGGTGCCAAACGATATGTCAACCACAAATGAGGAAACACAGGCGAATGCGTCTAAAGATTATTCAGAGGATGCCCTGAAAATGAGTTATGCTGCCCAACCCTTGGATATTATGAGAGCACTAAAATTGATAGAATATTATGAGTCTAAAGACGACTATGACAATTCAAGGAAATTATACGCGGAATTGCACGAACGATTCCCTCTCTATTCACCATTATGGACAATGCATTTGCAAAGTGAATTACAAAGAAATGAATTTGATACAGTCGAGAAGCTGCTTGCTCAATGCTTAGCGGGAGATTTAGAAAATAACGATTTATCTCTTTGGAGTACTTATTTGGACTATGTGCGCAGGAAAAATAACCTAATCACTGGTGGCCAAGAGGCGCGTGCGGTAGTCATCAAAGCTTTTAAACTTGTGATGGATAAATGCGCTACTTTTGAACCCAAGGCATCAAGCTTTTGGAATGACTATTTGGGATTTTTACACCAATGGAAACCAATGAATAAGTGGGAAGAGCAGCAAAGATTAGATATGATCAGAGAGGTGTATAAGAAGATGTTATGCGTACCGTTCGATAAGTTGGAAAAAATGTGGAACCAATACACTCTTTGGGAACAAGAAACCAACACTTTAACAGCAAGGAAATTTATTGGTGAATTGTCTGCCGATTATATGAAAGCTCGTTCTATATATCAAGAACTTCTAAACGTCACTGCGAATATAAGAAGAACGAGTCCGCTAAACTTAAGAACAGCCAACAAAAATAACATCCCCCAGTATGTACTACCTTGTAAGAAAAACGACCACACTCAACTGGAGGCATGGCTCAAATGGATTGCTTGGGAGAAAGAAAACAAGTTAGAATTAACTGAAGATGCCCTAAAGGACAGGGTTACATATGTATACAAACAGGCCATTCAACAACTATTATTTGAACCCGAAATATGGTATGATTATGTTATGTATGAGTTTGATAATGATGCTGCAAGAAAGAATATCTTGAAAGTTGCATTGCAAGCTAACCCTACTTCCCCAACTTTAACCTTCAAATTGGCCGAGTGCTATGAAGTTGAAAATAAATCAGAAGAGGTCCAAAATTGTTTCGAAAAAACGATCGATGAATTGTTGAGGCAATACAAAAATGACAATGGCAATGATGAATTAAGCAGCGATATAATATGGGAAAGAAAAACATTAACTTATATTTATTGTATCTATATGAATACTATGAAAAGATTATCTGGTTTATCAGCCGCTAGAGCTGTTTTTGGAAAATGCAGAAAGTTGAAAAAGGCTATGACACATGATATATATGTTGAAAATGCTTACTTGGAGTTTCAAAATCAAAATGACCACAAAACAGCTTCCAAAGTCTTAGAATTAGGTTTGAAGTACTTTGGCGATGATGGTGAGTACATTAATAAATACATGGACTTTTTGTCTCTTTTAAACAGAGGATCCCAAATGAAAACCCTGTTCGAAACATCAATTGAAAAAGTAGAGGACTTGAGACAGTTAAAGAAAATATACGTAAAAATGATTGGCTATGAATCCAAATATGGGAATCTAAATAATGTTTATCAACTGGAAAAAAGATTTTTTGAGAAGTTTCCTGATACCGACTTAATCCAATTATTTTCAACCCGGTATAAGATCCAAGATGACAACAAAATCAAAAATCTAGAATTAACATACAAATTACCAGACATAATTTCATCTGATGGTGACCCTTCCGGAGTAGACAAATCATTCAAGAAGAGACAAATTGAGAATGATGAAAATTTACCTGACTCTAAAAGGCAAAAATCTCAACCCCTCCTACCTAAGGAAATCCTCGACATATTGGCGGTACTTCCGAAAAAGCAATATTTCAAAAATGCTTTTCTCGACCCAAGCAATCTTGTTAATTACTTGAATGAACAGGTAAAGCTAGCCGATGAGGAAAATTGAAAGCGAACGGTTGGTAAATAATTTATAATTAATGATCTTTTAAATAAAATTAATGCATGAACATCTATATCTAACAAAATTAGTACAAGTAAATATAAAACTATGATCTATAGTCACCATTTATAGTAACATATTCATGAGATAGATCACAAGTCCAAAATTGAGCTGATTCGTTACCGGTCTTTAAATCAACCAGGACTTCTAGGTCATCAAGAGCTAGGATTTGTGCAGCTCTTTCTTCATCAACATCCAATTGAGGAACACCATTTTCCACCAACTTCAACTCTCTTGGTTCAGAATTGTCGGTAGCAATGAAAGACACTGAAATTGAGTCTGTATTCAATGATTTCAAGTTGTCTAGCTTAGCATAACCAATGGCACACAAAATTCTGCCCCAGTTGGCGTCCTGTCCATACAATGCCGTCTTAACTAGCATGGAGTTAGATATAGATTCGGCAATAATCTTGGCATCTTCAAAAGTTAATGAGTTTTGAACATTCACAGTAACAAATTTAGTAGATCCCTCACCATCTCTTACTACCAATTGAGCTAATGTCTTTGCGAATTCAGTAACTTGAGATTTCACTTGTTCGTATTCTTCAGAACTTTCAGTAATTTCGTCAGTTTCCACAGCACCATTAGCAATCATGCAAATGGTATCATTAGTACTCATATCTCCATCAACAGAAATACAATTGAAAGAACGGTCGGTAGCAAAACGCAAGATTTTCTGTAATGCCGAAGATGCAATAGGCAAATCTGTTACAAAGTAACCAAGCAAAGTGGCCATGTTGGGACAAATCATACCTGCACCTTTAGCCATACCTACTAAAGTGTACTTTTGCCCATTTAAAAGCTCAAATTGTCTTGACACTAGTTTTGGAAAAGTATCTGTAGTATTAATGGACTTAGCAATGTTTAGCCACGACTTGAAGTCATTTCCCAGAGCATTATTATCAAATATGTTTTTTATCCCAGCAGAAATTTTATCCATTTGCAGTCTCTGTCCAATAACACCAGTAGACATAACCAGTGTACTGTTCGGTTTTCCAATCTTTCTGTTAACCAAATCGATCATTTCTTGGGCGTCTTGCATACCCAATTCTCCAGTGACAGCATTAGCACATCCCGAATTGACAACAATCGCATTGATACCATTGCCTTGAGTACTTTCCAATACCTTTTTAGAAGTCAACACTGGAGCAGCTTTAAATTTATTAGTTGTAAAAACAGCAGCTGCGGAAGATGGTCTCGAAGTATTAGTATTAACTAACACACCCAGATCAAGGTTACCATTCTTCTTAACACCGGACGCAATTGAGCCAACTTTGTAGCCCTTAGGGAAGACACCTTCCGTGGGAACATATAGGTTGTACTTATCAATTACTTTTCTACCATGCTGTAGCAGCGTTTTAGAGATCTTCATCTTGTCGGTTTGATGACTTTCAATGGCGCTTGATGATTCCAATTCAGAAGAGTTAACTTCCATTTATACATTTTTAAATGTTGCTCTTATCTATAACCCATAATCAAGGAAATACTTAACTTTTAATGGATAGAACTAGCGAATTACTTTTGTTTGCGATGAGCCATCGAATTGCAATTTTCAGTTTTTCGCAAAAATTTTTGCAGAAATGGCTCATCGCAGAGAGACCCGTTCCCAAGTACAACCTTACAATAGTGTTTAATGCAAGTTATAATTACAAAATGTCTATTTAACATATGTATTGTAGATATATGAGATGACATTTTTGTGTTCGCTATTCAAATGTCAACAGGGTAGTTAATATTGTTAACATACTCTCACTCTTCTCTGTTTTCTAACCTTTCAAGGATCTTCTCCCCATGGCGGTGGCATTCGATGAAACTATATCTTGTAGCCAGGATAATTCAATTCTACTGACATTTCTTGCGTAACCCTTCGTGGTGAACACATATTCTGTGTAAAAGATGGCTGGACATTGTTTGTTTCCGAATAACAAAGATGAAGGATGGATGCTGATTGTCTCACCCGAAGTAACAGTTCTATACGATCTATCTGGCATACCAATGGCCGTATTTTTGCTAAATCCAGACAGGAAACATTTTAAAATAGTTTTTATTTCATCTTCATTAGCATTCAATTTGAATTGTTCGCCAGAAATTTCATCATCATCATCTGGTTTCAGATGTGTGTTATCAAATATCTTTTTACAGTATGACTTTAATTGGCTTCTGATTTTTAAAACATTCTTGAATCCTCTGTAAGAGACACATAGATCCTTACACCACTCCTTACGCTCTTGTGTAGCATTAGACCCATTGCCTAAATCATAGAAATATATATCGAAAAGCTCTTTGGCCATAATCAAATCACCGTATTTCTTCCCAGCATTACAACTAGATAACCGTTTCTCATTGACTTCATCTCTTTGCTCTGGTTGTGGATTTAGAAGAAGATTTTCGACACTTAGACATGATATAATATCTATAACTTGGTTAATGCAATCTGTTTCAGAAGCTTTTATTAGCACACAACTCAAATGAGGAAGTAATGGTAACAGGGCCATTTTCCGACCAATGTTGGTTATTTTTCCGCTATCATCTAATGCTTTCAAGTGATATAGCTCTTGTAAACCTTGGATGATGGCTTCCTTACCAGGGTTTTCAAACCATGTCCAATTCACCAAGTCATTAACACCATATCTTTTCAACATTAACACTGGAGAAGTAATGTCACTCCTAACAATTTCAGGCTCTGTCTGCTTCGGTAGTTTACTGAAGTCATCTTCACAAAATAGTCTGTATGACTTACCTTCAGATTCTCTACCAGCACGACCAGTTCTTTGCATGGCACTCGCTTGTGAGATTGGAACTGTTAGCAAGGAAGCTAATCCTAACTGATGACGCCAAACTTTAACTTTTCGTAACCCTGAATCAACTACAAATTTCACACCTGAAATGGTAACAGATGTTTCAGCTATGTTAGTACTGAATACAACCTTTCTCTTAAAACCTTTCACTGGATTGAAAACAGATGCTTGTTGTGCAGGAGAAAGAGCTGCATATAGAGGATATGCCAACATCAACGGAACGGATGTCTCTTTTGCTATTACAGGAGCTATTTTATTCATGATCGTAACTGCCTTGTCAATCTCTTCTTGACCAGGAAGGAAACACAATATATCTCCTAATTGCTCACCTTGATTTATCTGAACACAGCAATTTATGGCACAATCTATTATATCATCAGATGGTGCTTTTAGATAATATTGCGTGACATTAAACTTTCTTCCCTCTACAAAGAGGATTGGAGCCTTATCAAAAAAGTTACTAAAGGCCTCAGCTTGAAGTGTAGCTGACATAACTATGACTTTCAAATCTTTTCTGGTAGTTGTAATTAGGGTCTTCAGTAAACCCAGTATCAAATCAGTAAGCACAGTTCTCTCATGTGCTTCATCAATTATTATAACACTGTACTCTTTTAAATCCTTATTCATCATTAATTCTCTTAGTAACATACCATCTGTCAAATACTTAAGCCTAGTTCTTTCGCTTGTAGCATTATCAAAACGCACAGAATAACCTACTTTATCAGAAACCCTCGAACCGAATTCCTGAGCCACACGTGTAGCCAAGCTAATAGCCGCTACTCTACGAGGTTGTGTTACTGCTATGGATCCTCTTTTATTTTGTTTATACAAATCTTCCAGCAAAAACTGCGGTATTTGGGTAGATTTACCAGAACCAGTCTCACCAATAAGGATCGTTACCTGATTTTCTAGCAAGTATGGCATGATCTCATCTCGATTGCTATACACAGGTAATGTACTCCTAATTCTTAACAATTCCTGTGCTTTCTTCTTTAAGTCAGCCTTATTCATCATTCTGTTGTCATCATAGGAATCCTCATCATCCTCATCCTCCTCATCACCAAATTTAACTTCACGGCCAATTTTACCATTATGTTTAATTGGACCACCGTTTACTTTACCGTTTTTCTTATGCATACCAGCATCCTTATAGTGTGACTTGGTACTCACATTGTTTATCTTGAAAGGCGATACCCGCTCTCTTTGACTCTTCTTGTTGTGGCCATCTCTGGCACCACTAAATGTTCTCATTCTATTGTGAATGCTATCCAAAATTGACCTAGGAATATGACCTCTCTACGTGGATACTTCTTGGATTAAACAGCTGTTGACTACTTTGAATAGACAACACAGTCAATATACTCAAATATCCATTTATGTTTGCGATGAGCTCTTTATTAAGCTCATCGCATCAATTTTTGACAAAGATTGTGTACTTTTCCAAAATTTTTCAATATTTTCAGGTTGTACGTTACTTTCTCCGGATACTTCTATTTTCATTAAGCCGGTAAAAAATGCTAAACATAATAATAAAATAAGACTAACAGTCAATCACGGATTCGGATAATTCATTAACTGTTGGTCGAGATTACTCACGCTCAATACAAAAGATATCCTCATTCTTTTGCGTTACCATCTGAGGTGTTTAGCTACGTTGGGTTCATTTCTGGGCTTCGATAGAGCACAGGTACCTAAGGGTAATGGGAGATTTACATAACCCATCTGAGATACCATATGCACAACCAAGGTGATCAAACACAGAAATATACAAATTATGCATCTGTTTGATCTGCGGACTTTGCTGGCTATACTAGTAAGTATTTGTGTCGTCTTTCAAGCATTCCCACTTGCTACTGTCCCCTTGAACAAGAACTTGATATTAGGACAATATATGGGCTACCATTTTGGTGTATTTGGATGGTGTTTTGTTGACAAGGGAGTCACCATAGCCTGCCATTGTAAGTTCAGACCAGACTCGATAGAGACCTATAAGTATACCGATCAACTACTGTTCCCATCATTGTACAAAGTAACTATATCAACGTTGCTCGTTGTACACCCTGTGTCATTCGCATTCACTTGCATATTGTGGATCATGGCTTTAATAATAAGACTTTCAAGATTTGGGAGGTGTCCTATATTCATACTGAGCGCAGCGACTTGGTCGTTAGCGGCATTTCTATTGGCATTGCTTTCAGCTTTAGTCGATCTACTTTTATTTGTCAATAAACTTAAATGGCCAGGTTGGCTGGTGCTTGCCTCAGTACCTCTCATGGCTATCTGTTGTTCATGGTTGTGGTCACTAAGAAGGCAAGTCTCAGCCATATTTTATGAACGTAAAGCATACGCAACTCAGACATACTCAAGATTTGACAGTATGGAACTTTCACACATTGATACAAAATTCTCAGATGATCAATCTATTTATGAGACTTATACCTTGGAAAGAGTTCCCTACTCTAAAAATGAGGCGATTGAAGAACCAGCATTAACGTATTATACCTCTTCTTCATAAAGTCTCAATGTACGGAAATAATGTGTTCTCGCTTTGTGGGGTCTTGGCTTTCGAACATGGAAGCTCAAGAAATCGAGACTAGAAGTTAATAATGGTAGTAGTAGGAACTTCCATCCACAGGAACTTTGGCATGCATTCACATTGTCAACAATCAGTTCTCAACCATTAAAAGGGCTCGATTATATTTTATTAGTAACAAAATAGTCCACTTGACAATTTAACGGACATCAAGGATTGTGACAGGTTAACTGATTTACGTCTTCTACTCCCTTTGACCTAAATTATCCACACAGCATACATGATTGGTTTATCTAAATATTAGTTGCCTTTATACTTTAACTCAAACATACCATTGCGATTAAATCAGAGAGAGAGCCAATACCTCGTTATAGAAAATGAGTACTAGTGGAACTACAAAAGGCATACCAATCCCTCTGAATATTTTCAAAAGAAAGTCTATACCTTTTGGAAGAATATCTCGCGTTACACCGAAGCCTGAACAATTATTACATCCATTTTATAGACCGGGAAATGTGTCATCATTGGGGCTATGCATGAAGGAAGGGAAACCAGCATTACTAGACTCCAAATCCATTATACCCAGTATTGTGCAAAACTCAAAAACTGGGAATCCTGTTCTGGCTAATTGTTCTCTAGCTTTTTCTTCGGTGCAAGGAGTCTCGACATGGTTAAAACAATATGAAAACTTAAGAGAAACCAGAACAACACCATTTTCAACAATACCGTTTCCAGATTTGAACAGATATTTAACCTCGTTACCTAAATCAAAGGTTGAAATCATAGAAAAGGCATACACAAACCTAATCAATAATGATGGCAGCCATATCAGCAAAGGTATTATTTTAGAACTAGTTCATGAACTCAGTTCTGACTTCGAGTTGGCAGTTTTTTCTGAGAATATATTAATATTTTTTTTGAATGATAAAGTCTCAAAACGAAGTGAATTGGCTTGTGTACTTGAAGCAGCATTTGACCTCCTTGATACGCACATCGATCAACCCAAAACGATCTATAAATTTTTGATGGCCTTCTTTGCCAAGTATTTTGAAGTACCAGTTCAGACAGACACAGACTTAAATACATTGATGGTGAAGCTACTGATGAAACTGGAAAATAAATTTCACTTGGAATCTATGTATTCAAAAATGGTCCCTGAACTGACAGAAGCCCTATTTTCATTCTATACAAGAGAAGGTAACCTTCATGAAGCGAACATTGCCATTAATGATCTCATAAAAAAAGGATTTATACCTAAATCTGAAGATATTGAGAACTATCTTACATTAATAAATACCAAATATCCTGGGCACAACTCTCAAGATTACATGTGGCGGTTATTCCATATTGCACACTTCGAAGGTCTAATACAGTCTTCTGACCACCCTAATTTGTTAAAGTTTTTGGTTCAAAACTGCCGTCACCGCGAGGAAATTGAAACAGTTTTTACCATTGTTGCCAAAAATAAAAATTCAAAGATATTGCTAGAACATTTAACAGCACCTGTAATTGACAGTATAAGTAATATGAAAATGCACCGGGTACCGAAGAGTAGTTTATTATCTGATTACTATAAGATGATGAAGTTTGCATTTAATAATGAGTTATCCCATCAACTCAAACTACTACTTCTACAAGGCTATATTACGTTTGGGAATTTTTCCATGTCTGCAAAAATAATTGAGGATAACCATTTAAATCTAACAGTTGATATAGCAAACAAATTAATCAAAATTATCAAACATAACAACAAATTATTTAAAGGAATAGATTGCCCTGGGTTTAGTGAGGAGGCCTTAGCACTATTTTTAGAATGTTACATTAAACCATTTGAAGACGAATTAAATCAACATTCTAAAAAATGGCTAATAAGGCAGCAACACTACTGTAAATAATATATCATGGAATCTGATTGATATTTCACGTACTCTTTATAAGTATATATTCTTGAATAGTTAATTCCAAAATGAGAAAATGGCATTTTTTGTTTCATATATGAAACTGTTATTATTGCAATATTTACAGACGCCCTTGTTGGTGTAGCAATGGAATATATTGCAATGACGCATCACAGTAATGTGTAATATAATTTAATCCTTTATCTAGAGTGGCTAAGACAGATTCTTATCAAATATATAATATCATTTCTATATCGGACCTAATTTTGTATACTATATATAGGCGATGAGCATGTCTATAACGCAACCTATAAAAGACTTACTTTCAAGCCAATTCCAATCATATAACATCAGTGAGCAAGTTAAGTTGTATGATATATTTCCATTGTTAAAACCATCATGTATTAAAGAAGCTATCACAGACGTAGTTGAAGTTTGCACTGGTTATGGTCCCGAATCCCTCGATCCCTCCATAAGAGCAAAAGCTGCTGTAAAACTGTCCTTATGTGAATTTGAAGCTGTTGGACTTTCAATAATACCCCAGGGATGCTATTCCAACTCTATTGAAGAAATGATGGACTGTATGCTAGAAATCGAACATTCTAGTCATTGGTGGACAACCTACAGCGGCAATTATCAACGACTATCTGATGTATGCAGCACATATCGAGAATACTATCAAGAAAAAGCCATCATTGAAACCTTTTTGAACATAACTGACTTTATGGCTGATTTCCATAATCAGTTCAAGAGTAGTGTTGTTTCAGAGACACAAGAATTTCAGTCCAATATGAAAGACAAATTTGCTGGTGTGTACAACCAATTCACTCACTTCGAGTCCTTGCTATCACAAATGATTCAGAAACATTCTGGAATAATCAATGACTCAATTGTGGCCATTAAAAACAAACTTTCCACCGAGTTTGTAGATGAATTGCAGATGCTAAAAAATGATAGGTATATATTGATCAACCAGATTCTTGAATCAGACACGGAAATTAAAAAAACCATAGACAGTATGCTTGTAGAACTTACAGAAGATATGAAGAATCAAATCTCTGCGAAGTCTGAATTTCTAATAAATCACATGAACATAACTCGATTAAATGAGTCTACAGCACTTCATGATATCATAGAAGAAAACTTACAAGAGAGATTCAAAGATATTGCCATATTTTTGGACAAATTTATGGTTGAAATTCAAACAGAAACAAATAAGGTGCTTTTAGAGGTAAATGAAAAACTACCTACACTAGAGCAGCAGTACCTTGGAAATTTCGCTCAAGCTCTTTCGAATATTGATAAACAAGTACTGTCTGCCAGTTTGCAATGGCAGTATGATTATGATGTCGTATTTGCCAATTTATATGCAGCTCTTGATTTACTAAACAGTAACTTAAATTCATCAGTGAAAAAGATAGAGCAAATAGAACATGTAATTGATACAATTATAGTGGATACATCTTTTCTTAATGACCAACTAGCAAACTTAATATTAATACCCTCAACAATACTCCGAGCTTTTTCCTTTATAGGTGTTAAAAGAGTTATAATCGCAATTATTGTGCTATACTTTAAATCAACACTATTGTGTTTGGTTCACTATGGTCAATCATTTCGTATTGCAGCCTTGCTAATGTCGGCAACAGCGGGCATTTTCTGTAGTAAGTTATTAATGAGTTATATTTACAACTAATATCACAAGAAATTGATAATCGCATTCATCATTCATAGTTATATTTTCTAAATTCAGAGTATAATTCATCGACATATGAGTTTATTACCATTTTGTTAACCCATTCAGACAGGGATAACTGTAAAATACTGTAAAAAGGTTCTCATCATATTAGAAGATTTTTACCATGAAAATGAAAGCTGCTCAAGGTATGCTAATGCATCATAAATTAGCTAAATACAAGCCTGTTGCCCAAATAGTTCTATTAGGTAACCTTACCTGGCTTGAAATATCTGCACAACAATTGCTTGTATATCTTTGGAAGTCCAGGCTATCCAGATCGCTGGTGTTTACTGTAGGTTCACAAAGTCCATCAATGTCTAAAGTTCAAATACGAAAGTGCTACACATGGAAACATTTTGATCATTGCATTTGTGCCATTTATATACGTTTGAAATTCTAGTATTCGATGCGATGCCCAAAAATTTTTTTTCATTAAGTGGATACACTGCAAAATTTCCAAAAGAGGTAGAAAAATACTTAATGAGGAAGTTCAGGTCCTTACTTAACTCGTTAAGGAAAGTGCCTGTCTTTAGTTAGGTTTAGGTAATGAGCTCAATTTTGACTAGAAGAAAGTATAGATTGTTTTGATCTATTAACACTTTATTATCTCATGAAGTAGATTAAACAGCACTGATAACACTAGACCAATGAAGCTGGATTGATAGGAGTTTTGTCAAAGTATTCGGAGAATTGTAATGATCAGACATACGCTAAGGCTAATTCGTTACCCTTCTTTTTCAATATGTTTTAGGGTAGCCAGGGCTTACCGATCGTATGCCAGCTCTCATATACCACAACTGAAGTCAGATCAATTAAAATCGTCAGCTCGTGAACACCATAGACAAGATCTGGGTTTGAAGTTCAACGATCCCTTGAAGAAAAGCGGCTTTCAAGAGGTAAATACCATTAAACACCTTGAAGAAACGCTGATACAGTACTTTGATTTTATTAGTAATGGCTTTAAAAAGTCAAAGAAAAATTTAGTGAAGTTGAAGAAAGACTTACATCTACTACATACCGATGTTAGCGCGAAAGAGAGGTTCTCATACGTCTTCCAGTTTCTATTAGCTGAGACACAGATGGAAATAGCAAGATACAATTCATTAGGCCCACAAGCTATAAAAAACCTCGCTGATACAGCTAGCAGTTACAAAAATTTGAAAGAAGAGGCTATAGAAAATGATGATCAATTGGAGTCCGCAATTATGAACGTTATATTTGATGATAATTTAAAGGATACTACAAAAACTGTTTTGCCTTATACAGAGTTGCTATTGAATCTGTTGGGTAATATGTCTAAGAGCTCCTGGGAGAAAAACTCAGAACTTCTTGAACTTGATAATGTAGCAGAGGCGTATGAAATAGCTAAATTGATACCATTGGAAGACATGAAAAAGAGAGGTATATTTTGGGGAGGAAAGATACTTTACGATAGTAGAAAAGTGCGACTTGATCCTGTAAATGAATCATTTTATATCGATGCACTGGTGTATTTTGGAAAATATAAGGAGGCTTTCAAATTATTTAATACATACAGGGACAAAGTAAACCAGCGTTGGTGGCTGGAACTGGGAATGATGATCGCTCTTAGATCTAATCATATTAAAGCTTTTCAAACACTACTTATAGAGCATGATAGCAATTATGGGCTTAACGGATATATTAGCTCCAAGGTTGCTCGGTTAGCTGTCAAAAGATATCTAGCGATCCGTGATATAGCAAAAGCCAACACTATGACTGATCGGGTACTCAACTCTGCAAAACAGCTGGGAATAAAAACCGAAACAGCTAATAATGAATACAACAATTTCAATTCTGAAGCAGATGCTTATAAATACCTGAATACGGTCGAGCCACCTACAGTTCATGATTTGGTTTCAATAGCGAATTATCATATATTCGCTAGGAACACTGAAAAAGTTTACGATATCTTTGCTGTTTACTTCTCTTCTGTTGGAAATTCTGATCCTGGATTTGAATTTTGTATTACTAAGACAAGATTGACTATGCTCAAAAATCTAAATGAATTAGAAACAGCTTTAAAAGATCGGATAGAACAAAATGTAGTTCCTTCAATTTTGGAAGTTCTATATCAGTCTTACGAAGATTTACGTAAAGAGACCAACATGAGCGAAATTATTGCGAAGGAAATTTATTTTGACAGCTTACGAAAACTTGGAGACAAAAAAAGCTATACACTGGCTTTGGAAAAGCTTGTTGACGGTGCTGATAACTATCCAATAAAGTCGGAGGTTGGCGATTCAGATCATCTGAGAAATCAAAAAATTATTGCTGGTGTTATTAAATTAATGCTATGGAATGGACAGGAAGAAAAGGCTTCCCGATTTTTAACAGAATTAGAGAGTTCTTCACAAAATTCAAAATCAAATCATAAGGAGTCGCTTTTGAATTCTCATCATTATGCGTTATTTATTTCTCATTATTCGAATAAGTCAAAAAAGCATAGAAAATCATTGAGAACTAAAGTTAATGATATTATAGACACTATGCATGTTGAGAATATTCAACCAACTGCAACGTTCTGGTCGAGCTTAATAGCTTTCTATAGAAGAGATTTCGATCTCGATGCAGCTTTCAGTATCATCAATGGCATTCTTCAGGATAATCAAGTTTCAATTGATGATAAAGAAATACCAATCGAAAGAAATTTTTACGAAAGGAGAGTTATTAGTAAAAAATTGTACAATGAGATATGGATGACTTACGCCTTTTATTACAATTTGAGAAAAGTCTCTAGTGTACATGAAACGTTTGACAGGTGTCATAAAGCATTTTTTCATGCCTCGAAAGATATTTGTAGTAAAATGCAGCATTTTCCGGAAATATCATCTAGATGCTTGTTTAGAAGAATGATCACTCAAGATAATATTTTGCCTGAGCCTCATTTATATATCAGGGTGATAAAGACATTTTTGAAGCAAGGTGATCTCGAAGGATTATACGCTGTTCTATTAATGATGACAAAAGTACACGGACTATCTATCTCAGAAAGTGTTCAAAAGTATATTCTAAAGGGTCTACAGAATTTGAAAAAGGAATACATATCACAAGGAGAACAACAAACCTCAGACAAGTATTTTGATAACCGCTCACTGAAAAAGATAGGACTGAATGAAGAAGAACAATCAGATGCACTAAATGAAAACAATAATGTGAAGGAGCACAAAGTATTCAATGAGTTACTCGAACTCATGCAGTCTAGGAATATATCGTATAAAGAATCTTTGTCAGAGACTTGTCAGGAGATGGGAGTTCCTTATGAATAATCAGCACTGATTCATAACAAATTAATAGTTTCTCTACCTCCAGTATTAATAATATTCTTTGTATACGTACAATACAGGTTAAATCACTTACTGTAAATAATGAATTCGGAACTTTTGATTGTAGCCTGGAATTTTTAATATAATAATGAAATGCATATTAATACTATTGCTCATTAAGAATATATACCTGCACTGCAAGTAATTAAAAAAACCTCAAAGTAATAATGATCATTTACTTCTTGCTTAAACGCAACCATTTAGGAATCTTTTTGGGGCCTGTTGACGAACTGGAAAATGCTGCACTTACCTTTCTTGTAGGTGATGGCTCCTTTTCAGTCTCGGTGTCGGCTGTAGTATTGATTTTTGGATCTATAATATTTGAAATAGATTCGCCACTATCAATAACACTACCACGCAAATATGGACCCTTATTCGATTTGTTATTGGGTTCGAACAGCAGAGCTGTCTTGGCACCAAACTGTAGATCGGCTACTAAACGAAGTTCAGAATCATCTAGAAGCAGATGTGGATGGGTTCTGTATAATCCAAAGTTCAGGTCAGTGCTAATCAATAATTCTCTAACAATGTTATAAACAGTATGCATCGTGTCTTCAGGACTAAAAGATATTTCTATCTGTGTTAGATCCGGAAATTTAAACCTAATAAAACACTCATCTACGGAATGCTTATTGTTTTTCACATTATCTTGCATTTGTCTCATTCTCTGGGTCATCAGCGGACCACCCAGCGATCCCGTCTGTTTGGCTAACATACTTTGGTATAACTTAGCATGCTCTATTGTAAGCTCATAATCATCATCAGCAATATTATTATCGATCTCATTTCTGACACGCTCTGACACAGAAGTCTTTGGTGGGAGGTATACTTGTGGCTTATGCAATTCATGTGGTTTACTTACTTTGATTGGTTCGGTGATCTCTTTCTCGTTTACCAGCTGTATTTTTTCTGGCGATTCGACAGATTCTTCTGATTCCCTTTTGAGATGGGGTTGTGCAATTTGATCCCTATCTGTAATCAGTACTTTGATATTTGAAGCAGACTGTATTCCCAAAGAGTTCAAAGTAGTTGATGCAAGTAACTCGGCTGGAACTTGTCTGCCAAAACATTGCAAATGAGCATTATGGATGGCGAAGTCCAATTGATTTTCGTCTATTATTTCCTGCAAAGCCTTGTCTAAGGTAATATTGTTTGACAGCTCTTTGATAAAGCTACCTCTGTCCACAATCTGAAATCGTATCCGTATTGTTTTTGGTGGCTCTGCAATAGCATTGTCTTCTCTCACCTGCATTTCAACTAGCTCAAACTTCGAATTCTGCGCCATGTTCAAAAACCTCCACGGTACACTGAGATCAAGTGTTTCGTAGTCCTTCTGTAAAGTATATCTCTCGGGATCAAGGTTGTAATGCTTTGTGGCAACATTTAAAACATCTTTTAGTGTAGTAGAGCCATTAACGGGCACTTTCAAACTGCTGACATTGTGGTGAACATGAACACTGCTCATAGTCTTGAAATTTCAGTAATGTTGTGGTTTGTAATCTTACTATAAATGCAGATTATCATGAAAGAACTGCACTAACTGCAACTTTCAGTTACTTTTAGATTTCACTGATTTTTTTCAACTAAGAAAAAGGGCTTTTGGCTCATGAAAAGGTACTTCAACTATGATTCCACAATACATCTGCCAAAATACCTTTATAGGAAGGGATGCAAGAGTAGTTGAAGTACTATAAAATATTCAATTTGCGTCAATATATTAATATTGCAAAAACAGGAAAGATCCACTACTTGCATGGTGCTTAATGGTTAGGGGCTGATTTAGTTATACTGCGTTCTCAATACAAAAACGATGCTGGAAGATCCGTCACTTCGATTACGGAAGGCAATCAAAGAAGGTAATTTACTGATAGTGAAAAGATTGTTGAGGAGGTTTCCAGACTTGCTCACGAACATAGATCCTTGTAATGGGTGGAGCTCGTTGCATTATGCATCATATCATGGTAGGTATCTGATCTGTGTGCTATTAATCCAATTGGGGCACGATAAAACTGAAGTGCTAAAGACCTTTAAAGGCAATACGTGTGTGCATCTGGCTTTGATGAATGGTCATGAGCAGACTACGCATCTGTTACTGCAGCACTTCCCCAGATTCATTAACAAAGCCGGTGAGCTAGGTAGAACTCCGACACATATTGCATGTATTCATGATTATTATCAATGTTTAAGTTTACTTATAGGAGTTGGAGCAAACCTTATGATGAAAGATGATAAGGGCAATACACCACTGCATTTATGTCTAGAATTCGGGAGTACAAACTGTATGAAGATGCTGGTCAATGAAATACAGATCTCCGATGATTCAATAAGAAATAACGATAATTGGCGTCCTAGTGATGTAGCTAAGACAGTTGAATTGGCTAAGTTCTACAAAAAAATACGAAAGGAGAGTGCTGCAACTGATAATTTAAAGAAACCAAGCTTTCAATCTTTTAAAACCCCTGTTTTAACATCTAAGGCTGTTTTCGATGATGGTCCTTCACCGGTTTTAAGCATTAACTCTTCACAAATTGGCAATACAGGAACTAATAATATCAATAATAGTCCTTTACCAAGGTTACAGGGTATCTTTACAAGTAGAAGACCTTCCGTTCCCACATTGAATGAAATACATAATGGAAACGACAGGAGCCCACTTTCAGGAGCAAACGCCTTTGGTTTATCAAAAAGTTCTAGCACAAGGTCTGCCTCTTCACCATCCCATATAGTAAGAAATAAATCGCTTACATATCTAGGTGTTAAAGACAAGCCAAGAATGGGAAAATTCGAAGTTAATACAGAAAGTGACAGCTCCAGATCTAACATATTTGGAGGAAGTGATAACAGTGCCTTGATTAATCGGTATTTGATTCCTAGTAAAAGCATTAATGCTGATGATGCTGCGACATCAGAGGACTCTTCAAAAGATCTAAACTCTCCCACATCTATCAGCTTCAATCCCCACAGACGTGTATCATTATTGAATATTCCAATATCAAAGCTAAGAAACGATGGTTCTACGAATGATCAAAATAACTGAGAAGATGCATCTTTTGTTTATGTAGATAAGGATATTATAGATGGAAAATGTGAAGCTATAATGGTTATATGATACCACTTTTTTTTAGCTGCTGTTGTACCACCAAATCAGTAACGGCAGATAATACAAATTTCATTGTTTCAGTGTCGGTGGCACACGTTTGTTTTACGTATATTGGTTTATTGGATCTATTGAGACTCAAGAATAACTTTTCAAAATATTTGATGCCCGCTTTTTCATCGCCAACTTTCCCTGGATAATCTGGGAAGTATTTGCGAATGGGCTCTCTTTTGACTTTCTCCTCGAACAAATCTACTTTGTTGAGAAAGAGAATAAATGGTGTATCTTTAAACCACCTTGAATTGATGAGCTTCTCGAACAGCATAATTGATTCATGCATACGATTCACTGTACTGTCTTCAAAAAGCATTTGGTCGTACTCACTCAATGCTAGCACAAATAGGACAGCTGTGATTCCTTCAAAACAATGAATCCATTTCTTCCTTTCAGACCTTTGACCACCGGCATCATAAACTTTGAATTTTGTTGATTCGATGTTAAATTGCGTCTCAGTTATACCTGTTGTTTTGATTCTTCCTTTGAGTATATCTTCATCTGTGCATACATAATTGTTTTCCGAGAATCTTTCGACGTTGTCAAAATAGTAAGCCGCTGACGTTTCCAGCTGAAACTCATTAGCACAGGCGAAGCATTGCTTTATCCCTCTATCTTTTAGCCACAGGTTGCTAATTGCTGCAGCAATCGTTTTATTGTTGACAGTTGGCGATTTGATTTGTTTACTATTGATAAAGATGCTTCCGTCATCATTTTCATGTAGACCTTTAGATATCTCTTCTAAATTAAGTTTCTCATTATCATCATACGGGTATTGGAATGAATCCTCGAAGGCTTTTGCCTTACCAGTACTTTGACTTCTCCTTTTTAAGGCATATGTCTCCGAATATTTGATCACATAGTCATTTAAGAACCCTGAACCACCTGCAACGCTAGCATCAACATAATTGAGTGCCTTAGCAGAAAGTAGTACTCTTTTATGTTCAAATAAGTCAGGGTGATTTACTGGGTCATCGCAATCAAGGCTAATGCCAAGCTTACGTGCTTGCACTATTAAGATCTTCATCGATTGAATGACATCCGCCCATATAACCTGTGCATACTGTAGGCGTTCTTGATGACTAAAACCACCTTTGTGCAGCAACTTCAGCTGCTTTAATACAGTGGATTTACCAGATTCCCCAGCACCTAGCAACAAGAGTTTTATTTCATTCTTCTCTTTCTGTCTCTCCTTTAAGAGAGATTGTTCTATAATATCATTGGCTCTTTTGTTCTTTATAAATGGGTCATTCTCATCTTCATTACTGCTTGTGCTTATTATGCACCCCATAATTTGAATCTCAATTCAATACTGACGGATTCAATGGTTAGTATATAGAACTTGATTTCGTAAAATGCTGCTATAGAGAAAATTGTTAAGTATATAGTTCAATAAGTATAATAGTTGAATTTTAAAGGTGAAAATATCTGTTGGTTGTAAGATGCCGTTTTATATATAATGCATCTTATGACAATCGCCGAGAAAGGCTGACTCTGGTAAAATTATAGTTTTGAAACTTTTTACCCTTTAATTCATGTGGCTTGTTTGAGTCTTGATTTACAAACCTGACTTGCATTTCAGAATTGGACAATTTGAGGTGATTGCTAAATATTATTGGTATTTAGATATTAGCTTTGTCACTTTCCCTCAATAATCTTGAGGTGAGTTATGAAGAAGCCAAGGGACATTCTTGCAATTAGCCCTTGGGAGAGTATTGGAAAGGTACAAATCTTACAATATTGCAAGTGCTTTTAACTGATAAACCTAGAGTAATTTATTGATTACTTACGTTATGTTTTTAAACAATTTAATATTTTTCTTTATTGGATTTGAATGAATAAATATATACATGAGAGTGTGCTATATGAAACTAATACACATTTAGACGAAAGAGTAGAACCACATGTAGGTACTGTGAATATTAAAACCTTCTCCTTCGTTGTCTGTTGTTGTAAATGCTGTATGCAAATGCAGTCGTGACAAAATGAGTACTGATGAAAGAATGTCTGGATTATCTAATAGCTCTAATTAAAACCGATAAGTGTGCTGTAAAAATAATGGGAAACTAGTAAGAGAAATTCAGTCTAGACACATGATTAGAACTTACCAGCAGCGTTGAAGGTTTGACCCAGTTTTTGCATGTTTTCACCAACCTTGACGTTTGTCTCGAAGTACTTCGCCACACATCTGTCCAAACAGTTAGCTTCGTTCTTATTCAAGTCACCCTCGTTATAAGCATTGTTGATACACTTGGTGTAACAGTTGGAGACCAATCTGTTGAACATATCGGTAACCAAATCCAACTCGGCCTCAGCAGCCTGGATCTTTTGCTGAGAAGAAAGTTGAGGAGCTCCACCACCTAGACCTAGGAAAGACATTGTTTATATTATTTTAGTTATTATTATTATAGTCGGTTAATTGCCTAATATGTAAGATATAACTAGGTTCTATAATGGAATTTATGGGGTTTTGTAATTGAATTGTCCTTCAATTTCTAGTTCAAAAGAAAGAATTTTTCAGCTTTGAAGCTAGCGATGGTGTAGATTTACAGGTGATCAGTCACATGGAAGAGTGCATTGATGGGTAATATATAATGCAGTAGTGCAATAATACTTAAAATGCTTAGGATATATTGTCTCTGTCAGAGTCTCTTAATTGGGTGGAAATATGTAGACCATGTCTTGAAATTGCTTCTTTTTATTGCTATTTCATAGGAATTTTGTAGCTTTCCCATACGGCATTCTGGTGAACTTTGGTGGTTTTATGTCAAATGTAATAGGTCTAGCTCTTTCCGAGCAATATGGGTTCAACTGTATTGATTTGTCTCGTTTGCTGAGGGGACTATCCCATGGATGGTTGTATGGTCTGAGCTTCAATCGTGGCAGAGGGTCTGATCTGTAGGATTTTGTGAATTTCTTAGCTGTAAAACGACTTCTTTGCGTAGTGGATCGAACATATTGTACCTTGGGCTCTTGGTGTGCCCTGTAAGGTGTTTTGAATGGTTGTCTATGTTCCCTGCACTTTGTGGGGCAGCTCATACAATAACTTAGGGGGTTTGGTCCATTTCGAATAGGTGAAGACTTCGATATTGTTTTTAGAGTTAATGAGACGCTTGATAGCAACGAATTCTCTGATTCTCCAACGTCATTAATCTTTTTCTCAACTTTGTTCATCCTAGTTGTTATAGTCTTCTGGCTTTTTCTCACAAAGTCCTCAACTTTATCGTTCAGTTTGCGTTTGAACTCATGGCGCTTGCCATTTATCAGCGGTTTGTGGTTTATACGTCCCATGGAGATTTATTTACACTGTATGAATTTATTTACTAGTGATCTAGTCGTTTTACCACCAAATATATTACATGGCATTCAAATACTGGCGATTCCTATGCGAATAATATTTTCTGGACACAAAAGTGTGGGCTATAAACATACCATCATGTACTTGCTACTACTTTAAGGCTATATTAATTTGTACGCTATAATGCATATATGTTATTCTCATTGGGTCGGTACAGTCTTGTTAGTCTCTCAATTTCCCAATTCTATAACACATTCGCTGAGGTATTTCAAATTCACCGTAAGCCCTACAATACACATACAGATATCAAAATATTATAGATGGCCTCTATGCAACAAATACTTGAGCTTTGACTTGCAATTATATTAGATCAATGGTATGGTAATGGATATCCCCATATTATGAGTTGCGCTGCAAGCATAATGATGCAGGTCATGTGATACAAATTCGATTGTGCAGCTGTTTTCTCTTGGAACTTCACGATCACAGCGAAACATCAAACTGGGTTTTGGGAATAATATATTGATTGACTGGTCAATGGGAACAACCCCTGGTGAAGTTGTAGGTATACCGGGGAGCTCTTTCATTTTGGATAGTGTCGCCTGCACAGGTTTAAGGAAATTCAGAATTGCTCCGCTATACATCTGAAACACATACACACGCATAAAAGCATAAAAGCATAGAAACATAGAAAAAATAGCAATACGATGAATCTAAGGTTGGAACTGAAACGGTTTTTGGCTCTGTGCTTCATGTTCTCCTCTGCATATATGACATGGAAGGCAATGTCCCTGGTGGCTAATTCACACTCGCCAATTGTTGTCGTGCTTTCGGGGTCTATGGAGCCTGCATTCCAGAGAGGTGATGTGTTGTTCCTGTGGAACAGGAACCAAAGAAACAAAGTGGGTGATATTGTGGTCTATGAAGTAGAAGGTAAACAGATCCCAATTGTGCATCGTGTCCTAAGGGAGCACTCACATACCGCTAACCCAGGCAAGCAGTTCTTCTTGACCAAAGGTGACAACAATGCGGGTGACGACATCCCGCTGTACAGCGCAAGGAACATATATCTGAACAAGGAGAAGGACATTGTTGGCACAGTAGTTGCATACGTGCCATTGGTAGGCTACGCAACAATTTGGCTGAACGAGTCAGAGAAGGCAAAGTACGCCATCATGGGTCTGCTGGGTCTGTCCGCATTGCTGAGCGGCGAAGAGTAGGCGAGCAAAAAGAACAGCCCAGGAATTGAATCACAAACTGTATAATACTAAGCTATAGATATCTACATAAAGCTCCAATCTTCTAGGAATAATAGTAATTAGAAAAACCTTGTCACATGACTACTATGCTTATTCTTGCTGTTTTTCTTTTGTCAGTCTGCTGCCAAAAACTCACGTTAGTCCTAGCAGCAGCCCATCACAGTTTTGCAATTGAAGGCAGTCACCGTCGCCAGAAGGAAACTGTGATGAGCTCTCTGGCATAATGAGCGACATCTCTGTTGCTACAAAGCTCTGTGTCTTGTCAATAGCCATTACTTGTAAGTGTTAAACAGTACTTCTCAATTTGTCTGTTTGTTTCGGTGCCCAAGTCATTCAATTAGCGACTTGATTCAGGGTTTTAAGTGGTATTGGCAGGTATAGCAAGGTTTTCAGCAGTTTTGGGTACTAGGTTTAAATTACGTCTCTTGGGTCTAAACTAGGGAAGGATATAGTTAATTAAGGGAATTCTGAGGTAATCTCGAAAGATAAATATTTGTAACATTACAGTTTTCCTAGAATATGGACAGTGGCAGTGGAGGAAATGTTAACGGAAACAGTGGGAGTCCCAACGGAAGTGATAGAACAAGTGGTGATCTTGGCTCGAGGCAACATTTTATAGATGATGGGCAATCCAGGATAGAAGATTTATTACCAGAGGCCCATGATAATAAGGACGGTGGTACTGCTGAGGGTAATGACTTACTGGGCTTCAAAGAAAACTACGACAGCTTTCTGTCTGATCTATCTAATAACGGCGATAAAACCAAATTGCATATCGATGACCAGAATCCGAATTTTGCAGAGTTACTAAGTGAGTACGATTCATTGGTGAATGATGTCTTCAGTCCCGAAGCTGAAAACAAGTGCGATGGCTGTAAAAAGGAAAATGTTAAATGCACTACCAAGTCTGACATGACTGGTTGCTACAATTGCCAAGAAAAACATATACATTGTTCATTAGATCAGCGATCTCCTCAGGACTTGGGACCTGTGATCTCAAGGAAGCGAAGTAATCAGAGTGAACGCTCAAGTATTGATCTGAAGAGAGGTAAAAGTTCGAACTTTGATTCTCCTAGCTCATTCTTCAATGACATCAAATCTCATTCACCACAGAGTGTTGGGAAGCAAAATCTAAATCGATCAAGTAGCAATAAATCTCATCAAAGCTCTGTTCAATATAGCCCTGGTTCAACAAAATCACAATACAACATGATGACTCAGTCAAGACAGTCACCTCAACCACCTATACAATATCCTAGGTCTTCCTTTTATTTAGGGTCATCATCCATATACGATACGAAACTGATAAACTCCATCAAACTCGATAGTATTGACCAAGTACAGTTATCGCCTACTGTAGCATTAAGACGTGTAGCGCCAAATGTCCAGTTTATGCTGAAAGATGACTATAATCAAGAGGTGTATCTGAAACAGGAGCAAGAAGTTGATCTAGTAGAAAGTCTTATATACCCACATGGGAAAGCGCTGGTAGAGATGTTTTTTAAACTGGTACATCCTTATTATCCAATATTGCATGAACGAGTATTTCTAGAAAAGTATTCTAGATCATATAGGGAGCTTACTGCACCTTTGTTAGCATCGATATATTCTTTGGCGTTGCAATGGTGGGACTTTCATCCCGGTTTTATTGGCTTCCCAAAGCCAGATGTGATCGAAAAGCTAAACTCGATTGCTTTTGAGACATTTTTAAACAGAATAGAGCGTCCAAAACTGAGTATGGTTCAAACCGGCCTGTTACTACTTTTATGTAGAAGTGAATGTACAAATAACTGGGTGATATCGTCCTGTTTGGTAGCATTGGCCGAAGAACTAGGACTAGGTATAGAATGTCAAGAATGGCGTTTACCGAAGTGGGAGAAAGATTTAAGAAAGAGATTAGCATGGGCTGTGTGGGCTCAAGATAAATGGACTGCACTTTTAGAATCTAGGCATTCTCATTTGATTCTAGGAAGGAATTGGATGGTTCAAATGTTATCAGTTTCTGACTTGCCTATTAATTCACCAATGATAACTGAAAATGAAGCGGAATCTTCAATAGATATTGCAATTGGCGCACCAATGTTCCAAATAACTCCTACGATGGACGACTTTAAAAACGGTGCACTTATATTCCAGTATTACGTCTCCCTAAGCATTATCCTTGGTGAAATTATGGATACATTTTATACTTTGGGTTCAATTCACATTAATACCTCCATTGAACAGGTGTTGCGGTTAGCTAAACCTCTTCAACTGAAACTTAGAGAATGGTATCGCCAGCTACCACCTCAATTATCAATGTCTAAGTTTGAGTCGAAAAAGTTCAATTGCAACGCCACTTTGACATTGTGCTACTTTACTACAGAGATTACTCTTCATCGCAAAATTATTGCTAGTATCAAGCCCGACACTCCAGAAGAAATAAAAAAGGTTTGCAGAACGGCTGCAAGAACAAGATTGGTGGCTGCTGTCGAATTTATAAGGGATTTAAAAAGCGAACATACAAATGCATTCTGGTTTCCGTCAGCAACAGGATCAATTATGCTAATAGGATCATTTGCAGCATTACTATACACATCATCTGAATCAAAGGAAGAATCAAAGTACTTGAGCGACCTTGTTCGTCATTATATTTGGATTCTCAGAGTTGGATCCAAAACGTTTGATAAATTTGGGCATGCATTGACAAACATGCATGCATTATTTGTAGAAATACCCGGGCTTTTAAATAATGATGTCGGTGACAACGAGCCAGAATATAAGGGCAAAGCACCAAGTTATGGCTCCCCACCTACATCTAATAAAACGTTTGGAGGATCAAATGCTTCTTCTTGGCAAGGATCGCCTAGCTCATTTTCTAAATCCCATAGTAATGGTCCTGAAAAGAGTTTCAGTAGAAGTGATCAGGCATCACCATCAAACTAAGTAAACTTATCTGAATTGCAACTAAACGTTTCATCACAGGGCTTGTATTCTATCAAATAGATAGACCACTAGTTATTGGCACATTTTCTATCCTTTATTATCGTCCAATGATAAGAGTTTCATTTGATATTTCATTATATTTATATATTGTTGATGTTATGCACATGTTTAGATACTTATATAAGTGCTACTAGATGGCAATTAATTGAATTTGCTGTAATATTATCCAATATTAAAGTAGATTGTAAAGTCAAAGCAAAACGTTATTGTTTTTTGTAGCTTTCGTTAGCGGTTAATTTAGTAGGATAATGGTAAGGAAATTTTATTATTCACAAGGCAGGACAGAATGGCGGAAAGATATTACAAGGGTCTTTATACAAACCTTTTCAATGATGTGTCTTTGGCGGCTTCAGATACTTCACCTGGAGTGCTGACAATTGTGTGTGTTGCATGAGAAGGAACTAAGTTTTTTTCAAGCTCCTCTTTTTTCTTTTGCTCTTTCAGCAACTGCTTATCTGTGACCAGCTCATTGCTTAGCTTTGCTTTATTTAATTCTTGTTCTCTCTTCAGTTTTAACTCGTCTTCTTCCAAAGAAGATACTAACTCTTGCCAGATGTCTTCCAAGCTTTCTTCGTTGTCCTGTTTGCTCTTAAGCGGAGTGCTAGGACCATTGTGATGCTTGGTATTTCCAATTATACCTGTATATCTTTGATTCTGACTCACTTTGAATAGTGCATCAATTATTTTCAGCTCAGCAGCGATATCCAGATTCTTTTCGCCAACGTTTGCTCTTTCAATCAGCTCTTCAAGCTTATTAATCTTCAGTTGATACCTTCTCTCCATATCACTATATTTTCTCCTCTCTTCCATTACATTTGTTAGCACTGATCCAAATACTACTAATACTAGCAAAGGTTTGACAACGCTTTTATCAAATCGAGATTTCTTAGCAGCAGGTGCAGCGACACTAGATGCACACCTACTAGTTATGCCTCCATAAGAAGTGTTCCTAACGATGGTCCTTAAAGTAGTTCTGAGCATCCTGGTATCCTGAGATGATGGACTGTTTCAGCTTATAGTACTTGGTATACGCTAAATGTATCTTGGCTTTACTTCTAGTAACCAACCCAACTTTAGATAACTTGTAAGTCTCGATGATTCAAGTTTAAGTGCAATTTTGTATTTTGAAGGGAAAAGCGATGATTTTGAACCAAAAAAAAAGAGAAATAGTATGGAATCCATGGAACAGCTGACAAAGTCTATATTGGAAAGTATCAACTGCCCGAGTCAAAGGACACATTTGAAGAATGGATAGCATTGTCCCGGGTGTGGAATTGCTAGATGGCAGCGAATCACAATCGCTGCTAAATATTGCTCTGTTTGAGCAGATCAAAGAGAAATTGAACAGGCAGCAAGGGCTACGACATAAGAATAATGCGGCTCATTTGAGAGGCCAAATAGGTCTCCGAGAAGGTACAGTGAATAACGAGTCTGAGGATGAGAACCAGGGAGATGAAGCGCCTTATATACCACCTCTGTCAGCTTATAGTGCGACTAGTGACGAGCCGTATTTACCCTTGAGAAGCATTAAGAAGGGTTGTTTCAAAGTTTCTATAGCTGCCATGAAGTATGATGACTTTGAGAGAAGAATGTATCAAATACGGAAGACTGGTTGGCATACACTGAAACCTATTGGGGTGGCTAAAACTATGGCAGAGATTAGAAGAGAGCAAAGGCACAAGAAAGAGGGTAGTTCAAATCCTGAATCATCACAGCCTGAAACCGCAACAGAGCCTGACGTTGATATGTTACATCAGGAAAATATCAATGTTGCCTACACTGCTACAAACAATAGGGCATATAGTAATAATACAGACGTAGGGGCGGCTATTCAGAACCAAGAAAGAGTTTTAGAGACAAGTGTTGAACCACAGAACCGAGATAATTCATTCAGTGTTCAAGGTATCGGTCAAGATGTTAATGAAGGAGAGGAAGAGGAAGATGAGGAAGATGAGATTTCTTATGATTATGATGCAGAGTTTGCCCGCGTGGAAGTTGAGGATGAAGAGTCGGATTTTCAAAATCGTAGTAATTTCTTTGACTCTTCAAACATATCTGACCTAAATCATGGAGTAACTGCTGGGATTAACGATAATGAAGCAACAGGTGGGCTATCAATCCAACAGTTTGTGGAAACAACAGCACCTAATCAAAACCCGTATGATGATGTGTATGATGAGAGTGAGAGTAACACCCGCCGAGTTCATCTAGATCCTGACGAAAGCATTGACAGAATATCCTCTGATTTTGTATCGGACAACCAGGAGTTTACAGAGATGCCCACTGTTGATATCTCTGATACAATTAATGAGAGTGACATTATGAGAAGTAGTCGAGTAAGCTCTTTGCAAAACCAGCAACAGTAGCCTGAGCGCACTGTCTCTAGGGCAAGAAAACAAATATATTCTCAATGCAATGACTTTTATATTAATTAATGCAATTTTTCTATAGATTATATAAGAATGAGTATCATCAATTTTTGGGTAAAGGCACGTTCGATGGCTTGAAATTAACCATGTTTGGCAATGTTCTCTCTGCCAAAGGAAAGTGATCAACTTTACTACTTTGTAGATGGATGGCAGGAATGACCCATTTACCGCAACTACACCTGGAGCCCTTCCAGTTATAGCCTCCGACTTTATAGCTGCAACCGGGGCAAGAGAACTTCCCTTCCAGTTCTTGTTTACCTTGCAGTTCCTGTTTCATCCAGTTCAATGGCTCGACGAAGAAGTGAGAGCAAGTAGTGGATGATTCCTGGATATCGATGATTCTGCGAGACCCGGCTGCTCTTCTGATGAAGTGTCCCTCTGAGGATTGTTTACTTGGTGGGTCATGCTTTATGAAGGAAGTCGACAGGGCCAATCTTTTCCTGCAGTTCTTGCACCTGATCACTGTGGTTTGTGAAAGCTCTTCTTTTGTCAGCTTGTCCAGCTCTTGGTCCTCGTTTGAGCTGTCCTTATATGTGTCGTCCTTGGACAAGATGTCGCGCCCAGTGGGGTCGACCTTGATGGACTGTGCCAGCTTCCATGTCTTGTACAGCTGGTTGTCCGGGTCCACGCGGTTGGCGCCCATCTCTGCGTACACCTGCAGCTGTTCCATGAAGTTCGGGTTGGGCTCGACCTGAGGTCTCTTCCTCCGCACCGCGTGCAAGGCGTCTTTCAAGCGCAGGCCGAACCTGTACATCAGGTAGGCGACAACGAACGACGTCGACCTGGAGATACCCGCCTGGCAGTGCACGTACACCGCGTTCTGCGGGTCCTGTTTCTTCTTCCGGAAGTCCACCAGCGCCGGGTCGTACTCTTGCTCGTACGGGTACAGACAGTGGTCCAGAAACTTGTTGGACTCGTTGAAGTACTGCAGAATGTCAGTGGTGTCGTCGTCATCTATCGGGATAGACTTCAGCGTGTATCCCTTGCGCACCAGGTACTCCGGTATAGTGTCCAACTTGATCACCGAGAGGATATGCGTGATGTTGTACTCCGCTTTCAACGGCGTGTGGTTCGCCAACGGCGTGAACCCACCCATGTATATGCCACCCAGCACTCTAGTAACCTCCATGTTTACTCTTTATACACTTTTTGTATATTGTAGATGTGTAGACTGTAGAGTATGGGTGCATACAGTTTTATACTAGTGGGCAGCTCATCGCGATGAGCTTGGGAATCCATTGAAAGCTGTGATTTGAAATTTTTCAGCATTTTTTTGCCAAAAAACCCATTTACAAGGTGTGGAAACTCAGAAACACCCGTAGCAACAGTGGGTATTTTGTATGTCACAGACAGGCACGCAGACAGACAGACAGGGCTCTCGAAGATGAGAGCTCTGTAAACACTTTATACGTACATGTCACACCACCTCCACATGTACGGCAATCACTACTCACTAAATATCACATGACCCCCACACATGTCACCTGACGTCCACACATATATCACACTCCACGTACAAAACCGGCTCAACAAAAAACGGAAGTTCCTTCTTACGAACGCCAAACAGCCGTACGGAAGTGTAAATCACATGGGCCATTGAGTGACTACACAGCAAGCAAGCAGAGACAAAGTGATTTGCTGTTTGTCGGAATTTGTGTTTCCACTTCCACTCCCCCCCACAGAATTATGCGTGGGGGAGGGCCGGTGCAGAGGGCAGAGGGCAGAGGGCACAGAGAGAGAGGGAGAAGAGAGAGAGAGAACTGGGTTCACACGCAGCACGACTCGAATTCGAAGCTCAACAAAACCAGGAAATTGTTGACGAATCCGCAAAGCCCAACAATCAGCGGGCTGCTAATAAACTATATATAATGGACACTACTTGAGATCTGGTGACCGGGTGGTCTTGAAAGAATCTTGGGAACTGGGGGGATTAAGGCGACAATGGGCACGACTATGAACTTTATGAAGGACACGCTGGATCTGGACGTGCTGAACTATCTGGACAGGGATGAGGTGCCCGCGGACATGATGGATATGGGCATGATGGATATGAATATGGACGACCCTGTGCTGTTTAACCAGAACACAGACACCAATGTACAGATGTCAGATGACTACCTGGCGGAGTTTCTACAGGAAACAGCTGATACAAACGCGAATACAAACATGAATACGAATACAAACATGAATACGAATACAAACATGAATACGAATACAAACATGAATGCAAATACAAATACAAATGCAAACACAAACACAAATACAAATACAAATACAAATGCAAACACAAACACAAACACAACTGCCAAGAAGGTGAATTACGGGAGACTGGCTCCTATTGACACGCAATATGTGAACCCGGCTGATTTTGTGGATATCAGGAGCGATTCGCTGCCTCATATGCTGTCGGTTTCCGGGCTGCCACAGGTGTCGCGTGTGGAGAACCAGCTGAAGTTGGACTTTGAGCTGTCGCCACAGGCAAACTTGTCCGACATATACCTGTCCTCGGACTGTATAGCCAGGCAGAAGTTCTACCTGGAGAAAAACATAGAAGAGTACCCACAGGAGTTTAGGAACTCCCTGATATACCTGGACGCTTTCCTGATATGCGCCACAAACAGGAAGTCCATCGACGTGTGTACAAAATGTGTCAGGAGAGAACAGCGGAGAGCCGCACGTAGGAAATCCGGTATCAGTGATAACATGCTGTGGTGCAATAACCCAAACAGAAGAGCAGTGATATTCAACAACAAACAAATCGTAAAAACCTCAGTAAATCCTCAAACAGGCAATCAAGTATTCTCCCTAACTACAAGAATTGTATGCTACTGCAGACACCATAAGTCTTTGGAAGGCTTCAAGATCTTGTTTGTGCTAAAGAACAGCAATAATGACATCTTGGCCAAAAGTATAACAAGTGCAATAATGATAACGGATAGAAAATTGTTCTTCAATAACACAAACGGAGGCATGGGAGAAGTAGGTATGTCTCTTTCAAACGATGGTATGAACACATCAAGACAACAGATGGGCACAGACAATGAGGACACAGATACTTCAAACCATAATATAATATACTCAGAGACTGCTGTAGAGTCTTCTGGAGCTACGTCAGCTACTGAGTTCCAAGCGATGAGAAAGGATTCTGTGGTTCAGCCTACGCCTATGCAAAACGTATCTACTAATGGTTTATTGCCACCAAATGCTCAGAAGTTCCCTGAAAATATGTCGATGAATATACCTATGGATAACTCATTTAACCTGTCAAAGAAGAAGGGTCACATTCCTTCTCCAACTTCGATGAGTGAAGACGGATCCGAATCCCAAGGTCTGATGATGTCAGCTTTTGGAACAACAAGCAGTAGAGTGCCTATGGTAAATAACGAGAGGAAGCGTTCCAGAATACATTTAGATAACACAAATATGACACCAAGCCAAAATATCTCTAGATCCATGTCTAGAACGTCGATGTCAAGTAATTATCAATCTGCAGCATCTCCAAGTCAATTTTCAACAAATCAAATCATCAGCTCTATGTCTGATATCAATATCAAGAACTCACCTAATAGCTCAACGATGCTAAGTGAAGTGCCAATAATTCATAAGGTCATTCCATCACAAGGTCCTATAAATGGTGGTATTGAAGTTACTTTACTTGGTGTTAGATTCAAGGAAGGACTAATAGTGAAATTCGGCGATAACCTGGCCCTATCAACTGAATGCTGGAGCGATTCTACCATTATCACTTATCTACCACCAGCATTAAATGCTGGACAAGTGTACGTTACGGTTACTGACCCTAACGGCACAGCAGAGCAACAGATGATATCGAACCAACTTAAAAAGGCAATTTTCACTTATGTGGATAATACAGATAGGCAGCTAATTGAATTAGCACTTCAAATTGTGGGTCTAAAGATGAATGGTCGTCTTGAAGATGCTCGTTTCATTGCCAAGCGTATTGTCGGCAGTGACGGGTCATCACCAGGACTTCAAGGTTCCAATAACAACTCGCCAAATAACATCAACTCGAATGGACAATACTCAATGGATAACCAAGTCAAATACTCGGATGAAATATTAATTACAAAAGTTGTCAAAAACCTAAATACGACGTCCAATTTGTCTATGTGTGATAACCTCGGAAGGACATTGCTGCATCTGGCCTCTTTGAAGGGATACTTTAAACTTGTTTCTACTTTGATTAAAAAAGGCGCCAGAATTGATGATAAAGATTCATTTGATTTCACTCCACTACACTTTGCTTGTGTCAGCGGTGATGTCAAGATTATTAGAATACTGCTAGATTGTGGTGCCGATAAGAACAGAAAGACTAAGCACGGACTACTACCATTAGAATTATTCGAGATAAACCATGGTTATGGGGAGAAAGAACATTCTGATCACATGACAGAGGTTGTTAAGATGTTCACCGAGGATGAAAGTGCAGAAAGTGGTATGGGTAGAAAGTTATCAACATCAAGCTTCAACTCAAGTATTTTTGATTCAGAATCATTGCAATCCGAGAATGCAAACAGCCATGATAATGAAATTGATAATGAATACCCAGTTTACTCTGATGGTTCTGATTACGAGGATAGCGATTATGAAGAAGAAGAAGACGAAGATAGCGATCTGCTCCCTATTGAGCAAGCACATGTTACTAATGAGCAATGCGATGAACATGAGCCAGGTAATGAAACTCATAAAACGGAAGAATCTGCCATCGATAATACAAATAATGAATCCCTATGGAATAGAGTCTTGCACAGAATTAATGATGACCTACCGAAATATGAAGACTTATTCCCTCGTGCAACAGATGAAGGCGAAACTAGTCTCACTAAGACTGAGCAATCGAGATCCGGTGCTGCAGTTCTACAAAGAGATATATCTCACACTGAAGATTCTCAGGGATCATCAGAGGATGAAGAAGAGGCTCTTCAACGTGGTTTTAACAAGTTCTTCCAAAATAGACAAAATTTCCAGAATGATAAAATGCTTTTGTTTTTCTGGATACCGTTGACTCTCGTACTTATGACATGGTTCATATTCTTCAACTTTGGCTGGCGTGATAACACCATACAGTATTTCAGTAACTTGTTAACGCACTATGTTAGAATCGGATTGGCAAAGATTCTGCTAGGTAATGAAAGAATGAAAACGGCATTCAGGGAGCAATTTTCAAACTTCCAATCAACTGGTATACTAAATGATTTGATAGTTGGATAAGTTCTAAGGTTAGAGCAATCGTAAAATATTGATTTTAGCAATACGCTACGAATGGAAATTACCGGGATATATATGTATGGTTTGTAAAGTCATTATTAGCTATTAGATTATTGTTATGAGAAAATATATGCATTATAGAATTATTTTAAAAATCACAAAGGAAGATGTAAATGGTCAAAGAGATATTTTAGATAATTTGAAACTTCTTTTGCTAACGTTTCATAATGAATAATTGGTATTTAAATTTTCTTTTTTTCATGAATAATCATTTCTTGAATGGTAATCGCATCGCCCAACAGATTCTATCCAGAAAATTATGAAAATTTTCGAATGCGATGAGATGCGATGAGCTAAAAAAAAGAGAAATAAGTGAGACTTGGTATTTACAATATATATTATTGATTTAGCAAATATGGGCTTTTTATGTTTGTTTTGAATTAATATAATTGAACTCTGATAGCGCAACTGTTAAAATTTTTGAAGAGCAGCAATGTCCAGAAATCAATTTAGAATTGTCGTTGGTTCATATGAGCACAATTTACTTTGTCTTTCATTGGATTTGACATTGGAGACTCCAGTTTTCACTCCAATCTTCCATTTCCAAGCACATTCCTTAAGCGTTAAATGTCTAGATATATCGAAAAGATATTTAGTGTCTGGTTCAAATGACGAGCACATTAGAATATATGATTTACAAAAGAGGAAGGAATTAGGTACACTTTTGGCACACCAAGGATCTATTACTAATCTAAAGTTTTCCAAAGTGTCTGATCAGGAGCCAAAATCTACCAGTGGTAAATGGTTACTGTCTGCTTCTGAAGATAACAAAATCATTGTATGGAGAGTTAAAGACTGGGAGAATTTCGGGACTCTAAAAGGACACACTGCTAGAATTAATGATATGGACATTCACCCTTCCAACAGAGTTGTAGCAAGTGTAAGTGAGGATCATAGTATTAGATTGTGGAATTTGATGACTGTTAAAAAGGCAGCTGTTCTGAAACTAAAGAAATATAACCAAAATGGTCAATTTGTTAGATGGCTAAAAGCCCAAGGCAAATACTTTGCTGTATCTTTAATGACTAAAGTTTTAATTTATGACTCTACCACTGCTAAAGTTTATAGAGAGATTGACACCGGGAGAAAGACAATCATGCACATGGAAACAGTTGTCCTTGCTGATGTAGAATACATTGTTTTGGGGATGAGTGATGGTAAAGTATTGTTTTATAAGGTGGAAGAAATACTGAACAGTAAAGAAACGGAATTCACTGAGGAACCAGAGTTTTCACTTCTAGGGCATACTAATCGTGTCAAGGACCTAAAGTTTTATGTTAACGAGTTTGGAACATATATGGTTACCATTGGTTCAGATGGTAAAGTTATAGTGTGGGATATGGACAAGAGAGATCAAGTGGCAGTTTATGATTGTGGTGAAAGGCTAAATTGTCTGGCAGTATGCGATGAGACTATTGAAAAGGCTGATACAATGAAGAAAAGAACCATAGATCAAATTGAACTAGGTGAGCAAAGTGAAGTTGAGAGTGATACTGAAGAGTTAAAGAAGGTAATGTTTGGTCAAAAGAAGAAAAATCAAAAGCGTAACAAGAATAAGAACAAGAATAAAAAGAAGAAAGTTGAAGTCCAACTTGAGTAAATTCTCCGCCTACCTATATTAACATTAAATTTAAATGCATACTTAATTTGTTATAATTTTACTATATTACATATGAATATCCTATAAACTGTCGCAATTAAGTAATCAAAAGATCATAATTTAGATTCTCTAATAGCACGGGCAGAATGTCTGTTGAATAATTTCTCAGCTCTTACCCATACTGGAGAAACATGTCTGCTTGGTAGTTGTTCTAGGGAAGGTAATAGGTCGTGTGCGAAGAATTCAGAAGCTTCTCTTGGTAATAGGGAAGGCAAATGGTCGATTGAAATGACAGATAGTTTTGGACCTGAACTGGTATTTACCTTGACTGTTGGCTTGTTGAAGACAGTAGCGATGTTATATATTGGAATAGGGTTGTGTGGATTAGTTGTGTCGGCGGACACATCAACAACTGTTCTTAGCTTTCTGTCAGGTTTGTTTAGTAGTTCGTAATTGATAAAAGGTGCAATTGGTTTGGAAAGGTAAATACAGTTGATGAAGATATCAGAAGCTGCTATTTCAGGGAATGGGCCACCTCTTGAAGTTTCCTGAATATCCCACTTAATGATATTTTCCTCTGGAAGGCCAACCTTCTTCAAGAAATCAATTGCACCGGAACCGCATCTTCCTAAAGCGCCAATTATTAGTACCTTTGGCTTTTTGGCACCAGTCTTCAATGCATTTTTGTAAGCCTTGCCAATATCTTTGATCAAAGCCTTTTCGTTTGGGTATGGGGAGACAGCTGGCAAGTCTTCGCTGTCCTTATGTGTTTGTTTGAAGGCCCAATCTGCCAAACCAAGTGCTGCACCAGCAAAACCTGCATAAAATCCAAAAGCAGCAACTCTTCTGCCGTTGTCGTCCTCTAGAAATTCCAAGTCATATAAGGTACCGTTACCGTTTATGAATCTACGCAGAACGTCTTTCCAGCCTGCTTGATCTTTATAACAATGAGCAAATTGGATGTGTTCGTGCACCAATGGGAACTTGTCTTCTTCTGGCATTTCTTTCAAACCAATAATTATTCTGTCACGAGGAGCACTGATCCAGGAGCCAAATGGTACGATAATAGCACCAGCTCTTCTGTATTCGTCGATTTTAAATATGGATTGTGGTGATTCCTCGACATATATCTTGAAGCCTTTGCCGATTAGGTGCTTGACGGTAGTAGGTGTCAAGGCAGCACGATGTTCTAGCGGTTTAGTTTCACCTCTTAAATGTAAAGTCACGGACATTTTGTAGTTTATTAGTGTTGTTTATGAGTGAATAATAGGTTAGCCTAGTGTTTCCTGATGGAAGCTGATCTTTGCAGAATAACTTTTTTGTATTTAAAGGTATTCAGAATTAGTTCTCTAGTTTAAAGAACAGTATATGTTTAGGATTCTGTGTATCTTACAAATGGGAGAAGAACAAGATGAAAAGGTTATTTCAAAATACATATACCTGGAATGCACGTCCCGTTTATATAGGTATGCAAGAAGTGGGAATTGCTGAAAGCAACTTTTGAATTCGAATGAGCAAATCCAACTCTTGCTCATCCTAGGTGGGAAACGCACACATGAATCAAGCTGTCGACAGCCATTTCCCTAGTGAAAAAGATAAGTGGGATTTTAAGAGTCAAAGACCTTATCCATGACTAAAAAGAAATTCCTTATGCTCGAGAGACATGAGTGATCAGAAGTTTTGCATAGCAAAAAGCACAGAAGAAGGCCAGCTGGCTGAGCAATCCCTATCAGTGCAAACCCTTTTGTTCCCATTGTCACTCGAATTTCCTGGGCCTTTCACAGTATCTTGCCAAATATGTTACACTTGCTTTAGGAAAGCTATCATTTGCTGGGAAATATCAAGAGACGAAATTCCGGTGGAAAAGAGATACAGATATAATTCCGGTGGAATAATTCATCTTGTTCACATAGACTCATTTTGTGAAGAGTATGAGTTAGCAATATTGCGATGAGTATAGTATTGGATTTTCTTGATGTGTATAATTCTTGTATGACTATTAGTATGTATTGGCAGATAGATGTGCCATATGATGATTCACATTTTTTTTATTCCAGGAGCTATAAATGGCAGTTTGTTTACTTGGCTACTCCGACATTCAGGGAAAGCCAATGTATGCACAGTAGATTCAAAGCAAGCCTTTTGTAAATTGATTTTTAACTTGTTCTATATAATAGATATTTATTTCGTGCTCTATAAATAAAAAGACCCATTACTGAGAGAACTATTTAAACTCAGGCGGATCCATTTTTCGGTATTAACAGTAAATCCGCTGCTTGTGTGTCCTCTCTACTGGTTTAGTGATACTTAGTGTTGAAATTCCTTCAAGACTTCAGCGTCAAAGCTCAAATATTGTCCATTGATTTCTTCTGGAATACCGTTCAAAGCTAGCTTGGAGTAGACGGTGGCTGGGATGGAGCTATGTAGCAACTTGTTGTCCTTCTTCAAGTCTCTGAACATTTCCAAGTGTTCCTGGCTCATACCTTGAGGGCCAAGGTTTTCTCTGATGTTAACTTGCATGTCAGTGTCGACAATACCTGGAGCGACAGCTAGAGCTCTGACGGCTTTTTCCTCGTTGGCCAAGGTCATGGCGAAATGGTTTAGGGCAGCCTTAGAAGAACCGTAAGCACCCCAACTGCTGAAGTAAGTGTCACTGGCATCGGAACTGACAAATAGAGCAGAACCGTGGGTCTTCTTCAAGTGTGGAAGAGCAATGTCGACCAAGGAGACGATACTGAAGAAGTTGATGTTGTAAAGTTGCTTCCAAGCGTTAACATCAATGTTGTTGATGTTTTGAACTGGTTCTAGAACACCAGCATTGGCAATCAAAGAGTTGATCTTACCATGGCCTTCAATGGCAGAGTTGACATACTTCTTCAAGGTGTCATCGTTGGTAATGTCACCAACAGTGTAGAAGAATCTGTCACCGTAAGTGTCCTTCAAAGCCTTCAATGGCGCTTCGGATCTAGCAATACCATAGACAATAACGTTCTTGTCCAAGGAGAACAAAGTGTCAACGATAGACTTACCAATACCTCTGGAAACACCAGTGACTAGAATAACTTTTTGTTCGGTTTGAGACATGTTTATAATTTTTTTTTTTTGAGTTTCTTGCTGTTGTAGTTTATTGGATGTTAATATTTCCAATTGCTTTTTGTTGGTATCATATGAAAGGGATAAACATTTTCTACTTCAGAATTGATCATCGATGCTTCCCTTTATATATCTATTTTTTTTTGGTCTTTGAATTAGCAAAGGTGCTTACAAAACGTCGGTGTTATAAATATTCAAATTTAAAATTATTTTTTCTCTTTACTTTTTTTTTCAAATAAGCGTGGGGGGACGGAAATTCTTGTCATCAATTGTCAATGAGCCCACAAAAAGAATAATCTCATCGGTGTTATGAATCCAGCTGGTGTACCTGCGAGATCCCAACAAATTGGGATATTCATATGCTCAAATGGCAATCTGTCTTATGTGAGTATAATATATGACGTAGTGCATAGTATTACAACGCATCCCCCCTTCCCAGCTTTCGACGGGCTTATAATTAGCAAATCAAGTTTTCTCGATAAAGTATGCAATGCATACAGCTTTGAGAAATTGATCAACGATGATCCCAATATTCATTCATTAGAATATGCATCCGGGAGTAATTGGGGCTTGTAAAGGGTGCTGACTATGTCTTTACTTGAAACAAATATTCCAGTTTAGCTGAAGGACGGTATTAAAATATTCAGATAAGTTTAAGAGTATTAATGTTTCTAGCTGAGTTTTGGCATGTCCATTGAAATTTTTGAACCTTTGGAATATGCAATTGGTAGTATATGCCAGTCTCAGGAACATAAGTCATCGATCATATCGGATGAAGAACTTTTTTGCAAATATCACGCAATTCTTCCAAATACCAAATAGCGGTGCTAAATGAGATAAAAGTAAATTTGCCCGACCGAATGATATTATGAAATTCTATTTTATGGATTTTTTAATTTTTTTTTTCTTTTAGTTATAACTCCGATCTTTTAGAGAACAGATTATTGAGGATTCTAAAATTTTATTTGTTCTGTTTGACATCTATGCAAGGACGGTTAAAAAAAAAAGATCGCATAGCCACTTTTGTTGGATTCTTCTATATTGAACTGTTATTTAGATAATTTCTTTTAAAAAAAACTCTCGTCATGTAGCAAGTTCTTCTACAAATCATTGAATTTATGTTTTGGTAGGGAAGAGTACACTCCACGAAATGATAAACTTCTATAGCTTTTTGAAACATTGTCAAACTGTGATAAAAAAACCTTGATCATAGCTGTGTTTTGTAACAAGTATTTACAAACAATTTTATTATAAAATAGTTATAGAATATATCATTGTAATCTGGAGTCATTGTACCTTACATACTCACCGTTAAGTTCAGCTGGGATACCTGAGACTGCTAGCCTTGCATAAATCTTACCAGGAACGTCAGCATCGAGCAACTCACCATTCTTCTTCAAATCTGTAAACCTTTTCAAGGCATCAGCTGTCATCCCCGAGGGTCCAAATTTGTCTCTAATATCATCCTGCATCTTTGTATCCACTACACCTGGTGCAACTGCAATTGTCTTGATAGCTTTGTTCTCAGCAGCCAATGACATAGTTAGATGATTCACAGCTGCCTTGGATGAACCATAGGCACACCAGCCGTAATATGGTTTTGTACTGGCACCTGAACTAACAAAGATTGCATTGCCTTCGCTTTTCTCCAGATGTGGCAGGGTCTTGTTGATCAAGTGAATAATACTGAAAAAATTAATATCGTACAGCTTCTTCCATTCAGCTACAGAAGAACTACCGACTTTAGCTACCGGTTCTAGTACACCTGCATTGGCCACAATGGAGTCAATACGACCTTGCTCTAGCACTACCTTTTCAACAATTTCGTTGATCTTATCTTCATCAGTAATATCACCGGCCAAGTATTGGAATCTGGCCCCTACAGTGTCTTTCAAGCTCTTCAATGCGTCCTCATTTCTCGCAATACCATATACCACAGCATTGCTGTCGAGAGCCAATATATTCTTGACAATTGCTTCACCAATACCTCTGGAAGCCCCTGTAACTAAAACAACCTTCTTCATTAAAATTCAATAGAGTATAAACGACAATAGATCCTTGATGGGTGTCCTATTAGATACATTACTGTAACAAAAATCCGTCAAGTCCCTATAAACCAGTTAAATTAATACTTAAACACTATGGGACTCGGATAGGTAAAACGTGACTATCAGGGACTCGTATTGTAGTATACATTATTGTTTAGGATAATAGCTATACATTATTCCACTTCTACTCGCAGTGCCATTCGAAGAATCATTCTACTGTCCCTTATTCTCTAATCATCCTACGTTGTTACAACTACAGGTTGTCTCGGAACGACCTTAGTTTACTAAGTTCAGAAGCACATAATAATTGGGAGGCATGCATATAGAAAGATGATCTTGATATGATCGAGTGGTTTATAATATTAAAACTCCATTTTTATTCAAGTCTTTAATAGGCCGCTGCCGAGACATCGTAACTCTTAAAAACAGATTTTCATTCCTGACATCTACAACCCCATTGCACATAGTGCAACACTTTAGAAGCATTAATTGACAAACATCTTATCATGCTACAGTAAGGTGCACGTCAGAAACACCACACACAGTTTTGCAGAAATCTCCATCACTTGAAAGAACCTAAACAGATCTGGGATGAGCATGTATTACTGCCTAATTCGAAGTGAGGGGCAAGCTATCTCAGTTTTTGTCTTCTAATATGGAGGGGCACAGAGATCTCTGGCACTCGCTTTGTAACAGAAAATCAATGCCTCCCAGACAAACACCCATACAAATAGAGAAAAAAGAAACGTAGATGGCCTGCGAAGGAACACCTTCGATTGCTACTTGGACAGAGAAGAGTCTACCTTGGACTACCCTACTTGACTGGGGGACTAGGGATGAGACAGGCGAATCTTTAGCTGTGACCCCACGCATTGGACAAACTTAAGGAGTAAGAAGAGGTTCATGCCTTTTTCCTTTCGCAGTTTGATCACCGCTGTAAGGAGCTCTCTTCCGTCGGCACAATGCGAAGTTGCGTTTTAGCGAAAGCCATCCCTGGAGCTAGGTCGCACTGGTTTTACTTTGTGATGTCATTTCTATGGACCGGGTCACCCACAGTTACACCTACGCTTCTTAAGCTATTGCAAGAGAGAGCTACATGACTATTGGTCATGCTTCAATTAGCTGATAAGAGGAATTGATAACGTTATTGGGCTTATCTTGCCACTATGATAGGTCAGCCCGATCGGAAAGCATCTTCTTGGTTCTCACAGCCATAAGTATTGCGCAAAACCGTCATGATGATGTAGTTACAAGACTAACGACTATACTTCAAAAATCATTTATGTAGAAAAAAATACTTATATAACTAGTCGACTCGCCTCCCACACATTTGGACCCTTCGAAAAAGTGGGATCTTCTCATTCCATTGTCAATTGTATCAGAAGATTAAAAGAAGGGGATTTTGACTACTGAGAAGAATCAAAAATAAAGCTTCCCACGCAGTTTCTCTTGATTTGCAAACGAAATTAGTACAAACAAGCAAAGAAACGTCTATAACGAGCCCCCAATCCCTTAAATTCGAATTGAACACTTCTACCATCAACTTAGAAGCACAATTGATTGGCAGAAACAGGTTTAAATATATAAAAAACCTTTCCTCTTTGAATAATTTCAGTTCTCCCTTTCTCGGCTACCTTTTCGTTAACCGCAGCGATATAGGACTTCAAGGAAGAATATTCTAATAAGAAATCATACTTTAGAAAAACAATAATGCCACAATCTGGTCAAAAGAAGAAATTGGCCGGTTTGAGGGCTAATTTCAACATCCTTGGTGAAAAGGATAAGATTTTAGTTGCCAACAGAGGTGAAATTCCCATTAGAATCTTTAGAACAGCCCATGAACTGTCTATGAGAACCGTCGCTATCTACTCTCACGAGGATAGACTTTCTACACACAGATTGAAGGCGGATGAAGCCTATGTGATTGGTGAAGAAGGTCAATACACCCCAGTTGGTGCTTACCTTGCCATTGATGAAATTATTGATATTGCTAAGAAACACGGTGTTGATTTCATTCACCCTGGTTACGGTTTCCTTTCTGAAAACTCGGAATTTGCAGACAAGGTACAAAAAGCTGGTATCACATGGATTGGCCCACCTCCAGAAGTCATCGAATCTGTTGGTGACAAAGTCTCAGCTAGAAACTTGGCCGCAAAGGCTAAAGTTCCAACCGTTCCAGGTACTCCTGGTCCAATTAAAACCGTGGAAGAAGCTGAGGCCTTTGTCGCTGAGTATGGTTACCCAGTGATCATCAAAGCTGCCTACGGTGGTGGTGGTAGAGGTATGAGAGTGGTAAGAGAAGGCGAAGACATTGGTGACGCTTTCCAACGTGCCACTTCTGAGGCTAAGACAGCTTTCGGTAACGGTACTTGTTTTGTAGAAAGATTCTTGGACAAGCCAAAACATATTGAAGTTCAACTTCTGGCTGACAACCATGGTAACGTCATACATCTATTTGAAAGAGATTGTTCGGTACAACGTAGACACCAGAAGGTCGTAGAAGTCGCACCAGCAAAAACATTACCTCGTGACGTTAGAGATGCAATTTTAACAGATGCCGTTAAATTGGCAAAAGAAGCAGGCTACAGAAATGCTGGTACAGCTGAATTCTTAGTTGATAACCAAAATAGACATTATTTCATTGAAATTAACCCAAGAATTCAAGTTGAACATACAATTACTGAAGAAATTACTGGTATTGATATTGTGGCCGCTCAAATTCAAATTGCAGCCGGTGCTTCCCTAACAGAATTAGGTCTTCTACAAGACAGAATTACCACTCGTGGTTTTGCTATTCAATGTCGTATCACAACTGAGGATCCAGCAAAGAATTTCCAACCGGATACTGGTAGAATTGAAGTTTACGGTTCTACTGGTGGTAACGGTGTTAGATTAGATGGTGGTAATGCATACGCAGGCGCTGTTATTTCACCTCATTATGACTCTATGCTGGTCAAATGTTCCTGTTCAGGTTCCACTTATGAAATTGTACGTCGTAAAATAATCCGTGCCTTGATTGAATTCAGAATTAGAGGTGTGAAAACTAATATTCCATTTTTGCTAACATTATTAACTCATCCAGTATTTATTAGCGGCCAGTATTGGACAACTTTCATTGATGACACCCCACAGTTGTTCCATATGGTTTCATCACAAAACAGAGCCCAAAAATTGCTACACTACTTGGCTGATTTAGCAGTCAATGGTTCATCAATTAAGGGTCAAATTGGCTTGCCTAAATTATCTACTAAACCAAACATTCCACATCTACATGACGAAAAGGGTGAGATTATTAGTGTCACCAAAGTGGCTCCACCAGATGGTTGGAGACAAGTGCTATTAGAAAAGGGACCTGAAGGATTCGCTAAAGCTGTTAGAGCATTCAAGGGTACTTTACTAATGGACACAACTTGGAGAGATGCCCACCAATCCTTACTTGCAACAAGAGTTAGAACACACGACTTGGCCGCTATTGCACCAACTACTGCACATGCTTTAGCTGGTGCGTTTGCGCTAGAATGTTGGGGTGGTGCTACTTTTGATGTTGCTATGAGATTCTTACATGAAGATCCATGGGAACGTCTAAGAGTATTGAGAAAACTAGTCCCAAATATTCCATTCCAAATGCTACTTCGTGGTGCAAATGGTGTTGCATACTCATCACTGCCAGACAATGCCATTGACCATTTTGTTAAACAAGCAAAGGATAACGGTGTTGACATTTTCAGAGTTTTTGATGCACTAAACGATTTAGAGCAATTAAAGGTTGGTGTAGATGCTGTTAAGAAAGCTGGAGGTGTTGTCGAGGCAACAGTATGCTATTCTGGTGATATGTTACAACCAGGCAAGAAATACAACTTGGATTACTATCTAGAAGTCACTGACAAGATTGTTGAAATGGGTACACATGTTCTTGGTATCAAAGATATGGCTGGTACTTTGAAACCTACTGCTGCAAAGTTGCTAATTGGTTCTATTAGAGCTAAATACCCAGACCTACCAATTCATGTTCATAGTCATGACTCTGCTGGTACTGCTGTGGCTTCCATGGCTGCTTGTGCATTTGCAGGTGCAGATGTTGTCGATGTCGCTATCAACTCTATGTCAGGAATGACTTCTCAGGCATCAATCAATGCCCTATTAGCATCTCTAGATGGGGAAATTGATACAGGTGTTAATGTTAAGCATGCTCGTGAATTAGATGCTTACTGGGCGGAGATGAGACTGTTGTATTCTTGTTTTGAAGCTGATCTAAAGGGTCCCGATCCAGAAGTGTACGACCATGAAATTCCAGGTGGTCAATTGACTAACCTGTTATTCCAAGCCCAACAGCTAGGCCTAGGTGAGAAATGGATTGAAACCAAGAGAGCTTATAAAGAGGCCAACCACTTGCTGGGTGACATTGTAAAGGTTACTCCTACCTCGAAGGTTGTTGGTGATTTAGCACAGTTTATGGTTACCAATCAACTGACATCGGAAGATGTTAAACGTTTAGCAAACTCATTGGATTTCCCAGACTCTGTCATGGACTTCTTTGAAGGTTTAATGGGTCAACCATACGGTGGTTTCCCAGAACCTTTAAGATCTGATATCTTGAGAAACAAGAGGAGAAAATTGACAGTTCGTCCCGGTTTGGAGCTTGAGCCATTCGATCTTGAATCAATCAGAGAAGATCTTGAAAACAGATTTGGTGAAATCGATGAATGCGATGTTGCTTCTTATAACATGTATCCAAAGGTTTACGAAGACTTCCAAAAAATGAAAGAATTGTACGGTGACTTATCTGTGCTACCAACTAAAAACTTCCTAGCTCCACCAAGCATTGGCGAAGACATTGAAGTTCATTTAGAACAAGGTAAGACTTTGATCATAAAGCTACAAGCTGTCGGTGATTTGAACAAAGAGACTGGTATGAGGGATGTCTACTTTGAACTAAATGGTGAAATGAGAAAGATTCGCGTACCTGATAGATCTCAGAAGGTCGAAAAAGTCTCTAAACCCAAGGCTGACAATCATGATCCATTCCAAATTGGTGCCCCAATGGCAGGTGTTATCGTGGAAGTTAAGGTCCACAAAGGTTCATTAGTCAAGAAGGGTCAACCGGTTGCTATTTTGAGCGCAATGAAGATGGAAATGGTTGTGTCATCTCAAGCAGATGGCCAGGTAAAGGACGTGTTTGTCAAAGATGCCGAAAATGTTGAAGCTTCCGATCTTCTGGTTCTTCTAGAAGAAGAAATTCCGCCACAAGAGTAAGAATACTAAAAAATTCAAAAAATATATAAATATTAATCAAGACTTTATGTTTACTATGCACGACACCGATATCCTATCTGGATATTGTAATAATTTCGATGTTCTTATAGGTTATTTAAACGTTTGTATTAAAATTTCCGATAATAAGCTAATTTTCGGTCTAATATTCTGTTTACTTCTTTTCACCACTATGACAATACCAATGATATCTCTATTTGAAAACTGTCCAATCTCAATTACTTTACTCTATGGGCTGATGATAAAGGTTACAATAATATTACAATGCGCTATATGTGATATTAAGAATGAAATGTGAAATCCCCATCTAAGTAAGTTAGTACATAGATAACCTTAATATTTCACCTTTGTCTTTTCAAATTACTACTTGCTGTGGGCCTTGTCAACCTACTTGATATTTGTGGTATACCAGATGGTCTATTTCTTGCATTCCGAAGTGCAGTAGCCTTTGTCACTCTACCAGTAGGTTGTCTATAACTGTTCCCATATAGTCGTTGGCCGGTGGGTCCATTGCCATTACCTTTCACTTGTGCTGGTATTAACTTATCCTCTTCCATTTTAATTGACTTCTGTAGTTCAGCTATTTCCTGTTTATATTGTTCTACAACTTCTTCATTACTGTTCGATCCCGTTTTAGATCCCGTCCTACTATCCATGATATGGTGCGCATAACCAGCCTGTGATTGTATGTTTATCCAATTGTCAAGCATCTTGTTCGTCGATTTACAAACATGGTGGATCTTGTTCATGTGGGACGGTAGCGCACCTTTCACTACGCTGTCTATACTCCGTATAGTGGCTATGACCTTATCCAATGTCTCCAACTCACGTAACAAACTTTGAGTCGTTATGCTTCCGCTCTCCTCAACCATCGCGCTAGGTTTCTTCGCATCCCTAGTACGCGCCGCATTGTGTCTCATCTGATCGAATATTTCTGGGATCAATTGATTGATCGCAGAATTGTCCAGACTTTCACTCATATCTTAATATTTACCGCTATAGTACCCACGGATCGACTCGCAACCTCGCTCTTCTCGACTCAAATATCCTTGATCCTGACTATTACTATGTTTTTATCCACTTTTGTTTGTTTTTTCTAAACAATCAGTGATGCCCTGCTGCCAAAAAAATCAAAGCTGCGAATCGACATAAATCAGGAACATCGATGAATCATACTTAAAAAATGGCATTGACTATCACCACTCGAATCAATCATATCCCTCCGATTGCTACACAAGTGCAATCAATTACTATAAGCGTTTTGCCTGCGAGAAGCTCTGATCTTATTTGGTGGATTTCTGACTTAACTAGATGAGCACTGAAGCTATTAGGAAGCTGAGGCAATATGCCGAAGAGAATGAGAAGGAGGAGTTTGATGGGATCACCTACTTGGTGCTATTAGAAGAGTGCATTAACGGGCTGAGCGGCTCAGAAGATCAGGCCTTGTTTTTCGATGAACTTTATGGCTTGCTGGATCAATTTGGAACTCCCTTAAATGATGAGCTGCTGTGGGGCCTGCCAAAAGCACTAATAAAGAATATAAGTTCTAAGAATGTGGAGGATAAAGCTCTCGTGAAAGCAATATGTAACTGCATGAAGTTGGTTGCAAGAGTTGGAACAGATGATTATAACTTCCTTTTCGGCACAGAGTTGTTGAGAGAGTGCAGAGCGGAAGATACTAATATATACGATGATTCCAATGACACATATATTTTGGAAGCATTTAAAGTTAGAGTTGAACTTTTACTTGAGGAATTTATACTACCAGCTTTGAAAACACTAGGCCAGACAAACCCATCTAAATTTCTATCCGTCATAGTTTCCGCCTTGGTCGAGTTAATCTCGAACAACATGCAATGTGGGGAGGAAATAGAAATGTCTAACATTTTATTAGATGTAATAATACGGTTTTATGATAGCTATGAGCTTCCTAGCGCTAAAGTTACCACACCTGATGGCGCGATGGCCAATAAAGATGAAGAAGATATAGTTCAAAAAATACTAGAAAGTTTTTGGTCATTTTCCATAGGTAGATGTATCAAAAATCAAAGCTGCTTTCCTGAATATATACTATTATCGCAAATTCCAAGAATGGATTTCGTGAAGCAAGAAATCGATGTTCCTGACGATTTCATCATCAAAAGTAGGAATATTATCAGGATAACGAACGAGAAGTTACAACTTGATCTTCAAAAGATGATGGAAGCCTGCTTTGAAGAAACACGAAAAATATACGAACTGTTGCCCCCAAACCCGACGGTGCAGGATGGTAATGATTTAACTGAAGAAATATATCAAATGTCCTATGTAAATGGTGTGACCACGTTAGAGGAACAAAAAGGTAAACTGAGTTTGGATACCGCAGGTGTATTAACGCTATCGGGACTGTATTATATTGCGAATGATAATAAATTAAATGTAAAAATAAATCTTTATGATGCCGTTCTCCTATATCTCAGATTTTCCAGTGCATCATTATATTCTCCCATATTTGATAACACATTTGTGGAAGGTATATGCCGGTTTTGGCTTTGGAGTTACACATTAGGTGAAAATAGAGATAAAAATACTTTACAATCAGAGTTAATGAGTGTACCTGACTATGTTCTCAAGGTGTTTTTCCAGTTGCTGCTACTGAAGACATGCAATGAGGCTTCAACGTTACAAAAGAGGATAAATTTCAATCTGTTGACACAATTACTGGCATTTAGCAACGCTGAAGTGGCGTTTGATTTCATAGTTGATACGATACTATCTTGCCCCTATCTTGATGCCAAGATTGCTATCGCTGGGATCTTAAAGGACTTGATGGCCAAGAAAAGTGATGATATACACCTTAAGGAAGCCAGACAAGTTAAAAATGAACCGAATAACCATAATTGCCCTCCAAAATTACCAGACAGACCTCCTATTACTGTAGATGAGCACAGAATAGCGAGCATACATAGCCTAGTAAAGCTCTGCATCGAGGATTGCTTAAAGCCCTTGAACAACAAGACACAAGGGAACCTAATACTACTGCAATACTATATCAATATTCTAATCACACTTTATAAACAATGGGACGGGTTTCTCCTCAAAGAGATTAACGATGAAATAAAAAAACTGTTCAGCCAAAGACAAGAGCAAGAGTTCCCCGAACTAGAGTTCATACGTCTGGCAAATGATACACTATCCACGCAGCTAGAGAGACTTAACTTGTAATTGATCTATTCCCTCCCCCTTCTGTCCCTCCACATACGATATATTTGAAACTAGTAGCTACATATCTTATCTCTTCATACCTGAGGAACTTACTAGCATAAGTTATACACTGTGTTAACATATAGCATTTCACCAATACATGCTATTGTATATGGGCTCCCATTAACACATAACATCGGATCAATGGAGCAAGAACCAGACTTAGAAAGCTACGCAGAAAAACACCCTGCATCGGCTTTTAATGAGAAAAGGGTCCAAAACTGCTAAACTTCGAAACTTCATGAAAAGTTGAGCTTAGCGATGACTAATTTAGAAGGGAAGAGCAGGACTGCTCTCGATGGCATGCAATATAATATATAGGGTTAACAGGTTAAATAGTATAATTGATTTGGACTGACATTTCCTTGAAGCTGAGTTAGTCCCTGCAACGTGATTGAGTGGTTGTAACGATGTCGAGACTAAGCAATATGAGGCACTTGCACTCGGTGAAAACACCGAATATCACACAGATACCGGACTTCACGAAGTACTCTCCCGTGAGGCCGATCAATGAGGAGTTGGCGCCGTACATATACGAGACGATGAAGGCGTTTCCTTCGCGGTCGCACTATATCAACCAGCAGCATTACTACCACAACAAGAACGTTCTCATAAATGACTACCTCAAGAAGAATCCCACGCCTGTGTCGTTGACGCAATTGGCGCAGTACTATGACGATTCCACGACGCTTACTAAACAGAAGGTGATAAGTTCCGCTAAGTTTGTGAAGGAGGAGATCAGCATACGTATGGCGCACAAGATCCACTCATTGCAGCTGCTGCCATTCAATGTGATCAACAACTTCCATTTTGTGCAAGTGTATGAGTCCTACTACAACATATTTGAGCGGTTTCGGAAGTTCCCAGCGGTGCGGACGCTGGACGATAGCATACGGTTCACGAAGTTCGCGCGGGATATACTGAAGGACTTCAACACGCTGAACCTCCCGCACCTGATCATGGGCGCGCTGGAGTGCACGACGCTGGACCTGTACCCTACGGACAAGATGGACAAGCTGCTGTCGGACCTGCTTCGTGCGCGGATCTCGAGGCGGTTGATAGTGGAGGAGCACATAAGTATCGCGGACAACTACTTCAGTGGTAAGAAGAAGAACACGCTTGTGCTTGGGGACATATTCCAGGAATGCAGTGCGAAGGAGCACATTCTCGGTGCCAGCAAGATATGCGAGAAGTTCATCCAGGACATGTATTTCGAGAGCATCCCGATGCCTGAGCTGAAGATCAACGGCGAGACGGACCTGAAGTTCTACTTCCTGCCCTCGCACCTCAAGTACCTGCTGGGCGAGATACTGCGGAACACGTACGAGGCCACCATCAAGGACTACATACGGAAGGGTTTACCGAAGCCCGAGCCGATAGTGATCACCATTATAAAGAATGAGGAGTCGTACCTGTTCCGGATATGTGATAGAGCTGGCGGGCTGGCGCACCATCACGACGACAACAACATCTGGTCGTTCGGCAAGACTAAAGAGCAAGCGGCACAGTCCATTTCGAACTTCCACAAGCTGCCGGGCCTGCAGACCGTGTCGCTGTACGACCACCTGTACAACAACACCGAGGACAGGCAGGTGAACAGGGCGTACATCAACACCTCGCTGGAGCCGATGGCACACAGCAACATCGCCTCCGCGGTGGCAACGGGCTACGAAGTCCCGCTGCTCAAGCTCCTCAAGAGATCGTTCAGGTACAAGCTGGGCATCGGCCTGGCGATGTGCAAAGTGTACGCGGAGTACTGGAACGGAGACCTCACCCTGCACTCCATCCACGGGTTCGGCACAGACACAGTGCTGAAGCTGGGCAACCTGATGATCCACACCAAGGACAAACAGCTAGACCGAGTGTAGAGAAATATCACATGCTCTATATACTTATATTTATGTGCCATATAACTATTCGCTTTATAAATGTGAAAGAAGACAGATCACATGATTATTTAACACAAGAAAACCAAATCACATGACCACATGACCACATGACCACGGTAACCCGGTACCGGCCCCTCCCTGCCCCCCTGCCCCCCCCGCTCGTACTGGCATCGCCCCCACACCACATAGCCCATGACTCACCCCCCCCCACTCCCACCACACTTGCGAGGAAAGGTGAATGTGTGCACCAGTGCACCACAGCACCACAGTGATTAGCCAGAAAAACACAATTTTCGCTGCTCTCGATGGCTTCCTTGCTGAGAGCAGCTGAGAGCAGCTGGGAGCATGTGAATCACAATTTGATTGCCTCGTAGCTGCGGGCGTCTCTGTGCCATATATTTCCTCGAGCTTCAGCTCATCGCAAGTCATAACGTATCAGCAATAGCAATAGTACTTGTAGTTGTAGTTGTAGTTGTGTATTGTATTGTATTGTATTGTCTTGCATTGTGTATTGTGTATTGTGTATTGTTCAAAGAGGTTAACCCTCGTATGCAGACAAGACTGTGTTATACACACTTCTACGAAACATCCCTTTTAAAGGGATTTCATGTTCATATATATTGGTTGTGATTTCCTGTAATCTGGACACTACTCAAAGAATCAAAAAAGTAACCAAGTATGAAGATTACACAGAAGCTTGCCGACAGGCACAAGGAGAAGCCCGACAAGGCTACTTTTTCCTTTGAGTATTTTGTGCCAAAGACCACGCAAGGTGTGCAGAACCTGTATGACCGTATGGACCGTATGTACGAGGCGTCCTTGCCCGAGTTCATAGACATTACCTGGAACGCGGGCGGTGGCCGTCTGTCGCAGCTGTCGACGGAGCTGGTCGCGACCGCGCAGTCCGTGCTGGGTCTCGAGACGTGCATGCACTTGACCTGCACCAACATGCCCATCTCGCAGATCGACGAGGCGTTGGAGGATGCCTACAACTCCGGCTGCCAGAACATCCTGGCCTTGAGAGGTGACCCTCCTCTCAACGCACCAAACGGCTGGCAGCCCATCGAGGGCGGGTTCAACTACGCCAAGGACCTCGTGAAGTACATCAGGGCAAAGTACGGCGACCACTTCGATATCGGTGTGGCAGGCTACCCAGAGGGCCACCCAGAGGAGAAAGAGAGACACAAGGACCTCGTGTACTTGAAGGAGAAGATCGACGCCGGCGGAAGCTTCATCATCACCCAGATGTTCTACGACGTCGACAACTTCATCCAGTGGTGCCACGAGGTCAGAGAGATGGGCATAGACGTGCCCATCATCCCAGGTATCATGCCCATTACAACTTACGCGGCCTTCCTGAGAAGAGCACAGTGGGGCCAGATCAAAATCCCACAGGCATTCCTGGACGTCCTCGAGCCAGTGAAGGACGACGACCAGTTGGTCAGAGACAAGGGCTCCGAATTGATCGTAGACATGTGCCAGAAGATCCTGAACAGCGGCTACGTCAAACACTTACATATCTACACTATGAACTTGGAAAAGGCTCCGCTGATCATCCTTGAAAAACTAGGCCTCTTGCCATCCGAAAGCGAAGTTAACGCCAACCCATTGGCTTCATTGCCATGGAGAAAATCCTTGAACCCCAAGAGAAAGAACGAAGAAGTTAGACCCATTTTCTGGAAACGCAGACCTTACTCTTACGTCGCTAGAACCTCACAATGGGCTATGGACGAGTTCCCTAACGGTAGATTCGGTGACTCGTCCTCCCCTGCGTTCGGTGACTTAGATTTGTGTGGCTCTACTTTGATAAGGCAATCGGGTAAAAAGTCCTTGGAGCTATGGTCAACACCTAAAACTATCGAAGATGTCTCACAATTGGTTATTAGCTATCTGACAGGCCAAATTAAATGCTTGCCATGGAGTGACACATCGCTAGATGAGGAAATTGACCCTATCCTTGACCATCTACTTGATCTGAATAGAAAAATGATTATCACAATAAACTCTCAACCTCAGATTAATGGCATTAGATCAAACCATAAAGTACATGGCTGGGGTCCTAAGGATGGCTACGTATACCAAAAGCAATACTTGGAGTTCTTGCTGCCAAATGAGAAGGTTGAAAAATTGGAAAAGCAACTAGCAGGAAATGAGATGCTGACGTACTTTGCTGTTGACAATAAAGATAATTTGAAGAGTAACCATCCAGATGGCTCCAAAGCAAATGCTGTCACTTGGGGTATTTTCCCTGGTAGAGAAGTTTTGCAACCAACCATTGTCGAGAAGGTCTCTTTCTTAGCCTGGAAGGAAGAATTCTACAGAATCCTTGAAGAGTGGAAGTGGAACTTCCAAGAAAATAATGAGCTAAAGAGTGCAGAATTCATTCAACATATCATCGACAACTATATGCTTGTCAACATCGTTGATAACGACTATATCTCTTCAACCGACGAGATATACAATGTGTTAATAAACTTGTGAAGCAAGAACATAAACTATTACTGCTTCCCCGGTTGTAAAGCACTAAACGCTATTACACTGGTATGAAAAAAGGAAAAAAAAAACTTTCTGTATTTATGAGAAGTATTTCAACAATACTCGTCTTACCAAACCTTGCATTTTAACATTCAACATAGCATTAATTTTCTAATATTTCTTTGACTTTTCTGTATTAAAATAAAATCTCTATTTAGTAATTCCGATATTATAATTACTACCATTAACTATTTATATATTTACAATTCAAGAACCACAGCGTGCAGCCATCATTTTAGAGGGCAAAAAAATCAAAATGCAAAAGATGACCATCTTAAAATGTGGCTCCTTCATTTATAAACAACGAGGATTCATTGGACACACACCAGCGCACGATCCTGCGTGCACTACTTAATGCTTGTTTCCTCGTCACTATACCATTATTAAATAGTAACAAGAGCTCAAATCTAGGAGAACACCACACCATCCCTAACATATTCACTGGCTCTTCAATAAAGGAATCATGGTCTGTGGTTTCCTCGCTGTTAGATTTCGCAGGTTCACTCCATTGTACAAAATTAACTAATGATTTATTAGATTGTGATGCAATTTCCTGGGCTATCGAGTTCTGTAGAGATTTGTAATAAAACTTGAGTTTTCTTTCATATAATGCCCTCTGCTCAGGTTCACTTGCGCTGGTAGATAATTGTGGCATAGTAAATTGTATGTGCTTGCTAGATTTGAATATGAAATGATGTACCAATGGTGCTGGAATATCTGTAATTGAGTATGGCTGCAATATGGAAGTCCTCAACTCCCTAATTATCTCATTGTTACGAGTAAGTATAACCATCAACTCATCACAGTAAGATTTCATTTTGAAGAATGCATCCTTTTGACCACTTATTGCTACTAAAACTGGAGGATGACCCAAAAATTTGCTACTGCTTTTATCACCAGGATTCATTATTGTACGGATGTAGCAGTATAGGTAGCCGTTGGAATTAAATTTGGGGAAACATATTGGAATCCAGAGTTCTTTATCTGATTCCAAGTTATGAAACTGGGTTGCTATTACCAAAAACAATATTTGAAGGTCAACTGGATGTAATGTGTGAGACTTAGGCCGCAATACATTACAGAGTCTGTTATTAGAAGCAATGATGAATGAATATAATAAAGTTCCTCTAGGAAAGTCTTCCATTTTATTCAACTGGCTAGACATGATGGAATGAATCTTTGCTCTTATGGGCTTCTTTAGTTTCAAACATTGGAGTGAGTTGAGAGAAAATTCTGGGTATAATTTATCAGTAAAATTTGAACATATCTCTGACAGTGTTTCGAAATCGGTACTCTCCAAATGACTTCTTAAATCAAAATTATCTCTTTTCTGAAATAGCTTCGTCAATTGCTTACTTGTCAATGTGGATAAAACAAAAGAGTGTAAAAAATGCAATTGAGCTTCCAATTCATCTCGACTCTCATCCCTACATCGCGACATAGCTACATAAAAAATGGGATCCTTATTGCAAAACACAAATGTAATATTAGACTCCTTCGATGTGAAAGTCTTGATATTGTCCTCATTTGAAGTTTGAAAAAATGAGATAATCGATGTTAGCAAGCCAATATAGGATGCTGAGAACTTATCATTTTCATACATGGAGTATACTGGTTTTCCCGCGGACGTGAAGATGAAAAAGTTCTTCGTAATATCCTCGTTAGAATTCTTGTCAAAAATTTGAGGCATTTCATTTATCATAAATGGTTTTGATATTGCTCCATCGGTTGAATATATGCTCTCATTTAAAGACCGCATCAGGTCAAATTCCAAAGAATCATCGATGTGATCGCTTTCATTCTGAAAATTGGAGCTCATAACAGGTCTCAAACTAGCCAAAGACCTAGAATGAGAGACCATAGAGGCCGTCATGTCTATATTTTCAGCCCTGGAGCTCGATCGATCGTTGTCAATATGGTCAATACCATCTTGAGGGGTAGCAATATTATCATCGCTGCTTGTATGCGTAATAGACCCAACTTCTGTAGACTGCAAATTCACAGAAGTGGTAGCCTCGGACTGTGATGGGACATTGAGCAGCCAGTTAGAACTCTTTCGACTAAGCATCTAATCTGAGATACAGGGATCGCGATATAAGTAAAGGGTTGGTTATCGCAATGCGTTTATGACCATTGGTGAGTGAGTGTTCTACTATTCAACACAATACCATACAAATGGCGTTTTGAACAAGAGTACCAATCACCAGTGTAAAGTTCTGTGAATAATCCCTACCTATTCGGCTGGTATTCTAGTCAGAAGTTTTACTAAAAAGTATATGGCCAGCTTCATTTCACTGTTATTATTGGGATCACTAAATATATCATTGAACGGCAAAATGCCTATGTATGTAGCTAAATATAACGTGACCAGTTAGTAATATTTTACGGGCACAAATACACATTTACACGAATATCACCTGACTAAATACATATTATAGTGATAATGTGACTGTTCAAGAGTACTAACATCCTTACACCACACACCAGAAACATCCTTGCATCCTTTTTGTACCATAATTGCCTAATGTGGTAATTTGTGTGGGCCAAACTTTGAAATTTTGAAAAAAAAATTGAAAAACTCAGTTTCTTCGTCTGCCAGAAGGTTGAAACTTTTCATCACAACCAAACAATTTTTTTTTTTCACTTTTTATAAAGTTATAGGCTAGTTTGATAGTGTAGTAAGTAGTGTTTCTGGACTGTCTTTGTATTCAGCGCTAACTCACAGTCGTGTGCAATCCAACAGAATTTTATTCTTAATACATATTTGTCGATTGAAAGTTACCAACATCAACTTTCCGTGTTCCATTCCGACATTTTTTTATAAATAAGAAGAAATTCTAACAACAAACTAGAACAATGTCTGCTCCAGAAGGTCAACAAAGAAGAGGTGGTTTCGGTGGTAGAAACAGAAGAGGTGGTAACAGAAGAGGTGGTAGAAACACCGAAGAAAAGGGATGGGTTCCAGTTACCAAGCTAGGTAGACTAGTGAAGGCTGGTAAGATCTCTTCTATCGAAGAAATCTTCTTGCACTCTTTGCCAGTTAAGGAATTCCAAATCATCGACACCTTGTTGCCAAACTTGCAAGATGAAGTTATGAACATCAAGCCAGTTCAAAAGCAAACCCGTGCCGGTCAAAGAACCAGATTTAAGGCTGTCGTTGTTGTCGGTGACTCCAACGGTCACGTTGGTCTAGGTATTAAGACCGCTAAGGAAGTCGCTGGTGCCATCAGAGCTGGTATCATCATTGCTAAGTTGTCTGTTATCCCAATCAGAAGAGGTTACTGGGGTACCAACTTGGGTCAACCTCACTCTTTGGCTACCAAGACCACTGGTAAGTGTGGTTCCGTCACTGTTAGATTGATCCCAGCCCCAAGAGGTTCTGGTATCGTCGCTTCCCCAGCTGTCAAGAAGTTGATGCAATTGGCTGGTGTTGAAGATGTCTACACTCAATCCAACGGTAAGACCAGAACTTTGGAAAACACCTTGAAGGCCGCTTTCGTTGCCATTGGTAACACTTACGCTTTCTTGACCCCAGACTTGTGGACCGAACACCCATTGCCATTGTCCCCATTGGATGTCTACTCCGATGAGGCCTCTGCTCAAAAGAAGAAGTACTAAACGAATAGTAGAAAGTAATTTCTCATTCATGTATAACATTTTCAATAATTTTTGTACAATTTTATAGTTTTTAATACTTCATTCTTACCCACATCAAATTATAGATGCTGTTCACAATGTACTCATTCCATATTAAATATTTTGTTCTTGCAAGGTCTACTGGAATTACTAACACTTGGGACGGACCCATTTTGTTATCGCTCGTTTCCATTTTACCACCTTCATGGCTATTATTACTATCTACAAGTAGAGCTGCGCCCTCCTACAAATGCATGTAGCGTAATTTCATGAGCCTGTAACGTTTAATACTACACGGTTTAACCAAGAATTACTCCTACAGTTTTGCTAATGCGTCCACGTTAGACTTTCCATAATGTATAATACCATCACAACACATGCAAGACACCCAGCAACTAACGGCTGAAGAATCTACTTCTTACTTACAAGATTGACAACCATTTATTGCAAATGGTTTTTGTATAATTCTATTTATTTGTTTTTTAGCTTTTTGTTTTTGTTTTTTGTTTGTTCTAAATTAAATAATCAGATAATTTTGAATTCATTAAAAATACCAATAGAGTAACTATAATTTCGTGATAATGAGTGGTAATTCAGTTCATATCCATGTCTTGTTGAGGAGCTGCTTCGATGTTTGAACTATCAGGCAAAGCAAACACTCGGTTGGTTGTTTGAATACCCTGTGCTGGGAAGGCAAACTGTGCCTGGTTCTGTTGTTGGTCACCACCCTGAGGCTGTTGCTTCTTGTCTGGCAATACACGTCCCTCTGGATGTCTGAATAGGCAGGCTGCGTTCTTACACTCAACACCAAAACGACAATCTTCGTTGATTGGATGACCAAAGAAACAATCAATTCTAGTACAGTTAGCACCATCACGACACATAACGTGGGATTTAGCATGTCTGAACTTACAACGCTTGTTAGTACAATGGATACCATATTTACATTGCTCCAAAGATTTCTCAACAGGTGGACGTGCCATTGCTGGAGGTGCAGAAACCTTCTTAACAGTCATTGGCTTCGCTTCTCTAATCTTTGACAAAGAGGAGTGGGCCTTTGTACATTGTGGATCTTCACAGGTTAAGTTGTTTGGACACCACATTAAGTCAATAACCTTAGCGTCTTCATTTGCAGGTGTTGGGTGACCAAATGGACACATTGGATTGGAACATAAAGTACCAAATTTACATAATACAATACCAGTCTGTACTGGCTTCTTCTTAGCGGCTAATAAAGCTAGCTTTCTTTGCTGGAACTCTTCACGAGTCTTCTCGATTTCTTTCATTAGTTCTTCATCTTCATTTGGATGCAAGAATTCACAAGTGCCTGGTGCCTTGGGACAGTTTGGATACTCGCTACACACCTTTGTTGGATGTGCATGAGGACATGATCTACCCAATGGACAATGAGGGAAAACTTTACAACGACCTTCTTTCTTGGTGCGCACAAAGTTTACATTTTGATCCTTGCCATCGACCATTCCAAGAGCACGGGCTAAAGGATTAAATCTATTATTGGTGTTTGCATTCTCGCGACTATTATAGGTGTTACGTAAACCACCCCTGCTAGCGCCACGGGCACCTCTACGAGATTTACCTACACCACCGCCACGGGATTGGAATTTGGGCTGGGTGTTAACTGCTTGGAATGCAGATTGTGGTTGAGATACGTCTCCGTTACCATTCTGAGTCGATGCATTAATAACGTCTTGAAATGCCGATACGGGTTGACTAGATTGCTCGGTTTGAGAGGTCGCATGTTGAGAAACCAGCATAGATCCTTGGCTTGGTTGTTGTTGTTGTTGCTGCTGCTGCTGCTGTTGTTGCATTAATTGTTCTTGTTGCTGCTGCTGCTGTTGCTGCTGCTGTTGTTGATCGGGTATATTGCCACCAGCACTCTGAGCATTCATCATCCTTATCTTATCGACAATGTTCTCTAAGGATTCACCTTGTTGCAATGCTTCCAATGCAAAGAAAGTTGTCTGGACAACATCCTGCAAAGCCTCAGGGGAAACAGAATCAAACAAGGACGATAACTCTTGCACCACTGATTCAACAGTACCACCGTTAACAATCAATAGAACGATGTACTCGGCGACATACGTTATGTCCTCGTTGAAGTTGGGAACTCCTTTAAGTCTCTCAGCCACTATAACTTTCAGATTCTCAGTGTACTGCTCTTGCGACATAATTTTTACTATTTTCTAACCTCTAGGATTCAATTCAAATGTGTATAATCCAGTTATCTTGCTCTCTGTTATGCTTCTGGAAACTGTGAAGCCATCGCAGCTTGTAACCGTCTGCCTTTTATACTTTTTCAGTTTTGCAGCGAAAAATTGAAAAATTTCACTCCGAACGCCACCAGCCGGATCAAAGACATTTCATACGGTTATAGATCATATGACTTATATCACAACAGGCTGAATAGAGTAGTCTATCCTTAGGCTATAAACAGTATTCTATTTCCGAGTATATACTCTAATTATATCTACACCCATTATCCCAGTTATAAAAGTGGAACTACAGATTTTTATATGTATTCTCCCTTTAAATTTTTTGTATTGTTGAGGCATGACTGTCAACTGATAATATAGATTGTACTCGAGGATACCACTTGGCTTATAAATTCATCAAAGTCATCATGCAGGAAGAGTTAAGGGATTGGTAGTTGTGGACTTTATAAACTAGCGTAAAGTTCCACGATGTGGATACAGAGATAGCAGTTCGTCGGTTCTTGACAGTTCTGCCTCTAGCTCTTTAACAATGTTTTCCAAATCCCAGTGATGTTCTGAGTATTTTGTGGCCAAGATATCCTTGTACTGTCTCCTTGCTCTTTCTCTGTGATCCATCAGCATTGCCATCAACGTGGGTAATGTGTCCTTTGTGCAGGCCACACTGCCTGGAGATTCACGGTAACTGTATATCTGATCCGTCACATCGCGTAGCTCCCTAGTAACATCCATAAGGTTTTGTTGTACCTTAGTAAATAGCATAATCTCGGCAAGACCCGAGCCATCACCTTTATCCTGGTATATCAACCCTTCGCTACGGGTCTCATTTCCCCTAGTGGTCTCCGAATATTGTATATAAGTAGTCTTGTAGTCCATTGTGACGCAAATTGTTTGAAACTATTCAGGTAAATTAGGTTAGCAGAACTTGATGGTATAGTACGGTAGATAAAACAAACCGTTTATTGTCCTTATATAATACAGGCGAGCAGCTCCAAATGATTCCCCCCATGTTTTAAATTCCCGCACCGATGCTCTTCATATATGTACGAATACGGGGAATGCTGATCCCATAAGTATGGACGATGACTCAGCACATGACTAAGTGACTACCTATATCAAGACTTATAGGTACAGGTTATGGTATCATAGAACCAATCTGCCTTTTAAATGTCTTAAATATATTGTTTTATATCGTATTACATAATTCTATCAAACCAAACTATAGTTGCCTTCTCATGGTATTTCAAGTTCAGGCCTAGTATATATACTCAGTATGGCGAAAAACATATGACCGTCATATTCTCAGCATTATTTCTTCTTGCTTTTCTTTTTATCCTTACCTTTCTTGAGTTCCTTCATTCTTTCTACCTTCTCTTGGATTCTTTCCAATGAAAGCTTGACATCACCCTTTTGGAAGTTGTCTAGATCGTAATATGCTGGTGCCAGTTCGATCAACCATTCAGGTCTTACCGAGGTGACTGTCCTAATATAATTCTTTGATGTAAGCACAAATTCATTGTAAATAACCCACTCTGCATCGTGGCCCAACACCGTACTTGGGTGGATTAATACGTCCTGGTTGTCCTTAACTGTAATGTAACCCTTACCACCGGATCTCTTCTTCGCGACTTGCATAAAGAAACCTGCAGCCAGTGCCTTCCTGATGTTGTCAAAATATTGAGGGCTCTCATAATCAGTAGTGTTTAGCTCTAAGTTATGACGTATCATTAGTCTTTCCAACTGTGAACGGATGTTATCAGCTGCCGATAGGGATCTGTAATTCAAGTAATGGTCACGACACCACTTATTGATACCGTACTCATACGCTTCGTCTGACTTGAAAGCATGGTAGACATTTAGAAGAGTAATGTGGTCACCATCCGGGTGAGCAAAAATGTTCTTGGCGTCATCAGCACGCTTCTTGTCCTTAGATGGACGGATGAATACATTAGGAACAGAAAGCATAGCAACAATTGTTAATATCTCCTGGGAACACTTGAATTCAAAAGCACCAATTAGCATTACAGCCAGCATTGGATCCAATGGGAATTGTGATGCAAGTCTACCTAAGGCGGTCAGATTACCTTCGTCATCAAGACAGGCAAGATAATTTAGTTCTTCCAACGCTCTCATCATTGTCTCTGGAGCTGGTGGGTCCATGAAATCGAAATGGACCAAGTCATCGATACCTAGTTTCTTTAACTCCAAAACGGTTGATGACAAGTTTGAACGTAGAATTTCTGGGTAACTTTGTTCAATAAGCTCCTTTTGAAATGCTTCTTCAGTATATAGTCTGAAACACTTACCTGGTCTAGTACGACCTGCTCTACCAGCTCTTTGTTGAGCAGAAGCCTTAGAAATTGGTGAAACCAACAAAGATTCGACCCTTATTCTAGGATTATACACCTTTTGTTTTGAGAAACCTGGGTCAACAACATAAACAATACCGTCAATGGTCAACGATGTTTCTGCAATATTTGTGGAAACGACAACCTTTCTACCAGGTCTACCATTATGTGATTCAGGTGCAGGTTCAAAAATTCTTTGTTGTTGATGAGGTGGTAATGAACCGTATAGGGGATAAACCGAAAGTGGCCCGCAGCCTTCTTCTCTAACCAATTGATCACCTTCTAGAGATATCTTCCTAACTGCGTCTTCAATTTCATCTTCACCAGTTAAGAAGAGAAGTATATCACCAGCTTCCTCTGTAGCATGAATTTGCAAAACAGTACGGATGGCAGAATCCAGGTAATCTCTTTGAAATTCTGGAGTATAGTACAATTCAACTGGGTATGTTCTACCTGGAACGGCCAGTAAAGGAGCGTTATGGAAGTAGTTTTGGAATTTTTCGGCATCTAAAGTAGCAGACATGACAATAATCTTCAAATCAGGTCTTCTTAACACAACTTGCTTGATCAAACCCATTAAAATATCTGTTGCCAAAGTACGTTCGTGCGCTTCATCTAGAATAATACATGAGTATCTCTTTAGGTCATGGTCCTCCATAGCTTCTCTCAATAACATACCGTCTGTCATATATTTCAATATAGTCTTGTTGGAGGTCTTGTTTTCAAATCTGATAGAGTAACCAACCTCTTCACCTAACTTGACATCCATTTCTTCAGCAACTCTTTGTGCAACAGACATTGCAGCAACACGACGAGGCTGGGTACATGCAATCTGAGTGTTTTCTAAGTGGGGCATCTCATCGAACAATACAAATTGTGGGATTTGAGTGGTCTTACCGGAACCAGTTTCACCAACAAAGACCATAATCTGGTTCTCCTGGTAAATCTTTAGAAACTCAGCTCTCTGTGCATGAACCGGAAGATCTTTTCTCACTTTCAGAATACCAAAGTATTTCTCACTGAATTGGTTACCTGTGAATGGGTTGATTTTACCAGTCTCTAACTTGTTAGCCTGTTCAACAGTAGTCTTGTGACGTACTAGGCCGTTAAACTCGCCCGCATCATGATGAACAAGTGGTTCCTCCGGTGGAATAGGGTGCTTCTTTGTCAAATCCTCGGCTATCTCAGCTGCATGTTCGGGAATCGAGGTTGCAACTGGATCAGCATGTTCATGCTGCGAACCTGAAAATCTTCTCTTAGAACCCATTGTTATGTGTCCTTATTTCTTGTGTTTAATACAACTTCCTATTCAACTTCCAGTAGAAAGATACACTGCTACTAATAGACAGTTCAATTATCATATAACAAGCCAATACTACAGTTCACTATTGCAAAAGTATATATTTTGAGATGCTCATCGCAAATTTTCCCAAAATTTTTCACGAAGACTTCACTTCGCCCAAAAAGAAAGAAGTCCAACTGGAGCAAGGGCTATTCCACTATCGTTAAACTGCCATTAGAGTAACCATTAGCAACTATTTGCACAATTGGTGGACTACTCCTAGTCTTGTATTACTATTTGTAATTGCTCTACCTTTTAAACTTTTAAATAGGCTGTTTTTGCTATCCATTCAATAGCGCTTCTAAAACTGCACCAGACAAAGTTGTACTGACAAAGGGTAATGTCTGCAAGGAAAGCACTGTATTACGCCTATTGTGTTGGAGGCTCCGCAAAGGAGGCCATTAAAGAGTCAATTCAATTTGGAGGAAAATCTGCCAAGCAATACGTTAATACGTCCATTGTTTTGAGACCTATCTTATCACAATTCCAATGGTACCACGATCCTGCTTGGGAAGAGGCTAAGAGTCTATCGAAGTCGCTTCGGAACGGCCAAACCCATGTCAAACACAGCAACAAAGCTGGTGTGAGACACTATTCTACTTCATCGAGGAGAAGTATCCAGGTATGTTTTCATTGATAAGCATAACAACTTATCGTACTTTATATCTTAACTCCAGAATTCATCTAATGTATGTGAACTCGATCGGATATTGATGGCAAAACCGCTGTATATATAATGCCTATCTGGCTTAGACACTTTGTGTTACATTTTTTTGAGCATCAATGTGGTTATCAAGAAATATAATCTCAATGATTGTTTAGTAAGGGATATTAGCGTTAGTTGCAGGTTCAACTGACGTGGTCATGAAACAAATAGAACAAACATTTTTGTATCCATAGGTGTATTCTACTAACGTTAATATAAATGAGATAAACCATTGCACCTATGACCCCTTTCTATCCGTATACACAGTTCCATTTTTGCAGTCACTTAGAGTCTTTTTATACTGTTATTCAAATGAACGTAAAACTAACAATCAAATATCATATTTTTGCTATAACTCTTTATTTCATTTGCATAAATTCTTATGTGTGTGTAATAATTATATGGCAATTATGAAGCTTATAATAGAAACCTACAAAAGAGCTAACTGAGGAAGAGCGAGAGAAACTTGCTAATGAAAGAAGTTCACAAGTGCCAGCGTCAAGAATATCACGTTTATTCCACTATGGTTCTTTGGCAGCAGGTATCGGTATGAATGCAGCAGCGGAAGGTTTATCACAGGTATCCAAGGGCCAATCGCCCAACTGGAAATCCCTGATCTTATCCGAGAGCAACATCGACAGAATTACAAAGAAATTCTCCCAAATGAGAGGTGCTGCTCTCAAAATAGGCCAAATGATGTCTTTCCAGGACGAAAAAATACTGCCAAGGGAATTGTATGAGATCTTATCCCGGGTTCAAAACAGCGCCAATTATATGCCCAGAAGACAGCTAGAAAAAGTCATGACAAAAGAATTGGGTGATAATTGGGAGGCAAAATTTAAATCTTTTGATAAGATTCCAATAGCAGCTGCTAGTATTGGCCAGGTTCATAATGGTGAACTGCTAGACGGTACTAAAATTGTTGTTAAAGTACAATACCCAGGTGTTAAGGACTCTATTGATTCTGATTTAAACAATCTGCTTCTTCTGCTAACTGCTTCACGTCTTTTACCTAAAGGTCTTTTCCTAGATAAGACAGTTGCAAACGCCAGAACTGAATTAAAATGGGAATGTGACTATATAAGAGAAGCAAAAGCTTTGCAAAGGTTCGAACTTTTGCTAAAGGACGACCCGGTATTTGTTGTGCCCCATGTATATGAAGAATTTACAACTGAAAATGTTCTCACAATGTCCAGAATGGAAGGTACTGAAATAATGAACTTGAAGAATGAAAGTAACTCACAAGAAATTAGAAACTTTATTTCTGAAAATATTATGAGACTATGTTTGGAAGAAATTGCAGTCTTTGAATTCATGCAAACTGATCCAAATTGGGCGAACTTCTTGTATAACGCAAAAACAAACAAGATCGAGCTACTTGATTTCGGCGCTTCTAGACCATTCCCCTCAGATTTCATTAAGAAATATAGAAAATTATTAACATATGCTACTCAAGAAAATCGAGCAGGTGCGTATGAAATGTCCAAAGAACTTGGCTACCTAACTGGTCTAGAATCCCAAAGTATGAAAGATGCTCATGTAGATAGTGTTATGACTCTTGGTGAACCTTTCAGAGGGTCTGTTGAAGATGTATTTGATTTTGCTAACCAGACTGTCTCCGACAGAATCAGAGGAAATATCGGTCTAATGGTTAACGAAAGACTATGCCCCCCACCAGAAGAAACATATTCATTGCACAGGAAGTTCAGTGGTATATTTCTTTTATGTGCAAGAATGGAGGCATCGGTACATTGTGCAAAGCTTTTCTCTAAATATTTTGCATTGAAGGAATGAATCATTTAAGTTGATTGGTTTTCTTACTCATTAGTAAAAGGGGAAGATTCAAAGATGAGTGCACCACAGGAGTGCATTAATTTGAGTCTACTACCCTGATTTTGTTACTGTTTATAGAACGTTATATTTTCACTCTTGTATATTGTTTTTTTTTTATGAAGTAATAGTTTTCTACATGTTTTACTTGTAAGGGCGATCGTATTCTAGAAATCTGAGCATCAGAAGGTGAGACTAGATGAATTCAATCAGCCAATGATACGTTTAGCCATATGAATTACTAGCATGTAATAGAAGCGAAATTGTAACTAAAACTCGCACACAACATCTACATAGAACACCTCTTATTGCATTCAGTAGGGTCCAATCCAGTGCCTTAAATTAACAAATACCGCACCAAAGCAGGTATTGCTGTGCTTAATAAATTCCACACCCCTATATATCGATTTAAGTTGAACATTAATTTAGCCAATTACCGATGACTTCATCAACCTAAAATTCCTCATCGAGCATCCCGGCAATATCCTATATTCGTAGTGACTTCAAAGCCTTCTCACTATAGAATGATCGACGATGCCCAAATAGAGGGATTTACGAGTACGGTATTCTCACTTTGCACAGAAAAGTATGTACATTTTGAAAGGGCAACATTCTTTTGCTGTGTGAATAAAGATAGGATCGGAGGACAATGGGGATTGGATCCTAGGGACTCTGCTCTTTCTTAGATTGACAACCCTTTTCTGAACGATATCATCGAGGAGTGAGCTTTACTGTAGTGACACATTGAGGGTGTTGTACTCTATAGAAAACCGTGAGGACATGGATTTGCGATTTTTTATAATATAAGCTTGTAATACAGTGCCAAGACCCCTATACTAAGCAATGCCTGATACGGTTACGTTAGTGAGAACAGTGGTTAGATCCTACCCAGAGAATGAGCAGTTGCATCAGTAGATTACCAAGTTGGTTGTTCTGGACCTGTTTGTTGCAACTTAACTTTTAACTTACTTCGGTAGCGGGTCCTAAACGTTAGGATAACTCTAAAAAGAGCAACAATATCCAGCCATGTTTTTAGATCATTCCCCTTTTCTTAATCGGAAAAGTCTTCTTTATGCATTCCATTACACCGACAATATTTTCATATATAAAGATAGATCAAAATGAGCTGAGTCAGGAGCTGATAGTTTTATTTTCTCCATTTCTCTCTTCTAAAATATACCAGGGAGCCATCCATTTTGGAGTGGCTCCCTCAGAATCGGATAGTCAGAGGTATAATACCTCTTGGAAGAAATTCCTTCCCTCTTTCGAGCGGCTAAAGGAATTACTTTGTACTATATTTGTGGTTTACTTATTGAAGATATACCCTAGACGATACATTGGCTCTAACGAAAACCAGTGATAGATTTTTTTAATGGCAGCTGCAAATGGAGTGGCCAATATAATTATTGGCGGGCAGGTACGGAGCCTGTTCCATTGCATTACGCACAGTGAAACCACGGAGGGTTGATAGAAATGTGCATTGCATTCGGTATCAAAGTTTGAATCATGCAAACTTTAGACTTATCTAACGAAGGAAATAAGCTCACAGTGGCTGTAGTCTCCTCTGATAGTATGTAACCATATCACATGTGAACATGTAAGATAAGTAATGATAGACCTTAATAAATATATTAATGTAACTTTTGTGAATTATTAAACCTTTTAATCGAACAGGAAATATTAAGAAACATAGAGAATTATACTGTAGTCGCTGTTATTATAGTTTAATAATGAAAAGTCTACTTTACTGCGTCAGTATTATTACTATTCAATTGCAACTGTCAAGAAGCAAAAAAAAATATAAATGAAACGGACAGGAATTGAACCTGCAACCCTTCGATTGCAATCATGAATTCCGAGGAAATCCCAGAGTTTAACTGGAGTCGAAAGCTCTACCATTGAGCCACCGCTTCATCTATTTGTTGTGAATTTTTGCCACGCAAGATACTGTACTACATCAAATTTGTTGAAAAAATATGTCGTACACAACTATGTATATAACATAGCCGAAACAAACCTTGAATTTAACCAGCACGAATAGTAATAACATAAGTCATACAAAACACTGTACTTTGTATTCAGAGTTGCATTGGTACTGGATTCAAGGTGTTAAAGCAGTGAGAGTTCGCTATTAGTTGATTGTCCTTTGTGGTATCATTTGGTATTGTTCGAATACCAAGAAAATTACTGCGAAACTGATACGTATATTGGCTAGGATTGAATATCCATAATTGCAGATAGCAATTTTTGAACACTTGCTTTCATAGCTCTGCTACACGAATAATTAGCTAAACAATGAGCATGTCACAAAAAGCAAAAACAATAGATGATCAAAATGAGGATGCGAGTGCATTGCAACAGTCCTTCACCATCTGGTCTCCCCAGGACACAGTACGAGATGTTGCGGAGTCCCTGGGTCTGGAAAATGTCAACGAGGAAGTGCTGAAGGCGCTTGCGATGGACGTCGAGTACCGTATACTGGAGATTATCGAGCAGGCGGTGAAGTTCAAGAGGCACTCGAAGCGGGACACCCTGACGACGGATGATGTGGCTAAAGCGCTACGTGTGCTGAATGTGGAGCCTCTGTATGGGTACCACGACGGCTCACACTCGAACAGAGAGCTGTCGTTTGCCAAGGTGAACACTGCTGGCGGGCAGTCTGTGTACTACTTGGATGAGGGAGAAGTGGACTTTGACAAGCTGATCAACGAGCCTCTGCCACAAGTGCCGCGTGTTCCTACGTTCACGACACATTGGCTGGCAGTCGAAGGTGTGCAACCTGCAATTGTGCAGAACCCTAACCTGAACGACATCAGACAGTCGCAGCCTCCGATAGTGCGTGGAGCCATTGTGACAGCGCTGAATGAGAGCAGCTCACAACTTGGAGGCAGCAGTGGTAGTAACAACGGGACGGGCAAGGGCAGTGTCGGTGGAGAGAGTGTTGGTGGGAGTGGGAGCAATCTTGCGAGCGTTGTGCAGCCCGGGCAGAACGTGGATGTCAAGCCACTGGTGAAGCATGTGCTGTCGAAGGAGCTGCAGATATACTTCAACCAGATCATTAGTACACTGACGAAGCATGTTGAGAGTGGGGACGAGGAAGGCCAGCACATGAAGGGAGCGGCACTGATGTCCTTGAAGACGGATACTGGTCTGCACCAGCTGGTGCCCTACTTCATCCAGTTCATAGCAGAACAGATCACACATAACCTATCCGACCTTGAACTGCTGGGGACGATACTGGAGATGATGTACTCGCTGCTGAGCAACACGTCGATCTTCCTTGACCCATATATCCACTCGCTGATGCCATCTGTGCTGACGCTGCTGCTGGCGAAGAGGCTAGGAGGGACGCCTGAGAAGGACGACGAGGCTAGTGCTGTGGAGTTTCTTGAGAAGACGAATGCTGTGCGGGACTTTGCGGCGTCGTTGCTGGACCACATATTGCGTAAGTTCCCACAGGTGTACAAGTCGCTGAAGCCGCGGGTGACACGGACGCTACTGAAGACGTTCCTGGACACCAACCGGTCATTTGGGACATACTACGGGTGCCTGCGTGGTGTCTCTGTGCTGGAGCCGGAGTCGATACGGTTCTTCCTGGGGAACCTGCACAACTGGGCCAGGCTAGTGTTTGAAGAGCAAGGGGTCACGGTGGGAGATGCTGGGGAGCACACGCCATCGCGGTTTTCGAAGCAAGAGGTAGGACAGCTAGTGGATGCGATTGTGTCAGCGCTGGTTGTCCTGAAGAAAGACCTGCCTGAAGTGTACGAGGGCCAAGGTGAGGCGGTCAGCGAGGGAGACAAGGAGCGGCTGGTGGCCAAGTGTGGTGTCACCGTTGCCCATAGCATATTGGAGCGGGAGGATGCACAGGAGATTACATGTGCCATTTTCTTTGGTGAAAACATGTAAAAATATAAATATACTAAAATACTGTATAGGATGCTATTAAATGGTTCTGTATGCTATTATGACGGCGTTTATAATATTGCTCGTTTGGAAGTTCAATCACTGCATTGAAATTACTACTTTGTTTATGGTGCGAATAGTCGTCTTTTAACCTTTTTATTGGGTGGAATACTTGTTTTGGTATTATTATTCTCTGAGTTCCCTTTTACATTGGTCTGGCTTTTCGCTATTATGCCTGCATCTGGCGATTCTATAATAAGTGGTGATTGCTCTTGCGCTTTTAAATTAGATTGTCTTTTACCCATTGGAGTTGATAAGACTTGTATAGTATTGGTTTCGTTGACCTCCTTTATACTTTTGTGAGAAAAGGCAAAACTAGATGTTGCATCAGTTGACTTTTTGAATATTGATTTGTTTCTCCCAACTCTTCGAAAAGATTGTTGTTTTAGTCTCGATATAGAATTAGACATCTTTGGTTGGGTATTTTTGTCAGATGTAGTACTTACTTGAGGATTTTGTGAATCTAGATGCCTTGAATTATCAACTGCAAATTGTCGTTTTTCAAGGAAAGATATATCAGAAGTTGTTCGCGATATCGGTAAAAGCCTTTTGTTAACAGATCCCTCTTTTTCAATAAAATCTGTAAGATTTGAATTAGCCCTTTGTGATAGAAAAGTAGATTTACGGCTTGGAGAGCTGCTCCTCAGTTCCTCTTTGTTTTTTTCACTGCTAGCATATTGTACACTTGACGCTCTAAGTGGATCTGTTCCATTATTAATATTGGAGAAATCATTGAATGAATTGTCCATGAGTGGAGTTGATTCATTTACAGTATTCCCTGTAGTTATTCTCTTTAGAGGTTGCTTACGCATACTGGGCCCCTTTAGTTTTTGGATAATAAATTTAATGGTATTAGGTGCCTTTCTGTTATAGTATGGTATCAATGTGTAATTCACAAAGCCCACGACTGAAGCTTCATCGTTTTTATCCAAAATACGTTTCATATAATGTTGGAAGTTATATTTTTTTGTCTCTACCATATTCTCCTCAGGTTGATCACTTTCACTATCTGTATTATTATTATCTAAATTCGTTGAGCTCATCAAAATGTCAGTAATCAATAGTTTATCTAAATATATATCCAGTAGTTCATAAAAGTCAAAGATATTGTTTTGGATGGTATCAGTTTGGGTCGTAATTTTGAATGTACCATCATTTACATTATTGTTACTATTATTATCGTTGTTGTTGTTAATATCGTTTCCTTTTGGAGAGTCCAGCTCTCTACTAGTGGAAGGATTCTTTCTTGTTCGTGAGCGCCTCTGCATGAAAGACGATCTGGTTACATTTCGAGATCTCTGTTCTAATTTATTTTTGTACTGCTTCTCAAAACTGTCGAACTGTTCATCCAAAGATAGTAGATGCATCATTTCAAGTAGCAAAACTACTTGAATCTTAAGTTCACGATATTTTAGAACTGATAGCATCAGCATCTTTTCTGATAGATCATTACCTAAGCTATCATCAGTTAAATTTTGAGACGCTGTTAGTAGCTCAAGGATTTCACTATTTGGATCAAATGTTGATAACAAGGTAGTTAAACCATTCAATGTATGACGTTCATCAAAGTTCCTCACTGGTATTAGGCTACTCTTGATAAGTGCTATATACTGTGACAAATAATCGCTTGTACTCGTGTTTGCCTTAAATAAATTTCGTACCCTAGGTAAATGTGACTTAACAAAGTAAGTTATGGCGTTATCAAGTTCAAATAGAGTACTGTAATACCTCTGATTGAAGTATATTTTTGGATCTGACACAAGACAGGTTTCTGTTCTAGTATTTTTGTTTTGCTCGTTGTTTGATGGTAGAGTCATAAATAGTTCACTAGAATTGCCAATAATCTTTCTGTCTTTCGTTGACTCCGCAAAACTATTAAAAATCTTGGTTATCTTTATTTCATCCCATTCTGCTTTACTTGTCCCGTAATTATTAATTTCATCGATAGATTGATATCCATTAGTTGACCCAAATTCCTTTGTAGTAACCTCATCTGAAAACTCTATAAGATCAATTAGCTTAGTTATAGAATGTTTATCCATTTCCACTATCCATATTACCCAGTACTCTTTGCCGTATCTCTCCATCACGTAAAATTTATCGTCAGCATCAGTTAAAATATGTTTGCAGTAAATAGGTGTGTTACCAACCTCACTTAAGACATCATCAGGTAATATATTAGCATGTACTACGCGAGGATGATCTGTGGCAATGGTTATATCTGGTGGTAATACCGGTAATGTAGCAACTACACTCCATTGTTCCATAACATATAGTAGTCTAATAAAAAGGTCAGTTTAAGCTCGTTGCCGTTACAATAACTTTCAGCACTTTTAATGTCGCGAACTAAGTAGCTGGATGTCCTCTGGATTTAATACTATACTTGGCTAGTGATTGTAATAGAATCTCCAATTACCATTTATCGAGCTCTCGGAGTCTATCCAGTGGCATTATCATCTTTCATGGTATTATTTATGCGATGAGCTTCAAGCAAATGGTAATTCCGGGTAAACTAGGGAAAAGAACAATATAATGAATAGAGCTTCTCAAAGAGAAGAAAATCTCTCATTCTCATATAAAAGGTCTCACCTAATAGCACACACTTAGCAACAAAGCGTTGTTTTAATTATTTAAATGAAAAGTTCTTATTTCAAGGGAATGGCGTTGTTTAATTGCGATAGTACTTCACTCGACTTAGTTTAAATTAGAAGTACCATATCGGCTGGTCTATACGTATTCAATAAATGGAAATATAATTTGGATTAACATTAGAAATGATCATGAATATATATTATTAGTCTAAGTATTAAAAATGTGGAACGTTGAGTGTAGTAAAGATTATGTTAAGAATACTGCATACACCCTCACCCAATATTAAACCCGAACTACATACAATAAGTGTAGTTTTCACATCAATGTTACCCTTATGGTTCGAAAGCCACATGTGGGCAGCTAGGCCACCAATGAATCTTGCAATTGTAAAACTAGGTGAGTTAAAAAGTCCAATTCCCACGGCAACTCCAGAGGGTATATATTTCATCCACCGAAGTTCTCTTTCTCTGTAACAGTTTCTTATTAAAGACAAAATTGCAAATATTACCGCCAAAACTAAAGAGCATTCTAGCGTCCCATAAGGCAGTTCCTTACCTGTTACAAGCCTTGCACAATCTATCCAAACAGTTGCCGTTGGTATACGAAATTGTATGCTTGGTATGGTATAAACTCTATTGTAAATGAGATACATCACAGACGATAGAAACATTGACCATGTTATGCCTATCAGTTGCGCAATAAATTGCGCTCTGGGTGATGCGCCAAGAAGATGGCCTGTTTTCAGATCCTGCATTAAATCCCCTGCCTGCTGTGCACCTGCTTCAGCTATACCGCCAGCAACCAAGTTGATCAGTACTGCAGATGGATGGGTTTTTGGAATAATAAAAGAAAATAATAATTGAGAAATCTTACCGATTCCACTTACCGGGTTTAGATCCGTTTCTCCCAGAGCTCTAATTGCTAATATTGACAGGAATAATGCAGTAAAAAGGGCTAGTACCATGGAATAGACAGGAATTACTTCTATACCGAAAATGTAAATCACAAACGATATGCATATAACTGACGAAACAACAATACCTGATAGCACAGTAGTATATTTGACTAGATGTTTTTGATCAACCTCGTGTTCGAGATCGCGCGAAACTAATCTAACTGTTCCTACAGATTGAGCACTGCTCAAAGACCTTTGATGATTTATTGCCGCTTCCTCCTCCAATATCATCGATTCAAATGAATCATCAATCATATTCGAAATTATCACTCTCCTATTGTCAAGCATGAAGAATTTAACTAAGGAATTGATAAGTAACACTAGGAATCCAACAATACTATCGGTTATCATTATTGCTAACGAACACCATAAAACCCAGCCTTGTACACCTTCATTCCAATCAGTTACATCTTCTTCATTCGATACCCAGCCTTTGTGGACAGCAATAGGTGCTAGGATACCCCATCCAAGGATACATCCAAAAAGCATGTATGAAACTGTTGGTAACCCCATTATTATACCTTGTCCAAAGTATGCGGGCGAAGGTTGTAAATTCCATAAATATTTTTTTGATAGTTCATTCCCCAAGAATGGGATTGCTTTAATTACAGGAACGAAGTAAGCGATTACAGTGTAAATGGATGATATTGTGAAAGTTTGAACCAGAATTGTAATATTCTTCAAATACACGTTATTAGGTTGTATATCAGAAGGTGAAGTTGAGTTGTATTGCCTTTGTGCCTCAGCATTTATCAGAGGTGACAGAGCATTTTCTGTAGAATCGTCACTATCTGGATCCATTCTGAGTACCTCCGGGCACTGTTCCAATCTCCTTCTTCTCATTTGTAAAACCTCTTTCTTTGAGACTTCTTGGATGATCTCTGTTCCGTTTAGAACTGCAATCAAAGTTGCAGTGGCATTGCCACTAGGGAAAGGTAACTTTTCTCTCACAATCACCTGCTTTCGAAGTGGAACTGCAAAAAATATCCCAAAGTAAGTTAGAGCTGCTGACCATAATAAAAGCTGTATAAAAGTGAAAGGTATGCCTTGTTCTCTGGTACCGCCCGATTCTTCATAAGTTAAGAATTTCTCTATTGCAGGTACGACTCCAACAAAACCTAGAGCTAAAGGGCCTGTCCCTATAGCAACGGCCAAGCTTTGTACGTATACATTTTCAACGTCAGTGAAAACGGGATCATCAGGTTTGAACACTGGCCATAATTGTTTAAATATAGCACACGCCAATAAGGCAGATGGAAGAGACATCATCGATACCCAACCGGTTTGTAATCCAAACTGAAAATTAGATATCAGAACTAATGAACCAATGAAGATACCTGCAATGGTACCCCTCACTGTTATTTGATTTATTGATGGTTTGTCTGCCCATCTCACAGATTGCTGATCTGATTGATCTGTCTTGGTAGAAGTCATCGTCGGCCGCCTCTCATCTACAAGTACCATATTTGCTTTGCTATTATAATGTTATCTAATTGAAATAGATGACTAATGGATAATAAATGTGTATTAAATTGCTATAATCGACAGCAGCTCCTATTAGATTGTCGTTGATCGATTATATTTGCCACTTGTTCCCAACAATAAATGTTAATAAGCACTCAAACAACAGTGTCGAATTGTCAACTTTAATTGCCCCAGAATTACAATCGATGATATGAGGTCTATAATTTTTACCAATGACTTAAACTCATTATTGGACTCTTCAACTCCGATGATAAGGTGTAGTTTTATTCAGTGGCACATATAAGTACTTTTCCTAAATCAAAACAATAAGTAGTAATGAAATAGATTTATTTATATAGTCTGTTGTTCAGCTGATGTAGTAGACACCCTGACTACACGAAAAGGTGTCTAAAGCAGATAGTTGTGTCATGTATACATTGCTACAAACTGAGTACTATCAATTGTTATCAGACAGCTAGAGAAAGCTGCGATGAGCTTAGGAGATCACAGTTTTTCACTGAGAAATGATCGCTCGCACAAGATAGGCAATTTACTGTCTTTCTACGGTAATTAGTAAGCGTGAAATATACTATCAATATATATGGGCTTGTGGTGCAATTCCTCACACCTAAGAGACAGACACCCCCCACTTCGCAATCGTTCGCATAGAATTCTGATTCAAGATCTGTATGGTTGTGAACAGTTGATTTTTCTAGGATTACAGTAGTGTACATATCATTAAAGTTTAAATAATACTGAAGAAAATGAAGAAAATAAAAATGTTATCATATTCAAAAAGCCTGTCATTGAATATGATTGTGGTTTTTAGGAATATTGCCGTCAATGGAAAAGCTTGCAGATATATGCGTACTGGTAGCTTATGTTTTTTCCCTTTTCATAGTTTTTCATAATGGTTCCTTTCATCATCAAAAATATTACAATGCGCGTTCATATTTAAATGTTGCATTATGGGGGGAGTTAACCCCTCCGCTCATCTAATTGTTGCCCAATAGGATATACCTCAATATATCGCTCAAAGTAAGCACACCTGTCAATCTACCGTTTTCGTCAACAACAAAAAATCTATGAATTCTTGATTTTCTGATATTATCCATTATTGATGATAACTTATCGTTCTTTGTACAGGTGTAGACGCCTTCAAAATCATCACTTCTTCTCATAAGTGCTTCACCAACACTCAATGATAGATCATTATATATGCCACCCTTGATCAACCCCAGAACGTCATAAGCTTCATATACATTAATCAATACCCCGTTCTCATCTGTGATTGGTACAGAGGAAACACCAGCTTGAGTAAGTAATTGTATAACATCAATGACTGGTGTAGACATGTGGCAGAATTTCATGTTCTGTTCCGAAATTATGCCCAATTCACCAATCGGTCTTTGTAACAAATGCGTCTCTCTGCAGTTCAGGGACACGAACTTTAGGATTCTGTATTGGGTAAGAACACTAACAACAATTTCTCTGTGTGTCTCTTCGTCTTCGTCAATAAGAGGTATACGACCACTTCTGGATTCCAACATCTTTAGGCATGCATCATATAGAGGTCTTGATGGATGTACATAAGCTGTATCTAATTGGTCTACACCAATCGCCTTCTCAACTTCTTTTAAACCATCAAGTTGTAACTTGTCTACAATATCAAACTTATCAGGATTCGAGAAATAGTACTGTATGACATTGATGAAATCTGTGGTGGTTAACAACCCTGCAAAACGAGAAGTTTTTGAGTCCCATAATGGAGCCGAGACAATGCTGTTTTGTAAAAGTACATTTAGGGACTTCTTGACCAACAAAGCAGTATCTAGCACCACAAGTCTGTAAGACACCGGTAAAACATCATAGGAAGTCTTTGACTGCAGAAACGAACGTATAGACTGCACAGCTAGCTTTTGCTCAATTGCTATGTTTTCTCTTTGTTCCTCTGTTAATTCTCTCATATTAATTTCACTTTTATCTTCAATTGATACTGTCTATTGCGAGGATGTAATAGCTGTGATTACCAACAATAAACTTATCGATCGCTGCCCTGTAGAATAATCTACTATAATGCTGAAAATATGGTCTAGAAAATGAATCGGACTTGCGTTAAGAAGTGCTGTTCTAGCTCTAGATGCCTGAAATAATAATAATAGGGAATGTTTGATTATTATGTGTTGCTTCAGCCTTTACTTGTCCGTTATCAGAGTTGGCCCAGAAACCTGCAAATCCCAGTCCTATTTGTTCAGCTTTTCCCTTCCAGTTCTCGATAATTTCCCCTTTGTTCCATCGCAAAAGGACTTGACTACACTTTAAAAATTTCGTGCTGTGTGAATATACACTAAACCGTAATGATCAATACTGTATTTATTGCAATGTGCAGCAGGTAATACTGGATGTATTGGTTGTAACTCAGGTGCTCTATGTCTTGGGCTATTTATATTATTTTTATTTTGAATTTTGCAGTTATTTAAGTTGTAATGCTATATGCAGGAAGAATTTTTTTTAGATACCAAGTAGATATGCTATCAAATATCATGATCAGTTCGAGTAATGCAAAAGTATCAATTGTGAGTGTCGTAAATATTTTGATACCATAAGGTAGTTTCTTATCTTATTAGAAAATCTGTCGCTTTTGCTGCCGAAGATGGTGATTTGGAGTTGATTACAGTACGGGTAACGCTTTCATGGTGATAAGAAGAGCTCTCATAATCGGAATCGTCATTATTTGTTAGCTTGCGAGATGCATCTAATCTCTCTCTATAGTAAGGTGTATTGTTCGTCATTAATTCTTCGACTACGTTACCTTTTGATTTTTGTTTGTACTTTCTCTTTGGCTCAAATATCTTGTAGAACTTCAAGTTTTCATCACCACCAATGGTTGCGAGAACAGTGCCATCGGGAGATAACTTTGAGCAGCATATTCTAGCATCGTGGGCATGCACTACCTCTGCTACTTTATACCTTGTTTCATAGTTGTAAATAGAGATCGAGTTGTCTGGTGACCCACCAGTGGCCACTATTTCGACATTCATGTTACCTTTGGTATCATAACTTTGACCCCAATGCAATGAACTCACCTGTGAGCCGGTATTTATAGTATGTAGTTTTGCACCTGTTGTTGAGTTCCAAAAATGAATCTGTTGGTCAGTTTGACCACCACCACTAGCTAGGAGTCCGGCATTTGTTGGAGACCAAGCCAGTGCTTTCACAGCGGCTGAATGATCTTTCTTGACAAATTGTGGCATAGAAGTCCTAGTATCCCATATCATCATTGTGTTATCATTACCGCCAGATGCCAATTGTAAGCCGTCAGCTTTGTAGCTCAATCCACAAACTTCCCCAGTGTGTTCGTCCCATGTATTAACAATATGGTCTTTTATCCGAACGTCATTTATCTGTATTTCACCGCTACGGAAGCCAGTAGCCAGTAGCGTTTCTAACCATGATTGAGAACCTATCCTAACGTTCAATTTGGATCTCATAGTTCTCACTAACGTCGAAGTCTCTACATCCCAGATTTCGGTGTTACCATCAGACTTACCAATAGAAATGTGGCAGTCGTCATCGGACCAATGGACACTAGTGATTTGGCACTCTTCATACTCTTTCAGTAAAGTGGCTTCTCCATTATTACCATTCCACAAGTATAAACTGTCATTTAACGCTATGGCTAGGATATTTTTCTTTGACCAATCAATTAGATTTAAATAGAAATCATCCTGAAAGCCCGGTGCATCCAAGATTCTCTCCGGATTTGTGTTCACTTTTCTCAATTTCATTAACTCAGTATTTTTTTTCTGCAGTTGAGTTTGACTAGATCTATTCTGATAATGGTACTGGTGACGTCTCATTAAAGTAGCGGGCCTTTCCCTAGAGTAACTTGGTGGAGCTGGTAGGTACTGTAGGATTCTATTGTCCATCTCGAGACCGCAAGCCTCAGCAACATTTTGTTTAAAAACCAGTTTCGTTTGGGCTCTTAGATGTGTGACTGGAGATGCATTCGGAGGAGGAAGTTCTGTGTCCAACGAAATATGCTGAACTTTATTTTGGGAGCCGGATTGCAAAGTAGGTAGAAATCTGTCTGTTAAGGTAATAGTATCATCATTTGGCAAAGGTTGCGAGGACGACATGGGGCTCTTTGATAGTTCCTGAGATTTAGAAGGTGAATTGAATGCAAAGTCTGATCTCGAATACAAAGAAGTTGATTTTTCTTTGAAAAAAGACGAGTTCCTCTTTAACAGAGGTGGGGCCTGTACAGATATCTTAGGTCTAGAAAACTTTCCGAATGGTTCGTTAGCGTTCCCATTCTTGATATTTAGAGAGTGCGACCTCTCCAAAGGTCGCTTGGTCACTTTGTGCAACTTTGTGTTCCCATTCTGGCTGCTCATAATATTCAGTTTTGTAGGTGATGCAACCGAGAGCGCCGACCTCTTTGCACTGCTCGCTAGACTGTTGTCATTTTTATTGATCATCGGTGCTCGTCTTCCCAATAAATATAAGCTAGAGGTGCAAAATAAAAAATATCAAAATCCCAAAAGACCAACTCTATTTTAGCAAAAAAATAAGTTAAAATTCAAAAAAATGCAGATAAACTGTACCTGAGCTTGTGCCTGTTATTGTCAAGTTTTAAACCACAATTGAATACGTTAATGGGTCAAAGGTATTTCAAATAATATATTGTTGTTTTTGAAAATGGGAGGTGAAAGTTCAAGCTAAAACTTATTACCATTTAATAAGGAAAGGTTCTTTGAAACTAGGATCAAAAAATAGAATAATTACTACCGAATAGGAAATCCAATTGCTCTTGTATTTTTGAATACAAGAAAATAATTCTTTTAATTATAGCAAATCCTTCAGGGATTGATCCTGACAATACAAGAGAGAACTCTAGTGTGGGCTTTTCAAAGCAAGAATTCTCAATGCCCAAAGAGAATATTTGTGACAACTTAGGCTTCAGATTCTACTACTAGTTACTATGCTAATAGGCTATAATTCTTCGAAAGAGCAAATAGCTTCACTATCTCATCAGAGCCTCTTCACACAAAGAGAAAGGATGAGGTGGGATGTTTACATATTACCTTATTCGGCTAATTGATGAAATCTCGAGCTTAGAATGTTTGTCATTACCACATTAGGTAATACCTGTTTTGTTACCCGCAATTTACTTCTTTTGCATCACATGGGCAACTTCTTGTAATTTCGTATTAGGGTATTACCGGTCTTTATTTATAAGTTCTTCTAAGCTGTATCAATATCTGAATAGCCCATTGTTACTGATCTCAAAGTTATCTGCTCGATGGTATTATTCGAAATATGCGATATTGTAACCACTTTGATGTTAATATGATTTCTGTTCTTGTCTTGTACTAAGTATTGTAATTGTATTTTGTGGAATTTGTATTAAAAACGTTATTTAAACTTCTGTGACTGAAGTCCGATGGGAAAATATTATGTATTTTGGTTTGATATGCGTGAAGGTAGAGAAACTAGTCGAAAAGATTTACAAATTTTAAGTATAAGCAGGCTCCCGTAACTTACGCTGCCTTATTAATTTCTTTTTTTTTCAATGCGTCTTTCAGACTTTGGAGACTCTTAGAACAGTCTTCTTGCGGAGATTTTTAATCTGTCAAGACGTTCCTTGTAAAATTGTTGGAATTCGACATCTGCCAGGTCGAATTGGTCGTTAGCGTTAAATAGAAGGTTCTCAGAACCAGCGTTTATTACATCCGTGTATTCTTTGAAGCAGCGACTGTTCTTTACGAGCTTGTCAGCTACAATACTGAGTTCCACATTGAACGATTTCATCGAGGAGAGTAGAGACTCTGGAGTTATTGCTTGCTTGGTCTTCTCCACTATATTTATGTATTTCTGGATCATCTGTAACACAGTGTGGAAGTTTTCCTTTTGTTCTTTTAATACAAACCCATAGAAGTCCTTGTACAAACGTACTTTTAGATGTTCTTTGAATTCAGTGTAGATAGCCATCACCAGCGCATGTACCTCCTGCAAGTTTTCAATGATGGTTTGATTTAGTTTTGAGTTTTCGACGTCCATCTTGCCACGGATACTTCCTATTCTATCCCTCAGGTAGATAAGCTCCAGCATCTTAGGATGTCCCAGTTGCAATGCCTGGTCGATGGATATGGAGTCCTGGACTAGTTTCTTAGAAGTAGCAACATGGTGGACTAAAAATTTACCATCTGGGTACATCAGAGACTCCAGCAGACCATTTGTGAAAAATTGAAGAGGATCACACAAGTGCACGGTCTCCAACCTAAGCAGGTCATGGGTACTGATCTTGTCAACGTTAAAGACACGCTCGATCTTCTTCAAGTAGGTCTCCTCACGAGCCTTGACTACAGGACTGCGAACATTAAATTGCATCATCTTTGAGTTTGTCGTTAAAGTGGGCCTGTAAAATGCGCTGCTTGTAACAAAAGTAGTCGCTTGGGGTATTATTGGCAACTTATTGAAGTGTCCTGCACACAAATGTTGACTTGTTGGGCTATATCGCTGTACAGTTTTTTATTAAAAAATTCAGAAACTTTGAGAATATCCACTCATCTATAAGCAAGTTTTATATATCTAATTCCAAAACCCAGAAACTGTGTTAAGAGTTCAAGATTGGTGATGCAAGTTGTTGATCATCACCACTGATAGGGACTCGATGAGTCAAATTTTTTCTTCACACACAAAATATCTTTTTTCACAGAGAAACCGGGTGAGAATTAGAGCAAAAAAGAAAGATAAGGCCACTCTTAACAATCGAGAGGAGAGACTCTCAAAACTATTTAGCTCGGTGTGAGTGGAAAGCCAGTAATTAACGGTACTTGCTGCTCCAATACTCGAGAACAAATCACACCAAGCTACCTTTCGCCTCACACTAAGAGCCATTTCTTTCTTTTTTCATTCGGTGGGCATACGGAAGAGTCCAAGTCTGGGCCGAGTTGACGGTCATGACCTAATTGCTTTGATGATGAAGCTCGTCTTGCTGGATAGTCACGTTCAATGTGAATATAATGATACTCTGATATGTAGCGAAGGGCATCTATAAATCACTGGTACTTTAGCCCTCGCCAAAGAATATGGCACACGTAATCTCCTGTGCATCCTCCCGCTCCAATATGCTATGGGCAACGGTGACACCACACTTGGCCACCAGCCGCTCCTTGTCTCCCTCGCTGACCGCCTCACCTTTGCCCTCGTACACTTCAGGCAGGTCTTTCTTCAGGACAATCAGCGCTGACACAATCGCATCCACTAGCTGTCCTACCTCTTGCTTCGAAAATCGCGATGGCGTGTGCTCCCCAGCATCTCCCACCATGACCCCTTGCTCTTCAAACACTAGCCTGGCCCAGTTGTGCAGGTTCCCCAGGAAGAACCGTATCGACTCCGGCTCCAGCACAGAGACACCACGCAGGCACCCGTAGTAGGTCCCAAATGACCGGTTGGTGTCCAGGAACGTCTTCAGTAGCGTCCGTGTCACCCGCGGCTTCAGCGACTTGTACACCTGTGGGAACTTACGCAATATGTGGTCCAGCAACGACGCTGCAAAGTCCCGCACAGCATTCGTCTTCTCAAGAAACTCCACAGCACTAGCCTCGTCGTCCTTCTCAGGCGTCCCTCCCAGCCTCTTCGTCAGCAGCAGCGTCAGCACAGATGGCATCAGCGAGTGGATATATGGGTCAAGAAAGATCGACGTGTTGCTCAGCAGCGAGTACATCATCTCCAGTATCGTCCCCAGCAGTTCAAGGTCAGATAGGTTATGTGTGATCTGTTCTGCTATGAACTGGATGAAGTAGGGCACCAGCTGGTGCAGACCAGTATCCGTCTTCAAGGACATCAGTGCCGCTCCCTTCATGTGCTGGCCTTCCTCGTCCCCACTCTCAACATGCTTCGTCAGTGTACTAATGATCTGGTTGAAGTATATCTGCAGCTCCTTCGACAGCACATGCTTCACCAGTGGCTTGACATCCACGTTCTGCCCGGGCTGCACAACGCTCGCAAGATTGCTCCCACTCCCACCAACACTCTCTCCACCGACACTGCCCTTGCCCGTCCCGTTGTTACTACCACTGCTGCCTCCAAGTTGTGAGCTGCTCTCATTCAGCGCTGTCACAATGGCTCCACGCACTATCGGAGGCTGCGACTGTCTGATGTCGTTCAGGTTAGGGTTCTGCACAATTGCAGGTTGCACACCTTCGACTGCCAGCCAATGTGTCGTGAACGTAGGAACACGCGGCACTTGTGGCAGAGGCTCGTTGATCAGCTTGTCAAAGTCCACTTCTCCCTCATCCAAGTAGTACACAGACTGCCCGCCAGCAGTGTTCACCTTGGCAAACGACAGCTCTCTGTTCGAGTGTGAGCCGTCGTGGTACCCATACAGAGGCTCCACATTCAGCACACGGAGCGCTTTAGCCACATCATCCGTCGTCAGGGTGTCCCGCTTCGAGTGCCTCTTGAACTTCACCGCCTGCTCGATAATCTCCAGTATACGGTACTCGACGTCCATCGCAAGCGCCTTCAGAACTTCCTCATTGACATTTTCCAGACCCAGGGACTCCGCAACATCTCTTACTGTGTCCTGAGGAGACCAGATGGTGAAGGACTGTTGCAATGCACTTGCATCCTCATTTTGATCCAGTTCACCAGTTTTTTGTGCTATCGTCATCGTTGTTGCACTATATTCCACGAGTTAGCCAACCAAACCTCCAAATTTATTTTATGAGACTGTAGATTTATTTCAATTTACCAATAGGAAAGCTAGTTTGATCAATTTCTGGTAGACTCATCGCATATTAGTCCTCTTCATCACTAGTTCAGGTCTTCCTTTGAAACTTCGAAGGTGCCATTGTTGCCCACACGTACCGAAGGATTAATTCTGAAAAAAAAATTCAAAGCTCATCGCAGCTCATCGCAGGTGATGGCTATATTTTAGGCATAAGTATTCATCCATAGAGTTAGTAGTATTGGGTAAACTAGCTTTCTCAAGTTAAATCTAACCCCTCATTGTACAATAAAAAGATAGGAATATTGTATCGGCGATGAGAGTGTTAGCAAGTTGCGTTGACAACGGGTCATTAAAAGAAGCTGTGTTTGGGTTTGGTACTGATACATCTGTGCAAACAGCTCCTCAGCCACAATTGATTGAGACTCATCTTTGTGAAGGTTTAGATGCCCATGTTGAGCAGATCCACAAGATAGATGACGGCAAGTGGTTGCTGGCACGTCACAATGGTACAGTCCAATATGTTGAAAGCGAGTTGGTAGATCATTCTGAAATTGAAGGTATGAAAGTGAGCCATTTTGATGTTGTGGGTAGCATAACTGGACTGTTGGATGTTTCAAGACTAGATCATCTAAATGCACAGTCAAAGAGAAGAACCAAATTGAAGGATGGTTTTGTTTCTCTGGCTCCAGTGAGCAAGAAGGATTGTTACCTAGCATGCACTAAATCGGGTTTAGTGCACATACTTGCTTTAAATTTCAAGGACAAATTGTTGACCAAGTTGCAAACATTTGAAGTTAAGGCGCCATTGGAGTTTGCCCAGGTCTATGATGTTGAAAAGACAAAAAAAACTGTCTTTGCTTGTGGGGGTGAGGAAAACCTAGTAAAATTGTTCGAATTGTCAGAGTCCTGTGACAAGATATCAATGATATGGGAGTCTAAAAATGTGAAGAATGATAGATTAGATATGCGTGTACCAGTTTGGCCTGTTGCTCTTAAATTTCTACAACCTGTACCGACTTCAAGTGCAGGGTATGACAAGAACAAACTGAACTTCCAATTTCTAGTTGTGACTGGTTGGTCTCATTTTGGTATCTACAATACTCAACATGGTAAGAGGCCAATGAAATACCTAGACCTACTTCCAGAGCGTGAACCATTGAGACAATTGGAATTATTAGATCCTTCTCACAATACAAAAGCAATTACTCAACTAGGGAATTTAAAGTGTAAGGAAACCGAATCCCTAGAATTCATAACAACAGATAAGAAAACTCAAGTGCTTAAGTATAATGGTCAGGGTCAACTAATTGGGAAATATGGGAAGGGGGACATTACCGGTTTAGCCACTTATATTGGTATTCATGATCAAAAATATTTGTTGGAAGGAGGTCTTGATAGATATTTGAGAGTATTCGACATTGAATCAAGGGCACAAAAAGCAAAGATTTATTTAGGTACAAATATCAACAGGATACTGGTTCTAGACGAAGAATTGGAAGCATTGCAAGAAATAGAGATGGCAAAGAATAACAAAAGAAAGCAAACCGCATCTGATGAAGAAGATGATGCCGAAGAACTGTGGTCCAAATTGGAAACCAAAAAAGAGAAAAAAAGAAAGCTTTAATAGAATTCATTTATATATAAAATCTATAAAGGTATGAATTTCATGCCGTAATGCATACATAAACCATAAGTTATTCCAACTCATAACCCAGCTTTAGCTTGCTTCTTCATATTTCCGGCTTTTCTATTGTGGTTCGCTCTGCTAGCCTTGTTTTTCTCATTTCTTGCAAATTGTTTCTTACTTTTTTGTTGTGTTTGTTGATTATCTTCTTTTGTTGATTGGGGGTTCTTTCTATCTCTGTTATTATTAGACTTAGGTGGGCGGGTGTGTGCCTCATTATCAGAATTTTCGTCGCGGTTCTTAACATAGGAAGTTTTCCCTCTTTTAACATTCCCTCTGAACATATACTTCTCTTCAAGGATTCTAGCTCTTTGAGGCGATCTTTCTAGCATTCTTGCCCAACCTTCAATTTGTTCATCTGACCAGTTTGTCTCTTTCTTAATGTTCTTTCTTTCCTTTGTTCCCCTTCTTGACCTGCTAAATATTTCCTTGTCTTTCTTTAGTAGCTCCCATAAGTACTTCTCATTAGCCTCAAATTGACTTTGTATCTTATTGGTATTTGTTTCGTTAGTAGATTTCGTTTTATCTACCTCATCTTCGAGTGAAATCTTTTCGGCCAAATTAGCATGATTTACTTCAGACTCATCATAGGTGTCGTCATGTTCATCTTCATCTTTTTCATAAAGTAACTCTAAAGCTCTGGTTAGAGTTTTATTCCTCAATTCATCTGGCACATGTCTGTCTGAAATAATCTCGCTTTCTTCATGAGATTTCCTTCTCTCACGGCGATATCTAGGTCCAGATAATGGTTTCTTGATGGTATTTATTGATTTTGGTTTTTCTTTTGGAATACTTTCAACAATTGTTGGATCTTCAAAAAGCGCATCTGTCAAAGTCTCAACATTATTCTCGAATTTGACCAAAAGTAGTTCAACTTGATAGTCCGTAAGATCAGGGAAAATCTCTTTTATAGAATCTATATTGTTCTGATCAATCTGATAATTCTCCTCGATATCTTCGTATTGTGATGTTGGGACTGACATGTTGACATTCAAAAATGGGAAATCTTTTTTCAATGATTTATTGTACTTCTCGTAAGACTTATTCAAAATTATAGATCCCAAAAGTGGGTACATTACTAGGTTTTCTATATTGGAAATTTCGAGATCTTTCAGTAGTTTGGAAATTACTTTATCTGGTGAAGTTATTAAGCATATTAGCATTAGTTGCCTAACGATTTCACTTGATCTTCCCTGCCCTTTATTCCATAGTTGTTCTAAAGTCTCCACCCAATTAGTAGTTAGGAAACTACTGTTAAAATTACTTTTAGTATGATCACCTTCACCCAACAAACTTTCAAAACATTTCAAATCAATTCTATCAAATTTACCAGTTTCTAATAGCATCTTCAGGTGTGTTTGTATCTGTTTAGCCCAATTCAGTTGCGTTCTTGTAGTATTTATTTGCGGCTTTAATGAACCATCTAGCAGTGCCCTTACAGAATTTGGATTTCTGTTTGCGTAATATTTCACCAGATTCCAGATGGTTTCACCGTGTAATTGAAAATGCATTAACCCACACTTCTTAATAAGTTCAAAAACCCAAGTTCGCAGTAATTGCAATTGTTTTGTGACATCACTATTAGCACCAAGACTCAGAAGTTTACCTTCTTCTTCCGCCATTTCCTTAAGATACGTTCTCAAAAATATGCACAGATGATCATGTGTGGATTCATTTAAATCTTCAATGTTATTACCGTGGTTAAGAAACTTAAAATATTGAACATAGGTTTCCAGCAGATGGGCCCAAACCACAGGATCCTTCTCTATTAGCCATGCCCTCAGCTTGAATGGAGGAAAGTTAACAATCGGTAGTTCCAGTTTGGGCCTCTCACCTGTGATCTCCAAAATCTTTTGCACAGCCATTGTACTTATATTGTATACGCTTTTTGCCGACTGAATGGATGAAGATCGGATGAAGATAGATCTGTTTGGTATTATTTCTGGTTTGTATCTGTATAATATATTTTGGTTAGCCTTTCCTATAGATTCTTGATATTTTTTTGCCAAAAGTCAGGCCATCGCTTATTCCGAGGAAAATGAATAGGTTCAACTACTAAATGGCCTAATGATCAAAAATATTATAAAAGTGCCGATTTTTATACATCTATTCAAGCAGTGCATGAAAGTTTTATTATACAGTTTTTTATATTACATAGATGTCTTCCCAGCATTTTCTTGAGACTATCCTCACAGTGCAGTTTAGCAAGTATTCTAAGAGCATATGCATATGTTACATTAGGGATTTTGTCAAATGAATCAGTCCTTGATCTAATCCCATTCTAGACGTTCACGTTCAGCTTGTCTCATTTCAGCTTCCTCCATCATTTTGGATTTATGTGACTTTGCCCTTTCTTGCTCGAGTTTCTTGCCTAGCTCACCTTTGGTATTTTTCTGATGAGCATCCTGATACCTCTTTTCAGCTGCTAGTCTCGCAGCCTCCTTGGCTGATATCTTTTGCGTCTCTTCTCCAAGTACTTCGTCTCCTCCCAGTTTCTTCTTACTCTTGTTTCTTTGCGTCGTCCCACTCACTTTCGCAGCTGTATCACTCTTCTTCTGATGGCCAGTCCGCTGCACCGGTCTAGCGTCACTTGAACTGCTTGTAGGCTGACTGGGACTCTCTTTACTAGCACATAGACCCATTGCTAACTGATATGTATCTTTGTTTGACTATTAAGCCAACCGTTGGACAACTTCAACATTCTAACTTTGTAAATCTCTTTATATCCGATTCCCTTTTTCTCAGTTGCGCTGTTAGGGGAAAATGGTCTTTTGTGGAGTGCTATACAGTTAAGGCAGTGGCACAGTTGCTCTGGCAATGGTTTCAAGAGGTCATAGTTCATGATAAACAGGGTATATATATGATACATGAGTTTTGCTATTTACATGCAATTGTTATTAGATTTATATAGGGGTTATTGTGTAACGATTTGTGCCCATCTAGAGTTATATATGTGGGGCTTTGCATGGAGCCATTGTTTGTCAATAAGCATCGGGTGGTAAAAATGAGGAATATGAATTAGTAGTATAATTTAAATTCCTATTCAGTTTTGTAATGCTTCTTTCAAGCTCTTGACCTCGCAAACGGGTATGGAAGAGGTGTCCACCAGGTCTAGTCTTTGTAGGTTTTCTGCTAGAATTGGGAAGGACTTGGAGCAACCTTTCAAGATTCTGTATCTTTGCGAACCATCACGACAGTATTTTTGGTAAACATTTACTATTTGTAGGTACCATTCTATTCTGTCGAGAGACTCTTGGTTATCTTTATTCTCTTGTGCCCATTTTACAGTTGCATCTCTCAAAGCAGCCCAGTCAGCATTTGCAATATACTTGCTGCCAAGCGAGTCTGCCTTCAGGACAATCTCTTGCCATCTCTCTACAATCTGTTCTTTTGTAATGTTGTCAATTGACCCTAGTGATTTCAATAAAATTCTTGAAGTAATTAGAGATTTTGGAACGTTGAATAACTCAAAGTTCTTTTCGATGTACTTAATTACTTCTGGCTCTTTCCAGACTGTACATTTTGCCAAAATGATATTCAGAAATGGCTCGTCGATACCTTTCAAATTGTTGTATTGAGTTATAAGTTTTTGCAGTTGTTCTAGTCCTTCAGTCTTGTTTTCTTTGTACTTCTCAAAGAAGTAGGAGAAGAATTCATTATTCAGAGAGGAGAAGATAGCTAATCTCAGATTATTCTCTCCATAAAATGTCACCATCTTTTGCCATATCTCTTTAATTTTATTGAAGTCTTGATTCTCTGACCAAATATTATACATTAGCGAGTTCACAGCGGAGACTTGGATCTCCACTCTGTATGGCATTTCGTTGTTCACAGCCTTGTCGAGAAAGCTCTCTGCGACTGAGATATCCTTACATTGACTAATGAATGCGATATGAGTTTCTGATATGTATCCATAATGTACACCCTTGGAATTGGTACAGAGAGTTTCGAACAATTCTAATGCCTTCATGTTCTCGTTCGCCTTCAAACTTGTCAGAATCATACCCACATAGAGATTTGGGAACATACGGTTATGGTATTGTTCACATTCCTTGAATAACTTTTCAGCTTCACTGAAGTTGACGATTTCCTTTTCATAAAGTATTGGAAGGACGATACCAACGACATTAGGATGTTTTGAGATTTTACCAATATTGGATTGAGGGTTCTGCTCTGCGATGGTTTCGATTTTCTTCCAGATTTGAACTACTAGATCTGTAAAGCCCATCTCCTGGTATGAAGTGAACAAGTGCATTAGGCCGTTTGCATTTATTGGTACGTTGTTGTTGAGGATATCGTCCGAGATTTCATTTAATGAAGTGTATATAAAGTTCACCATTTCTTTGTGGAAAGATTGTGAGTCGTAATCTGGTTTCTTATTCAGGCTAGATACAAGTTGTCTGTCTGTTCTTAACCCATTGTGTAGTAGGTGTACCAAAGATGTCACCCTTTGATCTGTCATCTCGGGACATTGTTTCAGTTCGTTGTATAGAGTCATAGCCCGAGACACCGAATGCCAAAATGTTGGATTTGATCTCATATCAGGGTGGTTTACTCTATCGCTCAGAAGCTTTCTCATGGGAGTAGCTGATTGCTTTAACGTAGTGGTCAGACAGTCATCTAACGCACATAACTGAGCATACCATGGTGATGTCTCATCGACGGGAGATTTCCTTCCACCATAAGGCTTCCTCTTAGAAGATGTCTTCCCGCTGAGTATACTGTTAAGTTTCTCATCAAGGGCATCTGCTGGACCATTTCTGTTGTTGTTGCGTTTGTTGGCATAGTTCCTTCTGCTCTCCTGTGCTGCTACAACGTTTGCCGTGGAAGCCGTCTTAGACGTGGCTATCACACCCTTGTAGATGGTAGACGTCCTCGATAAATACCTGAACATCAGTTAAAGAAAAGTTTGTAAAATTATCCTTCAGTTATCGTATTTCTCGCCACTTTCAGCACCTAAATAGTATTATTATTATAAGTTCCAAATCCAGCTAAAGAAAACAAAAGCGATACTGTACTCAACTACCAAACCTTGAAAACAGTGATGTCTAATAGTACAATCTAATGTTCGTTTCATAGACTATTGTGTTCCTTACAGTGCACTCGCACTCATCTTCTTCATTTGAGCTTATTACTCTTCCTGGCGAGCTTTTACCCATGTATCACGAAGCACGTCATAGTTAAGAGGGGGGGCTTTCCTTGGATTCCCGTTTCCTGCGCTGGAAAACACAAATGTTGATCTGTTTTCTCGAGAATAGTGTTTAAGAAGTAGTTTGTATTTGGGCATTGAATTGGGTGGTTAGCAGCTCCAAGTGCCAGATAGCTAACACGAAACGTACACACTGTAACAATGTCCCAAAACAAAGATATATTCACCTTGTTTGACAAGAAAGGCCAGGGCTCTATCCCAAAGGATGTTGTTGGCGATTACTTGAGGGCCATTGGTTACAACCCAACAAATAAGCAAGTTACTGAGATATTAAGTGGTAGCGGTGAGGCTCTGACGCTTCCGGAAGTTGAGGAATTGGTCAAGAAGAATGAGGCGATGCTTGATGCCACTACAAAGGGTAAGCTAGAAGATTTCGTGAAGGCATTCCAGGTCTTTGACAAGGACAACACTGGTAAAGTGTCAGTTGGTGACCTAAGGTACATGTTGACTGGTCTTGGTGAGAAGTTGACTGACGAAGAAGTAGACGAGTTGCTAAAGGGTATAGAAGTTGACTCCGAGGGCCAGATAGATTATAAGAAGTTTATTGAGGATGTCCTGAGACAATGAGACCACTTTTTAACGCGTTTCTTGCAAACGGAGCATATATATCGTTAACATATAATTCGTATACTTATTAATACCACAACTCAATGAATTCCAAGACGTGTTTAGTTTTATTTGCTCTTTACCCGTTGGACTAGGTATTACTATCTATTAGTTATCAACCAAAACATAATTTAGACAATATGAAAAAGCTCATTATTGATTTACAGCATATTAATTCGAAACAATGCCATTTCAAAATAAAAATAAAAAAACAGTGAGAAATAAAGATACGTTATGTGATTATAAAAAACGTATTCTGGAACACAATATAACTAATTCCCATGGCTATATGATTTAAATGTTAAATAGCTTGTACTCTGATGACAGCGACTAAAATTTTATAATAAGTTCAAAAAAAAAATAAAAAAAACAACAACGAAATACATATATATGAAAGTATTGTGATCAATAAGCCAAACAGATTGTTTTTTAGTCCTTAGGATTATTAATATACATCGACTACTTTGAGCAGTTTAAAGTGTCCATAAAGAAAACTATTCCTTTTAGTAATTGTGTTGGTAAATATAGTATCAATATGAAATGGATGCAAAGGAATATTATCAATTGTTTACTCTCTTTTTCTAGAGAAGAAAGAAAAATTCTTTATGGTACGGGAATAATAAACGTTAAAAATATGTTAGAGTCAAAATAGGTGTACTGTTTTGTTGTTTTTAAAGAATAGTTTTTGACTCTAGTAATGATGGAATAATAAAAATTGTACATGAAGTTTGTCCTTAAACGTGATTTTGAAATGAAAGATCTACAGCTTTTTTATTTGTATCATTTGATATGTGTACCCACATTGTGTATCGTTAACTAGCAAAGGAATTCTCTAAGGAAAGCTCGATGAAAGATTTTTTCCTAGCATTCCCACATCTTATGGGAGGATTTTGATTTGCTCCGAAGGACGATTCTGTATTACTTCTAGTTCTGTTGAAAGGCGAGCTACCAATGTATGAAACTGTGTTACTCCGCTTATTTCTCAATTCGCGCTGGTTCTCAACTTGTTTAGCGGCTTCGCTGTCATACTCCTTGGTGGCTAAAGCGTCTAGTTGCGAAGATACGTATTTTTCAAGAGAATATAAGTGTGTTGGGATGCCAAAACTTCCACGGGAATAAGTTCTTGACGGAGAATCACCCACCGGAGTGGCAGAGTTCGATCTTTCCCTAATGATATTGTTGCTCATGAAAGTAGTGCTGTTGCTTCTGGCGGGTATGGTACTGTTGCTCCGCATCGGTATGGACACACCGCTCCTACCATAGGTTATGCTGTTTCCGTTAGTTGAAATGCGCCTTAGACTGGGTGCCCTTGATCTGCCGACCTGTATTGATTGCGAGCGGGTGTTAATTTGGTGCAGCATATTGCAAGTGTTGCGCCTTGACAGCACCGAGGGCCTTATAGGAAACTCAGGTTCTGTCTGTGTCCTCCGCAGCTTGAACTCCTCCACAGAAGCGCGAGCAGATGGTGTCATGGGAGGCCTAGCAGTGCAGTCCTGTCCCTCAGCGGATTGCCGCTCATTCTTCTCCTTAAACGGGTTGCGGAACTCATACTCTTGCTCTTTCACTTTGTTCGGCTCATCCAGGTTCAATACGTTCACCCTGTCGTTGACTGATTGGCAGGACGAGGTGTCCGAGACGTACGAGCAAGAGGTGCTTGACGCAGCGGAGGCCCTCCGCGCCAACTTCCTCTTCCCTTGCTCATCCGAAGCACACTCCTGGGCACACTCCTGGGCACACTCCTTCTCGCACAGTGCGTCCTCTTCCTCTTGCAAGGGGTCCAGTCCAGTGCTGGGACAGATCGATGCGACAAAGCTATTGTCCTTCACCAGCGCGCTGTTGTCCGCGGCGGGCTCGGGCGCGCCAGTGTACGCGTCATAGCCCTGGTAGTCGCGGTCGAGCATGTCAGTTTCATCCTGCTCGTCTATGTCCAAGGAGCAAGGGTCCTGGACTGCTCTTTCGAACACATCCAGCACGGAAGCGGAGCGACCTAGTGGCAAGACTAACTCATCCATGGTTTGGGGCATTTTGTATGTAGGCTATGTAGGGAGGGGCTAGCGATTCGAAAGAAAAAAGAGGCCCTTCATGAATATATATATTATATACTTCCTTGTGTTTTTACTAATTTCAGAAATAAAGGGCAATGGCAGACCTTATCAATGTTCTGTTGTGTGTATTTTATGGACCTTTTTTCTTTTCCTAGAGTTGCTAGTTGTATTGAGACAACCATCTACATTGTTTAGCCTTATTGCGCAATCTTGTGGGGTATCCTCGAATTATAAGAGAAGAGAAAGAGAAGAAAGTAAAGAACTTAGTGTGAAGAACATGGTGGTGAGTTGTCTGGAGGCTGTTCGCACTATCTGAGTTGGACTGGGGCAGTCTATAGCACTCTCTATATCACTCCAAGCACTCTATAGAGCTCTATAGCACTTTATAGCACTCTATAGTACTCTATAAGTAATGGCAGCATTGGCAGTGGCAGTAAGCCCCCCCACAGTGAAGGGCAGTTCCTTAAACACTCCCCTTAAAGCAAGGAGACAGCGAAATTGTTTCCAGAAAAAAAAGGGGGGACAAATGCTGGGGATGACGTGCCTGGGGGGCAAGGTGGCACAGAAAGTACTGGACAAACGAGTAGTACAAAAACATATTTTTGGCATTGGACAAATTTTAAGGGTCTAGGCCAAGCACGAAGGACCCGGGATTGTGTCTCATACATTGAGCCGTGTGCAATTTTAGACATAGAAGATGCTGGGGGGGAGAACGGATATTACGGGAAGTGTTGGGAGAAACGAGATATGTCTTAGGACAAATAACAAATAACAAATTGGTAATATAGAAACCCTTGTGCGCGATTACACTAGGCATATTAGCGATGCTAAGTAGGGAATACATACTACACACAGATAACGGGTACGTTACACTATGCTCACTTCACTGGCTTGCTGTATTGCTCGCTGCAACTTATTCACAATTTGCTCTTGATGCGAGCCTGCGAGTGTTCGTCCAGCCAGGCTTGCAGGTCGTTGAAGATCGGAGCGAACAGTTCGTCCTTCTCTAGGGACAGGATGCTGTGGCGAGCATGGTCGTAGATCCTGAGCGTCTTATCCTGCGCAGGGCACATGTCGTAGTACTTCTGCGAGCCCTGTGGGTCGTTGATGGTGTCGTCCTTGCCGTGCTGTATGAACAGCGGCTTGTCCCTTGGGTACTTGCGCGAGACGAACCCGTCCTGATCGTTGTATAGCCGCTTGCCTCTCTCCAGGAAGTCGTAGATCTGGCCGAAGCTGCCATACAGCGGCACACTCATGGGCTTGTCGTTCTCCAGGAACTTGCGGTAGCGCGGGTCCGAGGTGATGCCCTCGAGGTCCAGGCCCGTGTCGATCCTCGTCTTTGTCAGACACTTGGCCAGCACCGGCGACAGCCACTGGGTGATCTTATTGGGCGAGGAGTGTGGGTGCAGGATGATGAGCGGGCCCGACGCAATGTACCCGCTCACTTGGTCTCTGTGCTTGCCCTTGCTGGCGTAGTTGAGGATGATGCCGCCGCCCATGGAGTGGCCCCACAGAAACAGCGGAATGTCCTTCTCTTTGCACTCCAGCAGGTTCTTCGCGACAAAGTGGTCCAGGTCATTGAAAGTGTGGTACTCGTTGGTGATACCCTTCTGTTTGCCCGGGGAGGTCAAGCCGGCACCTCTCTGGTCAAACGTAAATGACTCGTAACCTGCCAATGCAAGGTGGTCCATCAGCCGGTGGTTGATCTTTGTGTACTCGCCAAACCCATGCACCAATAACACTCTAGCCTTCGGTGCTCCCTCCGATGGCCACAACACATACGCAAACTTAGCACCGTTAAACTCCTCGTATTTCAACTCCGGCTCTTTCGTCCTTAACTTGTATGGATATTCAGCCATTTCTGTCCTTGTGCTCTATGTTGTCTATATCAAATTGTGTCTATATCAAATTGTATCAGTAACAAGTTGTGTCTATAACAAGCTGTATCAATAACAAATTGTATCAATTGCAAGAACCAAAATAACTTGATTTGATAGATGTTACTAATAGCACCGTTTATCAAACTTGACTATGGTCCACAATTATATCCAAAAGAATCTATTACGTGAAAGTTAGAAATCAATACCTCATAAGTGGCCCAAAGACTGTACCACTGTCCATACACTACGTATATACAAGATTCTATTTCCTTTAGGTACTCTTCACACCACAAGTGTTGAGCATCCAGAGGCTCTCCAATAAATTCCCGTGGGATACATCCACTACAATTTCCTTTTAAAGTGGATCCGTCTTGCCGGAGCAACAAGCTTTTTGTCCTCACTTTTTTACCATGTTACTTTCCAATGTTTAGATGCATTTTTCCTCAATACTATGCAAAGGCCACTCTAAAGCAAAACGTAAGAATGTTGATCATGGAAGAGAAAAAAAAGTACACAAAAGCTTAAAAGGTAGGCTTTTACAGGTTTCATGTATTACGTATAGCAAGCTTGCCAAAAGAAGATGTAAACAGCTTGTTTGTAGAGAAGTTTTGTGGATGACGAATATGTCATTATGCAATGTCTATAATAGTGCAGTATATGAATATGTACAGTATTCTTATGCAACTTTTATCCCAATTTCAACCTGATAATTACATAAAAAAATAATAATGAAATTGTGAACATCAACTAACAAAGGAGAACTCTTATACCTGGTCAGAGACTTGTACTTACCGGTGAGTAAGAAATTACATAACCGAGAGTATCTCTGCATTGGGTAAATTTCCTGTTCCTTCACTTTCGTTGTCTCTTGACTATCCCTAGTGTATTCCTTTTCACTTTGAGTTTGATCTTCGTTGGCTTTTGTTTTGCTTCCATAGATGTATTTTTCAACTCTGGCAAATTTGATCGTGATTGTAATTGTGAGAATGTATCAGTGTTTTGGACCGCTGTCGTTTCAGATTTGTCGTCATTCGTACTTATCGAATTATGGCTCCTAAATTTGGCAAACGCAGATTCCGCAATTGCATCTAGATTTTGTTGCTCTAGCTTTGCGTTATTTTTCGGTTTGCTTATCTTACCTAGCATGTTCGAAGTTTCATATTTTGCTTTATTATTTTGAATCATCTGTTCTAGATCCTTGACATCCTTCTGTTGTTGTTGCAACTTAGCTAGTTTTTCTTCGAGTAATGCCATTTTGTCCTTAGACTTATCTTCTGATTTGCCCTTGTTCTGTTTCAATTCTTCTTCTTCTTCCTTTTCCTTGGCCAGCCGCTTTAAAGTTTCTTCCAAGGTCTCGTCCTGTGCCTTCTTCTCTTCCTCTTGTCGTTTTACGTAATTCCTTACACCACCGGACTCCATCACGTAGTCCGCACTCTTAGGGTCGGTCCTGAAGGAGATCGGATTAGCACACTGTGGACATCGTATGGTAAACCTGTATATCTTGATGGAGTCCAGGTACTTCTCATCCAGCGTCTTCTTCTTACCGTTGAACTTCCGACTCTTCGATATGTACTCATCGCACTTGGTGCACCGCATGCTGAACGGTGTCATAAGTCTGATAGTGCTTTCTGATTTATTGGCGTTCTTGAGTTTTTTGCTCATAGACCGGGCAATACGCTCAGCCTCTACTGGATCATAGTCCGGTGGATAGTATTTGTTTATGGCTTTCCTCTCTGACATGTGCGCGTCGTCTGTTGTATATCCAGTTGTGTATCAGGTTGTATATCAGGCACACCTACGTATCCCCAGCCAAGTTGACACTGCTATCTACTTGTGTTATCCCGCTATTATAGTCATCGAGCATTGCCCAATCTGGTAAATTACTGCTCGAAGCTCATCGCTCATCGAGTTTTTCATGATATTCTTCAGATGGATAAAAGTCTGTCCTCGTTATATATGATACATATATCTTGAGCAGCAGCAGCAACGGGGAAGGTCCTGGCGGGCACACACATAGGGATAATGACATGACAAGCTTGACAAAACTGATCATAAGATTTTAATGGGCAAATTATATTTATTAGGTTGTTTATTTAGAAAGGATAAGAATTTTAATTAGAAAAAAAAATGGAACAGGTTTTGAATTAATTAGCATATGTAAAAAAAACCGTAAAAAAAAATTAGTTATTGTTCTCGGGACATTAAACTAGATATTTCAAATTGCCCATGCAATAAATGGAGACCAGCCACCGTATAGCGATTTCATGTTCAATTCCATGATAAAGGGGAATTGAGATGATATACCATAGATTGATTGCCGCTAAAAATTCTTGAGGGACAATGAGTTTTAAACGTTCAATAAAAAACTCGCCAGTAAAACTCTAGTCAACGAATACCCACAGAATCAAAAAGGATTTAATGTAACTTGTTAAAATTAGATTAAAAAAGAGTTAAAGTTTGTAAGGATTTAATTTAAAATAATAAAAAGGTAAATGGATTTTTTTATATTTTAATGAACTTACAACAACATAGCGATGGCAGCGATGGCACCAGCACCCATACCAGCGGCAGCCTTAGCAGCACCGTTAGTGGTTTGAGCTTGGATTTGACCGTCGTTGATTTGAGAGATAGCAGCCTTGGTTGGGGCAGCAGAAGAAGCAGCAGCGGAAGATGGCTTAGCAGAAGAAGCAGCAGAGGAAGCAGAGCCAGCTGGGGTGAAGTCAGCAACAACGGAACCGTCCTTGGTGGATCTTGGGGAGATGACAATGTCAATAGCACCAGTACCTTGAGCAGTGGAGAACTTGTATTCAGAACCAGATGGGATGGCGAAGAAACCAGAGTTACCCTTGTAGGTCAAGTGGCTACCGCTTAGAGCGAAACCAGAGGTACCTTCGGATTCAGAACCGGTCTTGATGGAACCGTCAGAGTTGACGACAGCGTAGGTGTTGTCAGAGAACTTCAACTTACCAGCGTCAGTGACGGTACCAGCGAAAGAACCACCGGACTTCAAGACCAAAGCACCGTTTTCAGAGTTAACTGGGGTGTTTTGGACTGGAGAACCAGAGTGGATAGCCAACAAACCGAAGGCTTGGGAGTCAGCAAGAGCCAACTTGGCCATGGCGATCAAAGCAACAGAGAAAGCGGTAGTGAATTGCATCTTTATTATTTGTGTTGTGTGTGTGTGAGTTTGTAAAAAAAATAAAAAAACTATTAGCGAGTGTTTGGTTTTTTGATTTTTTCTTGATCTTCTTTTAACATCGAAACAAATATTAAAGTAAGAGTTGCAAGAAATCTACCAGAAGGAAATTCCGCTTGCTTATATATCTTTTTTTTCTTTCACTCTTGCGATTTGATAATTGCACTGGCTATATGAGTTCCCCCTTCACATCAATCATTTTGATAAGAATTTTTTTGTTTATTGTTTCCCTCCGAAGATTATACTATTTTTAATAGCTTTTTAGCATAGGATCTTCTTGTGAACCCCCCCCCACCACTCCGATTGTGCACAGTATTCTGTGCGATATGGCTTCTTGGAAAAGCAATACGTAAGTCAGTAATCCAATAGAACTTCTATTTCTAATAGCTTCTATTTCCATTTCCTATGAAATAACCGCAGAGAACTGAGAAATAGAATGAACGATTCCGGATATGTGGAAAGGGGGGGTATGGAAGGGAAAAGGATTGATTACGGCAGAGTGTTTGTGCAGCATTTACTGTGTGAGCTCCTGGCCAGCGCTATCCGTCAATGTTGCTGCTCCCATACTAAATTAGAAGTATTTTTCCACTTGTATTGAGCAAATCGAAAAGTCTGTTTTTGGGCAGGAGGGACTCGATTACGCAATTACGTTATGCACACTCGAGTCGTACTAGCATTTCTCTCTTGACAAACCCATTGTGTTTTGCGTGTATGTGTTTGTGCCTAGTGTTTGTACGTGTTTCTGGTGCGTGTTCGTATCCATTTGTGGATGTTTTTCTATTTCTATGTTTAGCAAGGTCTTTATGATTGGGAAGCACAGAAGCTAATTACCGGATTAGGAGGAAATTAATTTTGTGTGCCAGAAACGCCCGCAGGTTACCTACATATTAGCTAATTTTATTTGTAGAGTGAGATGAAAGTTTCGGTTCGAAAAGTTGTTGTTTTTTGATAGCTCCAGACAAAGTGTGCAGCGCTGTAAATTTTCAGAGAGCGTTGGATAATTGCTGGGCACGGTCTTGTAAGTTAGTGCTGATTTTCATTTTTCTTGTAAGTGCCTTTCTTTTTCCTTCTCGATTCTGCCACACAGACAGACTGTCTACGGGTGTTTCAGTTTGCTTGCTGGCTTCAGTTTCAGCTTCAGTTTGTATTTCTTCTTCTTTGTTTTGGTTTCATACACGGCCGGTTCTAACACCACGCCATTCCCGCCACCCGAAAATGGAAAGGCGAGAGTTGTACCACAAACTTTCGATCCCAAGTGCATAGCCATCCGAGTTCAATAGATACATAATTGTTCGTGCGACTGTTTCTAGCCGTTCCAAAAAAGTTGATGTGGTGGATGGATAGGGTGGATGGATGGAAAAGTGTAGGCCGGACACAGGATAAATGGAAAGCAACTTCTGTGTCCTGCGGTAGTTGACTGCTAGTCTCGGTGTTTATCACTTGACAGCGGGCCATTGTATGTGTGCGTGTGGTTTCTTACTGTTGGTACCACAGTCTCGGGCGAGGAAGGTGTGACTCCGGTTTCACCTGGGTTTCCAAAGGAGCAAAACACTGTCAAAATAGGATTGGTGTTATAAATTATCTGTCTAGAACCGTATGCAGGAGAAAATACAGGAGTAGACTTCCCCCCACCCCCACACAAAATTTTCTCTCCTCGTCAAGAGATATCCCTTCGTGTTTCAGAAGTGCCATGCATCCACATCCACACACACAATGTAAACCACTTGAGGAAAAATGACGTAATGCTAACTTTCCATACCTTCTCCCGAGAGTTCTTTCACAGGAGCAAATGAAAGCATATATTACTAGTTCACCAGAGAGCCAAGGAGAAACAGAGGATTGTGCGACAAACTAATTATAGTAGTTTCTGTTGATTTGTTTTTTCAATGGATGGCATCTGGGTGTTCGCCTAGACTTGCTAGCTTGTGGGATGCACGGCATTGCGCGGTATTTTTTGTTTGCTCTACGCAGATGCTGCTTGAAGGTAAATTAAGAGGTTATGCACTATTAAGGAATAAACCCCAATAGCCATTTCTTACAATATGTATCGGTGACAAAGAGAATCGATGATCTAAAGGAACAATGGCTAAATAAAAAAATATAGAACCTAAAATATTCCTGAAGGCCAATGTTATAGAAAACTACATAGCTTGACAATAAAGCAGTTAGAACCCTTGCAATATGCAAAGAACGATTACCTTACCTATTGATCTCACCTGCAAGTGGAAACTCGACCTAGATTGATGCAAAATTGATCATGGAAGTTGAGTTGATTGAGATGTTGGAATGAGATTGTGATAGATTGAACTTCAAAGAGTGAGAAAATAGTGCCGTTTCTTGTCTTTGTAGGTTTCCTATGTGTGTTTCTGACTCCTAATAAAGTCGTTTTTGATCCCACCTAACACCTTTAACTGATGTCGAACATGTATTGGGTGGGGGGTTCTCTTATTCTCCATCCCACTTTTCTCTCTTGCAAATCATTTCCCAGATGCAATTTTCTTTCTTGATCTATCACTCATCGCTGTCCTTGATTTTGATTTTGGTTTTAACTTCTGACGGTAATAGCTCGTTACCATACTCTTGAAAAAAACTTGATAGAATTTATTGTTTAAATTTTATAATAAACGAAATGAAGGGTATCTATATGACATTAAAATATTTGTAGTAAAAAATATTATACTAAAATTATTGAGAATTTCTCTATTGCAAGCAGATCAATGCTCGACTTTTTTTTGCATGCGTAAAATTGTATATTGAAGTGAAAAAAGCTGATAAAATTAATTTATAATTTTATAACTTACAACAACATAGCGATGGCAGCGATGGCACCAGCACCCATACCAGCAGCAGCCTTAGCAGCACCGTTGGTGGTTTGTTGGTGGATGGTGGAGGTAGCTTGGATTTGACCGTCACCGATTTGAGAGATAGCAGCCTTGGTTGGGGCAGCAGAAGAAGCAGCAGCGGAAGATGGCTTAGCAGAAGAAGCAGCAGAGGAAGCAGAGCCAGCTGGGGTGAAGTCAGCAACAACGGAACCGTCCTTGGTGGATCTTGGGGAGATGACAATGTCAATAGCACCAGTACCTTGAGCAGTGGAGAACTTGTATTCAGAACCAGATGGGATGGCGAAGAAACCAGAGTTACCCTTGTAGGTCAAGTGGCTACCGCTTAGAGCGAAACCAGAAGTACCTTCGGATTCAGAACCGGTCTTGATGGAACCGTCAGAGTTGACGACAGCGTAGGTGTTGTCAGAGAACTTCAACTTACCAGCGTCAGTGACGGTACCAGCGAAAGAACCACCGGTCTTCAAGACCAAAGCACCGTTTTGAGAGTCAACTGGGGTGTTTTGGACTGGAGAACCAGAGTGGATAGCCAACAAACCGAAGGCTTGGGAGTCAGCAAGAGCCAACTTGGCCATGGCGATCAAAGCAACAGAGAAAGCGGTAGTGAATTGCATTTTTTATTATATGTGTTTGTATTAAGCGAGTGTAAATTGGTTACTGGTTTTTTTTATGATAAATAGAACAAGAATAAATGAAATTGATTTGAATTTGTTAAATTGATTACAGATGCATCCCGTTTATATATGTTTTTTTTCCAACTTCAGTGCTGTAAAAAAATTTATGAAAATGTTTAATTCCTAGTATTTGTTTTGATTTGTTTTTGTTTGTTTTTCTGTGTATCTGTGCAAAAAAACTTATGACATGTTGTTCTATGTGTTCTCCCTAGGATGTAACCTTGTTTGATCCTGTCTAAGAACCTGTGCGAGAATCCTTTAAGATGTTATTGTTCTTTGGGGGGGGGAGATATATTGAGATCCCAAGTGCATACACGGTATATTGCCACTCACTAAGACGGGCAAATAAAAATCTCTCAGAAAAAGATAAGAAAACAGCTGTAGAGGCTATTATGCCGTTATTACCCAATCGAATTTAGTCTTCTATATTTGATCTGCTACCTTTGCGTAGCTTCTATTCCCACATAGAGCTTTTTCCCAAGTGACCCGCGTTTTCTGATATTTTCTTTTGGCATGTTGTATCCACTCCTCTGCCTTGTCTTCTTCGCAGGTGACCCGCGTTCCTTTTGTTTACCCCTTCCAATCTCTTGTTTGTTTACCTTTTCTCGAACTTGGTCTCTACCCGTTCGACACCACTTTGTTCAAGATACGTAACTCACCATGATTACTTTTCTAGATCCGTCGTGCGTGTCCTCTACAACCCTATCCCTTTTCGCCACACTATATGATAGTGTGTAAGAGTAGTAGAGTAGTAGTTCCCGAAGTCCAAAGGTCCACATACAGTAATGGGTAAACAAGGAAGGGACTACTATAAATGGGAATTACACCCACCGTCACTACGCTAACTGCGAAACAAGTCAGGAGAAAAGAAATTGCAACCCTAAAACTGTATTTGACCCTGTAGTATCACAGAGTGCCGTTAGGGTTTACGTGTGAGTCCCCCCCCCCACTTCTGAATCTACGACCTATCACACATCTCTTTCTCAGGGAGCTTTTTCCACTGTACTGTTTCGCGATGGTTAAGGGCCACCATGTTCATTAGCTCCCTAGTAATGTCTTCATGACGTAGCCTAAGGAAGTTGGGAAGGACCAATGGGTTTATACGTGGGCAAACTGTTTCACGTTGAAAGTGCTCCATCCTCGTCTTTGATCCCTCTAATGTCCGTATGCCCTGTAAAGGGTAATGGCATTACTACGTTGGGTTGTCGCGTCGTTCTCTCTATTGACGTGCCTGGCGAGCCCTAAATCCTTATTTACCGCATCTTGGAATTAGTCTAGAATACCTTGTCCATTTAGAAGCGTTTATCCCCCCACACACACACACACACACTGCCCTGCCCTTTTGACCCTCTTTCTAGAACTTGTTTTATTTACACCTCATTGTATAGACTAGTAGTTCACGCGAAAACTCCATTGAGTGTTTATTTGACTGGATGAGGGATCAATAATACCCGTTAATACACGCGAAAATTTTTATAGAACCAAAAAAAAGAAAAGAAAATTAAAAGATGTAAATACATAGGCACTATAGAGCTACTATACTGGTCCTTGAATATTCTTTTGGACCCTATCCTTCCTATTATGGATGAATAAGCATTGCTTCTAGCCTTAGTGAAACAGATAGGATGATCGACGGTTTGTTGTGGGTCTGGATTCTGTTTACCAGCTATATCTGTATTCGGGTATTCCCACTACTAATTCCATCCACCGCAGCTCAACAGCACGAACGCGGTTTATATTGGTGAACCCCGCCTCCCCCTCTCTGTTTCTAATTATGCAGCCCATGTACTATGACTTGTAATACAAGTAGTGTTAGTCCAGATGCGTGGAATTTGATCCAATAGTCATTGTTTTAATTGACACAAATTTCTTGCAAGTTATTCACAATTTCTTACTTAGTTTCTAAAAATATGCAACACAAAAATGGTAAAAAAATTCGCCAAGCAAAAGAAAAGTATAGATCCTTTAGCTTATCTACTTATGCCCTCCCCCCCTCTCTTCTGTCCAGTTTATCCACTAGGTCACCAGCACTAATATTTCTTTAGATCATGGAGAAAACATTTGCCTTAGCCTATACAGGTGGAACTATCTTCTTGAGAGCACTTTTTACAATAAGTGCCTCCATGAAAAGCGGGTTATCCATATCTATTATCTGCTTGTTCCGAACATATACCACCCGCTTCATTAGCTCCCTGACTAGTTCTGGCTTGCTACCATAAAGAATGGAGTTGTCCTTAAGTGAGTCATCTATTACACTTAACTGTAAGGGTAAGAACCACATAGCCGCAAGACGCACATGCTGCGGTACTACAAAGCTCTTGTGGTCTTTTATGCATATTATCTTCGACAATGTTATCATATTGGAGTAACAGTTCTTGTGTATGCCACCGCCCCTGGCATTAAATGTTAGTCTATGCGTACGTATATGAACCATAATATCCAAAATATACCTACGCAGAGATGCTTGAATGTGTATGTTATCGTAATTCTTGTAATCACCACTTATTATTTTCTCGGCACCATCGCTTGAGCCGGTTATGGCTTCTTCTTCCTTTGCTTCATCCTTAGTTATTACAACAGAGCTAAAACTAGCAGTATCATCCGCAGCTTGGACCTCTATAGTAGGCTTGATATTTGGCATGGCTAATGTCGTGACAAGCCAGAATTTGTGTCGTATCCAGTCCTCAAACCCAGTTGAAAACGATTTCAGCTTGAAAGATTGGCCATGTTTATGTGAATACTTCTTATCCGCGGCACCCAACTGTAGTATATCATCAGGTATTATATATTCATCTCGTTTCCATGCTACAGTCCCAATGAAAAGTTTCCAATACTTCTTGTTGTTCGCTATACCATTGTGTTGCACATTAAAGATATATCCCTCTCTCATTAGACGTCCCAGCTGGTAATAGTCAGCCAGCGACTGTCTATCGATGTCTTCCACGAGGTAAAACTCTATAGTTACATTCTGGTCAACTCCAGCGATATTAGCAGATCTATCGCCTTTCTCATCGACGTGTTCCATTGTCTCTAAGTTTTTGTAGTCGTCGAGCTCACATTTTTGTATCTCGCTGATCATCTCATCAGTTACATGGTTAATGCATTGATATTTGAAGTTGATTTTGAAATCTGTCCGTTTCTGCATCACATCTCCCACAGACTTCTGAATTAGCTCCTCATTGGAAATTTCATCGTTGAGCTTTCTCTGCTCTGCATCAAACAGCACAAGGAAGTTCTTTTTAGCAACTATACTGAATAGTAACGCAGTCTCAAAATCTGGCAACTCATATTTTTGTATTTGCTCCAAATCAAAATCCATTTCTGTCATATTGCCAGAACGGAGCTGTTAATATAAGTCAGTGATGATTTACAAATTTCCTAGGTATCAACACTTTAACGACAAAGGCCTTCTGATATATTTGTAAAAATGCCAATACTCCTAGTTATGGTTAAAGATTCATCTACGCTGTTCCGTTAACAATGGTCAGAAATTAAAATAATATATACAATCAATTGCTGGTTTGCTCAGTGTTAATCATCGATGTTATTATGGTTATTAGAACATTGTACATATGTACGAGGTGAGGTGAAAAAAATTTTGAGATGAGCTAGCTCATCGCATTGCATGTTAGAGACTAGTTAATAATAGTGCTAATATATCAAGCACTATTTGATACAGTCTTGTTTAACAGTTGCATAACTGCCTTAACTGGAATTCCTAGACATATCGTATTCGATATTTTTTGAAAGGACAGACACAGTTGAAATTCCATAATAATAGCGATTATTAAAATATGGCTAAATTAGTGCACGATATCCAGAAGAAGCAGCATAGGGAGCGTTCGCAGCTCACAGGTCGTGCTAGACTTGGTATGCTTGAGAAGCATAAGGACTATGTGAAGCGTGCTCAAGACTATCATAAGAAACAGAACACTCTAAAGGCCCTCCGGGAGAAAGCTAAGGAGAGGAACCCTGATGAATATTACCATGCCATGAATACTAGAAAAGTAGATGACAAGGGTCTTCTTATAAAATCAAGATATGAAGATGGTGAAGATCCCTCTCTAGATATGGATCAAGTTAAACTGTTAAAGACGCAGGATAGTAACTATATAAGAACACTTAGACAAGTTGAGCTGAAAAAACTACAAAGAGACAAGCAACTTATTGGTTATAAGTCACAATCGAAACACACAGTTTTTGTAGATGATCAAGATAGCATGAGAGACTTTAAAGCAGAGAACTACTTCAAAACTACAAAGGAATTTCTAGATAGACCAGAGAATAGATTAACCGTAGATCAATTGACATCTCAAAATTTAAACGTTGGTGATTCAGAATCATTATTGATGCCAAAGGAATCACTAGACAAAAAAAGACTTAAAAAAATAAAACAAGTTAAACTACACATGGAAAGGGAGAAACAACTAAATCAGATACAACAGAGGATGGATAGTCAACGAGAGAGGATGAAGAAAGGATCAAAAAAGAAGATTATTTCTGATACTGGTAATGTAACATTCAAATGGAAGAAGCAACGTAAGCGTTAGTATATAATATATATTTTATTCTAGGAAATACTCACCATTAATTTGCATCTTACCTTAAAAGTTATCTAATATATGCCATTATACTTTCAGTAATATATACATACCTACATATTAATCCGTCAGATATATGGGGAATAACTATGATATTACCAAGTTCAGTGTCAAAATTTTACATTTTTCAAGTAAAATGTTTATTATATTTTTGATAGATTTATGTTTTGTTGAAGAATCAGTTGTGAAATATCTTTCAATAATAAGATGGTAAAATAAACAATAAACTTAATACGATTGGTATCACATTAAACAAAAGCATGTGATGGTGTCAAACAAAATATTCTCACTTTAATACAGTTCACAAAACTAGAAGCACTTATACTGATATAATACATACTCTATTTTGAGTTTTACTCATTCATTAGTTATAGACAATATATTCATCAATTATTTGTACCCCTCTATATAATTAAAGCACAAAGATTAAAGGAATAAGATCTTCAAAGTTACTTCCGATGTCCGTACCATCAGTAGCCCCACAACATTTATTTTACTTTCACAAATTGTAAAATAGAATTACTCTATTAACTGTAAGTAATATTTCAGATGTTGAACAATTCAAATGGATTGTCGGGATAATTGCTATGCCCATTTATATCTGTCTGCTTACCCTTATTGCCCACTGAACCGTTTGGAGTACTTATTCCATTTTTATTACTTTCGGGATAGTTTGTATTTGAAGTGCTTTCTGGCGTAGCCAAATTTCTTTTGTTTAATTTCGTAAGCTTCCTTCTACCCTTTTTTGCAGCAGCAATAACACTTTCATCTTGAGAAGCTAAAGAAAAATTTTGGCTTTTTAAATTGTTTCCTACAAACCTGTTATTTGGTGGATTGTAATTGTGTGAAATATCATTTCCTCTTTGTGTTGACTCCATCTTATTCAGTTCAGATTGATTTGGTGCACCATGAGTCGGTGAAAAACGAGAAGTTGAATGTTTCATCTGTCCATTGGATATCATATTAGTACTTTGTAGAGAAGGTGTCATGTTCATTTTACGACCTCCATTTTCTGTAGAAGGTGTTTTGGAATCCTCTTGATATGCTTCATAGGAAGATCTGATGTTTGACTGATCGTTAGCAAGATTATTCTCAGATGAAAACGGTTGAGCAAAATCCAGATCATTGCCTCGTGATTTGTATACGTTAGTTGGGTTGGATTGAAATCCGTTTCCACTTTGAAAATTCATCAGCATGTTCATCATCATTAAATATTGTTGTTGAAGGTTTGGATCCATTCCTGATGAAGATTGAGATTGCATCATTTTATTTTGCATGGCTTGTAACATGTCCTTGTTAAAGGAATTAGACGTTCCTTTCGGCATAGGGAAGTTATTCCAATTCATCGTTGACATTGGCATATTATCAGGTCTCATATTGTAGGGATTTGATTTATTCCATTGGTTCATCTCTTCGCTTTTTTGATTCATCATTAAATTCATTGTTTTTGCCATTTCTTGAAACATAGCATTATTATTGGTAAAAGCACCGCTGAAGTTTGAGGATTTATTGCTGCCATATTCATTTTGATCACCATAATCCGCAGACATATTTCCCACTGAACCCGCACTTGGTGAAGTCGAGCTTCTATGTGATCCATTACCGATAGCTTCAGGTTTTGAATCATATTGCTCTTTCCGTCTACTATTAAATCTATGACTTGTATTAGAAGGGTTGTTTGATCCAATGCTAGGATGACTTGAATTAGGGATATCTTGCTGCATATTGTTCCCATTTAATTTTTGCCATTGTTGAGGGTTTCTTTGTTGTTGCATCAAAAAATTTGGATCCCATTGAGATCCATTCATTTGTGATTGAGCCGAAGGCTTACTTTGATTTTGTAATACAGGATTATTAGAACCCAATAGTTCAGGAGAAAACGGACTCCCCTGCATTGTACTATGTTTTTCATCAACTTCATTATATTTGGGAGTTCCTGCTGCCTTTCCAACCTTACCCCTTTTCGAACTCTTGGATCTCAATTTGCCCTTAGCTGATTTGCTATCAATTTCATTATCCTCATTCACATTTTTAGGAGATTGGGAACCGAAACCAGAAAAGTTACTTGAATTTCTATTTGCTTGCTCTTCAATGCTAGATTTTCTTTGTGTCGGCAGAGCTGCTGATTTGCTCTGTTGGAAAGTTGGTCTCTCAAAATTACCCTGCATACCCTCTACACCATTTGGAGTACTCATAGAAGATAAACCCGGAGGCATGCCATTCATCATACTTTTCGATCGAAATTGTGGTGGTCTTTGATCTTGACTATTATTCAGCAACTCATTCTGTGTTGGGCTTCGCAGGACACCACTTGGCTGAGAGACACTACTGCCTCTAGCAATATTCATATGTCTTTCAGGATCCACCAAATTCTCAGCACCGTTAATAAATGGTGGAGGTACTGTTGGGTTGTTATGCGGCAAAATGGCCATTATTCGTTGTTTAAATACCTCTTGGTTTCCGTTACTATCCAAACTTTCATTTGGAATACCATCAACATGATCGAAAAGTGTCCGGAAAATTTCCCACCACTCTACTAGAAAGGTGTCCGAGGCATTCAAAAGCATATCTGGTCTTAAGAGATTCTCTGGAATATCATCATATCTCATTTGAGAGGAGTCATCTCTCACTGTATTTTCCTTTATCTTCCCTATATTTTCTATTGTGGTTAAAGGAACCTCAACCTCTTTCAGAAATTGTGATGCGGTGGAGTAGAATTTATTGTGGACCAGGTAATTGTAAATATGTGCAAATAGAAGTTGCCTTGAATTCTTAGCCATCGCATCTGAGACTATGAATTTTTGTTGCTTCAGAGTGTCTGACGATCTTTGACTTCCCGAGACATTAGAATATGGTTCCTTTCCCATACCGCCAGCAGTATTAGGAGTACTTCCTTCTGTCGTATGTATACTAGATGAACTCATGTTTTTCCCCCTGTAGTCCATTTTATTATTGTTGTACCCATTATTGGATGGGTACCCAGAGTTCGGATTATTGTTATACGGGTTACTACCACCTATATTCATGGTGGAGATATTCAAAGTTACAACCAGTTTAAGGGATAAAAGAACAACAAGTTTACCTCAAAAAAACAACAACAATAATGCCAATAGACTAGAAAAGTATTGTAGTAAAATCAAAATACGAATACCTTTTATTTCTGCTACCTTTTCCTCTTCCTGTTCGATCCTATTTTGCTAATAGAATTTCGTTTGTGACACCTTCTATAATTAAATGCCTGAATGAGAAATCCTAGATATGCAATAACTGCCCGTGTTTCTTTATCTGTATCTTGTTGTTTGCCAAAATATAGTTATAATGAAAGTCTAGCAAGTATGAAACTAACAACACGCTTAAAACAGTCTTTAGGGCGTTTGATACTATTCTCCCCTTGCCTTGTCAGAAAGCTGTGAATATTCGCAACTTCTCTCAAGAAAATCAACAGCACCACTTTTCAATAAACTGACCTCTCTAAATCAAATCAATCAATAGACTAGTATATACTCTGATTGATCAGTCTCCTTGCCAAGTAAGTCGAGACACTTATAATATTCCAACTTTAAAGGGAATGTCCAAAATACCGCACCGCTATACGTGGGTACAGAAAGTTACAGTCCTAGTGTTCCAATTGCCTGCCCGACTACCAACTTATATATTACCTATGAGCCGCCTCCCTGTGTAAAGTACGCCGCGGCTACCTCAGAAACCTCGTATTGTTTACTCAACTTGAGCCTAATTTTACTTGCCAATAATCCTCGCTTCTTAATTTTTCGCTTGGTGTCTGTTTTTTTTTTCTTGTGTGACGTGAAACTTTTTCTCTTTGATGAAAAAAAATATTGAAAGACATTGCAAGAAGTAAGCCTTAGGAAAGGCAGAGAGAGGTTTGCCTGCTGGGAAAGTGTTGATGATGAGGGACAATCACATGTTTGTCCCTAACCCTATCCCATTGATCATCTTACAAAACTTCTGAGGTCCAAACGGTAGTCATTCTTGATTTGCTTGTGATGTTCGATTAGGGACAATTTACTGACAATTCTCTCTGACAACGATTTTCTTTTCTCTTTCTGGTCGATCAATTGTAATGAAGAGAACTGAAGTAGGCCTCAACCAGTACTGGGAACACCCCACCTTCTGGTCTTTGCGGACCCTTGTCTCTCTCTAATTCTACAAATACAAATCTACACCATATACACTAGTTGTCGAAAGAGGAACCAGAGAATGCTTCCAACGTCCGATTTCTCTTGCCTGAAAAACTGCGATCGTTCGGATTCAATTTGTACTTACGATACCACCGACCCATCGCCGATAGTGCGGGCTGGACTTGATTTTACCGGTATATATATTTGTCATTAATGCTGTTACTAAGATCATGGTAATTATCTGTGCTTATAAATATTAAATGAGTGCAGACGAAATGATTAGTCTAAATATATTATACGTAATGTACTCACACGTCTCGCCTATGCCCGGGGCCACAAGACCACAGAAAGGGAAAATTGATAGCGTAAAAATTTCTCGTGGCTTTCAGCGTGTTTATCATTAGATAATCACCTACTCAAAGTCATCCTCATCAAACTCGTCCTCTTCGTTATTATCATCTGATAACTCAGAGTCGTGGTTATATTCATCATGAGCATCGTCAAGTACATTTAGCTTGGTGACACTTGATGATGGTGAGGAGGCTCTCTTTGTGAGGGCACTCATCTCTTCTAATATAGATTCACCTGGGTACGTCTTCACCGGGGATGTAAGTGGCGAACCTAGATGTAGGTATATACGCTTCCCAATCTCTTTGCTTTCCGGTGATACGTGCGTCTTATTACTGTGACCACTTTTCTCAGTATCAACAGGGCCCTTCTTAGATATATTTGTACCATTGGTAGTGGTTGCAATTTTGTCTCCTTGCTGAGACATCAATTTCTGGTCTGCGTTATTTTTCTTTCCCTTATTCGGAGTTTCGTTTTCGGTCGATGTCGTAGCTGCTTTGGTATCGTTTACATCATCTAAGTTGTCATCGGAGCTGAGATCAGGCAGATCGTCTGTGCTCAACAATGTGTCTCGCCAATAGTTTACATCAGTGAATTTCTCTTCTTGCGTACTTCTGAAATACGGCTTTGAAGCATCATCAGGCCCATTGCTTTGAAAACTAATATTCCCCATTTTACCATCAACAGTCCCACTTACAGGGGAACCCGGTGTAAAAGAACTTATACTTCTCATGTCATCATCGGCATTAAGTAGAACTGGTGGGAAGAAGTGATCGACAAGCTCATTTATATGAATGTACGAGCTCTTATACCCAGCCAATTCCAACAGTTCCATATGTACTTCACCTTCTGTATTAATCGTAAATATCCTAGAACTTGGTATACCCACAGTACGATAGGACAGGGCATCTGTAATACGATTACCAAAGCCAGCGAAAAAAGGAGTTGGCTTTTCATCATCAGTATTGGTTGCCGAGAATGTTAAAGTATGCCCTTTATCAATAGCATCAGAGATCTTCTCATTTGTTCCACCTGCATCTTCAAGTTTTTGCGATTCTCTTGCTGTGTGGAAATCTATATTATCAAAATATAATGACCGGATGTCATTCAAACATGCAATCTTAAATATCTCTGGCTTTTTTAGAATTACTTCACGCCTTAGAGCTGCCATGGTTCTATCTGGAGATAATATAACTGGTCCTGCAGGAAGCCGATGCCCACTTTGAATGATTGAGCGCAGATAATTTCTGGTAGAGTCAGCTTGACCAGCACTTCTTGCTGTCAAATACATTATATTGTACCCATTTCTTGCTATTTCACTGAATAATTTCGCGACACCTTGATGAGTCCAATCTTTCCCAATCATAGCTAAAACATGACCCAATGCATCTGATTTAGTGATTGTTCCGTCAATATCACTGATTACTATCGGGACATCCCATTTCCAAACAAAAAGCTTGGATGTTATCACAGACCTACCATGATCTATAGAAAATGCGAGATCATTTTCACCGTAAACCAAATTCAAGCATTTTAATTGATCGCTACTTAGCCTTATTGTCTTGATAAATCTGCGGTTTTTTTCTTCATCATCTTGGGATATCTGAGAACTTGAATCAAGCTCATCTGAGGATGCATGAAAAGTAGAATCCGCCGATGCTGGCGATGGAGGAGACATAACAAGCTCAGACGTATTTCCACTCATCGTTGGAGACTGAGGTGGTGACATGAGCGGTGACTTATTGTTTTCGAAGGGATTCACAATTTTAATGTTACCCTTCCCATCTTCTTGTATGAAGTTCGAAATATCGGCCTCACTACCAAGTTCTTCTTTCAGGATACTTTTTAATTGCTCATCCGTATCATGCACTTTTTCTTTATTTGGCTTATAGCCTTCAATATCGAGTAGTAAACTACCATCATTCTCTAGTTTACTGGGTATGTGAATCTCAGTTAATTTACGATTCAGATTCTCTTGAAAAGTTTTAGTCTTTTTCTTATTCAAAGTTCTATCTTCTTTATCAAAATTTTCAGTAGATTCATTGATATCAAGGAAATCAGGCTCTTCTAATTTGTCAATTACGGGGCTTCCTGAATCTAGAAAGGTTGATTTATGCGAATCTATCCTTTGTGTTGCATCATCTTCCATCCCATTATTCAAATCGAGTGAAGTTGATACCGGTGACTGATTTGGACTAGAACTTGCACTAATCACAGGCGAATCCAACAATTCCTTTGGAATATCATCTGCATTAGCTGATGTTTCAAACACAAAATACGCTTCACCCGATTCACCTAGCTTCATCGGCACATTAGTGGATTTACCATTTACTAGAACTTCAACTTTCTTTTGTGAGGGTTTCAAGATTTGAAACTTCCCAAACCTGACGTGAAATGGAGAACATGCTAAAGTCCCATCTGGATGCTCAACAACAATAACATCTATTGCACCGGATAATGTAGCTGGATTAATCGATGACCAAGTCTTAGATACAGATCCGAAAGCTCTTCCAACATATTGCATCTTCCAAAGATTTACTAAATAAAATACCAACCTAAACCAATGTATATGAAACCGCTAGCCAACGAAAGACTCAAAAAATTGAATAGATTTACTAATCTGCTGAACAAAAGTATCTTGCTTTTATACTAATATTGATATCCTTTTAAACTCAACAAAACCGCACCAACCCTAATAGAGGTTTCTAATGTTCTGATGCTGCAAATAGTTGGGTAGTCCTGATAAAAACCAAGAGTATATACCGTCTTGGAACTGGTTAGTTAGGGATATTCACTTCTATTGCAGCTCAGAGTATAGTTTAGGGCCAAACATTTCACCTTCTATGTCTCGCACTCGTTAAGATGGCATTACCTGCGTTCTCCCCTGTAAAACGTTCTCTCAACGGGCATTCTGTGATCCGAAAAAAATCAAGCATTACAGGCTCATCGCAAAAACATCACAAAAGACATGGCAACAAGTTTCAAAGACTATGTAGAATAGATCGTAGGAGTTCAAGAATATGAATAGACTGTGATTATACGTACAATAATAGCCCTATATGTTTAATATTTACAAATATATATGCAGCCCTTTTACTATTTTACATTAATGGTTAACCAATTGTGATGGAGTCGACATAATTCAATACCGGAATAAAAATAATACATCGAACAACTAAAATGCCAGCCAATGACCTCATGCGATAATACTCCAATATAAGATATATTTTTTGCTGTTCTCCTCTATTTTCTTGTTTAGTTAAAATGAAACTCATAAATTGTGCGGCTTTAGTGTCATTTTCGAATGTCATATATGCATGAATATTGTATTATTATATATGCATAGTTTTATACTTGCAAGTGCCAAATTACAGGAAATGTAATGTCAAATTTGTCAGACCTGAAACTGATAGGATAGAAAAAATTCGATCTCCTGTGGACTTCCTAAAGCCATATTACATTTTAAGCGTTCAAAGACTTCCTACCTTTTCACAAAGAAAATATATGCAAAGCTGTTACGCATATTTCATGATTTCAAGCAATTATAAATATGCAAAATATCTGAATATCAACTTGGTCACAGATCTAGTTTTTCGGATTCTCTATTACTCAATACCCTCAATGCCATCTGGTATAGCAGCAACATTATACTACTTTGTACACTTGTCCACACAAAACGAGGGCCTACTCCACTGAAAAACCCGAAAAATCCTTCTGAAGTATAGACAGTTCTTAAGCTTTTAAATATTGAGTTTGTCAATGTTACCGGCTTGGAAACATTTTTTATCTTGGTATCAGTCGATATATCGATTTGCGAAGGCAGTTGCGTTTGGACTCTAGTTTTAACCACATCCAGAGGTGTCGTGAGAATTCCTGCGAGACCACCTGCACATGCACCTGTAACAATTTCATTAGAAATCGATAGGTCATGCTTATAGATATCCTTACCTTCTAGAAGGAATGCCCATTGTCTAAATTTCTCGTAAAATGCGAATTGTAATGCACTAAACGGTAAATCCCTGGCCAGCGTTGCTTTATATCCAAAAAATAAGGCCGCTACACCTTCAGTTCTATAAATAGTTGCAATGGCATTTCTTAGACTCTTATAATTATATCCTGAATTGAAATGAGGATTATTGTAGCAACCTTGCAATTGCAGTCTAGTTTTCAGCACTTCCGATGGAACGTATACAAAACTGGAAAAGAAATCACCCAGGAAACCAGCTGTGAGGTGAGAAAATGTATCATTGAGATGGTAGTCATTGATCATAGTCCTCTTTGTAAACTCGTAGGTACTGAAGAAAATAGCTGCACTAGGAAAAGATCCAAGCATGGCCGCACAATACCCACCATATAGGCCTCTACGGAACCCTTCCTCTATAAACATGGTTCTGTATGCCTGTAGCATGTGCTTGTATTTATGTACATTTGGAGCACCCTGTTGTCTGGTCTTAACAGTATCCAGTGAGTGCATGGCAGAGTCACCTATTATGCCTCCTACACCACCTGCAAGGAAACAATGCCAAATGGGACTGTGCTCGTAATCATCAAACAAGTTCTGATCATCTCCTGACCGACTAGAACTCGGACCCGAACCACCAGAGGTAGTCGGTATATCATGTCCATGCCCGTCAGTATCATGCACAGTACCAAATACTGGTATTGAAGATGTGAAACTCCACATCCCTATAGTCCTGTGTTATACTCCTGTTTGAGAATTGCACTATTCCCTAATGTGCAAAACAAAAAACCCAAAAATGCCCAAAAATCTTTGTATTATTTACAAGCCGTTCGATTCCAGGATAGAAGAGATCAATTGCAACTTATGACAGCTAGACTCACTAATTTTGGTATCTATTCCTTCTGAGAACTGAGGCACCCTATTAAGCAAGGTGTCCAAAAAAAAAGGCACTAAGTGAAACGAAACAATAAAGTGATTACTTATATGCCAAATGTAACACTAGCAATATCGGTATACTCGAATTACTAATCCAATCTCTCGGTATTTGCGTGCTTGAGTTCGAGAACTTGTTAGCTCTTTTGTCAAAATGCTCACATTTTTTTCTTCGAGATTTTTGGGACTTGTTCAGCGATGAGTTGACAAAAGTAATCAAAATCATAGGGCATCGAGCTATAACTGAGCGTTGCAAAGATACAGGGCATCGTAGCTGAGCAACCAACGATGCACGTAAAGCAAGCCGAGAGTATTGCTATTTGGTACCATATTAAATGAGAATGTTTCTATTGGGACCATGACATGAAGAAATCGTCTATCGTTGGAGTGGTAGATCATATCTTAGGATTTCCTAGCGCAGAATTCTAATGTAGGCCAATTTTAGTAACTACAACTTAAATAGATTTTGTGTATATAGCTAATAGACTTTGTATCATAGTAGCGAAAAGATCTTGTGACTATGCTTCTACATCAGAGACATCAATTTCTGGTAAAATTGCAGAAAAAGGTTAGAGAGATGCAAACACCATTTTAAAACAAGTACAGGTATTAGAGCTGAAAAGAGCTACCGGGCAAAAGCCAAGAAGAACATGGGTAAGATTAGAGCTTTGGACCCCTCAGTGGTGAACAAAATTGCCGCTGGTGAGATTATTATCTCACCAGTTAATGCCCTTAAAGAAATCTTGGAAAACTCGATAGATGCAGGTGCCACAATGCTGGAAATTTTGGTTAGAGATGGTGGTATCAAACTGTTGCAAGTGAGCGATAATGGATGTGGTATTCAATTGGATGATTTACCTTTGCTATGTGAGAGATTTGCCACATCAAAGCTTACAAACTTCCAGGATCTGGAGAATATTGCTACCTATGGTTTTAGAGGTGAGGCTCTGGCATCCATATCTCATATTGCCAGACTTTCAGTTACTACAAAGACGAATGATGAGCAATGTGCTTATAAGGTTAGCTATAACGAGGGAAAAATGGTGGATAAACCCAAGCCAGTTGCTGGTAAGAATGGGACAAGCATACATGTGGAAGACCTCTTTTACAACATACCATCCAGACTACGGGCCTTAAAAACCCCAAATGAGGAATTTACGAGGATTCTGGATGTTGTAGGAAGATATGGTATACATTCTAAAGGAATTGGCTTTTCATGTAAAAAGTTTGGTGACTCTAGCTATTCTATTACATTAAAACCTGATTTTACAACCATTGATAGAATAAGATCAATATACGGAAATAACGTTGCTACTAGTATTATAGGATTTGAAATGGACTCCAACGAAAATCTAGGACTTACAAAAGTCAGCGGCTATATTAGCACATCCAACCTGAATAACAAAAAATCTGTACAACCGATATTTTTCATAAATGATAGATTGGTTACTTGTGACCCATTAAGGAGGGCCATATACAATACTTATACGAATTACTTGCCTAAAGGTACGAGACCCTTCATTTATTTGAGTATAAATATCAGTCCACCATCGGTAGATGTTAATGTTCACCCAACAAAGAGAGAAGTGAGATTTCTACACCAAGATGAAATAATAGATGAAATAACAACATCCATTAATGATCAACTGTCTAAATTGGACACAACTAGAACTTTTAATAGAGGAGTCATGATGTCCAAACCGTTAACTGACAACTCCAGTACGAAATACAGCCAAGCCGCGACACCTACAACCACACACCCTATGAATTCAAGTCAAACCTCTCAACGTAGATATGAAAACAAGCTTGTAAGAGTTGATTCTTCTCAAGCTAAGATAACCTCATTCCTGAAATCTAGCCAATATAATTCTGCTGAATACATCAGTGCTTCACAGCATATAGGTAAACAATCCAATACTGCAAGCGATAATAATAAAGATAAAGCTACACCGATTGATCTCAATGATGATGTCAACATAACACGCGCTCAAAGTTTGCAGGATGAGAGCCAATCCAATACATATTCTATGCTATCAAAGGAAAGAGTGACAGTTAATTTAACCAGTATTGAATCACTTCGAAACCAGGTGGATATGTCTGCTCATAAAGAACTAACTGAAATTTTTGCTGGCTCAAATTATATTGGCATTGTTGACTATTATAAAAGATTACTTACAATTCAGTTCGATTTGAAGCTTTTCTTAGTGGATTATGGAGCGATTTGTAATGAGTTGTTCTACCAAATCGGTCTTACTGATTTTGCTAACTTTGGAACGATACAGCTTCAAACACAAGATACTGAACAGCTATCTATAAGAAACATATTAAAGACTTTGAATTTGGCTGAAACTAAGATTGATGAAATATCCTCACAATTAGTTGAAATGAAAGAAATGCTGTGGGAATATTTCTCAATAGAAATTATCGAAAATGAGTCACATGTAGCTTTCTTAAAGACAATTCCTCTATTACTCAAGGGTTACACACCTTCACTTTCTAAATTACCCTTATTTATTTACCGGTTAGGGACAATTGTTAATTGGAACTCTGAACAGGAGTGCCTTGACGGAATTTTAAAGCAAATCGCTCTTTTCTATATCCCAGAAATAATTATGGAAGTGAGTAGCAGTTCAGAGAGTCCAAAAGGGGAAAAGCACTCGAATACGGAAAATGCACACAAAAAAGAGGAATTATCAGAGAAAATCGAACATGTCATATACCCCTGTCTGAAGAGGAGATTTTTAGCACCGTCTTCAATAGTGGATGATGTTATCGAAATTGCCAATCTTCCAGGCCTTTACAAGGTATTCGAGAGATGCTGAAAGTTATTCTGCTATTAGTCAATGACTCTATCAATAGGATATTTCTCCTCAAATTCGCTTACAATCTCTAATATAGTTGGATCTAACATACTATCCTCATCTTCTTCATATATACCTTCACCTATTGATTTTCCTGGAATTAATGAACCTAATCCTTTCAGTAAATAGTTTAGTTTGTTATTGGATTTCGATATAGTCGCAACATCGTTTTGTAGAACTTTAAACACTGGATGCTGGAACTCCCCTCCAGTATCTACTACGTCGGTTTTCCCAAATTCTTTCCGAAGAAGTGTAAATCTAAAAATAATATATTTTAGGTTCTCCAAATGATTACCAAATATCGGAGGTAGATTTACAATTAGTTCATTAATATCAAGAACGATTTCATGAATCTCGACCGAGTTTTCAAATATATGATAAAAATTCGTAAACGTTGCAACTCTAGACAGATAGTAAATCACAAGTGGATGCTTATTAAATGTATCATGTCCATGCTCAAAATTTTTTACCAATAGTTTAATGATATTTTTTGTAATCCGTATTAGTTTGTTTAAGCTCACCTTATTATCATAGAAAATTATTTGCAGTTTTTGAATCTTCCATGAAACTGTATATAAGATAAAGTGACCAAGAAATTTCTCAAATTTTGAATTAATTGATTTTTGATCTTCCTCTAAATTTGATACCTTTTGAGTATAAATGTCTACCTCACGCTGAACTGCATCGAGCGTCTTTGGAGGTGGTTTTAGCCCATTGTTTAGATATTGATCTATATCCCTATCCAAAGACAAAAGCTTCCAAAACAGTATCTCATAATTATCTTCCTCTTTATATACATCTGTGCTCGGGAGATCTTCCAAATATGCTGCATGTTTCAACAGACTCCCCAACTCACGATTGAAATCAATAGATTTATTCGGTCCCTCTTGAATATAATCACAGGCACATATCCTATACCATAGTCTGTTCAATGACTCATTTGCAATACTGCCTATTATATCTTCTGAATTTGAGGCGGAGATAACAGTTGCACTTAAAAGTTTCGTAACATACATAGCGTTTGTTAGAATCATGTTTGCCTGGATAGGGAACTGGAATGAGTATAACGTAGTAGAGAGTATAATGTAGGTTTGTATAAACCGTATGTCTGGTTGGGCCATGAAATTGCACCGATATAAGGAGTCAATAGTAGTTGTGATAAAGCCTTCATAAATTTTACAACGAATTTGTTCTTCTGTTAAAGTTTGCTTTTTAGTAAAGTCTCTAACCTTATCTATGCTTATAATTCCATCCAAGAGTTCTTTCGGGCAGTAGTACACCCCCATAGTAAAAATAGACCATAGTAAAGCCCTGGAATAACATTTATCAGAATCTGAGAACGGGAGTTTGGAAGATTGATCTTCCTTTATATCCCAATATTGCTCCAGAATTTTGTATAGTTCAGTCACGTCACCAATACATCCAAAATATAACGTACCTAAGTTTTCAATAGTATAGTTCAGGAGTTTGTAAGACCCAGTTTCCGTTATGCTGCTCTCCCAAAACTGTGCCTCCACGTTTAGATAATCTAAAACTTCATTATTTTCATACTTCAGCTTCTGTGACTTGAACAATCCAATATTAGGAATCCAATATTCATAGCTTTGCCAGAAACGCAGCAATCCACTCAAATATCCCTTCTCTGATTCATGATTACCTTTATTAGCAGAAATAGCTGATTGAACACATTCACTTTCGGTACCTCTCTTTCGACAATGCCCGCACGGTACAAGTCTATCACACTTTACTTTTCTCTTGCTACACACTGAACATGGTCTATTTGATTTGGTAGGCAATGGCCTTTGAAACATCGTTATCTTCCAATATATATTGATTCAGCTCTCAAAAAATGTTCTTCAGATACTTAGCATTGCTGAACTTCAAATTAACTGCTATTTCTCGTTAACTGACTAGTAACATTAATACGCGTATACTAGGCGATGAGCAAAGCGCGTCAGCATGTGATTATTGAAACCAAAATGGTCACGTGATAACAACAAATATAGTCATATAATAGTCGAACACTTATAATTATTTATCATTATTTCAAATGTATTTAAAAACATAACATCTTTTTTTCTTTCTAAAATATTGCAAGTCCTTAAAATTTTCTATGAAAGAATCTTGAGTTTACTATTGATAATTTATAATACTATATTGGAGATCCTAGCCAATATATGAAACACACACAAGTGCAATACATAGTTTGGGCAGGAAAATGTTACTGAAATGATCAAATCTTCTCTGACATGTTTAAATGCACCGTCTTTATTTGCATGTATGATTCCACACCAGTTTCACCCAGTTCACGACCTATACCGCTTTGCTTGAAACCACCAAATGGCACCGTAGGATCTTCTTCATTGGACGAGTTGATCCACACAGTACCTGATTTAATGTCCCTAGCAAACCAATTAGCAACAGAAATGTTCTTAGTGAAGACCATAGAGGCTAAACCATAATTTGTATCATTGGCCAATTTTATTGCTTCTTTGTAATCTTTGAATTTGGCGACTACAACAACTGGACCGAAGATTTCTTCTTTCATCAATTTAGATCCCTGAGGGACATCAGTAAAAATTGTTGGAGAAATAAAATAACCCTTGCAATCACATTTCTCAACAGTTTGGTGAATCTGTAGGTTTTCTTCCTCCTTTCCATGCCTAATATAATCATTCACCGTCTCAAATTGCTTCTCTGACACAACAGGACCCACTGTGCAATCTTTATCAAATGGATCACATTTCGAACCAAACTTCCAGTTTTCTTTGGTATGTTCTGTGAATCTCTTTATAAAGTCATCATAAATATCTTCCTGAACATAAACTCTTGAATTAGCAGTGCAGTTTTGGCCCGAGTTATAGAAGATACCGTTAGCAATATATTCAATTGCATTATCAATGTCAGCATCCTGAAAAACTACAGCGGGGCTCTTACCACCACATTCCAAGGTAACATCTTTCATGTTTGACTTGCCTGCAAGTTCAAGAATAGAGCTTCCCACCTTGGTACTGCCTGTAAAAGATATTTTGTCAACATCCATATGTAAACCTAAAGAATTGCCAACTACAGATCCCTTACCAGGAACAACATTCACAACACCTTTTGGAAAACCTGCTTTCTTGAACAATTGCGCCAAGTATAGCAAAGAGAGTGATGTATTCTCAGCAGGCTTGATAACTAGCGTGTTACCAGCAGCTAAACAGCCTTGCATTTTCCAGCTAGCCATTGCCAAAGGATAGTTCCATGGGATAATCATACCGCACACACCATAAGGCGATTTAAGGGTGTACACCAATTTCTCATGATCGATGGGAATTGTCTTTCCTTGAGTAAATTTATCAGTAGCACCTGCAAAATATTTTGTTAAATGGATGATTTGGTCAATATCATCCATAGCGTTGGTATGATAAGGTTTACCAGCATCCAATGTCTCCAAAGCAGCTAATAAAGGTTTCTCCTCCTCTATTAAGTCCGCCAATTTTAATAGCATATCCCTCTTCTCCGCAGGTGATATCTTAAACCAAACATTCTCATATGATTCTCTTGCAGACTTGACTGCCTTGTCAACATCATCCTCAGTAGCAGCATAGAAAGAAGTAATCACTTCTTCAGTAGCTGGATTTATTGTTTCAATCTTTTCACCATTAGAAGATGGCACAAACTCATTGTCAATAAATATACCAATAGGTTGTTTGTAACTGCGCCCAATTTGGGGGATATTAATCTCTTCGAAAACTTCAGGCATTACTTGTTAGATTATATTGGTCTAGGGTTATTGGACGTGATTTCGAGCGTATTCAATAACGATAGAGAATACTTACACCTATACAAAATAGGGACTCCAGTGCTTTATATATGTTAGCAATTAATACCAATTACCAATCATAAGACTACAAAATGAATTTTAGTGTGCCAGAGTAGATGTTCCAGACTTCATAGTAACTTCCCATATTAGTGTGGATTGCACATCCCCTAAAGCGATGAGGTGACTTTTTCATAAGTCCTAAAATAAGGTTAACACACTAAATACTTCTAATATTGCTCTCAGATCAAAAAGAACAAGATAGTAGGAAAGCTCTCGAGGTTTTCCTTTCCTTATTGTAGTTACGAATAATGTAGTCGTAAATGTATGCATGATACGTAGTGTGTAAATGGTATCACTCCTTGCTTGAATATTTTAAATTAAGGATCGTAAAGAACTAATAATAAATAAAAAAAAGAAATATAAATCAATTTATTATGTCCACTGTTCATTTTGCATCAATCCCTTACTGGTCTATTCAACATGATGTAACGCTTTCACTGAATGAAGGGGGTATTACTTAAAATTCTTGTATGTGCACTAGTAACAAAAGAGGAAGAACTACCAAAAAATACCACCTAAATTAATATATAATGACGTGTATGAACCGAATATAACAGATAAAATATAACAGATATAATTATGAGAAAAGAATAATGTAGTCAAATGTGTGAATGTTTTGTAGTAAAATAAAGTAGAATGGAAGGCATGCTATTTGCACCTTCCAACATGTATGTGCAGAAAAATCAAGTAGTAAATGTCACAGTAATAAAACATCTGGTTAAGAAAAGATAAAAGGTATTAAACTTTTGTTAGGCTGATTGTGAAATTTTAATAGAAAGACTTTCAGTGGCGAACACAAACCTTGAAGATGCCTTCCATTTGAAATGAAATAGAAATATTATCACGAGCTATCATTTCTGTCATCGTCCTCCATCTCAATCATTGCTTGCAATTCATCGATGTCATGTTCATAACCATCATCAGATTCCATGTAATCATCTTCATCATCATCGAGACCATCATTCTCAAGATCGTTAAGCATCATACTCTTCCCTTCTCTTGAGCCCTGCTCATCTTGGGTAAGACCATCACTTCTTCCAACAGAGTCTCTTGGAGTGATTTTAGATTTTACTTGGTTTTTGGATTCTTCATCAGAATAGCTGGGAGGATTCATGGGTAGTGAATCTAGATTAATTTCCTCATTGGTTCCATGAGAATGTGGTGATGTACTGAACTCAAAGCCTGGAGGAGGAGGTAACAGATTACCATCTATGTCAATAATAGTATTCTTTATACTCCTATGTTGTCTTCTGTTATCGGTGTCCGATTCATCATCACTATCATTGTCTGAATTATCGTTATCTTCATAACCACTTTCCAGTAGTGTATCTTGAACATAATCATCATATGAAGGAGGGGGGAGTTTTATACCGTTTGGCTTTGCATAACCCCATTTCTTGACATTGGCCTCAATGAAGACAAATCCGTAGGATCCAAAATTAACGTGAATTTTACATGGCACGTTAGCACCTACAACTGGGTATAGGTATTTGAATTTCCAGCCTTTTATATGTCCACCTACCGACTTCTCGCTAATTTTTTTACCATTTCTAGTAAAGAATACCGTCCCACTTCGAGTTCTATAACCAATCCCAATAATATCACCCTTTTGGCACTTTGGAAATAGATCAGCCAATTCTGGCTCCAATTTAAATGAATCATTAAATCTTCGAGCACCATTAGAATCGTACGCAATTGAATGATGGTGTCTACCTGGCAATCTGAAATAAGGATATGGTGAAGTGCTTAATCCAAATGAGATAATTTCGTTGTCCTTTAATGTTGTTTGGTCATCCGTAATACTCAACTCAAATATTTTAAATTCACAATAATAGACTCTGTTAATACAAGGTATCGGTAAATTCGTTGTAACTGAAGCGTCGTAGTTGTAATTTAAAAACGAAATCTCTGTCTTGTTTTCCACTATTATTGTGTCATTTGGTAAGTTTGGATTTGGCTGAAATTCCCAAGCCAATGCACCTTCCTCCTCTATAAATTGTCTAGTTTGATCATTGATGATAGGATCATTGACAGTATTCTGGTCACCACTTCTGGAGCCAGTACTTATGATGAGGGGTGGGTTTTGCTTTATGTACTCCTCACCTTGCTTATAATAAAACTGCTCCTCTGGTGATAGTTTCTGTAACTTTGACTTGACCTCATTTTCATCATCCAGAGCGCTAGGCCACCTAGATTCAGCACTTTCTGCCAATCTTCTGCTCCTTGCACTTAATCCAGTTGCCATACCTTCTTCGTTGAGCAATGATATCCTTGCATGTCGCGTTAATAGTCGAGTAACCACTATCTTTGTTGTGAAATAAATGATGCAAATACAGAGATACATGACCAGCATAGAACCGAAGTAGATGAACATGACGTTAATGTCAAGTTGATCATCCTGATTAGTATATCCATCAGGAGTACCTGGATATGGAACATCTTCCGCAGGTCCTGGGTATGGCAGAACTTCTGGTGGCGTCGGCACGTCATCTCTCCGTTTTAAACCCGTACTCTGAGCGTCTCTATAAGCATCGGGTATTACAAACCCAGAAGCCTGAGCTAAAAGGCCCAAAAACAACAACATCACAACCCAAAAAAAAGGTAAAATAACAATCCCAGGTTGACTTCTATCAAGTATTGTTATGGCTAAATTTAATCCCAAACCTTACTCAATAAGCGAATAAAGCAGTAGCACAGTAAATATTAGTTGTATTATATCTAATTCTAATAGAATCCACTATTTTGCTCTTGCAGTTCAGTTATTGCAGTTTGGAGGGGTGGTTATCAGAAGCCTGCTATTATATCAGCCTTTTATATATGTTGGTGGAAACTTATATAAAATTAGTTGACAGTATCACTGAGCTTAACGATGGGATACATCAGAAAGGAGGCGAGTGGATTCACGAGTCAGGAAGTTTCGTATTTTAGAGTGGCTTCAATAAAGTTTTTCCGTAATGAAATCACGCAGCTAACGTTTCTCTCAGTGATAAAAAAGGGCGAGTAAAAGAATGTTGCGAGGCGAACACAACACGTAATAAGGTAAATTAAATAGATGCACTAAGGATGCCAAGGGAGATCTGTTATAGTTGCTCTATAGTCTATTTTGTATTTAAGTATAGATGTGCGTCTATATATAATTAGGAGAGGTCGAACCCTGCACCCGCATTAATCGCGTAGAGCAGTTTCTGTCTTAGTAATTCTTTGTCTGCGTAATCTGGCAACTTCAGTAAGTTGACACATGTTGCTGCTGTTGGTAACCTGTCCCTTTCAGGACCAGAGTTCCTTATACCAAATTTAGGTTCCAGCGCTCCGAACCCTTGAAGAGGAGCTTGCGGCACTGATGTCACAAACTTCAGCAGGTCTAGCCTTTGTTGAGGTTCGAACTCTTCCAATATCTGCCAGAAATACTGAATCGTTAGACTGGTGTCACTGAAACCACCATATATGGTATTGCTTTTCAGATCTTCTAAATTTATATCCTTACCTTCCCCAGAGATTAACTTTTGCAGCTCGCTGGAGTTGAACATCTCAAACCAATGTGGTGCAATCATCACACTCAGCCCACGATGCAGAGCCGCTACTTGCTTGTTTAAAGATCTGTTAAGCTTGAAATCCGCAATAAGAACAAGGTACTGAAGGACATTGTTCTTGGTAACCACAGTTTTTGAACCATTTGGAATTAGCTCGGTAACTCTGTTCTTGCCTGTTGATAAGTCATCGACCTCAAAGTGTAATTCTAACGATTCCAAATCAGAAGCACTCATAGCTAATAATTTCACTAAATTTTGATATAATGATTCATCCAAAGACTGCAAATCATCGAAATAGGATATATAGTGATTTGAAGAATTAAGCAATTTTTTCAATAAGAAATCTGTGAAATGAATGTCAATAAGCACACGGTCATATATACATTTACCCAGAACTTTACCCAAAAAATAGTAGTATTTCATTTTTGTTGCATTAACCTCTGAGCTGGGATACAGCTCATAGTTCTGATTGGTGTCAAATAATTTATACTTATCATTTTTAAATCCTTCTTCAGTTACACTTGTCAAGAACTCTTTTGTGATACCACCGCCATCAATACCAGCCTCGGGTCCAAATTCATTAGTAAAAGTTACTGATAATTTACCCTTAAATCTTTCACCAGCAGGATTGAAGGAGCTATACGCATCCTCTAGAACATTATCCCGGGATATATTCACTGCCTGTCTTCTTGAAAGAGAAGGCCCTAATGCGTTTAGTACATCCATCATCAAAGAGCTGTCATCATCTAAATTGAGACGTCTCTTATCTAACTCTATTAAAGTGTAGAACATTTCCACTCTCTGTTCAAAGGGAACATAAAATGGAGCTTCTAACAAAATTTTAAGTTTTCTGAATTGCTTAATGTTATTTGGCTTTACTTCCATATTTACCAGATAATTTGCTTTCAGATTCATAATATCATTAATCTCCTTATCATTATTATCTTCATCATCTGAATCGTATAAATCATCGTAATTGTCTTTGTAAGATCTGTAATAATCCTCATAGTCTTGAATTTGCTTATATATTGCTGTCTTCAGGAAATCTGTATTGTAAACCGTCCAGTATTCTTTATCGCCATTAGATGACTTACAAAACTTCATCCTGGAATCTCTCAAATAAATGATCTTCAGTAAAGGGAGTGCCTCATTTGTATAAAGAAATGAATCATTTGTCGGCTTTGTCCACATATCGTTGAATACCATATCTTTAATACCATCAGTAAATAGTACTAATTGCTCCAGTTTTATTCTATTTCTGTTATACAACAATTCATGGTCTGTTGATAACCACAAATGAACTTTGATTAGTTGACAAAGTAATTTGAATGCCGGGTAGTGAGTGATGTCGTCCCAGTATGTCTGTTCTGGATCTTGAAATCTAGAGAAAATATTCAATAGATTCTCAACAAAATTCTCTCTAGAAAGTAATGAAACATATACACTATCCCTTTCAGCTTCACTAGGCGCGTTCTCTATAAAATTCAACAAGTCAGAACTGAAGTTGGTGTGTATATTTATGCTGTCCAAGTACGAGTAGATAAAATCTTTCTGATATATCTCTGTGACGTAGCCACGCATTCTAATATTAACTGGTTCATACCTCACATTTGTGACACATTGCCTTATTATATTATACAGGTGTTGATTAGCATGCTTAAGTTTAGAATATAGGTAGCTCATATTCTCCAAGAGTACAGAACTACCATTGAGCTCTACCATGGGCAATAGATCATTCAATACCAATCCTTCATAAAAATGAAGTACCTCTTCGAATTGGACACATTGACTCTCCGTAATTTCAAATACTCGTCTATAGTTTTGGCTAAATTGTACTTTCCAAGCAGAGAGCACTGGTGCAATGACATCTATATGCAAACCTGATGTACCTCTCAGAACTTCATTACTAGAAATAAATTTTATATTGGCATCTATGATACCATCAATAAGTGGAATACCAATGTTCAGGCAATTAATGCACATATTCGCAATATTCACATCATGGCAATCAGAATAGATATTCAAAAGCTTCCAATTTCCCAATGCTGTTCCAAACTGAGTAAGGAAATGTTTTGATACGTTCAGTATATGTAATAACTCATGAGTTCCAAGGTATATTAGCAATTTTGAACCGAGAAGAGGAACCAAGTGAACTACTTTAGGTGATGTCAAATTCAATAATGCAGTTTTCTTGCAAGATAGAAACTTTCTGATCTGACGCTGTATGTATGCGGCTGATGCCTCTTGCTTTTTCTCTTCAGCCCTTCTGTCTCTCTCCAATTTAGCTCTTTGTAAAATCTCCTTCTTAGTAGTCTGTTGCTTCCTCCCTAAGTTTACATTCCTCTTCCTCGTTTGTCCTGTAAAATTAAGCATTATCAGAATTGTTATATCTTTAGCATTTCATGCAATACAAAATCAATCTTGTATTTGCTTGTAAATTGGGTAACACCGGATATATAAAAACCTAAGCTTGGATCGTCTCCCTTTAAGCAATCTGTTTTCTAGAGTAAACTGTAGATTTTGACAAAATTAAGGTATTAACTTGTTCTTACTGGATCAAAAAACAACTTACAATCTTGGATCAATTCCGTTTGTAAATGAGACAGACAAGTAAAACCTCCAGAAACAACTATAATACAACAATTACTCTTCACAATTGCGCTGAGCTGTGCCACCCAAGAGCTAAAAAGTAACGTTTGCTATGATTTTTGTTAGAACAAACCTTTTCGGCATTGCGATGAGCTTCGAAGAATTACCAAATAACAATAGAATGATTCAAGATAAACTTTAAAATATCAAAAGTAAATCAGATGCATGATTAAGGAAAGCGTCATATGCTTTCAATTCAAAGAATCTGAGGCTCAGTTTATTTGAAGTTTTAGTTAATCCTATTTGTGTCTAAGAGTGATTCTCGAATGGTGACGAACAAGAAAGATACCGATGAAAACAGAGATGTTCAAGGTTCTATTGTAACAAAAACTTCTGCAATATTCCCAGTTTTAGTGGGATTTAGAGTAATCAACTCTTTATTAACAAGGACATATTTTCAGGCTGACGAATTCTGGCAGTCTCTAGAACCAGCGCACTATAAAGCATTCGGTTATGGTGAACTGACGTGGGAGTGGAAAGTCGGATTACGTAGCTATGCATTTCCTATGCTATTTGAAATAATCTACAGGCTAGTTAAGTTACTGGCAATTGCTTCGAAAGAAGCACTATCAATCATATGTTCTATAGGTGCAGGCCTTATGCTATTGTGTTTTCCTCAATCTAAGTTAGCCACAGAAGTAGCACGCGATTTATTGACTATACCGAATGAGTACAGCGAAACTGTTGAGTATTACGGTGTAATATATGCACCAAAGTTATTTATGGCTCTGCTGGCGGCTACAGGTGAATATTTTACCATTAAATTAATACAGAAAGTGTATTTAAAGACGGTGTCAAAGAATGACGATCAGTTACCAAAGCTATCTAACATAACCAAAATTGCATTACTCTTAACATTGACTAATTTCTTCAATTGTTTTTTTATTACCAGAACATTTATAAATTCTTTCGAGATGATATTAACATCCATTGCATTGTATAATTGGGATTGGTCGGGCGGAATAGAGATTAACACAAGATCATTTACAAAATCATTATTTTTTGCGATGTTTGCATGCATACAAAGACCTAGCAATGCTATAATATGGATTGTATTGGGTTTTTTTCTAACCATTAATCTTTTATTGAGAAGAGACTATACACTTATTGGGAGATTATATGCTAAGATTCTAGTAGTATTCACCATTACCATGTTAGTAAATGTTGTTATTGACTTCTATTTTTACAACCAGATAATTTTTCCTGTTTTCAAATTTATAAATTTCAATTTCACCAGTATCCTGTCAGAATTCTATGGTGTGGCCCCATGGCATTTTCATTTATTACAAAGCCTTCCTATTATGCTAGGTTATAGTTTACCTTTGTTCATCTATGGTCTTTTTAGCAATGATTCGACTACGAAAAATAATATCAGATTTGGTGCTTTAAGGCAAATTAAATTTGTTCTTATTCTAAACATAATTTTTTATTCATACCTGAAGCATAAGGAATTCCGCTTCATCTATCCATTGCAACCTCTTTTCTGTTTGCTATCCGCTCTTGGTGCCCTAAAATTGGCTGGAAAAGTTCAAAACTATAGGTACTTGAAGGAATATGTGTGGATAATCCCACTTATGTCAATGATAGTTTCTATATTTATAACAACCTTCCAGGAAAGTGGAGTCATACAGGTGATGAAAGATCTTCACAATGAGAAAGACATTGATAGCGTTGGTTTTGTTATGCCATGCCACTCGACACCATGGCAATCTTATTTACATAGAAATGATATTAGACAACTCTGGGCAATATCATGCGAACCACCATTACATTTGCTCGGAAAAAATAATGCATCAATTGAATTGCAGACATACATGGACGAGAGTGATTATCTGTATGAAAACATTTCTGGCTTTATTAAAAAAAATTTCCCAAAATTCACCAATTCAATGGACATGGAAAATGTGAACAACAACGCAAGCATGCCCCAGTTTCCTCACGAATGGCCCCAATTTTTAATTATTTTTGAACAATTAGATAATGAATTTATGAGTCGTTATTTGCTTGACTCAGGGTATGTCAAATACAACAAGATCTTTAACTCCTATTCTCATTGGGATTCTAGAAGAAACGGTGATCTCATAATTTATTATAAAAATAATTAGGTATCCACCAAATGCATTCCGGTTGCTTGTTTTATGAATTTTTTGCATTTCAATTTATAATATAGTATTAAGATATAAAGTAAACCAATTAATCCATTAAAGTACTTCATGTAAATATAAACATCTCTATAAAAAATCATTAAATTCTATAAGTATTCGTTAATATTGGCTGCCACCAGAGAAGGCAACCCACCACCCAAAAAGTCCAACATCATATGCATACCACCACCTCCGCTGTAGTCATCAACCTCTTGAGGTAATACCTGAGATAATCCCTCCAGAAACCAAACTGAATCTTTTACATCGTTAGTAAAATTCATCAATATCTTATAATAGCTTCTCATGATTCTCATTGCCCCAATATCTCCAGTCATTAATAAGGAAAGGAAGGTTTTATCTAATAACGCAGGAAAAGCAAATATCTTCAATAAAAAATCCTTCTTCTTTCTTTCTCCTTGAAGTTTGTGTAAATATGCTAGTGTAATAAGGTATGGAGAATCAATCTCAACGGGATACAAATCCGATATACTCTCATCAAAACAAATGAGTTCCGTTATAGTATTATTTTCGTGATTGATAGAGTTAGCAAATTCACTCAGATCGACAGAAATGATATTAAAGAATATCGATTTTGGACTTAGTGGCCATACCGCAGTAAGAATGGTTGCAGCACCTTTGACATGGAAAATCCATGCTGATGGTGACATAGCATTCAATAACATGCCGTTCTTTTTCAAAATATCAGTCGCATTTGATGTATCTTTAGGTAATTGCATGTGAGGATCGTGATTATTCCACGCATTTGCTAGAGAATCCATCAATAACAACAATGCACTTGCGACCAAAGCGTCTGTATTTTCCTCAGTGATATTAAGAACTGCACTGCGCAAAAGGCTTAGTGCTTCCAACCTATGGTTAGTAATATAGTCCTCTAGACCAGCCTCAGTCCTTGAAAGATGTGTAGCACTAAATGATAAAATACAATGCATTAGAAACGGATATTCAAATGCCATGGCGGGGATTTCATTTTTCCACACCTGCGGATCAGATATATTAGCTGCTACAATAGTTTGCCATACATTAGTACAATAATGATGGAAAGTTTTTAAGTCTAATAAGTTCAGATTGCTTGATTTAGACAGTTGTTCTAGGTTTTTGACATTGTTTCCCAAAAGGTTATCTGCTGGAACCATGTTCTGACTCATAGTTGGTGTTGGCACGTTTAGAATATTATTTTCTCTTGACCTATCAAACATGGAGGGAGACGACATACTACCTACAAGAGCCTCCCTTATCAACGGTGTCATGTTTAAAATACTTGTTGTTCCTGGGGTATCGGCCAATTTAGGTGTACTGACATTGTTTGAACTTCCCAGCATTCTATTTATATCATTATTTGCTGTCGTTTCCATCTTGATTTTTTCATCTCTTGCATACTCATGATCCTCCTGCATTGATGTCAATGCATCATGCGCATAATTTGCTTTGTCCTGCTTACTTTGACCAAGATTTTTTAAACCAAGAAGTGCCTGAAAATCATATTGAACACCACCAAAACCAGCTGTCAACAACGAACTCAAACCTTTCATGCTGATTCCCAGTTTACTCAATTGAGCCAAGGTATCAGCTTGAACAGCCGTTGCGGAATTGTTGTTATTATCAATCTTGCCTTTTTGCTCATCATAAGAAGACACTGATTCGGCAGCCAGAGAAGATTTAGAGCTACTACTGTTTTCATGCTCCTGGCTTCTTTTTATAAATTCCTGCTGTTGTTCCATCTGTAACTTCTGGTATTGTGCCAACTGCTGCTTTTGATGTCTTTCGAGTTGTAATTGCTGCTGCAATTGAACCAATACTTTATGCTGAGATATGTTCGATTTTTCTTCATTTTCCTTCATATTCAAATGAGGAAGACTGGTGTCTGCAAAACTAGAAGAAGTTTTGCCATCAGGCTTAGAATCATTCATTTGTTGCAGTAATTGCAAATGCTGCTGAATTTGATTACCTGATAATAAACTTTGGTTTGGAATACCCAAGATGTTGCTTGTATTGTTAAGGAGGTTGTTGCCTGACATATGTGATAACAGAGATTTCTCAATGCCAGCCAAACTTTTCAAAGAGATATCATTAGGTTGATTTCTATTCGAAGCATTATGATAATCTTGAGCATTACCTTCATTCGTAGTTTTTGGATCCAAAGAGGTGCCCTTAGACAGTAAATTACTTATTGATGCAGGTAACCCTGAATCTTTTGGATCAGAAAGCATAAATTTCCTACCTGGAATTTCAGATACAGCTTTTGGCGGTAGATCTCCATTCACATCTTTACCCTCTACTTGCGGTTTTTCAGTTTCAATTATTTCCCCATTTGCATCCCTCGTTATATATTTAACTCTTGTTCTTGTTCTTCTTTTAGGAGGCTGAACGGGTGTGTAAACACATTCCAGTTTCATTTTAACACATTTGTCACACATCGGTTTCCCTTCATCACACTTCACCCGCCTTCTCTTACAATGGTCGCAACCATTCTTAGATTTGTTGTGAAATTTCCGTTTACCTGTAGAAGTTGTACTAACCTTCTTACCACCAATATCTACGAGCTCGATGATTTTCTCTCTTTTTCGACTCTGAGGTTTTGAGACATCGTTGGTAACAGCATTTTGAACAGCTAGCGTAGTCATGGCCAATTTTTGAGATAACAACCAATCCACTAGTGATGTATTGCCTATCTTTTAAAATTGAGTTGATTGATACTCTTAGATATACCAAATATGGAGTAATAATACAACAAGTTATATATTTCAAACTTGATATTTTTTTGTCGGCTAATATCAAAAAAACTTTGGGCGGCAGGAAGCGTCACTGATACGAAAGAAAGTGGAATTGGAACGAAAAATTGAAAATCCGATCCAAATATATATGGCCAAGCATTGTCATGAAATTGATCAACAAGCGGGGGAAGGAAAATTTTGTACTGCTAATAGGTTATCCACTATGATATAGTGCCACTAGAAACTTTGTTAAGCACGATCTTAAGATAGCACACATAACCAAAAATAAAGTACAGTACATATAAGCAGTACTTTTCAAAAAGAAAGAAAGAAAAAAGATACCCGTTATTATTTCGGAGGATATGTAGCTACATTTGATGAATTCGCACCAAAGCGCAGACAACCAGTAATAACACAATCGCTTTAGCAGGCGAAGGATGAGGTTGAAATTCTGTACATTAAAAGCGATAATAGTATCATTTGCGTATAAGTTTCAATTGGCTTGCATGCTCAGTCGTTAAAGTGCCTCAGTTATACCTTTCTTATACCATATTCTCGTTCAAACAACCCACCATGTTTCAAATGAACTTGTTCACCTCCATTATTCACATGGCTATAGACAGTTTTAGCACCCTGCAAATCAGTAATCTCGTTTATTTGTCGCGACCTTTCTAAGAATATATAAAACTGAACTCACTTAATACCAGTGAACAATGGTGTGAAACTAAACTGCAGCAACTGAAGAAGTTCCACAAAGACAACGGCAAACACCTGGTGCACAACGGTAAGGTGGGTAAAATCCCCCACATATAACGTCTCTTTAAAGTTCCATTCTCATTACATCTACCGTAGCGAAGTCAATCTATCCAACGTACTGTTTAGCTCTAAAGCATTACACAGACCACCAAAAATATTGGAACTGTTTTTACAGACCTGTAAGGAGATTCTCTCTAACTCCTACCCTTTCGCACCCAAACGAGGGGCAATAAACCAAATTCACACCAATTCTAATCCACTTTGCGCTCTCTAAACTCTTGACGTGTATGTTTTTGTAGTTTTTGTTCCTTCATTCTCCTGTAGAACTCGCCTTCCCTTACGCTCAAATTCTCAGCGTCCCCTGCTTCACCAATCGCTAGTCAATTTACGCAATAGCTATAGAAAATGATCTGAATAATTGGTATCCAAATGCAAAGAATCATTTCCAATAAATTACATTAAATTTAACGTACAAATTAACTTTTTTCTTTCTTTTTTTCTTGTTATAAGATCATATTAAAAATCGAAGCTTTTATTTTTCGCATTTGCCATTGTTCTCGAGGACACTCCGCGGGGATCGTTAGTAACATTAATTATTCTATTCTGCATTTTCTTTTAGCTTGCTTTTTCTTGCTACAAAAAAGTGGGGGTAGAAACTACGTAGGTACCTTGTGATTAGTAATTGGAAGAAGCACAAGCTAATATATAATCCCTATACGAGGACAGCTTCTTTTGAATGCCATACCGAATAGAGGTGGATTTATTTGGCACTGGAGAATATCAGAGATTATAGAAGAATGAAACCAGCGATAATGGGAAAAATCCATCTCGTTTGGCTTTTTCAAGAGATAAAAATATGAAACGAGTCGAGTTAAGTGGTCGTTTGGCTCCCAGATGTTCGCTCAACATGAAAGTCACATTATCTGTAGATATATTCTCGTCTGTTGAATAAGACCATTATAATTTCGGACTTACAGAATTTTAGGGATATACAATCACTCTAGGAAGGATTAAATAACAGTTGAGGTCCCTTAAAGTCAACAAACTGTTATATGGACACGGAAACAAACTTGACAGTGAATAAGACGCTTCCATATAAAGATAAATCCGAATCGGGCACCTTCAGAAACGATTGAGTTCAACTGAATTCATAATCATTGCAATAAATCGAATAGATATGGAACTCTACAAATGTGTGCAAAACCAATCTTGAATACATGATTATCTTGTTCTATCGACTCTGAACCTTGGTAATAGAGGCCATATATTTGACTAACAATAACGAAAACCAATAAGAGAAATTGGCTGCCCTTCGGATCTCAAACACCATTTCAACACTACTTGGGCAAATTTGTTTAGTGACTTATATCGATTAAAATTATTCAATATAATAAAGGTTTAACACCATATTAAAACTAGTACAATATTATAGAATGCAAGAAGTAGTTGGAATTAGGCTTTAGTTTAGTGTGCGTGTGGGTCTTCCTTTGGTGGCTCTGGATCAACTGTAATCATTGTATCAATTCTCAATATGGCCACACATGCCTCAAGCGCAGATTTTAGGGATTTAACCTTACTTATCGTTGGCTCGAGAACACCAGCGGTTACTTCATTTACAATCTTGCCCCTCACCAAGTCCAAACCATAGTTTCTGTAGTTTCTCTTCTTTTGATCATCTGGTTGAGCCAACTGACTAGCAGCGTGATATGATCTCAACTTTGTAATCAGTTCACTAGAATCCTTGGCGGCGTTAACAGCTAGAGTCTTTGGAATAACTAAAAGAGCAGATGCAAATCCAGCAATAGCTAATTGCTCTCTTGAACCAACAGTTGTAGCAAAATTATCCAAGTAGATATTTAGAGCTGTTTCGACACAACCACCACCTGGAACAACATGCCCACTTTCAAGGGTCCTTTTCACTACAGATAAGGAATCATGTAGAGAACGCTCGATTTCATCTAACGAATAATCACTTGGACCTCTCACAATAATCGAGGAAGAAGAATGCTTACTTGTACCCTTGATTAGAATACACTCATCATCTGAGTATCTTGTTTGAACAACCTCTTGACATGTACCCAAGTATGATGATTCGAATGTTTCATCACCTTCCAGGTTAGACATGGAGCTGATCAGGGTGGCACCAGTGGCACGCGCAATTCTTCTTAAATCTTCTTTCTTACAACGTCTGACACCCATAATCTTGGCCTCAACAAATTCTTTCAAACACAAGTCATCAATACCTTTAGTAGTCAATACAACTTGGGCACCAGCATCTATAATCTTCTTTACCCTTTCTAAAACTATACCGGCTTCACGTTTACGAATTTCTTCTAATTGCTCAGGATCTTCAATGTTGATCTGTACACCCATTGCCATACGAGCCTTTTGCAGATTTAGATCCAAACAAGCAATTTTGACATTGCCACCACCAATTTGTTTTGGCATAGCTTGAGATGCAACTGTACAGTTCAAAGCGTAACCATTGACTAGAACAGATTCGGTAGAAGACTTACCATGCGCCTTTAGAATATTCACTGCTTTTACTGGGTACTTAGTTTCACCCTTTGGGTTTTGGGTCTTTACAGCCAATAAGGCGTCAACAACCATGTTACTGAAAAATTCTGAGTCTGCACCGATAATCTTGGAGGACATACTTGTCTTTGCAATGTTGATCAAAGTTTCTTTACCTAAAGAGTCCACACTCATAGACAATACCTCATTAATAAATCTAATGGCTTCCTTCAATGCGAGCCTGTAACCTGTAATAATTGTGGTTGGATGAATTTTATTCTTTACCAATTCGTAAGCTTTTTTCAATAATTCAGAAGCAATAATCACAACACTAGTTGTACCATCACCAATTTCTCTATCTTGCTGTTGAGCTAATTCTACTAGAATCTTACCAGCTGGGTGTTGAACATCTAATAGAGAAAGGATAGTAGCACCATCATTTGTGACAGTAAAGTCACCAATATCATCCACTAACATTTTATCCAAACCAACTGGACCTAGAGAGGACTTGACTACATTAGCTACAGCCAAAGCAGCAAGAACATTTTGGTTCCTGATATCATCGCCACTCACCTTCTCACCTCCAAGGAATAACGTGTCAGACCTTGAGTTGTTGAACAATTGTGCCATCCTGTTTAAGTACTATATTAACTTATTATATCTTCACGTTGACAACTTATATCCAAAATAACAACGTAAATTTGAAAAAGAGGACTAACAATATGTTCTGTTCTTCGACTATATTCACTTCAAACCTTTCTATATCGGAACTGTCAAAAAAAAGCTTTCAATAAAAACAAAAAACACTTTGTAATCCAATTGAGCTCCCAAATCAATTACAACAACTGATCAGTATGGTCAATAATGCTATACTCACACAATTAACTACTTGTTACAGTGCAACTCATCGATTTTTTTGTTATTATGGGCGTCGTCTTCTCACAGAAGTTTTTCAAACTTCCTGACGAAAAATTAAACTTTTTTGTCACTTTTCGCCAGCACTAGTTATTTACCCGGTCACTTATAAAGCGGGATAACGGTAAACCGAGAGCGGCTCCATTTAACGGTCATATACACCTATTCTGCGGTTTAGATCTAGAACGTATTGACTTAGAAATATATTATTTAATTTATTATTGTGCCAGACTCTATTGGAAATTGGAATCAATACTACCCTCACAAGGAAAACAAAAACAAAAGAAATTGCACAACCAGATCATGGTTTTTTGGAGATTTGTTTGTGAAAGCTGCTTACATATTATGCACTACTTCAGAATTTATGTATCAGACTATTTGGTAAGCGATCAAGGAGAGTGTTGCAATACTACCAATATTATTGCCCAATATTTATGCCATAATACACTATGGAGGTTGTGTATTATAATCTCGCAATGCGTTGCGGCCTTCACGCTTATGACAATTGGCTGCAATTACACACTTCTAGCTGCTACAGTTTGCTGAGTTACTACCGTGTCCAACACATCACATTAGTTTTTTTGCCTCATGAAAGGCTATCCGATAATGTCCTTTATTATAAAAAACCAACAAATGGATCCGTTAATACTTAATCATACCATTTCTTTTTCTGTTTACCAGTCAAATACACAAAGGCATTGCGTGGAGAAAAAAGAATTAATTAATAACATGAGATGGATCTAGATTTCTGGCTTGTACACTACCAATTCCTAAGTAATAATTATTGCATTATTTGTATTTTGTTGCAACGCTAATTGATCAACAGCGCATTTCCGTTCTTCTAATTCAAGATAAGAGAGAATTTTATTTCCCCTCAATTTCAGACAACTTATATGTGCTAAATAGTCGCACGGGAAACTACATTACAACAAAGCACCGCTTGAAAGCTCCCTTAAGTCAGCATACCGGTAACTGCTGTTCGAAGAATGTCTGCTACTCAACATGCGTTAGCTCAATCATTATTAAGTATTGCTTGGCAGTATAACAATTAGGACAATTTGGCACAATTTTTCCCGCTTCTTGGTAATCTGACTTAGAAGTTCGTGCAGAAAAGTCCACTTGAAGGATGGAAAAAAAAATCTTAAAAGTTTAACTAGATCAGGAAGATAAGTTCTAAGGAATCTTGAATGTTGTGTTTTCCATTCAGTATGGTATTTGAGGGACTTTACGAACCAATCGAAACATATATATAGAGCCAAAAATATTCCAGAAATAGGCAATCTCGTGGCTATTCCCTGTTTTTATATTCTGGACAGCGTTTTATATGGAAGTATAAAATTTGGATACGTTAGTCATTTCCAATCCCCAGGGATTATCGGTTATACTTTCTTTCTTTCCGCTTACATTGAAATAGCTATTTGGAAATATATTAGTCGTCTCATTCAAAGAAATCGGTCCAGAAACACTGCTATTAACATTTAAAAGCAGTTTTGTGTTTGTTTTAAGGAACCATTTGAACTGCTGCGGACTCATACGTATAGAAGAGAACTAAAGTTTGAAAATTTAATTTCAAATTAATATGAGCACAGAAACACCAAGTCGCGAGAATAGCCAGTTACCTGGCACTACCCCCATGATAGACTATGGTATGGCAATGGAACTGCTACAACAACATTACAAACGCAGATCGACCAAGGCCTGTGACCACTGCAGAAAACGGAAGATAAGATGTGACGAGGTAAATCCAGTAACCAATAAATGCTCAAACTGCGTAAAGTTTAAAGTGGAATGTACATTTAAGTTCCATGAGGAATTGCAGACAAAGAAGAAGAGGATGTATGAACTCAAAGCTATCGAGAAAGCGAACAAAAAGGCCAAAAAGAGGCCATATAGGAAAAGAAATAGAGATGCTAAACAAGATTCAAATACTACAGATGAGGCTTCACAAACGTCAGCCAATACCAAGACTGTTTCGCCCATTTATAGTGATGCACAGCAACATACTGAAATTACCAATCACTTTTTGGCTGAGGAGAATGGTAAGCCTGTGATTACCAATGATGAACAGCATTTTATTCATCAATATAATTATCAACAACCTACTGCATTCCACAATTACTCTCATTCCATGCCTTCTTTCCAGAATATGTCCCCCCAACACAACCAATATAATGCAAAGAACGACTTTAATATGCACCAGCCTGCTGTTTCCTATGCCAATGGAGAACATCAGTTACCAAATTTAGAAAACAACAACATACCGAATGCTATTCACAACCCATCATTAGTAGTTGACGAAGACACCCTAGCTGCTGTCAATGACCAAATTACCAAGATTGATAGAAAACTCAAGGGTATTGTTAATGCAAATGTATATATTCAGAAATGTATGGATTCACTTCAGAGTGAAGATAACTCGAAGGAAAGGGCAAATGATCAACCTACTATGCCAGTTACGAAACAATATACAACACTTCTGTTCACTACCCAAAATATGCTTTATATAAAAAAAAAGTTTTTTGGGCAATCTAATCCTTCAAGTAATTTTGACATTGACGGTAATTTTTTAACTAAAGATGAACTAAATCAATATTCCAATGATACTTCCGAGAGTGGAAACAACGGCAATTATTCCAATATCCTCGCTGAAAAGGATTTTATGCCAGCATTAAAAGACATATTTGCAGTATATCTGAAGTATTATGTTGTACAAATGACTAAAGTAATGGAATTTTCTTCTATGCCGACTCTAAAACCGGGAAATAAGCTTTGTAACATTATCTCAAGAGAACAAGCATCTGCTTTGATATCAAGCTTTCAAACACTTTTAATTTCCTCTTCAATATTTCCCACAGACGGCAAAGAATGCTCAAATCTGGTGGATAGGTACTTTCGAAACAACGGAAATGGGCTTACAAAGCCAGAGTATCTTTTGGTTAATATTTGCATATGTCTCGGAGCTCAGAAAATGCGTAGTCAAATTCTTAGAGGTAAAAAGGAAGCGCGTCAACTCGAGAAAGATCTATTACTAAAAGTAAAAAACCTAACGCTGCTGAACTCTGTGTATTTCTTTCACAAAATGACAATTTCCAACATTTGCATCACCTCATTACAAGGCCTTTTGCTACTTTGTCATTATATTCAGATATATATCAATACCGAAACAGCGGCAGGTGTACTTGTAGAGGCAGTGAATATGGCAATATCTTTAGAGCTACATCTTCACAAATCTTATGAAGGGTTGAGCCCACTAGAGTTGATTAAAAGGAGAGTACTATGGTCTTATTGTTTTTCTGTTGACAAGTATTATTCTCTTATTTTATCCCGCCCACCACTAGTAAGAAATGAAAACACTGATGTTTTATCCCCAGAGGTTTTTTTTGAAACAGTTACAGTCAATATTCTTCCAACAATCACATATAATCCAGATCTCTTGAAGAACGACACACCAGAAAACAGAACCGAAGCATTGAATATTCTATTATCCCATTATGAATTTATGCCAGCGGTACTTGCATATTTTAAAGTCAAGCTTGTTAAGGTAGAACTTTCACTCTATGAAACATGCTTTTCGGTTAGAAGTACACTGGATAATACCTTTGATCAAATAATTGACAAGGTCTTGAAAATTAAGGCAGAATTGGATTCTTGGAGAGAGAGCTTACCTTCTATGCTAAAACTGGAAAGCTATATCCAATACATATCATTACTACACTCTCAAATACCGGAAGACAATACTTTACCCAATCCAGTCAATATGCAATGCAGTGTGCTAAATCTACATTTTCGGTATTATTATCTCATAACTAACCTTAGCTTGTTTATTGACACATTCCTAAGTGATAATAAAAACCTTTGGAACGGCTCTAAGCACAACATCAGCCAAGTTTCACAAATATTCCATAACAAAGCTAAAGACAAAAGTATCAAAGTTCTCACATTATTTTTATCGCTGGACTATGAACCTGATCTATATTCCGAACTGTCCTATTATTTCCTAACATGCCTCTTTGTGGTATTATTATACGTTATAAAAAATCTAAACAAGACATCAAATAATTGTGAGATGGTATATCTCATTAATTTGCTAAACGACTGCCATAAATTTATAATCGGAAATGTGGAAAATCTACTAGTTTCTGAGGACATGAAGTGGAATATGTCGATTTTCTTTTTCACATATTTGATGCATGCTATAACAAAAAACTTCAAAAACGACGAAACATCCAAGCAAAACTTCCAGCTAGATTTTGTGTTTTTGGGCCCATTATTGGCAAGATTAGTGAGGACTAAAACAACAATCAAGCAGGATATTCTAAAGCAATTAGAATCTTTTGTTAACATAATGGGGCTTTATAAAGAGGATGGAAATGACATTTTTGGAACACAAAACTTTGGTGAGTCATCAGCCACCGTATTACCTAATGGCAATTATCTTGAAGAATTGGACATATTTTCCAAATTCAATTCTGAAGCGCTAAAGATTTTGAGAACACCCATTTTCGGAACAGGGAATGTAATTAATTGCCACGGAAATGAACTTTCTGTACGCGATGAAGAACTTACCAAAGAGAGAGATATCGAAGGCCGTTCTATCCTACCGCTTGATCTCGATGAGTCCGAGAGTTTTGGTACCAGCCCATATGATAGCATTGACGAGTTCCAAGATTTCTTGCTTCAGGGTGTGTTTTTTTATGATAGAGATATGCTTTTTTCTAACCACGGCTAACCGTTAAAAATTTACTTTATTACTGTATATATCTTTATTTAGCATCAGTTGTTATTTTTCAACTAACTAACAGAAGCTTTCCTATCTTACAATTATAAGAACAGTTTCTGAATAAGAAATAAAATATATGCTTTTTTTGTGATGGCTTATAGAAATATTCCTCTGTAAATATTAAATATCCCCTTGTGTTTGAAAAGAGGCCAACAAACAACTTTTTAATGGTACTTTTCGAATTTGTGCTAATAAATTAAAATATCCACTTATATCATAAGTTTTTTACACGATTATTTAAGAATATATGTTGTTAGTTTATACATTAAGACCCGTCCATTCTTGAAGGGCGGCTTGAGTCCTACTAACTCCTTTTCCAATGGTAGAAAATGTGTGCTCCAGGACGCTGATCGTCTTACCAATCCCAACATTTATTTTAAAAACTATTTTATCTTGATTCTCCACAAAACTTGGGAAATTGTGTTTCTCAATATCATAGCACAGACTTTTAACATTATTAAAAGTACCAGGCAAAACAAATGCTAGACAAGTAGTACCCAATATAATTGGGGTGAAGAACCTGTAAACAAAATTCCTATTTCTGGTCAACACAGAACCAGTCATGAATGAAACAGCAGTATAGGTTAGCCCAGGGATAAACTCTTCTTTCCTCTCAGCTTTCAATCCGGCAATAGTGGATGTAATTTTACGCTCACTACGGTAATACCTATTCGATGCCTTCTCTAACTTTTCAGAAGTTCTATCCAGCCTCTCAGCCAAATTAGTCCTTCTCCTCCTGAAGAAATCAACCATATATGGTGGATAACGCACTGATATCCCATCTACGAGTTCATTATTACCGATCAACTTCACAAACTTACTGGATGCCTTTGCAATAACATCTTTATTAGACTTTTCTGGGGTATAAACAGCCTCTTTAGCACCTGAGGATGGTACAACAACTCCTTCAGGTGGAACCACTCGCTCTTGAACGAGGTCAACTTCACGATAGTAATCGACAGCCATGTCTGAATTATTCCTTAGCGACTTTGCTTGCCTAATCTACAACCCCAATAAAGACCCATTCGTGACCCTTTTGTAATTAGTTTTTAAACACTTTTGCTATTTCCTTTCGGATTCGTTGTAATCGTCCGACAAATCGATTTTAAGAATTTAACGAATTTGAAGCGATGAGATGAGCCAGTCAAAGGAATGATGGGAAAGTGCATAAGACTAAAAAACGCAGACGATATATTAAGTATAGCTACCTTATGTAAAATAATTGCTATTTAATGAATGATGTGGAAAACAAAGAAAAGTATGCAGATAGGAACCAAAACTAGTTCCACATTAAACAAATATATAAGAATGAGTAGTTGATGCATATTATTGTAACTTTGCCAGCAATGCCTTAGGTGTTCACATTATGGATGAGAACAGCTCATATGTATACTCCTCATTTAGGTCATATTTGTTGGCGTCCTTAAGCATACCCCACATGGAAGGGTTTTTCTCTTTCTCTATGGGTTTATGAGCTATATTTTCATTAACTTCTTCTAACACTGACTGGCTATAGTGGGGAAGAGTAACACCTCTCCTATAGGCAGTAGGCACCATGGCAGCACACAACATTGCTGCCACTAAATATTTGAACTGTGGTTGTTTGGCTACTTTTTGTGCTTCTGAGTATATTCTTGGATTGATTTGCATATTGATTGTATGTTTTTGATACTGTTTTATATATCTATCGATACAGCTACTATGAAATGAAACTACACAAGGAACGTCATGGATAGCTACACCGACCTCCATTTATATAAGTTTCAAGGTTCCTCATAGATGAGGTTAACCCCTCCAGACTTGGTTATACTAAAGGCTGAATACAAATGATCATTAGCCATACCAACTTTGCTAATACTTAAGAGGAATAGCTATACCTGGAAAGCATGGACCGTAGTCATTCGTAAGCACCAGGGGTCATCGCTAGATGTTCTAGTGACACTATTGAAGGGTGCAAAGATGAGTATGATCTATTAAAGGGTACCTCTCCAAAGACACCCCTACAATCTATGGGCAAGATAACAACCGGACCCTTTAGAGATAAGGTAAAGCTACAGCCACAAGAATAATATAAGAGGGCTAGTCATAAGAAACGCACGGAGAATCACATGCAGTGTAATACAAATGATAAAAAATGGAAATCTGATTGGAAGAGTCATAGCAATTGTATAATTTAGTGAATATGTTGTATGTAATTCGTATGATAATGAGAAATAGTTAATGATTTTAAGGTAGCATGCAGTCTTGGAATTTTGGGGCATGAAAAAAAAAAAAAAATGCAATATTGATTTCATGGCATTATATTGGGTGGCCTAATTTAAATGTGCGAATCTTTCTAGAACTACTGAAGTTCTCATCCAACAGGTAGGCTACCAAAATACTTTCTTGAACATCGATCCAATGCTCTTCTTACTGGAACTTGAGCTCGAATTCTTGCTACTATCAGTTTTCTTAGATTTGCCATTGGAACTTGCTCTGGGTAGTGAAAGCGGTGTACTGCTTTTTGACGTGGGATCATGACTTTTAGCCTTCTTGAGGGAAGTATCACTATGCTTTCTTCCCTTTGGAGGACGATTAGTTGATCCCGGCATAGGTGGTGTCAGGAAAATAGGACCACCAGAGGACTTCACTTTTCGAATACCAGTATTATTTAGGGTGTTCTGATTCATCTTAGAACGGTCATTTTCACCATCCGTCTCTGAAGTCTGGACAGAATCTACCATAGATTTAACTCGATACATTCCACCATCATTCAAATACAACCTTGAGCTACGGCCAGAGCCACGAGAGGTGTTATCAGGTGCTAATCGTTTACCATCTATATCATAAACTAATTTTGATCTTTTGGCGAGTAGTTGCCTCATTGGTGCTGGCATCACATATCCCAAATGTTCAAACTCTTCATAACGTTTCTTGTCTTGAATAGGAAGATCACCAGTAAACGATGCAACAGATTCTGCTTCACTATCTGAGTCACAGATGGGATCAATAGGCTTATCAGAGTTTTGGGCGTAAGGATTCTTTGTCGTCTTCTTAATCACTTGGTCAAGCCAGGTTAATCTGCTGTCAAGGTCAACACGTTCGTAATCATCTACATAAGACACTTTAACTGAACCGTGTGACTCTGGTGATAAATAATCCTTATCTAGGAGACTGGGGTCAATGAATTCAAATGGGATTAGAAATGTTGGCATTGGGTAATGTTTTAAGACAAAAAATGGTAGTTTCACATTACCATTCCGGAATTTGATTTGAGTATTGGTGCTAACAGTACTAATAATCTGAAAATTTGGAGCATACACGCCTGCTGCACCTGTGATAGCATCTTTTGTCGAATCACTCTTTACAATTTCGACAGTAATTTTAGTTATCTTATCTTTTAGTCTATAAGCGTAATAATCTAGCAATTCCCTACAGACTTCACGGGCCCTATCTCTTATGGCTTCTGCTCTAAAACCAATAGTTGATGGTGTCACAGCATCTGGATCGCTAGAAGGTGTACTAGATAGAGTATGACTCTCAGAGTATACCGATATTCTATCAGATCTATCTGAATTTCTCTGCTGGAGTTTGCTTTTTCTTTTCTCCTGGTTACAAAGGGTTTCTAGTTCTTTTTCAAACTCAGGTACTCTAGATACTATAACCAGATGATCACCATCAGCAGCCACATTTTCGATATACCAATCCACACTTGACCAAGTATATCTTCTACCAGAAATGTAGCACATAATAGTTCGGTAATCTATAGTATGTTCTTTTTCTCGACAAGGTACGTGCTTTCTCATTTTTTTCATGAAAGCCGTATATTCTGGATGTTGTGAATTCAGTGACATCGATTTATAAGTAATAGTTGGCCTTGTCGGGTAAATAGCCGCCAGCGACTCCAAAGCCAAGTTTGCATTTACATTGTTATTTTTCTTAGAATCATCGAAAAACACAGGAATTTGCTTACCGAAATCAAAATTGTTCATCTGGTTCGAAACAGAAGTCGAACGAGCTTGAGATGTATAGAAATCCTCCAGTTGTGCCAATTCTGCATCTGTCATTCCTGCAAAAGATTTTGACCTTTTCTTTTCTTCACCTACTGGTGGTTGTGAGGTCTTATTGTTCTTAACATCTATTCTATCCTCCAATTCGTTTAAATTCGAGAATGCATTTTGTGTATATCCATGATTGGAACCTGAATTCGTTTGTGTGTTACTTTCAGTGACTTTTTTAATGTGCTTCTCGAGGTTAGGATCAACATCACTAATATCTATATCTTCTATCTCTACAGGCTCATCAACTTTGATCTCTTTCATTTTCAGAATTTTCTGTTCCGGTGGAGGTGGCAATCTCGGTGCATTAGTTACCTTTGGCGAGTGTATAAATGGCGACACACTTCTGCTCCTGTTACTAGTCCCAAGTGCAGATCTTCCGCGTGGGGCCAAGTGCATACCATCGAGCTTACTAGTCAGCTTGCGGCTGTCTAACTCGTGGTTCTGTTGTCTTAAGGGACTCGCATCACCACTCCCTACCGCATTCCTATACGCTGGGTTATACTGTGGTGGTACCTTGATGAAGTGATTGTAAAACCCAATGTGTTGACTAGTTTCCCTTATGATCTTCGCTTGGTCGTCAATGAGCGATGGGGCCAAATCATCAAACGAGATATGCCTCGCATATGATGTGCTTGTGGACATGACTAAAGTATTGTTAGATTCTCTTCTTGCTATGTTTCAACCTAGTGAAGGGCTTCAGAGATATTTCTGTGTATTACACTTTCTGCTGTTATTGTGCTTGTAAGTACCGCTTCAATTGGTATTGCAACCAAGCCTTGAGTTAGTCTTAAAATGATTATACCAGAGACTGCAGAGGAAAATCCCTAAAAACTGGAATAGTTTGTCAGAACAGAAATCTATAAAAATATATAAGACCAATGTCAAGAATGGCAGCAAGATTGTAGTGCTATGACAATTGGAATGTTAACCTGGGCTAAAGTTATGTTAGGCCTGAGTAGTTTAGTAATGATGCCTAGTTGCTAGCTGGGAATAGTTGCTTAGTTCATTGGGAAAGATGATCTTAGGGCTCAACGAGCCAACTAAGCTGCCCTACTATTGGGTTTTATGGCCACATGCATATTAGGGCTACGATCGTCATCAGCACACAACGCTGCGTAGGAAAATCAAAACAAAAAGTTGTCAATCACTTGATTTATCATAGGGCTCTCTGCTCGAAGAGACAACTTCTCTTTAGGGTTTTGACCTTCGTTTGCTCGCTTCCCTGCCACCCTTCTCTAGGTCTTCCCTCTCCTTGACCCCCCCTTCCACCCCTTAAAATCGTGTTAGGGCTTATAACTGTGTTTGCCCCCACCTCCCTTCAACGGGGGGGAGGGTGCTTAGGGCTTAGGGCTTGGGGTTTGATGACCAAATGGCCTTAGTTTGGGTAGTGCATACATTAATGCATATTACAGTGCAGTGCATGTAGACTATTTGATGTTAAGGAACCATCAGCAACATTTGGCAACCGAGGCTTTTGCATCAAATAGAAAAGAGGATCTTTAATGATCAGGGCACTGAAGCCTTTGAGAATGCCCTATGGAGCTGAGTTAGGCACTTACATTAGGGCTTGATGTTGGTTTTTGCATTGATGCGGCAATATTTTGTCATTTGCAGCGTAAGGCATTTAGGGTGTTAAAAGGGGTTCTAATCAGTAATGTGGGATTAAGAGTGGCCGCAACCCTAAACAGAGTATAGTGGGTAAGCCCTTGGCGATAAGGGCATTTTCATAATCTATAGGCCAGGTTGTGAATATAGGAGCTTTTAGTTTTCTAGTGGTACTACTGCGAAGCACCATAAAATGATATGGATACAAATTTTGTGTATATGGGATTAGAATATATAATTTATATACCGTCCATTTGAAATATAGCAAAGTCGAACTTGAAAAATCTATAATTAATGATTACATAGTCTGTGGGAAATTGCCCGGCATTACTGGCATCTGGTTTTCTAATTTATAGGAAGAGTTGCTGTCAATTTCCGAAGAAGCCATCTCTTGACTGTCGTAAGTCAACATGTCCAGCTGTTTGGTTAGCTCCTCCATCATCTCCTTATGCTTTTGAGAGTGGAACAGGATGGTTCTTCTCTTGACTCTTTTCTTATCCACAGGCATCTTTCTAGGGACTGTTTTCCTCTCTAAAGATGTTTTACCATTCTTATTGGCATCATTGTAGATGAAATCACCGTTGGATGTTTCTGGTTGATTGGATTCAGTCAGGGTGAAGCTTTCACTTTTATCACTAGCACTGGAGTCTTCCCTCTTGTCCCCAATCAATAATAGCTCATCCGCTACTTTTTCTGCGTCAATGGATACCAAATGCTGATTACTGTCGTCCAGATCAGTATCTTTATTTCTAGATGCTTTAGAGTTCAAGTTTAAAAGTGCATATCCTGTATGCTCGGTCGCTTTGTGATGCTCATTGTTTTCAAACATTGAATCCAACTTGGACATCTTGCTCCTCAAAGCATCCTTACCTTGTTCAAGACGTTTAAACTTCTCATTGAGATCATCTAGTGTCGATTTGGTGGTGTCCTCGACAACATCCTTATTTCTTAAGTTGTCTATTTCCATCTTTAATTGCTTTAACTTGTTGTCGGAAACAGTTTCATTTGATTCTTCCATAATCCTCAATTCCTCTAAATCTTGCTGCAATTGCTCAACAGTATCTTGAGACAATATCACTGATCTTGTACCTTCTATTGGCAATTGAGAGGTATTAGCTTTATTTAACTCAATTATACTTGAGTTAATAGTGCCTAGCGGATTGGTTATAAAAGGATTATTCTGTTTCTTATTTTCTACAATGGAAATTTCTGATTGTTGAGGGGAGGATGACTCTGACAGATGGCTTGCTGGAAAAGCATCTTCAAATACAGATTCATTCTCTGATCTACCAGACTGAGGTGCTTCACTTGTGCCCAATAGACCTGCTGGAGGACTTTGGGTTGATCCGCTAGTGTTCTCCGCCTGATCCTTAGATATATCCTCCTTCTCTGATGATTCTGGCAATGCTTTCGAAATCATTGGCGATGGTGTTTTTGGTGACATGCTTGCAGTGGATAGTAATCTATTTAGTTGACGTACTTGTTGAAGATATGGTGTTAGAATATTAGGTCCTGGTGATGCCATGGAGTATCTGGCTTCTGGGTTCTTAGCAACATGAGTCAGGTTAGCTGGGCGTTCGATTGAAAACACTCCTGGACAATAGTCATTTAGGTTTTTTAGGTCAAGGGTATAAGAGGCCACACCATATCCTCTATCGTATTCATCAATATCGTTCAAGTTGGCACCATTAACACAATAGTCATTCTTGTCGCCGCCCATAATTAATATCTTATCATTTTGCATCAATGACATAGATTGGCCCGAACGAGGAAGGGGTTCATTGCAATGAGAAGTATCTAACCTGTACCATTTCAGTGTTTGTAAATTCAAGAAATACATGGTATTCTGGTACTCGTCATCTTTATTTTTCCCACCAAAGACACACATCAGATTCTTATATATTGTTGCAGAGTGTTCTTGAATTGGTTGAGGTTTGTCACCTTCTGTCTCTAAGCATCTCCATTCATTCAGATCAGGAATATAAACATACAATTGGTTTTGGAGTTCACCTCGTGATGATCCACCAAACACCCAAAGTTTATAGTCATAAGCAACCATAGTATGGTTCGTTAGTGGTGGTGGTGTGAATGCTTTGGATTTGAGGAATTGCCAGCGGGAGTGTGGGTTCCTGAAGTCTGATAAATCATACATGGCCAAATCATTGAAATAGTTGTCATCTAATTGACCGCCAAACAGATATAGTTTCGCTTTCTTTGGGGTTGTTGCAATAACACTGACCTGGTGGCCATATCTCCCCAATGGTCTTGTCCCTATTGGTGTTGGAATCGTCCACCTATGTGAATCGACGTTAAACAGATAAAGGTCGTCATCCAAAAGACCTTCTGAATTCAGTTTGTGAGTGTCACCACCAAATATTACTAGGGCATTCCCACATAATGTTGCGGCATGCCCAACCCTAGGTGGAGGAGTATTTACTGTTAAATCTATTACTTGTGTAGTGAAATTTGTGGAATCGCTATTTGCTGTTAACATCCAAGTATCACCATATACAAGCTCGCCGTGTAAACCACCCATGACAAAAATACGATTATCAGGAGTTGCATAAGTGGAGGCAATATGTCTATAACGTGGTAGAGGAGAACTCATCAATCGTGTACGGCCCCATGGTGATTCATTGGCCTCGTCCAGTACTTCTTGTAATCTTGAAAGTGCAGAGTCTCTAAAGGAATAGCGCACATTTATGTCAGAGCTATCTAGTGAAACTGTCTTTTTCTTGTCCTCTTCCAATTTTGAGATCAGCATTGATATTCTTCTGCTACTATGGCGATGTGAATAGCGGACTGACCGATCGGTGCGACTCAGTCTTTTCGCTTTCCTTTCTGTTATATTGTCATAGTCAATGTCAGCAAACATGGGAGCCCTGGGTATGCGGACACTAGTGCTAGGACTATTTAGAACCGCTGGGTCATCCGTAATTGTAGGGATGACATACTGGTTTTTGGCTCTTGGTGGTGTTGGATATTTTTCCGCTGGTGGTGGGACTTTAGAGATTCTGAGATTGCCCCTATTGGATTTCTCCTTATTTTTCTCCTTGGGGTCTTTATTTTTCTTCCTCCTGGTTAGCCTTCTAAATAGAAATGAAGTCATTGTCGCATAAAGACTTTTGAATGTATATTACCCGCGCAGAAAGCTGTATCCTTTTGTTTCGCCTGGAGTACTTGCCAAAAGAATTCTGTTTAATTGGTTTTTCAATAATTCTTGGAAGCACAACTGAATAGAGAAAAGGGACTGTGAGGAAAAAAATTTGCTTCAGGTACAAATTATTTATAAGAGAAGCGGAGAATTTTTCCTTTGTTCTGTACTTATGTTCTGAAATTCCACAACCAGGTCAATCCTTAGAAACAATATCTTTTCTTTTGGAATGTAAAACTCAACTATTGTATTTTATTTTTGTAGTCAAGGACCCTGGGGTGAAAGATAAGAACAGCGTGTTAACGTTTATATACCCGATGTTGTTGTTTGTTATTCTCGTTGTTGTATCTTTTTCCACAGGTTCATATATATTGCGTTGGTGCTGCAGAAGGAGAACGAATGATTTATTTAGATTTTTTTTTATTTTATTTTTAATACTGCAAGTGTGAAGAGCCACATCACTCGTTTATTATTCATTAGGTTTGTTGTTTGTTTTGCTTCAACTTGCAGTACTCTTGTCCTAATTGCTTATACTCATCTCATTCAGGTTGTTGATCCACTTTTTGTTTATACTATTTCATTGCTTTTGATCCTATGAAAACCCCGCACGGACTACGTAAACAAAGAAAAGACACTTCTCCTTGGGGATTTTCTCACTTTCCCACACTCCTTCGCACGTAAGTCCCAGTTTGATGACGTGGCCTTCTCTGTGGTGAGCCTTCGCTCTCTCTCTCTCCCTCTCTCTCTCTCGAGCTCCCTCCACGGTCTTCTTCGCTTGCTGGTTTCTCTGCCCACACAATTTGTACCGAATTTGGGCATAACGGAAGAAGACAGGTGGTCCCCAGTGCAGTCCCCGTACGGGACAATAGCCTTTCCTTTGTAGTTCCTGACGTATGTACCGAACATTTGGGATAGGGCGAATCAGAAAATCACATTTTCCTTGTTTGGCGGGAGGAGGAGGGTGAAGGGTGGGGGAAAGCCGCACAGCATTAGCCCGGGCTCACTCCAGGAAAATCCAGCAGCCCGCTTTTTGTTTTCATCATTTTTATTCTTAGTCAGCTCTATGCTTCTACGGGACATCCCGTGGGAGTGGGAGGGGAAGGAGGGGAAAGGTTAAGCAAGAATCCGCGAAAAATAAACAAGCCAGAAACCATAAAAAACAAAAGCTGAGAAACACATGCAGGGAACAGGAGCAGAAATGGGCCAAATAGTAAACACAAACACAATCTGGAAAATGGCGTTATTCCATGCATTTTCGGTCTTACTCTAGGCAATGTCTGGATGTGAGGTGCAGAGAAACCAATGCAGAGACCAGTGTGAGGGAAACAGAACGAGAGAGTTAAAAATTTGGAACGCGTCTTAGCGAAGAAAATGTGCTGGAGCTGCACTTGTAGCGCAGGTTAAGACTGCAGCTGAGGAGTAGCCGCGCGCTGCAACTTCGACGAAGAGGCATTATTCGCGCTGCATCTCGTAATCTTCCAGGCAACAAGAAAAATCACAGTAATAACGGTGCTAAGTACTAACGGTACTAAATACTAACTGGGCACTACCTGTTAGTACTGCGTCAGACCAGTGAGTACAATGAAATCCAGACGCGACTGGAGATGACAGACAAGACAAAGACTAGCGGTCTTATCAGGTGGACTGATCTTTGTGTTGACAGGTATTGGCAGGTAGCAACGTACCTACAATCGGTGCCTTGCTATATCTCACGCATGGAGGGGTGATGCGCTCGCTATCTTCTATCTTTTCTTTTGCAGTAAACGAGGTATTGGGAGTCGATCGCCTAGCAATAAGGCTCGCACCTCCTAGCTATAAATACTCATGTGCTATAAATATTCCTGGTGCTGTCATTGTAAATGCTGGTACAACTACCTATCTCCCTAGGCTGGAATACTTATAAATAGTTGTTTGTGATATATATATAGCTTGTAATCTAAGCGACAACCAGTTATTATCTATTGGATTATCGGCGCTCCAGAGATTGTGTCTCGAGTTTCTCTCGGTCTTGCAGAACACGTCTGAGATCAAATGAATTCGTTAAACATTATAGAATATATATACAATCTAATATTAAAGGCTTTTATGTGCATGTGTATTCCTCCCAAACCCAGACTATTAAAAGAGATGTTATTGTCAGGCACAAACAACTTACCTTATTACATAGTTTTCACCATCCTGGCGGATTGTGGCCTCTCCATCACTTACCTTTTGCATAACTTGAAAGAATTTAGACCTCTGAAGTTTTTCCTTCATTTGACTACGCTCGCATATCTCTATAAAACTTTGAGCACTTTCTTGGAATTCTAGTTTCTGGTTTTGGTCCTTTACTTCTTCTTCAATTTTCTCGAATTCATCATCTATCAGTTGATCTACTGCCGAGCTCTTGTCCTCGTGATGATCAACAATATTAAGAGTCGTTTGTGGCCGAGTTACAGTTGGTATGTACAGGTTTCTGGGACATTGTGCCGGCACTGTGTTGTGAAACTGTTTCTGTTCGTATTGCTTATATAGATTCTTATAGCTGTCGGCAAACTCTAATGGATCCTGTACTTTCATGGACGAGAAATCGTTCACCCATGAGTTTGTGTCTACAGATTTAGCTATGGTCCGTCCAGTTGCATGCGCATTGTGTGTCTGTACGTTTAATGTTGTTGGATGCACCGCATTCATACCACTGTTGTTCTGCAGGAAAGTAGCCTCCACAATTCCTGTAGTTGGCTGCCTGATGTTGGTACCATGACCAGTACCGCTACGATGCTTGTAGACCCGCTGTTGTTGGGTATCTAGGTATGGTCCCTTCCTGCTCACCATGCGCTGTATTGGGTCCGCCGCACAATATTGACTCATTCTCCTCTTGTGCTCTCTTATAGTTCACTTGCTTGCCAGGTTCTCGCACTCTAAAGTGAGCACTTTAATTGTTATATGATAGTCGATGGATACAAAGTAACACGTCTTATATACCAAAGTTGAATACCCCGATTCATACAAGTTGCACAAGTTAAAGTTATTCCATAGACTAATTAGCAACCAATTTCTAGCTGAAAGTGTATGCGATGACCGCACCGTTTCCCTCATCGACTAAAGCTCTGTGGTGGTTTTGCAAAAAAAATCACTGAAAAAAGATGCTGCTGGCAGGGTCCTAGAAACCCTCAACGGATCGGACATTATTTGAAGATCTCCGAGGAAACGGGTTTCCCACTAACAGCCGTTTCGTCAAATAGAAGGAGGGATTACAATCATGTGATCTATTAGAATAACACCAAAAGAGATACCTGCTCGTGTATTCGGATAAGGTATTGTATGCGATATGTGCATACAATGCTTTGGTACCAATTGAGTTCGATCAACTTGGAATGGATAAGTATGTGTCTTCCCCATGTATGTTTCTTTTATTGTTATTGTTTAAGTTGGTTGTTTGAAGTACAGATGTATTGAAATCATAAAATTGTATTAAATAAAGTCAAGTTTATCAAAAATATCGTACAGAAATAAATTTATAAAAAAAATAAAAGGATAGTAAGTATAAAAAAGTTCGTATTGTCTGTATGTTTTCGTTTATTTTTATTTTTTGGATCTTAACAGTTGCTGAAAATAGTACAAAATTGTACATCATGAAAACTGTAAATTTGGAAGATAGATTGAATCATGACAGACAGAATCATACCATGGCTGCTTTTGCAAAGACATTATACATTCTTGACTTGGCAGACATGGTTGCAAATAAATGTGAAAGTAAAATAACAAGCACACAGAAATGACACAACAATGGGAAGAAATTATTCTCCTCATCCAAGTAATTCCCATGCTAAATATTAACATTTCATCTTAACAACATTAAAAAAGGATCATCGAGACGTTGAGAAAGAAAAAGAGAGTTAAAAAAACTATGCCAATCAATTATGAGTTTAGTTTATTAAACTCTGTTGTTAGAAGCTTCGACTTCAGCTCTCAATCTCAATCTACCGGAAAGGATGTTACTGATTTCGTTGAATTCGGTCCAGTGGACTTCATGACCCTTTCTTAGCTCAATGTTGGTTTCGTTTTCCCATAGAGAAGCGATTGGCTTGAAGGAGATGTGAGAACCGTTGACACAGATAATGGCAGCAGAGTCATCTTCGTGTTCAACAGTTGGAATCTTAGCACCGTGCTTGTCAAACTTGAATCTCAAAACCTTAGCATCCTTGTCCAAAGCAGTGGCCTTGTTCTTCTTGTTCCATTGTTCAATGAACTTAATACACTTAACAGCATATCTGGAGGCGATAACACGATCCTTAGAGGATGGAGCACCACCTTGTTGAGCATGACCTGGCATAGCAGTTCTAACACCAAATCTACCCTTGCTGGATTCAGAAATGATGTCAGCAATCAACTCAGTGCTGTAAATGCTGGAAGCTTGTTCGTTTCTAACCAACAACTTACCGTTTCTGTTTTCACCCTTGTCGTGACGGAAGTTCTCCTTCAACAATGAAAGATCTTCTCTGATAGACTTTAGGCTGATTGGATCTTCTGGAGTGTATACAGAGACAGCACCAGTAACCAAACCAGTGAAAGAAGCAATGTAACCGGAGTGACCACCTTGAACTTCAACGACGAAGACTCTTCTTCTGGTAGCAGAGGCAGATTGCTTAATGTCATCAGTGTAGTTAACTAGGGCATTCAAACAGGTATCAACACCCAAGGAGTATTCAGTACCTGGGACGTTGTTAGAAATGGTACAAGGCAATAGAACCATTGGGATGTTGAAGATTGGGTATTGCTCTCTGCTGTCACGTAGTTGCTTCAAAGACTTGAAACCTTCGAAACCACCCAAAATGATCAAACCATCAAGCTTGTTCTTTTGGAAGTAGTAAGCGATGGTACCCATGTCTTCAGCGGCAACAGATCTGTTGGTACCAATTTCGGAACCACCCATGTTGTGCCAGTTTTCAACATCGATCCAGCTCAACTCTTGGACTTCACCGGTTTGGATTAGACCACTGAAACCGTTCATGATGGCATATGGCTTGTGACCGTGAGACAAACAGTATAGAGTGGCAGCACGAGTGGCAGCGTTCAAAGCTGCGGATGGAGCACCAACGTGGACAATACCGATGTTTAATCTTTCAGTAACTGGCAGCATTTCAGAACCATCATCTTTAACAGTAGTAGACAAAAAGTTTTCATACAGTTCGATGAATTCAGTGTCTCTCATGGAAATAGCCTTGTCAAAGTCCTTGTTTTCAATTGCTGTAGCAACAGACTTAGTCAACTTGACAGATTCAACCAATGGCATTCTAATGATCTTGTTTTCTAGGATACCAATCAATGGAGATGGGGTCTCTGGGGTCATTTCTAGAACGGCCTTGACAGCGTCAACACCTTGCAAAGTGGCCAACCATCTGTCGTGAGCGACAGCGGTACCACCTCTTTGAACGTGACCAAGGATAGTAACCTTGGTGTCTAGACCTAGATCAACCAAGACATCCTTAACGTCTTCGGCAGTAACTGGGTTCAATTGGTCATCGAGAGCACCTTCAGCAACGATGATGGTGTTGTTTCTTCTACCCTTGTTTCTGTGTCTTTGACAGACTTCCTTCAACTCATCTTGCCATTGACCGTGTGGAACAGCTCTTTCTGGGATGAAAATGTAGTCAGCACCGGTAGCGATACCAGCCATCAAAGCTAACCAACCACAATGTCTACCCATAACTTCGACAACGAAGGCTCTGGAGTGAGACTTGGCGGTGGCATCGATGTAGTCAACCATTTCACAGATTCTTTCTAAAGCGGAGAAGGCACCGATGGTGGAGTCAGTACCAGCCATATCGTTATCGATAGAACCGACCAAACCGACAATGGTCAAGTTTCTGTATGGGGCGACCTGTTCGCTGGTGAAAGTACCGTCCTTGACTAATTCTTCAACCAAGGATGGCCATTCGGATCTGAAAAGGTCGGCACCGGTTAGAGAACCGTCACCACCACAGACGACCAGAGCGTCGATACCTTGAGAAATCAAGTTACCGGCAGCTCTCTTACGACCTTCACGCTTCTTGAATTCCATGGAACGAGCGGTACCGATCAAAGTACCACCCTCGCTTAGCCAGCCTCTGACATCTTCCCAGTGCATCTTCTTCAAGTACTTACCACCTCTCAATAGACCTTCGTAACCTTCGTAAACGGCGAAAACATCGCAACCGTAGTGGATACCGGTACGGACAACAGCACGAACGGCGGCGTTCATACCTGGAGAGTCACCACCGGAAGTCATGACGGCGATCTTCTTCTTCTTTTGTAGGTTGGAGCCACTTTGTAGGGACTCCTTTAGTTGGTTGACGGCGTCGGTGCTTTGGCTAGCGGTGATGTCGTCCTCCTTCTCTAGAGGCTTCAAGAAAGCGTCCATGTTAGTTGGCTTTTCGTCTAGAGGAGATGCAAATGAGGTGAAGCTCAATTGGTTGCCCATTGGGTCGTTCATCTGCAGGACGGAGTCGGAGACCTTGGTGACCTTGTCGCCGAACTCCTTGGCGATGGCTGGAAGGTCAGCGGAGAAGTAAGTGATGTGGGAGGTTTGTGCAGTGCTGTATACGTCCTTCAAAGGTTCGTGCATGACCAGACGAACTTTGACGAAGGCACCTTGGCTTTGGGCCTTGTTAGAGGCCTCCTGTTGTGGGACACGGAACCCTAGAGAGTCGGTTTCACTTAGCTTGAAGGACTCCAGCCAGACCTCTCTCAAGGAATCGTCGGAAGTACCAGACGCTAGAACGACGTTCTCACCGTGCTTGAACTTGTTGAAGTCCTTGATGGTGGAGAAACCCAGACTGTGATAGAAACGCACTGTTTGCTTAAATAGCTCTTCATCAGCAGTGGCGATAGCCCTGAAAGCTACACCATAACAGTTATCCTGATGTAGCATAGTTCAAAAATAAAGTGTAATGGTCTATTCTTTACCTTTATGGCTCCTAAGTAGTGTTAAAGAATAAAAAAAAAACCAAAAAAAAGCTTGTTACTCTCAAGTTATATATCCAATATTTCCTTATAACTAAGAGCTTATGAAAGGGAGACTGTTATTTATTCCAGAAAAGAAATCAATTGAAGTTTTTTTTTTTTTGTTTGGTTTTATTTTTTTTTTCACTTTTATGTTTTAAAGCAATTTTTTTTTTCTGTGCTTTTGCTCTTGCTCTGCTTTCCTTCAAATTTCGAAGTTGTGTGTTGGGATTAGTCTGCAAGTAACCATAGAAGATTATGTGGGCTAGATGACCCAATTTCAAGTAGATTGTTTCTTGTGGAATGGAACCAATTTCAAGTTTGGATACACAAAGGTCCTTGCTGAAGGTCCTTGCTGAAGGTCTTGTTAAAAAGGTCAAAATTGAGAGAAAAAGAAACGAGTTCTACTTTAGTACTGTAGCAGGTAATAAGCATAGGCAGAGCACAGTCCATTGTTAGGAAGGTAGCACCTAGTGCCCCCCCCCACTTCCTCCATTGTGTATTGTAGCTCTTCTCTTAGGGTGTTCAGATATCCAGCGTGGAAGGGACCCTTTGTCCGTATGTGTACTGAGATTCGTGTGTCTCTCTGCCTTCTACCTACCTGTCGCCCCTACGGCCGGTACTCTGCTCATCTGGGACTTATAACCGGAACAACAATGAAATGACGAAGATAGTTTTTCCGGTTCGTGCGGAAAGTTCCTCAGTTTCTTTCTTTTTCCCTCAATGGGGGGGGGGGACTTCATCACGGGAAGCGAAGGGACGGGAAGGACTCTGAGAGAGTGAGAGAGAGAGGAAAAAAAGAGCGCAGTGTGCTACGTCATTCGGGTCTGCGCGTGTGACTTCGGGATCGTCACTTCGCTGGTGGTGACGATGGAAGGTAGCCCACCAATGGAAAAGTGGTATCCCATGGTGCACGGGTGTTTTATAAACATCTTTCCTGTTTTCAAGAGACGGCTTGTGCGACGTACGATCACACTGGTGTGTATGCGCGTTTTGAGTGATATGCGAATGGACCGCTCTATGGCTAATACTACAGCGGATATATGGGCAAAAGTGGGCGTCTTACGATCATGATTTGGTTTGGTCATATAAAGTTACAAATGGACATGTCAATTATATAGAGGTTCAATAACAAAACATCAATGGTACTGGAGCGCGCGCCCCTCCCCCTTCACATCTGCTGTTGCTGTTGCTGGAATGGGTTGGTGATCTGCACGGGGATCATCGCGTATGTTACAGGCTGTTGCATCTGCATTTGCTGCATATCTACCTCCTGTATCGTGGGCATGTGTGCAGTGCCAAATGGGTTCTCCACGGTTTCGTATTGTGCCATGTTCTCCAACGCGAATGGGTTGTTTGAACCGGTTCTCAACGGCTGTTGCGCTAATGGTTGTTGTGGTGATTGTTGCTGTATGCCGTTAACGTTGCCTCCCGTGAAGCCAGACATTTGATTGCCCACATACATGCTTGTGCCTTGCTGTACCATTGGCATCGGTGATGTCTGCATGGGTTGCTGTGGCTGTGCCTGTGGCTGTTGCTGCTGCATCATCATCTGAGGGGAGGTCATCTGAGGAGCAAATGGATTGCTGCCCGTAGGCTCGAAACTAAACGTGTCAGCAGCAGACGGCGTGAATGGGTTGTTGACATATGGTTCTTGAGGCACTGTAGGTGTTATTAGCACTTGTTGGTTCTGTAACTGTTGTTCCAGGATCTTCTTTTGTTCCCGGATTTGCTCGAGTTTTTGCTGCGCCATGCTGCTAGTGGTCTCGCTTCTTTGTAATGTACCTGGTTGGTTCGCATTCCTATTGCTTTCGTCTCCATATGCGGTTGTGTTGGATGACACTTTCCTTTGGCTATTCAGTTTCGCACCTCCCCTTTCCTCATTTCTGATATGGTCCTCCAGTGATGATATCAGCTTAGTTGTTATATGCTTGATGACAGGTATCTTCAGCCCGACAGATTTGCCGATTTTCAAGTAATTAACCACATGGTCCGTTAAGTCTACGAAGCTCTTGTATAGTTCCAAGGTTCTCTTAGCCTCGGCTCTGTCTAGTTCAAAGAACGACTCCAGCAATGCGATAACACCCCCGTTCAAAGAATTGTACAAAGGCAGCAAATCGGTGACTAGCATCTTGAATGTGTATAGGATCAGATCGTTCTGTAGGTCTATCTGAGAGAATCTGTTCTTGATCAATGCAGTGATGGTGTTCTCTAGGGACTCGACGTGGTCCAGTTCCGTCGAGATCGAGATGTTCTTGTTTCCCAAGTTTTGTTGGCTTCTCTCACGTCTATACTTCATTGCAATATTGAAACCCACTTTCACGTAGTCTGTACCGTTGCACAGGTCGTACTCCTTGCATCTGATCTTCAAATACTGGTTGTATCTCTCTATCACTTTGATGTCATCCCGCGACCACTTCGATGAGGAGAGGATCTTTCTCGTGCTGTTGAAGAAGTCCAGGTTCCGGGACATGTAGTCCAGTATAGGCGACCCGTCCCCCTTCCGCCTGTTCCCGCCGTAGTAGTCGTCGTCGTCGTCGAAACCCCTGGCCTCGCTCTGCTCGCTGTACTGGATCATCAAGTGCAGCATGATGAGAGACTTGAACACTATGGTCCACTCGTTAGACCCCGCTATCCGCTGCCCAAGCAGCTGCACTGCCTCCTGCATGGAGTGGCGTGAAGTGGACGTGTCCTGCAGGATAGGACCGACGTACTTGTCCTTGGGCGGTGCCATCTTGATCTTGGTGGCACCTTTGACCAGCTTGTTCAGTGCCATCTTTTATTTTTTTGCTTTTCTTTACTTACACAACTTTTCGAATATTAGCTCTCCAAATGAAACTCTGGTTCCTCGTTTGCCAGATGTATATCAGTGTTCGGTGTCTCTTCGATAGAAACCAAATAGAAATATAGAAAAGATTCGAGTTTCTTTGCATATGGTATGCAAGTTTTCGATGGGGGGAAAAGACAAGAGCAGAGAAGGCAATAAAGGGATTTTCTTTTCTGTGGACTTGTGATGGCAGGAAGAAAGGGCGAGAGAGAGAGCGAGTGAGAGAGAGGTAAGAGATACAGTTACCCGGACACAATAAAGTTCGAATCCACAAAATAATATCTGCTCCCATCTGGATTCGAATGGGTGTAATATTAACGTATTATATGATTTAATCCAGTTACGTAATATATGACTCAACTCAATTACGTCATTGTCATTATAAGATAGGGTACACAAGGCTTGAGATACACACAGAGACACAGACACAGACACAAATGAACATTTTTCAAAACACACACAAAACCCACGCAGAGCAATTCCCTTATCGGTTCCTTTGAGGGGGACAGGGGGAGGTAGTGGGATAGGAGGTTCCCTCTCGAACTGCAGTCTTAGAAGACACGGCACACACTGGTCACAGCGCCCATCAAATTGAATAGTGCTCTGTTCAATGGCTACTTGTGGAGATCCTGTGGAGATCCTGTAGAGATCCTGTGGGGATTGTCTCTGAGGGTCATCGTCTGGTAGTGCAGGCCGGGTAAATATATAACACGGCTGTACTATTCACTGCTGCACTCTCTATAGGAGTGGATTTAGGCAGCGAAGTAAAAGCGGAGACGGATCCGCACAGAGCAGAGAGCACAGAGTTGAATTGGATTGCGCTCAACAAGGGGGACAGACGTAGACAAGGACGTAGAGAGAACAGCCAAATACAATCACGGCTGTCTTAGCGGAGATTGGGAGAGAGAGCCCCCCCGCAATTTTAAATCCCAAACGTATAAATACCATTACTTTCAAAACACACCCAATACTCACTCCAGGTACAAAGCTACCAAACACATTAAACATTACAAAAAACATTACAAACATTACAAACATTACAAACAATGTCTACGATAGGATTTGCTTTCAAGAGGTTCTGGCAGAGTGAGACAGGGCCTAGGACGGTACACTTCTGGGCTCCTACTTTGAAATGGGGTCTGGTCTTCGCCGGTCTGTCAGACCTTAACAGGCCGGTAGACAAGCTGAGCGGCACACAAAACCTGTCGCTGCTCGCTACGGCGCTGATATGGACGAGATGGTCCTTCGTGATAAAGCCAAAGAACTACTTGCTGGCGTCCGTGAACTTCTTCCTGGGATGCACCGCAGGTGTGCAGATCGGAAGACTGATGAACTACAGGTTGACCAACGGAGACACAATGTCACAGGCTATCGGGTACTTGTTCCACGGGAAGCCCGCCAACACCATCGCTTCCAGCGGGAACGGTAAGAAACCTGAACAACTAATTGCATAGTTTTGTTTTGAGAAAAACAATGCTTTCTTTTTATCCCACTGAGTGTGCATTTTTTTTAGTGTCTTGGTGGCCCTGACATCAAGGAGTCATTTGAAGGGAAACCGGATTTCCCTCTAACCATTTTCAACCACTCAACAGATACAAACATGGGCATAAATCAATGCAAGGACATTTCACAGAGTTTTCATATTCACACTATTCCTTTATTTCTCATGATTTTTATTATCGACGTGTATACATTCATTTCGCATTTTTTTATTGGTACTTTTTTTCAATAGTTTTCTAGGTTTATACTTTATATTTCAAAACAAAAAAATATTAAAAACAAATAGATAATTTATCGTTCATTCTTTTGGTTTTGATAACGGAATTTCAAGAATATATATGCAGCCAAAAATTAAAGGGTGGCTATTGTACATTAAATGATATATATATGTTATGCTATTTGCTCACTTATATATCTAGTTTGCAGCTCAGTTTAGTTGTTTTCTTGTATTTTGAATACGATTTTTTCTGAAAGGAATATATTTTTTGTTCTTTTTCTAAATGGAATATCTAAAATCAAAATTCTATGTCAATCATTTTGCATCGTGTGACTTCTCTCCATCGAACTTAAATCCCACGCTCAAGACAACATTGAATATTACAGTTACTTATTAGTTTACTTTCATTTAAGTATGAGAACTGGCGGTCCCAGTTCCCAAAGCATCTCTTAGAAAATATTTTAATGGTGGGCTAGTTCAACTACCTTCTTAGCAGCAGGGTCCAATTCATCGAATGAGTAGATCTTCAAACCAGAGTCCTTGATGATTTGACGACCTTCATCTAAATTGGTACCTTGTAATCTAGCCACAATTGGAATTCTCAACCCCAATTCTTTTGCAGCTTCCACTAGACCTAAGGCAACGAAATCACATCTAACAATGCCTCCGAAGATATTTACAAAAATGGCATCTACTTTATCATTAGACATGATCAATCTGAAGCCTTCTTTGATGGTTTCTGGAGTGGCACCACCACCACAGTCCAAGAAGTTGGCTGGCTCACCACCATTCAACTTAATAACATCCATAGTAGCCATGGCTAGACCAGCACCATTGACCAAACATCCGATGTTTCCGAATAGTTTAACAAAATTCAATTCGTATTTCTTGGCACTTACTTCATCTGGGTCTTCCTGAGTCAAGTCTCTCCAGGAGAAAATCTCTTCTTGCTTGAAGAAAGCATTGTCATCAAATCCAAACTTGGCATCTGTACACATAACTTTGTGGTCTTTGTTGTTAGCAATCTCACTCAATGGGTTAATTTCTACTTGTGTGGCATCGGTTTCACTGAAGATCTTATACAGTTTGCTGACAGCATCCTGGGCATCGTCGATAGCATCGGCACTGAAACCCAAAGACTCAGCAATTTCACGAGCTGTTTCCGGTTTTAGACCCTCGGAAACGGTGATTGAAAACTTCTTAATGGCATCTGGGTTCTTTTCTGCAACTTCTTCAATGTTCATACCACCTTCACTGGAGCATATTATCATTGGCTTACCAGTTGCTCTGTCCATCAGAATAGAGAGATAAGCTTCATGCTTTGTCTCGACTCTTTCAGCGATGTAAACGGCAGACACTAGCTTACCCTTCTCACCAGTTTGTTTAGTAATCAATTTGTGCTGTAGCATTTCCTTGGCCAATTTGGAGGCCTCCTGAGGAGATGAGATCATATGAACACCGCTCTTGAAGCCGGTGTCGAAATGGCCTTTACCTCTACCACCAGTCAAAGCCTGAGCCTTGATGACCAGCTTGTCGGTCCCGAGCTGTTCTGCAGCCTTGGCAGCTTCTTCAGGAGTCATGGCCGGTAAACCACGAGGGGTACCAACACCATACTTCCTCAGTAATTCAGCAGACCTATATTCATGGATAGATAAGTGTCTCTTACCCTGGACACGAGCCAATTGAGCCAGGTTCTTGTTCAATACAGTTCCTCTAAACATAGTTTATGATAGTTCTCGAAGGGATTCGTTTGTAAAAAAGGAACGCTCTTTCTTAATAGTTACACACAAAGTTTGGATGGATTATATTATTTTTGCCAAGCAAATAGTCCTATCTTTTACCTTGTCTTTATTGTCGCTTATTTTTTTCTTATTTAAGATTTCTTCCTGATAGGTTTCCTCTATAAATTGGAAAGCTATTTGTTTGTGTATTTGTCTTTCTTTGTCTCGCAATTCCTCTTCTCTAATGCAATATATATAGGAGAGTTGAGAAATCGTTATCAGCAATTTTCACTTTTCCCTAGAATGCACCGCTTTCCCAACGGGATCTTTCGTCCCCCTTCTGACCATCCAATCGTGGGACCTATTTATATAGAGGTGCTATTCTGCCTATCTGGCTAACTGGCAAGAGATCCCCTTCCCCTCCTTCGATCCTCCCTCGATCCTCCCTCGTCCGCCTGCGGCTTAGTCTTCCCTTTTATCTATACCCCTTCTAAGGAAAACGTAGACACATACGTACAGAGCCGGCATTGTACCGTCAAGAACTCGATTTGCCGGTTCTTGCTGTGCAAGTACTGTAGTTGCACAAACGTAGATTCTTAGCAATAGTGGGTCCCCTCCTTCTCCTTCTGTATTAACCGTTCCTGCGAGATTTTCTCTGTCTAAAAAATCCATTCTTGCGCGGGAAAGTATGGGACTCATCGTTTTCTTTCACCTTCTCCCTCCCCTTCTCCCCTTCTTTCATCTTCTGAGATTCAAAACTCCTGCAGCATTACTCTCCATATCTCTATCTCTGAGCCGCCACTTCTTCACCTTTTCCCCCCTTACCGCAGATATCTCCCTTATCTCCCCTATACAAATATTGCAGGGTTCTTTCTGTGCGTGTGTTCACAAGCACATGCCATGCCATCAGATCGTTCTGCGTGTTTTGTGAGTTTGCTTTCCTCTTTACTCCAACTTTTTTTGTAGTCGTTCTCTTTGCCACGGGCACTTCTGTGTGATTGGAGAACAAAAAAGTTCAATTTTTCAGAAATACCCCGCTTTATGATTCAACAATCTCTTGTATAAATTTTTTCTCATTTGTACGACTGTTTCTAGGGGCGAGGGGATGCATTTACTAGTTTCTTTGTTTCTTTCAGGTTGTGCAGTGAATTGAGTACGCCAATTGCCGTAAAACAGATCTCGCAAATTCAAAAGTATAAATCTAGATTTTCTTTTAGTAGCCGCCGAAGGGTCATTCCCCGTCATTTGTATCTCGGAGTTGCGGATCATTCTGGCAAGGAGAGGGAGTAGCCGAGAAGACGGCAAATTACCCCAACTGTTTTTTTTTTGCGTCCGCCATTCCGTGCACGTTGCTGTGTAATATTTAGCCTCTACCCTTCCCCTCATCTTACTGTCTGTCTCATCTTCCACAAAACTCCGATAGCCTCTCGATGCAGGACTTTCTCCCCTCCCCTCCATCTCTCCCATTTCTCAGCTTAAATAGCTACATCTGAAAGCCAGTGTTATCTGTTGCAAAAAAATATAAAAAAGGCTCGAAGCAGCTCTGTCCGTGCTTTAGTCTACTTGTGTACTGGTGTACCGGTGTTTACGTGGGCGGCTAGATGTGTCGATATACATGCATCTAGTGTGTTTTGATATGGTAGATATCGTATTACTATGCAAAAAACTATTATACAGAAAGAAAAAAAACAACTGCTTTACCGAGTATATATTCTCTATTTCTCTAATGACCCTTCTTCTTTTGCTTGGTGATGTGCGCCCGTAGGACCTTTTGCTTGTCTCTCAGAGACATCTTCTGTTTACCACGCACACTTCTCTTGTGGATGGACATGACGAAGTTCTTCCGCCTTTCTTTCTCCCTGTTGGTAGTGGATCTCGCGTTGTCTCTCTTACCTCTTCTTGAACCAAACTTCTCACGGCCTTCACGCCCTTCCATGATCTTCTGCAGTCTCTCCTCCCTGGTCTGCTTGTACTTCACAGGACCAGTCAACAGCCCTGCATCGACAACTTCTTCGTTCTTCTCGTTTCTCATACCCATCAGCTTGGCAACACCTTCCTCTGTACGCAGTTCTTGTAACTTGGCGAAGTCAGCGGGCGTCAGGATTCTGCTGGACGCTATCTCTCTGAACGCACTCTCAGGGTCGATCTTGTCCTCGGGCTTCTCCTCGGGGTTCTCCTCGGACTTCTCCTCGGACTTCTTTTCGTCGTCGCTGTCCTCCATGTCCACGTCGTACTCCTTGTCACTATCCATGGTCACCCATTCACCGTCAACATCGTCTTCCTCCTCCATGTCTTCCACTTCCCAGTTCTTGTCGTCATCGTCATCAACAGCCTCACCATTGGCCTCTTGCTCCTTCTTCCACTTCGCAAGCAGCTCGATACCTTGGATACCTTGAACAGTGTTCTCAACACCGAATTGCAGCTTCCTGTTGTCTCTCTCAGTGCCGCTTCTCTTCGCCTCTTGCAACTCCATAGACGCAACTTTACCACGGTCTTTCCTCTTCAACATCTCAGGCGCTACTTCTCTGTACAGAGACACTAGACCCTTGGCAGCCATGCTGACACCTTTCGCCTTCGAGCCCTTGTACTCAACAAGATCCTGCAGTAATGTCTCTTCGATGGCTAATGGGGCACGGGTACATATCTCCCTGATGGTGTTCAGCCCTGCGGCTGCTACTTCGGAAGCAACACCATCAGAGACGAACTCGTCTGTGATCTTACGCACTAACACGTTCAGCGTCTCCGGTGGGACTAGGTCGTGACAGGCCTGCGCACTAGCGGCCATGATCTTGGTGACATCCCTGGTCTTGGGCGTTAGATACTTCAAGAAGAATGTGTAGATACCTAGCACAATCAGCTTGTGTGTACCAATCATACGCGAAAGTAGCTGCATCAGCGAGATCTTCTGTTCAAGTGAGAACTTGTTGCTGTTCTTGCCCGACAGATGCTCCTTGAACAACTTTTCAGCAAAACCTTGTGGGTCTCTCAATAGATGAATAGCACTGAAATTTAAAAACGCTTGATTGGTACCGTTCTTGTTCTTCTTTTTAATGGTCTTGACGGCATTCTCTAACTTCTTACCTCTTCTACCAGTTTTCTTGTTGACTTGCATCTTATGTTTTAGAGCATTGATATCAATAGCATCTTCGTCATCTGATTTCTCCTCGAATGTCTCTTCACGTTCCCTGTCTGCGTCTAGGAAAAACATAACACCACTGATGGCAATCTTCGCATCATTGTGCAATGCAGCTTGGGTCATGATTTCAACTGCACGGGAGTCATCCCAAATACCTCTTCTCCACAGTTCTCTGGTTAGCTTCGCAGCCCAAATACCTTGGGAGTCAGGTTGATCTAACAGATTGAAACAGATAGCTTGCGTGGATTTGTTCAACTTCTGGTTCTTGGAACCAGTATTGCAACTCTTCAGCAGTGAGATCAAATTCTTATACACAAGAGTTCTCAGTTCCTTGGCATGTGAATTAATACCTAGCGTGTTACCTTGAGATGAGTATGCCACCAATAATGGGAAAAATGTTTGAACTAGTTGTTCAGCTGTAATAACACCTTTGTTTCTAAGCATGGTAAGTGAGGTCAATATTTTCTCCTTAAGTTCGAACGGCAGTGATTTGTGGTGCTCTAATAGTAGTTCTCTCAGTTCATCTGGGAAGTTCTGCGTTTCCTTAGGGAAACAAGAACACACTTGCGATACAAAACCAATTAGCTCAATCAACTGTGATGTAGAAGTATTACCCTCACTGGAACCAGTTGTACTCTCAACACCGCTCGTCGTAGCATCGCCCTCACCAGCCATATTACCTAACATAAATATATCTCTTAAGGACTCATAATGGGCATATTGCTGTAGAAATTCCTCATAGTATGACTCTGGGTCTCTCTTGACCAAATTCTGCAACAGAATTATATTGGTTGGTAAAATTGCAGCTCTGCTTCTCTTTACCATTTTTCTTAATCGGTTTGTTCTATAGATACCAAGGCTTATTAAGGTGAAAAAAAATAGAGGGTCAAGTAAAACTTATACATTATAAAATCAACAGCTATCATTTGTATGTAAAATGCGATGAGCTCTTAAAGTTTTTTTTTTTGGCAAGCTCATCGCATTTTGAAAAATTTTCCCCCAGAGAAATCAAGCAGCTCTAACGAACACAAGTGAGAGAGATGAGATAGCAAAACGATCCCATTAATAACATAGATAGATTCGACTTAGGACAATAATTTGATTATTTATTAAAGTATAAAGAACAATAACTAAAATATCAGATTTGTTTTAAATGCTTGTGTGCTGGAATAATTTGCTTAAGTACTTAAGCAGCGTGGTTGAAAAGCCCCTCCACGGCATCATAATTAATCTTCTTAGAAAATGTGGACTTTTGAAGCATCTTTTTAACACTTTCTGCAGCAGTGGTATCACCGATTTCTTCAGCGTGTCTAAGTGCAGCAATGAAGCCAGATTTGTCCTTCAAATCAGCCATAGTATTCACAGCACTTACAACTTCACCGTCATTCTTATTTTTACGTTTCTTTTGACGTTTCTTTTTACCGGAGGTATTTCCTGCAGCAATATCTGCTTCTTGTTTTAGCCTTTTACTTTCTTGTTCGAGCAAATATTCACTGTTTATACCAATCCATATCCTTTCCTTCAACTTGGAAGCTTCTTCGTCCAGAATTAAAGCGTCTAGATCTTCATCATCGACATCATCAAGATTTTCTGGGTCATCTGGTACTTTAGACAGCAGGGATTCGGTAGTTGGTAGCTTATTTAGGTTCCTTGGTCTGTAGGGATCCTTTTCTAACGAATAACCATCTATTAGATCATTAATTTTCCTTCCAGAGGATAAAGTAACGTTTAAGCTTTTGGCATCACTGGCTACAGATTCCTCAACTTCTTGAGAGTCTTCTCTCACTCTTTTCTTGTTATTGTGTTCGTTTGTTTCATTTGTTTCTCCTCCATTAGTTACTACTTCCTCTTCGTCTGTTCCCTGTGATTGTAGTACATCGCTGTCATCAATACCATGTGTTGTTTTCAATCTCTGAATAACTTTCTCACGCTTCTGTGTGAACTCTTTTAAATAGTATAAAACTTCCTTGGAGGAAAGCTCTTGTTCACCCAACACTTGAGTTAGGATAGGGTTTCTTGCTAAAGCCTCTTCACTAGTTTCATATAGCTCTTTTTTTTCTAGTTTCTTTTTCAAGGCCACTTCTTGTTTTCTATTTTTAGTAAATGAAGGAGGAGCAGCGCCAGAATCTTCTTTCTTTGGATCATCGTTTCTAAACTCTTTCACCGATAATGAAGCTGCTTTGGTTCCTTTGAATTCGTTTAATCTTTGCTGTAAAGTTTCTTCTGCTACATGTGATACAGCAACTATTTCTGAGTGCGTTCTGCGTAGATTGTTCATTCTACAAGCCAAAAGGATACAAGCACCTGCGATACCCGCAGGTCTTCTTCCTTCAAACATCCAGTCATTAGACATTCTCTGTGCTAACTTCACGGCATCTCGTACCACTTTTATTTTCTTTTCTCCAAGTTCTAGTTTTTCTGCAAAATGCTGTATAAATAGAGAAGGATCGGCTAATGGGAGTTTTGTAATCTGCAATCTCTTGACCATTTTCAAAAAAGTTGCACCAATCGAATAAACACTGACTTGAAGTCTGGATGAAAAATCGATAAGCATGTGGTGTGTCATTTCTTTACGACATGCGATATACAAACAAGCCGCAATAACATTCTGTGATCTTCTACCTTGAACAAAATTATACGCCAGCGCCAGTTTGTACCATTGGTGAGATGCCTCCACAATATAATCTGGGATGTTTAGTGCATGCCCGACAGCTCTTAGTTTCTTCTTCGCATTATTTAATGTCGCTTCTCTTGATTCCATAGCATTGGATCCCAGACCGCCAGACGTGTGTGACTGGCCGGCACTCAGGAAAGAACCCGTAACCGTGGCGGCACCAGAACTTGTCTCGGCAAACGTAACCTCAGAGACAATAGGATTCTCCTCGCTCACAACACCACATGCCACACATACCAAATCATTGTTCGGCGTGGAACTGTCCACTACTAGCTCGGTATTACCACAGTTCTTGCAACGCAAAACCATTCGATTCTCTCTCTCGTGTTACTGTTAAAATTCCTGTTTTGTTACACTCTCAAAATTCCCCTTATGTGAAAGGTATGATTCCTCAGATACTTTTTTATCTTCGATACTGCTGTATATACTGTAGCCGCGAATCTTCCAAGTTACTATATCCTGGTCTGCACGTCAAAGCCAGACACTAGTTTGCGATGTTTTTGAGATTTTGTATTTTTTTTTCTTCTTTAACTCAGAATTCTAAGAAATCGAGTTTTTTGAAGAAATCATCTTTTTTTCGTGATATATACACAGAGCAGTCTCTTCGATGCTCTGGGGTTGTTGGATTTGGCAACCGGACGTAGTGATGCAAGGGTAATCGGTCTTAACACATCCTATCTAGTTTCTCGAGATATTACAGTTTATAGTGTTGATTTTGAGGATTCAAGTAACTCAAGGGTCTCAAGGGTCTCAATAATAAGCTACCTATTCTTTTTTCTTGGGGTTATCAATATATTATACAAGGGATAATGAGTATTGCGCTGTGGTACTGTCCTGCTCCAGGGACGTTGGATTACGAAGTGTTAAAGACGCTGATAAACTCTTTGCAGTTGCTGGTGCCGGGTTCTCCGAGCTTTGAGCCCCATCTTACTGTAGTGACACATTTGCAAGTGCAGAACAGGGGCGATGTTAGCAAAGTGTTGCAGTCGTGTTCGAGTTGCCTCAAGACGATCCCTAAAGGGCATAGTCTGATCAAGTACAGTAACTGGTCTATCAACAAGCAATATTTCAAGAAAATAGTGTTAGAGTGTGAGAAAGATAAATATTTGTTGAGCTTGGCGCAGTTAATGCGTGAGTTGTATGTTGAGATAGAGGATCAGAAGCGCAGGGCCGAGCATTGGGTAATAGAGGAGTTCCAACCGCATGTGTCACTTATGTACAATGACAGCCAGATAACAAAGGCCACAGAGATGGTGGTGAGACAGCGCATACATGACGCAATGCAGTTGTTTAGCAACAATCCATCCAGCAAGAGTTGGAGAACGTTCAAAGTAGTGTCATGCGAAGGGCCTGTAGAAGAATGGCAGGTGTTGGGCTCCGTGACACTTTGAAAGAATATGCGTGACCACATATGTCTCCCTTTAGGTTATTTTACGCAATTTAGATAATATTCAACAAAAAACGATGAAATTAAATTAAAGTAGAAGGGAAAAATCTCAAAACTTGATATGAAGCATTTTAATTAATACATCTTTTTGGAATTAATACACACTATAAAAGAATATTTTAGGGAATAAGTTATATTAGGGAATAAGTTATATTAGAGAAGAAGCTATATTAGGGAAGAAGCTATATTAGGGAATAAGTTATATTAGAGAAGAAGCTATATTAGGGAATAAGTTATATTAGGGCATAAGCTATTTTAGAGACTAAATTATTTAGAGAAAGAGTTATATTAGAGAATGGAAGATTTTAGAGAATGGCAGCAACAGATAATGGGGAGATCAATGCAGTGAGGTGCCTGTCAAATGACCTGGTACCTTAATCTATCGTGGATACCAGGCACTGAATCTGGATTTGCTCTTATGTGGGGTCTTGAAAATGTAGATTCGATCCCAGTAATTTTCATCATTTCCCTTGACGGAAATCATAATGCTTCTATGGGTTCTATGAGTTCTACGAGTTCTATGAGTTCTACGAGTTCTACGAATTTTACGAATTTTACGAATTCTACTGTTCTATTGTTCTAATGTTCTATTGTTCCATCCATTGTTGTGAGGTTGCCATACCAGCATTGTCATAGAATAGAGTTCCAGAGATACAGAGATACGTTCTTCGAGAGATACGTCTGGGAGAGCAATGATTCTATAGCTGGTTTTGAGAAAGCGAAAGAGAAGTATGTAGAAGGAACAACTGAGTCATGGTGATTGTTTTCTGAGGCGGGAAGCAGCCAGTTCCTGGTTCGAGCAGATCTACTGGGATCTGATAGGCAAGTGTTGTAACTCCGTACTTCTAGGGGCGTGTCTATATGCTTAGGTGTACCGCTTTACCTGCCGTCAAGATTAGGGCTGTTGGTGTTGGCACTGACGAGAAGCACTCCTGGATGGAGAGTCATGGTCACACAATGGCTATCGAATAGTGTGTATGTGTATGTGTATGTGTGGGTGTGGGTGTGTTTTCCTTATTTGTTGCAGGTGGGATACTAGAGGGGTTTCTTCTTTCCGCCATGTTTTCATGACTACACTGCGGTAGTTTGTCTGGGGTGGGAGCATTGACAGAGGAAAGACGTTGCTGAACAGGAGTGAAGTGTCACCTCATCGCAAAATTCTACTCTTTCTGCAAAACCAGTTGTTCTCAGAGTTTTGGGGGGGGAGGGAAAACGCAAATTTGTGCGATGGAGACATTCTTGTACGGGGTTATGTGTGAGGAACGTGTCACTTTTCTCATTGTGGTTTTCCGTGCATGAATATAGTGTGGTTCCCATACTGTGCATACTCTTCTGTTCTTTCGTGCGATTGTTTTTCTTTTTTTTCTTCGGAGTGTGTTCCTCCAGGCCAATTCTGTTTTCTAATTTTGACTTTCCCGTCAACTTAATCTCTCGCGCGGATTTGTAATGACTTGATTATTGTAACTACCACATACCGTTCCTCGCAATCACATTCGCTTTTACAGACGCAACCGCAGCAACTCAGGCTTTGTCAAGGATCACTGGTCAAAGAACCACCGGGCAGGGGCCACTGTCATAAACAATAAGCACAAGGCCTCCAGTAAATCAGTTCAAAATTAAGAGGGAGAAGAAAAAAAAAATGCCGCGCTACTGCTACAGATGATTTACTGCTTATCGAATAGACTTTATGGATGGGACACTAAAGAGGCTGGAGTGGCCTTGCTTATTTGTTTATTTGTCTAGGTTTTGCGTATGTATATACCCGCCTAACGAATGACCGCAAAGAGGTCTTTCCTGTTTCTGGAAATTGGGGCAAGAGGACAAGCAAAGTCTATTTCTTGAACCTCAGCCCTTTTTTTTTGGGTTTTGGCTTTTGGCACATTGTCCTTGTCCTAGTCCTTGATGTCCTTTGGATGATCTGGTTTCTCATATGTGTTTTGCCCTCTCCAGAAATCAGGGCGGTATAGCGTCAGGTTTTTGGTACCTTTCTGTAGCTTCTGCCATAGTTCAGGACAAATGTCCCCCGTTTGGTGACTAAGGGTTCTGCCCTCGGTATGTGCCTATATCTATCCATTACTGATACGAAGAGGAAGCCATTACGGCGTAAGTAACTGTTCCTTACTACGTTATGACACCGATCTATATCTTAGGCTAGTTTCATGTGCCAGGTAGCTCCTTCCCAATCTGACATTTACGGAAATTACATAACCTTTTGTTGTTTTCCACTTAGCAAATTAAACTTTTTTCCAGAGTCTTTTTGCTCTAGACTTACTCCTACCCGCTTTATGACATCACCAAGCATCTGCCAACACCCAAACTTATAGATGAAATTCCTCAAAAGCCTTTTTTTTCTAAAGAAAAAGAGCAAGAATTACAAGCAAAAGCAATCTCTACTGGAGGTCTCGCTAATTTCATTTCTTGTTTCTTTTTTTTTACCCTTTCTTTAATACAGTTTTTGAGGTTCACCACAGTTTCTCAACTACTTATAGAGCAAAACCCTATCACAGTCCCCCCTCCCCTCCCTCCAGAGAAAGTCTCTTTCATCATCGGATCGACATGTGAAGTCTGCAGAGATGCTCTTGGTGCCTACGAATGAGCACACAAAACCATCCATACCTTCACACAACTCAGCAGAGACAACAGCAACAGGACCCTCTTCGGCATTTGCATGTCGCCTGTGAGGGATACATCCCGTTTATATTCTATGCCTCGCCTAATTTACCTTCCTAATTCGCCCCCTCCCCCACCCTCCCGAGCGTATACGCTCTAGTTTGTCGAGCTCTCCCTTTCCCTTGTCTTGACAGTCGTCTTTCCACAGATTGGTCCCCCCCCTACACTAGAGCCAAGAGGGACGGGAAAGGATCGAAAATTTTGCTTCTAGTATACATTAGAAGTGGCGTGGCGGGACAGGAATACGGGCTGTCATCAATCTCTCAGTTGGAAAAGTTTTGAAGAAAACAGAACACTAGCAGTTAACAGAATAGAATATGCGTTTCCCTAACAAACGCATGTACCAAAGAATGCAAGAGATAGGGAAAATGTTACCACAAAACGAAAATATTTGTGGGCACACAGCAAATACAAAGCCTAAACCCTAACTATTACTCACAGCCCTCTTTCTGCTCGCTCTTGCACTTGATTCACTAGAATTGACAGCAACAATAAACAATTATACAGGCAATAAGAATTAACCTATGTGAAGAAAATAAAAAATCATTAAATTCTAATTCTGTTTCTCTTTCTCATTCTCTTTTCTCGCAATAATTTTACATTGCAAATAATTTGCTAATAACTTCGCCAATAACTTCGCCAATAACTTCACCAATAACTTGCCAATAACTTAGTGTGGGTTATTAGCATTATTTTTCTTTCGGGCAATACATCTATCCAGAGATAGCATCTACTATCGCTTAAGAGAGAAAAGAAAAAAAAAACTTTAACTTATTAAGCTGATTCACAGGTAACAATCGATAAGGGATTATAGCATCTCTGAATATCTTGTGCTATCAGTATCAGTAATCTAAATCGCCCGTCAAGCTGATCTTTTTTTTTCTTTCTTGATCCTTTTTTTTTACTATATATATTTAGCATTAAAGAGAACTTTTCCCTTTCAAAATTTCCTTCTTTATGATTTTTTTCATATTTCTTCTTTCTATCTATATTGTTGTCGCAAAGGGTTGTTTCCATTAAGAAGTCTTTTCTTTATCTTACGGGCAAGAAGGATTTACATCTAACTCTAAGAACAAATTCACTACTGTTCTTGTTGAACCCTTTTGTTTCTTTTCCATCTGAGTATTAACGGATATTACTGTGTTCCCAATTCTATTTTCTTTTATTTCGCCTTCTAATTATTATTACAACTACTATTTTTTTTTTTGGATATAGCCTTTCACTTGCAATGCAGTTATGCAGCATAAAACTTTCGTACATCAATTGCATTCAATACTAAGCGACCCTACTTTGACGGGTATCATAAACTGGAATGACGACGAGATAGGTACCGTGTTCCTGTTGAAGCCTTACCACCCAGAATTCTGCGATAATGTTTTGAAACGGTACTTCAAGCACGGGAACGTCAGCAGTTTCGTCAGGCAGTTGCACATGTACGGGTTCCACAAAGTCGGTAACAACAGCGTTAACAGCCACATTAACAACATCGAAGGCAACAAGATAGTCTCAAAGAAGGAGCCCCACTTCATCATATGGAAGTTCTCCCACCCTTCGGGGAACTTCCACAGAGAATCCAGTTATGAAACACTATGCAAAATCACTAGAAAGCCAACGGGCTTCGGCAAAGACGGTAAGCGGAAAAATATACTCTCCCCAATTGCGATAAGCTATCTAAACCCAGGTATCAAAACAGAACTCTCGTATCTGCCCTTCTCTAGGGCGGCTACAGGAATTGACAACTTCGATTTGCAAAAAGAAAATATGAGCTACATTGAAAGCGCTACCGACGAAGCTCTGACAACCAGTACAGACACTTTGATTGACAACAGCTTGTTCAGCGGGATCACCTCGGCAAACTCAATTAATACAATCAAGACATCTGGCACAGGCAGCAACGGGATCACAACAGGATCATCTAATATTCAGACACTAATAAACAATAATATAGCACTGCTAAAAAAAACTACATTATTGATAATAGAAATTTTAGATAAATTTAATAACCCGGAACTATCACAAAAATCAGAAGAGATGTTCTCGAATTTGCAAAAATTACAAGAACTTAAAAATCAATTAGTCAGTAAACAATGCGAATTAGTAAATATGGTACAGCCAGAACTGAATTCCGGGAAATCGAATCAGGTAATTCAATCGAACCAATACCCAACACCTAGCCAGTTCCCAAACTTCCAAAACTATTTTCCATCAATGTAACGACTATTTAAAAAAAACATAAAAAAAGAACAGAAATAAAGTGAAACTCAATAAAAAACAGCTATTATACAACATTTAGTATTGTGTGCCAGTTAGACCATCTAAAATATATGGCATCAAATGGCACAAAATCCAAACGTATTTCCTAATCGTTTACTTTTTTAACGTAATATTTTATTCTCTTTTGTTTCTAATTTTTAATTAATGTGATAAACTCACAAAACCAAGGAAAGTAATGTTCCAATTTTCTTTTTAATTTAAACTTTCTTTAACAAATTCAAATATTTTCTATTATTAATTTCTGCTTGGTGAACAATTCGGAAACTCTGGAGCATACGAAAATATTATTAACAATAGTGAAAAAAAAAGTTATAGTTGAATATGCGCTTAAAATCAGATATAAAAATACAAAAGTAGTACTTAAGATAACGTTCGGATTGCAAATACTACTGTAAACTATTATTTTGTACTAGGTTACATTTAAACTAGGTTGTCCATTGGTAGTGGTACAGGGCATTGAGGGTAAATTGGATACGCAAACCAGTTGGCGTTTGGTAGTATCCTAGGTTGGGAGTTAGTGGAGTACATATCTATTGGTGCAGCCGGTATTAATTGCGGTGTCATAAGTCCCATATTTCCCCTGGAAGAACTAATCATTCCTGAGCTCATACCTGGAGATCCCATGGCCTGTGAAGGAACTAGATTATATGATGGCTTCCCGACATAATTTCTATGGTAGAAATTGCTCATTAATGCGTTCATAAATTTTTTGTTGTATTGCTGCTGACCGAATTTGGCTGAGCTATGGTTTCTCTTCTCTTTTTCATTAGTTTTTTCTGAATTATCTATTTGATCTGATGATTCATTTGATAACGACTCATCAAGTAGGCTTTGGCCATCCTTTTTCTTCTTTTGTGCGTACGAGACTGATAGTTTTTGAATTGCTCCCTCGAGATAATACCCATCGGTTGATAAAATAGCATAGGCAGCATCTAATGGATTAGCAAAATAAACAAAGCCATATCCCCTGGATATTCCAAAAGGTAAGTCTTCGTCACTGCTGTTGGTACTCTTCTCCTCTCTTGAACTGCCACCAACAGTTATAATTTTGCAGCTAATTATGTTTCCAAAAGGTCGGTAAAAATTAAATAAGTCTTTGTCGGACCAATCAAGCGGTACGTGTTTGACATAAATGTTCGATTCTTGCTGCCCTTCTAGTGGAACAGGTAATCCATATATATAAGGAAGATTGTGCGAACCTCTTTTTATAGGAGGGTAAAGATCATAGCCAAAGGTATAATTATTCATTGAAGGCGGAAAGGTGTTGATTCCACCAGCATATGGAGATGTTTGTTCGAGATAATTATTTCTTGTTTTTGGATTTGTTTCAGTTGTCTTAGTGTACAAGGTAAAATGGGATGTTGTTTTGTTATCTTTATTTGATGCTTTATTTGCAATGATATGATTACCACAAAACTCAAAGCAGTCCGTACTTATTTCGTGAATTATCCTTCTTGCTTGGTCGTTATTTTGGAGCTTAATAAAGCCATATCCTTTATACTGGTTCAATGAATGGTCATAAGGAAAATAATAAGATATGACAGTAACTGAAGGAAATGCCTCTGTCAAATCGTCTATGAACTCACCTTCATTTTGTATGTCTGTAGGAAGATTGCCAATGAATACACAATTATTAATAGTTAGATCGTCGCTTGAATTATTTGTCGACCAGCTATTTAACTCAGGTGAGTTATGTTTGCCTCTATGATGAGTGTTTACTCTCATATTACGCACAGATAGAGAAGACGCAGATGAGTCAGATGACTCGTGTGACAAGAACAGACGTTCACGCTCCTTTCTTTCTATGTGATAATTGATAAACAGTGTTCCTTCATCGCCATTGTCACTTCTAATCTTTGTACCATTCATACATCGTATGCATTCCGCTGCTTCAGATCCCAGCATGAATGATAAAAATCCAATTCCCACATTCTTGTTATCAAATAATATCTTCAAAGAGGAAATTGTGCCAAACTTATCAAACGTTTCCATGAGTGTGTTCAACGACATGTTCTTTGGTATGCCGCCAATGAATAGGTTTCCAGGATGTGTTAGCGCATGGGTATTAAGGCTAATTGACCAATATGCAAGCGCACCTTTTTCAAATTCTTCTTTGAGTATTGCTTTGACCTTCTTTAGACAGTTTTTTAAGTTTGGCATATGCTTGAATTGAAACTGAATAACTCTTTCGTAACTTTCAATCTCTTCAGTATCTGCATTGCCAGATGCAACTAGTTTATTTTGTTCATTATTAATATTTTTAAGCGATAAGTATTCCGCTCTCTTTGTTTCGTTAAGTGATTCATAAGGTTCTATTCTTTCTTGTGGAACAATTAGTCCTTTGTGATCGGTTGCACAATTATTCAAAGCGGCATTAAGCTCTTCATTGGTTGGTTTAAGTCTTATAGTTAACTGATTAGTATTAGCTATATTTTCGATATGTGGATTTCCTGCCATTGTAAAGTATATTTCAAATATTCGATAGTAAAGCAAAAAAAATGTATAGAAAAGTTTCAAACTATATGTGCGCTAATGGTTTTCTTATTCTTCTTAGATATTATGATTTAAAGCAATGTAATCATACCTTAGAATTGACAACAAAAGCGTGATAGTATATTTTTTGATTTAATAGCCAATGCAAAAAGGGATCTTTGAGATTGTTATATTCAAACTTTAAAACTGTTCCGAAACTTCTCTTTTATAATAGTATAGAAATCTGTTCCTATGGTGTTAGCACTTCATTTAAATACTATTGTATATCGGAAGATTTATGAAATAAAAAAATGGGAATAAAGCAAATGTCCAAAAGCATAATGTTTTTTAGCAACCAAAGCAGGTATCTTAATTTCTGTTGATAAGATGTAACTGGCAATAGATCGAAGCCATTGAAAGAGAGCAAACATACTAGCAGTTATTGGACAGTGTTGAACAATAAAAAAACTATTGCATCTGTACAACTTGTTTGTCATTGATAAGAGCGTTCGAATCATTTTACACTTTGTTAATTTTACAGACGTTTCACTTAAGAAAATATAGTACAAGTAAAGGTTGATATTGTAATCATTTGTTTGCTATTGTAGTCAGTCCAAATTAACATTAATATTTTTAATTTGTTGTGAATGTTTCTTTGGTGGACTAAGTTGCGTGTGCTTTTTTTGAGTTTTTCCGTAGCGTCAGTCTCATTGAATAGGAAATATACAGAATTGAGGGTTATGCAGAGAGAAATTTGGGGGAAGTGAGAGAACTAGTAAACGAGTTTGTGTTCTTCCAAAAAGGGCACACAGCACAAATTCAATCTGGCTCGAATAGAAGTAATTGCTGTTCACAATATCTTACTACTACGATATATCTATAGTAAAGGAAAAATAGGGAAAAAAGAAGCCCATTAATGTCCTTAACACAAGACGTTCCCGTTAAGATCAGCCGATTACTAGTTTATTCTTACAGTGACTCCCTTCCTCATCCCTTTAATAACTGTGTTTGTCTTACAGAAGCATTCTTTCTCTGACTCCATCGGAGAAAATTGGTTAGGATACAAGATGTTAATTCCGAAATTTCAGATGGTTCATAAATGGAACTTGTAAAACCCATACTTTCGCTTCAAAACTTGTTGTCACAATTTCTACTTTTAGAAAGAGCGTATAAACGATTGACGTGCAAATCAATATTTCCGAATACTAAATACTGAGTACCTGGGTTTTTTTTTTCTTTATACAAAAATGACTGCAATCAGTAGAATCTGGGCAGACCTATTTTTTCCGAAAAGAAGTACCCATCAATTTTGGGTTTTTTGTTCCATTTTGCTGCTGTTTCCACGTTCGTTGAAGCTCTGGACTTTCTTACTTTTACACTTTTACACTGATCATAGAAGCAATGGAGCACTCAGGGAACAAAAGAAAAAGGGCGTGATCCCTAAAGAAAAGTTCGAACAGGAAAGCTAAACTACAATGCTTAATCGTCTCCGCTATTTGAAGACACTTTTACCGAAGCCATAGATAGAGCAAGGTAGTTCCACTCAATCTTGCGTGGGTGTTTTGTAACAAGTTATCACATCTGAAAACAGCCATGAACAGCCTGAGGATGGAAGGTTGCCCTCTAACACTATGCAGTTCATCTTTTGTTTTCATTTTTTCCTTGTTATCTATGCAATTCTGTCCCCTTTCTTATTCTTCCAAGAATTTACTTTGTATAGATAAATTGACAGCCAATGGCTAGAAAACTGCAAATCGCTGCTACCGTAAAGTACATGTCGTAAGCCTGATATATTTTTGGCAATATGTCCAAAGATATACAAAAGAGTAGTCTTTCTCCTTGCCTCAAAACGCAAAAAGGATAAACTGAACACAGCACAACACCAAATGCAAGGAATTAATGCACTAGAAGGATTATTCGTTGAGCTGTCATTCACACAATGAAGAATACGGCACTTTGCTTTATCCTTTCTCCTTCGCTCCATAGTGATGGAAGAACAGCCAACGCAAGATTTCACGCGCATCTCGATCTGAATTGCATCTCCACTCAGCGCAATTCACCGTCTGCAATGAAAATCCCGTACAGCTTCTTACGCTATCACAGAAGAGCAATTTTAGGGATGAAGTCCCCACAACAGTCAGTACAGCCACTGCTTCTTAGATAACCAGTTATGTCTGAGGTAATCTGTTCCCGCACAACATAAATCCTTCCCTGCTCCTTCGTTTTTCCGCTTCTTCCCTCCCCCCCCCTGCCATGATCTTCTCCACAGTGGCTGTGCTTCTTCTGTAGAGCTGTTCTCCTAATAATGGCACAGCGAGTGTGGTGTGCATCTGCTATTGCAGGTGCTGAGAGTGAGAGAAAAATGGACGCAGTGAACGCAATGCAGAGAAGGAACTAATCAGGTCTCTTGTTTGTGCAGCATGAACGTGGACTTTGAGGATTACATATAACATGTTGTACGTACGTTTCTGAGTAGTGGACCGGGAACAGGCAATTTGCTTTTGCTGAGCTTATTCGAGTCCAAATTGGAAGATCAACTTTTCTTCTTTTTCGAGAGGCCTTCCGAAGAAACGGACGGAGACTTCAAACTAAGAGGCTAGATGATTAACGCAACGGATATTAAAACAGGAAAAGAGGTTTGGGCTGAGAGGCCGCTGGAGGCAATCATTTAGAGGACGTGATGGACCCGATTAGGATCAACAGTAGACCAAGTGGACCAAGTGGACCAAGTGGACCAAAAGGACCAAGTGGACTGGCTAGAACCTATTCGTTCCCAAGCGATGAACTGGTTGCAAATACGGGTGGTGTAGCAAGACTTGGATATCGAATGCTGCCTGATAAACTTCAAGTACAACGAGTATTGCAAATGAAGGCATATCATGAGCCTGGCGCATCTTCTAGATAGCTTTGCATGGAACTAGTCTCGAAAAATGAGGGTAGAAAAAAAAGGGGATCTACGGTGAATGGATTCTAACAATATAGCCTTTGATGTATCTTGCTCCAGTCTAAAAATAGATTTGGACTGTTTATCTCAGAATGTAGTAGCTGAAGTTGAAATACTCAGAGCAACTATAGTGTACGATAGATTCTGCAAATAAAGGTGCCGTTTTGTGCTTTAGAAAAGAAAAGCTTCTTACAGTGGAGTAGCTACCAGCATTTGCGACATTTTACTACAACAGTTTTTTCTTGAAATACTAGTCCAACTACATCAAGTCTCCATCCGGCATTGGGATTGCATTGCTGGATGGATATAGTGGTTATTGTATAGAGGACCCTCGCAATGAGAGTCGTTTGTGAATCACAGAATATATGTGTTATTTTCTTGTCCCACTATTTGGCAAAGTAGTAGTGCTATTGTTAAAGTGAAAAAAAAAAAATATCGCAAAATTGATGGTAGCCGAATATTTGTCGTAACTGTGACCTTAAGATACTTTTTGTACTTTAGAAGAGCGTTAGAATAGTTTGCCAACTACTGCATGTCTACTTGTACCATAATGGAAATTTTGGAATATCACTGACGAAGAGCGTATACCACGTTTATACCAGGGGAAATTGGATAGCTGCATGCCTTTTCTTGACTGATGCAATGCAAATTTGACCCCTTGAGACATTTTTGTTCATATTTTTTGACCGTGAGGTTGATAGTATCAGGAATTTAGTTGCTCAACATTTTTTTCTTTTTAGCATTCATGCTATCTCTGCCATCTTCTAGGTTTACAAGATCCCACTCTTGCTAGTAATAATGACATTAATAGTGATGGAATTAATAATTATTGTAATAGTAATAGTAATGATAATAGCGATAAAAAAAAACAAATTAATGGTCATAATGTGATCTGCTTTCTTTTTTATGTAATACTTACAAAATCAAGAGAATAGTAAGCTAATCTTGACTTTTGTCCCTATTGGCAAGACTCAAAATGCTATTCCATATTTGTTGCTCTTCTTGAGAAAGCTATATCCGTTTTTTTACACAGCCGCTTTTTGTCATTGATAACAGGTTTTGACCAATACAAGACAATTCCAACGTCTTCCATAAGTTTTACTCATGTTTCATAAGTAAGCAACCGGAAAAAGAAATTGCCTCACCGATTGAATGAGCCCTTGCTTGTATCCAAATCATCTAGATCTAATGGATGAGACCATTTTTTTCAAGAATGAACTTGTATCTTTCCATTATCCTATACCATTCCATTATCATATCTTTTATTGAGTACTTATCTATTATCTCACGTGACTCTTCTATTTTTTTTCATTTTTTACTTTCGGCTCGATATGATTCCTTTTCCTCTACTACTTCAATCCCGTTAGGAGAATTGGAAGGGAAGCAAACGAGCACATTACAAGGTACGAGCTGCCTCGAATGAGAAGAGTCGCTCTCTCCGTTCCCTCATCGATAATGGAAAACTAATCATTCCAAACCCTTAAGAGGACTAATGTTTGTTCTTATCTGACTGCAATTGTCATCAATTAGCCATTCTATTATTCTAGTTGTAATACACATCTGACTCACCATAAGGTATCTTAACCAGTGAGGGAAATTGGTAATGTTGAAGATGCAATTGAGTTCTGTCAGGTACTTAGCTACCATAGCTAAAAACTCAACCCCCAAATTGACCGATGTCCTCATTGTAGGTGGTGGTCCTGCTGGTCTTACGCTTGCTGCAGCAATCAAGAATTCTCCAACTTTAGCCGGTCTTTCAACTACGTTAGTAGACGCTGGGGATTTGAAGAAAGTTGGGGAATTTCACGACCAACCACCAGAGCATTTCACCAATAGAGTCGTTAGTATAACTCCAAAGTCTCTGCATTTCATTGCCGAAAGGGCTGGTGCTGGTGATTTCTTACTAAGGGACAGAATCCAACCTTATGATGGTTTATATGTCACCGATGGTGTCACCAAGTCTTTGCTCGATTTGGAAAAGCCCTCTATGTTGGAAATGATTGAAATCTTGAACATCCAATCAAGTTTACTCAAGAAATTATCGCAGTATGATGAAGTACTTGATGGATTTAAGCTTGTGGAAAAATCTAAAGTCACTAAGATTGAAAACACCGATCCTAAAGACCCAACTTCATGGCCATTAGTTACTCTTGATAATGGTGATGTTTACAAAACCAGATTACTAGTCGGTGCTGACGGATTCCAATCACCAGTAAGAAAATTTGCAAATATTGAAACTCGTGGGTGGTTCTATGGTACTTTTGGTGTTGTTGCTACAATGAAACTACAATACGACACATATAAGCTAAGGGGCTGGCAAAGATTTCTACCAGATGGTCCAATCGCTCATTTACCATTACCAGGTGAAAATGCAACTCTTGTGTGGACTACAACTGAAAGAATTTCAAAGTTGCTATTGACATTGGATCCAAAGGCATTTGCCTCCTTGGTCAATGCCGCTTTTGTTCTTGACAACACCGACTTACAATATTATTTTGATGAGTTGGAAGCCGGAAAGATTTCAACAAATGAACTCATTGAGGATGTTAAATTCAGAATGGACCAAGAATTTTCAAAACTAAGCGATGAAACTATGATAGACGAACTCTACCCACCCCAGGTTATTGACATAAAGGGTGACACTAGGGCCAGGTTCCCACTGAAGATGACGCATGCTGACAACTACTGTTCGCATAGGGTGGCTTTGGTAGGTGATGCAGCTCATACCACTCACCCACTAGCTGGCCAAGGTTTGAACATGGGTCAAGGTGATGTCGAAGCTCTTGTTGACGCCTTAGAGAAAGCTACACAAAGAGGTCAAGATATTGGTGCTCTATTGAGCCTGGAACCATTCTGGGCTGAGCGTTACGCTACTAACCATGTGCTACTAAATATGGCCGATAAACTATACAAACTTTACCACACTGATTCAGCACCTGTAGTAGCATTAAGAAGTCTTGGCCTCGATTTAACCAATAACTTCCCACCTGTGAAGAACTGGATTGTGAAGACTCTGACTGCCGACACTGAATTTTGATAGATGTAACGAACATAAAGAATTTTATCTATCCAGTAGGACCTATTGATTAATCCATCAATCTCTTATATAGTTATTTATTTGATCTTTAATATAATGAATCGTTTCCTTTTTACGTTCCTTGGATTTCCCAATTACTAGTTATTGACGGTACTAATAGTCAATTACAAACAACGAATTATTTATCTAACTTTTATTCATTTTGTATATTTGCTCTTAATTACATTCATGGAAACAAAACATGAAATTCAAACACACAAAATACTTCGTGAAAAAAAAGCGACGCTCCGTGCACGCCGCAGTATTTATTAATCTTTAAATCTAAACTTAAACAGAACTGTTGATGCTCACTTACTAGTCAAAAGCAAAACGAGCAACAGACTTATTTATAGCAAAGGTAAATATTAAGGCTCTCCAACAGAGAACCTTATCCGACAGATATAAAATCATTCCAAATTGGACATGTTATCCGTTTACAACAATTGTCCCTTATGGAATTTGGCACCTGCAAAAATTGTGTTTGAAGCACCCAATTCCTCTTCAATTCTCAAAATTTGGTTCCACTTTGCCAATCTTTCTGATCTAGCCAGAGAACCAGATTTAATTTGACCAGTTCTCAAACCAACAACAAGATCAGCAATGAAAGTGTCTTCAGTTTCACCAGATCTATGGGAAACCTGGACACCCCAGCCGGCACCGTAAGCCAGCTTAGCAGAGTTAATTGATTCTGTCAAAGAACCAATTTGGTTAACCTTCAACAACAAACAGTCAGCAGTCTTCTTGTCAATGGCAGTTTGGATTCTTTCAGGGTTGGTGACAGTTAAGTCATCAGCGATGATTTGAACACCTGCCTTAGGGAAGAAGTTAGTCCAAGCCTCCCAGTCGTCTTCAGCAAATGGATCTTCCAAAGACACAATTGGATATTTTTCCAAAATGGTCTTGTAGTAGTCACCGAGTTGAGCACCTGACAACTTGTTCTTAGCATCTGGATGTGGGTTCTTAAAGTCCAAGTCATACTTGTCACCTTGGAAAAATTCCGAAGAAGCGGGGTCCATGGCAATCTTCACCTTACCTTCGTGACCAGCTTCTTTGATAGCGTCGTAGATCAAATCCAAAGCTTCGAATGGAGTAGATAGAGATGGGGCGATACCACCCTCATCACCGACATTGCCAGCAGAAGAGCCGATTCTCTTCTTAGCCAAGGCCTTCAACTTGTGGTAGACTTCGGAACCTAGTCTCAAAGCCTCATGGAAGGACTCAGCGCCAACAGGAGCAATTAAAAATTCTTGCAAAGCCAGGTTACCACCAGCATGGACACCACCGTTCAAGACGTTGAAGAAAGGACAAGGAATGACGTATGGTTCTTTCTTCATGTCCGCCAACTCAGCGATGTGTTGGTACAGTGGCACCCCTTTGGCAGCGGCACCGGCCCTAGCGACAGCCAAAGAAACACCCAAGATTGCGTTGGCACCCAACTTACTCTTGTTCTTTGTACCGTCAAGCTTGATCATGAACTCATCGATGGCTTTTTGGTCCTTGACATCCAGCTTGGATTCAATCAGCTTTGGTCCAATGATATCGTTGACATTGGAGACAGCCTTGGTGACACCTTTACCTTCCCACTTGGACTTGTCACCGTCACGAAGCTCGAGGGCTTCATGAGAACCCGTTGAGGCACCGGATGGGACAATAGCCCTGAACATACCGTCCTTGGTGTAGACCTCTACTTCAACTGTAGGGTTACCTCTGGAGTCATAGACTGTTCTGGCGTGGACTTTAGTGACTGACATTTCTTAGTAGTATTCTTTTTTTGTTTGATCTAATATTTGTAAATTTCAATCGAGTATTTCTAACACAACTGATATATTATATATAATTCCAAAATTAGAATTAGTGGTTGATTTCTTGTAGCATAAAAAGAGGGATTACTCATGCTACTTTGACAAGAAAGTAAAGGCCCTTTATATACCTTTTTCCAATACGTGGTTTTTGGATAGGGATAACCATTGAGAAGTTGCCTTGTATTACATATCTAATTATAAAATTTGCGGTATTTTCATTATCACAGTAATCATAACCTATAATTGGACTCTGACTACAATGGTTGAAAACATCACAGGGGTGGGTCAGGCAACATGCAACCCATTTAAAAAACGGTTATCTCAGGAACCTGTTGAATAAAAGACAAAGCTGCAATACAATCGTTAACCTCCCACTGTGCAAACGGATATTATACATTGGTTTTCATGAATAAATGAGGTACTAATCGAATCAATATTCCCTGTTATCTTCAAAAATGTGTCTAAAAGAAAGTCCAATTACGTATTTTCTTGCATAATTTCATACAAACGAAAAATTAAGGGAACAGGGTTTACGTATGTTTCTGTGTGTGAGTGTGGGGGTGAGGGTTAGAAGGTATTGCAGTAAGAGAATGTCTAGTTTAGGGGACCTAAGAAGACGGTGCGATAAGCAGTTGTGGATAACGAGCTTCCCATAAATTGATAGCTAGCTATGTAATTCAGTTCCTGCAGTCATATCGCATCAAGTTCATAGGGTGCATATTATATTGCTCAATATCAATTTAGTGGAATCCCAAACACCCGAACAACACTAACGTGTGATACTGTTATACCTTTGGGCTTCCCATGATTTCGAAACGCATTAGTGGTGGTGAGTGGTGGTCCATGCGGCACAAAGGAAACACTTATTTGCTACTTCTTCTTAAGACAAGTAACACACAAGTAATGATAGAGGATTGCGATGTGAGTGAAGTACTCAAGTTGCAATCTTTTATTACCCTTATAGCTCCATATGGCCCCCCCACAGACCCACAGAGAGAAAGATGAAAATTGCGAAATCCGAGTAATATCTCAATATACGTACTTGATCACATTTATAAAAGTCGTAAGTTATTATAACATATTACACGTAACATCATATGACTTGAACCGTAATCCATTACACAATGTTTTACCCGGCCTCCTCCTCTTTGTTCACCAATTTTGCGAGTTTTCTTTGGCGGAGAGTCGGCTTCTCTCGGCAGTTTTCGAGTTTCGCATCTTTGGGGCTATTGAGTGTTATAGAAGGGCAGTGCCAAGGCGGTTCGTTCGATCTTGGGCGTCTATTTTTTATTAATTTTCTGTTGTGGAAATGGGCGGTTAAAAAGCGTTTACACATTTCAGCTTTTGATTAGCACTGCAGCAAGTGTGTCATTAATTCATAGAGGCTTGTCGAGGCGAACAGTTTGAGTTGCAAGCACAAAAAAAAAATAAATACTGGGTTTAACTAGCAAGAAACAACAAAGGAAAAATATAATCATATGGTTACGAGGAGGAGATTGCATCACCCTGAAGTGGAGCAGGTGTCTAAACGGCAGAAAGTCGATAAGGCTGAGAGCAAGAATAAGAAGCATGCGGACGTTGCTGCAGAGAGAGGTGAACAATCCACCGAGGACCACGAAGATGAATCACAGGACAAGAAGGACAAGAAAGTGGTAGGAGACAATAGAGACGAAGACGAAGAGGTGTCACCGAATGGACAAGAAGCAGCAGAGGATAACGACGATAGAAAGGATAAAGACGCCAAAGAGAAAGATACAGAGACGAATGATGAAGGCACGGAGAAGAGCCACACTGATGTAAATGATGATGATGACGATGTTGATGAGAGTAAAGAAGAAGATGCAGCAGCAGCAGTTGACATTACCAAGGAGAAGAAAGACGAACAAGAGAGCGATAACAAAACTGAAGAGAAGAAAGTTCAAGAAAATGAAGAAGAAGAAGAAGAAGACGAAAATAAAAATGATGAAGACGTTGAAGAACTGGGTAGCACTGAACCTGTAGATGATGAGAAGAAAGGTCTTGTTAAATTCGAATTTGATGGCGTGGAATACAAGTTTAAGGAAAGAGCAAGTGTGATAGAAGAGAATGAAGGTAAAATTGAGTTCCGTGTGGTGAGTAACGACAACACAAGAGAAAATATGATGGTCTTGACTGGTCTTAAGAACATCTTCCAAAAACAATTACCAAAGATGCCAAAGGAATATATTGCTAGACTGGTTTACGACAGGAGCCATCTATCGATGGCTGTGATACGAAAACCGCTAACAGTTGTGGGTGGTATTACGTACAAACCATTCAATAAAAGGCAATTTGCAGAGATTGTATTTTGTGCCATCAGTTCCACTGAGCAAGTTCGAGGGTATGGTGCTCACCTTATGAACCATTTGAAGGACTACGTACGAAACACTTCTGATATTAGGTACTTTTTGACATACGCCGATAATTACGCTATCGGTTATTTCAAAAAGCAAGGTTTCACAAAAGATATCACATTAGATAAAAAGGTATGGATGGGATACATCAAGGATTATGAAGGAGGTACCTTAATGCAATGCTCTATGCTCCCAAGAATTCGTTATCTGGATGCCGCAAAGATCTTGCTACTACAAGAAGCAGCTCTGAGGAGGAAAATACGTACTATATCGAAATCTCACGTTGTTCATCCTGGATTAGAATGCTTTAATGACATAGAAAATATCAAACCAATCGATCCGATGTCCATACCAGGTTTAAAGGAAGCCGGATGGACTCCAGAGATGGACGAGCTGGCTCAAAGACCAAAGAGGGGCCCTCATTATGCGGCAATTCAGAATATTTTGGTGGAACTGCAAAATCATGCTGCTGCATGGCCATTCTTAAGACCTGTCAATAAAGAAGAGGTTCCAGATTATTATGAGTTTATTAAAGAACCAATGGACTTAAGTACTATGGAACTAAAGCTGGAAAACAACAAATACGAAAAAATGGAGGAGTTTATTTACGACGCCAGATTAGTTTGTAACAACTGTCGGCTGTATAATGGTGAGAACACTTCATATTACAAGTATGCCAACAGACTTGAAAAATTCTTCAATAATAAGGTTAAAGAAATACCTGAATACTCACATTTGATCGATTAGATTCAATAGTACTATTCTTCTGAGTTTGTAACAATATTTAGAGGATTATCCTTAATGAAATATATGAAATTATTATTATCCTCTCATTTTCAAAAATGCAAAATTTCTATCATTAAGTATGTAGAAACACGGTAAATAGACACATAATATATATACAAAACAAAACCAGTTGGTATAAGAATCTTATCACAAAATTTTTATTAGTTACATGAAAAGTCTCTTAGTTAATTCATAACTAGAAATCATGATTGCACAACTAGGAGCAATCTTTGCAACTCTGGGAGCTAGTCCGGTATACAATGCCCCAATTCCTTCGGTTTTACGAATATAGTTTAGGAATCCAAACATTGTGTTTGATGATCCGTACTTCAAATTCGAATTCGCTAATTTCTTATCCGTCACAAGACTAATTTGTTGCCGTGTTTTACCCACATCAAAAGGATGTGTACATATAGCTGCGAGAGAGCCACTAATAAAACCACCAAGGAAGCTATTAGTAAAATGGAACCAATTTGAACTGTTTTTATCAAATGTTGATGGAGACAAATAGGCTACTTTCGTTTTGTAGAATTCATAAGAAGCCCAGTAAATAGCACTGAATGGCACATCTCTCCATAAGGTAATCTCTAGACCCTTAAACATAGTTTGTGCTACACCACGCATGGCAATCTCACTTTTAATCTCGTTGAACAAATCCCTGTACATTATTACTGAACCATTTTTCATCGAAGAGCTAGGGATGCTTTGAAGTTTCGTCTTAATAAGTTCTAATGGAGCTACCGAAGTGGCGGCAAGAGTTCTGGCAAAAGCTCCGCAAATTAATGGATTGATAGTCGGATACAAGCCATTCAATGGAGATCTATCTCTTACATACTCATAACCAGTAAAGTATACCACATTTGCGGGAATTGCCATAAGTAAAGTAATTGATATACCTCTCCACAATGTAGTTACACCTTCAAATTTTGCTATTTTCTCAAAAGCCTCTAAAGTCCCATTAAACTTCTGGTTTCTGCAGTTCAAATTTTGAAAACATGTACTCTCCCAGAATATCTTAGGTACAGTGTCAATTCTATTAACCACTTTAGACTGTCGTAGCTGCTCCAGAGTGTTCCTTCGTACACCTCCTTCACTAATTCTCTTTCTGACTTTGCTATCATCGAGCTCCGAAATATCAGCACACCCGCAATCCGCTAACATCTGCTGCTGCTGAAGCCGTATACGTACCACATCCATCGGCGTTAGTATCACAGATGTCAACAGTGAGCCCACAGTAGCACTCATCATCCGTTCCTGGATGGTCAGAGTCGCTGGAGGTCTGTCTGTCATCAGTAAGTTTCAATATAACTTATATGTTCAAACCAGGTAACCAGGAGACGGTATTCTTCAATCTGAATCAACGCTATCTGTATATTAGAAGCTACCAAAAGAGAAAAGTGTTTCCGTAAAATAACTTAGCTCCGTCCGTTATTGATCTACCCAATACTCTCTATATAAGAGGCAAAAAGGAGGTTCACTTGACTAGAAAAACTGACACCCAAAGAGTATCAATCGCAATACCACTTTGACAGTTATATCCACATTAGTATCCTCCTACAAATGTCCGTCTATTATACTTGCTCGATGAGTCTAATTATTTTGACAAAATGATCAATAATGCTCACACCTCATCGCTATTACGTGAATTGTAATAACTGATAAAACCTAGAAAATCTGGGGGTACTGAGACTTCCAGAACTTCTTAGTAATCGGCCTTTGGCCATCGATGAGAAGTGACAGCAACATGCAGAGGTGCTTTCTGGTAATGCACCCCGGCCATCACCGTCCCTGTTAGTATGGACGACATCAACTATCATGTGATGATGGCTGCACACAAAGTAATATGATATTATGTTTTAACTTTATATATATCGTATCTGACCTACTTATTTCAGCCTCCTTTGCTTTAGCTTTCCCGTCGCTGTGGTGATTCTCTTACCGAGGTTGAGTTTCTTGTGATCGAGGTACTCTCTAGGGAAGAAATCGGTTAGCGTGGATTGCTTAGGTGCTTTCTTTCTCGCATTAATATCACGGATCAACGGTATTAACACTTCATCCGATTTCTCCTGGGGCCAGCCCAGGTAGCTATATAAAAATTGTCTTAGCATGTCTAAGTCTGGGTTTGCCCACGTAAAAGGAGTCTTATCATGGTCTACTTCGGGGTTCAAGTATGAGTCAGCCACAAAGACACTTGGAAAGTCATCATCAAGGATAATATCGTTCTTCACAAGCTTCTTTCTCAAATCCCTTCTAAATTTATCCTCACCTTCTTGCTTCTTTTTGTCAAATTGCCCCTCGTTGTACCATCTCTTAAAATTTTTGAGATCACCAAACTCCGCCAATATCTCCATACTAGATACTGGCCCCATGCCCTTTATACCAGTGGTGTAATCACTGCCCAGCAATTGAGCCAGCTCAATCATTGTTTCACGGGTCAGTCCTAATCCTTGATATATATCTTCAGAATCATAATACTCAACATAGTTCTTCTCTTGAAACATATTCTTATAAACTTTTTTACCACCAAATAGAAACACATCACTATCATCGGTAATGATACCATCCACTAGTTTCAAGTTTACTAGTTCTGCACATTGTGCTTCCGCTTCCATAGGTGCAGTTATATAAGGTATCCCAAACCTTGCAAGAAGCTCCTGGACATCTTTAATCATATCCATCGTAACTTCGTCAGCATCCCTCTTGTCCTTCACCTGTTGAGCGTATATCTCATCCTCAATGAAGGCATTCTGGGATACATCCTTATTATTTAAAGCGGTGACCCGAAATTCTCTGAAGTCTTCCTCTTCTCTTCTCAAATTTTCGGCTAGCTCCTCTTCTTCCTCTTCAGAGAAATTATAATCAAAGACTTCAGGTTTTCTCACTTGCTCATCGTCATAATCTTCTTCATCAGAGCTGCTTTTTTGAGCAGTTTCGGCCTTCTGTGATGGAGTTTTAAAAGACTGAAAGGCGCCAACTTCAACGACATCGTTAGGAGCTCTAGTACTGCTCAGTTCATTAATTGCATCTGTAGCTGCCAATCCAGATAAGAGTTGATATTCTTCTTTTCTTGGAGACTTGCTTATCTCATCTGCATTAGGCTTTAAGTCAATATCATTAACAAATTGATTCGCAGTATAGGGGTTTGACTTTTCAATAAAACTGTCATTAGTAAACCAAGAAGGAATCTCAGGTACCTCTCGATCTCTCTTTTCTCCCTCTTCTGCTGGCAAAACCTTTTGAACGCCATCAATATCATCTATCACCGGCTTTTCGACATTTGGACCAAATAACAGAGACCCTCCTCCATCTAAGGTAGGTATTTTATTTACAATGAATCGAAGATTCTGTTCAGATTCAGTTAATACCGGCTGGTTTGTACGATCACCCCTAATTATGGGTTGTTCGTTGACTTTATAGTTGTTGTCAACTCTCATTATACTTTCATTCGTAGCAGAATCATTAAGCTGTTCTTTTAAGTTGCGTTTCTTTTTGAAATTTTCCATTAATTCTATTTCTTTCATCTGCTGCTCATACTCACCTTCGGAATCATCAGTTGAAAGTACTTCAGCAACATTCTCATTTTGAAGATCTGGAGTTGTATCTTCCTCTATATGAATCGGTTTCATTATCTGTTCTTGGGCTTTCCTTTTTCTGGGAGAAATATCAGATGGTCGGGTATCTAAGAAGGACTGCACTGCAGCCCTTTTTATTTCGGAACCTGCCCCTGTAGTTAGTTTCCGTGCAGCTTTTAATGAGTAGTCTTCTACCTTCCTTTGGGGAGCTGGTTTTAAATCAACGTCTTCCCAATCAAATTCTTCTTCGCCATCCTCATCTTCTGCACCAAAAGAGGAGCCCAAGTTATTACCCATATCCTTTTCCATTTTTATGGCAACAGAATGTTCTGGATCATCTAAAAGAATTGCTTTATTAGCTTCCGAGCCATCGACATCGCCAAAACCTAAGGACCAGCCATTTTCGGTCTTAACTAATTTATATTCCTTGTCCTTTGTGCTTGATAGTCTGCTACCACCATTGCTGTCTTCATCCTCTAACTTTGACGCACCTCCATCATTCATTCCAGTTACATTTATCAACTTCTGTGTGAAAAAGTTTCTTCTCTTAAGCATATCTATTTGGAATTTTGAGAAATCCATGCTATTTGGAAATATATTTTCTAATTGTTCTTTGGAATATCCCATTCTTAATCTAGATCTTAATCTTAAAGTAGATAATATCATAAACTGTGTTGTTTTCGGCAGTTCTTCAAACTCTTTTGAGGCAGGATTAATCGAATCGAGGTCAATATCATCAATAACATCTGTATCTATCGAATTTATCAATTTTTCAAAATCATCCGCAGCATTAACCCTTTCATCAGATCTACTATATCGAAAACCAGGGATATCCGGTAAATCCCATTCATCGAAAGGTGTGAATACTTTAGAGGTATTGCCATTAGCCGTGCCATTAGAGGCATTACTTTGCAATTGTTCATTTGCGGCACCATTATCTTTCAACGTCTGTAACTGTTTAGCTAAAATTTTCTTGGCAGTATTCGTTGCATTGTCACGCTTGCCTTCTCTCCTTTCTTTTCTCTTTTGAATTGTCTTCCTTTTCAATACTGGTACTCCACCATCAAATACAAAAACAGGTTTAATACCAAAATAAAGCAGTTTACAAACACGCCTAAAAAAACCTGTAATATGTGCTGATTTGATTGCATTACCTTCTTTATCTCTAACAGCTTTTAGAAACTGATATATCCAAATAGAGGCATCAACAGCCATCCTCCTATCATGGAGAGATTCCAAACGGACTGGCTTCGCTGTCGGGCCAACTATATCCCAAAACGAATGAACACCCATAGTAAACCATTCGATTTTAAGGATGCAATTTTATTTTTGATATATTGTAGTAATTTGTAATCGATATTATATCTAAAGAACATAAGCTTTATGAATAAATTGGCGATGAGCTGTACAATTTTAAGGAAACCCAATATCCAAACATGTAACTATAGACGAAATTGTGGTTAAATTCCCAAAAAAATAAGAAGTTTGGATGTTCCAACCGAGGTTCGAACTCGGGACCTTTGCCGTGTGAAGGCAACGTGATAGCCACTACACCATTGGAACAAGTTAACTCCTTATTATATCGCAAAAAGTTGTCCGGCAATGAGTGTACAAGTTTTAGAAAATTTTTGGAGAAGAGATGTTTACACAATATAATAATATGCTAAGCTACAAGATAGTACAATAAACAAACACGAACTGCTTGAATTTCATTTGAAAACACATATGACACATATACAATCAAATTTTTTTACAGTCCGATTAAGCGAATAATAGACAGAGGTTGTAAATAAAGTGAATAATCGCGGTAACTTTTGAGTCGCTGATTGGTATAATACTAGCAAAACTTCATTCAATTGATTGCTCAGTGAATAATTATAGATATAACACTGTACAAATGGTATCATTTCAAAAAAAACAAGCATTAAGAAGAGAAATTAAAATAGGAGAAAGGCGCTGAGCGTGAAGTATTTAAGAGTATTTATATTCACTCAGTAAATGCGGTAAGGGATTTTGCAACAAGCCTCCTAATTTTTTATTCCTCTGAAAATCATATAGTAGCTTGACAGAGACTTGCTCGTTTGGTCATACTTGGTTGTCCCAATGATGTATGATAACACATACTTCGAAGGAATCAATTTGGACGTTTTCGCATATTTGTACGTGCCTTTCTGTTGTCTTTATGTATTTTTGATGTTTGACTTGTAGAAGATGACTTCGAACGAACATCCAAATTCAGGGACGGACACATCGTCGGGGTGGAAAACAAAAGGCGATCGAGGCGGCAGTCTCAAGAGGTATAGTGATTAGAAGACGGAATAAATACTACTACAAAATTTTTACAGGTCATAAATGCTATATCATTCGAAAGAGCTTAAGTTAATGCATATGGAACTACCACTTTTGAAATTTTAAAAAATTATCCTGAATTTTAAGCAATTTTTTTAGCAAACGTTTAACGTTTTTAATAATGACGACAAAAGGCATATAAAACATCAGGAGTAAGCCCAATATTATACAGTTTTCCATAAGAAAATAATTATTCATTACATTAAATACATGTAAGATGCAGTATAAGTGCATTTCAATTGCGTTTTCAATGTCTTTTTCTCTATACTTGCTATTGCAACTACATTTTTCCAAACTTATTTTCATTCGAAAAATCTTTTTTTTCCCACACTCTGTCGACAGAAAAGGGTTACGAATGGAAGAAAAGTTGGGTATCCGAGGAGTAAAGCCATGCCCATTACCATCTCACACTGTTATAGAATAGTTGCAAGTATTTTATAATCACCAAGATTGGTGGTGAATTTTTTTGAAGTCGACTGGCTTGTAACGTATTTTTATTTCCATTAATTTATTGAATGCTCAACAATTATTACTTCTCCTCTAAATCGAAAACAAGTGTAAATTCACCAGCCTTTTAAAACCAAAGTTTTATCAAAGGCTGAGATACTTCGAAAGCGTAGCCACCGGCGCCAGGGAAGAACTTGATTAGTTTAACCTTGCAGAATAATTCTGTATCACAATACATCCTAACACCATAACCAGTATCATCCAATTAAAAAAACTGTCTCCAATATCCTATCACTCTAGACCTACTGTTCTTCTTATTTATTTTATATATGCGCTATTACACAGTAAGATAAAGATATTTCTTTTTTTGAGGTGCCGCATCTATTTTTCTGTTCTCAACTGTTTCTCCGCCCTGTTGAACCAACCACCACCGAATGACGCTCGGCTACATGTATTTTTTTTTTGACTGCTTCGCTAACCTATCCCACTCTATCAAGTACCCGCATAGCCGGTTTCCCTTATCCAACATCTTTTTTTTTCTATTTCTCTCTTGACATACTTTACTTTCTACACTTATGCTTCTGTGCGTTTCCTATTTTTCCCTCACTCCCGCTTCCACTTCCAGTTCAGTGACAGTCATTCTTTTTTTTTTTTTTAATTTTTTCCTCTACACTAACTTAGCCGTTAGATTGTCAAAAAGTTAGTCAAAGTTCATAGCCTTTTTTTACATAATTTCTATATATTCCTACCATACCTATATTTTCTTGAAAAAAAAAAAAAGGTATAAATACCAATCGAATCTACCTATTATTTTCACCAAGATTTTTCTCTATCGATAACGCTTATTGCTATATTTTTATTTTCTTGGTTACAATATTATTTGGAAATACCTTTTCCCTCTTCTCTCTTCTTATCTGTCTTTTCGTTGGCTCTTTCTTGTTGCCCTTTTTTCCACCTTTTTGCCTCCAATTTTTCTTCCAGCTTTTGTCCTTATTTGTCCCTATTAAGACATTTACCTTTCGCCGTCGGCTTTATTATTTTTGTCCTTCTAGTTTCTCCCCTTGGAAGTTCACCTGTATATCTCTACACACGAGTACTCTCACAAGTAGCAGAAGAGCAAACGCATTAATTCTCAGTACAGATTTGCACCGGGAAAATAAACCAAACTAGATTCCTTTTTTTTAACGCTATTCGGTAATTTGTCGCTTTGATTTCAGGGACATATTTCCAGCACTACACTAAGACTTACAGAGAAGGGCCTAAACGCAGTCACTGCCTGTCTATTTTTGTCCAGACACATTAAATTCTGGACATTTTTACATCTAACTCGCCTTTTGGTAAAAAGAGTTCGAATCACAATTCGAGCCGTCAAATTTGGTGAAAAAAATAGTCATTTGGCATTCAAAAAAAAAAAATCAAAATTCAAAATTCAAAAATTCAAAAATAATAAAATAAAATATTAATTTAATCATATTAATATTTGTTATATTTTGAATTTGAGTCTTTGATAAATCCAGGGTCGCTGCTAACAAAAGTCGTATATTAGAAAGACACCGCCCTCGGCACTTTCCAAGCCTTTTAAATCCTGATTCTTAATATTAGACAGGTTAAAATTTTGAATTATAAAAAAAAAATTATTCAAAAATAATAGAAACTCTATTACCGAGTTTTTTTTTCTGGAACAAATTGAAACATTGGTTGGATATACTGAATATTGCTCAGTAACCACAAACTAATAGCAACTTTTTTTTCTGGCTCGAGAAACCCTTTCAAAATTCAGTTTTCGAAAGCAGAGAACAATTTCACAATTTTTTTTTAATTCACAATGACATTAAGAATGAGAGGCCATGACAATATTGAGGAGGAGGTGAGTTCAGGCCATGACTTTGATGATGGCCGTAAAGTGGTTAAAGTCGAGTCCCCACTGAGAGAGACTGACGAGTCAGAATCAGATGAGAAGAAAGTCCTGGAGTCAGCCAACGAGAGAGAAGTGCTAGGCACCACCACAGATGATGATGGCTACATGCTACCTTCATTGGATCATCCCATGGAAAAGAAAATCCTAAAGAAGATGGATCTTTTCATCATCCCATTGTTGGGTCTGATGTACTTCTTGTCTAACTTGGATAAGTCAAATATTGGTAACGCCGAAGTGGCGGGCTTGTCCAAGTCCATTGGCTTGAAGGGTAAAGAATATAACATCGCAGTGACAGTGTTCTTCGGTACCTACATTGTTTTCGACCCAGTCGGAGCTAACCTACTGAAGATCATGGGCCCAAACAGGATGATGAGTTCATGTCTACTTTGTTTCGGTGCCATCTCTCTTGCCACTGCTTTCATAAAAAACTACGGTCAATTGCTAGCTGTTCGTCTATTACTGGGTATGTTCGAAGGTATGATCTACCCTGCCATTAACATGTACCTATCTGTGTGTTACAGAAGAGAACAATACGCTGTGAGATTTGCCTTTGTCTTCACTGCGGCTGCTTTGTCATCTGCGTTTGGTGGTTTGATCGCATACGGCTGTTCGAAGATTCACGGTTCCTTAGAAGCATGGCAATACATCTACATTGTTGAAGGTGCAATCTCAATTGGATTTGTACCAGTATACATTTGGGGTTTAGGTAGAAAACTAGAAGACTCTTGGTTTTTCACTGAAGAAGAAAGAGAATATGTTATAGAAAGATACAACACCATGAACACCTTCAACCCGGATGAGAAATTTGAATGGTTCCAAGTTTGGCTAGCTGTTAAGGATATTAAGACCTGGGTAAGCGCAATTGCCTTGTTTGGTATTGATTTAACCACATTCGGGTTAACAGTGTTTTTACCTATCATTGTTACAAGTTTAGGTTTCAGTCATGTTAGAGCACAATTAATGACAGTGCCAGTATACTTCCTAACAGCTGTTGTTTTCTTCGTCTGTGCCATTTGGTCTGACAAACTGAAATTAAGAAGTCCGTTTATTATCGGTGCATGTTTGACAACAAGTATTGGGCTGGCAATTGTTTTAGGTTCTACAGTGCATGGTGTGAGATACTTTGGTGTTTTCATTCTATGTATGGGTATTTATGTCAATGCTGCTTGTAACTGTTTATGGTTGAGTGGTAACAATGGTAACTACTTTAAGAGAGCTACAGCATTAGGTATAAATCTATTCATTGGTTCAGGCTCAGGTTTAGTATCAGGTCAAATCTTCTTGGCTAAAGATAAACCAAGATATATCATGGGTCTTTCATTGTGTCTTGGTTTCCAAGTCTTATCCATTGTTATGACAGCTCTTCAATTCTACTTGTACTATAGATCCAACCAGCAAAAACAAAAGATCATCGATCATTGTCATGAAATTGGTGAACCAATTCCTTATGATGAAAGATTAAGTGATCTGAATCCTGAATTTAAATACATGTATTGAATTCCTCAATCACAAAAAATCTTAACAGTGTACCAATATTAAAATACAATATAAGAGACTATTCTCATATGATAGAATCAATGTAATGCGTCATGATACGTATACTTATGCCTAAAAAAACAAAAGAAATTCCATGCTAATGCTATTGTAAAACTGTCTAATGGAATTTACTAATTTGCTAACATTTTTATAATTATATATTTACCTCTAATTATTCGAATTTAATCTGGTTTTTTCGTGTATGCCATGCCATATTCCATATTTATCTAGTTTTCAATCTGAAGAGTCATCTGTGTACTCCTCTGAACTGTCTAAGTCATCTTCTCCAGTCTCTGATTCTGAATTACTACCTTCATCACTTTCTTCTTCAGTATCCTCTTCTTCAGATGAAATATGAGGCTTCTTGTCCCCCGTGGAATTATCAATACTTTGGTTGAGAGACTTCTTGTTCGGCTGCTCAGGTATATCTGAGAAAAATTCCTCTAAACTTTGTAGCTTATATTTTTGTCCCCTTTTCGAAACATAAGTTGAATCTTTGGAAGGTTTTGCCTCAAAGTCTTTATTCCTATCAATAGATGATGAGAATGCATTATTAGAAATTGTATCTCTTCCTTTAAAACTGTCTGAGGATATGCTTGTATAATATTTACGGTAGTCTTTAGTAGGTGTGGGCTCTCTGATATCTTGATTTTCTGATACAGGGTCAGGTGAGTATTCCCACTTTCTAAAGAGGTAGGCATTTATTAGCGATGATGAAACCCCATAGGAAATGAGGCTCTTCACATTCTGATCTTCACTTCCATCTCTATTTCTATAATTTGATGGGAAAAGCTGCGGTTCCGGCTTTGTGCCTTGAAGAAGTAGAGTACCTATTTGTAGCTTATCTTCATGAAAAAGTGAACCAAGCATACGCGCTCTATCCCTTATATCAAAATCGTCATCATATTTGGCAAGGTAAATAAGTGTATTGAATATCTGATACAATCTTGATTTTGAATAGTCATATGCCCCATCTCCAGTGGTGTTCGCGCTTATATCATAAGAAAGTAATTTTGCTGCCAATAGTAAAATTTGATGCCTTGAATATCTCCCTTCTTGAGCAAAGTTTAATGTCAACTTCCGTAGTACATCTGGGCATACTGAAAATTCAACCCTAGCAATTTCTCCAAAAAGCCATATTATTCCAGATCTAGCTTTATCATGTAGGGTATCCTGTGACTCTAATAATGTACTTAGTTCCAATACTGTTTTGATATGAGACCTTGGATTAGAATGAAGAAGTACTCTAATCACATCAACGGCTGTATCCATTAAATTTTTATCTAATTTTTGATATGTTAAGAATCTCAGAAGCCACTTTAGTATTTTTGATTCCCAAAGTTCTGAGAGTTGACCACATATCCCAAGAGCAATCATAGCTTCCTTTTTTATATTCTGTGCTAAGTCGTCGTAAACGTAGCGCCTAATCTCTGTTGCAACGCTATCAATCGTTTCCTCCGTTACCAAAGATGATAAGACCTTAAGTTTGAACTCTGCTGTAACAATGTTATCAGTTGGATAAAGAAAAAACTGCCTAAAGTATGGTGTAAATATTTGCGGATCCACAGTTGACATCAATAATATATTCTGCAATATTAAACTTTTGATACTGCCATTAGTTCTCGAGTTATTAATCAGATTGGCAATAACTTCTGGGAATTTGGTCCTTCTCAAGGAGCCTGGTGTCGAAAGTTGTAAAATAGCCTGACAGCATGTAAGCAAAACAGCAAAATTATCAGAATATATCAGCTTTCTTATTCCAGATAGAAGTAGATCAAGGTCAGGATCATTTTCAATCGTAAATGCCGTATATATAATTTCTTGGATGTCATCTGGTAATGGCATGCTCTCCTTTTCATTTTCAGAGTTTCTTAATAGTGGCTTTGGAATATACCTCTTGGAATACAGCGTCAATGAAGTTATCATATATATCTGAGCGTTCGAGTCCAGTTCATGAAGTATATTACAATACCTTCTGAAATGACCATGGAGCCAGTCTAAATGATCCAAGAAGTGTCGATAAAAAACAACTATCACGGAAGAAATTACTGTGGGATCGCTATCAGCCAGTAATTCCTTCAATGTGATTTCAAGTTCATCTTGAAAATCCTCATAGGCAGATGTGTAGATCTTAGCGATTGTATATGCAACTTCAGATCGCACAATTGCTGATGGATCAGAAACACTTTTGCGCATACCATGAATTATTATAGGTTCGAGGGACTTTAGTCTCATATCAACGAGAGACTTTATTGAAAAGGCCCTTGTTTCACTTAAGGTGTCATTAACTAATTTCTGAAGTGAATTTACTACTAGTAATGCAACATCTTGATCAATCTCCGCATATCGTACTAGATACAAGGCCACAAGCCTTCTTATACGCATATCATCGGTATGAACAGTTTTTACTACATCAGGCAAATAGGATTTAGCATCAATTGTGTTGTCGCCTAGGGCCATCGCACTAATTAAACATTTCAAACCATCCTTTACCTCTCTTGTATTTCTCGAGTTCAACAAGGTCTTCAATTGCCTCGGCGAGATTGTTTTTGAATATTGCTTATATGAGGATTCACCCAATTTGGAGGACGCAACGGCTGCAGCCTCCAATGTCAGTGTGCGGGCTGACTCTAACGCAGAAGCAAACTGGCTCATATAAACAGACCTCTTATTCCGAATTGATATCTTTCTCTGATCTAAGCTGATGCGTCCTAAATAAGTAAGCACATATTACACAACCACCTTGTTTTCACTATCAAATCTGATATTACTATTGAGATCTTTGGATTAGGTAGGGGAACGTAAATTATACTTAATGACGAACTATCAAATGCTGTGAATTCTATAGCTTTCTGGACTAATATATATAGTTAGTTAATTAATTCAGTTAAACTGATGCCAGACAACTACAATCATTATATATTTTACCTGATTGCAATGTATTCTTATTTATAATTTTTACTCTATTTTTTTTAGCCTATCATACTTCTCTTTCTTCCGCGAAGTCTCACCTCTGCAAACCTCTTCAGTAACTCATCGAGTTTCTTTTTACCTAACTTGCCATTCTTCTCGTATACCGATTTGAAACCATCAAGCATCCATTCAATATACTGTTCGGCATGTTGTGAATGTGTACTCAAAATAGCTCTTTCAAGCACATATATATCCACACCTTTATCTTCTACCATAGTTGTGGTAGACCCTAAGCCAAAATCAATTAAATGGGGTACCCAATGGTGTGAATCAGTATCAGAGTGAACCATTACTATATTCGAGCTCGTTAGGTCACCATGACAGTAGTCGTTCCAATGTAGTTTACCAATTTGTTCTCCAACTTCAATCAATGCCCTCTTGACCACTTCGCAATACGGATCATTCTTTGCATCGTACATCCATAGGAAATTCTTAAGATTGCTATATCCAAAATTTTCAGGAAGATCTTCTCCCAGGAATTCAAGCCATAAATAACCATTGTAAGCATCACATGCTATTAGCTTCGGTACATGTAAACCTTCAATGGTATAGAGTTTAGATAAAAGTCTTGCTTCACCGAGTGTCCTGTGTTTTGTTAATGACTTATCAATAACTGGATGTCTATACCTTTTAGGAGATCTGTACTTGATAATATACTTCTCATTAGAGTTGCAATTTTCGGGAAGGTATGGATGCACAGATGTAGTAAATACCACCGCCTCAGCACCTTGCGAAATTGGTGTAACTGGAATATTAGGAGACAGATAGTTCCGCACCCTATCGACAATTTCTTGAGACATCCTATAAATTTTATCTAATATTGGGATTCTATGAGATGCCCTGTAGTAAAATACAACAACGATTAAAAAACTAGAGCTCTCTTAATATTATATTTTTTCGATGACATGCCTATTATAGAATAGCCTTATGATCAGCAATTCGAATTTTTTCAAGAGTAGGTCACGTTACCTGAAAAAGTTCCCACACAATATGAGAATGTAGGATATAGTTCATTAAATGAATACATATGCAAGTTCTATATGAGTTATTTTTGAGCATCGATAGTTCTAATGAATCAGCTTACTCTACAATCGTAATTTATGCAACAATTTGAGCACAAGCTATGCCTTATCAATGAAATCTAAAATAGGTTTAATCATGGTTTGCTTTGACCATGATTCAACATTACCATCCCAGGCTAGGATTGGGCCAGTGTGACAGCCCTGGAAATGTGCAAGTACATTTTCGACATTATTATATCTCTTGGGATTACATTCAATTAATTTATCGACAAATAGTTTGATTTGATAGCTTAGAATTTCGTCGTCACCGTATGTCACCAACAAGTCACACTTTTCAGTTATTAAGTTCCAAGTCTCAGCATCGAAATTATGCTCTATATTAATATATTCATCATTGTCAGGATTGTACCCACTTTCTCTAAGTATTTTTGGAATATATAGATCTCCAAACATTTCAGATCCTTTTGTACAGATCCCATCCCATTTTTCGCTCTGCTTCATATATGTTCTTTCTTGCTCGCCGATATAAGTTGTATTTAGCCAAGGACTAATTGGTATTGCCTTTCTAGGTAAAAGTGGCCTATTGTGCTTGTGTAAGTATAATAACAGTACCAGCACGGCGTTTCCACCAGCTGAATCGCCCATTACAATGACATTTTTGCAGCCTAATGATTGAGTAACGTAGTCGTAAACAGCCAAAATATCCAAGAGTTGTCTAGGATACTTGTTACTATCTAGTTTTGATGCTGTGGTAGCATAATCAGAAATAAGTATTGGCATGTCAGGGAAATACTTACCTGTGTTTGTTAAAAAACTTAGAGTGGTTGGTGTCAACTGCAAAGCATAGCCACCACCATGGTAGTATATCAAAATTGGGTCGATCTCTGGGTTAAAAGTGTGAGGATTAATTTGACGTTTCCAAAAGAATTTGCTTTGGGTTCGTGTGCTCTTCACAAATGGCTTATCAAATATACCTCCAGATATCTGCTCAAGGTCATCATTAGGTACTGAGTAATTTATCAGACTTATCCCATTACCTTCAAATTTGTATATAAACTCAAAAATCGGATTGAGAACATATTGGCATATATTCTCGTCGATCAGCTTCGTACTTTCTCTCATGAATATTCTCGATACTATGTCAATATTTACTCCTCTTTCAGACTCCATTACAACTTTTATAAGGTAATAGGTCATTTTGAATGGTAGAATTCCGATAAACTTTGACAGAAACCGCAATGTGTGCCAAATTGACATCGTAATTGAATCTTCCTCATTTCTCAATGTAGATAAGTCGGTTGTTACTGTTATATTGGTCGGGATTTCTGTAGTATTAACACTGACATTGCTTTTGGTGTCCATATTGTGTTTTGAAGTAGGTCAGTGTTGTCAACTCAGTGGATGGTCATTAATGGTATACAAAGCCTTTAAGTTATTTAAAGCATGTTATATTGGTTCAGTATTAGCTTATAAAAAAAATCATCATGTGACTCGCGTTTCTTCATTTACATAAAATCGATTTTTGTGATACGGTGAATATTTTTAATAAATAGCATAACAGACCTCTCTGAGGCATATAATCTTAATAAATGCTTAGAATGTACACATTATATTGCTATTAATAAATTATTATAACATTCTTAGGGAATAAGGGTTAACAAGTGCAAGTCCTTTGCGTATTTGCGATCATTATGCTAAGATGAGGATTTTATGTAGTAAAGTTCATTAATTAATATGTATATACTGGAGATCGTACCGGAAGTCATGTAACCTATTTATCTTGGCCACCATACTTAGCTCTCCATTCGTCAATCTTCTTCTCATCGATTCTTTGGAATAGATATTCGGCCTTGTTGATGTTATGGCCGCCTAGAAGAGCGATGTGGAATTCTTCATCAATTTTCAAAGCAGGAGCATTTAGCATTCTGTTGATAGTTTCAGCTGTTTCTGGCATAAATGGATAAATTAGAGAGGCAACTGCGTATACGATGTTCAATCCGACGCCAACAACAGCATCAGATTTTTCTGGGTGTTGAGAGAACAGACTGTTATCTAACTTATTTTCTTGTAAGAATTGGTTACCACGAGCACTTAGAGACATAGCAATCTCTAGACCACGTCTTTCGTGGGCAGTTTCCATTTCCTTTACGTAATTTCTCAAAATTTCATTAATGTCAGAGACTAGAGAATCGTAGTTTGGTAAGTTTTTAGTATCAAACTTTGGAATCACACCGTTATACTTGGCATTAACAAACTTTATGATACGGTTCACAAAGTTACCTAAGTTAGCAAGCAGTTCACTGTTGTTTCTAGCAACAAAGTCATCCCAGGAGAAATGGGAGTCACTCGATTCTGGTCTAACAGATGCCAGATAGTATCTCCAAACACTTGGGGAAATACCAGAATCTTGAGCATTGTTACCGAAAACACCGACACCTCTACTCTTAGAGAACTTACCGCCCTCGTACTGTAGGTATTCAGTGGTGTTCAAGTGATGCAACATAGTCCATTCATCGTTGGTACCAAGTTGAGAACCTGGGAAAACAACAGTATGGAAAGGAACATTATCTTTACCCATAAATTGGTAAAGTTTAACATCTTCAGGCTTCTTCCACCATTGTTCCCAGTTCTTTGTGTAATTAGCTGTAATGGAAACGTAACCAATAGTGGCATCAAACCAAACATACAACACTTTATCCTTGTACTTTTCTAATGGGACTGGAGTACCCCAGACTAAATCTCTTGTGATACAACGTGGTTTCAAACCATCCTTTAACCAAGAATTTGTAATAGTCTTCGAGTTCTTTGACCACTCTCCTTCAGTAGATGCTTTTTCAACCCATTTCTTGATCTCTGGTTCTAGCTTGTCCAAAGCCAAGAAAATGTGATCAGAAGTCTTTGGTTCTGGAATTGCATTATCCAATTTACAACGTGGGTTGATCAATTCAAATGGATCAAGCAAACCACCACACTTATCACATTGATCACCTCTGGCATCTTCGTAGTGACACTTTGGACATTCACCTTCAACGTATCTATCAGCCAAGAAAGAATTGTGTACTGGACAGTATAGTTGTTTCATAGATTCTTCACCTAAGTAACCATTTTTATCTAGCTTCAAGAAGATATCTTGAGCAATTTCGGTCTGCTGTTCAGTTGTAGTTCTACCGAAGTAGTCGAATCCAATTTGGAACCATTTGTAAACGTCGCTGTGGATCTTGTGATATTTGTCACAAAGTTCACGTGGAGAAACACCTTCTTCGATGGCTTTAGTCTCGGTAGCGGTACCGTATTCGTCGGTACCACAGATGAAAAGGGTGTTGTAGTTTCTAGATTTACAGTAACGGGCAAAGATATCTGCAGACAACACACTCCCAACAATGTTACCCAAGTGAGGAACGTTGTTAACATAAGGAAGAGCTGAGGTGATAAGAATGTTTCTTTCACCTTCTTTTGGCAAAATCTCAGAGCCTTGCTTACTAACTAAGTAGCCTTCTGCAATGTGCTTTTCACCAGTGTTCTTGAACTCGGAAGAAGAACGTGGAGTGTACTTTGTGGCGGTTTGAATAGCCTTCTTTAGTGCCTCTGGTAGATCATCCTTGAAAGCGTCATTAATCTGAGTTGGTCTCAGAGCATAAGCGTTCGCAAAGGAGATCAAGGTAACCGCGTCCAGCTTGGAGTCCTTGTCCAGCTTCAAATAGTTGTCGATCATCTTGTTCACCAACTCGGTGGCGTGCTCCTCACTGCTTTGTTGGTGGTAAAGGTAAGCCTCCACAGAGGACAATGCATAGTGGTATTGTTCAGAGTGGATGCCTTCAAAGTCATCAAGCGCGTATCTTAGTATAGCATTGGCATCACGCAAAACCAACTCGCCAGCCGTCAGCAAGGGTTCGCTTCTGTCCTCATTGATGCTCAGCTTCAAGCCCTTGGCTAGCTCAATAGCCAGCGCAATCTTCAAGTTGTTGGCCAACACAACTTTGGCATCACGGCCCTTCACTTTATCAAACGATACCTGGGAAGCCATATTCTTGTCACTCGTTAGATGCTCCTAAATAACAAGTACTATTTGTGTATATATATTTGTATTATTTTACTAAAAAGCTGATCTTGAAGTAGACGTCCGAACTACCCTGTCCCTACATCCTTACCAAACCCCCACCCAGGTCCGCTTAGTCAATTTGCAATCAGTCATCGAGCTAAAGCCCATCGCCACTATTGCGATCATTCAAACACCAAAGTCAAATTGTGAATTTTGTTTTTTTTTCAAATTTTTTTTTCACTGGAAACAATTTCACTAACAATTTCACTAACAAACACCCGCACAAAATCTAAGCTTTTTGTCAAATCCTGATGGAAGGGTTGCCAATTTTCTTGAATTTTTTCATTTTTTTTCACTTTTTTTTCAGAAAAAAATTTTCTGATTTTTTTCACTTTCAATGCAAGCAGAGAAGCGATGAAGGAACGGGGGCAGCTAAGGCCGCCCTTCAGTTGAACACGCTCGTCAGAGGGCACTTATCTTGGCACGTCCACGTCCACGTCGATCGAGGAATTGGGCTCTGGCTTAAATGTTACCCGGATCGTTCATTCTCTTGGGTGTTTCAGATTTTTCACTTTCTTGCGGGTAACAAATGTTGAACTTCTCGTCTATTTTTAGGGGATTTTCTGTTTGCATTTCTTGAATTCCAAATGAAAAATTAACTGGCTGCTCGCTGGTTGAAAGTGCCGTACAGTTCTTTAATGCTCATCGCAAGGACGGGCCCATCGCCTATATTAAAGTATCGGCAAGGATGCATAAGGTTTCTCGAATGATATAAGTTCTGGATGCTCTTTTATTTGTAGTGTATATTATCCTTGTAGCGTAAAAGTTTGGGGGCGGGTGCAAGAGACACATTTCTTTAATATTTAAAAAATTCATTTGGACTGATTGAGAGCATGACTTCAGAAGACGGTGTTAGCGGGGACTGGGATGCGACCCAGTACCACAAGCTGGTGGAAGGCGTGGATAGTTGCAGTGATACCTCGCCAATTAAGCAGGACGGTGTTGTATGCGGGCCGACTTTGAGACTCAAGTCGATTGACTACGAGAGGGATGTCTGGCTGGGGTCTATGCTGATTGTAGTTCGGGATGCCTTTGACCCTTCGTCGCCAAGAGCCCCAAAGGTCACATACGAGCTCGGTGGAGGCTCGCATTCAGGTGAGTTCCAAGGCAAGCTTTTCCACACCGATTACTTCGGTGACGACAATTCCAATAAGAGTGTGTTCCAGTTCTACAGGTACGACATTGAGCTCCCATTGGCCGACAATGAAGCCGAGTGTAAATACACAGTTGCCGACAAAGCTGAAGAACACTATAGGTTTTTCATCCCAGGGAGAAATCAGAACTGTAACTCTATCTCTTACTCTTGCAATGGGTTTTCCCTCTCAGTTGATACAACCAAGTTCAAGGGCTCGCTGTGGTACGATATTCTGCAAAAGCATGCTAATGTACACTACCATGTAATGCTTGGCGGTGGTGATCAGATTTACTCAGACTCTGTTAAAATTTATAGTGAACGTGTCAAGAAGTGGCTAGAGACTCATGACCCAGTGAAGAAATACACAATGAAAGCCGACGAATTCTTTGTCAAAGAAGTAGCAAACTTTTATTTGAAAGAGTACTTGGAATGGTACGGCTATGGACATTGGAAAGGAGCTACTGAAAAATCTAAGACCACTCAGCGCTGCTTTCCGATTGCAACAGCGACGATTCCATCGGTTAATATGTGGGATGACCATGACATTATCGATGGTTTCGGTTCTTATCCCGATCGATTTATGAGCACAAACGTGTTTAGTTCTTTGGGTAATATCGCCTACAAGTACTATATGCTCTTCCAGCATCATGTAAGTATTGAAGAAAAGCAAGCATACTTGGAAGACAAGCATTGGGTATTGAGTAAAGGAAAAGGTGCTTTCATTCAGCAACAATCTCACTCAGTATTCACTAGGCTAGGACCTTCAATTGGTTTGTTAGGATTAGACTGTAGAACTGAAAGAAAACTAAAGGCCATTCTTCCAAAGTCGACATATGATATTGCATTTGAGCGTATCACAAAAGAGCTTCAAGCCAAAAGGTTCGATCATTTGTATTTAATGTTAGGTGTCCCAATTGCGTATCCCAGGTTGGTTCTTTTGGAATATATTTTCTCTTCAAAGCTTTTGGCGCCAATAAAATATTTATCAAAAAAAGGTATTTTTGCGAAAGGTTTAGTTAATGAATTTAATGGTGATGTTGAATTGCTTGATGACTTGAACGATCATTGGTGTGCACACTATCACAAGAAGGAGAGAAATAATTTTATTGCGGCATTACAAGATTGGGGTGCCAAATACGGTGTTAGAATAACAATTTTATCTGGAGATGTGCATCTTGCCGCTGTTGGTAGATTCAGATCTAAATTGCACAGACACCATTTGATTACCTCAGAAGAAACCAAAAAGGAAAACGAGGAGATTCTTGATAGTGCGCAAGAAGATAATAGGCTGATGTTTAATGTTATCTCAAGTGCCGTTGTTAATACACCACCTCCGGATGGTATGGCAAAACTATTGCAAACCAAAAATCGTATTCATAAATTTGATTATGAAACTGATGAAGATTCGGTACCACTATTCAAAATGAATCCGGATCAAAAATCTAAAAGAGACGAAGATTGTTTCTTGAATGGAAGAAATTGGTCTGATTTAATACCAGTAGAAAATTTAATGAAAAACAAATATTTAGCAAATACATTTAAGGTTGAAAACGGAGACAAAGTTCTACCTGGTATGGTCAAAGAAGGGCTGGGTTTTGAAGTTAAAAATAAAAAGCCCAAATCGGATGAAAACCCATTGTATCCTGTAACACCAAATGGAATAATGGTAACTATTCATGTTGAGAAGGACCGTAAAAGCAATGCATCTGAGAGCACCATGTACAGTTTCCCTATTCCCGAATTGACAGTTAAAGGGGAGAAGTTGTCTCATAAGGGTGCAAAGCACTTAGTTGGGTTCCACTAACTGCACTTGTTTGTATTTAATAGGAGTTTAAAATCTCTGAGTTGAGTTAGGTGTTCTAGTAGTCTAATTTCTTCACCTAGCAAACTCAAAATATTTATTACTTTATAATTAATTATTAATATCAGATTCTATTTAGATATTTGTAACCGTCATAATACTATAGCTATTATCAATTGTTGCATAATTTCATTTGAAAAATGTGATCGAGCTAATTTCGTTGTTGAATCATGGGAAATTAGTTACGAGTGAGATATTGTTCATTAAGGTTCAATCTTACATATAGTCTATTATTTTGTGAAAGACTTTTTGTCAATTCTAGGTTACACAATAAAAAAGATGCATGTCTATATGATCGTAAATAGTTTTATCAATAATTTACAAGTTCGATATGATTGATTATTATCGATATTTGACTTCAAGTTATGATTCCAATTCCAACAGGTTCTAGTAGTTGCTTTCTATCATTTATTTATTAACTTTGTCATGGTTTTTCATTTAGTGGCATAAGGTAATGCATTCAGTAAATAGAAATTAGAAATTCATTTACCTCAATTTCATGTTATATTGAGCGTCTTCCCAACAATGTTAGAAACTCTTCTCTTGTTTTATGTGATCTGAAACACCCCATCATGCAGGATGTCATGGTAGATGAACCAGTTTTCTGCACACCTCTTGAGACCATACACATGTGACTGGCTTCAATCACCACAGCAACACCAAGTGGTTTCAGTATCTCACTCAAAGCCATTGCAATCTGTTTGGTTAATCTTTCCTGTACTTGTAATCTTCTTGCATACATCTCAGCAAGTCTGGCAAGTTTACTTAGACCGATGACTTTCTTGTTTGGGATGTAACCAATGTGTACTTTGCCAAAGAATGGAACTAAGTGGTGTTCACACAGAGAGTATATTTCAATGTCACGGACAATGACCATTTCGTCATGGTCTTCTTCGAATACAGCATTGTTGATCACATCGTCCATTATATTCGTTTGATAACCTTTGGTAAAGAAAAGCATGGCCTTGGCATACCTCTGTGGTGTGTCCAGTAAGCCTTCTCTGGTAACATCTTCACCCAATTCTTCAAGAATAACCTTCACCGCATCGGCAATTCTGCCAGTCCGTTGTTTCTCTTCTTCTTCGGTTTCATGTGCTCTAGTTCTAGCACCTTTACTTGGCCATGAAAGACCATCAGAGGCTACTGTTGGTATGCTTGTGTAAGGCGATGCTGGTCTTGTGTTCAATGGAGTTCCAGTTCTTTCCATGCTGCTTAATCTATGGTTTAAGGCTTGTTGCATTGCGAAACAAATATCAATTAAAAAAGGAAAATAGGAATATAATCACACCAAATAGCGATGCGAGCTGAATCAGAATGCAATATTAATGTAGCTCTGAAGTGCTTTTTTAGTATTTTAGAATTTATTAAATAGTTCAAGATGCCAATTACAAAGATGGCAGAAGCAACAGATATTGTTAAGCCTAAGATTAAGTGTATACACAATAATTTTTCAACTATTATACTGTCTGCTTCACTTTCAAAATTTTATTTCACATTTAATTTCAAACATTGCCAAATGGACATCATTCGCAAAAGTCCCCTAGAAGTCGTTGTGGATAGCTCTAATCCATACGATCGAAATCCCAGAAATTGTGACTAAACTGTGTTTAATTGGGATAACCGAACCCTCCTCCCAACGCTCAATTAGCAGCAGAAATGGTCCTACACATGAACATGCAACTCTGACAACACAATTGAGAAAAGACTTCGTCTGTTAGGTTTCATGTGATTTTTGCAGAAAACCCATTTCTTGTTTTATTGATGATGATGATGGATTGATGATGAATATCATCTATTCAAGTACCAAGGATATCAGTAGAAAGCCCGATGTCTTATAGAAAAACGAAGAGAGTGCTGTGCGTGGAGAGGAAATGCTTGGTAATTGGAGTGTCAGTGAATGTGCCTTTTAATATACACACTATAATGTGTTTGACATTAGATGACCTTCTAATTCTATAATCAAGGGACGATGATATCTAATGGTTAACTACCTATTGATGAAAAAGATTGTTAATAGTATACAAGATAACTCACAGATGTCCTTCGTATTCATATTTTTGATGTTCTGGTGATATCTTGTAGGTATGAAAGATGCGGCAAACCTTTAAATTGGTGATATTGCGTAAGCACAGCGGTCACCTGATATGGTGAATCGGAATTCCAAATAACTGTAGAGCTAGTATGTTGACTTATTACTTTATTGAATTGTTTTCTATTTGCCAATCAGGTGAGTTTGGTCCATTCAATTGTATATATCTATAATAGGGACGATTACATAAGTCGAGTTGCACTTCATTTCGAGAACTTCCAACCACTCCACTCGAAATTGGCGTAGCATCTGAATTCATTACTTAGACCGTTACCGTGTTCTGGGTAGAAATCTGTTATCTCGGTGTCAGGGTATGCTTTTTTTATAACTTGTGCCATTCTTTCACCGGTACAACTGATCAAACGATGTTTCAGTAGACCATCGCTCGTCTTTGAGCCATCCTTTGGAGCTAAAAGACTCTTGGCAGTCTGTGCTGATTTACTTTGGCAATCCTCGTTCAAGAAAGGTGGATCTATCAATAATCTGTCTACTTTGCCTTTCAGTTTGTCGTCAAAATCAAGTGGCTTGTTGTAATCATAGAAGAAGAAGTGGTCTTTTCCTGCTAGGAGCTCGAATCTTGTGTCATATTCGAATAAATAGATGTGTTTGGTAGGGATCTCGGAGTCGTCCCTCTTTTGGATTGCTGCATACACGGATGGTGCACTAACGATAGCGATAACCGTGGTGGCATCGGCTCCTTCTAACAGAGCATCGGCTAGTTTGTCTGCGGTGGAGTCGCTGTACCAGAATTGAGATAGCTGCCAGTCCTCCTTGAACAGGTTCATACCTTCTTGCTTCTTCTTCTTTTGGAAGTCAGCATCTGATTCATCGTATAGTTTTTGGAACTCTTGTTGGCGTTGTTGCTCCTCTTGTCTAAACTCTTGGAGAGCTAATAGGGCATTAGCGGATAGTGTTCTGAACGTACGTTTTCTCAATCTTCAAATCGATGCCGCAAGGACAGGATGCTCGACAGTAATTGTCGATACTGCTTGGTTTCTCGATGTAAATGAGTACACGGTTAGTAATTAGCTCTGGTGCTGTGCCTGGAGAATTCGGGCGCATCAGGAACGCATATGTACATACAGTTCTGTCTCAGAGTCTGAACCTGACATGGTCAATGGTGTGCTTGCTCTTTAGTTTTTAAGGGTTTTTGTACTTGATGTGTTGTAGTAGGGTGAGAACAAAGCTTATATGTGCAATCATATAGCCATCAGCCAATATGATCAGCATTTGCAAAAAAAAAAATTTGCGATGCGCTAGAGAGATTACGGAACTACGGTGTCAAAAGAAAATTGCCTTACAAGAGTAGAATGACGGAGTTGGTCTGAGGAGAGAGAGACTTTTGCAAGCTTCAGTAACAGCTAGCTGATCCGATTAGGTTTTGATAATTACATTAAGATATAGAAAATACACAGCAAATTTTTATGTACCCTACCCATCTCAAAAAGGGAATAGCTAGGTTTAGGTCTCTACTAAGTTAAGAGATAGCACTGCTACCAGTTCCTTACAGGTTAGTGAGGCATCAGAAAACTCTGGAATCTTTAAAGGTCTCTTTTTAAATCATTAATTGAATAGGTATTATAGTCTAAAGGTTTTTATGAACATACATGCGAACTAAAAAGGGAGCTTACAACTTTTGCATAGCAGCGATATCGGTGGATTGGACGTGGTCTTCGTCGTCTTCGATAGCTTGCTGTAGGTCATCCAAAGAAACCTTGGCGTCTTCAACAACACAGTTGATTTGCAACTTCTTGATACCGAAACCAATTGGGATAAATTGGTGAGCACCCCAGTTCAAACCGTCCATTTGGACAGCCTTGGTGTTGGCAAGCATTTCTTCCAAGTCGGTTTCGTCATCCCATGGCTTGACATCCAAGGTGACAATAGACTTAGCAGCTGGCTTTGGACCCTTAGCAGCCTTTCTCTTGTTGTATTCTTCCAATCTTTGAGCCTTCAACTTTTCAGCTTCTTCATCGACTTCGTCGTCAGAGCCAAACAAGTCGACGTCATCGTCGTCTTCTTCTTCAGCGGCAGCGGAAGCACCGGAAGCAGCTGGGAAGGAGTCGAATTCATCGGCCTTGGCAGCGATGTGGTTGAACCATCTAGAGAAGTTTGGGTAAGCGGTTCTGAAAGCCTTGTAAGCTTCAACATCAGCTTGAGTGGCAGAAGTACTGTACCAATAAAAAATTCCATTTTCTAAGTAGGTTTTTTATCATCCTGTTTTTCTTTTACCCCAGTATTAAATATTAAAAATACACTTCCTGAGGCAAAAGAAATTTTAAAAAAACCACATAGTAAATATTATTTTTCATTCTTGTTAGTAATTAAAATTCGAGAAAACTCTTGAGGAGCAGAAAGGGAAGTTTTAGACTTTCAAATTTATAACCCAGAATTTAGAAGGATCAGACACCGTGAAATCAATCACATCTCTTTTGTCACTCATACCGGGGGTCTTACTTCCCGTCATAAACACGGACCAAAGAATAAGTTCATCATAAAAAAAAACTAAACCAGGGATCTTATCAAAGTCTTTTTTTTTCCTCTTTCCATATCCATCTTCAATTGCAAATAAATTATCCTCCATACCCTTCAACGTAGGACTTTTCACCCAAAACAGTGTTCAATTCCTTGACAGTGTCAATCTTAGAGAAGTCAGTGAAAGCCATTGTATATGTGTGTGTTTTAGTGTGGGAATGTAATTTCAACCTTCCGTGAAATAAAATACAGAAATTGACCGACAAGTTAAGAGAAATGAAGAAAGACGTTGAAAGATTTAACCCATAACCTTTTATATTCCAAGAGATGGGGCAATCATAGAAATGAAAAAAAATTTTTCATTTTTCTTCGCGAAGTGAAAAGAAAAATTTTCTTCGTATGTAGGTATGGTCATCGCTTTTCACATGCACTTTCTTACATAGTGATCTTCTGCAACTTCTGTAAATGTGAAGAGGAGCAATAGAAGAGCCATTTATTGCTCTTCAGCTATTGCTCCTACATAAAGAACGATTTGACACTTCAGTAGATAGTGCAAGATTGGCGTAAGGGTACGGTAACTAGTTGCGAAGAATCACGATGTCTAACAGAGCTGTTCCGCAGGGGTACCTGGCGAACCTGCAGTTCCGGATACGGAGCGACAACTTGCCGCTGCTGAGCACGGTGCAGCCTTCGAGAGGGCACAAGCGTGGTGGGCGGGCTGTGAACTACGCGGAGTTCGACAACGAGTTGCTTGAAGATTTCTCGAACTTCCCGACGTTTGACATAGACAGCGATTCCAACGACGAGGAGCAGTCGAGTGCGTCCGCGGGCAATGATGATCCGCAGGCGAATGCCAACGGTGGGGAAGCCGCTGGCGTGAATGGCCAAGGTAGTGGAGATGGTGGAAGTGCGAACACAGGTGCTGGCAGGCATGGCAAGAGCCAATTGACCGCGGAAATGGAGAAAAACTATAAAACCGGGGTGCCTGATTTGAACGAGCAGAAGGACTCGCTCAACGTGCTCAGATACCAGAAGATCAGAGAGAGTTTCCAACACGGAAAGATAGCTGTGCCGTACAGGTTGTACGTGCCACCGGAACTGTCGACGGGGCAACAGGAAGCCATACTCATACCAATAACACTAAATGTGGAACACGGAAATAACACGATCTCCGATGCCTTTGTATGGAACGTGAATGACACTTCGATATCGGTTGAAGACTTTGTCACTACATATTGCAACGACTTGGGCTTGTACGGTAATGTATCCCTACACTCTCAAATAGTCTCATCCATCAACGAACAAATACAGGAATTGGAAAACGTAGCGTCATTGGTAATACCCGATCTGGAAGTTGTAGTGAACTTAACCTGCACTATTCAAGGTAAATTCTTTGAAGATTATTTCCAGTGGAACTTGAGCGATAAGAGTCTGTCACCAGAGAAATTTGCATTAATTATTGTAGCTGATTTGGGACTTGCTAGGGAATTCGCACCAGGGATAGCTCACTCCCTACATGAATATCTATTGCATGTAAAGAAGGAGTGGGCTGAGGGAAGTTTGCATCAAGACACTGTGCCAAATGAAGCAGCATTTGGTTACTTGGCAGGTGTACGGTTGAATATTGATGACCTCGGTGCCAAATGGGCACCGAAGGTGGAATACTTGACTCAAGAAGAAATCCAAAAGAGAGAAATCGAGAAGGAAAGAAATATGAGAAGATTGAAGAGAGAATCAGATAGAATGGGAGGTGGTGCGAGAAGAGGACGTCGAAGATTGGATGACCTGGAGTTGACAATGAAGATGTAATATTAGTATATAGACGCTTTTTCTATACTGTAATGAATAGCATAAAATGTGATTAATGATTACGTTTTAAATGGCATGCTCAGACTTCCTTTGCGAGAACGTAGGACATATGTTTGCATCTCTGCCGGTTAATATTTATATTTAGTCACGAAAAGCTGATTTTAGATACACAACGCCAAACAATATAATTGATTGTGAAACCCAAATCAACAATGCGTTTCAAGAAGAAGGAATAATAATAATTAAGACAGATAGCTTACAAAAGTTTCTATTGCTCTATAGCATATTAAGATAACTTGACAGCATAATGTCTTCAACAGATTTGATCATAGCACATTTCAATGAATTGAGATTTTCTGATGTTTTATCAATAGAGGACTTTAAAGAGATCATTATCCAAAGTAAGACTGTAGAAGTGCATGATGAGGATGTAAACAAATGGTACCAATCGTATCTCCGAGCTGAGCAAAAGAAATTGAAACTGTTTAGAGAGCGATTAAGGATATTTTTAGCTTCCATCCGTCAGCGTGAATTACAGAAGCTTGAGAAAGAACAACTATCTGAATCCTATAATTTAGAAGAGATAATATCATCACTTTATAAACTGAATGAAGTATTCGAAGGAATAGTCATGAACCAGAATGATGAACTACGACAGAAGCAGGCCGAGCTAGCTAACTTCAAAGATCATCTGGCAGCATCTTTGGATTCCTCTGACAGATCGATCCTTGACTCAATTAATTCGTCCATCGAAGCAATAGAGAAATACAGAAAGGCCTTGGATGAAGGCTCATGATAATATTCAATATTATTACAAGTCAAGTAAGTATACAAAAAAACTAACTATGCTAATGCCATAATTTGGATAGTAATATTTACTTGAAAAACAATTAGACTCGGAAATGCATGACTATTTACTGTATCAATAAAATGCGCTCTCAGTAGGTAGGACTAACTTAAAAGATTGAATGAAGATAAAATTATTTTGTTATCTGTTTTCCAGCTTCTATTTTATCTATCTGCTTCTTGATATCAAGTAAAGTAGCAATCTTTTTCAGAAGGGCTTCATATTCAGTAACGACCTCAAAAGTCGGCATAACTGGCCTAGCAGGTATACCAAGTTCTTGAGCTGTTGAGATAATTTTATTTTGAATGGCAGGTTTGAAAGTAGTTATCTTTGCAGAACGTAAGAATACCCCGGGGGACAATTTCTCGCCATGAGCGATTACACCCAAAGATTTTCTCTCGTCCATATTGAATATTTTTAGTAATTGCTCTGCGTATTCACTTTCACTTTTTCTCTTTAGAGCTGTTTGTAATTCAAGTTTCTGCCTCTTAGTTTTCTTAGGTGATTGTAAACCAGAAGGAATTGACCCCGCTGACGTTACATTCGTTGAGGTTTCTGTCGCAGTTACAGTTGTTGCAGGTCCTGGTGTTGCAGATGCATCATGCTTTTCCAGTTTCTTTTGTTGTAACTGCTGCATTTGCTGTCTTTGTTGAGCAAATTGGTGTTGTTGCTTCATCCAAGGATTTTCAGGCACGGCGCTATCAATTTTACGCTTTCTGGATTTATCTGCTAAAAGCGAGTTGTATAGTTGTGACATCCCATTTGAAGTAAGATATTGAGCAACGGAGATATCTGATTGTGGAGAATCTAATAGACGTAGCAGTGTCTCACGTTCTGCCAATGTCTTCTTTGCCGCCATTTCAAATTTCCTAGACTCAATAATAAGTGCTTCTTCCTCAGCAATCTCTGCTGCAGATCTAGCTAACAATCTCTCTAAATACTTTTTCCTTTGTGTTTCTTTGTCTTTAGAATAGTTTAATGATTGCAACATTGGATCATCTGGTTTCTTAGCTTTAAAGTAACATTTCGAGACCTCATAGAACTTAGATTTCAGATCTTCTAGAGTCCTATTGCTATTTTCATAATCATACCTATCTTGAATCACAAACCACCTTAAATCATATTTTTTACATAGATCAAACAGATACTTCACCTCGTTATATTCCCATTTTTCATTGTTCTTTTTATTGTCTGACGTCGATTTATTCTCATCCTGGGGCACACTTTCTTTTACCTTATCATTTGTATCCTCCTCTGTCATATTTACATCAGTAGAATCACCGTTAGCCTCTACCTTCTCGCCAATATTTTGCTTTTCATTCTCTTCGGCATTACTAGTGGGTATGAAGCTATTATATTCGTCCTCTGTAAACTCAGGTATCGTTAAATGAACATCATACTTTTTAAATTCAGATTCTTGTGGCTCCTCACCAATCAGTTCTCTTGATCCTTTTACCCAATGTTGCAATGTTAAATACTCATTAGCCTTGAAATTAGCTAAACTCCATGGAGTAGGCTTGGCATTAGACGCCAGCTTCTCTTTAAACCTATTCATTGATTGAACCACTACTGGCGCCTCATTCTCACCAAGTAAGTTGTAAAGTTCCCTTTGCATACCAGTCAGCTGTGGTTTAGAAGACTTACCCGAGGCAGGTACGCTTGGCGACGCAGCATTTGGACTGCTAGACTTCTGCTTGATGTTCAAGACATCAAAAATATCCGAGGAAGACATCGTGTTATTCACAATGTGGGTTGACTTTATTACTACTATTGAGCCTGATCAAGACAAACGTATACATCTATCTGTCTTTGTATATATACTATTGTTAGACTTGTAATTTTCAAAAAACATTGAAATTATAAAAGTTGAAAAAAAAGTTCAAATTTATAGCCTGAGGGCCTGTAGCATCGAGAATTCAGGCACATAAGCTGCTAGTATCAGTTAAAAGCGCAGTAACACCGTTGTTCAAATTGGTAAAATCACTGAGATCAAAGTGGCGTTGACTAAATTAATAAAATTGGGCATCTATACAAAAAACCAAGTCTAAAATCATGATCAATAGAAGAGTAGGTATTAGGATCCCAACTAAACTGAGTATTCCAAAGCAGGACTTCAGCCAGTCATGGGAAATATTAGAAAGTGCACTAAACCACATATATGCTGAGGATACGGAAAAACTGTCATTTGGAGATTTGTATAGGACAATTTATACACAAGTACTAAATCGTAATGGGGAAAAACTGTATTCGGCCTTCGAAGCCTATATGGCCAAGAAACTTGATGAGATAAGGGAATTGACGTTCACTGAGCATGTATTAAGCGATAATGATTCATTTCTGCTTGAAATGGGAGAGCTGTGGAAGAAACAATCTGATATTCTGAAAACGATCAGTGATCTTACGATATATATGGATAAAGTTTATTCAAAACCAAACAGAGTGCCAGAAATACACGAGTTAGGTCTACAAATATTCAAAAAGCATATATTAATGAAAATCAAGGATCAATTACTAAATAGTATACTTGCCGATATCAACTCTGTTCGTGATTGCCAAGAATTAGATCTTCAGAAGGCTCACTTATGGAAATTGCTTGTTTCTATGATGGAAACTATTACAGATACTAAGGATACATTTTACCTAAACTATTTTGAACCAAAATTCCTTAACGATACTGGACTATATTATAAGAAATCATTCACACCTACAGATAAATCTGCCACAGAGTGCCTGGAAAAGATTAGAGTTCTTCAATCATTTGAAATTGAAATGTGCGAGGACTATCTAAACAAAGATACCATATTAAAATTAAATCATGTGTTAGAAGAGGTTCTTTATAACCAGAAACTTAATATTCATGTCCCAGAACTAATCAAAATCTCGTTTGAACAAGACAATTATGAATTATTGGACCAAATATACACTGTTTCATTATCTGATGATTATAGGCTCCAGATTGTGAATGCAATTAAATCATACATGCTAAAACACTGTAACAACTCTGAACCGAAAGAAATTCCAAAGAAGAGGTACTTATATGCTATACAATGGACCGCAAGAGTTCTCGCAACATATAAAAAGTGTCATGAGTTCCTCTCCAATGTCAATTTTGGATCTGTAGTTGTCAGAAAAAGTGAAGCTGATAATGAAACAGAAACAAAAGCTTACAATTCAGCTGTAATCAGCAATGAAGTATTTTCTGAGTACTTGAATCAAGATGGTAAAAGATCATCGGAATTTGTGACGATTTACCTAGATTCATGTTTGAAACTGTCAATAGAGAAACAAAAATATAAACAAGTGAAACAGGATTTAGATGCCGCTGTAAAGCTGTTCAAGCTTCTGCAGGAAAAGGACATTTTTTCGCAATACTACCAACAGCAGCTGTCCAAGAGATTATTACAACAAAAGTCATCTCTAGACTTAGAGAGATGGTTAATAACTCAGATCAAAAGTGAAATGGGCTCATTATTTACATCAAAACTTGAAGGTATGCTAAGAGATGTAAATTCTTCCATCGAGCTATATAAGACTTTCCAAAATACTACAAAGGAAGCGGTTGCTGGATTTATGTTCAAGCCTCAGATTTTAACTCCCACATCTTGGCCATTTCAAGCTCCAGATCGCGTAGACCCAAACTTCAAGCTGCCTGAAACCTTACAGGGTATCCAGGATAGTTTCGAAACATTTTACACTAACAAATATAACCAAAGAATTTTGAAGTGGTCTCATCATTTAAGCTCAATTGAAGTGGGATATCAGTTTGCGAAGACCTATCATGAGATTCACTTGCCAATATATGCCGCATCAATATTCTTTTTGTTTGAAAATCATGACAGCTTAACCAAAGATGAGATACAGGATATGACAGGTTTACCCGACGTTGAGCTAGATAAACTGTTGCTATCCATGACTACCGCTCCCAGATCAAAGATACTTGTTAAATCACCACCTTCTAAGATAATCAACTCCACTGACACATTTGCAATAAACGAAGATTTTACTGCACCAACAACCAAAGTAAAATTACAAATGATAATAGGAGTTGTACAACCAAATAACGGTACAGGCGAACCAAACAAAGCATCAATAATGGACAATGTTGAAAGAGAGAGGCAAGAAGTGACAAATGCTGCCATCGTTAGGCTAATGAAAAGCGAAAGACATTTACAGTTCTCAGAATTACAGGAAAAGACTGCTGTGCAGCTTGCCCAAAGATTTACACTGTCACTGGCAACATTTAAGGCTTGTATAGAAACATTGATAGAGAAGGAATACATTCAGAGGGATGTGGATGACCATGAATTTCTCCACTACATTACCTAACTTAAGGCCTTGTCTGGGGAGTTTAAAAACTATACAGCATAATCACGATATATTTTTTATATAAGGAACTAACTAAATGACGCATTGATACAACTATCTAGCTATTTGACCACACACCATCACCATGTCTTCTTGTATAGCTCTTGAACCCATCAGATCAAATGCTTTTATTGCCAAAAAAGCCAAAATTTGAAAATTTCCCACTGAGAAGCCGAGATTTTAAGGAACAAATCAAGAGGTTCTTGTTCTTGGCTGTTTCGACCTTTTCCATCATATGATTTTATATAGTCTTGTCTCAAGATCGAAGACAACCTAAAACAGCTTTACTGCCAATTAGTAATCTTATTCAAACAAGTGCTCAAAGATATTGGAGTTTTTGTACTAGGAATAAATTCAATTATTAAACTTGTTTTTTTTTCCGATAAGTTACTGTGAATATACTTCTAGAGGATTTGATAAATCATAAATATTCAGAAGTGGAATTATACATAGACCAGTATAAATGGACCAACCGTCAACAAAGTCTAAAGTTTTGAGTGAGGAAGAGAAGGAGCGCATAAAAACCAATAAAGTTATCAAGAGTGTCCTAAAGAAAAGAGGAAAATGGAAGAGCAATGCATATTCAAACAATGAAGTAGAAGAAGATTATAATATTGTGTCATCGCCACTGTTGAATTCCACACCGCCAACAGTCTCAAAAGCATTGGTTAAGTTGTATCCTTATTTAATAGTTACAGACAAATTTTTGAGTATTGTAACTTGGACCAATGACAATCTGTGGCTAAATTTTCTTTCAGTACTTTCATATTTTGTGTTTGTGCTATACTTCCAATTTCTTGTTAAGTATTTTGGACATTTGTTGATCATTGGCATAATATGGTGTTATTCTCTTGTGGATAGTGCTGTTGAAGACACTATGATGTCTTGCCCTTCGCTAGATGATATCGTACACATAATGGTCCGTGTCTCCACTAAAGCCGATATTGTTCTTTCTCCACTTACAATACTTAACTCACAAGATATTCAACGTCTTCTATTTACCAGTGCATTCTTGTCACCTATTTACATACTGGTTACAAAGCTAATATTCTACCCAAGAACTCTAGTATTGTTTGCCGGGGTTTATGTGCTAACTTATCATTCAAGTTGGTCAAAAGCTTTTAGACGATCATTATGGAATTTCAGACTGATACGGTTGCTGATGTTCTATATTACCGGCTTAGATATGGGTGGCATTAATAAGCACTATACTATCTTTACATCAGTGAATGATCAGATAAAAAAGCTAACAGGACCTAAGAAAGCTGACGGATCATCAAATGAACCTATCAGGTTTACATATGTGCTGTACGAGAACCAACGCCGCTGGATAGGTATTGGATGGACTTCAAGCATGCTAAGTTATGAAAGGTCTGCATGGACAGATGAGTTTTTAAACGCGGCACCACCTATTACAGAATTCACATTACCTGAAGGTGATTCAGGCTTAGAATGGAAATGGATAGATAAAGAGTGGCGCTTAGACCTGACAAATGACGGCTCTATCCAATTACCTTCCTCAAAAATGAAGACTACAGCAAATCCATCAAGTGATGATGGGTTCATATATTCCGATAATACGTGGAAAAACCCTTCAACAGAGGACTCCTTTTCCAAGTATACACGTAGAAGAAGATGGATTAGAACAGCAGAGTTAATTGGTGCTAAGATAAATAGCAGATCAAATAGTGTAACAACTGTTCAGGAGATAAATTCAACAACGTCCACAGGAATTGATAATCATGATATCCAATCACCGGCAGATGATGCTGAATCAACAACCATGAAAAGAAAAGTCAGTTTTAGTGATGTTAGAAAGATAAGAATTATCAATGATCAGAATGAAGAAGTAAAAGATGTAACAGAAAAAGAGAACATCAACATACAGTTAACTAGTCCGACGCTCGAAAAGAAGGTTAGCACTGACCAAGATCCAAGAGAAATATTAATTGAAAGCAACAAAAAGATAGAATAGTTCATATACTTAGTCTAGGAGTTTTATGTAGTAATATTTGCTTAATATCATATGACACGCATTGTTTCCGTCACTGAACATGCATTTGTAGTTTTTTATATGTCAATAATTATATAGGCGTCTCAACATTTTTTATAGTAATTTAAAAGCTAAGGTAAAGTTTCGATCTAGACAATGTCTTCCATTTCAATTTCTTCTTCACCCATCTCATTTTCATTTTCCGAGTTACCTTCTTTTCCTTCTGTTGGTTGGTCATCATCGGCAAGTTCACCTAATGTAGCCTTTCTTTCTTCTTCCTTTAGCTTCTTATATTCAGGTCTTAATGTGTACTTGAAAGCATAAGGACCCTTTTTCACCAGAGTAGCAACTTTATCCAGACACTCCTTCAAATGAGCTTCCGGTTGTCTTGTACGTTCTTTTAGACCTTTCAAAGACCAATAATCATATTCATCAAACAACTTGAATAAGTAATCCAAAATTTCTTTCTTTGGCATACGAATAGATTTGATGTTATTCTTGGCCTTTTCACGACCAACTTTCAAGAAATTAGAGTTATCTGATCTCATGGACATACCAGTGTGTGACATGGTGACACCAACAGTTTCATCCAAGGTAACAATCTTCTCTTTATTAGAGTTCTTGACAATGTTTCGCCTTTGTTCAACAATTTTATGGTAGTTAGGGTCATTCATAGATGGCATAACTTGACATTCATGACAAACAGTACCAACAATTGAGGTCTTCTTAGGGATGGTTTTCACATAGGGGATATATCTGTCACGCCCATCTCTATCAGTCATGACTCTGTGGTTAAATCTCTTCCTTTGGTTTCTTCTCTTCTGTTGTTGTTGTTTCTTCTTTAACTCTTCTTCTCTTTCTTGTTTCTTCAGATAAGCTTGCCTTTGCTTCTCAGGGTCAGCAGCAAGTTCTTTCTCCCTTTGCTGATACTTCTTCAAGTTCTGCTCGGTAAAAACATACTCGTTCTCCACAATCTTCTTGGTCAGTTCAAGGTCGTACTCATGCGGAATAGCATCATTGTCGTTTTCATCCAGCATTAGCTTGATCTTGGAACCGTCCTGGTTTATTTTAATCTTACCCAACTGTTGCCCATGCAGGTTATTTCTGTCTCTCCATCTCTCTGCCAGGAACATGGGCAGTCTCACCAACCACACTTGTCTCTTACTCTTACTCAGGTCTAGATCTAGAGACTCCTCATACACCTTAGTCTCATTATTTTCAATATCGTTACCATCAAACACTTCCTCCTCCTGGGACAAATATTCATCACCGGAATCGTTATTGGAAGCAGCAGTTGCCAAAGTGGGCCCAGCTGCAGGCGTAGCTCTTTGGGACATCTCCTTTTGATTGCTTCTTATAGTACTGCTCAGATGTATGAACTGAGCTCCTCGGTATAGTTGTACTCTCACCACTTTTATCAGTCCCTGTAGCCACTCTTTTTTTTTGGCACTTTTGAGTTTCAGTTTTTTCTTGGGCAAGAAGCTTACCGAGAGCGATGATGTCCCCTTCGATGAGCACACTAAGAAATAGCATAAGAAAAGATCTGGCTAAGTTGTAACGGTTTCGCTCTAATTGAAACATACTAGTGCAGAAAACGTTAGTACACAAGTTATACAAACTGCTAATTGCAAGGATGGCTACTGAGAAACCGAGAGACGAACGAATCCAAGCGGTGATTGAAGAAGAGCAGAAGGTTGACACTACTATTGATCCGCAGGAGATCGGTAAGCCCAATGGGGCCCAGCTGCTGTCTTTGAAATGCAACCTGTATCTGCACAAGCTGCTTGACACATGGGCCTTGGAACAAGAGGAGGGTGGCAATGACATTTTGAAAGACACCAAGCGTGGGATATACCCGCTACTTGTTTCGCTGAGAAAAGCCAGACTACCGAGCGACCAATTGGTCTCGCTAGCCACTGTGCTATACCACTTACAGCAGTACGAAAGTACCAGAGACAAAGTGCACATGCAGAGGAGTCTCGAGTCCTACATGAAACTGAGTCTCGGCAACGTTGCGTGGCCCATTGGAGTCACACAAGTGGGTATCCATGAGCGTAAGATACAGCGGCAAGACGCCAGAAATAACACCGCAACTGCGGGGATAGTGGCCAACGTCATGACAGATGAACAGACCAGGCTATGGATCACTAACGTCAAGAGACTGCTAACTCACATGGAACAGAGGAAATGAGAGCTGAGACAAAGCCCGTCAAAATGATAAGTCGGTAATTCCACACTTATAAAGCCATTAAGGACCCAGCAAATAAGGATGTGTACAGCAGTAAGAAGAAAGTACCCGTCAACATATCCACATAGGTGGTTGAAACCCAAAATAATGTATCTAATATTAACCACGTGACTCTTCTATTTCTGGATAGCAAGTGCTGTTCTGATGGCCATTTTGTGCAGTTGCTACGACACTTTCTGTGTACAAATTGGTTTGTTTGATCTCTTTTAGAGTTTTCCACGTTACGCCATTTCAGAAAGCAGTGAAAGAAGGTAGAGAGAATGAGTGAGCGAGTGAGGAAGAAGATTTTCTGACTGTAAATCCTCGCAGGGAGTGTGGATGGGAGGGCCCAAGCTAAGCTGTATTGCAGTACCAAAAATCGAAAAATTAGTGTTGATTGACAAATAACAATGAGCAACACTGGAATATTTCTAGAGTCTTTGGTGCTTGTGGTTGCTTTTGATGGCTGCTGATAAGCTAGGCGAGATAGAGAGGTAGAAATGACTGTGCATTTGTGGGAAGAGAAAGTTTGGATAGACGGGTGCTTTGATTTCACGCATCACGGACACGCTGGTGTGTTCTTGCAAGCTCGGCAAACCATCGACCCTGAGGTTAGCGGTGGCAACGACGCGCTGATCTGCGGTATCCACAGCGATGAGGACATACGCGTCAACAAGGGTTGTTTGCCGGTGATGCAGGAGCGGGAGCGGTACGAGCATGCGCGGGCGAACAGGTGGTGCGACCAGGTCATAGAAGGTGCTCCCTACGTGACGCATCCAGACGTGATGAACAAGTACGGATGCATGTATGTGGTGCATGGGGATGACATTACTTTGGACAAAGACGGCAACGACTGCTACCAGGAGATGAAGGACTGCGGCAGGTACAAGTGTGTGAAGCGTACCGCTGGTGTGAGCACGAGTGACATAATCCAGCGGATCCTTACTGGGTCGCGTGACCACCACTCGCGTCCCGATGAAGTTGTGACTCTGGAGGAGCTGACCAAGTACAGTTACGACCGTGACGGGTACGGCCCAGGCTGCACTGTGTATAGAGAAACCCTGGACAATATAGTGGTACGGGGCAAGACCGTACCCGAGCGTCTAGTGATAGTGGAGGGCAATTTTGACCTATTCCACATTGGCCACATCAGTAAGTTCAAGAAGATCAGAGCTGATCATCCGGATAGGCATGTTATTGTGAGTGTGCGTACGAACGAAGACGATATCATGACGCTAAAGGAGAAAGCACTCAGTATCCTGAGCTGCAAGTACATCGACGGCGTGGTGCTTGATTTAGACATGGGCACTCTTGCCACCGACATCGTCACCATCCAGATCGACGATATAGATGGCGGTGAATTCGACTACTTAACCAAGGAAACCATAGTGAACAGGATAATATCGCAAAGAGATGAGTATGTATCGCGGAATAAACGCAAGGGTTTCTAAACGTTCTGACCGAGGAGAAGCCAGTTAGTGCGAAATGGATTTATAGAACTTATCTAACACAGTTTACATAATAAATTCACAGTATAAATAACGATTACATTATAAACAAAAGGTCCCCCCCTTCTTTTGAAGATTAGAGGAGAAAATAACTGTATTTTTTGTGATGATTTCATGAAACTCATTATAGTACGTAACAATGCTATTTAAAAACATTTAAAGAAGTGATAGCGTAAAGTGAAAAGATATAATTAGAAATAAAAATGAAGGGGAGAAAGTATGGCCAAGTGAATTTAGGCGCAAACTTATCCGATGCATGTTAAAAAGCCGTTAAAAAGGAAAACTAGTGGAATCGGAGAGCTGGTCTATTACAACTCACGGTTCTGGACCTTACCCAACTTATGTTCGTTTTGCTGGTTGTTGGATCCGCGTCTTTGCTTGTTGAAGATAGGTGGGATTTCGCCGGCGTCTATCAAGTCGTTAATCTCGTCGCCTGGCTTACCCCAGTTACCCTTACCGGAACCTTCTCTCTTGACACTGTTTGGAGACTCACCGAAGTTACCATTGCGAGTAAAGTAACGAGCGTTAGCCTTAGCTTCGTGAACAGTCCATTTGTTAGTTCTAGTCATTATTGTAATTATTCGATTTGTTGTTGTGTGTGTGTTTGATATGTATCTAAAATATTTTGATGGTATCTTTTATGTGAGAATTAGAGATCCAATTGAGTTCATTATGAAATAATGCCCACTATTTATATAATTTTTTTTTGACTAGCCTTGAGCAGTAGAGGGGGGGATCAGTCCCCCCCTGGAGGAAGAGAGAAGATCAATAGCGCTGAAGGGGCGCAGTGCAGAAGCAGAAGGAAACTTCGAGAAGCCACTGTGTAGAGACTATGTGTGGCGAGGATAGTGATGGGCTGTGGGGGGGGGGGGAAGGGGCTGGCAGCGTCATCTCAACTTGAATAGATAGGGCTTCACTCCAATCTGTCGCAGTGTACTGCCAGGAAGGGGGGGAATAAGGGAGGTGGGAGAACTAGGTGGTGTTAGGATGGTTTACGCGGCTAATTGAGTCATTTTGATTTCGAGTTGTGTTCCAAGACCAAGACCAAGACCTTGAATCTGAGGCTGGTGCGGGGAAGAAGGGGGATCCGGGGAAAGGGGAGGGCAAATGCCGGAAGCCGAGGGAAATCTTGAGGGAAATCTTGAGGGAAATCCTGTAAGAAAGTCTAGTAGACAACTGGGTGTGTGGATATTTGAAAGGGAAGCTGCGTGGAAGTCTGTGTGTGTGTTTGTGTGTGTAAGAAAGAGAAAGTGAGAGAGAGAGAAAACTAGCAGGTCCTTTTCTTTATTTTTGCTTCGATGTTACAGCCACGCCTGCTTACGAGCTGCCCAATTTGTTGAACAGCACTGCCCCGCTCCTCCCCATTGTTACTACGAGAGATTTAAGATAGAAAAAGAGGGGAGCACTGTGGGACCACATAATGGAGGGGGATGGTACCCCTAAAAACTGTTGAAGTGAAACCACTGTAACGAGAGAGGTGCGCCACTGGAACTGTCTGTGGCCATCCCTCACAAATGTGGCTGAGTTTAGAAAGAGACAAAATGACGCTACTTTGTGTGTGTGTGAACATCCCCAAGATATCTCTATACGGTTGAACTTGGATAATGATAGAGAGACAGCCCTAGTAGAATGAACCAAGACGATGTAGAGTTTCCAGTAAACAGTCGGGGGGACGGGGACCATCTTGTGCTTCCTTCCAGCCAAGGTGGAAATGACGTAGAAGAGAATTCTATTCCCCCAATCCCTCAATCAGCAGACAACCAGAGTAGAAACCTGAATGGGGGGGGGGGACTGACAATGCTGGATGAAAACAACCGGATTTTTGTTTTCTTTCAAAACCAAAATAGAGAGAACTCTTTGAGACAAGTGTCCTTTGAGACGACAATATCATACACTCTTGATAGTTATAGACGAGGTATAGTCACATGTGTTGAAATTGGTGGGGGGAGAAGTGTTGTATGGTTTCACGAAACACGTGTAAGTCGTATTGATAAATCAGCAATCATTAGAAATCACGTGTCTTAACAACCTAGTGGTAAATCGAGCCTTTGGCTACACCACGGCTCTAATTTCAGCAGATGAGCTCAGAGCTGAGGTAGCCTTTAATAATAATCACTAGAAGTAGAATTTGCGATTGAGCTGAAAGTGCCAAAGGTTAATAATTCATTTGCAATACCAGATCCCAACACAGGTCTACAAAAAAATAGTGAATTTGTCTCAACTTTAAAATACCTGAGATGGACTCCAAATGGGGAAGAGTGATAGGTGGTGTGGTGCTCAGTTGTGGTGCATTGTATACAGCTTATACTGTGATACAAAGGCGGTATGAGACGGAGGCCAAAGTGTACGATGGTATGCAGGAGCTTATAGGAAACACACCTATGGTTAAACTGAAATCACTATGTGACACAGACAGAAACATTAATGTGTACGCCAAGCTAGAGATGAATAACCCAGGTGGAAGCGCAAAGGATAGAATAGCACTAAACATCATTCAGGTGGCCGAGGCTGAAGGCAGACTCGTTCGTGGAGAACCTGGCATGGTATTTGAAGGTACCAGTGGCTCCACGGGTATATCTTTAGCCATGATCTGTAATGCCCTAGGATACAAAGCACATATATCGTTACCTGATGATACCTCTTTGGAAAAATTGAACCTTCTGAAGAGCTTAGGTGCCATAATAAACCCTGTAAAACCTGCATCGATTGTGGATCCCGATCAATATGTTAACGCAGCAAAGAAAGCTTGCGATGATTATCTGGAGTCAGGAAAGACCAAATATGCAATCTTTAGCGATCAATTCGAAAATGAGCACAATTGGGAGATACATTATAGAACCACTGGACCAGAAATATATAAACAGCTCAAAGGGAAAGTTAACTGCTTCATTTCTGGATGCGGTACCGGCGGTACTATAAGCGGAGTCTCAAAATACTTGAAGGAAAGAATAAGACCATATGTTGTACTCGCTGATCCTCAAGGTTCAGGCTTCTACAACAGGATTAATTATGGTGTAATGTATGATAGTGTCGAGAAGGAAGGTACCAGAAGAAGACACCAAGTTGATACCATAGTCGAAGGAATTGGTTTGAACAGATTGACATTTAATTTCTTGAAAGGTGAAAAATACATAGATGAATCTATCAGAGTTACCGATCCTCAAGCTATAAAGATGGCAAAATTTTTATCTATTAATGAAGGTTTATTCATCGGTAGCAGTACTGCAATCAATGCTGTAGCTGCATTAGAACTCATCAGGAGAAATGACCAAGCTATTTTACCAAATGACTCTAATATTGTTATTATTGCATGTGACAGTGGATCAAGACATTTAAGCAAGTTTTGGAAAGAGGCACTTCAAGTTCCTGACACTGTTACTTTGAATGAGATATTAGCATCTAAATAAGAATATGTTTCATAAGTTTATAGATCAAATAACGTATTCAAGATGATATATTTACACACATCTTTCAAATCATTAAAATCAAGAATTGAAAACAAACATTCCAGAAATATGATTTTTTCGTATGTCCATGATAAGACCGGGGAACTCATCACTTGTACCAAAGTGGAAAAATCTCAAAAAATCAAGCTCATCTACTTCATTTGAAATAAAAACATTGCAATCCTTTCAAAAGACCTGTGAATAATACAACTGTACTCTGACGCTAAAGGATAAGAACCAGCTTCAAAAGAACAGCATGCTAGAAGATGCTTTGGTTCCTGATGATAAACTAATTTATGTCTCTCCCGAGAATCTTTATTACTGCTATGCGAACGATACTATAGACCAAGATGACAAATGGACGAGTATACAACCACAGCAAGGATACATACCCATTTTAAGTGCAAACTTGAGGGCTTATAAGATAGAATTACTCAAAAAACTCAGATTCAGTGGTCAAAATAACGTTTCACCTTCAATTAAGAAAGAGAAGAAAAATTTGGAACCAAATAAAAAGATAACAACGAAGCCCACTGAAAGTACAGGCTCGAAAAAGTATTTGATACCAGAGCAGTTCATTCCCGATAGCCTAGAAAAGCAATTGAGGACCTTGACAGTCATTCTAAAGGATGCTTTATATCTGGGCAAGAACAATAGATTTATTAAGGAAAATGAGGTGGTGAGTGACGATACGAGACTGCTTATCCTTGATGAGTTTCTAAAGCTCATTATTCCTAACTACATTGATTCGCTAGCAAATTGGACTCTTGTAGATTTAAACAAAGGAACCGATGATGAAAGTCTTCTGTATTTGCGTTTCAATGAATCAGGGACTCAGAGTATGATTAGTTTTTATAAGAAGCATTCAAAGATGGCTAAATACATGGAGATTCATTACGATACGAACACTGAAAAATATATTAATGACAATTTTAAGGATGATGGCGATGAAGATAACGTTGAAGCTGAACAATCCCATTCTGTTGGCGAGATCTTGAAGTCAATGGAAACAGCATTTGAGAAAGCACGTTCACAAGTCGGAACATTCAAAGGTGACATCAATGATGATCAGGATGATAAGATCAACTATAAAATAGACTACAATACATTGCTGGATATTCCTAGCGACTCCCTGGAACAACTAACTAAAGAGATATTAAATTTCAGAACAAAAGTTATCGATATTGAGAAGCAAAAGCAACTTCGGCAACAATATGAAGATAACGAACGTCGCCAAAAGCATATGACTCAACTATTCGAGAAACTGCGAAAGGGAACGAAAAGCAATGATTCTAACAGAAATATGGATATTGAATCCACGGACACCATTAATGATAGTGACAGCGAGGAAGATGATGACGAGGAAGATGAGGATGACCTTGCTATAGAGAAACGTAAGGAGGAGAAACGGAAAGAGGAAGAGGCACGCAAGTATCGAGCTTTGTTGAAGGACTATGAGACCACAATTGAGCCACACTTGCATTTACTATCTCAACAATATAAGCAGAATCTAGAATATGAGAAAGAGCTGGCCGCAAACCGTGAAGCGAATGTAAAGGACCTTCTTCGTCAAGCCAATGATATCTACTATGATAAGGATAGGTCTTTCAAGGACAGAGAAGAACAAGAGGACAAACTGGATAGAGAGAAATATGGAGATATAATAATAGAAGATATTGTAATTGATGATGACCGTAAAGGACAAAAGAAGTTGCTTGAGAAGGACAAAAAGGTTAAGAAGGCCGGCGAGCCTGCTATTAAGATTAATTTGGCATTCAAGAAAGCTATGGATAATTCTATACAGGACAAACGGGACAAAGCGGAAGATATCGAACCTGTTTCTCAGCCTATCGAAGCTCGAAGCACCAACAGATATGCAGCACTTAAAGAGAAACGTGTTGTGGATGAGCTAGTAAAAGAGTTACTTGGTGTATACGAGGATGACGTTGTTGCATATGTGTTTGAGATACTTGAGAAGCCAGAGATGTCCGACGAGAAGAAACAGAGTGAACTTGTAACTGAGATGGAGGACCTATTTGATAAAGAAGGTGCTGTACAATTTGCAGAACAGGTGTTCAAAGCTCTAGATGAAGCGTAAAAGTGGCACTGTGCCATACCTACAAGCACAATGACCAGTGTTTTTTTATTCGGTTTGAAAAATATATAGCTTCCATAATGGTAGAGCTTTAGCAGTTTTTGGCTTCTCCTATGCCAGTACCGAAAATCAAAAACCATAATGTATAGATAGGATAATTGATCTATATAGCGTTAATTTATTTATAGCGGCATCTTGTAGAGTTCATCGGCAAACAATGGATAGAACACTTTCTCATCTCCTTCCCCCCCACACGTCTGGTTTAACGAGGTACTGAACGGTAGGGACAACCTTATGCTAAATTAGGCACCAGTAACTATAGAATTGCCCTAGCCTTAGCAGCACTCATGTCCCAATTGGGCATACAGTTCAATACACTATGGACCCCAACTGGAAGTCATAGAGACCTTTATGGGTGTCTCTATTGGGAACCCAAAGAAATCTATAAATAGATGTGAAGCAAATGAGTTGTAGACCCCTCGGACCGAATTGGTAACTGTAGCACTCAGAAGAGAAGCAGGGATGCAGATGTGGGAAGAGGCTATGACACAATGATCAACTCATCTATCATCAAGTATAATTTTGTGATGTCCGAACTAGGAAATCACTTCCTCAATTGGCAAATCCAATAAAAGTGGATAGCGGAAAGGGGGAGGAAACGTCTGCATGCACTTATACCCCCGAACACATTTATTTTTAGATTGGGATTGACAGCCCCGGTAAGAGTGAGTAGGCTGCAATAATCACACAAACAATCGCACAAACCATGGGACCCTACTCATGAACATTAATTACACAGCAACGCTAAACACTCTCTGCCGTCCTTTTAGCTGCTCCCACAAGTAACAGCACAGTAAACAGATGAGCTGAGACACACACACACACTGCACGCAGAACTAGTGCATGTAGTGGTCAAGAAACAAAAAGGAAAACCAGGTCCAAGTCTACACTACCGGGAGTCTAGAGACAAGTGCGGAGAAAACAAAGAGCTAGACAAATTTCAACGGCAGCAGATCAAATCTAGATCTCGGGTGCATCACCTTCGCCAGTTTTCTCAGCTCACTACCTGGGGGCCCTTGCAGTTGTCACCCCAGACATAAGCCCGAGTGGAAAAACAAAAGAATGCGCAGAAGCTATAAATATCTGCACAAAATTCCGTACGGTAACTTCCTTGCAAACAGTGATGCAATATCGAAACAATCTCAACGAAAACGAACCTGCGCTGTTTCTTACCCCACTGCCATTCTAAGAACGCGAAAAATTGGCACTTCCCTTTATTCCACTTGTTCTACTAAGAAATACCCAACGCCTTCTGCACTTTCTCTCTCCCCATTGTATTGCTTTTTCTACACTCTTTTATTACCACTTTGAGGTAAAAACGGTTTCTCAACGGGTCTTCTCAGCGCAAGACATTACCATATCAAATTTGCTGAAGTAGCACTATCAAAATTCCGGAGCACTTTAGCAAAGTAACAGAAAAGAAACAGAAGAGAAACGCCTGCGTGAGGGACGAGATCTGAAGGAACGATAGAAACTTCGCTGCATCTCCACCCAATGTCCTTTCCTCTCTTGCTCCTCTCTTCTCCCCACCTCATTCTCTGTAGCCTTCCCTGTTTTGGTTTTTTCCCTGATCTGGTAATAGAAGCCAGAGGGAAGCAGCGAATTCTCTTCCACACACTGAAACATTCGCACACCAAAAACACAAATAGAAGTGGTATCACACAAGACAAGATCGGATGCTCCAACATGAAACATCGCAGCCGCGTCTCGAGTCTCAAAGAGTACACAGAGTACAGGCCACAGGCTTCCGCTACACAGGCTTCTCAGACAAGACATTCACAAGCGAAAAAGGTAAACACCTGGCCCACTGAAACTTTAACAGAGAAGTTGAAGCATAGTGTAACCCGAACAAAGGGACCCAAACCAAAGAGGACCCTTTGACCACTTTGCAACTAACAAACGTACGCAGCTGAGACGCCAAAATAGAAACTGACAAGGTCCCCAACCCAACAGCATTTGTTTTTGTCAAAATAGTAGAAATTCTCGAAAAAACAAAAAATCAACAAGCAGAAACTAACATTAATGGAAAACTACCTTGCCCTTTGGAGTGTCTCACATCGCAACATGATCCTTTTCGAGGTATATCCCAATTGGGCATCCTCTGTAGGAGCCAATGGCCCATTCCTCTACCCAAGAAGTTTGATCCACATCAATGGTTCGAACTCAAATCATATATATACAGAAGACATGGCTTTCCGAATTATTAAAGTAGAATATATACATAACCATATTTTTTTTGCTCTGTATTTAATTTTGAAGGACATTAGCAATCAGGTTATTGGTGCCCGATAAATATTTGTATTGTAGTTGCAGGTAGGACTACACTAAATGAAAGCTGCCCTTCATTCTTTTCCCAAACACAGTTGCCAACGTTTCTTCTTACAAATAAGAAGATAATAGATAAGCAAACGAAAGCAGCCAACAATTCTATCTATTTCACGCCCTCTGCACTATTGCGCGTTTGAGAAAGAAAAAAAATAAATATGAAGACGGCGGTACTTTTGTCGCTACTTAGTGCTGCGCTTGCTGCTCCCGTGGCCAATAGATTTGACGACGCTATTAACAATTACCAGAATAATGCTGATTTGGGTTTAGCGAGTAACAGCACAAACTCTGATAATGCTAATGCTAATGCGAACGCGAATGCCAACTCTGGAAACATAGATGTCGATGCCAACAAAGTGAGCTCATATCTCAACTCGATAGCATCCAAAGCCTTTGTTACTACGAAGTCGAGCAAGAGTAACGACTATGACGACACATACAATAGCAAATTCAGCACTATAGATTTATCATCCAGTAAGAGCTCGGATAAAAATGATTTCGATTGGTTGAGCTCATCTGTAGTTCAATCTACTCCAAGCATATCTTCAATATATTCCTCCAATGCATATGATACCCAAATTCCATCACAAGTAGTTTCATCAAATGATTTCCAGCTAAATTCTGAAATTGTTTCCAGTGTTCCATCAGCTGAACAAATATCCTCTGATACAATTTCAAGTGTTCCATCAGCGGAACAAATATCCTCTGATACAATTTCAAGTGTACCATCAGCGGAACAAATTCCCTCTAATGTCATTAGTGTACCATCAAGTATCGATAGCTCTTTCTCAGTCACCCCACTATCCAGTAGCTCTTCTAGCTCAGAAGAGCCTACACAATACCCTATATCGAGTTCCATATCTTCTCAAATTGAGCAGAGCTCGGTTATACCTTCTCCTGTTGAAAGTGTGTCATCACAAATTGAGAGTGATTCATCATCATCAATTTCTGATTATCTTTCCAGTTCTACACCAACCCCCATTCCATCTCCACCCGCTGAGTCCACAGAGCGCTCAGAACTGGAATCTTCAATCTCTATATCCATCCCACCAATTGTTCCACCTACTACAAGTTCTGAAATTGTCTCCTCTTTGGAACCATCTTCAGTACCTTTCCAATCATCCTCAGAGGATAATACCTCAACTTATATAAGCTCTCAAGCTCAGGTTGTGCCATCCTCAGTAGAGTCTATTGAGCCATCATCAGTACCTAGTGAGGTTCCAATATCTACAACAACAACCTCGTCTCCATCACAAATATCATCTGAGTACTTATCACCAACTCCAAGTATTTTCGAAAGCCCAATTTCTCAAGAAAGTACTATTAGTTCTGGTAGCTCTTTTGTGGAAAGCGTCATATCGTCTGAGCTTCCAAAACCTCCACAACCGATCATCTCATCCGATACTAGCACTGAAAGTAGTATTCTACCACAACCTTCCCCTAGCAGTGTAGAATCAAACACAATAAGTTTCCCATCTTCAGCAGTTGTTACAACAACTCCACAACCTCCACCAGTAGTAGAATCTAGCGAATCACCACTAGCATCATCTTCATCTTCCTCACAAATTATAGTAAGCAGCGTTGATGTGCCCCCTTCAGCTTCAGTTCCTGTTGCAAGTTCTATCCCTTCTGTTTCAGTATCTAGTGACCCAGTTGCACCATCTAGCGTCATTCCAGTTGATATACCTTCCTCGTCTTCATCTTCTCCACCATATGTTACACCTTCACCCTCAACCATAATATCAGTTCCCTCTCCATTGCCTATAGATTCATCAGATACCATTACATCTTCCCAGATCATTCCAAGTCCTGAAGTACCTTCTCCATCGTCTGCCATCCCTTCCAGCTCCGTAAGCCAACCTCCTATTGAGATACCATCCTCATCCTCTGAGTCATCCAGCTCCTCTACTTCAAGTAATTCCAATGCTTGGATTCCCACCAGTCTCATCATTGCACCAACTGAAACTGAAAGTGAGAGTACACCAACTGAATCTAACGATGGCACACAGTTAAGCTCCTTACCTAAAGTAATTTATGGTAGCGCATACTCAGAATCTGTTCCAGAAGGTTACTCTGTCATAACCATTGGTTTCAAGAAACCATTAAATTATCCATTTGTGGTGTCAGAATCCAAGTCCTCTGCGCAGATCATGTATTATCTACCAAAGTTACTAAATGCAAACTTTGAGAGTATATTTTCAGATATCAAGACAGTTCAATTAATGCCATTAGAAATTCAAGATAGCGGCTACTTGAGTACCGTTGCTCTTTTATTTTTCCCAACTAGCGAAATCCAATCTCTTTCCAATATGGTGAAGAACACGTCCAGTAGTTTATACAGCACACAGTATGAAACTATTACACAATCACTTTCTGCTTTAATTGATCCAAGAATACCTGTTACAGGGTTAACGGACACTAAAACAAACAATGCAGGATCATCATCTTCATCAAGCTCTAACAGCAATGGCCGTTCATCAAATAGCAATCAGGACACTGAGCATTCCTCTAGTTTTGGAAACATAAATAGCGGATCACTTGATTACATACCTAGCTCCAAGTCTGCCTCTAGTGATGGCACACAATCCAAGACTAAGAAACGGATAATACCAATTATTGTTGGTACGATTGCTGGAGGTATGGCTGTCATAATAATGCTCTTCCTATTCTTCAGATACCATGCCATGAAAAGGAGAGAACAGTTGAATCAAGAGAGATTAGCAAGGTTAAACTTTGAAAGAGCTAGTTCCTGCTCTGATGATTCGATTGAAAGGTATAATAATGAAAAACAACAGTACTCCGATGATGTATCATCTCTGTCTCCTTCGATGAAAATCAATAAATGGATGAATGATAATCACAATGTAGAACACTCGACAACTACTACTGACGTAAACGGTAGTAAAAAAATCATTAAGATTTCTATGCCAATTGCAACTCAGAATTCTCTGGGATGGAATGATATTTAAGGAAAATCCTTTATATGTAATATTATTTAGCTTATAGGCTGCTAGCCAATGAGTCTAATCAAATTTAAATAATCCGAAATTTGAATATATTGTGTTATATTAATTCTTCTATCTATATTATTTTTATTGGACCCTCTTATTATTAGACAAGAATTTTATAATAGCTTCTGTAGATTCCTTGGGATAATCCATTAAAATGGTGTGGCCACAGTCAAACTCCAGTACTGAAGACTGTGGATATTGCGTTTTCAAAAGGGAATAGTCATTCTTAATGAAACTCGAATGTAGGCCTTTCATGAAAAGCGTAGGAAGTTGGGATTTGGTATGATACATCATTGGGTTCAAACTTGTAGCGCTTGGCCATTTCTTTATCTCGGCAATAATGTCTGGCATATATTCTAATGGTACTGCATACTGCAAGTAATCATTTTCAAGTCCAGAAGAACTTTCGTTATTAGGCTTGTATGTTAGAAAACCATTAGCAAAATAAAGTGCCACATTGTTTCCATTTGGATTGCATTTATTCACAGGCAGCTCCCTAAACATCGTCAGTATATCAGTTTTCCATGATGGGCATGAACGTCGGACTTTGATCTCCCTCTTGACAATCTTTTCTAATAGTTCAAAATTCTGCATGAACATATCATCTACTTTATCTAACTCATAAGGTGGCAGATCAATAGATATGCACTTCTTAACATTTATTTGTCTTGATAAAGAGCTTAGTAGGGCAACCTTCCCACCCAATGAAAATCCGATTAGATAGATAGGTCTACCAGGCTGTTCCCGATATATGTTATCTCTGATCATTTGAATGATATCTTTACTCAAGGTCAGATAGTCATATGGTTGTGCTCTAGGAGAATTACCATGATTTCTCAAATCCACATTATATATGTCGGTTTCAAATGTCTTCATCAGTGGCCTATTCAAAGAATGAAACATAATATGGGAACCAAACAAACCATGTAGGTTAATAATAGCTGGTTTTTCCTTCCATGGAGCAGGTGTAGCACGCCGTATTCTTGGTTTGGTATGATGGAAGGCTAAAGGAACGACATCTCGGAGTTCTAAACCCTTCTTGTGCAAGCTTTTATGCATATTCTCTTCTAATAAATCCAAAGCTGTAACAGTCTTAAGAAATTAAACGGTTAACAAATTCTTCTGAATGTTTATCAACATAGTTGTCTTTATTTAATAAACGGCCAGAATTCTAATACAATTAGTTCCGAGCAGTCGACTAGCTATTTTTTTCACTACAATAATCATCTCATTTTTGAACTTACTCAGGATAAAGGGCGAAAGACAAACAAAATCTGAGGCAAATAGTTTGCTAAAAGCGTGAAATTATACTGATATATTCTGCTGTTAATAATAATTAGCTTACTCAGGAGGGAGCTATCAATTCTGATTTCAAAGTAAAAAAAAATTTCAAGAAACATAGGTTCGAGTAATGGAAAATGTCAAGAATTAGACGATTTAATAGGAAGGTTCTTGGATATGAGACTGATTTAATGACAGAGTTTGATTCATTGGGAGGATCTGATGGCATAATAATTCCCGAAGGCCCCATTGATATTATTGAACAAGAGGAACTGATAGAGAAATTTGAAGTGAATTTGCTTGTTAAGAACCGATGGTATATCAATGCAGTTAGCCTTGCTTACATTATATGCGCGGGTGTTTATCTGATGCTTCTAACAAAGAGAACAAAGATGTCTTCAATACCGCTAATATTAGGATTTAACTCGATAATACTGTCATTTTTGGCATTAAGGTACCACCTTGTAAATGACTATGTCCTGCTTAGATCACTCAAATTAAAATTAACCAATCGCACTATAGACATACTAAATATCACACAGCTCATTATGATAGAGTGGATAGTAATTGACGACTACAGATCAGACACATTGATATTGGTATTTTTGCATCTACCTGTTTTGCTATTCTTAGTGCAAGCATTAATTAAGTTGTTACTCAGTGAAATAGACAGTGATTTGTCACAACTGCGAGACTTGAAATACAATTATAAAAACGCATAAGAACTAAGTAGAACATTCACATATGAAGAAGGCATCCTCATGTTCTATTAGTATAAGTTATAGAACTTCAAGAAATATCACATTATGCATACATGTAAAATTATAGACTGTTTAAGTTCATGGAATATATCATACATTCAATACAGTGTAGTATTGTTTATCGTTATAGACGCAATAGTACACTATCAAATTAAAAAAAATTAATGGTTGCTAAGAGATTCGAACTCTTGCATCTTACGATACCTGAGTGCTCCTGAGTTTGTTAACCCAGTAAGTAATGTTTCAACTTGAATCAGGCGCCTTAGACCGCTCGGCCAAACAACCATACTGTATTTGTTGAAAGGGTAATCAGGATTGAGGTATAAGAAGTACCTAAATTTTCATCAGAAATCATACGGAGCTATTCTTATTACTGCGATACCAAGTTACTCCATGAACATACAACAGTATGCTGCAATGCAAGTAACCTTTATTTATTTGTTGTGTATATCGTCAACAGATCTTGATATGCCAATTGGCAGTCATACGCACATGCACGATATATTATTATCTGTCACTACCAACAATATTCGTGACAACTGTTCTAACATTCCTGTAATAATGCAAATGCGGACCCTAGATGATATATTAAAAGAGTTCACATTATATTATAATTTATGTGTATAATCATTGACTTGTTTCCGGATCATTAATTAAAATAACAAAACTGAATTCCAAGACAATCACTTAATATGCTTGCGTTGAGGACATCTGTTGGCTTGACGAAGAATTTGTTTACAAGAAGACTACATATTTCGCCGGTTCTTTTGAAGAAGAAGCCATCACATAAGGGGAAGGGAGGTCCTGTAGAGGATGAAGAGATTGATATTGTGAATCCTTCCATTTATGTAGATGAACTTGTATCAAAATTTGATAAATCTTTGGAGTTATATAGCAAAGAGCTTACAGATAAGAGGAAAGGTAGCGTCAATGCAAATATCTTTGATAATCTGAGTCTGAAGAATGGCGCGCTATTTAAAGAGATGGCTTCAACAACATTAAAGGGCAAGGGCTCTTTACTTGTGACTGTTTTCGATCCTAATGAAGTGAAAAACATCGTAAGTGCTATTTTAGCATCTGGACAAAACTTAAATCCAGAAAGAGTGCCTACAAATAATCAACAATTGAAGATTCCTTTACCTCCACCGACGGCTGAATCTAGACAAAATCTTTGTAAAGAATTAAAGACAGTGTTTGAGAAATATAAACAGTCACCCTCAAAAAACTCTTTAGGCCACATAAGAAATGAAGTAATGAAGAAACTCAAAAGTTTACAAAAAAAGGATGAGTCGGTAAAGAAGATTATTCAAAACGTTGAAAAGGTACATAAAGATTATGTTACAAAATTGAGTGAGCAATTGAAGCAGGCTGAAAAATCTGTTATGGGTCAATAGTAATCAAGTCTAAAATATCTATATTCTATATGCTGTAAATAAAACTGTCATCCAGAAGTCGACAAATGAACTTCTAACATTAAGAACAAAAGATGATCTATTCCTGCTTATTATCAGTAATATATAATTATATATGTACAGACAAAATATTTGTATATTTAGTTGGCATTCTTCGCCAACGACACCAAAGCTTTAATTCTTTGCCAAGTAGTCATAGCATATGACCCAGTGATGAAGCTCTTAACAAATCTCCATGCCTTGTCATTGCTTTGAATAGGATAGTCCAAAGGCTTGGGAATTTGTGTTGATATAAAAGGCAATGTGTCGAAGCACACACTTTTAGCATTGCATAATCCCAAAAGACCTTCTTCACCACCAAATTTACCATAACCAGAACCGTTGATACCACCAAATGGTAGTTGACAGACATAAAAGGTAGCGAAGTCATTTATGGCAACATTACCAGTTTTCAGTTTATTTGCAACAAAATTGCACTCAGAATAATCGCTACCAAATACAGAGCCACCTAAACCGAATGGAGCGGCATTTGCCAACTCAATACAGTTGCTAGTATCTTTTGCTTTCATCATGACTAGTACAGGACCAAAGACTTCATTTTGGGCAATATCCATGTCAGGTGTAACATCAACCAAGAGCGTTGGCTGGAAATAATGGCCTTGTGGATATTTTGGGTGATTATATTGGGATCCACCATATAAAAGTCTGGCACCTTTAGAAACTGCATCTTGGATGAGAGCCTCTAATGTCTTAAATCTATTGTCAGAAATCATAGCTCCCATGTCAACAACTTCCAAATGATCAATGTCAGAACCCTGACGCAAAGGTGTTTCTTTCATACGCTTTTCTAGTATGTTTACCAGCTGATCATAGTTCTTTTCACTTACAATTACTCTCTCAATACCAATACAGTTTTGACCAGAAGATTGGAATGTACCTCTCAATATGATGGAAGATAATGCATCAAGATCTTTAACTGAATCAAGAACAATGAATGCGTCTTTACCTCCCAACTCTACAACAACCGGTGTCAAAGACTTAGATGCACAGTTTAGAATGTGAGAAGCAACTGATTGACTGCCAATAAATGTGATATGCTTAATCCCTGGGTGAGATGTAAAGTGATTAGCTGCATCATCATCCTTTGTAGGTGGCAAACAGTAGCATAATTGAACAATATTGGAATCGACGTCACAAACATCTAAGCACTTTCTAACCATTTCAATAAAAAATTCAGATGACCAGACAACTTGTTCAGAACATTTCACAATAATAGCATTACCAGTGAAGATGGAAGCAATTATTGGACCCATTAGGTTATGGAATGGATAGTTCCAGGATACAATAGAGCTAATGACGCCAAGTGGTTCGTAACGGACTTCAGCGCCTTTGTAGAATTTCATAAAAAAGTTTGTTGGTCCTGGACGTCTTGATGGTTCCAAAGTGCTAGGTCCATGTTTCAAGATCCATTGAATTTTTTCCAAAGTTACCAAAATCTCACCCATTGATGCATCTAACATTGTCTTACCAGAATCACGACAAGCTACTTTAGCTATTAAATCTTGGTTTTCTAAAATGAACTTTTGAAGAGTAGCTAGCACTTCGAGTCTCTTAGCAATTGATGATTCAGCCCATTTCATTTGAGCAGCGTTAGCATTGCCTACCAATTCATCGATCTCATCAGCGGTCATAGACTTGAATTCCCCCAAGTATTGACCAGTTGCTGGACAATAACTTTGGATATGTCTTGGCTTACTGTCATCAACCAATTTTGGAGGATTCAATCGCTTACCTTTCCAATTGGGCTGCACTTCTTCTGGTGTAGACACATTAAACTTCCTAGCCTTGTATTTGTATCCCGAAGAGCATAACAGCAGCTTGTACCCAACATATAATGTGAAAATGGTAGCTACCATTGAGGTTCCCATAACGATGCGAGGGTCTGCTACCACATCCTCATTGATTATGGACTGGTTGCGCAGAATGTCCCTAACGTACTCTTGAATAGTATGGTTGAGCTTTTGGACCATATCGCTATTCAAGTATATATTGTCTTGCATGACTCCTAAGGGTTAAAAAATGGAAAATAAAGAGCACCCGCTAAGATATAGAATGCCAGCTATAATTCTAGTTATAACCGACTTTTAAAAAGGACTTATATACTTTCCCAACCTAAATCAATTGAGTAAGCTGTGTAAGAGAATATCTCAAATTGTTTTCTACCTCGTTTGTGATAATTATGAAATCTGCTTCATTATTTTCTTAGCTTTTTCGTTTAACTAAATTAACCAGAATACTGATTAAAGTAAAGGCAGAAACCAAAGAAAAAATTAAAATAAAATAAAATATCCTGTAAGCACCGATATTTGCATCCTTCGAATGTATTACTTGTAGATATATATTTCGCACTAAATTTACCAACATTCGTAGAGTTAAAATTACATAAATTCAGTTTGAAGACAGTTTCCAAACTGCTCTGCTGCCACCAAAAAAGTGGAACTTTTATGAAGTTTCCATGGTTTGACGCAACCAGGCGATGCTATATAGTTTGTTCCGATCAATTCAATGAGGTCAAATTGAAATAACAAAGTAATGGTATAACCATTTTTATTTTTTGTTCAGAGTTAATTGTTGTACAAGAATTTTCCTATTTTTATTTGAGTTAGTCTATCTAGTTATAGTTTTAGATAGACATTCAGTTGGCATTGATGTGGACTTCCGTGGTTGGTTTTGTAACTGCTTCTAGCAGCAAATCCACAACCTGTTTCTTCTTCGATTCGACGGTCTTCTTAATCTCGTCAAGTTCAGATTGGACCTCGGCATCGGCTTTCTTCTCGAGTTCTTGTACACCACCTGCGTTGTTACTCTCGAAATCCTTCAATTCTTGTTCCTTCTTTGCTTTGTAGTTCTCTATCTCTTTGGAAGCATCAAGCTTGGCTTGCTTGATCTTTTCTTGTCTATATTTTCTAGCCTCTGTTACTATTTCATGGGCTTCCTTTTCAGCCTTCAGAAGCGTGGCGATACCGTTCTTTTGTGACTGTTGATAACCATTTAAAATCCTCAGCTCTCTCTCTCTCTCGCTTTCATTTAATGCATAGACATAACAACATACTAATAGTAGATATATAGGGGTTTTATAGAGTACACTTAAGAGTGCCACACCCCCCTTCTCACTTCTAGACTACACAGTCGCGGTTATCACAAAAGTCCTTGCTTGTTAACATTGAAAGATAAGAGATTTCATATCCAGATTTAAGTTGATGTTAGTATATCCAATTCTTGGACTATCTCAATACTATCTGTCTTAACTAGCTGCCATGCTCTTGTTACGGAATTGGGCTTTCAAGGTTTCCCCCTTATGGATAATCTCAAAGACTGTTCCGCAGCGCACAGCAAACAGCATCAAACAATTCATTGATATACATGTCTTGCACATACCATGATCTCTCTAGTTAGTATTTAGTTGGCTTCTATATATGAGGTCCCTCCAATCTAGCTTTGTTCATCGATTACTGTTCTGACTGTTAGCTACTTCTATCCTTTTCTAATCTTCCTGCCTTTTCCAACTGACTTCCCGGCTTTGTTCAAAATCCCACAGAAGAGCGAGACAATGGGTCTCTGAAAAATTTAAACATCTTCCAACTTGTGCAATACGATGCGATGCGATGAGTTAAGTTTAATGGTTAGCTTTCGAGAAGAGATACGTACATCTGGTAGCTATAAACCTTACGAAAGAGAACTGTATAAGGTAGTCGGACTCAAACTGGATACAGGAAACATTAGTAGCAAAAATTAGGTTTCAAAACAGATGGGATTGTGTGAAGTTTGCAATGTGGAAGAGTTTAAATATAAGTGCCCAAGGTGTTTTAAGAAGACTTGTTCGTTAGCATGTAGTAAGCAGCACAAAGCAGATGAAAGCTGTAGTGGAAAAAGTCACGATCCCACAGCATATATACCTAGAACCGATATCAAGGAAGCCGATGATGAGAATCATGAGAGTAATATATTAGTTCAGAGAGATTATAATTACTTGATCAATATGCGGCGTGAGGTTGAAGTTCAAATTGATGATAGCAAAAGGAAGAATAAAAGAATACTGAGAGAGATTTACGATCCTTACATGGCCAATAAGCGTCAAAGAGGGAACTCAGACAATAGCAGTAGATTGATCCGAAGGGGTGTTTCTTGTTTAATGCTTCCAAAAGGTATGCAAAGATCGCTACAGAATAAGAGTAAATGGGATAATTCATTAAACCAATTTACCTGGACCATTGAATGGGTCTTATGTGGAGACGGTGACACGGTGACACATTTGACACATCGAGCTAAGGAAAACGAAAGCGTGGTGGAGGGTATCAGTAAAATAGTCTTTAATAAGATACAAACTTTCTACAAAATCGAAAACGGAGATGGGGATGAAACTCAAGCTGTACTATCTAGAGAAGACAGAATCGCTTTGATCAAGGATTATAATCTTGAGTTCTATATCAAATGGTTCCCTTACAACTCAACGGAAATGTCTGATTCTCGCAACCTTATAAGGATTGATGCAGTCAATTCAACATTAGGTGATGTCTTCAAAAACAGAACAGTTATTGAGTTCCCAACCATATATATCACAAAGAGTGCGCAAGAATTGCCTAAAGGTTTCAAAGTTATGATAGAAGAGAAGGGATCCGCCCCCGGGGCGGAGGAAAATTCAAGGGTGAATGTTGCAGGGTCAGGTTCATCTTCTGATACTGAAACGGATGATAGTGATGCTGAGCCAGAAGAAGAGAGCTCAAAGCAAGATAATACCCAGAATAAAAATGTAGTCGTAGAGAATGTGAGCGAAGCAACTGCTACTGTTGATAAGGACACATCTGATGAAGAAGATGATGATTACAATCCAGGAGTGTCGCTTGATTTTCTAATGAGTTGATTTTTGATATTATTCATATATTCATATAATTTATAGATTTGCACTTACAAATTTTATCAGCATTACGTTTAGTTTCTAGACATATGATAACTCTTATTTTATATTAACCGCTCATCGATGTTTCAAAGATTTGCGTACAACATTTGTTTAAATTCAAGTGCCAATTATATAGTCGAAAAGTTATATTAGTAACGTTTTGAATTGAAATCAATGTACACAGACAGGCCTATATATATATATCAAGGATAAAAATATATAGTCTAATTTTGGTTTTGATATAGGTGCTATAGTTCATGCAAGAGAGCACTAACTAAAAGAGAATTTATGGTTTTTTATATTATTGAAATGACAATTGGTTTGAGTACTTGCGATGCTCTATATTGCTTGTGAAAAGAATTAAAAAGATAAATAAACACTAGTTAATGAAGAGTTGGAAAGTGTTTATAAACCTTGTTGAGCTCTTCTTCTGTCACGTTCTTCAGCAATGGTCAACTTGATACCCTTACCCTTTGGCAAGGAGATGTATGGCTTACCTTGTTCACCGATAACGAAAACGTTGTTCAATCTGGTGACGAAAGTGTTGTCCAAGGAGTCCTTGACGTGAACCAAGTCGAAACCACCATCGTGTCTTTCCTTGTGAACGATGGTACCGATACGACCCAAGTTACGACCACCGGTGATGTAGACCAACTTACCAATGTCGAACTTGATGTAGTCAGTGATCTTACCGGAAGCCAAGTCGACCTTGACGGTGTCATTGACCTTGATGTTTGGGTCTGGGTATCTGATAGTTCTACCATCGTCAGTGACAACGTATGGAACACCCTTCTTACCCAATTGGACCTTCTTGACCTTACCCAACTTGTAGGAAGCTTCTTCGTCAGTGATACGGTGGACAGCGAATCTACCCTTGACGTCGTAGACCAATCTGAAGTTTTCGTTGGTAGCTTCCAAGGTGATAACATCCATGAAACCAGCTGGGTAGGTAGCGTCAGTTCTGACCTTACCGTCAACCTTAACATGACGTTGCATCATGATAGCCTTAACTTCACGACCGTTCAAAGCGTACTTTAATCTGTTTCTCAAGAAAACGATCAATGGTAGGGATTCACGCAACTTGTGTGGACCAGCGGATGGTCTTGGGGCGTAACAGCCGGACAACTTGTCCAACAACCAGTGGTGTGGAGCTGCTAATCTCTTTAGATGCTTCTTTCTGTTGGTATTGAGATTATGGAAAACTCATTTCTGGTCAATTTAGCTATCAAGTAAAAGATAGTTAAGATGATCATGAGTAAACAATAAAGTATAATGTTAGTAAACGATTCATTGGAAGTTATTCTTACTGTATTTGTTATTAGCGATGCGCATTTGTATCTGGTATATTTGTGGTACAACTTTTTTCATGGTCATCCATCACAGGAAAGAAAAATTTTGTATTTACACTCAATAGGAAAATTCAACTGTGTCATAACTCATAGTATTTCATTCGTCTATATCAATCGTTGGCTTGGTAATACTTATGACTTATCGGTACAGCATCAATTTTAGTTCATAACATAATACTTTGCACAGCTGAAGGGAGTTATCTTTGTAAGTTTCATTGGTTGATAATCTAAATATTTTAAAATTTCTTGATTTGCAGTATGACACATTAATTGTTATCTAATTTCAGTTAAGCTACTGGTCAAAGCGCCTTTTTAATAGTATAGCTCATCCTCTAAAACAAACAGTATTAATCTATAGCATTCGTTGGTTTATAACATACGGTCCTCTAGCCATCTTTACTTCAACGTTGGTGTTCTTCGGTGGTGTTACAAAAGAAGTATTATAATTAACACTAACTTGAGATATATACTTAACTTTTAATTGCAAGTGGAACTTATTTCAAGATTTTTTTATTCAGAAACTTACTAGTTTCCCCCATCGTACTGTGATCCTAGCGTTTTACTTTTCCAATCATCTCTGGGGTCCTTGCGTCGTCAAAGGTTTTTCGCAATTCCCACACTGGCATTACCCCGGCACACGGGCAAAGCAGAACTCACCTGTCGCGCTAGGTAACTCCAACCCACCAGAGACAGGAAGCACTAGGCTGGCAGGAGCTGGCATGCTGCCCACACGAAGAGGCCAGCTAGAAGGAATTCTCATTGGTGGAAGGAGGAGGGTAAAGAGGAATCCCCGTTGCATCGAGGGCCTCAGAGAGAAATGAAACTCGGTCTATTTACAAGTGCAGCATCCACAAGGGAAGTAGACTACAGGCCAAAGCAAAACGAAAAAGGATGAGTTAGGCAGAAGTGGCAACAACACAGAAGGGTGAACCTAAGCAGCCCAAAGGGTAGGGACTGGAAGTTGGGGACTACTTAGGCAGACACAATCTACTACACCCCCCCACTGGCAAAAGGAGAAACCCTACTGGAACCACACTTGCAAGAACATCACTGGCTAGACCAGACTACAATCAAAGAGAGTAGGCAGAGAGTGACGGAGCAATACCTTTTCCTCCAATGTTTCACCTCTTACTGAAAAGTTGGTGTAGAGCGGTTTACACACACAACTGAATTTGCACCCACAACCAGCTGAAGAGACCGCAAACAAAACAGAGCCAGAGGCGTACGAAACAGCGGGTTTGTTGTGCAGCTACAATATCCTCAAGTCCTCCCTCCAGGTTCTAGTGCAAACTACAAGTAGAAAATAAAAACTAAAGAAAAAAGCTACAAAATAAATCTGATGTATGGGTGTTCATGTTTGAAAAAATCGTCACAAAACTTCACCAATTGTAACAACTCACGAATATGTAGGCGTGCCGTCCTAAACTTGTCAGCCTCGCTCTTCCACTTTAATCGTGATCAATCGGATCGAGTATGTCAACCCAATCCGTGGTAGTTTTGATTTTTGTTAAGAGGTTCAATTTCAAAGAAGAAGGGGTTGTGGTGCGGAATAAGTAAGAGAAGAGGGCAAGAGGAGATCACAGAAGTGCGTTTTCATTTTGAGCCTTCCATAAGTGTGTACTGCTAGGTAGAGACAGGGCCCTTTTTTTTACTTGTTAAGCTAGTTATAGTTAATAAATTGCTACAGCTTATTAAATCTTACTTCATTGGGTATAACTTACATTTCAAAGAACTTGTTTAGTACAGGATGTTTAAAGCTTTCCACAACAATGATCAATTGTAATGCTAGAATTATTTTCTTCTTTCTCAGGAGGATGTATAATCACTTTTATATATTGTGTCATTGTTTTATCGTTACTTGAAGTGCTGATGGGATGTCATAGGCCATTATCTGGCCTGTGGTATATCTTTCAAAGTAGTTTGTCCCCTGTTTGTAGTAAGTTCATCTTGCATACTATGGCATTCGTACCTTGAGCAATCGTGATAAGAGTGAGGGCCTATAGCAATGCTCCAGAGCATTCATTCGAATCGCAGTTCTACAAATATGTAGCACATATGGGCATTTTCTCGCACTTAGAATTGCCGATCCTTTTGCAAATCATCCGACCCTGCGACAATTCTTACTCATGAATCGGTGAAAAAAAATGCAAGAAAGCTGGTGAATTTGTCTGGAAAAAAAATCGAATTTGGCAAGGAATATTAAAGGGCCTAACAAATGACTGTTATATATTGGTTGCTATTTCCTACCATTGGTCATTGAGCTAATATTACTTTCAATCTTGATGATTCTTTTGAAGAAATCCAATAATCACTTGTTATCCAAATAAATTGTCATACATGCTATGCTGATCACTGTCTTATGGCTATGCACATTGTGTGTAGTACTGGCGAGACCGGAATTAAATTATAAAGAGCGGACTTTTACCAAATGGGAATTGGATGAATACAAAGCGGAAGTCAAAGAGTTAATTTATTTTGGACTGGATGAGTATTTAGGCAAAGGGTTTCCTTACGACGAAATAAGGCCAATAAGTTGCAAACCAAAGACAAGGAATTTTAAGGACCTTTATGATACTGGAACCAATGATGTGTTAGGAAATTTCACAACGACTCTAATAGACTCTTTGACCACAGTGGCAGTTCTTGGTGATAGAGACAGGTTTAAGTCCTTAGTCGATTTAGTTGACTCAACTTACCCAAATGGATTTGATATGGATTCTACTGTTCAAGTCTTTGAAACAACAATTAGAATAATAGGTGGTTTACTCTCAAGTCACTTGTACGCAACAGACCCAAGTAAGAAGGTATATTTGGGCAAAAAAGATTATAATGGTTGCCTTCTGAAATTGGCAAAAGACATGGGAGATAGATTATTGCCGTCTTACTTAACCAAGACAGGTTTGCCAGTTCCAAGAATAAATTTGAAATACAAATTTCATGGAATAACACCAGACTTAGTCAACGAAAACAATGCTGCAGCTCTAAGTTGTCCTATGTTTGAGTTTACATTACTTTCCTATTTAACACATGACGCTAAGTATGAAGAGATCACGAAGTATGCTTTCAAAAAAACATGGGATTTAAGGTCCGAAATAGGCTTAGTACCGATGTCTTTCAATCCCCAATATTCGTATTCATTTGGAGGCGTAACTGGTATAGGTGCCTCAATTGATTCGTTTTATGAATACGCACTGAAAGGTTCAATCCTATTTGATGATAATTATCTTCTTGATGTTTGGCATAGTTCATACGATGCAATAAGAACTCACGCCAAGGAAGATTGGTATTTTAATACAATCGGAACGAGAGACGGCCATAAAGCCACCAATTGGGTGGATTCCTTGAGTGCTTTTTTCCCCGGATTGCAAGTTCTGGCTGGAAACATTGAGGACTCGGTTTACCAGCATATGCTGTTTTTGAAATTATGGGATACTTTTGGTGGTATTCCTGAAAGATGGATGATGGATGGAATATATAGTTTTAGACCGCTAGAACTGCCCTGGTATCCACTGCGTCCAGAGTTTGTTGAATCCACTTATTTCTTATATAGAGCCACCAAGGATCCTTTTTATCTAAATGTTGGATATCGAATCCTCCAAGATTTCAAATTTAGATTTAAGAAAGAGTGTGGATTTGGTGGTATGCAGGATTTAATTAGTGGTGAGCCACAAGATAGAATGGAGACATTTGTTTTGAGTGAAACACTAAAGTACTTATACTTATTATTTGATGAAGAAAATGAAATACATGCCGATAGAGGTAATATCATTTTTAGTACAGAGGCCCATCCGATGTGGATTACCTATGAAATGAAAAGAGACTATAATGAAAAGAAGTTCTTCACTGATAAAACCTATTTGGAACACTTAGAAGAGGTTCAACTTTTTGATTGGGATAAAAAACTGAGGGATAATAACGAAAAGAATAAGGAATTGTTGAACAAATATGCAGATGTATTGAAAAGAATTAACAAGTTTAGAAATAAAACCAAAGAGGAACTTTCTGGCCTGATGAAAGAAAAAAAGGAAGAACTGGAAGAGAATGGCATAGTTGAGTCTCACAACGCTGAAATTGGACATAGTCAATTTAAGGACGTGTGTAAGGTAAGCAAATATCGTCAAAATGATGCTGGGTTTTCATTTTCTAATATCATGTCATCATTTAAAAGAATATCAGAGCCGGAGAGGATATTCAACACAACACTCATAAAGCCTAATTATCTAGATGATTATGCACCATTTGAGTTTGATAAACAGTTCTACGATAGGTGGTGTCCACGCAATGCATCATCATCTCTTGCTGCTACAACATTACCATTTGATATTGTTTTAGAACTTCCAGGACAATATGAATTATATCAATACCCAAATGGGACTGTTAATGCGATGAAGCTTGGAAACAAAAGGAAGTTACGTCTTGAAAGAATAACTCGTGGCGATATTGACGTGTATGGAGAATTTGTTAGCGATGCAGATTTCTCTGGAGTTAACTGGGACTTAGTTCGACAAGGAAATGCTAAGTATGAAAATGGCACTGCACTAAAGAATAATAAAAGCCTCTATAGAGTAGTGAAGATTGATGGTGTTGTTATACCTAGGAAACAAATGCTATTCGTTAATTCCACATTGTTCAAAGAGGTAGTAAGTTTCGAGGAACTTTATGAAGATCCTGAAATATTGCATAAGAGAGACATCTTACGTGCATTTGGTGTCAATAAGGATGGCTACTTAATTTTCAATGACACCGTTGTAAGCAACTGTAAAATTATTTAATGATGGTATCCGGTATACTTGCATTGTAAAGCTATATAGGCATAGGAACATTGATTGTAATGGTAGATTAGAGTGTATTAAGTAATTACTTGTAAAAAGAATATCAATTTACTAGAAATAGATCAGTACATCTACAATAGAAACGAAAGTAATTCCTTAAACAATATGAACCACCGGTACAGTCTTTCCTTGCAATGTGAAAACTATTGCGGTATAGATTGTAGCCGGTCTGAAATTGTCAAATAGTCCAAATTTATGGGAACAGATATTCGGTATATTCGGTTGAGATAGTACATAGTTAGAAGTCTGCCCAAGTAACCTATCATTTTTCTTTCTAGGCACATACTGTTTCTATCTTGGCATACACTTGGGTTACTGAATAGCTGGGCACAATTTACCAATTAGCATCACATGTTCCATTACAAACTATCGGTAAAGGCCTGGGGAGAGGGGGGAATGAGAGGTAAACAGCAAAAAAAGAAAAGATTGTCATACAAGTTCAGCTTGCCAATGAGAATTTGGTAGAGGGCAAAGTCAAGTTAACCTTTAGTAAGACTTTACGCATATTGTGTTAAAAATGTAATGTTTTTATTAGGATAGTTTACTCACCGCGGTAGATAAAATTTGTATGGATACTCAAAAAAGAAAGAGGTCATATATTGCATTTCTTTCTTTTTTGAGCTTTTCGAGGTCTTTTGAGTATACACAGGTTCGCAAGACCTCGTCAGTGGATACGCAGACTGCTACAAAAATTGGAATGGCACAGTAAGAATTGCCGTAACAAGACCGCGAACCCGGTATTAGGTAACCTCAGCCGATGATCTAACCATTCGGAATACACATCAAGCATCTAATAACAAGAATGAAATAAAGAAAGAAGAATCCCGGTTTTCTACCAAATGATGCAACTTCTCGTCCATCCTAGTGATCTCTATTTTTGCTAAACTGAGATTATCTACGATCTTCATTGTCTCATTACTAGAATATCATTACCCATCACTTAACGCACCAAGCTTGGATAATATACATCAGATTTTGTAAACTGCATGTGCTACTAGACTTGATTACGCCGCGACTCGCTAAACAGTATTTGAAGATAGATGGCATACAATTGCATTTTATTCAACGATATGTGTTGAAATGAGACGCCACAAAAGGTAAACACGTACTTATGGTCATAAATTTGCATCAAACTTTGGAGCTGTATGGATTATGGGAAGTAGCATTCAGCAACTTCATGACAGTAGAGTCAAAGCACTACCACATCTCACGGGATAGATGATATTGTCAGCAAGGACAAAAAAGAAAAGTTGATTTACCTAAAATTGTGTTGCGCTCTAATGGAGTCTAACCAAAAGAAGAAAGAAAGCTGAATATGAACAAAAAAGAAAGTAATACACCGAAAAAGGAATAACGTAAAAAATTAACACTATGCAGTGAAAAGTGGGTGGGAGACATAGTACCCATACCCAGCATAATTCAATGTTCAGTATGCTAAAACTTGGAAATTGAATCCCTGTTTATCGTTCAAAAAAGGACGATCTAATACGACGAGGAACTGTAGCAATCGCTGTGCCTTGTCTGCAACTCTATGCCAAAAAATCGGTTAAAAAAATTTCTTTTTGTAACAATAACCAGAAGAGATACTTCTCTCATCCTATTCTAACTCGGAATTGCAAGTTTTCACTATTCCGCAATATGTAAACAGTAAAATACATGTACATATATGCTTCAGAGACGGAAAGTAGGGACATTGTTGGTAGAGGATTGCTCCGCAATGCTATCTATGCTTGTTTTCGTCTTGTTATTCTGTGAAGTAAAAGAGAGGATAAATACATGAAACTATATGGGCACTGCACCGTCATCTAACTCCCTCGTAATGATCATATTTTATTTTGTAATCGATGAGCTTGAATATTCATCATTTTTATCCTTCCGTGGCCCCTTCCCTGTGCCCTTAGCCTGCTTTCCTCTCATTTTTTTATAATTGTGAAAGATAACTACAACATATTCTTGTTACCCAAAAATGGAAAACTTGCATGGAGTGCTTATACATATCCCGTACTGCTCTGTTTTTCATGTCAAAAAGGTCAAGTTTCCCTCAGCCATTGATAGAGAGATGAGATAGGAAGGGACAAGACGATGGTTAGCTATTTTGGAAGCCAGTTGTGGATTTAACCACTACGTTTCTTAGTGTGTAGCAGTTTGCAGAACACGCGATGGCCAACCTTCCCCGCTACCCCAGTGAGTCCCCAGGGGGCTCTCTAACAGAAGCAAGATTGATGATGATAAAAGAAGATAGCCATGTCTGAAAAGTAAGGAGCGAATGAGAGGGCATCTAATTACCAAGCTCACTTATTTTTTCAGTATCCCGTTAACTACTTTCACGGATACATATGGGCATCATCTCCATAGTATATTCTCTCTACATTGTAAATACAATAGAATTCCTCCGTAGGAAGAAAAAAAGCAAAAAAAGAAACTGTTATTGTATATGTTGTCCCTTTTCTTGTAATGGTATATTAAGAAAAGTTGGAACCTGTAGTAGTATATAAAACAAATCTACCTTTTTAGCTGTTAATAGCGCAACTTTAGAATAATAGTATCAAGCCAAATAGATAGTTTCAGTACCAGTAAGTCTCAGATTGGATTCCATATCATATTCACAAGCATTAGCGTGAGTAGGGACTTGGTAAAAAAAGAAAAGGTAAGGGTAAAGGTAAAGAAAGCTTGGAAAGGCTATCGGGATTTTATTGAGAAAGATCATTACTTTCATCTGCAATAACTCAAACGTTTAGCAATTCTATAAGGAACGCTTCCCAATAGAGTTCTAGCATACATTCAATACTTTCTGGTTTAAAAGAGAAATTTAACATAGGGCATTTATAATTAACTGGAGCTTTATCTTTTATTGACTTTTTCTGTACATAACTACGTCAAGAGGAACGTGTTATTCTGCTAAGTGAGAAGTGGCAATAATAACAATACGACTTGTTTAAAATACAATTAAGGGGATACGAGACTAATTTTAGGCAAATACACTATATTATTCTTAAGCGCATCATTATCTTTTGCGTTACAGAATCAATAGAACATCAAATAACACACATCTCCTGCTCAGTCATTTGAAACTGTGATCAAATTTTAGGTGACTATTGTTATCCAGTCTGACATTATTTAACAACAGGTTTGTTATTAGTGAGCATACTGTAGTTTATTTATTTATTTTAAAACAGGAGACTTAAATTGCCACCAGGTTTTTGTTTGGATCAAATTTTGGTTGCATACTACTATTAAAACTGAAGGAGACTAGTTTCTTAAAATTCATTACATCACAGAGCCAGTTTCATCTATTATATCACCAGAGAAGTTATTTCAGAGCTGAGTTTTAACATTGTTATTGTCTTTACTGGAATTCACATAAGTTTGAGATTAACTAGATCTAATCTACATCGATACATTTCGCGACAGATACAATTCAAAGGTTTTTTTGATAGCAGTTCACACTTCAATAAACATTTATTATAATGAACTTTTTTGGATCAAAGTCACATCATCCCAGTTCTCAAGGGTCCTCGAATTCTAACTCCTCTTCAAATGGAAATAAGCATGCCCTGGGTAGTGCTGGTAATGGTTTCTTCCCTAGCTTTACGTCACAAACTGCAACTCCAACTACAGCAGTGAGTTCAAGTTCATATGCAATGGGAACAACAGGTGTTGCTTCTGAAGATGTCATCTCAAGAATGAAGGCTATGAATGAACCTGCTAAAACAAGTACTCAAGGAAATAACGTAAATCAGAAAATTGTTATTGGTGTTAATGATAAGCCCGCTATAATAACTACAGGTCCTGAAGAGCAAAGTACAAGAGATGAGCAAAAACATGGTAGTGAACCTCAATTTAGGACAGATACTCATTTAACCCCATCTCCTGTGCAACTAGAACAATCTTCGAGTAGTAGGACGGATAGTAGTAGTAGTGGTGAGAATGATATTCCAAGAGGAAAATTGGAAGTAACTATTATTGAAGCCAGAGGACTGAGCACGATATCTGAAAACTCATTACCATATGTGGTTTGTACTTTTGAGAGCTCCGAATTTATTTCTGACGGCCCAGAATCCGTTGAAAACAATGGTAGTTATGTTAATAATCATGGTGGCTTGTCTTCTATTAGGGAACAGCTGCGTAAGAGACCATTATATACCCATAGGTCTTCTTCACAGCTTAACAAACTAACTTCCCGTCAAAACAACTTTGACTCGGAAGTGGTGTCTAGCGGACTAAATCCAATATGGCATCATAAAGCTACATTTGACGTATTAGGATCACATTCTGAGTTAGATATATCAGTGTATGATTCTAATCATGAAGACATGTTTCTAGGTCAAGTAAGACTTCGTCCTAATATTCACACAACCTCCAATATGTCACATGAGCAATGGTATCCTTTGCAGAGTAGAGTTATGGATGAGAAAATAACGGGAGAAATACTAGTCAAATGGCACTATACCTTGACTAAGAAGAGGCACTACGGTCCTCAGGACTTTGAAGTTCTACGTCTATTAGGTAAGGGTACTTTTGGCCAAGTGTATCAAGTGAAAAAGAAGGATACTAAAAGAATATATGCCATGAAGGTGCTTTCCAAGAAAGTTATTGTAAAAAAGAACGAGATAGCACATACTATTGGTGAGAGAAATATCCTAGTAACTACATCTTCAAAAGCCTCTCCTTTTATTGTTGGTCTAAAATTTTCTTTCCAAACTCCCACAGATTTATATCTAGTCACAGATTATATGAGTGGAGGTGAGCTATTCTGGCATCTTCAAAGAGAAGGCCGTTTTACGGAAGACAGGGCAAAATTTTATATAGCAGAGCTGGTGTTGGCTTTGGAACATTTACATGACAATGACATTGTTTACAGAGATTTAAAGCCAGAGAATATACTATTAGATGCAAACGGTAACATAGCACTATGTGATTTTGGTCTTTCCAAAGCTGATCTCAAAGATAGAACTAATACATTTTGTGGTACTACTGAATATCTAGCTCCAGAACTTCTTTTAGATGAATCTGGTTATACAAAAATGGTTGATTTCTGGTCTTTAGGTGTACTAATATTTGAGATGTGCTGTGGTTGGTCACCTTTTTACGCTGAGGATAATCAAAAGATGTATCAGAAGATCGCCTTCGGTAAAGTTAAATTCCCACGGGATATTCTTTCCCCTGAAGGTAGATCTTTTGTTAAGGGTCTGTTGAACAGAAATCCAAAACATAGATTAGGTGCTATAGATGATGGTCGTGAGTTGCGTGCTCATCCTTTCTTTGCCGATATCGATTGGGAACTATTGAAACAGAAAAAGATCCCTCCTCCATTTAAACCTCATTTAGTTTCGGAAACCGATACTTCTAATTTTGACCCTGAATTTACTCAAACATCAACGTCATATATGAACAAGCACCATCAAATGGCTGCAACTCCGTTATCTCCTGGTATGCAAGCGAAGTTTGCTGGATTCACATTTGTTGATGAATCTGCCATTGATGAGAGATTCAATGCTAACAATAGTAACAGAAGGTTTCTGCAAAGCTCTTCTTTTATGGAGCCTGGATCCTTTATTCCTGGTAATCCTAATCTGCCTCCAGATGAAGATGTTATTGAAGATCAAGATGATGATGACTTTGAGAATGTGAAGAACCCCAGAGATTTAGATTTTGATGGTGATCAGCATATGGATGATGAATTTGTAAGCGGACGTTTTGAGATATAAATATTGATATTTGTCTTTCATTTTGGTTGTTTTTTTTCTTGAGAATGCAATATTGAGGGTCGTATTATAGAAAAGAGTTCAGGTTAGTTGTATTTTTTTTTTTTTTCAAATCATACATGTATTTCATAGAGACTTTTGACCCAAAAACCTTTATTTTTCCCTCAACATTGCTAGGATTTTCTCACTCTTTATTAAAATTTTTCATTTACTTTAATTTCACTTAATTATTCCTTTATTAATTTATTTCTGTTAACATTTTAAATATCGTTTCCTAATGCCTTTGATTAACTAAGTTCAAATATCATTTGATTAGAAAAACGTAAATAGAAAACTAGAGATATTTATTGCTTTATCTTTTCATAATTTAATGCATATGAATTTTGTACATCAATTGGGTTTATTGCTTGCTTGCTATTTTTCTTGTTGATCACTCTTGCTGCATTTATGAGATTGGCCATGCAACTGCGAGAATGTCAATATACCGTCAATTCATCCAAAACATAAAATATTTAAGTATAACAGTTTATTTTATCTATCACCATATTTAGTCAAGAATTTGAAGAGCTTTATAACATACATTACAATTTAGCACAAAAAACTAGCTCAACAGCGTAATAGTCATATAAATTCTACTAAACTGCAATCATTTTAGCAAGAGACAAGGTAATAAGTAGAATTTTGAAATAAAAATTGCTGAGGAAAGACAATAGACCATCTGCTACTAATATTCTTGTTTTCAATGTGGAGAAGATAGCACACTCATGATAATATTTGATAAAAGCCCACAAGGTTCACGTTTAATTCGAAGTTAGAGTGCCCTATTCTGTAAACGCCTAAGACTTAATTACAATGATACAGTATTGCGAGCATACAGCTTACCGAACTACGAATTAGAATATATGTAGCACACAGTGACACCCAATAGTCTGTTCCTCTTACAAAGACAGAAGCTATCTGGTAACTTGGACAATCATTTTTATAATAAAAATATGGAATTAGTAACACCTTTGCTGCAGAATTATTAATCAAACGACAGACAAAGACTTTGGCTCGAACCTCCTTTGCCAAAGAGTCAAACTCCGTCTAGATGCAGCTTGGAAAAAATAGAAGATTTTCAACCTGAACCAAAGGGCAAGAAATCGTGTCGGGCCCTCAGGTGCTTTCTGGGGCGAACACTGACTATCGCAATCAAACTTCAAAAATTATCTCATGAAAAAGCAAACAGGACTACAAACAAACAGCATGATGGAAAGATCCAGGTCCAGCAATAATCTCACCCACTTCTAAAAGAAGAAGGCCAGGTTTACAAAAGAAACGATTGTGCTACTTTTGGTTTCTTAATTTATTTTGGCTATCTGTCATTCAATTCAACAGCAGAAAAGCTGAGTGTTGATATCACAGAATCACATAATAAGTGTAACGCGACCCTTGATTTCAATTCACAATTTGAAAATTGCTTTAGATAAGCTCGTCTTTGCAAACCAAAGAGGTTAGGTCAATTATTTGGAGATCTGGCTATTTACTATTCTAGGATCTGAGAAATCTAGGACGATAAAACATATTGATAAGTATACTTTCAATTCATATTTTCTTCAGTCGTCTTTTTCTTTTATATCAAACTCACAAACACATTGTGTTTCGGTCACGGTCAATACGTAATCTGATATTACCGGAATAGCAATTTATAAACGCTATAAAACTAATATGGACTACGAAGTTAATGCGAATCAAATTCCCGTTCTGGGCATAGAACAAGGGCTGATACCAGACAATCTAGATGGATCAGTTAAAGCAGATACAGCAACCAGTACAGCAATGAACATGAACGATAAATCAGAGATATCAAATGACGGTAGCCATTCTATACATACTAGTAATCCAAATAACAATGGTGAAAACGGTAAGAATGGAGGAAAACCAGCATCGAATGATTTTGTAAGAAAACTTTTCAACATTTTAGAAAGCAATCAATATTCAAACATAGTTAGATGGTCAAATACCGGTGACAGTTTTGTGGTGCTTGATACAGGAAAATTCACAACTCAGATTTTACCGAATCATTTCAAGCATTCTAATTTTGCAAGTTTTGTCAGACAACTCAATAAGTATGATTTCCATAAAATTAAAAGAACCAATGAAGAAAGACAGAAAAGTATATATGGCGAACAAAGCTGGGAGTTCGAGAATCCTAACTTCAAAATAAATGATGAAAAGTCGCTGGATCTTATCAAGAGGAAAACACCAGCCCAAAGAAAAGTTATGCTGGAAGATGCGAGCGCACCTTCACAAAAAACCCCCGAGTTGCTGTCAGTTCAAAGCGAAAACAAGTTAAAGTCTGCGCTGTTAAGCAATACTGTAAAAAAAGATATTTTTAATAACCTTAGGAAAAGAGTGGATAAAATGCAAAAAGATATGGATACAGTTATGATGGATAATTACAATTTGAAGTCGGATTATCAAAAACTCGCGACAAAATATAACACACTATTAGACAGCTTAATAACATTTCGAACTGTTAATGAGAACTTAATCAATAACTTTAATGCGCTATGTAATGTTTTAAGTTCTAAAGGAGTGGAGCTACCTTCTTCAGTTTATGAAAATATGAATATTAATATTCCTGTACCAAGTGGACAATCACCAGTAAATATTTCACCTTCACCATCTTTAGGAATACCAATAAAAAATAGCACAATGAGCCCTTCATTGCCTTCCATGAAATCGCTACAAAATACACCATCATTGACTGGTAAACTATCTACAAATCAAAGACTTGACTTACCACCAAATAGTCAGGGAATATTATCCGACACTAATGTAGGACAAACTGAATCGCCAGAAATTCAGATGCCAATATCCTCCAACTCATCAAGCACAACCAAAGAGGTAGACCAAAATATCGTCTTAAGGAAAGGTTTTCATGTATTACTTGTAGAAGATGACTCTGTTTCTATCCAATTATGTTCAAAGTTTTTGAGAAAATACGGATGTACTGTACAAGTAGTAACTGATGGTCTTTCAGCCATATCAAACCTTGAGAAATTTAGATACGACTTAGTATTGATGGACATAGTGATGCCTAATTTGGACGGTGCAACTGCAACATCAATTGTAAGAAGTTTTGATAACCAAACACCTATTATTGCCATGACAGGTAACATTGAGGATCAAGATCTAATCACATACCTACAACACGGAATGAATGACATTCTAGCCAAACCATTTACTCGAAACGATCTACACTCTATATTAATAAGGCATTTGAAAGATAGGATCCCACTTTGTGACCAGAATAGGGGGTCAGGTATTACTTCCGAGTCACCAAATCTTCCTCCTACGCAACATATTATAAGTTCTCAGCAAAATAATGAACAAAACTCCTCACTTCCCCAAAGTTTACCCCCAATACATCCTCCAAATCATCAGAGTCCACTATTCAACAATAGAGCCTCGAATATTACACCACTAGCTCCATTGAATTCTGCAATGTCTCCACAATCTCCATCACATTTGGAAAGACCTTTAACCAATCGATCTCCGCTTGGTATGACTCCGTTAAATGATGGACAGCCTGCATTTAAGAAGCAACATACGTAATTTTGCATCTCTAACTAGTATTTTATTCCTGTAAAACTATTAATACGATATATTCCAAGTATACTGCTATGAGCTACTAATCATACTATTAATGTTTGTTTGTTATCATTCTCAGGGATGATCAAATACTCATATAAGCAACTACTGGCTATCAACTATATTAAATACATAAACTACTTAACGTTAAACATAAATCTTCTCCTCTATAAATTTAGGAAGATTATAAGATCATTATTCTTCAACTGCCATGGATACAATGTCATCAAATCTAACAGATGTAGATCTATTTCTACCCAGTGCTGCAGGGGCTTCAAGTTCAAATTCTTTACTATTCTTAAGCATTTCCTTCAAATCTGGTTTTCGATTTCTAATAGACGACTTTCTGCGCAAATCACTACTACTTCCTCCATTACTTCTCTGAAGGGCAATTGGGGATGTAACGTTCAGCCCAGATCGTAAACTAACTTCAGAGCTGGAATTAGAATTCAAAACAGTTTCTCTTATCGAGACTGCATTTTTTTTTCTCAATTCGATTTCTTTTGCACAGCGATCACAATTACATATAAAACCCCAATTAACTCTCAGTTCTCTTCTTCGCAAACTGACGCCATGAAGAGGATTAACATAAGTTGTAACCAATTCCTCGTCTTTTTTTATAAATTTCCTTGCGTACACTTTTAGTTCAAGCTTATTGTTTATATCATATCGCACATTAGGTTCACAGTTATGATTTAGGAATGAATAAAGAAAATATAACTGACCCGAAAGTTGATTGATATGAAATCTTCCAAGATACTCTAAAAAAACTTCATATCCCATTTCTGCTGTATCTGGAAATGTTCTAATAAATAAGTCAAATGCTTTTTTCCAAAGCGGTTCAGGATTCTCTTCCTTTAGGGACCCTATTTCTGCATCAAATGTCCCACCAATATTATTTGAATCACTTGATTCATATCTTACACGCTGTGAGATTTTTGCCAACGCTTCAAATTGTTGGTTAATCTCATCAGATTGTGCTTTATCTATAAGAGATGCGGCGTGAATCACACCAATAGAGTATGCCGCAACAAAAATATTTTCCTGGCAATGCCTTTCAAACATATTCCAATCCATTGGTCTTATGTTTTTATTTTTTGATCCAAAATGCTTTAGATATGGATGTGTGATATCCTTCTGTTTGCAATTTGTGCTACACCATATCGAATTACATCCATTACAGTCCAACCCATGTAGCATGGTAAAATGCGAGCTGTTACTCAAAGAAACACCACACATTGAACATGACTTTCCACTACGAATAAGTTTCAATTTGTCCATTGGAGGTACCATAGCAATGGGGACCTTTTCATGAAACAAAAGTTCACCTTGCTGAATATCTCTAGTTGCGTACAAACCTCTTCCCTTTCTGAGCTCTTCACATTCCCTTATTTCAACTTTACTTGGAAGTTTGTCATTGACCAGATGCATCACTTCAGATATGTCAGGAAATTCAATCTTGTCATTGTATGAGTCCATCTGCGAGTCATCTACCGAGTACAAATTATTCGATACAAGGACATCCTCCAGAGTATTGATGTCGAATTGCCAGTCCGTATTTCTGATTTTCATCTTATCATACAAGTGAGGAAGATCAAGATCCTCGGCAGCTGGTTCTTCTTTCCATAGCAACACAACGTCATCTCTGATCTGTTCCTTACTTGGCGTTATTGGCTTCCCTGGTAGAGAAGGCTCTGAATCGTTAAGTGTAAGTGTTTGAATTTTCAACTGACTCACACTCATCAATCAATAAAATCGCTTTTATCTTCTATTCTCTTTACTGTCCTAAAGTTCCAAATGGAAAATAACTGGTATGCCTTTAATTCTTTGTTCTTACCTTTTTCTATTGCCTTTGCTTCTTGTGCACAGGGCAGATACTACCAAAATTATAGAAATATAACCAAAGCAATGACTGTTTAGCAAAATCAGTTAGACAAATTAAAATAGTATCTACACTAAACCAACGAGTTTTTTTTTTTTAAGAATACCACACAGAATCAATCGATGCTAAATTATTAACAAATTTTGCTAATACTTGTACACTAGCTAAATTTTTCAGTGTCTATTTTTGTTTTTACTTTTGTTTTAATTTTTCTTCTGAATGAAAAATATTGTAAACTTCTATTCGAAGTTAGGAATAATATAGAAAGCTCTGATTTTGATTTTTTTTTCCAATTACAGGTAATTGATTTTTAAATAAAACTAAAACATAACCAATTGACCCTCCGCTTATTTGGCCCAGTATTACTCACTAGCTTAGAAAATATCAAAAAAAAATTTCAAAGGATTATTTTCTTCTGTTTTCTTCTTCGTTTCCCTTGCATCCATTAAAAATCGAAGGAATGGACCCAAATCCGCAGAGTATCTCACTTTGAATGAAGATATAAGAGAATATGCTCCAAAGAAACAGGAGCAGAGGAGAATAATGTAGAATACATAATAAATAGTTTCCCACACAATCACAAGTGCTTGTAAGAAATGCGAAGATCAGGAAAAAAAAACGATTATAAATAATGCACAATACAAGGGAAGCTGCACTTGTTTTGCATGGAAGTCTCATCTACTCCTCCACTTCTCCCTAACAAATGTAGGTATTAAAGAAAAACTGGACTTTGCCAAAAAACCACTGAGAGAGATAAAACCCAAAAAACAGGAAGTTATAGAGAAAGACGAAGTCAGGGTGGGGGGTAGGGGGAGAAGTGAACCTCCAAGAGAACCTCCCCAAACAGGATGAGCAGTGGAGTCAGCTCTATGCCATACACTTGTATAGCAATACTTCCGGCAAAATCTTCTGTACACACATTATATAGTAAAAAATCCAACACAACCAACCTCTATCCCCCCCCCAAACTCTTATCTAAACTATGTAAACGGAAGATAATATCAGAGTACTGTCGTTTCCAACTGCTCTGAAAGTATATGATAGTTAGGGATGCCCTGATTACTGTCAATACTTTGGCCACAATCTGTGACTACTCTTGTTATATATATAGAACTAAACTTCTAGTATAGGTTATAATCTGTAATAAGATGTATCCAATACAGATTAGATGCTCAATTCAGTGATTACGTCATTTTTATGGGCAAGATAGTCCCTTCAAAAGAGAAGGCCAAAAATTACGTGCTTTGCCATCGAAACACAGGAGGGCCAAAAAGGTTGTGGGATATGAAGTAGACATGCCTATCCTCTTAATATGACGTATTAGAACAGAGCCGACACAAACGCTCGGTTGCTATTCCAGTTTGTGTTGCTGGCTTCATTAGTATTTTTTCATTTTCGTATGGTAAAAAGTAATACAGAATAAAAACAATGATGTACCGTTGTTAATTTTTGTAATGAGGAACAACCATTAACCACATTTTCCCTTCATTGAAGAGTTTATAGAATGCTGCGGTGAGCCACTATAAACAGCTATTCATTAACTCTACATTACTGAGCTCTTGCACAATCGTAGAAAGGTCAACAACCTACGATTATAGATAGTGTAGTAAATTCAAACCTTGCTGATGCGGACCAATCGATAAGTAAAGCATTATCAAGCTAATTCTTTGAGATAAGCTATGCAATCTACAAGCATCAAAAGATTAACAGCGCAGTTGCGTACTAGGACTTGGTATTGCTACCCTTAACCAAAGTCACATGACTCAGAAGATTCTTAGGTGAGTCCTTAAACAGTGTTCCCAAGCATTCCTGAGTAAGGAGAAGTGTCCTGGAGTTTGGCGAGTTCTTAAATTGGTACCGAAAGTAGTGAGTTAAGAAGGGGGTAGGGTTTAAACAATAGAAAGTAAACAGTCGACAATCAGCGTTCTTCATTGTTAACTATTGGTGAGTAGTAGAACTCTTTTATACTCATCTCACATTCTCATTTTTGTGAGAAGCTATATTCGTTGTTCTATAGTCAGTTGAGTTGACCAGTTGTCCCTTCGAACATTGTCAACTTGGAAAACCATTGGAACTTTCCATATCATAAAAACAGTCACTGAACATAAATCTGAACGACATCTGAAACATTAAAGATGATATTAAGCAGTATAAGAGCAACTGGACGTGCTTTGCCAAGAAATCTGAGTATCAAGCATATTACAAGGGGCCGGTTGTCCTCATCCATGCCTGAGTTCACAATCAATAAGACCAGAAAATCACCAAAATGGGTACCCATTACTATATTTGGAGCCACATTTGGTATGGGGTGGTTCTTCACACAACACATGACTTTCACAGATCTCATGGCATATTGGCGTTATGACTCCCTGCCGGAAGATGCACAGGAGGTGAAGGACTATAAGTTACAGTTGTATAATAAATGTGAAAAGCTGCCTGTAGTTAAACAACTAGGAAAAGCCGGATATGTTGAGATATTTCCACCAAGAAGAAAAGAAGATCTACTGATTGACAGAGCACTAAGTACTCCTGGTGGAATAGCTATTCCACCAAGATTTTTTTTCAACCCAACTACTAAAGAGACTGTAGGGATATATCATCTTGGTATGAAGTTAACTGGCTACCCTTTTATTGTACATGGCGGTATATTAGCTACTATCATGGAGGATTTAATGAGGGAAAGCGTTAAACTGATTACACAGAAAACTGACGAAAAGATAAACGACCTCTCAATCTCATACAAGTTCCCTACTTTAGCTAATCAATTTGTTATCGTCAGGACCACACAACATGAGACATTTGGAAAGAATATCAAATTAACAGCAGAAGTTATGGACCAAACGGGTAACAGGACACTTATTAAAGGTCGCGGATCCTTCAGTGCCTCAAAGTAAGCTTATTTGGTGGTATAATTATTTATTACGATCTGTGTTTCTATGTTATTGAAGCTAGAGACCATTTTTCAACTATACATGTATATAAACTAATTGATATTTATAATCGTTTTTCTTTGTTTTGTTCAAGAAAATCATAAGGTACATTATTGAGTCTCCTACATTGTAATAGGTTTATTGCGCCAATGTATTGAACCATCCCCCACAAGAATGCAGTCCAGAAAATAGTCATGTGCATCCATTGGTATATCTTCTACTATTTGTTGCTTCAGTGCTATACCAATAAGCAAAGGGAGTTGGTTACTATGCTGGAGCTTATATCTACTGAAAAAATCATCGTAGTAACCTGCTCCATGGCCCAATCTGCTACATCCACTTGTGAAAGCAACTCCTGGGACAAGAATTGCATCTAACATAGGTGGTAGAGGAGATAACTTCTCATCCTCTATGTCAGGTTCTTTTAAGTTATACTTCCCTTTAGGACTTAAACTTAAGACATGGTCATGGGAGTCCATCTCATGAAATGTAAGATGTGGATGATCTTTCATATTCCCAGGATTCTTCGAGTCATTTCTAAGTTGAACATGCCCTGTTAATTTTGTATGTGTACATCTTGGGAGGTAAACTTTTTTACCAGCTTCAAATAGTGACTCAATAATATTTCCTGTGTCCAATTCACCAGTGTCCATACTCATATAGCAAGCTACATTTTGTTTTCCTTCCAGAATTGGCATTAAATTATCTCTTATACACTCGCTTTGTGATATTATCTCTTCCCTGCTAATCTTGCCAAGGGTCTGCCCCATGTGCTTTCTAAGCTGTTGTTTAACTGCGAGCATCTCGTTCATATATCATAATCAATATTGGGTGAGTGCGCGCGTGATGGAATAAAACTCTAAGACCGAATTGTGGTTTCTAAATTGTAGTACAATTTCGATTTAAAAAAATCATAGAGGTATCCAGCCAGGAGTCTAAGAACCGTATTACCAACAAAATAAATCACTCAGACACAATGATCAAAAACCTGTGCCATCCCGAACATGAAAATCTGTTTTTCCTTGGATCAATGCATCCATTGTCCATTACTCACAGTTAGTGAATACAAGGTTATCGTAGCACATCCTCCCAGAGGATAGGATCAAGCCTTTGGTGAACTAATGCAATACACCGGTAACGGCCCAATAATATAATGAGTCAGGTCGATGAGCTTAACCTTTTCGGGACCTCCTTGTAACTCGCGAAAGACCTGTTTGTACACACAAAGCTTTGAAAAAAAAAATGAAAAACTGACAAAAAAAGAAATTACATATCATCTCAAGAAATCAGTCAACTGCAAAAGTATATATAATAACTGGATAAAATTCAGAGTTTCTTACGTCTTCTCAAGTTGCTAGTACTAATCGCTCAAGGATTATTCTACCAGTACATAGATTTGATTGTGAGCTACAAAAGCTGGTCATATCTTAAAAAAAATGATGCTGAACTCTAGACTAGCGTTTGCTAGTATAAGCAGAAATTTCGGCCTTGCTAGAAGGTCAATTGCCAGCTTGGATGCCTCTAAACTGAAAGTTACAAAGAAAACACCACCATCACAACCCAGACCTAATGATGAGCTTGTTTTTGGTCAGACATTTACTGATCACATGCTTACAATTGAATGGACTAAAGAGAAAGGTTGGGATATCCCGGAAATCAAGCCATATGGAAACTTGACCCTAGATCCATCTTCTTGTGTATTCCACTACGCCTTTGAGCTTTTTGAAGGTTTAAAAGCTTACAGGACCCCAGACAATAAGATTACTATGTTTAGACCAGATATGAATATGATTCGTATGAACAAATCTGCAGCTCGAATCTGTTTACCTACATTTGATAGCGAAGAGTTGATCAAATTAATGGGCAAGCTAATTGAACAGGACAAACATTTGGTTCCAACTGGAACTGGCTACTCATTGTACATCAGACCAACTTTGATTGGTACCACAAATGGCCTAGGTGTCGGTACTCCAGACAGAGCATTGCTTTTTGTCATAACCTCTCCAGTTGGTCCTTATTATAAGACTGGTTTCAAAGCTGTCAGGCTAGAAGCTACTGACTACGCAACCAGAGCTTGGCCAGGTGGTGTTGGTGACAAGAAGTTGGGTGCAAACTATGCTCCATGTATTCTTCCACAACTTCAAGCGGCAGAAAGAGGTTATCAACAAAACCTTTGGTTATTCGGTCCCGAAAAACATGTGACAGAAGTCGGTACTATGAATGTATTCTTTGCCTTCAAAAATTCTGTTACCGGAAAGAAAGAACTTGTGACGGCTCCATTAGATGGTACTATTTTGGAAGGTGTTACAAGAGACTCCATATTGACACTTACAAGACAAAACTTAGATCCAAACGAATGGGAAATTAATGAACGTTACTATAGCATTAATGAAGTTGCTGAAAGAGCTGCGAAGGGTGAGCTATTAGAAGCTTTTGGCGCCGGTACCGCTGCTGTTGTTTCACCAATTAAGGCTATCGGATGGCAAGGAAAAGATATTGATGTGCCATTGATACCTGGTGAACAATCTGGTCCAATAACTAAACAAGTGGCCCAATGGATTGCTGATATTCAATATGGAAGAGTAAAACATGGTAACTGGTCAAGAGTAGTAGCTCAATTATAGGATCTTATAGTAAATCAGTAGTTAAATTGTCATGACATTTCATTGGTTATATATACGTTAAATTAATTGCCTAATATAGATATAATCCTTACTGTAAAGCCTCTAGCGACTTACATCATAAAGACGGGTTGTTCATATCTGCATGATGATCAAGACTTAAACTTGGCATCGTATCATTACCAGAAGGCTTCCTTAAATCCAAACTTTCAAGAAAGTCCGTATAAACCGAGGCAAATGAATCTGAATTAAGCAATGCCTCGAATGTGACATCTTGTAATTCTTGTGCTGGCCCCCCATTCATTTTATAATTCGTGTCTATGTGGTCTTGATGTACAGTCGAAGACACAGTGGATGTAGCCTCAATACTAGAAGGTGTAGCCGAACTCTGTACTTCGGATTCTAACTGTTTCATCTTTTGTAGTATTTTATCACCCATCATTTCTCGGAAATGATCTATCAAATGGGCTTGATAAGATCCAGCAACGTTTAACTCTAACAGTGACTTAAAAATATCTGAACTGATGTCGTTTAATTGATTATAGATTGTAGCAAAATGTGGATTACTACGTTGAAGAACTCGTAAAATTTCTTCTTCAGAAATAGATGAGTTTCTTTTCACAGCCAATTGAACGTAAACCCTACAGCAAATATAAGATAGGGAAAGACTTTGCCTACATATCAGTTCGGATAAGGGCATATTCTTGCTGTTAGAACAATTTTTCAAAGCATTAGCATTACCTAACAAATGTACAACATTGCACATCAGCAGAATATTTTCCACAGGCTCATTTTCTGGCGACTCAATAATGCTTAGCATTAGATTGAGTATCATTAAATTAATATGCAAAAGATACCTTTCAATTAGAAATGAATTAAAGTTAGAGACTCTTCTCAGTCCAGTTAAGGAGCATTGGTAGATATTTGTGAGAGAAATTTTCAAACACTTATCTAATAGTTCTGAGCCACTAACCTCAACACCTTTCAATCGATATATCAAACTTCCCATGGCTATTAAACATTTCATTTTTGTCTCAATAAAATAGGTCATAAATTCAGTTAATTCGTCAGTGTCTACATCAACTCCCGTTAACGATACGAAAAAATTTTCCATTTTATTCAATAAATCAATCGCAGATCTATATTCATCATAAAATTTATTAATTGTAACATCAATAGGTTTCTTAACAGATGCAAAAAGCCGATAATCAGTATACTCCTTCTTAAATAATATCTCTGAGTTAATATACTCAATATATTTTCCAAGCATAATATACCCAAAAATTCTAATCTCCGATTCACTCATATGTCTGAAATTACACCTTTCCATCATTTCCAGGCATGTCATAGATTCATCCAAACCAGATTCCATCAACCTTCGGGGCAACAGGCATGTAATTTTTGCATCATCGATAAGAGGCGACTTACCAGCAGATAATGAAAACCATTTATCCCACCAATAACATTCCCACCATATTAATCTATTCTTCTCGGCAGCTACTTCAGGAAGTGATATATAATATTCCCATGAATTCAAGCCCAAATCCAATGCCCTCCTTATTGCACACGCAAGGAATTTTCCTACTGTGTAAAGTTCTTCATGCCAGTGACATATCCTTACCCAACGTAGTGTTGCGGGTATAATGATCTCATGGTGCATGTCCGCATAGAGAATTTTACTGGAGAATTCCAATGCTAAACATGTCATTATATCCTCCAATTCAAATATTTTTGAAGACATTTGAAATGATTGTCCGACTCCAGTATAATATAGATAACAAGTTTCCCATGCATACTCAATAAGTTTTGAAAAAAATTCTATGGGTCTCCTGGCTAACTCTTCATAAACATCTTTGGTCAGAATATCATCATTTTTGGTGGGGTTAACTTGGATGTTTAATATAGCAAACAATCCATCCAAAGTTTTACAATCACAATTAACAGCGTACTTATCGAAACACCACTCAATAGGTGTAGTCTTTTGATTGATATCCTCTTCATAATGCAATTGAGCCATATCCAAAAACTTCATATATATATACATGGTCTCTCTTGTAGAAGTGTTATTCGAGTATGACATGAGCTTTTTAAACATCCAACTGAAACCATATTTAGAAAATATCGCCAATGTAGAATATATACCGAAGTATGGGGTAATGTTAGGTACATTATTTTTTGTCATGTCTACATTGCTAAACCTGTTCAAACGTACGGTACTGGTTTCAATAAATTGCCTTTCTAACGATCCCTCCCCATCATAATCTGCTATAGTTTCATCGTTAATATCCAAATCTACCTGTGATTGCAAGTTTGATATACTGTTTTCGATCTCTGTTAAGGTTTTACAAAGCTGACCAGACGCCTTAATCTTCTCATTTCTTGATAGTGCTTTTGCACTTTTGTACAGCAGCCTTAACTCCCTATATAAGTCGTTATCCCTGTGATAGAATGACTTGACATGGGGGAAAGCGACCCCGTTGTAAATACAGACAGTGCTTGCTGTCATGCATGAAGAACATGGTTGATCTCCATCACATTTTACTTTCCGCTTCCTGCAAACATCACATGCTCTTATTACTCTATCCTTCCCAGCCAGTTTGGCTTTCTTCGCGAGTGGTGGTGCCATGTTCTATTATTTTGTTTCAAAACAGCGTGGGTATAACCGGTTTATTGTACCACTTTTTAAAATCAGAAATTGTTCGTAGGAGAAAAATCAAAAGTAATCAGCAAATTTATTGTAGGTGGAAGTAAAATTCTTGTAATATTAGATGTATGATTCGACTGATCCTATCTAGTAAGTAATTCTATGGAGTTTTTTAGTCTTGTTACCTGAACCAAATGTTATTATAAAGATAATCTAATTTCTCTCCATGAAACAAAATGCGGTGAGCCAACTGCCAACAAAATAGAACAAAGGGTATTTCTGATCACTGATATCAAGCGCAAATTTTTTAGATAGATTCCCCTTCTAAATCAGCAATGCAATAAATTTCTTAATCTTACCTGGTTTGCAATTGAGTGGTCCAAGTAGTCCAAGGATAAATCATGGGCAAGAGAATTATCTTTTAAAAGTGCTGATTTCTCTGTACAGTTTATACAATACACAACAATCCATAGTTCTTACCATATTCTAAAATATGCTCTGATAGGAAGTTATATTACTATTGATGCACTTTTTTTTTTTCTAAATTTTTTCTCTTGGCTTTCTGCACTAACAACATAGAAACTAGCTGAATAATGTCATAATTTCAGTTTGTTTGAACTACATCCGTCATCACAAATGTAAAACGATCAATATAACACAAACCAGACAAGACCTTTCAATCGTTTCGCCTTTCAAGTGAAACTACAGTTTTGAATTAAACTTACATAGAAAGGTTGCTCATGCGAATACACTCATTATACATACACGGATAGTTCCTGCCGAATATTGAGAAATTCTTAAATGAAAGATCCTAATCCAATTGATTCGAAGACCAAATGACTTGCACTATATTCCACAAGGCTAGGGCACTTAAACTGAGTGAACTACTCTAAGAACTCGTTATCTTAAGTCCTGCTACTGCTACTAATATCGGAAATTTGAAAGATGTCACCAGATAGGTAGTTGTTCGATAAGCTTTTCATCGATACTGCTCTTCTGAGACAGACAAACCATTTCAGAATTGTTTCTTATATCCTAGTCTTTGTTCGTATCTGAGGTTGTGTGAATATACATTAATGAAGGAAGACTAATGACTCCTATTCGTTATGCTGTTGTAGTTTTCTGAGACTTGTATCTCGTGTCAGTAATGCCATCATTTCTAGAACTTACAATGACTTAAACTTGAATGATCTTAAAACGGTAATGAGATTTTCTTTAAACTCTAACAAAATGCTAGTAATTTATCAGGGTTGCTTAGATAGTTTTAGGTAAGTTAGTTTGATGAGTTGCTTAAGAGAAATCCAATGCGTTATTGAGAGCCAATCAATCTTATTAAGACTGCATATAAAGACTTTATGCAATTAGATAATATACTAGCCAGTCAAGGGACCGTTAGTTATGAAAGCGCATATCAAACTCCATTAACTATGTGAACCCCCATTGGACTATAACTTACACAACAGAGAACTTTAACTCATTATCAAAAAGATCATTAAGTTGCTGGAAACCACTATCAGAAAACAAAGAAACACTCTCTATATCCAAATCATGTCCAGTGAACTGTGAATTGTAATATTACCTTGTACACATTGTATACTTAATATCTTTGAAATAATATACTGAGCTATGATATAACTGCATCCGTCGATAAAACTGTTAATTCAGCCTTCAAATTTATTTACCAGTAGATCCGAGCTAGAATTACCTTTTCAGTGCCAACACTATCAATTACAAATTTTAATCATCTGCTACACGAAAGACCATTTAAATAATAGTCACTTTATCCCTCCCCTGAATTTTAACTTTGCTATTCATTATAATGAACCGCTCACGCAATCAAACCGAGGAATCGAAAAACTTCCTGACTATTTCCTGAATACGAATTGTACGTGAGATTACTAAGTGACAAAATATGGGCATGAAACTTTTATATTACTACTATTTTTCAAATGAGCTTTTTACATAACGAGTCGGTGGCCTTGCAGAATAAATCGCTATTGACACTTTTGTTCCTTAAATATTTCAGAAATCGAAATTACTGCCAGCTATTGATAGCTCAAATTAAAGTTTATCGACAAGCCAGTCAAATACCAATATTATACCCCATTTTCAAACCTCCAATCTAGAATATGCTATGGTTAAGTATATATAATTAGTTTCATATTGGTTCATAAACATAAGATATACTTATTCACTGTTAAATAGGAAATATATCTAACTAGCAAAGAACACAACTATATTTCTATCGTGTTTCTACTACAAATGAAAACTCATTTCGATAATCATAAGAACTTAGCATACAAAAAACCATAATATATGTACCATCTTATCCTAATATTGCTTTTTCTACCATCAGCGATCTGCAGTAATTGGCTAAATTGTGATGCATAGAACGCTAATAAAATTCACGACTATAGTATGCTTTTTAGTACTTTGAGTCAAAGTATGAACTGGCCATCCCAAAATGTATCCTATGGAAACCAAGCCAATAATAACAGTACTCAAGTATTCACCATTCCCTCTTGTAATAGTGGGAAGGCATACCAATTCCTGAATATAGAATTATTATCTATTGTAAATCTAACATTATAAACCCAAAATGGTTAGTCAAAAAAATGCCTAGCATCCCCTTATTATCATCATTCGGTCAAAACTTGCCCCATACATTTTATTCAAAACCATAGAACTGTACAAAAGTATAATACATTGAGCTTAGTGAATAAAGGCTTTATTGAAAACAGAGTACACTATAAAGTGACTACGTATATTGTAGTGTCAATATATTGGAGAGACAGCAACGATAGGGAAGAAACTTTTACAAATAAGGTTTCGGTAGTGAGCAAGCTTTCATGCGACCATTATGCAGAACTCTCATGATTAGTTGCTTTTCAAAAATACATATTTGGCATGTCTATCTCTAGTTGCAACAATATCGACGACAAAATGTTAACTGGTAATTCAGCCCTGTATTCTTCAACTACTCACTTGTCATGATAGGGGTGAATACCAGAGTTACTCTTACGAACACCAGTTCTTGAAGCAGCAAGCGATGACTCTAAACAGATCCATAAAAACAATATTTTTTCCTCAATTAGGTGCTTAGCATCATTAATGACTCTTTTTCAAAAACTAACGTTTCATTCAATCCGATCATAAAGGTGTTCAATCTAAGTCTCTTTGTGCTATTATGCAACAGGCCGAAATAAATCCATTATTGTTCTAGCCTGTTCTAAATCAGCTGATTTCTGTTACACATGATGATTTAATCCTGCTGAAGATATAACTATCCTACTAGCACGAAAAAATGAAGAATAATTATCAATATCGAAAAATATTGAAATACAAAATTCACCTAAGAGGTGTACATCATGAGATTTTGTGGAGTGGACTAGTTTGTAGATTAAACTCAATTTGGCCTCACTACTACCAGTAACTACTATCTCTTCAAGAATGACAGTATTTTGGTAGAAATTTTCGCACTCCATTTCTTCAGTATGACAGTTTTTAAGACATAACACTGCAGTTTGAATCAAGATCAAAATGTTAGAGGCCTAGATTGACAGTCCACATATTAAAGGATCATAAAATTTAACAAATATAGGTAGTAATTGATAGATGATATTGTTCTCTACTTTTTTTTTTTTATATTTAACTATACATAAAAGACGCGACTGTTCAATAGTGTCTAGAAAGGCCTCGACCATATTGCGACTAATGAAGTATCTCTCAAAACACAAAGCTTAGTTCACTACACTAACAAGAATACTTGCAACAGCATGATTTATATTTTGTCACAGTTTTGCTATAAAGCAATATGTTCAAAAATATCTATTAAAAGCTCCATAAACACTACACATCATTTGTAACTTTCCATGGGATTTCTATTTGAATATAGTGTACTAGATATTTAACTTCATTAAAAACTAGTATAATAGACGGAGAGAAAATTGTTTGCTACTATTGTTCTATTAACTATAACCTGTGAATGATGAATTTACATATAGTATGTCATAAATGTATGACAGTAAAAGCAAATTTAAGATGGAGGCTTTGGCCTTATGACAGTTGAACCATACCGTAAACCAAACTAAACAACTCAGTAACTATATTATTCAACAGAAATAAAGACAAAGTAGCTACCACCAATAAGTGGCTAACTATTCTGCTTACTGTCAAAACACAGATAATAGCAGTTTACTGGCAATAATGGAAAATCAAATTTGTCAGGAACTATTATGCAAGCCAAAACATTCTATGGTTCAATAGCTCAAGGTAGATTCTCTGCTATTACCCCAGTTTTAGTAGATTTTAAATGCAAATAGCATTACTCTTATAGCACAATCTGACGTTCAAGTACCTGACCTCTTACATTCAATATATTGATATCCAGAATATCTGGCTTTGATATGTCTCAATGTTGATTTTACTACATTTTTTTTTTGAAAGGTATTGGATAATCCGACTCTATCTTCTCATCTGATATCAGTCGGCCATGTATAAGATAGTAAAACATAATCTCAAATTGGAGAATTTGAAATTGATTCAACTGTTAATAAGGTGAATAAAAAATACTATGTCCTGGATTATGCAAAAGTATATAACATGCATATTTCAGCTGCACATAGACTACTAAAATCCCAGTGTAATTTTTACACATGGAATACAAAGTAATATTACATTTGAACAAATAAAAATCATTTTCAATAGGAGTTCTTTATCATTCATTAGTTACGAGTAATTAATGGTAATAGCAAGATGGTTTACCCATCAACAAAGATATGTCTTCTTAGAGTCACACCAATATTGCATTGGTTAATATCACTTAAGGAATGTTTTTTTTTTTTGAAATTGATCAAAAACAAACTAGGTTTACGACCTAGATAGTTATTTTTAAGTTACCATACTTTTATAGTTTTGAATGTAAGTGACAAACAATATCTATAATTTCAATAAGTTGTACAGAAGTATGAAAATTGTAACGA